GCGGGTCCCTTTCCCCACCCCTGCTCCTTGGCGGACTTGCGGATTTCTCTCCTGGGTAAAGCGAAAATTGCTGATTCTGGGGTGGGCTCTCGGGCTTTCGGGGAACAGTGTGGATAGAAGATGACGAGAGATGCGTGTCCCCATTGGACCGTCGGCGACCTCTGTCCCAAAAGAACCAAAGCACACACTCGGCTTACGGAAGGATTGAGTCAGCCCGGGCCTTGTTTGAAGATATGCTTCCATGCTCTCCAGGCAAGCCAGGGCACAACTCTTCGCTCGGCCTGACTTTTGTCCATTCACACCACCGCTCCACCTCCTGTTTCGGGTTTGCGGGCCAGGCGACCAAGCGGAAACAGGACTCTGTCAGCATACCCTCGTAGCCTGGCATGGCCGGAAATGGAGACAAGGCGCGCACGATCAGTCTTCGTTTTTCATGCGGGCGCCGATTGGTCCATTCGAGTCAGCATGGCGGACCTTGCAGGCTCGAAAGGCTTGAGAAGGCTTGAGAAGGCAAGCTCTCTTTCGTTCGATTGCGGAAGTCGGCTGGCGTGATGATGGGGTCCTGAGGAAATTGCTCTTGCTCTTGCTCGCTTCTGAATGTTGCTTACATAGCAAGCCTGTCCGGCGAGACGGAACTCAGCATGCGGTGGCCATGGCACCTATGCGAGAAGAGGCTGGGAAGACTCTGAAGAGGAAAGTTCGCTCTCGGCGCAGGAGCATACGAGTACTCGCAGTGCAGATGTGAAGTACCTCGTAAGCTATGGCAAATGAGATGATAGGAGAGTCTTGCCAGATCAACCAATCTTTCTCTTGCTGTGCGGACAGTCTACAGCACAATCCCTCGTACTCCGTACGGATTTCCAGATGGGGCCAACAGTCTCGGACACAGAAGGCCTTGTGCGGGTACGATAGTAAGAATAGTAGTATGTGTCTGGAAGTATCCAAGCGTTGATCCTGTCGACCCGGCTTCCGAGACCTCGCCTCCAAACTTGTGCAATAAGTATAAAAAGCTTGTGATGGTGAGGTAAGATCTGAGTAAGGAATGAACAAACTCCCCGAAATGGAAATTCTCGTCAAAAGGTAATTGATTTGTTCGCTTATATAAGGGAAAAGCGGGCGCTTCCATCGAGTGAACGGTAAATATGTCACATTACCGGACCGTCAGCGGTGTAACGACCATGCGCCGCTTGCTGTTGCCCATGCCAGCTCGGGTGCACCCAGGAGGCGTTTCATGACGTTTCCGGGATCGGCAGATTCGCGACGATCATGTCGATAAACAGCATACATGCCGAACCATTGACTAAACGTCAACTGTGGCCATGTTGGATGCATGTAACGCTCCTTCGAAGACGAACATGTACTCCGCACCGCAATGAACCGGTTGACGTTTCCGTCGGCATCGGGTTTTCAAATCCCCTCATGTTGTACAACAAGGATCTTCTCTCAGGCTCGCCACACTGCAACTAACATTGAGGCTGAGTAGACCTCCAGACCCTTGATGACAAGGCTGAATGAGCTCTGAGGCTTCTTGGTTCTTACCCCACAGCTTGCTGGCGGAGCAACGTGAAACTCGATAGCTGGTTTTGTATACCATACGCGGCTTGGCCATCGTCGTCGCTTGTTATTCCCAGTCATTCGTGTTCGCCGTCCGAAACAGACCACATGCGCATAGGCGATGTCTGATCGCACCAGTGCATAGGTGAGCCGAGTATGCCCCTGTCATGGCCACGAGAACACTGGGATCGGCTGTCAGCATCTCACAATCTCGATCAGAAGGAATGCCTGAGGATCGATGATCGGCAGGTCGGGAGGCCTTCTCTGCAGCAGCGACGAGTGCTCCAATTGGCATTGATTTCAACCTCCGAACGTGAAAGGCGGGGCGACGAAATTGCCCAGGTCATGCTCCTGCGACGTGTAAGCGGTTGAACCTATAATTGGGGAGGGCAAAGGCTTGGGTTACCTTGATGTAATCACTGCCCTTCTCCATGTACTCCGCATGCGTGACGGTGGCCGACTCGCGCTCGATCCCATCCGAAGTACTCCACCAGGAAGCTGCTCCTTTCCAGGCATCAAGGATCGGGTCGTTGGCCTTGCGGACATTGATTGTGAAATCGCAAGGCAATGCCGCAATCAGTTCTTGCCTAAGTCGTTCCTCGAAAGTGGGAAACATAGTGTTTCCCCCGGTCAGAAAGACATCCTTCAGGAGCGCTTGCTGTTGGTCAAAGTTCGAGAATCGACTCATGACGATACCTTCAATGATTTCAATTAGACCAGCTTGGTCCACTCCAGCAATGCCCGGCTGAAACACGACCTCAGGAACTCTGATACGTTCAACGTTGAGATGAATCTGGTTCGCCTCTCGCTGGCTTTCCGGATCCGCTGGCCTCGCTCCTCGTAAGAAAGCGTGCAAAACGCTCTTTGTCCAGTCGTTCTGCGCTTCAATGGTGTCCTTTTCCGAGAATTCTGGGTCAAATTCCAGGAGCTCGCTTTCGAGGGCCTTTAGCGCGGTGAGTGGGTCTTCCTCAGGCTCCTCGTCGTCGCTGGCGGGTTCCGTGGCCACGGTGCGGTATACGCCCCAGTCGTCGTCGTTGGCCCCAAAGTCATCGTCATAATCGCCTCCACCTCTGCGTTTCCGTTTTGGTCCGTCTGAAGCGAGGTTCGCCAGCGTCTTCATACGCATTTGCGAAGCAATGCCCTTGCGGTTGCTGGAATCGGCCTTTTGCCTTGCTTGCTCTTTAATTTTAGCCAACATTGTAAGGCGCTGTTGTCGACGACCCGCAAGCCATTCATTGAAGTGATTTTCTCGCAATTCACGGTCTTTCTTTTCCTCTTCTGCCACACGCGCTCTCTCACGTTCTTTTTCTACTTTGGCCCTTATTCTTGCCTCGACACCCGATCTCATAAGCCTCTGATGCCGCTTCTCCTTGATGCCGTCCTCATCTAGCTGATCATCCGGGACATCAAGAAGAGGGAATCTGTTTAGCTGCTCTTCGAGGTTTTCTTCTTCTTCTGGAGCCCCCAGCTCCTTATTTCTTGATTTCTTGATCGATTTATCCAGGTCACGGATGATCCTCTCCAGTGCGGCTTCGTCTTTGAGCTCTTCGTCGTCCAAAATTCGGCGCTGCTCCTTTTTGGTTGGTGCATTCACATAGGAGTTGTGCAGCTTCTGATAGTACTCCAGCTCTTGTTCCTTTTTAATGAGCTTCTCCAGCCGCATCTTCGCGGCTTGTTCTTGGAGTCTTCGACCTGATTCCTTTTTGCGCTCGGCTATTCTGGCGAGCTCTTCGGCCGATTTCTCGACCACGACCTGTTCTGTGAAGGGGTACTGAATTATGATATCTCTCTTTTCTTCTAGGCCAGTCCAATCTAGATAAGTAGACAGCTCGGTGGGGAAGTCGGTTGAGAGATAGCAATATTGTTTGATATACGACTCCATCTGCTCCAGAGTCAACTTCCCAGGAAAGGTCGGGTACTTCAGGCGGATGAGCTTCAGCAGGTATTCCTGAGCCTGAGAACCTCCCCAATTCAGCCTTGTGCACATCTGCATTTGAGGCTTCCGATCCAATACTGGGATGATGTGGGTCGAGGTATGAGATGAAGACACGATGAGCCCGGACTGGCCTTTATTTTGGCGGTAGGAAAACAGACTGTCGACTCCGTAGGTGACACTTGGCGCATTGTAGCATTCAAATAGCATTTCGTTCATCATTCTTCTGCTGTGGCCCATGTTTGCGACAGGCTCGGTGAGGACCAGCGGTCTACCCACAGTGCCTTCTCCATCCACCCCCAGTTTGAGAAAAATGTAGTCATACACCCCTTCTAAGATATCCCAATTTGTCGGTATACTGGTATTTTGCTCGAAAGCCGCCCTGATTTGGCCACGAGTCGTCGCATCGGCGTAAGCGTCGTAGCCGACAAAGGCGCAGTACTTGTTGAACTTTCGATCTTTGAACTTCGCCATGATCGGGGGTACGAGGAACCGAGGGCTCTTGTCGAAAGAAAACCCAGCCTTAATGGTGCTGGCCCCTGCACCAATTCATTTTAGCTGACCATCCTTCAGCGGTTGGTATCTTGTTTTTGCCTTACCATTGTCAATAACAATTGCGCTGTCAGAAGGAGTAGCTGCGCTCTGTCGATAGCCATCTGGTTTCGGAGGCTGCCATCCTTTGAAAGGGAAATCTGGAGCGGGATAGACTCGTGGGTTCGACTGCGGCTGGCCGTCGAGAGGCGGCGTAGGAAAACGACGCTCTGTAGCGAGGCGGGTAATCGACGTGATTGTCATTCTGTCGTGGTCATCCTAAAATTCTGAACGCTGCATCCTTGTCTGTGGGAGATCAAAATTCGGCACCTTGTTCCTTCGTAATAACCGTTTGACGGCAATCTGTTGTTGTCCCTGGTAGACGGAGTGGGTGCGCAGCCAAGGGAGGACGTTCCAGCAAGGATTAAATTTATGTTGGAGGGCGCGTCACGCTGCGGAGAAGTTCTAAAGGGGGCCCGCGTGTAGCGGAGGGACATTTGTCGGCACAGTTGAACATATGCAGACTACTGAACAATGAGATGCAATTTCTTCTTATGAATCTTCTATTGTGGTTCGCTAAAGGATAGCATGGAAGACTAAGACATGCACGTTTGGAGTCTGAGACGGCCCCTTGGGCACAAGGAGTCATTTGCAACAGTTATGTCAATGAATCGCAAGGAACTGAGTCCGCCAAACAATTCATCGTGCTGGGCGCTTTTTCGATATCGGCTTGTGCCCTTGTCCGCTGGCATAGCTCCACAAGTTGAGCCGGTTTTCGATCTCAGCATTGAGGCACTCAAGTTATTATCCTGCGGGAATGGCTGGTTGCGCTCTATCGGGCGCCCTTTGAACCGCGCTGTTCGGACCTTCTGATGTGTATTTGTGCTGCAACCAAGCAGATTAGGCACTTGCAACACTTTTGGTTGTGAAGCCGTCGACCTTGTGTCAACCTTTTGGCGGCTGCATGTGACGGGCGCTCATCTCATAATGGGCCCTTCAGGTTGTCCGTTGCTGAAAGAGTCTCACTTTAGTCAAGTCTCCATGCTGTGTCAACTTTCCTCACCTTCCAGATGGAAAAGAACATTTGACTGATAATTCTTGAACATCTGCGCAACCAATTCAACATTCATATTCTGAACATTCACATCCTGTGATCCGTTGTCAACGTCTAGTCTGCACGTCTGTTCTCTAGATTGTGTACCTGCAGATTTCTGTTCATCATCATCACGGCTTCGTTCAACTTCTCCTGATCATAGCCGTTAACATCGATCGTTGGGAAAGGAACACGAGATGGCATACGATGTTCGTGATGATCCTGGAGAGCAGCAGGCTCTGTTGCTGCTCGTGTGGGCTCTCCTGAGATAGGATGTTAGCATGTGTTCGTTCCAAAGATTTCAGCAACGTACCATTTCGTTGATTTTGTAACCAACGACCTTCCCAGAGAACTAACCTGCATAGTATCCAAATGTAATGGAAGAACGTCAACGACGCGCTGAGCCGCAGGCGACGTGCCCGCAGCTCAGCCCTGATTGGGACGATGGGGGTGCCGCCCTATGCTCGTGGGCCACAGTGGGTGTGGTTGCAGTCCAAGCTATAGCCCATCCAATAATGATGCGAATCTTGTCAAAAGCAGCGTCACTGCAAGCCTCTTTGTTGATGAAATGGTCGAACCGGATGCGAAGATTCTAGTTGACCATGCATTTACTCTTGCGCACAGAGAGCAAGAACCGAATTCTGAATGATACGAGGTTGCTCCTCGCGAAAAAAAACCGCGAGTTGCCCTGCCTCTCACTCGGGTATATGAGATGCCGCATCCTTATTTCTCCTGTGTGGCGGAAGCAGCGGTTCTGCAATGGATGTTTAGGAGCATGCTACCAATTCGCTTTGTCTCGCTTCTCTTCGGTTTGCTTCGCTTCAAGCTATATCAATTAGCCGCCAGTCTCTACGGAACAACCCTATGCTGCTGTTGCTGCATGTGAAGGCTACGGCATTGGATGTTTACTGGTAGAGAGTACTCGTGCGCCGCGTAATGTGGCTTCATTGCACCTGGGAATTACGACTCTGCTCCGATCGATTTGGAAGCATGCATCGACCTTTTTCTGTATTTTGCCATTGTTCGACCTCATCAGGCTGAGACCCCTGGCACCAGCTGGTCGCCCCTGCTGATTAATGCCGGCTATGGCTTTACGCAAGCCCCCGCTCTGCGAATCTTACCCCACGATACTCATGGGTTGGCACCCTATGACAGGACTCCAAACTCAACCCCCTTTTGAGGTGTTCGGACTTTGCTCGATACCTAGGTATTCTCAAGCGATCTGGTCCGACTGTCTAGAGAAGCGCCATTTGCTCAAAGATTCTATATAAACTCAAGACGGAAGCTCGGTGCTGAAGCATAGGACACCCTTCATTCCGAGCTCGTCACAGTCTTCTGACATCGGCCAGAGCATACGCACAGCCACGTCATTTCGAAGAAGCCATCAGACCAGTTTCTCCTTTCATCATGTCCTCACCAGCTTGCAAAAAGCTTCTGATCTTTGGAGCAACTGGACTTATTGGGAGTCGCATCACTCGTGAGCTTGTTCGAAACAAGTCCAAATTCGAGCGCATCGCTGTATTCACCTCACCCGGAACCTACGAGTCTAAGGCCAGCGAAATCCAAGGCCTGGAAAAGGAAGGGGTGGATATCATAGTAGGCGATGTGACCAAATCAGAGGACGTGGTCAAGGCATACCAAGGTAAGATTCACGATAGATTTGGTTTTCATGCCTGATCTAACATGGTGGTGTGCGATAGACATCGACACTGTCATCTCTGCAGTTGGCAGAAATGTGATTGAACATCAGGTTGAGCTGGCTCGTCTCGCCAACGAGAGTCCTTCGGTTCACAGGTTCTTTCCGTCCGAGTATGGGACTGATGTCGAGTACGGACCAGCTTCAGCTCACGAAAAACCACACCAAAAGAAGTTGCAGGTGAGGGCGGCGTTGCAGGCATGTGACAGCCTAGACTATACCTATGTGGTTGTTGGCCCCTACGCGGATGGAGAGCCAGGTCTCTACTTCGGCGCCAATCCCGTTGTCAAGGAAGCCGGAACATTCGACGTTAAGAATAAAGAAGCTGTGTTGCTCGGGGATGGGAATATAAAGATCAGCTTTACTACCATGAAAGAGTAAGCATGCTTTCCCCAATTGCCAAGGCGTTTGAGTGACAATTGACAATGTTTCTAGTGTCGGCAAGCTTGTCGCTCTCGCTGCCCTCCATCCGGAGGCAAGTCGGAACAAGGCCCTTCGAGTCAACTCCTTTACAGCCACCGATTCGGAGATACTCAAGGAGTTTGAGAAGCAGACAGGCGGACAGCCCTGGAAGGTGTCCTACACCAGCCTCGACACTTTGAAGAAACTTGAACAGGAAGCGTGGGACGCTGGAAAGCCATATGCTACTATTTTCACTCTGAAGAGGATCTGGGCCGAAGGCGGCACTCTGTACGATAAGCGAGACAATCATTTGATCGAGGCGGAGAACGTCATGGAGACGTTGGCAGATGCTGTTGCCGAGGCCATTAGAGTTCAAACGAGTTGAGGCATGTACACAGGAGGTGACATGCATGTAATGAGTTCGGATACATGGAAATCAATTTCTTCCAGTGAAGTCCTAGTACCTCGTACAACATCTGAATCGCCATAGACTGGATCCGGCGGATTTGTTCTTCTAACTCCACCGAGCAAATATTGGCAGGGACTTTTGCAGTTCTATTAGGCTGCCCTCAAGTTCGGGTATCTCTGTGCCCACTGCCCAGATGGCCATGCACATCATCGCCGCATTGGCACGGCACCATTTCCTGCCCCACTCCAATATTGTCTGAGGTGCAGATGTGCTGCGGGTAACATCATGATCGGCACGGGCGGGGATCTAATGGTCGTATTTTACCTATCAATAGTGGCTTTACCGTGTAACACCAAAGAGGAGCTTGAGCACGGAGAAAGGCCAGTCTAGTTGCAGGTTACAGGCGTAGTTTCATGCATCTTCATGCATTTGGAGATATTGTGCTGTTGGCAACAGGTTCAGGGTCTTTCTTACAAAATGCGATAAGTCTGCAGCAGTGTCCCGACGGCCTTTGTCGCGGCCCCAATCGAGGTACAATTCGAAGGCAGTCCAACCTGACTTTTTCATGTCAAATTGCATTGGATTTGCACCCCTAACTCGTTCATCTGATATGATATGGGTCAAAAGGCATCGAAGCCTGACCCCAATGTGAGGCTTCAGGTGATTGGCTGCGGCATGTAAGTCTTTTCGAACACCTATCTCCTAGGCGCGCCAGGGGACTTCCTGGACCTTGTCTTTCCCCTCATAGAGCCTTTCAATACTTACTACAGAGCAGGTCCCGCACTGGCACTGCGTCCTTTAGCCAGGCATTGGAGATTCTCCTGGGTGGACCGGTATATCACGGGGGTAGCCAACTGGTGGGCGCGGGAGAAGACCACATACGCGCCTGGATTCATGTGTGCAAGCACACCCCCATCGAAGACGAGTCGGACAAAAATGCAGTTCTCCAGGGACTCACGGCCTTGTTGTCGGGTTACACGGCAGTGACAGATATGCCACCGATCATCTTCACCGAAGAATTGGTAGAGTTGTTTCCGGAGGCCAAGGTTATCTGCACGACACGGGACCCAGAGAGCTGGTGGAGGAGCATGGAACGAGTCGCATCAAAGACGGACACTGAGGCAGAACGGAATGAGAGAGTCCTGGCTTTCCTCCTTGCGCTGTTGCCGACCATGAGATATTGGAAGGCGTTTTCGGACGCGATGAGATACGGCCGGTTCGGAGAGCTGTTCTATCGGTCTGGCCACAATCACCCGCATCCGGGACAATACGAGGAGCATATGGAGTACGTGAAAAGGGTTGTCCCTCCGGAGCGCCTGTGGTTTTACGACATCAAGGAGGGATGGGGACCATTGTGCAAGATCCTCGACTGCGACGTGCCGAACGTGCCATTTCCACGTGTCAACGATGCGGAGGCAACGGACAGAATCATCAAGACTCAGATCCAGCGAGGCATAATGGCGTGGACTGGTGCCGGCGCGGCTGTTGTGGTGGTGGGCATGAGCCTGTGGCGAGCATGGGTGGCGCGGTAGGGGTGTGTTCTGATCTTCTGTCCACAGCTTTAGTCTGAAAGGTCATCGGAGCTGATGATTGAAAATCACCTGTTTGTTCTCCTCACGTCTGAACACGGTTCATATCTGTAATAAGAAGAAAAGCAGAAATCCCACGAGTCTGTTGTCAGAGTGGTAGATCTTGATTCCCGACCTCGTATGCGGAACGCGATCCCTGTTCCCCGTTCGCGGAACCGCCAAACCTTGTAGATCCTGGAACTCGATTCTCCAGTCTTCATTGTCTTGCAGAAGGGGGACTCGAACGTGGACTCTGCTCACTGCACTGCATATCTAGAGCAGGCAGATAACAGCGCACCCAGTTCCTTGAGTACCTAGGTAACCAGCTTCACAGGCTCCCCAGCGAAAATGCCTCCCTCCACGCCGAAGCCCGAAGATGATTCCCATCAACAACTCCTCGATCAGATGGACATCTACTACACGCCCAAGCCCTTCCGCAACTCCCACTGGAAGCCCAGCACGCGGCGGAACAAGAACACCAAACAAATCATCTCCGAGACGCAACGAAAGGAGGCTTCAGTGCTCGCAACTCAGAACAACTCGGGCGCATCAACCCCCCTCCCGGCCACGGGCGCGAATTCAGATGGCGCATCCACGCCTGCCTACCCCCCTTCTTCCGCCGCGGCGGTCTCGAAACCTGTGAACATGGCCCAGGCGACGCAGAGTTTGAGCACGCTGGTTCTGGAAAGGAATCTGCAGAGGGAGAGAGCGTCAAACAACACTGCACTTCTCGGACCTAGTGGGATGGGTGGCCCAGCTGTAACATACACCAACATCGAGAGCGCTCCCAGTCTACATCCTGCGAACCACAAGCACTACTGTGACATTACCGGCCTGCCGGCCAGATATACAGATCCCAAGACAAAGCTGAGATACTACGACCAGGAGATCTTTGCGGTGGTGAGGAGTTTGCCACAGGGCGCACCAGATCAATATCTTGCGGCTAGAGGAGCAAACGTTGTTCTCAAGTGATGTTTGTTCACAGCGAAGACGAAGGAAACTGCATTTCGCCAATATATCAAGAGGGCATCAATCTCTATGAAGAGACGGAACTACAAGTCACATCTTCTGTCAGGCCATCCAAGTCAAGCCCATCCTACCCGCCGCATACCTCTCGATACACGGTTCAAGGATGCGCTCCGGCTTAATTGCGGACTGTGTATGATGGTCATTCTTCGCCATATTGACACGATACCGAAACCTCATCGACGAAGAAGGATCAGTTACAGCAATATTGTGAGAGCTGTGGCCATGGCGAGATGTGATGGGAGGTGGGAGCCATGCGTTCAGCTGAGAGCTTCTGCTTCTTGTGCCCTGCTGCCGACTCGCGTCGGAGGGCGCGCATTGGGACCCCAGACCTTTCGGCTATGCTGGGACTCAGACATCAGAGAAAGCGTTTGGTGAGATACAAAAAGATTCCAAGAGGGGCGGTAGAGTGAAGGATGGCTCGGTAGAAGAAACGAGGTAGCAGCGATGAGATGACACTGCAACTATACAGACATCAGACACTATCAGACACCTCATTGAGACATTCATAGGCCCAGATAAATGAATGACTGATGTCGCGTCGTCGACGACGAGACTTTGAGGATCCTTCCGTGGGATAAGAAAATGGCAGAAAATCTCGAGCACCGTATAGACTTAGTTGTCATCTCCAACTCTCTCCACTTTGATCCTGGCCGACCCGCCAACGGCGACCCAGATTGCGGAGGTCGTGATATTTCGAGCCTCTTGCCGCATTGACTATTTGTTGTCGACGCAGTCGGTCTCTATTTGTTTTGTGGATAATTCTTGCCAATACCGCAACACTGGAGATGTTTCAGGTATGTCCGCCAAATGTATGAAATAGAATCCGTCAGTCTGATTACACCTGCAGCGCCTCAAGGGCGTCATAGACAGCCACATTGCAGAAGAGCAAGCGCGACAACGTCAGGCTGCTAACAGCGCCCAAGCGGCACGCCCTCCACAGAAACGGCGCCCACAGGCTCAGAATGGTAGCCGCCAAAGAGCTGGCTCCAGGCTGAGAGAACAGCAATCCAATGCCTCGACCGACGAAGGGCCAGACCCCTCTGAGTTCGAACCGGAGTTCGCGATCGGAGACGATGACAGCGCAGTCCCAAGCAGGGCGGCCACCCCGAAGCCTGAAGGGACGGGCAAAGAGAAGGAGCAAGCCAAGGAGAAAGGCACATCAGCGTCTGAAGATGGCTTGGACACACAAAGTCTCGCGGAGTCCGCTGACGGCAGAGTGTCAGATGTCAATGGAACCGCCACTGCCCCCTTGCGTCCTCAAGATCTCCCTACTGAGGTCCGTGTGAAGCTGCGAAGACTCGATCGGATGGAATCAAAGTATGCAGAGTTGTTGAAAGCCTACAGAACGGCCCATGCACGGATACAAACTGTCGAGTCTTTCGAAGCCTCACTGCGCGAGAACACTCCGCTGACGAGCATCAATGACCCGGGTGCTTTGGTCGAGTATCTGAATCAGATGAACCTGAAAAGTGACATGGTTGTGGACGAGTTGAAACGAGTAACATCTGACAGGGACGACTACAAGAAGAAATTCCAGGCCGCCGAGGAAGAATCTAAGGGACTGCGAGAAGAAATGACTAGCATGAAGAGCAAGCTCGAGACATTATCTCAACAGAAGGCTTCTGAGGGCGAGAAGAACTTTTCGATCGGCAGTCCGCATATTACGGCAGATGGCGACAATGCTTCCCTGAAGGAAGCGGCGGAATCAGAACAAACTGCCAAATCTCCTGCGAGTACCGCCTCCCGGATTGCGAGCTTCTCATTATTCTCCCCACGGCAGAAAGCAATGTCCCCGCCGAAGGAAACCTCAGAAGAATTCTTCTCATTCGAGTCCGAACAATCCAAAATGGAAACTGAGTTACATGAAAGTCAAGCAGAGGTGGAAGACTTGAAGAAGCAACTCTCCAGTCTACAAGGAGATCTCAAGGTTGCTCGCGAATCGACCGAAGGCATGGTGGAAAGTCTAGAGACGGCGACTCGGGAGCTCCACAATCTCCGTGAAGCAAAAGACAAGTTTGACGAGACTAAGAATGAGTTGCAGAACCGTGTTAGCGAGTTAGAGGCCAGGGCTGCCTCGAATACTACGCGGACGGATGAGCTTCAGAAGGAGATTGACGAGCTACAAGCGCGGAAGCTTGAGGCGGTTGCGCAAGTCCAATCGCTAGAAAGCCAGATTAAAGAGCTTGAAGCGACAAATACCGAACTTGAAGGGCGGATCGTCTCCAGAACCAAGGATGCGGAGCTGCTCAATGAAAAGCTGTCACAGAAAGACTCTATTGTGAAGGATCTCGAAGATACTTTGGCAATGTACAAATCTGCAGAGAGGCAGGAAGCAGCAAGGAGCCCAGATGAGGGATCGAGCGCAAAGAAGCTTGCGACGATGCAAGGGATCATGGATTCCTTACGAAATCAGCTGGACAAAGCCGAAACGACAGTTGCCGAATTGAAAGCCGAGATTCAGTCTACCAGGGAAGAGTATTTACACCGACCTTCTACCAAAGTCTTCGGCTTCCTTGACGAGGGGATAAAAACCAGACTTGACACCTTACAGACGCGCGAAGATGTTGTGCAGTATCTGTCGGAAAACTTTGGCCTGCAAAGGGCTTCTTCAACCAAGGCTGTCACAGAGACAGCGACGGCTTCTCCGGCGCCATCAGAAGCGGGTACAAGTGCTTCGAAAAAGAAGAACAAGAAAAAGAAGAAGGGCAAAGGCCAGCCGCAGGCCGCTACAGATGATGCATCAGAAACTGTAACACCAGTCAAAGTGTCTGAAAATTTGGCCGAAGTGGATGATATCGATGCTAGCGTAGATGACAAACTACCTGCGGCTGATGTTTCCAAGCTGGAACAAGAGATCTCGGAGCTCAAGGCAGAGCTAACATCCAAAGAAGATGCCATCAAGCGCCTTTCCAAACAATTAAAAGACCAAGAAGAGTTGCAAGAAGAGATCGAGACCTTGCGAGACGACCTCTTACATCAAGGTGAAGAACACGTTGAAGCTCGTGATGCATTGAAGGATGCCCAAGTGCAGAAAAATAACCTTCAAGATGCCGTGGATAAACTTGAAAAGGAGCTGCTGGAAGCTCGAGCAGCCATCGCAGGTGGCGCGGATAGGGAGAAGGCACACAAGGAGATAGTTCAGCAATACGACGAACTCAAAGTCCGATGTTCCAAACTGGAGAACGATCTTTCTGCTTCTGAGCAACTCGCAGCGGGCCGATTCAAGGACATCACTGATCTCAAGGAACTGCTCGCCAAATCACAACCTGAGCTGAGAAACCTCCGCAATGAGGTCGCAGAGCTCAAAACCGCAAAGGAAGATCTCAAGAACAAGACCGGCGAGTTTAACAGGCTCGAAGCACGACACGAAGATATCAAAGCTGAGCTTAAGGGGCTGAGCAAGAGACTCGGCGATAAAGACAATGAAATCAAAGAACTACAACAGAAGATTGAGCAGGAGATCAGTGCTAGGACCCGGATGGAAAAGGATCTTGACAGAGCAAACTCTGATCTCCAAATGGCGGAGAGCCGATATGAAAAGGCTACAGCCCGGTCAGACCAACTCAGCAAAGACCTTGAGAAAGCAAAAGAAGAGTCGACGACACTCAAAACCAAGCTATCCGACCTTGAGGAGCAAGTATCGGTTCAGGCGCGTCAAATTTCCGAGTTGAAAGACGAAATATCCCTCAAAACAGCCTTGCACACCTCCGCACAAGCCCTAGTCCAATCTCTCCGTGACCAAACCCATGAACTCAATATGCAAAGCCGCGAAGCCACTACACGCGCCGAGAACCTCGAAGAGGAGCTCAATGAAACACAGAGAATGCTCTCAGAACGTACGCGCGAGGGGCAAACCATGCGCATGCTGCTGGATCAATCCTCGGCAGGTACGGAATCCCGGATCCGAGAAATGAAGGAACGCATGGACGCGGCTATTGAAGAGAGAGATAGGGTGGAGGATGAGGCGAGCGTCAGCCAGCGACGCATGATGCGCGAGGTCGAAGAGGCGAGGAGCAAGGCTCGTGATGCACAACGATCGCTCAAGGTTTTGGAGGATGAAAAGGAAGAGCTAGAGAGCAGGCTAAAGGAGTGGAAGAGGAGGAGAGAAGAGCTGGAGCAAAGTGCAACAAGGGCGGCGCGGGAGGTCGAAGAGGTGAAAGCTGCCATGACAGGGTTGAGAGAGGCATTGGATGACAGCGAGCGGCAGGTCAGGGACCTTGATGCGCAGAAGGCCGAGCTGCGGAGGATAGGTGACGACGCCAAAGAGAGGGTCGAGAAATTGACAAAAGCGAACAAAAACCTGACGGAGGAACTGAAGGCGGCTCAAGCCAATTCGAGAATACCCGGCAGACCACCTAACCTAGGTCGAGTGGACTCCAATGCGCCGAGCTCCAGGACGTCTATCGACTCTGCCAACAATGCGAGGTCTCCGGCGCCGAAAGAACGAGCTGAACGAGGAGTTCTCTCCACGACGACCAGCCGCAGCGAGACGCCCAATACAATGGCGGCAGGAGCAGGAGCAGGAGCACCAGCAGCCGGTCTGAGTCAGGGAACTGTCGACTATGTGTACTTGAAGAATGTGCTGCTGCAGTTTCTGGAGCAAAAGGACAAAGGGCACCAGAGGCAGTTGATCCCCGTTCTGGGCATGTTGTTGCATTTTGACCGGTATGTTTTTATCCCACCATCACCTCGGTCCTATTGCTCTGCGGTGGAGATTGTTGAATGCTGACTGAGCGTTTGAAAAACAGGAAGGACGAACAGAAATGGATCGCGGCAATTTCGACGCGGTAACTGGCTGACGACTTGATCTCTCGGATCTAAGTATAAGAGCACAGGCGTTGAGGGATATGAAGGATATGTATGTAACAACTTAAAACAATCTGGAATTCTATTGATAGCGGCTTGAAAGAAACGAGTTTAGCATGTCGTTGGATACAAGTCATGCGGAAGACAATGGGACATTCTCAGCAAGCGCAAGCGGCTTTTTGGAAACCGAATACCTTGGTCTTTACCGATATGTATGGACCGGGCGCTAGAGTCAGAGATATAGATTTATCGACACTTGGGTGAGGCATTGGAAACGAAACGCTCCGCTAAATCTTGATATCGATGCCGGTGGATTCATTTTCACTACCTTGTCCCAAAGCTTTGGTTATGGAATCAATCTTCGTCCTTCCCCTTCTCCTTCCCTCACACCCTCTCTATTTGTTCCACAACGACACATCTTCCGCTCGATCGCAAATCTCGTGAGTCTCTCACATTGTCCCCCATCAGATATCTATCTCATCAAGGAAGGGATATGAGGGGATGTCCAAGAACGACCACGGTGGGTGGGCATGTAAACAAACAACGCACGCCTTACCTAGGTACACTTACCTACCTGACTCACATCCAAAGCCACCTGGTCGGTGACATTTACATCGAGGCTCACGGTTCACTGCTCACACGGTCTCAACACGCATGTTCCTCGACGCAAGTGATAGCCCTCGTCGTGGAGTTTGTTGCATCCGCCGCGTCGGGTCCAGGAGCGCGAGTATGTCTCCGCCTTGACGCTTGAGACTGTGGAATCGACTTCGGACGGAACAGGGATGGCTGGCGTAGTAGCGGGAGAAAGAGGAGGAGGGCACGCATCACCATCGTGCAGTCTTAGACATTCGCCCCGTCGGGTCCAGCGGCGCGAGTACGCAGCGTGGAATACCTCGGGAGCGATGCCGTTTTCCTGATGCACCGCATTGTAGTCGGGGGGTTGTTTGGTCGTTGTCGGCCCCGTTGTCCAGGCTCTCTTGGTCCGCTTGCTGCCGCCCAGCTGCGTCTGGAGAACGTTGGCGGGGACTTGGTGTAGGTTCTGGGCTCTGACAGTGCCCCAAGGTGTCTTTGCGATGCCCCGGCTGGCACTGGCATGTCTGAGGGAGGAGTCGTGGGCAGAGTAGTAGTCTTCTGGATTCTCGCGGGCGAGGGAGCGAGAGTCGGATCCTTGAAGGTGGTCTTTACCTCCTCCTCCTCCTCCTTCACCTCCATCCTTGCCTTCACCATCGTCGGCATCCGCCCCGTCCTCACCAGCAGCCGCCGCCGCCGCAGCAGCGCGGTTAATGCCATCCAGATTTCGTCCAGACCACTGAGTGTCCCAGAAAGTCAGCAGGGCCCAGAGTTTGATGAGCGAGTGGAAGTACGCAAACACGTAGTAGGCCGGGAGGTAGAGCAGATCCGCCGGGTGGCGGAGGAAGTAGGGCGCCAGCTTGGGCAGCTTTGAGAGTAAGATCCAGGCGACCAGCGTCTTCAGCGTCGTTGGGGTGTAGAGATATGGTGCCTGGATTAGTGTCCAGACCAGCGCGGCGTCGTAGAAGAGCGCAAAGTTGACCATCAGGCTGAGCTGCAGCGAGTAGACGGCCCAAGGCTGCGCGCCGTAGACGGAGCGGTCCGTGACCAGTGAGCAACAGTTGCTGCGGAAGGTGGTGCGCGCCCAGCGCAGGCACTGCGAGAGGAATTTCGGGTACTCGCCGACGTCGCACAGGATCAGGGCCTCGGGCGTGTTTTGGAACTTGATCTTCCACCCTTGTCGGACCAGGTGCCGGGTCAGGAAGTTGTCGTCGTCGGCGTTCAAGGGGCCGCAGAGACCAAAGAGGAATCTCTCGTCCAGGTAGCCGGCCAGCAAGGCGAGATCTTGGAGGATGTGTGTCCGGTAGAGACAGGTCCGGCCGCTGATGACGGCGACGCCGCCGTCGACCGCGTTGGAGGCTGTGTGCTCAAAGTTGTGTCGCTCCAGGTACAGCGCGCCCATGACGTTCCAGAACCCAGCCCACAAGCCCTTATGTGGGTGGCGGATCACGCGTTTGGTGGTGCCCACGCCGCCGACCCGGTCATCCTCCTCGAATGGGGCGACTGCAGCACGCAGGATGGTTGCCGAAGGCCAGATCACATGGTCGTCGCAAAGAACCGTGATGGCAGTGCTGACTGCTGGTAGGGCGACGGCGATTTGATGACGCTTGTTTGCCTGGACGCTGGATGAGACTCGGAAGCACACGCTGGGGAAGCCAGTGACATAGGGCAATATTGTCGACCATACCTGCTTCTCCTGCTCCTTGCCCACGACCACGATGTGGATGACCGCAGGAAATGCCCTCACGACCGACTCGACGCATCGGGAAAACGCCGGGTCCTCCGGATCGCAAGTTGGGATGACGACTGTGCAGTCTCTTTCTGTCAGCGACGGAGACCGTGGGATGGGAGATGGGCGGTAGAGGAAATAACTCACCAAGTGGACGGCAAACCTCAGGTACCGAAACACGAACAGGAACAGAAAGAAGCAATTCTTCTTATCCAGCAGAATGGTCCACAGGATCGTCCAATATAATCGAGTAGCCATGATGTATTCCGGTTCGAGAATTGACTGAGTTGAAAATTTCACGTAACCAGCACGAGTTGGGAGGGCGATGAGTATGTTCGTTGGAAAGAAGAACAGGGCTGAGGTGAAGAACGTGCACTTATACCAACTGTCGAGGAAGGCAGTCGACGTTGAAGGCAGAGAAACCAACACTGAGCGCAGAAACGGCATGGAAGCACATTCATTATTTCTGCTGCTGTTCGGAGGGAAGCAGTGGGCCAATTGGCAATGTCTTACTTGCAAATAAAGACTCAATAAAGGACAATAGCTCCGACGCATGGCAGGACGAGGCGGTTCTTTGATGTGTTTCATTTCCAAGAAAGGGAACAAAGAAATGGGTTTCGCTTATCCTAGGTTGGGCGAGCCCGGAAGGGCGCCAGCCAGGGACATGCAATTCAAGGCCACATCTTGAAGGAAAGTGCCGTTAGAAATGATTGAACAGACCGTCTCTGCCGCATGGAGAGTGGTGACAGAAACGGATCGGACATCTTCAATGTGAGGATGGGGAGATCAAAATATGAGCATTCTGCCAAAAGCCAAGTGGGTGCTGCATGTATAAAATGCGTGCTGTTGCCCTTTCACCTGGGTCCTATACCTTAAGATATGTGAGCCAAACCATTCGGCAATCCTGTTTCCGCGACGCCGCGCTATGCAACAAAAGTTGTTTCTTGACTGCGAGGTGGTCGAGTCCGTTGGATCTTCATTCGAAGGTCATGCTGATCTCGCCACGGTCTCGCCCAAACTCATCGTCATCGTCGGCCCAGGCGTTGCGTTCCAAATCGAGCTTCGGCACCGGCGGAACAACTGCATCATCGTATGCTGACGAAGGTCGACCCCAGCTCGGGACAGAGGGGTCTGTTGCATGTGGCTTCAGTTCCGGTCGGATGGGATCCGTGGATGGATTGTAACTTTCCGGTCTGGGAGATGCAGAAGGCGTAGCGCGGAGCGCTGGCAGTGTGCTTGGTAGTTCCCTTGGCTCTGAATAGGCGTAGGACAACCGCCTGTTCGGGTCCGGAGATCGTTGAGGAGAGCGTTGGGGAGATCTTTGAGGGCTGATACGGGGGGACCGTTGAGGGCTTGCTATTGAGGCGGGCTTCAAAGATGATGACCTTGCAGGCCGAATCGGCGTAGGCTGCTGTATAGGGGCGAAAGAAACATCAATCTCGTCGGGACGTGGTGGGAGATTCAGCCTTTCAAGTTCCTCGGGCTTCATCCCAGGCGGAAGGCGTAAATATTCGACGTGCTTCTCCCCGTCCTTGTTGACCGACATTATTTGCATGGGAGGCAGGGTGCTGTCCAACTCTCTGACTTCGATCATTTCGCCCGCCAATTCTCTTCGAATAGCATCAACGTCAAACAGAACGTTGGCATCGCCGTTGATACCGGGCTCTGGAGTGTTACTGGCGTTCCGCTTGTGGCCGGCATCGTTTGCATTATATCTCTCCCATCCCTTTTTCTCAGCCAGTTTACCTCGTTTGAAAATGCCGAAACGTTTCTTGTCGGGTTTCTCTTCAGCTTTCCTTCTGGCCTCGTCAATTTCGAGTATAAGTTCTCGCTGTCGTTCCGCGTGATTTTCAGGATCCGGATCTTCGATCTCGGTGAACTCGTCGCTTTCGACTTCCCACCCAACTTCTCGCAATAGCCGTGGCATAGCAGCACGATAAGACATGTGGCCCTTAACCCATGTGCTGACATTCACATTTTCCACGCCCGGAATGCCTTCGACCGGCGCAAGCCCAGCAACTCGCATGATGCCACCGGACGTCATCCGAAAAAGATAGCCGAGAATCCAGTCGTTGGAGGCATATCCATTCAAGAATCTCCCTGAAACCACGGAACGAGCTCGTAGGTAGTCATCCTTGCTGACAACCACGGGTGAGCCGAACATGTAAACATTCTGGACCAAGCCGTATGCTCCACGGTTTGACAGCTCCTTTAGACACGAAAAGATGACCCTCGCACCGAGGGAAAAGCCCAGCAGAGTGATCGGTCGTTGCCCAAGATGCCTGTCAATCAACGAGTCGGCCAAGATAAGACCGGCTGCGGTAGCTCGGTCCAGTGACACGCTCCATGGATTGTCAATGAGATAAGCCAATTTGGTAAGCACAACCGGCAGCTGTATTGATGCCATTAGAGTGATTAATATCGTGCTTCCAAGGACTTGCTGAACGGTTTGGGTCAAAGCTTCAGTGGCGAGGATATTGATAGTGTCACCCATCGACTGAAGCATTTCCGGTTCCCAAAGCAAGGAGTAGATGTCGCCCATGATAGGATCAACGGTGCTATAAGGCAAGCGGACATCGTCCACCTTGCCTGTCATCCAGCCCGAGATCGTCAAGATAAGGTTCAGCCTTTTATTATTGTGCAGTGGTCGGTATTCAAACGTCTTCACGCTGCCCGTCCGTCGGTCTGCAGCTCGAACAGCAATCGTCCCACCGGCTGCTGTGGCAGCAGAAGTGATCAGAGCCGCTCCACCCACCCCTCCTAGAAATCCTGCGGTACCGGTGACACCAATTGTTGTGAAACCAGCTGCCAGACCGGCGCCAATGAGGGGTGCAAGGAGACCGGCTGACAGACCGATGACAAGACCGCCGCCAACGGTCGCAAGACCCATGACCATGTATTTCTTTCTTAGACCGCGTTTACGTCGTTTCTCCATGTGTTCAGATTCGTCCCAGTTCTCCTTGGCTTCTTCTTCTTGCATTTCTAGAGCATCAATAACCCTCTTTTCAAATCGACATATCTGAGTCCAGCTAATATCCATTGTCGAACCGACCCGTTCAAGTAGTCGTCTCGATCGAGCGTCATACTGGCCATCCGAGATCAGAACCAGGAACAAGTCACAGAGGACAGTCCACCGCAAGTCGAGCTCAATCTCCTTGGTGTGAGGCATGTCTTCGGGCCCGTGGACTTCAGGAACTTCTTCGCCCTCCTTGACCTCTTTCAAAGGGATATGATCCTCTTTTGAGGAGGATGCAGAAGCTTTTGAATCTCGGTTTCGTGAGAGGTCTGGCCTCGAAGCCTCGGTCGCAGTGTCATCCGCCAGAGGATTCTTTACTTTCGCATTCAGCATGAGAGGAGCAACGAGGTCAGAGGGCTGGACCCCGTGCTCAGCAAGTTGTTCAATCATTATCTGTTCGGCCTGGTTGATGTCCATGTGAGTATATAGCCGAACCATCATCTTCTGTCCCCACATATCCATGCTCTCCAGAGCCCTCATCAATTCTTTCCGGAAGGCCTTTGTTTTCTCCATGTCGCCCAATGCTGAAAACATTTTGTGGATTGTCAAACGGACCACACCGACGTAGGCTATCCGCTGGCCCTCTGTAAGGAGATCTTTGGTCGCCTGCAGCTGACTGAGAGGGTCCCGCAGCTCATCATCCTGATCATCCTTGGTGTCCACGTCTTCCGTCTTCTGGCCATTCCGGAATAGATAGTTTGTGTCTTCGTCGAGACTTGTAGCCGATTGTGCATCTTCGTCGAGCTGCACCCTTGTATACCCCTTTCCTGCGCCTCCAATGCCAGCGTAGGGATTGGCATCGGCTTCGCTTGCCCTGTGACCTTTCGCCACCAGATGTCCATCATCATCGAAGATATCAAACTCGTCAATCGCCGGCATCGGCTGCCATTCTTCCTCCTCGTCTTCGTCATCCGATCGGTTCGCAGTGGCAATCTGTCTTTGGTGAGACCATTCGGAGGCTGTGACGGGATTGGCTCGTGGATTACGCTTTGGGATAACAGTGCCAGATATTCGAGATGCCGTCGGGGATATTATTTCATCGTCTGTTTGTTCATCCTGCCGAGCCTCCGACTTCAATGCCGTGTCTAAAGGTGGAAGATTATCTGCGGCCTCGGTCTCCGGACTTGGTCCTTGGCCAGGGACTTGATCCTTTTTGTTTTCCTTCATTTCTGTGCCTCTTGGATCTCCATCTGATGTTGTAGGCGCGACATCTGGAGACGATTGTCCGTTGGTTTTGTCCACTAATTCTGTATGGTCCTTCGCCGTCTGCTGTGGCTCGCACGGAGCCTGTTTGGAGTCCCCCTCACTGGCGCCGTCTTTGTCCGTAGACGCCTCCGCATCATGGAAAGTGTCGTGGTCATCCTCACTGTCGCCGTCCAACTCTGTGGGTCGGTTTGCTCTCACCGGCTTTTTGGGCAGGCCAAAGTCATCGAGCTCGGGTTCGGCAGAAGGAGTCGACGTCTGTTTCGAGGACTGTTCCGGAGACGAATTTTCAAGGATATTTTCCTCCTTGTTATCTTCCCCGCTGGTCATAATGCCACATTTGCGGGACGGTAAGCCTGAGACATGTGTCTCGAAGCCACCTATGGGAGAGAGACTCGATTTGGACTGCTTTCGGTGTGGGGGGACAAAGGACGCGTAAAGTCCGACGAGGACAATTCACGTTGGACGAGAATTTCTGATACGTATATGCAAAGGGTTGTCAATGTGCCAAAAGTTCCAGCAGTCAAAAGCAGATGCAGGCACATCACTTTGTACAAAGTACGGAGTACCTAAACGTCAAGTCTGCTGCGGAGACCGCAGTGGACCCCGGCCTCACCACTCTACAAGGTACTATGGGTCACGTGAGTAAGGCGAGGTACACCCTCTGTCCATCACCCATGTTTACGATGTCCGCGATGATGTACCCCTTCCAAGACTACAGCAAATCGACAGAGCGGGCAGATATACCAAGATGATGCCAATGATCTCAACCCACAAAAGCACATAGAAGCCGGCTGAGTTCCGCCATCCAGAAAGGATACCACATCAAACATGTTCCCTCACATTTTTATTTCTCGCCAGCTGTCTCGGCCCAAAGCAATGGTCCCTCCAGAAAGATGTCATGTGGGGGAATAGTTGAGTTCAATGAGATGCCAACTGCCTGACAGAGAGCAAAAAGGAAGCCCAGTATAGTCCCAGAATATCCTTGCCACTCGCCGTCCGATATCAGAACGGGTTGGAGTTGAAGCACGGTAGCCATCATCCACCTTGTGAGCATCCTCGGCGGCCATGCCAATGAATGAACAACTCTCCGGAGGCGTTGATTGGGTAAAGGATCTTGATGATGTGCGTTGCCATTGAGCAGAGTGAGCCGGGAAATGGTGTAAAGAGTTGAGAGAAATGTCCTCCTGTGTATTTTGAATACGTGTAATACCACAGAGCAACCTTTTTTTCCAGTCCGAATCAAACCGAACGCCGTTGCAGGCCCCTTCTGCAATGCCTAGAATGCGAATAATGGGCCAGTATCCCAATCGACTTATTTCGATTTCGTGAATTGTTCCAATGCCGAGTAGTCGCCCTCGTCGAATTTGGCCCATACAGCTTCGATCCTCGCCCGCCGCTCAAGGGCAGTCTCTCGGTTCTTTCGACTCTTCTTTGTCCGTTCGCCCGACAAACATTTGTTGACCTCCCGCTTTATGTCATTACAGCCACCGATGGCCTTGTAGAGGAAGCCACGGGCGTGGCACTCGTCGAGGGCGTTCATGATCTCTTCGCACCCTGTAGACCGTTAGAATTGCCTCGAAGAGCTCACCGCCTCGGCCACGAAGTGAGACAAAGGCCGATGGAAGAAGATATAGCAAAGGAGACTGCTGTGACAGAGATCGCCACTAGTCCCACGACGGATCATGCGACTCAAGACCAGCTTGATTTGCGACGTACCGATGTTATCCTTTGTGTGTAGATGGGAATGCATTTTGGTAGAGACTCGTCTCCAGTATTGATCATGCGGTTCGAGCCACGCCCACATCTGCCTTGCAAAGACAAGAGCGAGTCGAGTCAAAGTTACAGCTAGATGAGCCAAATGCGAATGGACGCAGTGTTCCGCAACTGAACTCCAAGATCTCGCCAAGCTGCAGACGGCAGCCTTGCGCATCCATCCTCAGCCTTGCAGGAAGAAACTAACTTCACCGCCCAAAAGTTCGCGGATTCTGCCGCTCTTTTTCTGCATGCGGCCCAAAATTATTGCAGAAACACAACCCACCGAGCACAGAGCCAGTACAGGTTGTTGCGCGCATCGACGAACCCAGCTGCACAATGTCGATGACTCTGGCTACCACATGGGTGAGGAGAGGGGTTGCCGCCCAGTTTCCCACCAAATATCAAGTCGACGAAGCAGAACTGAGCCGCATCTCAAAACTAGCCCGCCTACAGCTGGAAGATGCGCAGCAGGATCTTCTAGACGCGCAAAATTCCAAGGAGGCGGATGTATCAGAGGACGACGATTCTGATGCCGGGGTGCCCACAGGAGAAGCCTCGGACACAGTCAAACAGCCTACGGCCGATGCCGATGACCTAAAAGAATACAACCTGGACGACTATGACAAAGACCCGGTGGACGAACAAGGCCAGAAATTCGCCATGTTTGGCAATGTCGGCTCATTAGCTTACCATGCACCACATGAAGAGGATCCCTATATCGTATTGCCCGAAGGAGAAGAAGAGTCCGAAGACGAAAGAGAAGAGCTGCAGATATTGCCTTCGGACAATTTAATACTGGCTGCGAAGGTGGAAGACGAGGTTGCGCAGTTAGAAGTCTTTGTGTACGAAGATGAAGCCGACAACCTCTATGTCCACCACGACATCATGCTGCCTGCTGTTCCTTTGTGTGTTGAATGGATCAATGTCCCCGTCGGTAAAGACGCCGAGTCGAGGTCCGATGGGAACTTTGTGGCAATTGGGACCATGAATCCAGAGATAGAAATTTGGGATTTGGATGTCATCGATAGTATGTATCCTAATGCCATACTAGGTCAAGAGCCACAAGAGCACCCAGAGGAAGCGGCAGAGCAAAACGGAGAAAGCTCAAAAGCAGGCAAGAAGAAATCGAAAAAGAAGAAAAAGAAGGCGAGGGCCAACGATGACTACCATGTCGATGCGGTTCTGGCTTTGGCTGCAAATCGACACCATCGGAATCTACTTGCTTCGGCATCGGCAGACAAGACGGTGAAATTGTGGGATCTGAAGACCGGCAAGTGCGCAAAGTCATATACCATGCACAGCGGCAAAGTGTGCGCTTTGGATTGGCATCCGACCGAGTCAACTATTCTCTTGAGTGGAAGCTACGATCGGACCGTCGTTGCTACGGATATGCGAGCGCCGGACGCAGCGGCTCCGAAATGGGTGGTCGAGGCAGATGTTGAGAAAGTGAGATGGGACATCCATGATCCCAATTTCTTCTTCGTCACCACCGAAGCCGGCACTGTCCATTATTTTGATGCCCAGAGCATTCCCGTCTCTCACGATGAACCGAGCAAGCCTGTATGGACATTACAGGCCCACGATGGGCCGGTCAGCGCCTTCGATATCAGTCCTTCGGTACCGGGCCTTCTGGTAACAGGTTCGGAGGACAAAAGGGTCAAGATATGGAACGTCGAAAACAACAAACCCGCCATGGTCATCTCGAGGAATCTTGAGGTCGGGAGGATATTCTCGGCGCAGTTTGCCCCAGATCCGGAGGTTGCCTTCAGGTTATCAGTGGCGGGGAGCAAGGGCCAGCTGCAAGTATGGGACATCAGCACCAATCCGAGCGTGAGAAAAGTGTTTGCTAGCAGAGTCCAGTTGCCAGAGACGGACGGTAAAGAGAGGCTAGTCGGTGCCAGTCTGAGTGACCACGAGAGTGAAGATGAGGAGGGAGAGGAAGCTGGAGAAGAGGCGCAAGACGGTTGGGAATCCATGGACGAAGATTGAGCAACAGAGTGATCAAGGATCACTGAAGACGTAGTATGATTGTACGAAATCAGATGAACAATATCAAATACAGGAATGGAATGCCCCGGTGAATGATAACACCGTAATGTATATGGCCACCAAACTGTTAAGCATGAGGCTCGGTATCTACAGTAGTAACGTCTAGTCACTACCTAAGGACCTGTGCACCTACCTACCTGGCAGGTACGTAGGTAGGCACCTGGTGGGCGGTGTCTTGGGGTTTATGCGGTTGGGCTACAGGTGCCTCCAGGCGACCGGTGGCGCCTCCACAGGCCATAAACCACAGTCCCTGCCGCCTATTCAAGCCAAGGCTCGCCTCCAAACTCATCCCTAACTTCACCTACAACCCATCACCACCAAGTCGCAAAACCACATTTCTCATCCTCACTCCACCAGACCATCGTCAAACCGCATTTCCTTCGATAAAAGTTGTCGCATCACCCATCCGATCAATATGGCCGGCGGAGACGGTAGTCAGGATTCTAACGCGACACCCGAACCCGTAGAGAAGGGCTTCGCCACGCTCACCCAGTTGCAGTAAGTCCAAAAAAGGGCCAGATCTGAAGATTATATCACATTTTGAATCTGAAAATTGTACTGAAATTCAATTTACAGGATTGGGGTGAAGGCGTTTGTTGAAAAGGTGAGTTTTTTGGTCTCTCTTCAACCGCCCTCAAAATGTCCCACGTGACTTTGATATATTTATGTCGAGAAGAGACAAAACGGGTCACTGACGGCTAGGCAGAACGGAGAACCTAGAAAAGCAGAGATCCTGTCCATCAAACAGAGAAATGGTGCCCTGACTTTCTAGTATGTCTGCTCCGGGTCTTACGCAAGTAGCTATTAGGGCTCAAAACTAACCTTACGGCAGCGTACATTATGTCGAGTTCAACAAGCGTTTGGACGGTAGGCGTTCCTAAGGATAACACTCATAAGAGACCCGCTAACAGGACACAGAATGGGTCACAGCCGAGCGCATCGATCTCTCTCAGGAGGTCGAGTGGCCTGTCCCCGAAAAGCCCGAAAAGAAAAAGACCACCGTGACCACGAAGGGACCACCGTCAAAAGCTGCCACGGCCAAATCCATCACCACTAAAGCCGGTCGCCCAAGGACAGATTCCCGCGCCAGTTCTGCGACACCTGATCTTCTCAGCTCCAAAGCAGGCAATGACCGAAAACGTCCCGTGCCCTCCAAAGCGGGCGGAAAGGAGAACCGCGATGAAGGACTTGCGCCGGACCTTGATGCCTCACTCGTTATCACCAAGGAAGGCACACCATTACCGACGCTCGGGAATGAGGACAGTACGGCAGGCGGCGTCGACGTGGAAATGCCCGATGTGACCAAGACAGAGGAGAAGGTAGCTCCCATCATGGAGCCAGAGGAGGAAATCGAGAAGCTCCGCACTGGTGGCTCCATGGTGCAGAATCACGCTCAATTGCATCTCGTGCGCAACTTGAACAAGATCCAGATGGGCAAGCACATCATCGAACCGTGGTACTTCTCTCCCTATCCCCAAGAATTCAGCGACGTGGACATGGTCTATATCGATGAATTCTGCCTGTCCTACTTTTCCTCCAAGAAAGCATTCGAGAGGCACCGCACAAAATGCGAGCTACGCCATCCGCCGGGTAACGAGATCTACCGCGACGACTTTGTGAGTTTCTTCGAGGTCGATGGTCGACGGCAGCGAACTTGGTGTAGAAACCTGTGTCTTCTGTCAAAATTGTTCCTGGATCACAAGACACTTTACTACGACGTCGACCCCTTCTTGTTTTACTGCATGGTCACCCGGGACGAATATGGCTGTCATCTGGTCGGATATTTCAGCAAGGAGAAGGAGTCGGCAGAAGGGTATAACGTCGCTTGCATTCTTACCCTGCCGCAGTATCAGCGACAGGGACTGGGGAGATTGCTTATTGCTTTCTCATATGAGCTGAGCAAGCGGGAAGGAAAGCTGGGGTCGCCTGAGAAACCTCTTTCTGACCTGGGACTGCTGGGTTACAGGCAGTATTGGAAAGAGGTGCTGATCGAGCTTCTTTCTGATCCTTCACGGCTGCCTCCGCCGGGATCAGCGTCCCACACACCAACTTCGGAACATCTCCATCCACACTCTTCTCTAGGCTTCAACGGTCCATCGTCGCAGTATTCCACGAGCATTGCTGAGATAGCGAGTCAAACAGCCATGACTGAGAAGGACGTTCATGAACAACTCGAAGTCCTGAAGCTCCTGCGTTACCACAAGGGTGCATGGATCATCGTCGTGCGAGATGAGTTGCTCGAGTGGCAGGAGAAGCGGAGGGAGAAAGAGAAGGTTAAAGGGAGCAGAAGGATCGATCCCAGCAGACTCAACTGGAAACCGCCCGTGTTCACCGCTAGTAGCCGGACATGGAATTGGTAGTGGAGTCGATCTTTGGGACTGTATATTAGCGTGGCGCTGGAGGTATTCTGAGGGTTAGGAGACATACAAAATCGATGGAGCCGGCAGCGCTTTGGACTTTCCTGAATCAACGGCACGACCTTGATCTTTTCCGTTGCACGAAGCGCTTAATGTCATCATTTCTCATGGCGCAGCTGAGATCGATCCCTTCTTGAAATTCTTCTGAGGTGTCTGATATAGCTCTCGCTATACCGTGGGGAGCAATGTTCAAGAGGGTATGTTAGTGTATCGGGCAAGATCAGCATCGCCACCTGCAGCGTTATCTTCGGACCCGTTTTCTGTCATCTCGGTGTCGCCATTGTGGCCGTTCTGGCTACGACCAGAAGGCCCTTCATCATCAAGACCCAATGTAAGGTTTTCTGGAAGGTCGATTTTCTTCTCTCGAGCGAGTTGTTCCGCCCACGCCCGAGCTCTTACGAGATATCGAATGTTGGCTTCTCTCCTTTGATCTTGCGACTGCAGGATTGCTTCATTGACGTCCTTGGCAACCTTTTGTCTTAATGAAGGATCAACTAGCTCTGCAAGAGCGCCGAAATCGGTCTGGATCTGTGAAGTCGCGGGGCCAGAGGATCCCGATGCTGCTGCCTGAGTCCAGGATTCTTTAGGAACGATCAGAAGAGCCATAGCCCTTTCGAGGTCCGTTTTAAATTGTGCTTCCAAGGGAGCGTAGGGCGCAAGGTTGTTTTGAGCAAATTCTATCGCTTTGCCCACCAGGCTAGGGTCTGAGGACGTGAAACTCTGGCGGATTAACTCGACAAGTTGAAGCCGGAGAAGGGAGAAGTGCAGCTTTTTATCGGTATCCAGCAACTATTTTCAGTGGGTCAGAATGAAGACACATGCGGCTGTGTGAGAAGGTCGTGGGACTATGTCTATCGAATCATACTGAGGACTGAAGGTGTTTTTGCTCTCATCTCTGCCCGAGGGCTATGAGTGGTGCATGAAAACAAATCTAATCATGAAAAATGGAGGGAGGAGTGTCAGGACAAGACTCACTTCTGGGTTGAGCTCATTTATGAGCTCGATGGCTGCTTGCAGATCTCCGCGATGTATTGATTCCCGAATCTGAACCCTCTCTTGAATACAACTGAAATCGGTCTTGGGCTGAATGTTGGCTTCGGCCGCAAACTTTTCCGCTGCTGATGGGTAGCCTTCAGTAATCAGGTAGTCCATGATTAAGTTGTTGACATCACTGCAAAATGACTGTGGTCAGCCAATATCATTCCAGCGTACCCTGCGCGTGCTTATATCAAAACTCGGCAATTTTTCAGAAAGCAAAATATTTGCAGCCTCTTCAAGTGGTTTCAGAGAGATTCCCATTTTGTCATAAATACATCCTGTAGAGAGAAGGCGTGATCGATTGGAGGGGAACGTACGATTTCGATATCTGGATGTCGGCGACCTGTCGCTCGAAGGGGTGGGCGGTAGTGGCAGCCTTGATCGAAGATTAGCAAGTTGATGGCAGTAGAGGAAAAGTCTTATGGCTCACCATGGTAACGGCTCTTGAGAAAGCTCAGCGAATGATGGTCCGCAGGACAGACTGTCCTCGCTCTCGGCGACTAAATCACAATCATTTCAGGGCAAGGAAGAAACAAATGATGGTAGGCACATTGGCGCTGTTGGTGGATCGCAAGCAAATCGGTGTCTGGAGGTCAGTGAGGCTGGCACGTGACAGTGTATGCCAAGATTTCTCTCGCTGACTGCAGTGCCTTGGTCTCAGACTCCACCTTGTCATCTTCCCGATAGTTGTCTATGTTCGAGTATGAACGAAACCCGATAGTGCTCGAAGCCGACCCGAAGACGATCGCTGCGATGGCGCCTCTAAATCTACAGCCTTGTTGGATACCTAGGTAGGGTTGGGCTAGAGACAATGTATTCGTTTGGAGTCATGGTCAAGCGATCCCAGGTTGCCCGCCGGGTGACCCCCAGCACGGTCTGAAGAAGAAGCAACATTCTGAGCGCCTCTGAGACTGTTCTGATCCATCTATCCGATGGCATGGCTGGGATAACCTTCCGATCAGCCTGGTCGATCACCATCCGTAGCCTCATCAGATCCTCATCCCGGCCCAAGAGCGGAAACCTACATAAAAGGCTGCGTCAAGATCTTCGCTGTTTGTATCGAAGTCTGCGGCAGGGGATCGTGGTACTGGCAAGCTGGGTGTCGATGATTCTGGTCGTCATGCAAGGCGCGAGATATTCTAGCTTTCCACTTATGCAGATTAGCCTCCTTGTCAATCGTCATCTGCAGTCCTGCGGCCAACTTGGGACAGAATACTCTGCATGGAGGCAGACAAGCAAAAGTTCGGAAGTTGCCTCATGCACGAAGGTGGCAGGGAGCGGGAGGCAGCTCCACAGAAAATACACGTGACCAGAGAGAATAATTAGATCACTGGCTCAGGTCAGCCGCAGCTGAGAGACGGCGACGGCGAATACGAGGAATATAAGTCTAGAACACAGCCACCCCAGCCAGCCCACTGAGCAAGGCGTACCTACCTCGTCTGTTTTCACTTCTTCCAAGCCACCACTATCCCCGCTGCCACTCACCCATTCTTCTTCAGTCACCACCTTCGTCGTCTGATCTCGTCGACCTTCTCACAGCCGTCCGGTCCTCCCCCAAGAACAAAACCACCGTAAACATATCGCGAGGCAGGCAGGCAGCATGGTCATTTTAGGAGGTCTCGAGCTGGTGGCAGCTGGGTATATCCTCAAGGAGATGCACAACGATGGTAAAGAGGAAGAAAGAGAGCGTGAGAAACGAAGAAGACGCCGGCGCCATTCTCGTGAAGATCATCACCGACCCCATCACCACGATGACCCGAGTCCGAACCGTCCGTCGCGCCCACCCCAGCAACAACAACTCCGCCCACCCCAGCAGCCTGGCGGTCCGCCGCGACCATACAGCGCACCACCTCCGCAGAATCGACCACCGATGATGCCCATGGCAGCCGCAAGTGTGCCAATGTGGCACCCTCAACAGCAACAAGGACCGCCGCCTCAACAAGGACCCCCACAGAGTCATGGCACATGGCCGCAGGGACCACCATCGCAACAGCAGCGACCTTCTCAGCCTCAATCTCAGTGGCCAGGCAGCCCTCCTCCTCCAAACAATGCAAATAGCAACTTCGTCCCTCCGCCCCTCCAGCGTCCCGCCACGATGTATCCCCCACCAGGGGTGCACATCGACCTGAAGACAGGCAAGATTCAGCATGATATGTATCCGCCGGAGATGCCTCGACCGGGAGAAGCAAGAGAGTACTACGAAGGAGGTCGTAAAGAATACGACCGTATGCGAGAGAACTCGATGCCTACGCAGCAACGGCCGCAACATTACCAGCCCATCAGCGGAGACCACGGTCTTCAGCACAGTTACTCACAGCCTCAGATTAACGTCACACCGGCACATAATCCTACACCTCCACCTCCACAAGGGTATGCAGAACTCGATGCGGAGACACCCGGCAGGTTCCGCCCCTCAAGTAACGAAAAGTCTGGCAGAGGGAAGTCGAGTTCTTTTTCAGCACGGTATAGAGATGATGACGTGGACATGCGAGATCCGCCACCTGCCTACCGCGAGTGACCATAGGCAGGATGTTTTTTGAGATCAAAGATCGATGATGAATTGGAATAATATAGGGGGCAAAGGCTTGACGGAGCGAATCTAACAAAAAAATTATGACCACTTTACGAAATATGAGGGAATCTGCGCTGGAAAGTACAACAGAATTTTGGTAGCTTCACGATAGTCATGAGAACGTGGCTCATTAGCTGGTCTAACGAGCCAAAAAACATGCATAGTTGACCGAGTTGTTGGTTCTCAATCATGGGACTGTGTTAAACATGTCTTAGACCAAGTGAGTGGGAGGACATTTTTATTTTGCACGATTAAACAACAATGGATTCATACCCACTCATGCCACACAGAAATTACACCCATTTCAGAGATCGCCCTAGTGGTCCCAACACCCAATCCATCCGATGGCCCCTTCTCTTTCTCACTTTACAGCGCGAGCACAGCAACAGCACCGGCAATGACCAGACCCGCGGCGCTGTAGCCGACCTGACCCGGTGCGGCACCGCCGGCGAAGGTGGATGCGCTGGCGGCCGGGGCGGAGGCGGCTCCCGAGCTCTGCGCGGCGGCAGTCGTCGTGCCGGAGCCGGCGGCCTCGGTGGTCAGGGTGCTTGCACTGCCGATGACGGTTGTCCCTGGGAGACTGCTGTAGTAGCCGCTGCTGTAGCTGGTCACCACGGAGGTGGCGGTCGCGGAGGCGCCGCTGGCCCAGCTGGTGCCCGTTGCGGTGGTGGCCCGCGTCGAGTTGCCTGACGCGCCCCACGTGTACGAGGAGCCGGTCTGGTACGCCGGAGGGCCTATGATGATGGAGGTGCCGCTGCCGCTGCCGCTGCTGGTGGCGGAGGCGGAGATGGAAACAATCGGAGACGATGAGCCGGAACCAGAGGAGCTGGAACTGGAGCTGGAGCTGGAGCAGCTCTGGTTCTCGAGGACGGAGAATTGGGTCGAATCTGCGTTCAAACAAAAACGAGGTCAGATCACTTTATGTTCGCGTGGGAAATAATTTGACAAGACATTGAATGCGAAGGGCTTGAGGGGTGTTCTTTTTTCTTTTCTTTTCTTACATTGGAACTCTCCGGTGCCGTCGACAATGATCAACATTCCATAGCCGGTGTCAGTGCTTGCAGTGCCAGGGGCCAAGTCGCAAGGGACCTGCCAGTCGAAGGACTTTTGTGCCGCGGGGATCCCTGACGCGATGGCCGTGTCTGAGAGCACGCAGTTGGTGCTGGGTCCGTGGCAGAGCACGAGACTGACCGTGACGCCGTCGGTCGGGTGGTCTTCAGGATCCCAGGTCACGGTGAATTCTTTGCCTTGAGTAACAGCCTGCAATAGATATCCTGTCAGGGGATTTTTTCCAAGCCAGACAACAAGGTTCTTTTTAGAAACCGATCACAAAGACATACGTCTGTCGTATCTGGGGTGAGCAAAGGACCCCAAGTTTGTGCACCTGGCGCGGTGTATGCGTGGGCCAAAGTCGCCAGGCCGGCGGCGAAGAGAGAAGCGGCAAACGAAGGCATGTTGCTTTTTGGTTTCACTCTGGTTTTCTCTCGCAAATTTTGAGGCGGATTCGACAAATGCTGGTAAAATGCCGTAAAGAGAGTGACTGTGGTGAGCACGAAAGTGATTTCGAGTCAAGTAGTGAGCGACGAGGAATTGATCAAAGAAATCCCAAACAACAGGCCAGCTGGAGGTGGTGCGAGAAGAAACTACCTAGGTACCAAATGAGTGTAAGGAAGGAGAGAAACCTTCAGTCTTCAGCGAGGCGGAGCAAAAGCTGAATACTATGTAAAAGAACGGACTCATTAGTACGAGGTACATGGTTGTAGTAGTGGTAGACTAGTACCTCGTAGTTGAGGCGGTTGACTTTGCTCAGCCTCCGCTTCACACCCCGTGTTTCATCGGTTCCGGAAATTGGCTGCGCGACACATACGAGTTTCCCCTGGACGGAGCAATCCAGTGGACGACCATGATGGCATATTGCACCCCATTCTTAGCATCAGTCATCTGCTTCGATAACCGACTTGGCTACCTAGGCGCGAGGGTGACATTCGCCTGGGTGGTGGTGTCGAAGTGTAAGTGCGAGGCTTGCCCGCGAAGGGAGTGCGCAGCCGGTGCTGGAACAGGAGCTGAAACCAGGAGAGAGCAGAACATCAAACTGTCGGCCGCCGAAGAATGTGAGCAGTAGTCCTCACTCCTGCAGCAGCAAGACAAGCACAAGTGTGTTATGGCCATGGGGAAGCTGGTTGATGATGGGATTGGCACATTTTGAGTCCCTGTTCATCTCCTTACAAGATCATGTCGAAAATGTGGAGAAAAGGCGCCCCGGCCGACAATTTGCTCCGAGATTCAGCAGAGTCAGTCCCTTGTAGCAGTTGGGCTTTTGGACGAGGATCCAGTGCGTTTCTCCTTTTGATGCGTAGGTAGCCGTACCGAGGACTTTGTTCCTACACTACGAAATGGTCTCGTGACGAAACAACTTGCTTCTATTCAAAAGGTTGTACTCGGTATTCAGCCCATTGATCGCTCCTGCTTAGCCCTGGGTGGGATCCAGACACTCGGACAGCCAGAAATGTATCCCCAGTAGCCTCATATACACCCTGTAGGGGACTGAATTCATCGTGACGCACATCTGGCTCAAGAGCAAGGCTCCGCACAAGAATATCCAGGTAGATACCTACACAGGCACGATAGGAAGAGCCTCGCAAGGCTGGCGGAACAAGGAGCAGGCTTCTCTGCAGAAGGAATGCCCTCGCTTGGCTCCTCCAAAGCTCCGGCAGATGGCCGGCGATGCCTCCCCTCACCGATCCCTGCCACCCTTACAAACCTCTACAAACTCCCAGCTCGCTGCCGACAAATCGGTTGTCTAACAACGGGCTGCCCATCCCATTGACCAACAAGCCGACATGCCCCGGTCCAGGCGCCCTGGAGTGACAGACCAGGAGGCCTGATCCGATCTTTTTCAGCTTGTTCAGCTTGTTCAATATCGATGGAGATTCTCGAGCACCCAACCGAGCCTCTACAATAACAGTGCCCGGGCTCGGTGCGTGGCCGCAGCCATGTCCTCGTCGATGCCCAGACCCAACGAGCGCCCCTCGAGCTCAAGAAATACCCCAGCCTCTACCATTCCCACCCCAGACTTCGTCAGCGACGACACGCCCATTGCGCAGACCCGCACGTCTCGCGAAATCGAGTCAGAGGGCGTCGAGCTGCGGAAACTGCACCACGCTCCTCCAGAGGCGGAAAACACAGCGGGGATAGAAGATGAATTCTCAGAAAGCGACAGCGATGCCAGGGAGGACGAGGGCAACGAAGGATATGTCAAGCGACGCCTTCGTAGGACCGCAACACACTCAAAAGACTACACGGACGAAGAAGAAGCCGCAGTGGTGCGCAAACTGGACCGCAGGCTGGTCGTCTTCTTGGGTTTTCTCTACCTGTTGAGCTTCCTCGACCGCTCCAACATTGGCAACGCTCGAATCGCGGGGCTGGAAACGGACCTCGCCCTCTCGTCGGCGCAGTACGATTGGCTCCTCACGGCTTTCTACATTACCTACATTGGCTTTGAGTGGATGATCCTGCTGTACCGCATCCTTCCCGCCCATATTTACATACCTCTGTGTGTGCTCTCGTGGGGCCTCGTTGCCAGTCTACAAAGCCTAGCCACCTCCTTCGGCCAGCTGCTCATCCTCCGTGCCATCTTGGGTATCACCGAAGCCGCTTTTGGGCCCGGCGTGCCTTTCTACATGACGTACTTCTACAAGCGCTCCGAGCTGGCCTATAGAGTTGGACTGCAGATCTCGGCCGCACCACTGGCGACGAGCTTCGCGGGGTCACTAGCATGGGTGATTGTCAAGCTGAGCCAGAATGGGCCCATCGCTCCCTGGAGGGCACTGTTTCTGGTCGAAGGGTTCCCGTCCATCATCACGGCCGTCGTCGCCTGGTATTGGATCCCGGATTCGCCGTCCAAGGCGCGGTATTTGACGGCCCGGGAGAGGAAAGTTGCCGTCATGAGACTTGGAGCCGAAGAAAGCAGCCATGGTTCTTCTCATTCGCGTGAGCCTTCGCACGCCTCCTCCAGTGCAGCGTCCTCGCTGGCCCAACGGCTCAACGTCAAAGAAATCCTCGCCACGATCCTCGATCCGAAATCGTACCTGACCGCCCTCATGTTCCTCAGCGTAAACGTCTCGTTCAGCTCACTCCCGGTCTTCCTCCCCACCATTATAAACAGCATGTCCTTCTCCCCTCTAGCCTCCCAGGCCCTGGCAGCTCCACCGTACCTTTTCGCCTTCTTCTTCGTGCTCATGGTGGGCCGGTACAGCGACAAAGTGCCCGACTCGAGATCCCTGTTCCTCATGGGTGTTGCTCTACTCAGCGCCGTATCATACGCCGGGATGGCCATTGCGGGATACTTGCACGAGTCCCTGGGCGAGGCTGGGAGTATCACGATCCGCTACGTCGGCGTCTACGGGGCCGCGATGGGTCTATTTTCATCCGTCACGCTCATCATCACGTGGACGCTGAACAACCAAGCCACCGCGACGGGCAAGGGCACGGGTCTGACCATTCTGAACATCATAGGCCAGTGCGGTCCGCTGATCGGCGTTCATCTGTTCCCGCGTACCCAGGGCCCCTTGTACGTCCAAGGCATGGCCGTGTGTGCCGGGTTCATGGCTGTGGGAGTTGCCGGCTTGGCCGGTGTGTTGAGACTGGTCCTGCAGCGCGAGAACAGGCGGAATGGTTTTGGAGAAAAGCAGCAGCCTGGACTGGGCGGCGAGTATGAAATGGTGAGCAAAGAGGACGAAGATGGCGAGGCAGGGCCTCTAGGTCAGCGAGACGGGGATGATGCTCAAGAGACTTTGATCGGCGGAGCCATCAAGATTAGAGGTGAGAGTTCGGGATTTCGGTATATGCTCTGATGACCTTTGGGATGACAGGGGAGTTATGTTGGGAGTAGATCTTTTGCTCCTGGCTCAACGCTGGATAGATAAATGGGATGCCATATAATGATGAGCGCTTTTGATTTTTGGACATTACGAGAGTGGCTCATCATGGGTCACTGCGCCCTTTGATCTCTAAAGACGCAACGGAAGAAGCTCGAGATTCAGTGTCAAAGTAGGTCAAGCGACTTTCAGTCCTCGACAGTGCTAAAGCCGTTATGTACAAAATTATGGACGCCAGTGCGCTCGTCTGTTGGATCTGGATGATGTGGACTGCTCTTTCCTCTCCAAGATTCATCCTCGCTTTTCAGAGGTTGGGCCCCCTGGGGGCACAAGCAATTGACAACCCTTTCCTCCTCTCCTGCAAAATGTCGAATTTGAATTCGTAAATCTCGGTCATTAGGGCAGGCCATCCACCTCTTACTTTTGCTTGCCGTCCTGCTCAGCCTTCTCCTTGGTCATCTTTTGCATTTGCTCCATTGTCAGGTTATGTTTGTCACCACGGGTAGCTTGTTCGCTTTGAGAGGCCAGCTCGGGCTTCCATTCTCCTCGACCAGTTTTGGCTTTCTCGACGCTGTCGGACTTGTGGCGTTCGATGTCGGCAGCTCGGCCTTCGTTGTCTGTTTGTTGTCGCATCCTGAGGTTAGCAAGCACAGTTTTCATTTTATGTAGGGGGGGTTCAAGGGAGGTTCGGTCTGGCTTCAGCCGGGTTGAGGAGTGGTCTTGGTCGAGGGTGGGATGCGTTTGCAACACATACGAGCATGGTCTTCACTCAATGCCAGACGTACTGACGAGGTGTGAATGGCTGCAATTGACCTAAATGAGACCGCTCTTGCAGCAGTCCGCAGGGAAGCTGATGACCGAGTGAGGTATGACATTTTGGGAGGGAAATCTGGTTCTGGGAGCAACGGATGGGCGTGCAAAGAGATCTCGAGCCGACCTGGAGTCAGTCTGAAACGGTTCGTTGGGGGACGGAAAAGCGTGGAATTCACAGCAAGTGTAGATGGAGAGATGTTCAATGAAGCTTTAGTGAGAGGTGCTCGGGGAAAGACTTCCCTCTGCTTTGCCAATTGAAGTCTTGCCGAGTTTGCAACGTACTGGTCGCCATAATGACGTAGTGAAAGGACAATCAGCAAGAACGTGACCTGCCGTCATTTATTACAAGTGGCAGTCAGTGCCAGTCAGTGCCAGTCACCAGTCACGGCTATCATCGCCGAATAGTCCATTTGGAAAGAGCGAAGATCGCCAAAGGAGAATCGGAAGAATCGTCATTGGTGGGCGCCCGGAAGTGCCCCTCCTGGACTGTTCCTCCCGCCGCTTTTGCCTCGCTCTCCGCCAGTGCCCACTTGAGGAGTTATCACAGCTGCTCGACATCGACAATCCTGATACCACGTCGTCCCCTCCAGCCTTATCTAGGGCTCTTTGTAACGGACTTAGGTATCCTATTGGCTTATACCAAGCGTGCACTCCAAAACTGACGAGGGTTAGGCGGCGAGGTGGATGGACTTTGGGAGTGACAAGATGGAATGGATGGTGATTAAGAACCATGAGTTAACCGAACGGGGTTTTAGGAATCGGCGTAGTTCTCACAATTCGGCCTCGCCATTCTACGAGGATGTTCAGGGTCGCTAGGGAGACTTGATCCATATGGACAGGGACTTTCGCCTCTTCGGTCGCTGCAAAAAGGCACAAGGCGTTCTTTCACACAACAACCACTCCCAGGCTAGATACCTAGGTATATATAAGGACTAGTAACATGGCCAGTCAAGACACGAGAAGCTGTGAGTCAGTAGTTATTTTAGCCCTTGGTTTAATCATGGGCAGCCGCAAATCACATAGGATTCCCATTGCATGAGGCTTAAACATCGCATTTCCTAGGTAAGTTGTAAAGATTGGCGACGAGCCTTTACACCGCCCGCACCTTCGGGTACAAGGAATCAGAGGAGTCGACTTTCTTGGCAGCTCTATAGATGCTCCACTTGAAGCTTCTCTGGGGAAAGAACTAGCGACGACTAACCGAATCGATTGACAAGCTCTTCCCAAGGCCCTAAGAGCCCGTACCCCCACCAGGTGACCAGGAGCTGGAGGCTCTACTGCTCCGCCTGGAAGTCGTCTGAGCCAGTTATAGCAAACTTCTTGAGACTTTTCAGCCTTGATTTGCTTGGCAGACGCGGGCTCAAAAGAAAGTCCCAAACAAAGGTCCGGGCTTCACTCCAAGCTGGACACACCTCACCACCTTGGCACCACTGCCATGGCGGTTTCAAGCCCTAGGGGAACTGGGCTTGATTCTGCGCTGCCTATCTGGTGGCAGTCGTCATATTCAGCGTACTGGCGTCCTGCAATAGCTTCCGCAAGGCAAATCCAAGGATAGCTATTAGCAGCAGATGTGCGCCAGGCCTTACTCGAATGCAAGAACCTTCCTCTCTTGCAAAGGACTCTTCTTTGTTCCTCGTAGGGGCTCTTGCGAATGGCAGCCAACGCAAATCCTCATACAACGTCCTTCATCAATAGCTCTGGCAAGCCCTCAGAGTGGAGGAAGAAAGAGCAAGTGCGCCGTCAACATCAGCATGCTGCCAGTGTAGCACACCAACGGGGACAGAGGAAGAGACTGCCACGGTCGCAGAGCCATCCTGCCCCTGCTGCCAGCTCTACCGCTCTGACAACTCCAGCGCCTCGATCAGATCTCAGTGGCAGCCTATTCGATCCCTTCGATGCCTTTTTTGTGAACAATCTCTCTGTACATGCGCAGAAGATGTTTCAATCCGGTATGTTTGTGGCCTCCTGTGTCCGGAGTCCCGATCTGATTTACAGCCATCATCGATCAATGGCCGTCCTTTGCATTGTCAAGCAGAAAACAAGACATCGACAGATGGCGATCCTTCACGGTCAAACATGCGCTTGAGTCTCCATATCTGGTGCCGGCAATCGCCTACGCAGGGTCTTCCTATTGCTATTTCTTTGGATCCCGGGACCCTGCTGCAAAATTTCATCGCATCAATTTCTATCACGAAACCCTGAGACAACTTCGAGAGGCGATGCTCAGACCAGACAGTCAATGTGGGGATGCGATGCTTCTGGCAGTCGCCATCCTGACCATCCACGGCCCTCCTAACGACATGCAAGCGCAAACCCTGGTAGACTCTCAGCAGTTGAGAGATTACGAGTATTACGGCAGCAAAGTATGGGAACCTACTCACTTTCAGGCCTTGTTGTCCCTGGTGAAACAGAGAGGGGGACTGCACAAAGTCGGCATCAACTCTCTAGCCGGCATCATCATGACGTGCGTAATATCCCCCGTGTCTTCTATACTTGCTCACAGCTCAGGATTGATATTGCTGATTCGCTTTCGGTTCTGAGGGCACCTGCTTTCCCTCTCTTCTTCCCTCCGAGCCCCGTACTCCAGGCTCTCCGCCAGTGCCGCAAGCCTGACAAGCCCAATTCCTGCCACGGTTTTCGGTTCCTGAGGAATAGGCACCTTGGTCGACGACTTCTGTCGATCATTGAGGACGTCGACGCCTTACTCGACGCTTATGACACCGTCCTGACAGACCCTGGTTCTAGTATAGATTTTGGGCAATTAGTCGCGGCGTGGCGCATTTTGCAGCACCAAGCACTGTCACTGCCAAGTGGCGAGGATCTCTTGTTCAACCTATGTCGGGTCGCGATCATAGTTTTTCTAGTCGAATGCCTCGAGCCTTTGCCAGTCATTGGCGCTTTCCACCGCAACGGTTCACGAAGGCTGATGCTGTTGATTGACGAGTGTGATAAGCGAGAGTATTGGCAAACGTCTTCGAATACGATGCTCTGGGCAACTGTGGTCGGTGGTTTCGTCAGCCGCGAGACGCCTCTTCGCTTGTGGTACGTCGAACAGCTTCGTGGAAGTCCAGTAACGACGACTGCAGAGCATTGGGACAAGGTTTTGCACTTGGCGGAGGCGTATCTTCCATTCAGACATCGACAAGCGCAAGGTTGTCAACAGTTCTGGAGCGAAGGATGCAGTCGGCTGGCGCTCGCCGATCCATATCTGAGAACAAGCTAAGAATACGAACGCACCGTGACACTGGGGATGCTCCGCGTGAGTACACGAACACCACCGATCCGACTGTCCAATGCCCAAGCATTCTACGGCCAACATGGTAACGTGTTGGTATCCAATTTTTACTGCTTGTCCATTGTGCACAGGCTGGCAGAGCTCACGACAACAAAGTGATGGCAGCAACGGCAGAGCCGGCGGCGACATTCAGCACAGCCCTACCTACAGAGGATGAAATACATCGACCGGGCTGGAAGAGACTTCCTTGGAGGCGCTGGACGCCAATATCGGTGGCTGGGTGGCTGTAAGGCACCAATAGATACCATCTGCAGACCATGGTTTCCGCCCCTATGGAGTGGTTCGACTTATTCTGGGTAAGGCAGAATCAGCTTTCGTGATAATAGTTCTTGCTGTGCTTGTGCAAGACAAGGTCAGGTCTGCGCAATGCCTTGGCCATGGGAAAAAGTCTTGATTCTGTTCTAGATTCAAAATGCATGTTTGCAATCCACAAATCACGATCCAGAACATGGCCCGCCCCGACTAGCCTGGTGTCGAGACTTTGGGACTTTGGTATTCTGCCCTTTCCCTGGTCGGCAACGTCAGTTACTAGAGCCTCGTGTTCGCTAGTTGACTTTCATGCTACTACTCAGCCGTGACTGCAAGACGGCACTGATATCTGTGTCAAGTGCTAAGGGAAGCCCGGTAGGCCCCTGCATGAAGATGTGCGGCCGTGGATACGGTCCCAGCATTGCCAGAATGCCAGACATTGTTAACATGGCCAATTCTTTGTCCCACGAAATGGTCATGCGCAGTCAATCTCTTTGTTCACCCCGACTACGATGTTCGAGCATGGAGAGAGTCAGGGAAAGTATGCGGTGGTGTCAGAGGCTGCGTGGAGTAAGTCTGATCGTTCAATCCACAGAACAAGACTGATGAAAGGAAGGCCCTCCGCCAAAAAAACAGGCAAAGCCCGTCAAATACTGGGCACCATTCTCGACCAGATGGCCTGCTCTTACCCTGTTCTTGCTGGCCATGTTGGCCTGTATTGCCGCTCTGGAGTATGGTATTCGCTCGGGCCTGACGCTGGAAGAGAAAAATCAGCAACAGAATCACAGCAGGCTGAAGAGGCAGGATGCAGATGTCTCAAGCTTGCCAGCAGCCGTGACCACAACATCAGCAATGACAGAGACACCTTCGACCGCGCCTTCAGTCATCTCGACAACTACGACGGCTGAGAGCACGACACCGCTGACCGGTAGCGCCTCGATCGGTGCATACATCGACCAATCTACAACATCAAGTTCAGACAGATCCTCCACAACAGTCTCTTCCACCATGCTACCAGTTTCATCTTCAACGACAGCATACGTCAAGCCGATCACCAGCCTGTCGACAACGACTGGGGGAGAAACTGAAACAATGACGATAGCGAGTGACACCACCCCATATATTCAGCAATCAGTAACCACCCCCGAGGTCTCTGAGACGCCCCTCATGGCCAGTGGCACGACCCCATATATTGTGCCGTCTACATCCACGCCTGGGATTTCGGCCACTCCGGTAATGAAGAGTAGCACTACTCCGTATATTGCTCAGGAGAGCAGCAGCACCGCCCCGCAGGATGCTGAAACCGAGACGACTACGGGATATGTCCAACAATCGACCACATCAGTCACCAGTCCTGTCCCCAAACAATCTTCCTCGACAAGGCACACCAATCCCTACACAGTACCTTCGAACAGTGCGTCCTCATTTACGCATACCACAACGCCTATGGCCTTAACTGGCTTGGGGACCATAAGGACTACAGAGCTTAGCTCTGCGCCTCTAACCGGCTCATTTGAAATATCTGGGTCGTCTGCTGGACAAATACATTCTGAAGCGTCGTCGATCTTGGGAGGAACACTCACCAGCAGCCTGTCTGCCTCTGTGTATTCTACCAATTCAGAAGCTGAGTCAAGCCCCTCGAAGACGGTTTACGGCGAAGGTCATACGACATCCGCTCCATCATCATCGGCTAAATCAAGCAACCAACAATTCACCGCATTGGTCACTTATACCACGGAGGATGCGTCAGGAAAGCCATTAACAACCGTTGCAACGGAAACATACGCCGTCGCAGTAATGACCGAGACAGTCTACGACTCAAGTGGCAAGGCCTCGACTTTGATCGCAACGTTGACGTCCTACAGCGGCACCATAACCCCCACGATCCTCGCTGAAAGTACATCTGTCCCAACGGACCCTCCAGATCACCAGAGAGCAGATGAAGTCGAGCTTGGCTTGGCCGTGAGCGACCTCCAATACTTCCGCGCCATATACCTACCTGTCCTGATAGCGGTTATCCTCAAACTAGTTTGGGCCGTTGTATTCACTTCTACTAAAATGATGGAGCCATTTTATCTCCTATCCAGAGAAAAGGGTGCATCTGCCAAAGAATCACTTTTGGCGGACTATTTGACCACCAGTGTGTCGATTGAGGATGCAAAGAAGATATTCCTGAGCCATCCTGTTGTCACCCTGGTGAGTCTCGTCTATCTTTGCCTAAGCGCCCTCCCCGCGATAGCAACGCAATCTACAACTGTGAGAGCAATTGCCTGGTGCAGAAGTCCCACCCTCATCATGGAACGATGCAATCCGATGTGGTATCTCAAGGTCGACTACGCCAGAGCCCTTCAAGCCGTGCTTTCTCTTATCGCTGTCATCATTCTTTTGGTGGTCATCCTGTCTATTCGCCGCCGCAGTGGGGTATTCTCCAACCCATCCTCGATTGCCACAATGGCTTCACTTCTCAGCAGTGAAGAATTCATGGAGGACCTGCGAAGAATTGACCAAAGATCAAGCCGGTCGTCCGCGAGGCAACTACTCGATCCATACAGATACATGCTGCGCCAACATCAGACAACGACAGGCTATACGAGATATGGGATTGTAAAGGAATCTGGACAACCGGAAGAGGTCACAATCAATTACACCAAACAGCCAAAGTATTCTGCTGTGACGCATTCACATGCTGGGGGGAAAGATGTGCACCATTCTCGAAGTACGCTGTCGAACCGATTCCTCATCGATACCCTCTTCCTTCTGTGCATTCTAGCACTCCTTGGCGTGCTCGTAGGCTACTATATGGATGGGCAGGATGATCCTTTCAACAACTATTTCAACCACAATCCCACGAGCTCATTTGTCCTCACAGCTGCTGCCAGTCTCCTCGACATTCGTTGGAAACAGCTTGAACGAGAGGTCCGACTCATGACACCATATCGGCGACTATTTCGCGGGTCGGCAAAGCCAGAGTCAACGATATTGGTCTCACAGAACTCCACGCCTCTGACTAGTATCTTCCAGGCGCTTTGGAGGGGAAACTTCTTTCACGCCTTTGTGGCCTTTGTGGCCATTCTATCTGATGTTTTGATTATTGCCATTGGCGGCGTGCCATTCAACTCTGCACAGATTTGGCTCGATTTTCTTGTCAGTATATACACCAGCTGGGCTATACTGGCCTTGATGGTACTTACTGTCTTCGCAATCTTTCGCTGGAGGGCTTTGAACGAGAAAATGATGCTGCCGCGAGAACCTACGAGACTCCTTACTGTGTGGCTCATGCTCTGTAATGAGGACAATCAGCTTCGCGACGAAATGCAAGGGCATGAAACCATGAATCAAAAAGAAAGAGACGACAGGGTCAAAATGAGAGGCGGGCTGTATTGGGCTGGTTGGCTCTCCCAGCCGGACGGCTCCCGGCGATGGTGTTTAGAAAAGGAGAGTGGACAGGCGTCAGGGATGAACATGATGTATGAACATAATTAGGAATAATGTCTTGTTGTAATATCACATTCTCAGCACATGATACTCAGATATCCGCTGCTTCTTCTGACCACAAGCCTTGAAGTATACTCGACATTTGAGGGATTCCGTAAAGAAGCAAAATCGGGTTAGACAGGTCTGAGACTGGAAATGGGGCGTTTCTATTGGACAACTTGATTCACTGAATTCAGGGCAGCAACATGATCTTCCGAAATAGGACAAGTCGCGATTGATCCCTGCTTCGCTCGTCGCGTTCAGGGACGCGCCTCCCTTTCCCCCCAAGAGCAAGAAAGAGCCTCAAGCGGGCAACATCGTCCACAACGGCAACCACAGCCCATTATGCTGCAGTCCCCGCCGAAGAGACGAAAGATCGATCCAAGTCTGTCGCAAACAAACAATGGCACCACGATCGATACCGGACACCCGACAACTCCCAGACGAGCCTCCTACCTCTCTCCCACAAAAAGTTCCTTGGCACGTTCCCATCCCCATCTCCTCACTCGATCTTCTCGTCGCGCAGTCACCGAGCCCAGGGGGAAGCTCTTGAGAGACGAGATTTTGGGGAGGCATGATCACGTTTCCGTCGAAGTGCCCAAGACGGTAGCCCCGGTTGCCCGCAGTCGAAATCTCGAAGTTTCACTCGACCTGTCCGCTACCAAGGCAAACGAAAACCCGTCGAAGGAAGAATCTACTGTGTTGTCTGAGGAGTCCACGACCAAAAGAGTTGATCAAGCTGCTGGCAACGAGCGCCCGGCGTTGAAGGAGCGTCAGCCTGCACAACGCACAACCTGGGAAACAAGTGGATTCAGCGAAGAGCCTGCTTCACCAGCAATCCTGCCTAAGCTGGTCCCAAGAAAAGAGACGGATGCGAGACCTGTTTCGCGAGGCGGAAGTGGTGAACCTGAGTTGCCTCCCACGCCTGTTGAGCTGGGTCTCAGCCCTGCGCCTGAACGACCTCGTGGTCTGGCGTCGAGCAGTAGCCCCAGGAGCTCAAAGATGAACAGCAAATCAGGTAGATGGAGAGCTGAATCACGAGGGCCCGTTACGAGCAGCCCTCTCAAACCCAGAGCTCCCCCTGCTGTCGAGCCCTACGATGTTGACGACGAGAACATGGATGATGACGTACAAGAAGCACCAGAGAGTGAGCTTGGCGAGGCCCAAGGACACAATGAGGCGATGTCTGAACGGCGTGGAGAACAAGAATCGGATCTGGAATCGCTGAAAAGAAGATTACAGCAATTAAAGAAGGAGAACGAGCAACTGCAGACAGCCATTGAGGATGACAATAATTTGAGCGAGGAAGCCGTTTCTATTCTACAACAATCGCTCGTTGAGGATGCAGCTCTCCGAAGCTTTGGAGACCTCGGCGATGGCGGCGAAATGTCCTCTCACTTAACGTTGTTCGCCCCTGGTAACCTGCAACTGACCGCTCGAACGGAGACCAAGGTAATCAGGGATCGCACGAAGATCATCCACGTCTTGAAAATCGAAGCACCGCCCCAGTGGCTTCCAGATGCTTTTTCTTGCGTCTTCGAAGTGGTTGTAGACGCCAAACATGCCCAAGTCGAACATGTGGAACTGAAGGAGGTAATGAGCAGAGCGCGCCTTACCAGGACAGCGAAGGGCGAGATCTTCAAATGGGTCAATGACCGTTTGGAACATCCTCTTCATCGACTTGATGTAGGCGGGCTGATCTGGGGAATAGGACGATGGTTCAGTGCTGCCGTGGAACGTGCTCAAGTGTTCCAGTGGCTGGACATCAAGTACAATCGGTCCTCGTCCGACGAAAGTCAACGGAACGAGGATGACAAAAACCAACAGTTGACTCAGGACAGAGCCATTGAACTAGCACGATACCTGGAGATGACCCAAATGGCGGCAGTTGACGCAGAAATGACTGTTACCGCAGGCGGCAAGAAATTCAGAAGGAAAGTCATGCTCTCCTGGGGGATTCATCTCGATTGGGCAGGTGGACTTTTGTCTGAAATCCAGATTTCTACCAGTGGAATTCCGCAGAAAGCCGAGCCTGGGTTGAGGACGATCTTCGCCAGCTTGATCCCGACCTTGGGCGTCAAGGGGGCATTTGAGAACATATGGACGCTGATCCATGGAGACGGCGATGAATTTGCATTGGGCAGCACGTTGAAGGGCAAGAAAAAGGGATGACAGCTGGTGCCCGATCTGCTGAATGACGAATACATGAATTGACGAACATTGCAAGATACCCCTTCAGTACTGAGCAGACCGTTATGGTAAAGTGGTGGCTTTGTTATGTATATCACAAGGACATGGCTCAAGAGTCTGCTGTCGCTCCGAGCTGGTCGATAGCCATGAGTGACGAGTGACGAGTCAGAACTATGAAGGTTCTCATTAAGGAGCTTCAAGGACCATTTCTTCTGTGTAGACATCACTTGATAGGTGTTTCCTATGTTTTGCTTCATGATTTGACCTCGAAGCCTACGACGAGACACATTGATCGAGTGAACAGGATGGATTGAGTAAGGTCAGGAACGAATGCCTTGTAATTAGAGGCCTCATGCATTTGCTGCACTGACTGAATTTTTTTTCATTTTTCATTTCTATGGCCTGTGCGCTGCCCTCGCATCCGTCCTTGGATCTGAGGGTACGAGAAGCCTCGACAACTGCTCCGAATACTTTGGTTGCGCGGGGAAAAAAAGGGCGACACTGCTCCGTTTTGCATGAACTCGCACCCACACCCACACTTTTTTGCCTCATGCCAGCCTCGCGCCATGGATGTCATGCTTCCCTTCCTAACCAGCATAGCTACATGATCTCCTGTAGCCGCTATCTCTCCGACCACCCTCCTTCGACAGTAAGCATCGTATCAAAAAGCACCAGGCCAAGTGCTCCCCCCTTGAGGATTGATTCCTTGGCCCCCGGCTCTGTGTGTGTCTGTGTATGTTTGCAACGTGGTAACAGGAGGAGGAAAACCGTGACACGTCTTCTTGTCGTTTGTCGGTGTCGTTGTTATTTTTGGGGTTATCCCTTATTTCTTCTTCGCCTCCTCGGCCTCCTCCTTGGCCTTGGCTCTCTTCTCGCGCACGCCGACGTACCGCGCCTCGCTGCGCGCCTGTCTCAATTTTCTGTACGCGTCCTCCTCGCCCTCGGGCAGGTCGTCCTTGCTGATCTCCTGGAACCCGTGCTTGAGCCCCACGCCGGCGTCGATGGCCATGACCCGCGCGACCTTGGTGGCGATCTTGCCGTCCTTCTTCTCCAGGGACTCGGTCGCCATCGTCACGTCGCCCTCAGACGAGTCGAGCTTCTTGTGCTGGCCGGACTTGCGCGGGAACAGGATCAGGCGGGCCTTGTAGGCTTGCAGGCGCGACACGTTGAGTTTGAGCGTCTCTTCGTTGGTGTCCAGGCGCCGGGCGTCGACTGAGATGCCGATCGTGGGTGCGAGTTTGCGGGGGATGCCGGCTTCCTGTTTACGACCTGGCGTTAGATCCTGCTGTAGGCAATTTTTTGGGGGGGCGTTGGGAGATTTGTAGGCATGGATGAGTGCAAAGAGGTGTGTGGATGTTCTCCCAAGACCAAATTCAGTCCCAATTTTGGACGCATGGCAGTGTATATGTTATCCCATTCCAATCTCTTTCTCGTTATTTCTCCCTTTCATTTCCGCTCTTCTCTCCCATGACCAGACCAGACCCAATTGAACTTCGCCGGTGAAAAAAAAGACAAGATGAGATAACGTACCTTCAATTCCATCAACGTGAACCCCCGACCGGCCCGAGCGCGGCGGTTGTACTTGATCGTAGGACACCTCACGACGGGCCTCAACTTGTCGACAGGTCTCGGAGCGACGGCGGCGGCTTTGGCCAGACGGGCGGCGCGGCGTCGAGACTTGCGGCCGGGCTGGTCAAAGTGCACGCGGACGCGGCGCTGCCAGTCCTTGTGGAAGTGGTTGTTGGGGAGCTGCTGGTTGTGCTTGATCGCCATTGCTGCGACGGAATGACGACGAACCCACCTGCAGCGATGATTGAATGATGAGGAGGAGGATTGATGGAGAAAGTGTGCAGTTTTGGGGGGTTCCCGGCAACGAGGGTGTGCGAACTTTTGGTGGAGTGTGAGCGAATGCAATATTTCGAGGCTTGGCAGTGTGGCATTGTTGCCAAGATTTGTGTAGTCATGTGATATGTCATTTGCTACTTTGAGACTAGCTTCAGCCTTGCCTTGTGCCAGCCTCGCGGACAACTCGACGAGTCCCAGTATTGGGAGTCCTCAATACGGTCTTCTATTGAGCTCAGACACCATTTCTCGGGTTTGGTACGAAAAGCTTGCTACAATTGAGCATGTTATCCATTGATAAGACTGAGCATGAGCTACCAGGTTAGAGAAATCCTACTGTAACACATTTCCATGCCTCCAACATCAACGCCGGATTCGAGAGGGTATCATTACAAGCATGTCTCCAATCATCATTCATCCCATCATCTGCATCCCCCTCAAGCCTGACTCCAAGACCCAATTCCAAGTCCCACTCCTTGAGAAAGTTTTGCCTTCTTCGCCTTGATGTCAGACTCTCCAAAACTCGCCCCTCGTTTTCTGGGCTGACCAGCTTTCTTGATGGGACCAAATATCTTGCTTTGAAGTAGATTGCTTGAGCGTTCTGCGCCTTGAGACAGCCTCAAGCTCTCCTGAGAACCTGGGTTTCGTCGCAACATATCGCTCGCCATTGAACTGGCCTGAGACTCTGGAATGCTATCGTCGTTGTTGCCTTCTTCGGCATCAGATATGGAAATAGTGCTATCGCGGTCATGACGCTCTCTTTCTGCTGACTCAAGCACCATTTGAGAAGAGGGTGCGGAAAAGGGTACCACAGAAGCTGGGTAGCCGTCGTTCGTGGCAGGTCTAACTTGTACAGGTGTAGTCTGAAGGGACGACAGTGAATGAGCTCCACGAGTGTGGCCATGCTTGAATTTGGAGGTGTGGGTCCTGGTGGGCGTTGAAGGGACGCTGGCACTCTCTCCACTGAGTACTTGATCAGCGGCAAGAAGGGCTGCAATGTTTGAATGGTTCGCTGCAGGTGCAGACTCTGGAAAACGAGGCACGGGCTTCCGGTGAGGCGTCGTGAAGGTGTCGCGAGGGGTGGTGTACGATGGCGACAGGCTTTTGAACCTGGTGAAGTGCTCTCTGTTCTCGCGAATTCGCCTTTTCAGTAGAGCGTTTTCCTCTTCAAGCAATTCATTTCGATCACTCTGCAACTCGACAAGCTTCTTTGCTCGCGCCAGTCGTTTCTCTACCTCGTCACGCTCCTCCTCCAAAGCCCGGCATGTTTTGGTCAACGCCTCGATCTGAGGTTGGGGCGGCGCGACTGAGTTTCGTGACTGCATGGATGCGCGCTGCCTGTATTCAGCGGTTTGAAGGACCTCGATTTCCCGGCGACTCATCTGTTGTTCAACCTCAGCTCGTTGCGCAGCCTGATCCGCCTCCATAGCTAGAAGGCTGTGCTGCAGTTTGAAATGAGCGGCTGAGGTTCGCGCTTCGCGGACTGCTGCGACCAAATCTGTGGCCATGCTTCGCAGTTCTTCGATCTCCGCTTTTGCGATCGCATCTGGGGTTGGCAAAGCGCCAAGGACATTTGATCGGATAGCAGTTTGCGGAGGTGAGGCAAGCAAGGCGTCGATGGGAGCAGCGCTTATGCGATTGACGGGAGACTGATATCGAGGCGGCTGCGTAGACGGAGGTGGGGTCATAGAGGCTGACATTGGTGGAGGAGATGCATAAGAGGATTTGTTCATACTGTCTGCTGAGCGAGTGCGCGCGTAGGGAGGAGTGGCAGGGACCATCGAGTCTTCCGCGGGGGACTGTGAGTTCGCCATGTCGCTATCGATCTCAGACGGGGAGCCAAAATCGGGTGCCAGTGGATTCCAAGTGACCCAAATACGCAAGTAATGGCTTCCCGCAATGGGCGCCGCGCAAAAAGCCGCAAATTGGAAGTGGTGATGATAGCGACGGAGTTGCAGTGGAGATGAGCAGCAAAGCTCTTCGTAACAGTGCGTCCACTGTCAGATCGTTAGGGTCTGATATGGACAAATGAATGTCTGGAAGAGAGAGTGAGACTGGAACTCAAGCTGGAAATTTGGGTAAAGACAGAAAGATGCACAGGAGGCAGGATGATATTTGACAGATTGGAATGGGATAGTGAGGGCAAGGCCAGGGGAAGAGAGAGGGATAGGAAAGGGACAGAAGGTAGAGGGCGGAGGGGAGGCTGGGAAGAGGTTGAGGTTGAAGTTGGTGGTGGTGATGGTGGAGATGGAGCCGGAGGTGCTGGAGGTGCTTGGAGCTGGAACAGTGCGCGTTAGAGGGAGGGTGGAGCGGAGCACTAGCCCGGACAGTTTAGGCACCACGGGCGCCGGAGTGTCACCTGGGAGGCTTAAAAGTCGCGCCTCTGCTTAACTAGCCACAACTCGCACTCTAAATCGAGACGCCAGACGCGTCGAGGGCGTCAAATTGGCGTCACCGTGGCTTGGCCTAGCGTGGTAGTGATGGACAACCACAAGCCCCAGCTTTTTCCTACTGCCCCTGAGCCAATGTCAACATCGAAAAGACCTTTTTTACAGGGTTCAGCTCCCTCGAACTGGCAGTCACAGCTTCCGAGTTCTCCAGCATACTCAGCAATTGTCGGAACCAGAGCCAGATGATATCCCAACCCGAGTCCATGTCACAGCAGAACAGTCGAGGATTTGAGAAAGCTGGAAGCATGGACCACCACCACCATGAGCAGGGGTCCCATCTCCCCGTCCGTGGTACCCTTCCACGCCTGTCCAAACTCCCCATGCCACGTGCAGTGGCCTCAAGTGATAACCTGAGACTGTCTGCTCGTTCATCGCTTGTAGGAAACATCCACCACGATGATTCGCGCAAGACATCACATATTCCGCGTCCACTTGGAGAGAATGTCAATCAGTCAATCCGCTCTCGATATGGTTGGTTGGATAGACCTGGAAACCCAAGGAGCGAGTCTCCCGTGAGAGACGCTCTTCACGATGTGCAACTCACAACAATGGACACGACTCCGCCTGGCTCCAACCACGATCTCCCCGTGTTTGAGACTGGTAACGAGAACCCAACTGCAGCAAAGACCGGGACAAAGGAAAAGTACCGAACTCAACAGATATCCCCCACTCCTTCATCAATGGCACCTCGTCCAGATTCGCCAACCAAAAGACCGTTCCGACCGCCAGGGAGAAGCTCTCCGATCAAGGACATGATGGCTCTTCCCCCGGTTGTCTCCCCCGGCGAAATCTACACACCTCCAAAGGCGTTCGTGAAGGGTCAGCGCTCACGGATTGCAAAGCCACTTCGGGACTCTAGGAGGTCAACCAGTTCAGCTTTCGATGCTGCTTATAAGGAGTCTCCTGGAGCGCCACCGACAAAACTGTCAGCTCAAACTTTGAGATATAGGCCAACATACGGTGACAGAGGAGCAACGTCGCCCACACCAGCGTCAAAGGAATCTCTCTCATCCCTTTTCAGAGCCCCTTCTCCTACGCCACAGTCCAGTGGCAAGCTCGCGGTCTCCAACGTTGGCTCGCCGCCTGCACTTCTGAAGCCCCGGTCAAGAGGCGAGAATACTCTCGCGCCATCCACTCCTCCCTCGAAATCGGCAACAAAATCAAAGAAGAACGCCTCGGCTAAAGCAGATGCCCCTGTTGCTGCGGTGAGAGAATCTGAGGCACCGAATCCGCAAAAGTCGTCAGCAGCTTTGCGAGAAACGATTGCAAAGGCGAAGGCTGCGAAAAAGAAGGCTCGGGAGAGCGCTGGCACAGCAAGTGCACTGTCAGCTGAAGCGCCTGGCTGGCCCTCGGATTTCATTGATGAAGCCATGTCTTTAGACGGCGACAACAAAGGCCTCTTGCGAAAACGTATACAACAGGCTGTAACATCTGGTCATCTGAATATTGCAGCAATGAAATTGAAGGAGATACCTTCAGAAGTGATGAAAATGTATGAGTCAGAGAACAGCACGACGATTTGGGCTGAGATGGTGGACCTAATAAAACTAAACGCAGCGGACAACGAGCTAAAGGCATTGGAGGACGACATGTTTCCTGATTTTGCGGAATCAGATCTAGCTGACGATGACGAGAAGAGATGTCAATTTGGCGGTCTCGAAACATTAGACCTGCGCCGAAATCGACTGCGGCAAATACCCACGGGGTTGCGGAGATTGGAAAGACTACAGGTATTGAACTTGAGCGGCAACAAACTTGGCAACATTGCTTTCGAGGTTATCGGCCAGATTCCTCATCTGAAGGAGCTTATCATTGCGGACAATCTCATCGAAGGCACGTTGGAACTGGGCGACTGCACGCTCGAGCATCTTCAAGTTCTGGACTTGCGGGGCAACAAAATTCAGAGCTTTGGTATAGAAGGTCTATCCCTGCTCCAGAACTTGAAGGTCTTGAACATTGCCGGCAATAGGTTCTCAACACTACCCTGGAAGAGTCTACCTACCCCAACTCTGACCGAACTCACCATCTCGCGAAACCGCTTTTCGGGTACTCTGCTGTCTGATGCGCCGGCTTTCCCTGAGCTGCGTGTGTTAGACGCATCGTTCAATGAGCTAGAAAAGCTATTCGATGGCGAAAGTGCTCCAGATCTCCCCAACCTGCGGTCTCTTGTCCTAAATGGCAACAAGCTGATCGGCCTACCATCCCTAACGAGTTACGGTCAACTTCTTGCCTTGGATGTATCGGAGAACCAGCTGGAAGAGATTCCCTCGGATTTTGCGCGGCTTGAAAATCTGAAGACAGCAGATTTTGGAAACAACAACATCCGACTCGTTGCGCCCGAGATCGCGACCATGATCAACTTGTCGAGCTTCAATATCGTTGGAAATCCACTCCGCGAGAAGAAGTATCTCACGATGAACACTTCTGAGCTCAAGACGGACCTCGAGAAGAAGCTTGAATCAGACCAGTCTGCGCAGACTCCTCAACAGTTGAGCGACAACCTTACCAGCTCAAATTCCAAGGGGGAGTATCGCTACACCCCTTCCAATGGAATCCTCGACCTCTCGTCACACTCTCTTGCCACGCTCTCCGTTGCCGAGATCGACTTTTCTTCATCAGTCCACACCCTCAAACTCTCCAACAACGAGCTCACATCCTTTCCGGTTGACCTCCTGTCACACCCGTCCCTCAAATACACCCTCCAATCCCTCGACCTCTCTCACAACCCTCAACTCCACCCCACAGAGTATTTGAGTAGTGAACTCTTCCTCCCGAACCTGAAATCACTCTACATCGTTTCCACGGGTCTCACCTCTCTGGACGCACTCACAACGTACCTGAAAGCGCCCGCGCTCGCGGAGCTAAACATCTCATGCCATCGTCTGGCGGGGCACGTCCCCTGGGTTCGCGCCTGGTGGCCGAACGTCAACACCCTGCTGGCGACGGATAACTGGTTTTCTTCGGTTGACGTCGAGGGAGTCCGTGGGTTGGAAGTCCTAGACATTAGGAATAATGAGATCGAGACTCTACCGCCCAAGCTGGGCCTGTTGGGCAATCTCCCGGGCTCTAGGGAGAAATTGGAGGGCAGACTGAGGGTCTTGGAAGTCAGTGGGAACAGATTCCGCGTTCCGCGGATCACGGTGGTGGAGAAGGGCACCGAGGCCGTCCTGAAGGATCTGAGGAGGATGGTCCGCCAGGAGGAGCTCACGGACGAGTGGAGAGATGCGATATGATTGAGGGACGCTTGGGTCTTTTCGTGTGTTGAGCGTGTGTGTGTGTGTTTGTGTGTCCTGCTTACGTCCTTTCTTTTCATGTCAAATCTTGGTCCCCCCCCGAATCCCCTGTTTGGAGCGTTCAAGCCTTGCAGTGAGTGTCCCACACATACATTGCACACTCTTTTTTTCTTTTTTCTTTTCTAGGACATGTACGGGCTTGGAAGGAGATCGATCTATCTGGACCTCCTCCCCTTCCCCTGCACAGCCGATTCCTCAAGGTTCATTACCCCTTTTTTTGTACAGCCGTCGGGATACATGGACAATGTTGATGCGTGTGATGTATGTGTGGGCTATCTCTTCTCTTTTTGTATATATCTTTTGTATATAGATAGACTAGAGCCTCTTTCTTTGTGGATGGCATGGCATGGCATGGTAATTATGGGTATATAGCACGGCATAGCGGGGGCACGGGGTTTAATAAATACAATGGCGGTATGTTTTCATTCATTTCAACATTGATGATAGTCTTCACTTTTTAGGAAAAAGGTGCAGTTCTTTGGACGGGGGTTTCAATATCCATGTATATATCTTTTAAACCATGGCAGATCATTTTCACGGGAGCTGTGAAATCGTGGTGCGTTCTAGGTACACGCAAAGGTTGTCATTGAGACTACAATGGACATTCGCGTGGGGTATCTCGAGGTTCCATTAGGAGCTTTCAAGAGCGGTCCTCCCTGTCCTGAGTCCTCCTTTGGGGACTGTGCAAGATTTCGGAGCAGCCGTTGTGAAGCTCTGGAATGACTGTTGTCTAGCCCACGATCGCCGTCCTGAGTATCATCCTTTTAGTGCCTAGTTATCTTGACCTTGGTCCTTATCGGTCGTGGCCTCAATCATCACAGGTCTCATGATCCATCATGTCAATCGGATTCGTTTGTCTCGCCGCCGAATGGTCAATTCGCGCACTTTCTTTCAGGCTTCGGCGCAAGCCCCTACTGTATGTGTGATATTCAAATCTTGAACACTCCAGATTTACTCTTGATGCCATCAAAAACACAAGTCCCGTCGACGGGGACATACTGCCTCGTAAGCAGTTTGATTGCCTCCTGCGCGACCATGCCGCCTACTATACTGGAGATATTATGCAGCTCACCGCCCTGCGCACGCTCCACTTCCGTGATTGCATTGGTAATGTTCTCTCGGCTTTCCGGGTCGGATAGAACCGAAGTCACATCGTTTAGCATGTCTGGTGAGAGGTTTTTGTTGTTGAGAGCGATGAAAACAGGAAACAGGGATTCCCAATCGTTCTCAATGATGGATGTAAGACGGGAGGAGAGTTTGGAGTCCGGGAGCATGAGGCGGAGTGAAGGCAGTGCTTCTTTCTTCTGGTTCGTTAAGACCCGTACATGAGAGGCGTTCTTGCAAAAGGCTTCAATCTCCGAGTCTGGGACTTGCGAAGAAGCCGTCCTTGAAAGGGACGCTTCAATTTGTCGAACAAGCTTGGTCACCTCGGCCACGTCAGCTCGTGCTTTGGTTTTGTAGATGGTCTGAAGCTTGACATAATCTGCACTGGTGGCCTTCATGTCTGGTAGAGTTCCCGGCAGCGGTAGCACGCCGTGGCTGTCGTAGAATGTCTTGATGGCGTTTGCGACGACCCAGAAATTTGCCGAGTCTGCGGTCAGGTTGGTGCAGGAAGGCATAGACATCATCTCCTTGCACCCGCTCCCTATCGGTGGTGGAGCTATACTCTTGAGCACTGCGGCACAGGCTTCGTCGAAATTCTCTTCGCCGCCTTCTGGATTGTTTGTTCTTGCGCCCGATTTGACAAGGTCCCGAAACTCGGTCTTTTCTTTGAAGGAGGAGGGGTATTTGTCATTGTGATCGAGCCTCCACTGTCTAAGGTAGTGTAAGAGAATCAGTATGTAGGGAACGTGGCCGTGGTCGTGATCTGGTAGCGATGAGAGGTCTCCCAGAGCATCGATTTCGGCGTCGAGTTCAGGCCAGGGCGCAAGAAGACGGAGGTCTTGGGTACTTTCTGGATCAGGGTGAGTATCCACAATGGGGAATTCAGTAGGCAACTGGATTGAGAAAGAAGCAAAGAACCCGGCTGATTGGACATAGATGATTGGTATCGACTTCTCCAAAGCGTAACCACATATCCTCTCGAGCGGTTCCCGAGACACTGGAGCGCAGAGGAGGATCAGATTGTATGGCTTGAGGGAGTCTTGCGAAGGGAGCCATTCTGCCAAGGGAGCTGAAATAGCATGGCCTGTCACATCAGGATTCAATTCTTGCAGCAGACGTCTCATCTCGTCTGCTCTTGATTTGTGGAGACTGTTCGACTCGAGGAAGAAGTTGATGCCCAGATCTCTTTCAGTGACCGTCGCCGAGTCTGCGATCGTGAAGCTGCCAACGCTCGGGAGGATGAGGTTCTTTAGAGCTTCAGCACCAGCAACACTGCTGTTGGAGCCAAAGGCATCGTCTCCCACAATCAAGAGGACGTGAGACTCTTCCAGAGCGCGTTGCCCTGAGGCAGCCCATAATCTCAATTGACGGTCATATTTCCGTTCTTTGGCCGTGGGCGCTTGGAGAGGAGGCGGCGTGAGCTCGTGGGGGGCAGTCTCGGTCATGATTGAGGTAATGCGGCTGCGACAAAAGGGTTCGGCATCCCCAACCAGCTGGCTGCAGTCCTTTACAATGGTCAGCGATCAAAGATGTTGGCACTTGAGTGAGAACGGGCGAGACAGGCGTGAATTGCCTGCGCCCTGAGGGGGAAATTCCTGGCCAATCTTCGGGGAAACTCATCCGATCGACGTCAGCGGAACTGCTCTAGGGCAGCCTCTAGGGCAGCCTCCAGGCCAGCCTCTAGGTAGGTGGTAACAGTGGTTGTGTCCAGGTGTGGCTAGTGCTGCGAGTGTGGCTAATACTTAATACTTTGCAGGTTGGTTGAGCGCCTTGCCCTGAGCAGTTCCCCCACCATAACAGGTCCCCGCCCCCGTCACCACCGTGTGTATCCCAACTTGCTCCTTCACTGGCTAAAGCTTCACTCCAATATCTCCTGATCATTGAGGAACTCCAGTCTTTACTCCAATTGCGGCATTGGCGGCGATGTCTTTGTTGAGATAAGTCATCTGTCGTCGCGTACGTAATCCAGTTAGACCTTTCCGATTTGTGCCTTTTTTTATGGTCGCAATCTGTGAGTGACAAGATTCCCTCCTCAACCGTTGTGTCACCCCGTCTCATGGTATTTATTCAGCTAACTTCTCGTAGATAGACAGGCTAGAACCTTTTCCTTTATACTGCGCGATAGATCTGCCTGCATTGTTCAGCTTCACAACCCTACAGCAGCTGTTTGCATCTCCCGCAAAAGATACTTTCACCAAACTCGCGGCCTCGCGAAGGGTACCATGGCCGCCGAGATTGAAGCTGCCAAAAAGGCAGCTGCTCTCGAAGCTGTCAAGAACCACTTCCCCCCAAGCCCGCGCTTCGTGGGAATCGGCTCCGGCACGACCATCGTCTACGTGGTGGAAGCCATCAAAAACTGCGGCGTCGACGTCTCAAGAGTCGGCTTTGTGCCAACAGGATACCAGTCCAAACAACTCATCATAAATGCGGGTTTGGTACCAATCGAGTTTGATGCGCTGCCGGACGATGCCATGATTGATGTGAATTTCGATGGCGCAGATGAGGTGGATGAGGAGTTGAACTGCATCAAGGGTGGAGGTGCTTGTCTGTACCAAGAAAAACTAGTGGCTATGAGGTCAAAACAGTTTGTTTGCGTCGCTGGTATGTCGGTCCCTTTACCCCTGTGGCGGGCAGCCTTCCTAACCAGCCGCAGACTATCGCAAGCTCCAGCGCCGTCTGGTCACCAAATGGCCTACTATCCCCATAGAGGTGGAACCAAAGGCCGCCCGGCAGGTCATGAAGAGGCTACGAATGCTCGGCAGTCACAGCGCATCAGGCGTAGGTCCGATGATCAGAGAAGGCCACCTCGCAAAAGCCGGCCCTGTCAAGACGGATCAAGACTTCTTCATCGTCGACGCTCCTTTCCCTCATCCACTCCTGATAGCCGACGATCTCACACCCGAAAGACCAGGCGACGGTGAAAATGGATATTGGGAGGTAGAACAGCTCGCTCGAGCTATCAAGGATATCAATGGGGTGCTTGCCGTCGGCCTTTTCTGTGGACCTACTGGTCCCGAGGCCGCGGCGGCTGGTGTAATTGGCGGCCAGAGACCGATTGCTTGCTATTTCGGCATGGCCGACGGCACTGTGTCGGTGCGAGCAGCTCGACATAAGCGGGACTCCATCATCGCCAAATACCCGCCGTTAGTCCCAGTGCATAGCTCTGAACCCGGCGTTGTGGCGGCAGCACCTTGATAGACTTGGTCGGTAGCGGAGGCATATCATGAATACCGCCCCTGGTGTGCATGGGTTTGCGTCAAGTTCATTTTGCTTTCCTCTTGACCTCATTCTCGCCGAGCTCGCGAATGAAAATCCCGACAGAACCCTCGGCAAATTCCTCCTTGCCATCTTCAAATCCCGGGCTGATCGCAGTAGCCAGATATCGTCCATTCGAACTGAAAGAGAGGGCGGCAACACTTGAGGCGAGCTTGGGGTAGATGCGGATCCTTCGTTTTGCAACAGCATCCCAAATAGCCACCACTCCATCACCTCCACCAGTCGCAAACGTGCCATGGATAGGATGAAACGCTATGGCGTTGACCGGGTAAACGACGTCCACATCATCGATCGGTTGGCGGTGGCATTTGAATGCGTACTTGCGAGCCTGTGAATCGTTCGACGGATCAAACCACTCCACCGCAACACGGCCTTCAATACTCGATGAGGCATACCCTTCGTCGTTCGGCATGCAGTCCACCGCCCTGGTCATGAACTTCAGGCTACTCTCTCTTCTCTGCCACGGCTCGATGTCGAGTCTGTTCTGTAGTGAATTCGCCGAACTCCTGCACTCGCTCGCTAGGGTCTTCAGCTCGTAGATGTGGACTGCTCGGTTCGCCATGGCGACGACCAATTTCGAGGGCGAGACGGCCAGGGAGAATGGTTTCGACGGCAGGTTGATTGTCGCGGTCGACCACCCTGCGTCTCCACCGGGGTGGATGTGCACCGTCGAGTCCCACGCCGCGGAGACAACCAGTGAGTGCTCCTTGCTGTAGACGACCGATCGGACTCCGTTGTCGTGTGTGCTCAAAACAGTCTGCGTCCCGGAGGGTACATCGATTCTGCCAAACAAAGAATTCTACAGTCAATCTTTTCATGTTCTTCCCAGATTGTCAATTCCATTTCTATTCGTACCTTCTGACATCCCAATCCAAGCACGCCGTGTAGATCTCATTGTCACTGTTGCCAAAACACACATCGAGTACGGGTGCGCGGTGCTCGAACTTGGCGACTTGCGTACACATCTTGCCATCCGTCACTTCGTAGATGTAGGCGTGCTTGTCCCACGAGGCGACGGCGAAGCGCTGCGAGTCTGGATGGGGTGAGAATCGCAGGGCTGAGATTGCGTCGGCAGGAGGGTCGGCGATGGAGAGTTGATCTATAGAGAGATTCAGCAGTGCATCATCAAACAAGGGCCGCAAAGACGTGACTTACTACTCGACATGTTGGAATCGACCGTTTCTGTGTAAATGCAACTCTTTCTGATGGTTTGCGTGGTGATGCGACACAGATGGATTTTGTGTAAGGCGCGAGCAAAACAAATAGATTGCGCTGGAGCGGCAAAAGTTCTGCCGCCCGTCACCGCCTCGGTACCTTGCAGCTCATTAATTGCGACAGCCTTGCCCCGCCCGTTGGCCAGCCTTGTCATCAATCAACACCATAGTCGTTACAACTTTTGCTTCAATGGGTTACAAGCACGACCGGGTGAGGTTGGCATTCGTGATTCCCAATGTGCTGTTAGCGATGAAATGTACCGGCACGTTACGTTGTATCAATATGGAGACATTTGCAAACTTTTGATGCCATGATACGTCTCGACGGATGCATTAACGAATGGTTCATTTCGATCCAAAGGTTGAGACTATTGCACGAGATAAGCCCGTAGCGGGAAACAGGGGGATAAAGGGAAAGAAGTCGAGGTTTTTGTGACGATAAATGACTTTTTGACATATTCAAGCGATATTAAACTCGTCCGCGGTCCCTCCCATCATCATCTTCCTGTTCATTCGGATCTTCTCCCTCATTTTCCGCGCCGCTTCATCAGCGTCACCGGCATTGTCCACATCGGCATCGGCATCTCGTGTCCTTGCTCTGTCGCCGCCTACATGCCGTATGGCACCACTATCCGTCGCGCTCCGCCCCCTCTTCGACCCGGCGGCCTTCTTGTTCCGGCCCACCCCCATCCCACTTGGCGTCTCTCTCAAGCCGAAACTCTTACAAAGATGGCCCAGGTGCAGCTCCTTGATATCGAACCACTTTCTCTCACTGGCGATGTGCGTCGCATAGGCCCTCACGTGGCTTTGGAAAGCTCTCTTCGCTAAGTCTTTGTTTTGCGGGGATGACAAGATGAAGCGCTCGAGCGAGAGTTGAAGGTCCGTGGCGCGAGATTGCCAATCTGCACCACCCTTCTCGCTCTTGTGGGTTTTATTCTTGGTCGGAATAACGCCGCTGAGTGGCGTGAAACCCTTTTTGAGCACTTCCTCAGCGGACACGGAGGAGACATTCGCCACGGTATCGGATCCTGTCTTGTATGAGCTTTTCAGCACCGAGACGTAGCCTTCTTCCTTGCCCGGGAGTAGGAAAATGATAGCTCTGCCATCCCGTCCCAGACGAGCGGTGCGCCCAATCCGATGCACGTGGTCTTCGGCGCTGAATGCCGGATCGTACTCAATCACAAGATCGAGGTTGGGTAGGTCAAGGCCGCGAGAGGCGACGTCCGTGGCGACCAACAGAGACGGAGAAGTGGTGGCGGCGAAGCGTTTGACGATGTTGGTGCGGGTGATTTGAGGCAGAGATCCGTGCAGTTTGTAAAGCGTTACTTGGTTGTGCGAGGACGAGAGGGTAGGGGAGGGCAGGATCGAGTCGGAGACGGATGGGTCACGGGTCGAGGTTGGCGAGGGTTTGCCAGCTTCAACATCTTCGGCCTGAGAGTCGGTTTCCCCGTGGTCATGTTCAGGTTCCTTATCCTCTGAAGAATCATGTCCCTCGAATGCCGTTGTGAATGCCTTGAAATGGAATTCGACGGAATCCGCGCAAGAGACAAAAACGATGGCCTTCATGACTGATCCCTTTCGCGCGAAGGTTCGCTTTAGTAATGCTGTAAGTGTGACGAACCTGAGTTTTGCAGCCGCGATGATATAGGATTGCTTGAGCTGTGCTGGAGCTAGGAATGCGGAATCCCTCGTGCCGTTGCCATTCGTCGTCGCGTCGCCGGCTGCCTCTCCTTGTCCTAGTCCATCGCCGTCCCCAGAATCACCTTTGATTAGGACAGCATCTTTCAGGCTTATCTCCCCCAGCTTCTGTACGTTCATCTTCAATGTCGCCGAACACAGCACCGTTGTCCGTTTTTCAGGCAGACCCGGCCATTTGCTGCTGCCCCTCGGCCTCTTTTTCTGATCTAGAGTCTTCACGATCTTGGTAATGTCCTCTTCAAATCCGAGATCCACCAATCGATCCCCCTCATCTAGGACCAGCCACCGGACGTTGCTCACATCCAGCGCCTTTGTATTTTCCAGGTGGTCAACTAATCGACCGGGCGTCGCCACCAAAATGTTGAGACCCTTTCGCATGCGTGCTTTCTCTGATTTCTTCTTTTCGCCCCCTATTACATGGCCAGCGACGATATAGTGCGCACAACCGAGCAAGCGCTCGAGAACGACAGAGATCTGTTTGCACAGCTCGCGGGTCGGAGCAAGGATGATGGCGAAAAGACCAGAGTCGCGATGTAGCATCGACGGATCTTGTGTGTAATCTTCTTTATTTTCTGCCACTTGTTCAGACATGGTCATGATTCGCTGTACCAAAGGGAGTAGATATGCCAACGTCTTCCCGGAGCCGGTCTCCGACTGTATGAATGCATCGCTGTCGTCCTTTAGCATTTGTGAAACCGCTGCCTTTTGGATCGCCGTAGGGGTTTTGAGGTTCATCTTGGTTAAGAGATGCGTAGCTATGGTGGAGGAAAGGCCGAGAGATGTGAAGGTGTCAATACCATCAATCAGAGGGGCGTTAGAAGGCGCCGTTGGCTTCTCTTCTTCTCCGCTATCCTTGAGTTGTTCCACAGCGGTCGATGGCTTCGGATTGTAGGTGAAGAGTGAAGAAATAACTTCGCGAGGGCCTGCTGTAGGTGGCCTCTGCTCATTATTTCGCCTCTGCGCGGGATGTTGAACTTGTGCTGAATCTGGCACATGTCCATTTTCACGCCTCCTCTTAGCCGGTCGAGCATCTGGGAATTCATCAGATTGACCTCCGTGTGTATGTTTATTCGTTCGGCCCTCGAAGCGGCCCTGCGCTATAGGGACTGTGTTTACATCGTGTTGTCTCTTCTGGTCGCCGCCTCTTTCCCGTCTCTGAGCTGACCTTTTCGCTCTCAGACGGTCTCTCCACGACCCACCTTTGAATTTGCGCGTGCTGTTGGCAGCGGCAGAGGGAAGGCTCTCGTCGACGGAGAAGTTCAGGAACATGCCATCGTCGGCCATTTTCATCGGTTCGGTGCTCCTCTAGAGAATTCAAAGATGCAGATCTCGAACTTTTTTTTCTGTGGCCGAGGGAATGCGGAGAAACACATTCTCCGATTGGCTGGCCTTGTCTAGCCTCGTTCGGCGTCGGTAACGCAGCTGCGGACCTCGATTCACCTTCGACGCTTCACTTCTACGCTGCACATTGTATCATGAGCGCCTTGACTCACCCTCAAGAGACGGTGAGTTCAAGAGTGTCAAAATGAGGTTGCTGTCTCTGCAACCTGCGACTCACACTTCGTTTCATCCCCCTCCCGTCCACACCACCCCCACTCGAGCTGGCAGCTATGGATAGACTCGCATTGAGGTCGGCCGGCTTCCGAAGTTGGACGGCGACGAAATCACCATGGCAGCGACGAATATCTCCCTTCGTGGCTCTGCCATCATACATATTACGATGGAACTCGACCTCCACTCCGCCTGCCTCCCCCTTCCCTGTCTTCCGACACGTAAACCAACTCCGCGCCTTGCGCAGGAAGCTCCTCCTTCAAGGACGTACTGTGGGCTTCGTCCCAACGATGGGGGCTCTACATGAAGGCCACCTCTCCCTTGTACGCCACGCCCTTCAAGAGAACACTGACGTCTTTATTTCTATCTTCGTCAATCCTACCCAATTTGCTGCGCACGAGGATCTCGATTCCTACCCAGTCACCTGGAATGAAGACATGGAGAAACTTCAAAAGCTGCAAATGGAACACATCGCGACTGTGGGCCGGTCGCAGAGGCCTGGGGCGATACGGGGTGTCTTCGCGCCCACTGTCAAGACCATGTATCCTACGCTCCCGCCCACTTCAGACATCGCTGGTCCCGGCTCCTTCGTCACAATCACGCCCCTTGGGTCTCAACTCGAGGGAGCATCGCGCCCGATATTTTTCCGTGGCGTCGCGACAGTCTGCACCAAGTTGTTCAACATTGTCCAAGCTGACCGCGTCTATTTTGGGCAGAAGGATATCCAGCAGTCGGTCCTCATCAAACGTATGGTTAAGGATTTCCACATTCCTACCGAAGTTCGCGTCGTGCCGACGGAAAGAGAATCGGACGGATTGGCCATGAGTAGCCGAAATGTCTATCTTGGAGATCGGCGAAGGGAAGATGCTACGGTCCTTTCAAGGGCTCTTTTAGCTGCGCGTGACCTGTATAACACGGGTGTATTGGATGTAAGGCGCCTGCGCAGAGCCGCGTTCAACGTCTTTGAGGAGGACGCCGCAAGAATTAGAAGTGATGGCCGAGTCGGTCCGAGCGGCCGCCTTGAGATCGACTACATTGCGATGAGCCAACCAGACACAATGGGAACCATTATGGACGACGAGAAAGTCAATCCGCGCATCGGCGCCATCGTCAGTGCCGCGATGATCGTCTCTCCAGTCGACAAGCCAAAAACCCAGGAGGAGCTGAATCAACGGAGCGTCAGGCTCATCGACAATGTGATACTGGAACCCCGCGTAAGTAGGAAAGAGCGGAAGTATCTCAGACAGCACGCTGCGAATCCCGGGAAACATCGCAAAGTTTCACAACTAAGCATTCGGAAGATCAGTCAGGGAAGGCAAGAGGATTTGAGGCCAGAGGAACAGGCTGATGCTGTGGGAGGAGTACCAGTCGAAGAATTAAAGCAATGAAGCGCAGAGTGCGTAAGTTTGGATATCGAGCATGCGCATTGCAGGGGAAAAGCGTTGTCAGTATATATCCCACAATGAAATTTTGCCATCTTTACCGCCAGCACCTAGCCAATGCGTCCGTCGGGCTTTCTCTTCCCGTTGTTGCTTTATCATGTCGAGCGCATTCCTGGGCTGTGTGAGATCTTTTGTGGCAGTATTGCTCGATAACACTGCGTTTCCACCGGGACTAGCAGATGAAGAAGGAGGGACATCTTCCGTGACATCCGCATCGAGAGTCACAATAGGATCAATGATCGCAAAAGCGGTGGAATAGCATCCAACTTTATGCCACTTCAGCACCGCCAATTCCTTCATCGTCTTGCACGAATACACGCGCACTCGCCCGTCCCAGCCCGCGGTGGCGAAGATCTTGCCGTCGGAGCGCACGCTGAGCCCCTGCTGGCCGGAATGTTTTGTGTTGAGGGACTTTTCGCTTTCCAGGTCCTTTGATTCGACATTGCTGAGTGAAGGTAGACAGAATTTGGAGATGAGCGAGTCGGCGCTGGACGTGAGAAAGTGTGTCTTGGAGGGGAGCATGGCGAGCGATAAAATGGGCTGCGTGTGCGCTTTGCAGCTGGTGATTTTTTGCCATCTCTCCGAACTGTTTGGGTTGCTGAGATCTCCTGCATGACTGTGCACAGTGATTCGTCCGTCCTCGTAGCCCGAGACAAGCACGAGTCGTGAAGCAGTGTCGGTCGTCTGGTGGAAGAGGCAGACAGCCATCACCATCCCCGTAGGGCTGTCCTTGTCTGACCTGATCTGCGACACTCGTCTTTCTGATGGCAGTTGGAAGATGTCAATGCCCCCTGAGTCGAGGCCATTCGGCGAGGCAATGAGTTGAGGGGCGGCTTCCTCGCTTGCTGGTTGTCGGGGATCCTGGTGGCATATGGAGAAGGCACAAAAATTGAGGGCGTTGACCGACATGGAATGAAGTAGCCATGGCTGCGGATGGTCTGAAGATGATGATGCTGCTGCTGAGCCATCCGATTCAGACGGCAGTTTTGTACTCAGACCCGCGAGATCTTCCTGTCGAAGTTGCCAGACGCGGAGTTTATGGTCCCTTCCGTGGCTTTATGATGTCGCGCGTTTCAGTCGGTTTTCCTCGCGGTGGGGAGATTATCAAAACTCAAGGGGTTGATAGTTGCGCTTACCTTACAAGTCTGCCTGTCGTCCAATGCTCGATGTGCAAGATGCCCGCCTCGTGCGCCTTCCATACAGCCACGGGTCGTTTGGACGAGAGACTCCATATTACCATCCACCCGTCGCTGTCTCCGGAGGCAAGTAGTGCGTTGTCGGCGTAGAAGTGAAGGGCATGGACGGCGGCTTCGTGACCTCGCAGGATGTAGGCAGGTACTGCTGGACTGGGCTCCATGGTGTGTATGGTGGTTCCGTTCAAGTTGGCATGTCTGGGCGCTGTCCGAGATTGAGGATCTTAATTTGATATGGGCTGCGAAACGAGAAGGCGAGGAAACCGCTGCATCGAATCGCAAAGGGAAGGTCCGCTGTCGTTGAAGCACAACACGATGCCTGAGTAAAGTGACATAGTCTGACGAGGATGTGTTCCTTGGCAACACAAATGAAGTCCTTCTCTGTTTAGCCGACGGTCGCCTTCAATACTGATGGTAATAAAATTAGACTTAGAGAGGGAGCTTTCTGTATTGTAACTACAGCACTGACATTGTTTGGCACAGTGGCCTCTGAGTTGTCATTGAGCCTTTGTTGAATACTCGAAAGATTGAGGTGCACTTTGTCTGTGCTTGTCAGACAGACGCTCTCCAAGGGTTTTCGCAGAATGTGCGCAGTCTGACATCAGGAAAACCCTGTTTTCTGATTTGTCTCGCGGACCCTCAACAACGCGAAGTGGTTACCCTTTGCGAGCCAAATGAACAGTACAATTGCAAGACAGTAGGGTATTATTTTTGAGTGTTGCCAATTTGTCTGGTATGAATGAATAGCAACTGGTATAGTCATATCCTGAGTGGTCACTTTGGGAGGTAGTACCCACCCTTAACTTAATTAGGTTGGTGTGGAATTCCAGCTTAGTCATGAACCCCCACATTTGAATATGATGATTGGCCAGTGTTTCTCACACACCCAAAACGGAAATCTCTCTTTTCTCTCAACACCACCACCAAAATGCCATCTCCTTCCACAAAAACTCAAAATATATACAAAAAAACCTCAAAAACTCCTATGTGCCCACTGCAGGAATCGAACCTACGATCTTCTCATTGGCTAGATTCAAAATCTACGAGTGAGACGCCTTACCACTGAGCCAAGCGGGCTATCACTTGTGTGTGATATTTAACTGGTAAATTGGAGGATGCAATTAATAAATGTAGAGAAAAGATGTCCCACACGATCGGACGGAGGGCTGGCCACCCCTCCGTATGACTTTGACTAAGGTTGGTTGGATTGTTCGAACTTCGGGCGTCCAATGAACACCCCCCTTGCTTACGAGCAGAATTCGGGGCGAAATCGCTGTGGATTTCGGGTATACTACGGAATCTTCCGTGCTCGCTTGGAAGGCATGGGTTTCAGCTTGCAAAGGGCGATTCAGGAATCAAGTTGCGCGCTGAATCCCAAGACTTTTTCAGCGCATCCACGGGTGATATTGGCAGCTAAAACATTGGGACCCAGCCTCCGGTATCGAAACAATACAGAATCCACAGGGGACAAATCACCTGTCTTTCACGTAAATGGGGTTTCTCAAAAAGTTTACAGTCCACAATCAACAATCATCCGGGCCCTGGGGGACGGTTCAGGCACCCTAGTCTCTGGAATCTTACAGGGTCGCGTGGGGAAGAAACCGTTCCTGGGATGTTGATGCGAGGCGTCCACGAGGTGACCCGGCGGTCTGGTTGAGGCTGCCACGTTTTTTGCTAAGAGATGACGCTACGAAGACGGGTGGAAGTAATGTATGAACCTTGACGGGGGCTTGGGAGGGTAGTCTCATGCAGGAGGCGATTTGTTCTGGAAGCGAGGGGGATAGGGATGGGGCCGTGAGGATTCCTGCATGCAGGACTGAGTCGACGCGATGCGACAGAGTTTGAGCTGTGCAGGGGCTGTACTCGGCAGTGAAACTTATTCCTTGCAAAAAGGCCAGACACGCGAGTAAAGGCTCGCCTGATGAAGGGAGAGAAGGGCCAGAGGCTGACAAGGACCATTTCCCTGTGGTTACTGAAGAATGTATTCTACTCCTAGGTTGTGTAGCTTAAGGCTGGCGGAAGAGGCCACGTACCTTATGCTTTAGGCGTCAAGACTAGTGATTTTGTGCGGCTTGGTCGCAAGGTTTCAGAATCAACGCGCAGCCGTCTCAGCTCAGCAGGCGGGAGACTGAGCCACATCACTCGCATGAAAACCGACTATGAGGCACTATTGCCACGTGGAAGCAAACCCTCACCAGCCACAGTTAGTCTCGATCGGGCCAGCAATCACCTCGAAGCGAGCTCACTTTCGGCTGGAGTCGTCCGGGCGACACGCCTGAGGGATGCAGCGGGTGCCAGGGGGCGCCTGTTCGGGCACCCCGAGGGTAGGGTCAGCCGGAGGGGTCGCCCAGAGAGGAAGACATATGCAGACGAGGGAGCCGAAATAGGCAACTGGAAAGCCACAGTGCATGAATCGAGACTCTAGGCCTTGGGGACTTCGTATTGGGTCAGCAAAAGGCCCAAGGAGGGGTACACAGGGGTTGTCGGGTGTGAGGGGGGAAAAGGGTGAGGGGAAAAGGGAGTCATCGGATGAGGGCAAGTTCGACAAATGTAAGGAATGTGGGAGAACATCCCCGGGCCGCCAAGTTGACGCTGAAGGTTAGAGTTCGTTTGGGGGTGATAGAAGCTAGCAATGGCCTAGAGACGAGGACAAATTGGGATAACGCTTTATGTAGGGACGACAAAGGAACAAGCTGGAAGCAAGGGAAGGGCCTGTAGATTGGTAGCAAAAACCGATCTCCGGGACGAGGAAGCTGAAGAGGGGCGGAAGCGATGCAAGAATCCATAATCTGACTGGCTCTTGACCTCGGAGACACTGGCCGGGGTTGTGGGATGAAAACAGCATAGGAAGCGAATGAAGCCCGAGAGGCAGGGGTGTATTCGCCGAGTTGGGCCTCAAGGCAGGAAGGTGATCCCCAAACAGGTACCACGCGGTCACCCCAAATGAGCTTCTCAGACGTCAGGCAACGCCGTGGTCGAGAACGGTCCGATGGATTGAACGAGCGAGGATCCATCTGTGAGCATAAGAAGGGACAAGCATTGATAGACAGGCGCATTGACTGGGTTTGACAAAGGGCGAGATCTCGGGAGGAGGTAACGAGTCGGAGGAGGAGGAAGAGGAGGGGGGTGGAGGTGGAGGTTTGCGATGGATGATGATATTGATGAGGATGGTGATGGTGACACGCCAGGTGATGATGATGATATTGTTTGACTTGACGGTGAACGGGGGCCAACCATGGGTACCTGGAAAGGAGCGTATACTTGAGTTGCCAATCACTTCCCATCACCTCCTAGTTGAAGCCAAGCCAGAAGCCAGAAACCAACAGAAATCCAAATCGTGCACGGCGATCATCCAGAAACCCCGATCTGCCCTGATAATTGTCATGCATTCCTGCTCATTGCTGCCCAGATGTTGCTGAAGTGGTGCCTGTTCAGCTGTCAACAGACACCAGGCTGGGGCTGCTGAATGTCCAGTGGGTTGCTGTGGGCTGCTGTGGTCTTGCATCAGCTGCGGTGATGATGGAAGGATTTACAGGGCAGTGGCCGCCCATACAGGGTACCTAGGTAGGTACCCAGGTAGGTCATGCCTGAAACTACCAGTCAAGGTAGCTAGAAGAAGAATTGGGGAAGCGAGTACGCTGCCCAGGCTGCCCGGGCTGCCCCTTCGCAGGCTCCCGGTACCTTGGTGGGCTCTGGCCTCTAGGCTCTAGGCTCTAGGTTCTCCGCGGCCTCCCTAAGAATCCCCACTAGCCATTATTACTCGTTAGACGCTGTCGGCCTCCCCCGGCAGCCTCGAAGCCTTCCAGCACTAACCCACTCGGCCCCTAGCCTTAAAGCCACACCTAGCCCAGCCCACCCCCTGGTCGGCCTTCCTGAGAGCAGCAAGACTAGCCTAAGCTAACGAGGACAGGGGCCAGGGTTCCAGTGCTGATCCCTACTAAAGCCGCCCCTCCCACCCAATCACGTCGGCCGTGGGACTCGCCTTCTCCGTATCGTCCAGGGCGGAGTCTCAGTTAAGCTGATCCAACATCCCAGCAGTTATTTGCTGCATGGGCGTCTGCTAAGGTTTCTGATTTCTGATTTTGCGAAACGAAACCAAAAAAACCAGGCGAGGAAAAAAAAGCAAAAAGAACGAATATGTAAAGCCACAACCTAAACTGTCAGCGTGCCAAACTCCCGGAATCAGGCTAGCGAAATGCCCCCCCAGCGCCAGCGCCAGCACCACTACAAACACCATCACCACCTCCAGCAACGGCCACGGCAGCACCAAGCAGCATCTCCATTCCTTCAGCAAGCAATCGTTTCGCGTCCTGTCCGATTCCCATCTTCCATCAAACGTCTGGACCCGCGCCTCATCTTTCCTTAATTGCCCCCAATGTCCGCTCCCCCACTCGTACCACCACCACGACCATCACAACTACCGCTGCCACTCCTCCCATAGAAGCGACTTGACAGAGCCTACTTCTTGAAAGCATATTCATCGACCTCTTCTGGTTTCCAAGTTTCCCTCCAGACAAGCTGTTGACTACCCAAGGTATGTTCCATCTCATTTATCAAGGATTAGGAAAAATAGAGAGAGGGCGGCTCGCCGTGGACGGTCCTGCATGCCGTCATTTGTCGCAAAAGACCAAGGACGAGAAGGCTGCTTCGGGAGGGAGAGAAGGCTGCTTCTATACACCTGCGCCGCCCCCAGAAGGCCGTGCAGTTACTGGCGACACCCATAGTCCTGCACATCTCCTTGTCCGCGAGTCTCAATTGTCTATATCGTGGACGTTTCACATACTGACTCCGCCGATCATACAGATCACCGCACACCAGTCCACGGACCAACCCCCAAGACACAAACATATCGCCGCAACACAACCCCAACACCGGTGGGGACAACACGCGCCCAGGACCTCGAACCTCGACATTCCCATCAAGGCATAACTCTAGCCAACATCGACGCTGACACCACGCCCGGCAATGACTGCTGGGTAAACCGGTCAAGCTGGCGCATAACTACTGTTACGCCCATCTGCCCTCTGCGGCTTCCGGTCCGTTGGAAGGTGCAGATATCAGGTCTCTCAACGCCCTCTCCTATCCCAGGGCGAACCACAATCCCCTGTCATTGCAGACAACGCAACTGTCTCCAGGGCAGGTTCCCGGAAAAACCTTTTCCTCCGCTTACACGCTACTAACTCCGCCATACGCGTCCGCAGATGTTACAGTCCATCACCAGTATTCCATGACCCCAGACTCGTCGACGAAATCGACGCCCTCCTCCCAGACCCTCCAGAACAGTCCCCGCTCCATGACGGAGCCCGAGGCTCCTCAACAACCCAAGTCGGACAACGTCCAATCAGCGAAACAGAAGCGGGTGAGGACCGGATGTTTGACCTGTCGCGAACGGCACCTCAAGTGCGACGAAGCCTTACCAAACTGTCAGAATTGCATCAGGTCCAACCGAAAATGCAAGCGCGGCGTGCGCTTAAACTTCATCGACGTTCATTGCCAGAACCCCCCATACTTAGTCCCGCGCACGCGCGATTGGAGTGTCTCCTTTCAAGATGACTCGCGCGACATCGCCTCTGAGTATCAAGGCGGCCGGGAGAAGTATCATCCTCTTGAGCCAGAACCCAAACGACAGAAAGTGGACGTGTCCGGGGGGGCCTACGACTATAGTCAGATAGCAGCTCCAACCATGTCGCATCCGCAGCTCCCAGCTCCACACTCCTATCCTCATTCTTATGCCGAGTCGGCACAAGCCATGTATTCTACTCCCACAACGCAAGCCTTTGACGATACGACCAGTGCCATAGGACCTTACCCAGAAGCAGCTCGAGCAGTGAGACAACCCTACCACCAACAGACAATGGTCACCCCCGTCGAGCAGGAACAAATCTACCCACGCCTAGAGGACCGCAACGAGGTTTTGTACATGCAAGTGTATGTGGAGGAGGTGGGTTTGTGGATGGACTCGATGGACGCGGAGAAGCACTTCTCTCGTCTGATACCCTTCCAAGCGCTCAAGGAACCCATGCTGAAGTATGCTTTGCTGGCTTGTGGAGTCCGACACCTCACCTTGGTCAATCCCATCTACCCGGAAGAGCATGCACTGAATTACTACAACAATGCAACGCAGCTACTACTGAAGGCGCTACAGGACCCCGATCGAGATAGCGTGTTGTGCGCCACCACGGCTACCATTCTCAACGTCTACGAAGTCATGTCTGAGAAAGCTCTGCAACGGATGAACCATATCGCCGGTGCCCGTGCCCTCATCAAGGAGTGTCGGTGGGATGCCACCTCAACGGGCATCGGGGCAGCCTGTTTCTGGCTGAATGTCGGACTAGAATTGTTTAGCTGCTTGCATTTTAATTGGGCCGTTGCTTGGGACCCCGACACCTGGGGTATTGACATTGCCATGACCCCTCAGCTTGTTCCCGGACACGAAGAAGACTGGGCGCACAGGATGCTGTGGATCCTCTCGAAGATCACCAACTTCAGGTCTGAGGCCCAGCGGCGCTACCATGACAGCAATGTTCATGCAGAACAGATGCGCTTGCACCAGCGGAACAAACAGTGGCTGGGCCTGAAGTTCTTCTGTGACCGTTGGCATGAGTGTGTGCCGCCCACAATGCATGCTCTCGCAAGCGTTCCGCCTCAGTTGACCTCATCCAAAAGTGCATTTCCTGAGCTGTGGTACCTCAAGAGGACTACCATCGTTGCTAGGCTGTTCTATCATACAGCTATGGCGCTGCTAGGCTCAGTTCATCCCTTGGCCACCATGCACTCTCAAAAGGCGGAGGAGATGCAAGAAATGAGGATTCGTCATTCAAGACAAGTCTGCGGCATCGTGGCCCACGTCAAGGACCGGGGTGTGGCTTCAGCCTCCATCCGCTGTCTGGCAGTGGCTGGCGAGAACCTCAGCGTCAGACGCGAACAGGAAGAGGTGCTGCAGATTTTTGACCGCATCAAAAAAGAAACGGGCTGGCGCGTCGACTCGATCCACGATGAACTTAGGGAGAAATGGGGTTGGACTAGCGTTGCCCAAGACTACGACACCATGAGTTCGGCGTCTTCATTCTATGCTCCTTCGAGACCTTCAGCTGCTTCTGACACACCAAATGCAACGCCGCCTCGTGCAAAATACCCCAGCGGTATCGTCAATCCACTGTACCAAAATGCCGATTTTTCAGCCCAGAATCCGCCGTATCAAGGGAACTACGTCCCTCCTGCTTCTGGACATGTTATGCATAACACCACGCAAATGTATGGGTATTCCGGTATTACAGCCATTTGACCTTGCTCCAGACTCATTGTGAAGAGTGTCGGGGCACTACAGAACCTGACTTCATGTTCTCTACTTCGTTGCGTCACAGCATAAAATCATGGGCGTTGGCAGTTTTGATTGTATCCAGCCCGGACACCGAGGGAGAGTTGCTGGACCCACTCGATCCTCGCGGCTGTGCATCGAAGACTTGAATTTGGGACTTAGCCGGACAGCATAGATACGATGGGGAACGGGCCAAGGTATGGGCCGGAACAGAAGCCACTGGTTCTTTGGGGGCACAAAATTGGCATTCAGCGGGTGTTTCTCTCGGTTAAGAAGAAGACCCAGTGCTCTGGGCACCAGACGACACGGGCAAGCCTGGTAACTAATGATTGCAGTATACGCATTAGGTGATTTGTATATAGGTATCCGACTGTGAGTCCTCAGCCTGAGTGGTCTCCACAACCAACTCCCCAACTTGCAGGGGACATAACCCATTTCGCCCGATACACGTAGAACATCTGCCTCCTTCCATAAGTGTGGCATGTCCGTGAGGCTGCTGACTCGTGTATTAGCAAAGTCCTCCTTCGCTTGCGCCTCGTAACCTTATCCAATATCGCATCTACTGATTTGCCAACTAGAGCTCCTTGGTTCAGCCGCACGTATTCCTCTTCGGAAATTGCCAGAATACGATTCCCCAGCATCTAAAAGCGTGTGCTCCTCGAGCCTCAGCCGTGGAGCTGCTCAGCCACCGGCGACATCGAGATGGCCGTTGTTGGTATGTTTGTGCTGTGTCTGTCGACGCTCTTCCTCCTTCTAGCCCCATCTTCCGGAGTCAGCATCCAGTCTGATATAATCTCGAAATGCGACGATGCGAAGGGCCCTGACGAACAATGCAGCATTGTGGGTGATGGAGACTTCTACGGCTTGGGGGTCAGAATCGGCATCTACGCGTCGTGGTTCGCTTCCTGGGTCAGCAACAGCTTCTTGCTCGATGCGAGAGAGATCTGCCAATCTCTCGACACCAACGCCAGCTTTTTGTTCGCCATCGCCGTCGCCGTCGCTACATACTCTATGTCGGGCAACATCCGAATCATCGATGCGCTGATCCTGCTCCTGCTGTCTTTCGGGTATCTGCTCAGCGTGATGACCATCTGGGGTTACAGGACGAAACCGGCAAACCGCCATCATTTCGGTGGCTGGGGCACACATTTCCGCCTTGTCCTCGTGAATGCTATAAGCGCCTATGGCATTTGGTTCTGGGGCGTCGGCATGACGTACAAGCTTCCCAAATGCAACACGAGAGAACAGTGCGGCGGGCTGAAGCTGTGGATTCTCGTTCAAGTCCCCATCGCAGGCGCTGGGATTCGAAACTTGTTCCTGGCCTTTTCGTGCATCTGTGGTGCCTATTATTTCGCCATGTTTCTTGCCGCCGTTCTGGCTTTCGTGAAACTCTTGCGCGAAACGAGCGACAACAACTGGAGGGACTGCCGTAAGTCGTTCAGCCGGAGATTGCGCGAGCAGATCGCGAAGGTGGACCCTTGGCCTCTGAACCTGTGAGTTTGCTCTGTTTCCTGTTTGCATATTCGTCCTTTTCAATGCTTCTCTCGTTGACTAAATCATCAAAGGCCAGAGAGAACTAGGAGCACAATCGCTTTTTGGACGTTTGTGTGGCTTGTCTTTGCCATTGCATCAATAGAGATGACTCTCCAGATCAACCATGTGACTGGGCCCAGTGTCCAGACATTTATCGCCAATGCCGGTCAATTCATTCCGCTTGTCGTCGGCGGCTGTACCCTTCTGAGGGTCCTTTGGAAAGTCGGCCTCCTGGGTCTGCCTTTTAAGCTGCTCATGACTTTTCTGTTCCCGGACGTCAAACCAGAGTGTCCGAGCACAACCTCCCGAAACGAGACGATGTATTCGGCGCCGCATGAGCGAACTTGGTGGTGGTGGACCATTACCACATGGCTGCCCTGGCTTTGTGTCTTCCGGTGCTGGAGGCATGCTGGCCGAAGGAGCCCGATGCGGAGGAAGCTTCGAGACTCGAGTTCGGGAAGCTACGGCTTCTCGAGTTATACCACGGAGACCAATGGCTCTGGTTCATCTCCATCATCGAATTGAGCTAGGTGCTGAGCGACGGCCGCGCTCTAGAAATGAGCAGTGGAGATACTGTTTGTATCATCGGCTTTCTGAGTCGTCTCTTTTGCCAGTCATATCAAGTGCTCCCCGTGAATATGTACGGGGGTCATATAGGCACCTATTCTGCGAGCCGCTTTAATTGGATAGAGTAACTGGGAAGACAATACTCGGCAACCCTCGGTATGGGTGTGTTTTATTGACTACCTAGGTGATGTTGACTATTGCTAGGCTAGTAGGCTTCAACCAGGTAGGTAGGCCGAAAAATTGCTAAGGGGAAAGTTACCATCAATATGTGGACTAAACCGGCCATGAAGTGCGATAGGAACTTGAGGAAACATAGAAATAGGGGATCCGAGGCTTCACATGCCGGCAGTTGCGAATCTCAAGTTATGAGAAATTTCCCTAGTCAATTTTCCTTGTCAACACCTGATTGACTTCGTCTACAAGCAATAATAGTCATGGAGCAAGACCAGACTCGCAGCGACAAGCCAGGGCGCCCGCCCGCTCAATCGGTCCTCCACGAGGTACGGACCGCCGAAAACAGCGCTGCTTACTTGCTGCCCAAGCTGCAGTCCATGAAAGAAACAAATTCGCATTTGTCGCTGTTGGACGTCGGCGCCGGCTCCGGCACCATCTCCGTGAGTTTCGCAAAGCTCATCCCCGACGGCCACGTTACCGGCATTGACCTCAACCCCAACATCCTGCCACGGGCACAGGCTGTCGCCGAAATGGCCGGCGTCAAAAACATCGACTTCCAGCAGGGCAGTGTGTTCAAGCTCCCCTTTGCCGACGAGACGTTCGACATCACCTGTTGCCATCAGGTGCTGATCCACATTGGAACCCCGTGGGACGGACTGCGAGAAATGCTCCGAGTGACAAAGCGAGGCGGCATCGTCGCGGCTCGCGAGGGCGACTACGAGACCGAATGCGTCTGGCCGGAATCCCCTGAGCTCTCCAAGTTCCACAAGCTCATGGCAGGCATGATGAGTGCCGGCGGCGGCACGCCAACGGCAGGCCGACAGCTGCTTTCTTGGGCACTCAAGGCTGGTGCCGAGCCCAGCCAGGTCACGCTCAGCTATAGTCCATCGTCCTACGATACACCTAGCGGGAGGAAAATCTGCTGTAAGCTCTTTTCCCTTTTTCTCATAATTTTATCCTGCTTTCTCGTAGCTTCCGATCATGGCTTCTAATGGCCGTGTCATCCTCTAGCCCAGGGGTTGTGTGAACAGCTCAGAGGGGGTGGCTTGCGCGCGAAAGCCCTCAAGTTCGGTCTAGGTTCTGAAGAGGATTTTGCAAAAATGGCCAAGGCTTGGGAGGAGTGGGCAGAGAGAGATGATTCCAGCCTCGCCATGTTGCACGGAGAGATTCTTGTCCAAAAGTAAGGATTGAGAAACCCGCAAGTGACTTTTTTGCCACTGGTCCACCACACGCCGGAGGTGCAAAGACAAGACGTGATAGAGCAAAGGCGGGAATCCAACAGAAACCGGAAAGCATTGACAATGCTATCAATCTGCAGCAACATCGGACAATCTCAATGTTCCGGCCGCAGTCAAGTCAATGTGAAGGCCGAGGGTGGTATATCCCGAAAGCGGTGCCGAACATGGAGTCCCGGTCATTCCCCTATTGTCTTGTCCCTCGAACGGAAATCGCGGAATTTTAAGAATGTTGCCTCTCGTCCTGGCATTATGCCTAGTGGTCGATTTCTCCAGAAAACCCCACACTATTGATGGGGAAGCTATTTCCCCTGGCATGCCCAGAACCCGCTGGTGGTAGACCTTTGCTCGATGAGTTGTATCTTCTTGAGCATATTACCTCTCTCACCACCCTCACTTCAAATAGCTTAGGAGTGACTTTCGATACCAAGGACGCAGCAGGCAGGCTCCCGGCAACATACCGCGAGCTTCTCGGGCAACAGAGATGTCGAATGATTCTAGCCGCAAACAGCGGTTTAAGCGGCCTAGATATGCTGCAAGGGCATGGTATGTCGCACCCTCGAGTCGTTGATAATTCTTCTATCATGATAACCAACCGGTTTCAGCAAAGAGTGTAAGCGCAGGAAAGTCAAGTGCAACGGAGAAACTCCCTGCCTTCATTGCGATCGCTACGAGGTCCAGTGTCTCTATCCGGCAAAGAACGTCCCTGCTCCTGCCCAAAATTCGTCGTAAGTCGATGCATTTCTGGCAACAGAGGATGTTTCTGACATGGCACAGGGATATCGAAAAGATCAAAGAGCAGCTCGAAGGTCTTCAACAACAGCTCAGCATCCTGGTAGCGCGAGACAGTCCGTTCCAGCAAGGCGACAGAGCCCTGACTCTATTGGACTCATCTTCAATATGCTCGCCTCATTCGAGTCGAACCCTATCCTCATCCGCACCTGCGTCACAGGTTTCTGTCCATGAGTCGGTCAAGAACGCAGAGAAACCCTGTGGTTTGAATCAATTGACACGCCCACACAGCAGTGTCGACGTGATGGACGAGTTGTCCATCGGCTACTCTAGTGTGTCCACAAAACAAGCATCCTCTGCTCGAGGCGGACTCGCCGTTACGTGCCACCCTCTCTTGGCTATCTCACAGACAGAAGCCTTGCGTTTGATTGATATCTATGAGGATGAATGTGGATCTGTCTATCCCTTAATTGACATTGGCCATCTCCGATACTTCGCTACGAAATTCTACGCAAGTGCCAATGCGTCGCGGGAACCTGCCACTTGGCGCACTTTTCAGGTTGATCAATATTCGAAAGGATCGCTTCATAACTTGGAAATTGTGCTTGCAATCGGCTTGGTGATTGAGGGCGGTGGTTCAACCGACCTCGCCTCTGCATTGGTGGACGAGCTGGAAGCCGAAATTGACCACCGCCCGTCGGGAGTTTCTGCCGATTTACCTATCGCGGAGATTCTGAGCCTTATGGTAAGTCCTTATCCTCCGCTCACATCAAGGGTGTCCCACTAAGCAAGCATAAGAGTCTTTACCAGTTTTACCGCGAGGAAGATGTGCTTGCTTGGCGAACTATTGGCCTAGCCGCCAGGATTGCCTTAGAGCTAGGCTTGCATCTTCACGACCCGCCATTCGCGACCTTTCAAAGCGCAAGAGAGCGAGAACGTGCAAATCGACTCTTCTGGTGCATTTATTGCCTGGATAAGCGCTGGAGCCTCGGCACGGGACTTCCATTTGGTATCCAAGATGCTGATATTGACCCTAGTCTTCCAGAACCGGTGGGTTGCCTCGTCGTAAAGCGCACATATATATTAATCGTCATCACAGAATGATCCATACCCGTATCTTTTCACAAGCATGATAGCTTACTCGAGGATCGGATCGCAGATACTGAAAGCGTCGCCGGGAGCCGGTCACTGTCACGTTCGCCAAATCGGAACCAGAGAGGATATGGCTTTTCTCACATATCAGGTGCAGCAATGGTACAGTTCGCTTGACTCCGAGCTTCGGATAGAGCCTTGCCAGGAACTCGCCCTCAAGTCCTTGTCGCCTGCGCGCAACCGACTACGAATTCTTCACTATCTCCGGAGAAACCAGCTTCGCATGTTGATCCATAGAGGGGCGCTCTTCACCGCGTCCTCCATTAAGGCGGATCCGCAGAGCGCCAAAACCGCTGTTGACGTTGCAAAGGACACCATTACTTTGCTGGACCAGCTGCGCACCACTTCTGACATCTACAGCTCCCACCATGTCTGTTTCAATTACTTCCTCTATTCCGCCCTAACCGTGATCTTACTCGCTGCATATCGCGCGCAAGCCCAGTTCCACGAGTACTGTCGCGAAGAATTTCACATTGCTCTCAACCTCATGGGAGGACTTTCGGCAAAGTCCAGCGTAGCGAGAAAGCTGTGGAAGATCATCAGACATCTCAAGATCATGGGCCCTGAGACAGGCGTTCTTCCTTACATGGACACTCAGCAAGACCAGTTGAGACAGGAGCAAAACCACAAACCTCAGGTGAACAACAGGGTCGACAAATTCCTCGAACCAACCGACGCGCATCTCCCAGAAGCGTCACTCAATGCATGTGCGATGGATGGCTTTCCAAACGGGATACCTCACAGCAATCTTGGTATCTTGGCGGGCGATCATGCCGTGGATGCTAATTTACTCAGCGCGGAGCTTTCAGACCTTTTTCAAGCCATCGATCCTACTGGGTTTGAACAAGAACCATCACAAATCGTCGGCGCGCTTCCAACATTTCAAGCGGCACACGATTTCTCGAGGAGCACCTGGAACGTGTTCTAACCGACTAGTGTGCCATTCCATGACGGACAGCGCTTCCTGTTTGGGACACACGCCTTTCTAAGTACCATCGACGCAATGCCCTTGCCCTCGGATTGCGCAAGTGAAGTTCTTCAGAGAAGTCATTTAGAGATTTTACGTATTATAGCTCGCTGCGGGCCACTGTCAAACTAGTGGAACGTGAAAGAAGGATAGCCGTGGTCAATGCAGTCCTGCAACTTTTGCGAAAACATGGCAAGTCCACCGAAGAAGATCAGGGTCGAGCGCAATTTGCCCTGGACGTTGGCGCCGTAAAAGTACGAGTCGATTTTCTTGAAGAGCATCTTGTCGCTGATGGTGTCGCACAAAGCGCCCCATTCATCTTCGCCTTGCTTGGTGGATTCGATTGCCGTTTTCGAGAGCTTGCCCTGCTCTTGGGCTCGCATGATGGCGGATGTGATGAAGTCGACGTGGGCCTCGAGCATGGGAGGCACGTTCGCCAGGGGGGACTTGGGCCCAAGAATCATAAAGAGGTTAGGGAAGCCGGCGACCGCGACGCCCATGTTGGTGGTCGGGCCGTTCTTCCAATGCTCGTTGAGCGTGAGTCCACCGCGGCCCTCGATGCGGATCCGGCGGTATGCGCCGTCAAAGGCGTTGAAGCCCGTGGCGCAGATCAGGACGTCGAGCTCGTGGAACGTGCCGTCGACCAACTTAATCCCATTGCTCGTCACCTCGGCGATCGGGTGCTCCATGATGTCGACGATATCGACGTTGTCGCGATTAAATTGTTCATAGTACCCCGTGTCACAGATGGGCCGTCGGGCGTAAAGCTCCTTGGGGGTCAATTTCCTCCTTTTCTCGGGATCCTGCACAATCTGCGCAATCTTGGCCTTGATGAAGTCGCACGCCGTCTTGTTGGCGACTTCGTCTATGGTGATGTCGGTAAACGATCCCATCAGGAACCGGATTCCGCTCCCTTGATCCCACAACTCTTGGTAGATTCGTTCCCGTTCCTCACTCGACACTTCGGTGGTTTTGATCTTGGCCTCGTCGATGCCCCCACCACTAAAGGTCTGTCTCGCCCGGGCCCAGATGTCGTCGTATTTCTGGTTGATGGCATCTCGCTCCTCCTTCGACACGGGCTTCCTGCCGGCGGGGACGCTGTATTGAGGATGTCGTTGGAAACAAAGTAAGGAGCCCACCTTGGGCGCGATGGCCGTGATGAGCTGCACCCCGGTCGAGCCATTTCCGATTACACCGACTTTCTTGCCGCTAAAGTCGTAGCTATCGGGCCACCGCGCTGTGTGGTAGAGCTCTCCTTTGAAACTGGCGAGTCCTGCAATGCTCGGCCAATTGGGCTCGCTGAGCAGCCCTACGGCGGTGACCACGTATTGCGCGATGAAGTCACCGCCGCTGGTGCGTATGGTCCACGTGCGTTGCTCGTCGTTCCACCTCATGGACCGGACTTCGGTGTGGAACTGCATGTACTGTCGTAAGTTATGACGGTCGACGACATGGTTCAGGTAGGTCAGGATGTCCCCGGAGTCGAGGTAGTTTTCCGCCCAGGGATAGGACTGGAGATCTTCCTTGTCCCAGGAATACCGGTAGAGCAACGAATGTGTGTCGCTCATCGCCCCGGGGTAGCGGTTCCAGTACCATGTCCCTCCTGGGCCGCCGGCGCGATCAAACACGCGGACTGTGAGTCCAAGCTTGAGGAGGCGGTACGCTTGGTAGATGCCGCCCATGCCGGCGCCAATGACCACGGCATCATAACATCCCGACATGCTGCGGAGCAAGAGAGTTGCGAAAACAGACAAAAGTCGGTGTCTTATTGGGATCACTAAAGGGCGCGAGTTTCAAGAACCTGAAAAAGGCTTATACTTATTATGAGGAACTCTGGCATTGTTCATAAATGACAAGTCCTCCTCATCGCTTGCTGCGGCTCTCAAACCGCGGCGTTTCCGAAGGACTCCAGCTCGCGGACCGGCGATCTTCATCCTGTACTTAGCCACATTATTTTGGCCCGTGCTCCTGGGAGAATTGCGAGCTTCCAGACTCCGCGGACCAGGTCCGTGGTTTGGAACCCATGCTGCCAAGAGGTTCGAGACGGAGTTTACATTGGAGGGTGTACACATTCAGACGGGGGAGTACCGCGCTACCCTTGCTGCCACTTGTATACACGGGATGGCTTTCCGCAAACGCTGTGCAATGGTCGTGTGGCTACAGGCCGCATCTTGCAGCTCTCAGGCACCCACCAGGGGGTTTGATCTATCGAAAGCTACCGAGTACCGAGTACTCCACGCCTGGTGGGCCCTGGTGGGCCTGATACTCCACTTCATACCCCGCGAGACCAATACTCTGCGGGGATACTCCGCCTATTCGGCTCTAGTTTGTTGGTGCAAGGCTCGGAATCTCGGTGGAGGATTGCGAGATTCCATTTCCTGACTTTGACCTTGAGGCTTCGTGTCAAACGGCTCTCATGCACGGCAATTGCAGTATATGAGCCTACTCATGTTGCGGGTTTCGTGCAGAATGCTTCTCGAAGGTTTAGACACAGACCTGCACCCTGACTGGCCCCCGAATCTAGCGGTAAGGCCTTTATCGAGGCTCCCGACCACCATTTCGTGTTTATTCTCAATCACGTCCCTTCGCTAGAAAAAGACTCAGCCTCAGACCTTGATCAGTATAACAGCAAATCTTTGGAGAATCTCAGAATCATGACAAAAGGCGTCGCAGTCGTGACAGGGTCAGCCCAGGGGCTGGGCAAGGCCATTGCCAGCCGTCTCTCCCGCGACGGGTTCGCGGTGGTGATCAACGACCTCGCGAGCAAACAAGCCCAGATCGATGCAGTGGTGAAGGAGATCGAGGCGTCGGGAGGCACAGCGATCGGCATCGCCGCCGACGTGACCAGTCGCGCAGAGGTCCAGAATCTCGTCGACCGGGCGACCGAACAGCTGGGGGAGCCTTTACAGGTCATGGTCGCCAACGCCGGCCTCGCCCATGCAGACGGCATCTTCGAGCTCAGCGAGGAGCACGTCCAGCGGATCCTGAATGTCAACATCGTCGGCGTCTTCAACTGCTTTGTCGTCGCGGGCAAGAAGATGGTGGACCAGCGCAAGGGCGGCAAGATCATGGCGGCGTCGAGCATCGCCGCATTCAAGGGCATGGCTCTGGTCTCGGCATACACGGCGTCAAAGTGGGCTGTCAGGGGTCTGACTCAGGTATGTACAAAAACAAACAACAACCACCATTTTTTTGCCCGGCTGTGTTGGATTTGTTGGGGCTCGACGAACGACTTTTTCTTCTGACGTATTAACTTCTTTCTTTTGTGATAAGACCTTTGCCGTCGAGTTAGGCGCCCTATCCAAGGACCACGAGAAAACCATCAACGTAAGGACGATCCCTCTTTTCTGGAGAACCGATTGCAAGGCACATCCTCACGTGCTGACAAAAATTACTACAGGTCAATTGCTACGCTCCGGGAGTCGTTGGTACACCCATGTGGTCGGTAAGTTCTGATTGATTGTTTGATTAATCTTCGTTTCGGGGGTTGTGGTGGCCGTGGGCTCACTCGAGTTCTGTATCTTAATTGTCCAGGTCATGGTCGACAAGTTGCAAGAAATGCGCGCCCCGAAGCGCGAGGGTAAGACGTACATCGAAGAATTCGCTCTGAACCTCACTACGCTGGGCAGAGTCTCGGTGCCCGACGACGTGGCGAACGCGGTGAGCTTTCTAGCTGGGCCGGACTCGGACTGGGTCACTGGACAGGTGAGTCTGGGCCCCAGGACATTACTACTACAATTTTCTTTGGCTGACGAGATGTTTCCTCCTGACAAGAGCTTGGTCGTCGATGGCGGAATTGCGTTCAACTGAAGCTGATGGAGTGGACTTGCTGTCGGCAGGGTTGAATGGACGGTGGACGCTCAGGATGTGAATTTACCCTTGAGAAAGGTGGAGGATTGGATGGACTATGAATCCTCTGACTATTGGTGGTGACGGGCAAAATACGGGAGAATGAGTGCTTGCTTATCGAAGTACTTGAATCCCAAGTGTTGAAATACCGAGATTGTGGCTTGTAAATAGAATGCAACTCTGCTCGATTTAGCGGCATCTTGATTGCGCCTCAGTTTTCAGTCGTCGAGTGCTGTGCGAACTCGTCCAAGTCAGCGCTAAAAGGGAAGAACCGAGCCCGCTCGCTTCCGGCACGTTCAATAATTGCCCTCGCTGATGCTTGAGCTGGATATTGGTCCTCATGGAAGAAGAAGGAGAAGAAGACCAAGAAGCTAAAGTGATTGCATATTCACCCCATATCACGTTTCATCATATTTATACCACTACCTCGTTTCTCGTCACCCCTTCCATCTCCCATCAACCGGGTGTACTCGGACCGAATCAGATTTCACGATGAGCCGCGCTGTTTCTCGTCCATCCCCTAAACTTCTTGCCAACAAAGAAAAGTGGTACGGCCAGGAGGAAAAAGAAGATGGCAAGTGCAGTGTCGAACATGATGGGTTTGATGTATCCGACTTCGGCGATCCAGTTGTTGAAATATTTGGTCATGCCGTACGCCCACAGATTTTTCACCATTGTCGCTCCGACTAGAATCTCTCCGGCCACCGGCTTGTAGGAGTCGATCTGTTGTTGGGAAATGGTCATTAGTTTGAGCTAGCGACAGGTATAACTGAGATGAAACTTACCGAATAGGTCAAGGAGATGGCAGATAGCGCGGGCAGGACGAATCCCAGGAGAGCGTAACCACCAATGACGATGGCTTCCCAGCTCCATTGGTGCTGGTACCCAACCGCGACCAGGACACCGCCCAGCAAGCAACTCACGATAAAGGGCGTCAGGGCAACCAGTCTCATCTCGGGCTCTCTGATGCCCTTGTTTCGTCGCGTGAGAAACGCCGAGACCCAGTCGCTCAACGGGCCTGCAATGACCAGAGACAGCACCACTCCGACCAGGGCGCCAAAGTTTGTGTACCCGACGTCAGTCGCCGACATGTTCCAGGGCGGTCCTGCAAAGGCCTGGGACTGGGTGACGTTGATGATCACGAGCATCGATGCAGCCCAGGCAAAGGCGAAGCTCGACCACAAGACGATCGGGTATGTGAACAGTCGAAATGGCATAACGAGCGCGGGAATAATGCCCTTTGTGCTCGACTTGTCAAGTTTCCCCCAGAGGGAGAATTGCGCCCGGCTGGGTTTCCCTGTCAGCTTGACGACGATCTCGTGGGCGCTGGATGTATCGGTTGGTCGATGAATCGTCTCTTCAAACCGAGCTTCGTTCTTGTCACCCTCGATATTGGTTTCGGACCCTTCACCGACGGGGTCGTGCGCAATTACAACGTGACGCTCCCCCCACCGTGTTTCGGGCATGAGAAAGACTTGGAAGACCGTCGAGAAGACGGCGATGGCGACACATAGCCACCAGAAGCTTCTCCAACCGTACCTGTCCGACATGACTCCAGCGATGACAGGACCAAGCTGCGAGCCGTGCTGTCAGCAATACAATTCCCTGCAAAACCAAGGAGATATTTCCTCACCAATGTGCCGGACCAGGCAACCCAGAGATACAAACTCATGTAGAGCCCCCTCTGGTGGAGGAATATCACGTCCGCGACCAACTTAAAGAAGTTATGTCAGAATCTTTTTCGCTCAGCCATCATGCCGACATGGAGAATTTCTCACCATTCCAGGCAGTGTCTCGGACGGTCCGCAAGCAATGCCGGTGAGAACGCATGCTCCCAAGAACGAGCCGTACGACTTTGCTTCTGCTCGCCAAATCATCGAAGCCACATTGAGAAGATTTGCCAGGAGAGCCATAGGACGACGCCCATAGGCACGGGCTATCGGTACCCAGATGATGTTGGAAAACCCCAGCACGAGGATGCTCACGCCGACCTATATTGCGAGAAGTCAATGTTGCCGCGTATTTTCCTCAAAAGCGGGTCTCAACTAACAAATTGAACGACATCGGAAAGACTCCTGTTCCACTCGGCCATATAGTACGGCACTTGAGATGAGATGGCTAGTGGACCGACAGTCCAGGAAAATGTGGTGATGTTCATGCCCAGCATGATAGCCATTTTCCACATGAAACTCCAGTTGAGCGGGTCGGAGGGATCGTCAGATGGTTGGGGCACGAGTACGTTCTTTCCAGCGTGCTTGAAGTGGAGGCCACCAACTGAAGAGAAGGACAGTCAGCGAGGCATTCTGGCCTTGATTCTGGTAGAAGAATCGTCTTACTGTCGGTCATGACTTCAGTGCCCGGATAGAGTGTAGTGTGTAGAGTCTCTTCAATCTCACGATGGGCAGCCGCCTCACTGGATGTCGAAAGCCTTCGATCCATTTTTCTTTTGACAGGCCTAGGATCTTGTTCAAAAGAGATGCAGAGGTGTGAAGGGGACGCAGATATCTGGTAGAGAAGAAGAGGGTAGTCCTGGATTTTGCAGGGGAAGTTTTCTTATAGGACTTGAGCAGGAGAAGTATGTTCCTGTACCATCAGTGAATGAGGACTAGTCCGCTGCGGAACAAGAGACACATGTATTCAAAGTAAGCGAGCTGGGGTATGGGCTTGGGGAAATGTGGGCGAACTGGTGAATACGAACGACTGGTCCAGGCCGATTAAGGCTCGGAGGCGGAAACAGAGCCGTGAGGCTGTATGACCTTTGACGCGTGATAAAATATAGCAGACATTGCAGGACTATACCTTTCAAGCGCTAATTCCGAGGCCGCCCCGTGTACAATTACTAGTGACGATGAGCCGTGTTGTGGTTCTGGTCTGTTGGCGAAGATTCTGATGGAACGAACCCTGGCCATGGTAATTAGACGATCCAGATTTGAGACTGGGCGACCGTCCAGGTCCCATCGGCACCAGACTCCTTGACGAGATCATGTATCTATCATTTGGCCTCCTTTGAAGGCCCTGCGGCGGCGTCCCGCTGACAGTGAGCCGTGTATGCGAGTGGGTTCGGAATCTCGGCCTCGTGGACCGAAATGAACTCGCAACTCTAGGTCGCTTCAAGACGACTAGTAAAGCACCCGAATATCCCTTTATCGCTCTCTTCCACGATAATTGTCATTTTGTCTTCGTCATGGCTGCAAGCGGAAAACGATTGGCGGGCAAAATTGCTCTGGTGACGGGCGCTGCGAGCGGCATAGGCCTGGCCGTCACCCAGACTTTCTTGTCTGAAGGCGCAAAAGTCTTGGGTGTCGACTTCTCGGAAAGCAATATCGAGACGGCGAGCTCGCTTCTGTTGTCGCAAGGCTTCGATACAAGTGCATATGGTTTCCACCATGCTGATGCAGCGGACGAGAGTTCGGTGATTGCCTTTGTGGACAAATGTTGCGAGGACCTTGGGGGACTCGACATTGCAGTGCTGAATGCAGGGATAGGAGTGATCAAGCCTATCTCCAACTTGACTGTTGAAGAATGGGATCGGCATATGCGGGTAAATGCTCGTGGACGTAAGTGAAGCACTTCATTCTCCATGATCTTCTTTTATCTCCGGGTTGCGGATAAGATATGGTTGACAATCTTTGCAGCATTTCTCGGGGTCAAATATGGCGCCGCTAAGATGCAGGATCTTGGAAAGGGCGGCAGCATCATCATAACAGCAAGTCTCGCCAGCGAAGCAGCTTATGCCGAGCTGTGTGCTTACAACATGTCCAAATTTGCTGTCCGCGCTTTGGCGGTGACTGCAGCCCAGGAATACGCCAAAGACCGCATCCGAGTCAATGCAGTTTCTCCCGGTTTTGTGGCCACGCCACTAATTCATGCTTGGGATAATCTAGAAGCGCGACTCAAAGCTACTCCGGCTGGTAAGCACAAGCGGGCTCTACTCCATAACTTTCCCCAACGGACCTGTGTTGACGTCCTACTGACCCCCTATAACAGGTAGGGCTGTGGAACCGCTGGAGGTAGCAAAGTTGTATTTGTTCTTGGCAAGTGATGATGCGATTATGGTGTCAGGAAGTAATTACCGTATGGATGGTGGAATGTTGTTGCATTAGCATACGCCTGTGGAACCTATATAAATGCGGCATTGTAACAGGGAGCTCTCTTTCCTTTCCGGTGAGGCTGTCGTTCGTCTGACCTTCCTAGCTTGTCTGGGTGGCAGAGAGCTTGAGTATCCCATGTGATGAGAGTGCTCAAGTGAGGCATTCGCCGAGCTATTCACTCTCCCCAAGGCCAATTAAGTAGCTGGCAATTAATAGGGGGTATTGAAACATTTTGCACCATACCTCATACTACTGTACCGACTCTGCTGAACCGAGGACAGAAAACAGCATCGTCGAGAACCAGACTTGGGCAGTTCAGGCCAAGCATGTGAGGGCATCTCTCCGCATTCCGGAGATGATAATAACGACCTGCGGGACCTGTGACAAGATGCAGCTTGACCTACCTCGTATTTCGTTCCAATCCGCCATTGGATAGGAGCGTGGCCTAGTTCCACGTTTCAGGCCTCCATCCCCAAGATTTTCAGGCTTGTGGACCCCTGGATAAGCCATTCGCCGGCAAATTACATGTGGCCGGATCTCCGGCGTCCTCAAAGGGTTTGATTGTGCTTCGTCAGTCTTCAATCTCGTGTACGATCACTCCTGGATGGAGACCCATCACAAAGAGGCGTGCAACATTACAACTTTCCAAAAGATCTATGTCATATCACTTCCGTAGATCAACCCTCGCGCAATGGCAGCGGCTATGGACATTGATGGTGACAACGAATTGCAAGCCCCTCGCCGCATCACGAAAGTGTTTCATCGCAAATCTCGAAATGGCTGTCAAACTTGTCGGACGCGCCGGATAAAGGTAAGATATACTCATTGAGGGAAGAAAGGCACTCTTGGATCGCACGGTGATGCTCCGAATGTGCCGTTCCGTCCCGCTGAGGCTGAGCATAGTGCGACGAAAGGCGACCAATATGCCTGAATTGTGAAAGTCGAGGAATGGCTTGCGCATTCGTGCAGAGCGTCCATATCCAGCAAACACCAAAGACTTACCCGATGCCGAGCCCGCCAGAAGAAACAGATCGTATTAGCGACGCAGACCCTTCTGTCCGATCCAACGATGAACCCAGCGGCACCCCGTCCTTTAGTCTTAGCAATCTCAGCACCTTCAATAACGTTTTGGAGATGCCCGAATCCAGGTCCCGGCGACTGCTCGAATTACGGCTTCTGAACCACTACTCGGAGCATTTGATCAAGCCGTTTCCAGACCTTGCAAACTCCAATCTTGTCACAGCATGGTCTGCAGAAGTCCCTCGCTTGTCCTTGAAACACGACAATCTACTCTATATGATGTTTTCCTGTGCGGCGTCCCACCTTTTACGCGCCCAACCCGATGACGGAGAACTGAACGCCGCCGCCGATGTCTACTTAGGCCTCGCACTTCGTGAGCAACACCAAGCCGTATCGAAGCTGAGTGGTGAGAATGCCGACGCTGTCTGTTTTGCTGCTATGCTACTCCTTATCACCTCTGTCGCAAGACTCTGGAGGCGCCCTTTGGAGCCCTACTCGCCACCGATGGAGTGGTTGCGGCTAGGCACCGGCGCGGGAACCGTCCTAAGAGCTGCAAAGGACATTTTCAAGCAAGACACTTCTTCGAAGATGATGCTCCTGATCAACGCTCCGCCAGTTTTCGACGTCAAAGTTCTTTTTGCAAAAGAGAATCTCAAACCCTTCTCAAGAGTGCTAGAGCTTGAGAAAATCCAGCACGCAGGTCCAGGTTGGGACGCGGAGAGGTTCGAAGTGTTGGAGAAATCCCTCTGTTACATCGGCTACCTCTACCTGTCCGTTGACGAAGACGAGCCCGTATATATCGTCGCTCGAAAGATTGTATCCTTTGCAATTTTCGTTCCACGACCTTTTGTTGAGCTGGTGGAAGAGAAGCACCCGTGTGCGTTGGTGATCCTGGCTCATTATTTTGCGCTGATGGCTCGCTTCCCATCCGTGTGGTGGATAGGAAAGACTCCCAGACGCGAGGTTCATGCGATTCACGATGCGCTGCCGTCCGAGTGGCAGGATCAGATGAAGTGGCCAATGATGATGGCTGGATTGACACTGTCGTGACAGAGCGTGGCATTGGAACCATGCCGGGACGTGTTTCCGGTACTCTTGTATTCACAACGAGCTATGCCGCTCAAGACGCCGGAATCGTCCAGCATTCTCCCTTGTCGAGTCTTGCCAACAAGACTTTTTCCACCCCTGTTGATGAGATGGAGAAGCATAGGGTGTCTCTGATCAGCCAAGAAAGGAATTCGCTACAAGACCTCTCTTTCTCCTCACCCTTATCGGCAAGATATTCAACAATCGGCTCGCAGGTACAATATCCGCAGCCATCGACGCCTCTGTGTCTCGAGTAAGCAGGGACGGTCCTAAGAGATACGACCAGTGACCTCAAGCTCGAGGCATTTCGGGTACCTCAATGCATCCAGACACCGTCGGCGACGGAAATGGGCAGAATCAGCAAGCGTGAATGGAATTGCGAAGCGCACCTAGCCAAACTGCAGCGCAGCCAAAAGATTCAGATACTTTGCTTGCGCGATGTCCTAGTTATGCATCCTTCCTCCAGCGCAAAATATCAGGATTTGTACTTTCTAACGCTGCAGGCCGACATGGGGCGGGCGGGAACGAGAACGAACGGGAACGAAATGAGCCGCCACCAGACTGGAGGGGCTTTATGACTTGGCGGCTTCCGAATTCAGGGTCAAATTCGTCGTTTTTGTTGCGATCGCTTGGACAGCCTCGTCTGACAGACTCTGGTATGCGATTCCTGTGTTATTGCTAGTATGGAACGGCACAACGATTTCCAAAGGTCCTGGTCAAGTTATGTTTCCAAGAAGGTGATGCATATAGGAAGGATTGGCTGCTACCTCCCAGATGCCCTAGCTCAAGGTCAGTACTTTATTAGTCCGTACTACGAACCTCCTGAGGGGTTGCTGGAAGTGATGGCGGAGACTCAATGTGCGTACATATGCCCACCATGTGAAATCTAGTTGGGCCTAGCTACCTAGGTAGCAAGCCCACTAACTGCCCCCGAGTAGTAGTCAATGGCGTGGGAGCTGGCTAGGGGATCTGTCGCCCTCTCTTGAACTCGTACGAGCTCCCTTGGCAGCTATAATAATTCTCCATAATGCTCTTTAATATTGGTCCAGAAGTTATTTTGGGAACCTCCCCCAATGTCTTCCAGTCTACTTTACGTGCCGCTGCTCCCGAACGACGAGAACGTGAGACCTTTTGTGTCCTTTGATAAGCCTGCTCGACCCGATTGCCAGAGCCAGTTTATCCAGGGACCTCGTCTTATTAGAGTTTATGCATCTTTACCTGCTAACCATATCATCAACAGAATGCACCTATCTCGGAAACTCGATAGGCGTTTTCACAATGACAGATTGGGAAGGAGAGAAATAACGCGACCGTGCGGCTGGGACACTGACTACTGATAGTTTTTGATACCACAAGTCTACTCCTGCTCGGCCGATCTGAAGCGGCTGCAACAGATACTCTTGAGCGTCCTCATTGACCTCGTTTTCTTTGAAAGACTTGTTCTATTGCGAAGGCTGAAAACAACAACATCACCATGGGTAAGAAAGTGCTTTGTGGCTACGGTCTCGACGTCGATGCCGTGAGCGCTTGGATGATGCCCCGAGAGGGGGGCTGTTGCACGGACAGAACAAACATGTCTCGTGGCGTGTTTGGTGCTACGGTTGGCCTCGATCGAGTCCTGAAGCTCTTCGACAAGTACAACATCAAGGCGACCTTCTTTACTCCCTGCCATACGCTCGAGTCGTTTCCAGCACAACTGGCCAAGGTGCGCGACGCTGGTCATGAAATGTAAGGATGCATAACACTTTGCTTTTCTCCGCCCGATCTGGAGCGATCTGACAAAATACTAAAGTGGTATGCATGGCTACACCCATGAGTTTGTCTCGGATCTCTCCGAGGAACAAGAGCGTGACATTTTGGCCAAATGCATCGATGTGATTACCAAATTCACCGGTAAGAAGCCCCGCGGCTGGACAGCTCCAGCCTGGACACCGTCGGCGAAGACGGTCGAGATTCTCGAGGAGGCTGGGATCCTCTACGACCACTCCCACATGCATCACGACTGTCAACCATATTGGCTTCCGCACAAGAACACCGTCACCGAAATCAACCTCAAGATGAAGGCCGCCGACTGGATGAAGCCCATGACGGCGCTCCAGCCTTCTAAGATCATTGAAATCCCCGCCAATTGGCACCTGGACGATTGGCCTCCCCTGAACGTGGGACAGATTGTCGGGCAGGGCTTCGTCGACCCGGACGTCGTGCTGAAGCTGTGGAAGCGACAGTTTGACTTCTACTATCGCGAATACGACTCGTTCATCTTCCCCATCACCTGTCATCCGCAAGTGACCGGGAAAGCCCAGGTAATCCTGATGCAGGAGGAGATGATTGAGTACATCAACAGCCACGAGGGTGTACAATGGGTGCCGCTCGAGGAAATGGCCAGGCAATTCAGGGACGGCGAGCTGACGGGCGCCACAGTAAATGGCGGCGTCGACCTGTGAAACATGGGCATTCCGTCTGTATTTTCGCTATCCAATGTACCTGCTCATCCAATTCTTCTTTCTTTGCAAATACGTCCTTGAACCATTCTCTCCGTGACGCCCGGAACTCAGCCCCGGATACATGCTTTCGGTAGGTCCATCTTGGCATTTTTCCCATAAGGTTCAAGGGTAACATGCTTTCACTTGTTTATCATGACTTCAATCTTCGTTGTCCCGCAAGAAAACAAGCTGCAAATATGCTTCGCAAAAGTTTAAGATACTTTTCTCTACTTCCCGTTTCCAAGCGCCGTTATGTATCGCAGTAGCTCAGGGCTCCTGATATGTGTACGCGATGAGCAGGCCAGCCGGCGACTCCCCGGGCCGGCTAATCTCGACAACGAAACTCAGTCTCGCCCATCATGATATGAGTTGCAAGCCTTCTCTTATCTCAAAACAGCAAGCGAGGCCCTCTTCAGTCGCCGTTCTCCGACTTAGTGCAGCGGTAGCAGATTTCAAGCCAGGTAAAGTGCAGATAGCGAGTTGCTGGTTGCACGTCAAGTTGAACAACGCAGGTACAAACCATGCTGTACTGACTTAGCCTGGTACTGACTCAGCCTGAGCTCCGTCCCGAGCGTTGGTAACACCATCCTCCTGGTAGATTCGACCCGAAGTCTGACCCATCTCCTCTAGGACCAAGGCCTTGGGGACTCCGTGGCAGACATGTTTGCTTCCCCAACGAGTGGAGCCTGGACTGAAATGCGGCTGCGCTCCAAGATGCTTTGGCCGCGGGCCATTTCAATATGCAGGATCTGCCATTTCCGGAAACCCTGGATTATCACATTTCGCGGAAAACCGATGAGGAAGGAGAGATAAGCCTGGCAGTTCCGAATTTCCGACCAAATGACCTTGGCGAAATGGCTCCTTGTGGCAAGAGAGGCTCCGTTTGGTGGTCGATTCGATACAATCGGTATGCATCTGAGAAAGCCATTGCAGAGGGAAACCTGGGAACAAGTTGGCTCCCGGGAGCACGGCTCGTGTGTCTATACGCCACCCTCACGAGTCCTACCTAGTCTCGTCTTGCTCCGTGTCAGGCTCTATACTTTTCTGCTAGACCGACTGCATGATTTGCTTCATGCAGGGACAACTAGGATACCTGGCGCTGGCCTCCCGGGTCATTCGCCACGGACGTCGAGGGCCCAGATATCTGGATCATGGGTCAACGTGAATCATGCAGATCAACTCAGACATAAAGCAGCCACTTTCGCCGTCACGATCTTCTCGGTCTGTTGGTCTATCCTCTGCGAAATCCAAGCTCTGTCTCAAATCACTTTGACCAGTGGCAGTTCCTCACACCAAACCGACAAGCATCATGGCCTATGGCCTTGGTATCCCCAAGCTTAGGCTTAACAGTCCGTACTGGTGAGAAGTCCTCTCAAAATTGACAGACATGGAGACTTGCTTCTGACGTACGAGCAGGCAAAACTTCATTGGTGGCATTCTCATCGGCCTGACTGGAGGGTTGTATGCTGCCCTCAACCTCCTCGGCGCGGGAGGCGGCAAACCAAACTCGTTCCAAGTCGTCCAGACTGCCAATGCCACTCTCTGCGCCGTCTATGCTGTCTCAGCCTGGTTTGGAGGGACTGTGTTGAACACCATCGGCCCTGCCTTGACCGCTTTCGTACGTGGGCCTAAGAATTGTTCACGGGAAGTCAAGCGGCAGAGATTCCAACTGACAAAGTTTACAGTTTGGTGTCATCGGATACATCCTCTACGTCGGAAGTTTGTGGTACTTTGACCAGCATGGCAAAGAGACCTTCCCAATTATCGCAGCCGTCTGCGTAAGTCGCCCCCCTTCCTTACAAAGACGCTCTGCTTTTTGTTTGACCCGATGTTTGCCAGTAGCGTCGCCATAAGGAGTATAAGCTAACCTATACTTACAGATTGGTGTAAGCAACCGAACCAAAAGTCATGGTGGATGTGGGTATGCTAAGAGTTGCTCCAGATCTCTGCCGGCCTCATCTACGTGACCTCCGGATATCTGTCCATTTCTTATTCCGAGGAGAACGAACGCGGAAAGTTCGTAGCAACATCTATCAACCTGCAGGCTACTGGCGCTGCCATTGGTGGATTGATCCCTCTGATCATCAATCACGACAAGGTACTGTCCGCCCCATCGCGCTTTCAACTCCCCCATTTCGCGCCGATGCTCATGCAATCACAGGCTACCAGCGCTGGCGTACCCCCCGCGGTCTACATCGTGTTCATTGTCATGGACTTTGTCGGTTGCGCGTTGGCATTTCTGCTGCGACCTCCGGAGAAGGTGGTGAGAGACGACGGAACCAATATCGCCGTGGTCAAAGCCCGTCCGTTCTGGGACGAGTTCAAGGCCAACTTGGAAGCGTTCAAAGATTGGAGAATGTTCGTCATGGTAAGTCATATGTTGAGAACTACTGTGGTTCCTCTTCGGAATACTACTCTCGCGAAGTGGCGCGACTGACTGCTGAATGCAGATTCCTGCTTTTGCCGTCAGCGAATGCTTCCTCGTCTACAATGGTAGTGCCAACGCATTCCGCAACAGTCTCCGAGCCCGGAGTCTGTTGGGATTTTGCTCTGTGACGCTGCAAATCATCTGCGGCTGGGCCTTGACATTGCTTCTTGACAACGAAAAACGTAAGTGGACACCAATTGTCGTTCCCCATTGTTTTTTACTCCTCTCTTCTTCTCGGAATGCTAATGGGTCGAAAACTCTCAGTGCGCCGCCGTACCAGAGCCCAGATAGGTCTCGCCATTACTGGTATCCCGGTGATTGGCGCCTACATCTGGGAGATGGTGCGGACGCGCAACTACGACAGGAACAACCCGCCCTCGCCTCCTTTGGACTGGAACGACCCCGACTTCGGAGCCATCTTCGTGTTGTTCATGTTGAACTGGGTCGCGTGTTCGCTGTTCCAGTACATGATTCTTTACTTCCTGGGTTGTTTCACGAACAATCCTCGAGTCGCTGCTAACAACGCTGTGAGTTTCCCCCCTCCCCCCCTTTTCATTTCTCTTTTTGCGAGCTTTTAAGGGGCTGGTCAATGTCAGGAGGCCTGGGCTAACACGGATGTGTTCTTTTCTCTCAGGGCGTCTTCCGAGGATTCATGGCCGCGGGAGAAGCCATTGACTTTGGCGTCGACAGCATGGGCGTGCCGTTTCTGAAGGAATCTGGGGCCCTCTTCGCCTTCTACACTGCCGGGGTCATCGCCATGGGCTACCTGGCGCTCTTCCACATCGACGAGACAAAGTACTTTACCGAAGAGGAGGTGACGATCCCCAAGCACGTTCAAGAAGAGCACGACCACACCATTGTCATCGACGGAGTGGTGCCCAAGAGCACTTCGGAGACGGACGAAGAGGTCGCCAAGACAACGACGGGCAAGGAAGCCACTGGCGTAGCCGAGGAGATTAAGGCCTGATGGGACGCGCAACAAGGAGCAAGGCTGCGGAGGGAGGAGAGTGCAGTTGGCTAGGCCTTGATGGTAGACACATAGATAGATAGATAGATAGATACACTGCAAGTAGACGATCGAGACGATCGACTTGGGGGTGGGTGGATCTAGTGCGAGCTAATAAGCTAGTCAGTCCTTTCCGGACTCACAATGTTGTGCTGTGGAGGATGACCATGCCATGTTGGAGACCAGTCGATAACTAAAGTAGTCGCAGACGAGAGAAAGAAGGTAATGCGTATGCGAGCGAGCGAGACCTGTTGTAGAGAAAGTGTCAAGGATTCACCTGTCCCTTCACACATACACCCAAGTATACCTGCCTAGGTATGTATATATATATATATTATATTATATACCCCGAACTGTGCTTTGTCCCCTACCATTTTCGTTCAGGAAAGGGAGCGAGGCCGCTCTGTTCGGGCACGTGACGGATGCCCGGCCGAGCACGGGAGACCGTGCCGCCGAGCCGCTTTCTAATTATCACAAATGCCAAGCCGAAACGTTGCCTCTTTAGAGAAACAAATACCGCTGCTTTGTGTCAGCTTCTCAAGCCCGGTGTTGCCACGTGCCGGCGCGTGCGCTAAAGGCCGGCACCAAAGGAGCTCCGCCCCCGCTCATGCCACCTCCACACTTCTTCACTGCATACTCCCTTTACTGTAAAAGACCTCCCTCTGAAGCCAGTATGATTAGGAATACGCCTCCAAAACCATCCTCTCGCCGGCGTCGCCACTCACGAAAGTATGCGCCCTCTTCCGAAGAATTCCCAGAGCCTCTTGACAAGAAGGAGCAGGAAAAAAAGGTGGAGAGGAAGCCATCGCCACCGGGACTCTCAGAGCTTCTAGGTAGCTATTTCGTGACTGGAGGACGAGCGGGCAACAATACTCGCGCGGAATTGCGGACAATAGAGAGAAATATTGTGGAAAGAGAAGCAGCAAGACCCCGGGATCCTAAGCCTGGAGAAATCGTTTTCAAAGAACCGCGACGGCCAGAGGCAGTGCGCAGAGAGAGGATCAAAAATGAACAAGCACAAGCGAGGGTTCTACGTGAGGCTCGACGGCAAGAGGAATTGCGGCGCCACGAAACTGAACGTCAAGCATGGGAGCATGAGCTTCGACGACGCGAACAGGAAACTCGAAAATACGAAGCTGAACTTCAACGTTTGAAGTATGAGCGTCAATTTGAGACTCTCCATCGAGAACAGGAAGATGAATTACGGCGTAAGGAAGCTGAATATCGATGACGTGAAGAGGAGATTGTTCGAAAACATGAAGCTGAACTTCGACGCCAGGAGAGGGAACGTGACGTTGAACTTCGACACCATGAGAGCGAGCGTCGACCTCATCAGGTTCAGGTTGACCATTATTCTGAACATCAAATTATTGTTCGAGAACAAAATCCTAGATCCGAATCCCGAGGACGTTCGCGTCTTGGCACGGACAGTGACAGCGACGATCGCCCTTCAGACCAACCCGAACCACGACCAGGTCTACGAGGGGGAGGGCCTTCCGGAGGAGCGAGGTATCGAGCCGAGTAAGTCGAGATTGCCTACCTCGGCTCAGCGAGAGATTTATTCCTAAGTTGCTACGTAACAATGCTAGACCTGAACCCGAAGATCTAATCTACATATTTTACGTTCGATACGGCGAAATTAAAGAGATATCAACAGACCTTTCACCTAGAAGACTGGGCGGCATTGGCCGCTGGACTGATAAGGGCCTTTTGACGCACCTCGTGGAGAGATACCGGAGGCAAAGTGGAAATGAAAAGTGGTGGACCTGGAGGTATTGGTGGGATTCATTCATGAAGGAGATTGCTGCCTTGATCCTTATCCAAGTCAGTATTTCAACATTCGAGGACTCTTCTCTTTCTCTTTCTCTTTCTCCTCCTTTTTTCCTTGTGCATCCGTATATCACTATCCCTGAGACTTTTACCCTGGTTATAGATGGAAGAATCGAGAGTCTCTTACCAAAGAATCCCATACCCCGACGAGAGACCGGAACCCCCAATTACCGACCTACGGCGCCGAGTCAAGCGAAGTATCGATCTCTTTGGCGGCAAAGAAGCGTCGGGCCAGTTCAGGTACTTGATTCGCCACTATAAAACTATGACCGACAGCAGCCGAATCATAACGAGCCAGATCGACCGGCTGGCCATATCGGGACAACAAGACCACGCCGAGTCGGCACATTACACATATTATTTGTTACTCGAGGTTGTTGAGGGCCAGAATGGGCAGTATGTTCATTGTTATTTGCTATTTGCTATTTGCTCTCCCCTCTCTTTCAATTTAGTCTGAGGAGAGAGTATCCATCCGTCCAACCAGAACAACCCACATCCTTTTCCCCCATCCCAGTTCAAACCCTCCAATAAAGGGAGCCAAAGACAATTCAATAAAAGTACACGACTCTAAGTGTCCACTCTGTGTATTCCAACAACAAAAGAAGCTAACCCTCGAAAAAAATAGAGCGTTCCTCCTCGGCATCCTCATAATAATACTCTGCTTCCTCGCTTTCGGCCTCGCCCTGGGCGCCACTCAAGCATCGAGCATCAGCTGGGGCGACGTCTTCTCCATTTCTGGCTTCGGTCTGGCCGCTCTAAGTGGCTTATTCGCCCTCATGGCGCTGGCCCAGTACCTCGGGCTGGAAGATATGAGTCCGGGGAATCCGATTTCCAGAGATACTGCGGAGGATTAGCCAGGAAGCTTAGCAGTAATAGGTGATTGATGATGGGGGAAGGGGTTTGCACAGATAAGGGAGTGTCGGGGATCCTCCCTCAGGTCATTTCGCTGGCTTAGGTGCTGGCGAATGCTCCGTAGTTTAACTCATAGTAAGGGCAGTAGGCGAGAGGACAAGCCAATAGAAGTAATAGCACCTAGTATTCGTAGCTCTAGCCCTCCATACACCGAGACTCAAAGCCTTGAAGAGGCTTTGAGGAGGGCACGGGTCGCGTCCGTCCTTTGTGCGACCTGGGCACCCGGCTTGGCCTGTTTGCTGTGTTCGGGGGGAAGGCTATCGGGATAAACAAACTAGTACCTCATCTTGGTCGATTAGACCAAGAAGGCCTCCCTTTCGGCGAGTATTTGTAAGCAATATTATGTGACTGACTCACCCGAAAAGAGTCACGAGTCAAGAAAAGGAAAGGGGGCAGGCTATTCAAAGACGAGCGTCGAGAGGGAAGGAAAGGAAGGCGACTAGGGAGAGAGGGTCAAAGTACGACGAAACGCTAATAAGGTGTATTTAGGTAGTTAGAAGACCGGAGAGAAGGAGTGATTTACACGATAAGCAGAGGGAGGGCAGGGAAAAATATAAGGACCGGGAGAGGGAGTAGAAGGGCGCGCGAAAGAGAGGAAGGGAGTGGAAGAGAGCAGACAAGGGAGCGATTCGACTAAATAGTCGTTAGCGGGAGAGCAAAGCGGCGAGGGATAAGTCATGAAATGACCCTGGGCGTCGACTGTTCGGGGATTATATTTATACCTACCTAGGTAGGTATATTACGTACCCCGAACCATACTTATCCTTTTCCATTTTGGTTCAGGAAAGGAAGCGAGGCCCGCTATAACCGGGTACGTGACCGGAGTAATTATCGTGGAGGTGCTTCCGTGGTGGGGTTTAAGGCCGCCGGTGCCGAGGGTGCCTGTAACACTGCTCCCTGATGCGCCTCCTACCGCCCCAGTGCGCTCCGGTCCTTCGGTCCTTCGGCCTTTTCTGAGACAACTTCTCGTGCGATTGAATAACTGACTCCCAGACAATCGTCCAAACCTCAACCCGCCATCCCTCCTCCACTGGGCAGAATTTCTGATCCCTCGAACTTTCTCCTCACCATGAAGCAGACACACAGTTACACAGCCTCCCATTACGTGAATGAGAACGGCTTCCCCTTAAGCTGGATGTGCCGTTGCTGTATCACCAGTGGTGCCACCAGTGGCTTAAGGGATGAAATCGAAGAGCATCACTTGCGCACCAAAGTTCAGCCTGGCAAGATCATCGGTCGCCCTGCTGGGCATGTCGCATACCCCAAGCGAGCAACCATGCAATACCAGCCGCAATCCCCCGACACGACGCAGCAGAATTCGCAGACAGGCGAGCAGAAGGAGGCGACTGAATCGACGTCGCACTCTTGAGATTTCACCATTTCCGCTTTGTTTCACCGACAGTCTTGCGACTACATTTCAGGAGACAGATCTCCATAGTCACAGGCAACTACAATCACAGCCAGATATCGTGGTATGGCAATCGTGGTATTAGATGGGGATTGGCACGATTGGGCTTCAGAAACTAAGCAGTTTTCGAGATGCCGCGCGCGGAAATTTCGGCTTTTCTGGCGCGCCCATGCGTTACGATTTAGTACATACCTAGGTATTCAAGCATGAATTACGCGGCGTGAGCTTCAACTGCTCTGACCGTATAGACAACCACCTTTTTGTCTACGACAAGTCTTCTCACCATAGGGAGACTCTGAATTCCACCGTGTCGCCTCGTTGTATCTCAGAGCGCCCTCGAACTTGGTTACTGTTCCCATAAGTCTCCTCCGGAGCAGTTTGTCCAAGGAACTTGTGGGATCCCCCCGACCGTCATCCACCCTCCTTGCGGCAGATGAATGCTTCAACGTGTCATCGGGCGTCTGCAGTGACCGGTGTCACAGAGTGTACAGGAAATCCGGCCTTTTTACACTCTTCGTCAGAGAATTAGATACAGACAGAGTCTTGGGGGGCTTACCTCTTGTCGCCCAGCATCTGTATCTCTTCTGGCGTCTTGCCTTCAATAAGGTAGTCCCTCTTACCGGCCATACGCAGCCGGTTCTCGCGTCTCAGGAGCAGGTGGTGGAGGATTGCTCCGCCCCAGTATGACAGGGTCAGGTAACCAATCACCACGGAATGCCCGAGGATGAATCGAGGCGCGTCCTTGCCTCTATACACGTTGCTGGTGACGACGCCCTGCAGATTTGACCATCCCATCATCAGTCCCATAGTGATGCCACGTTTATAGACTCCCTCTGTATTGTTGGCCGCCCAGGATGCCAGAAGAGGCACAGCCGGATAGATTCCCATGGCCGCCAGAAAGGTCGCTGTGTATTTTGCACCGACGGACACATCGCTGATGAGCACACAGTATCCGATTATGGAAAGAGGTGCGATACAAATGGCGCATAACCCGCGCTGCTTGGTTCGATCACCAATCCAACCTACCGCGATCGTCAACACCGCAGCCACGGCGTACGGTGGAATAGACAGTAGTTGCGCCGTTGTGGACCGGTATCCGAGTCCTGCCAGAACTGAAGCCCATGATCAGAAAGACGGAGTCTGAGGATGGTGTAAACCAGAACACCTACTCGAAGGCAGGAAAACGCTGAAGCCATACAGGCCCGCGCCACCTCCTCCGCCCATGAGGGCGGTTGTATATGTTTTCCAGTCCTTTACGCTTGCCCAGAAGTAGGCCCATTTGAAGCTTTCGTGCTCGGCGCTGGACTGTTGATCTGCCTTCAGTCGGTAATAGACCCGCAGGCGGTCGTCCGGCGAAAGAAAAGTGGCCGTATCTGGAAAGTCGTAGATGAGCCAGTACGATCCGGCGGCCACGACGACTGTAAACAGGCCTTCGATGATGAAGATCCAAGCCCATCCAGGCTTGTTGCCGACGCCATGCATCAGGCTCAGGGCGTAGGCGAGGAGGCCACCGAAGGAGCCGGCGACGGCGGCGGCACTGAAGAAGATGGCCGAGCGAGCACCGATTTCTGATCTTCGATACCAGCAAGAGAGGTAGAGATTGCAGCCTAGCAGCGGTTCGCTGGTTAGAGATTGGTGAGAATGGGGGGTTATTGCATACCAGGGAACAAGCCCGCCTCGAAGAGACCCAAGAACCATCGGACTGCCGACAGCCCAGAGAAGTCGCTGACCAGGCCCTGGCATATACAAGCAATGCCCCAAAGGACCATACTATGGGGCTGTCAGTCTGAGATTCCCCTGCTGAGCTGCCAGGCTTACATGGTGGGAATGTAGATGCGTGGTCGGAACTTTTTGAGCAAGACGTTTGAGAGGGGCTCAAAGACCGAGTAAGACACAAAGAAGATGGCCAGACTAGCATTCCACTGGCCATTGCTCATGTGCAAGTCCTCTTGTAGGCCGGCGATTTTGGCATTGCCGATGTTGGTGCGGTCGAGAAAGGAAAGAAGATAGATCAAACAGAGCCACGGAATCAAGCGAAGGTCGAGCTTCCGGAGTAGCTGACGGTCCTGCAGGATACACCAACCTCGTCAGTCAACCGAATGTGATGCATGACTGTCACCCGGGGGCGTCTGTCTACCTTTTCCGCTCTCCCCTCCGGGGTCAGGTTGGCGTCGGGGTGGTCACCGTTGCCGGCGCGAGCCACTTTGTCCTCGATCCATCCGTCATCGGCGCGGACTTCTGGTGACTTTTCCATTTGGTATGCCTCGCTCTGATCTGAAATCTGTCCGTGTCTTTGTGTAAGCGGATTTAACACTAGGGCTGGGGGGGAAGGACCTCTCATTTATAATCTTCTGGATCGAGCACGGCCGACATTATACACAAGACATCCTACCCCGTGTTTCCCCGGGACCCCTTATCCCACTCCCAACTCCAGACTGACTGGGGAATGCCTGGCTTTCTGGAGAATCCGCTCACTGAGTCGAGGCATAAGGCGCGGTTGGTGGACGCGGACTTCGGCACACACCCTCCGCTCTTTCAGGCGAAGAATCCCTTACATGGGGACGCAGAAGCTTCGCAACTTGAAGCGGCATTGGACAGAAGACAGACCACATCCCCCCTCATTGAGCGAATTCTAGCTGAATGCCTCCCATCCAGCTCCAGGTGGCTTGAGAATGCTGGTGGTGCAGAGAGCGGAGAGCGGACGTTGGACCTCCGCAGTGCCGCTGTCAAGAACTGGAACCCCCGGGTCGATCCACAGTACCTCGTACTCGGTAACTATCCCTCCTCGCTTCTCCAACAGGGGCCTAGTCAAAAAGGTACTCCTCTTAGGTAGATAGGGACCGGAAAAGAGCAGTAACAGCATTACGCCGCCTAGCGTCTTGGAGACGACGAGGGCGTAAAGCCACGGTCATTTATTCAAACGTCCCTTAAGTCCACATACCCCATCCTCACTTGAATGACTTCAAGTGTTGACCATCTTGGTACGTACAAACTGGCTTTCGACAAGTCCTGCGAGGTAGGGCTACTCAGCTCAAGCTCAAGATTCCCCTCACATCACATCTGCACCACGGACTACCTTGTTCTGGGGGCGACGCCAGTTCCTCGTGGCAAACGTTCGAGTGCGAGACCGAGGCAGCCTACTCGATATCTCCCATGGATGCTCCCAATATAGGCCCGAGAGGCGGGTCAGTTCGATCATGTCTTGCTTGCAAAAGACGGAAAATCAGGTGCGACAGAGAACAGCCCTGTACTTATTGCACCAAACTGCGTCTGCAATGCGTTTACCCAATCCCTCCCCAAGAAGGGAGAAGGGCGCCGGAAAACATATTACTCTCGAGACTTAAAGCCATCGAGACCTCACTCCACCGACTGGAATCGAAAGTGAACCAGGACTCCAGTCCGCAGCCATCTGAACACGCACTGCAATCAAAGACTGTCGACCGCTACCCGGAGCCGCTTTCAAGTCTGACACCAGCGTCGGATCTGAGGAGCGGCAGACTCGTCTGCGAGGATGGGGATACGCGATACGTTACAAGCGGTTTTTGGCCCGGCCTCGACAATGTCGACGAGGATGAATCTGCGAAACCATCCAACAAGTCTCTAATCTCGCCGCCCGCGACCGACCCCCCAACGCAACATCGAGCGCCTGTATTTGACTCCACGACCAGACCGAAGGACCTACATCTAAGTCACCCAACAGGCAACAATGTTTTCGCCCTGTGGCAGGTATTCGTGGAAAATGTCGACCCAGTCTTCAAAATCCTTCACGTTCCCACGACCCAGCGACAGATCCTCAGAGCCAGCCAAGATCCGACTCAAATTCCCCCTGCATTCGAAAGTCTTATGTTCGCCGTCTACTATGCTGCCATTACAAGTATACAATCTTCATCGTATCTCCAAAATTTGTTCCAAGAAGAACGGCAGTCGCTGCTCGACCGCTATCGGCATGGAGTGGAGCGCTCACTCGAAACAGCAAACTTCATGAGTACACCCGACGTAAATACACTGCAGGCCTTGACAATATTTCTCACCTGTGCTCGACAGACGTTGGACAAGACCTACATATGGTCCATGACTGGATTACTTATCCGACTTGCCATGAAGTTGGGGCTGCATCGTGACCCTGTCTTCTTGGAGGTACCCTCGTTCTGGGCAGAAATGCGCCGCAGACTGTGGTGGTGTATTGCTACACTCGATGTGAGAACGGCGGAAGAAAATGATATGGATCCTTTTATCTGCGAGCACATGTTCGACACCAAGTTTCCTGCCAATGTCAACGACGCCGATCTACACTTAAACATGACGGAGCCTGCACCGAACCTCCCACGACACACCGAGATGTTATACAGTCTCATCCGCTTCGAGGGGAGTTATGCTGCGCGAAAGTTGGTGTTTTCGCCAAAATTCGCGGCCGACAATCAATATCCCGCCTTTTCACTTCCGGAAAAGAATGACTTTATCGAATCATTGTTAAAGGATTTCGATCACCGATATCTAAGACACTGCGATACCAGAATCCCAATCTGTCTCCTTAGTGTTACATCTATACGAATCGTCCTGGCCAAGGTTAAGCTTACCATCAACCATCCGGCTTGCAATAACGCCGTCCCGCTCTCTAATGCTCAACTGCGCGACCTCACCCAAAGTAGCGTTGAAATCATTGAATATGCCCACATGTTGCGAACAAACGACAATTACTCACGATGGATCTGGCTTTTCCAGAAGTACATTGAGTGGGATGCAGTTGCCTTTCTTCTACACAGTCTCACCACTTCACGGCTGCCCGACCTCCTAGATCGAGCCTGGAGGGCCGTCGACACCTTCTTCGATACATGGGAAGACCGGGTTCCCGAAGGCGACCGTCGCTGGCCAAGATTGAAGAGTCTCAGAGCCAAGGCTCTCTCCAAGCAATGCCCTCCTGCGGCGTCTTCCTCCAGTCCTGGCCACCCTGCCGAGGCCGTGGCAAAACGTAGTGGCCAGACGGAAAATGATATCGACTCAAGGATTTCAAGATCATCAAACACAACCGAACCGCGCTCTTTCTTTCCTACCGACCGTCAAGAATACTCGCAAATGCCACCGCAACTGCTAGGGCAGGCATTCGACCCAGCCCCAGGAACTGACTATCCCGAATGGAGTTTTGACAACGTGCCTTACTCCATGCACGGATCTCTGAGTTGGGACATTGAGATCGATGAAACGATGCTCAATGCTCAGATATGAGCCTCTTAATAAGCAGATCAATGTCTGTTTAGCGCCTCCTCACGAGTGATGTTGAGACCCTCGGGTTCTTCCACGTAGGGCGCCTTGACCAAATTGTGACGGTCCAGTAACGCTCCTTGCTTCAAAAGCGAAAGCCTGACGTCCTGTGGATCGGCCTCGCAGCCTGTTTGCGCTGTAAGGGCAGCGGCCGTTCCTGCAGCTTGACCAGTCGCCAATGCAGTCCCCATGACACGGATGGCACTCGCTGCAGCCTGATCTCCATCGGCACAGCGACCGGCGCAGAATAGGTTGGAGGTGTCGAGGCTCTGCAAGCTGCGCAAAGGAATGTCGAATACCCCTTCTGGTGGCTCCCTAAAAATGATGGGCCAATCCTCTTTACTTCCGTCATGATATTCCGTATACCAAGCCCCGAGAGCGACAGTGTCTTCGAAGCTGCGACCTTCAAATATGTCGGACTCGGTAAGCTGATAGCGCGAGTTGATGTGGCGTGACTCGCGTGTGCCGAAATTCGGTCCAGAGGAGACGAGATACATTTTCTCATGGCCGGGCAATTTGCGAAGGATGTCGAGGTAGGTTTTGGCCTGCATCCGCCCCTGCCGTTCAGCGGACGAGATGCTAGCACTATTTCTGGCGTCATAAATCGCTGACGCCATATATGTGCAGATGTCTCCGGAGCCAGGAAGTTGAATCAAGACCCCGACGTTACGTGGGATAGTCTTTTTCAGTGTTGGATCTGCCGCTTTAGCCTGCTGAATGGCGTCTCGCCACAACGAAGACGATGGGCTGGCGTTTTGGAGGCCACCGAACCGGGTTGCCAACGAACCCATGTTGACATGGCCGTGATTGCCGTACCTTGTCGACGCGCCGGCGTGGCTGGCGAGATCTCCATCACCTGAGCAGTCGACGAATGCTTTGCCTGAGATTGTTCGTCTCCCCCTTCGCTCTTGAACCTCGACCGTGACAAGCTTGCCATCGGTTCTGTCACCACCAACCACGGCACAATGTAGTAAAACTTCAATATCATATGAGGCGACCATGTCATCCAGCACATGCTTGAGCCCCTCCGGATCGATATGCTGGAAACTGGGGGTCAGCTTCGAATTTCGAGGGATGTAGAATTTCCGTCTTGCCTGAACATATGCGACAACCCTGTCGGGAAGGGGAGTCGCCGCTCCCTCCAAGACCAGCCTTGCATGAAGTTCTGTCCATATTTTGCCCACCGCCCTTCGAGGGTCCGGTCCCACGCTGTAAAGTCCGCAGTATGAGAGGACTCCACGGTGAGTAGCGGCGCCACCGAGACACGCCTCTGACTCAATGAGTAAGACCCGTGACTGTGGCACCGTCTGCTTTGCGCCGATCGCAGCACCGATGCCCGCGGCACCACCACCAACCACAATCACATCGTAGGGGCCCGCAAAATCAGCCGTGGACAAGAAGCCATTGACATGGACTTTGGTTGTGCCATTCTCTGTGTTCGGCATCTTGTATGTGCTGGGTCAGTTGCTACCAAGGTCACCAGACTTGGGCTCGATCATTGCATATATGTATCCCCTGCTGTCGGATCTCACGACGAAATGTGGACCGCAAACGGCATTGGCGGTGGGGGCCACCCGCTTTAATCCGCTCCGCTCCGCCCTCCGCTCTCCAGGTTCCGTGTTCCACGGAGGCCCGCTGACAACTCGCCGCACCATCTTATGGTGCGCTCAAAGGACTCCGCAACAAAGCGTCTAGACTCTGCTCCTCAGGTGAAACCCTTCTGTCGGTATTTAGTTTCGAGTGATGTGGTCCACCATTTCCACACTTCTCAACGGGACAAAGCCCGACTTGTGATGTTATCTATTGGACTTGCGATGTCGACTACTGCGCGCACTTCGTATCGCCGGCATTTTCACCACCCCCAAATCCAAAGTTCCAAGCCTCTACTTACTACCAGGACGCACTACAACTGCAAGAATACTCTTCGCGCCCTAGGAGAATTATCCTAGGTATACCAAGCGCATCATATCAAGCTAAAAATTTGGCTTCAATTTGCGTCAATTCTGAACGCCTTTTACATAATTACACAAATTTCATAGAGTCAAAGCTTTCGACAGTTTTTCTTTAACACGACCTACAGACGTGCAGGCGTGAGGTGAAAGTCTTTGAGCTGCGTGCGCATCTTCGCCGCATCTATCTCAGGAAGGCCGTCAAGGAGTTGTTGAATTTTCTTGTTTGCCGCTTCAAGAATCGTTATTGTTTGTTTGCTATAGGCGATTCTCTGCTCGGGATCGTCCGGAACAGTGCTCCTGATAATATTGAGGCGGCAATCTCTCAACCAGGCAACCGTTTGTGGCTGTTTGAGCCAGGCTATGGTGTTCAGATTGGTCTGGAGCGTGATGAGAGGATAATCAATGGGCTCGTTGGGCATGGGGACCGGCCCACAGAGCTCGTTCTTGAGCTGTGCGTCTTCGTAGGTTGCCTCGACGTGAGCAATCAATGCTGCGCTGAACGTCTGCTGGCAGTATCGGACTGGCTGAAGCGTGATGTTGTGGCTTCGGAACACGGTCACGGGGGCGACTTTAGGAATCGCTCCAGCTGAGCAGTCAATGTAGAGCGTGTCAGGTATAGGTTTGTAGCTACCGTGCTCCAGTGCAACGCTTTCCCTGGTGACACAGGTAACATGGCCTTTACGGACCACCGATTTGATCTCCTTGAGTGCTTCAAACTCAAGCTGTGATACTGTGGCACAATGAAACATGGTAGGCGTGACCTTTTCGTCAAGCTGAAGCAGGAGTTGTTTGGCCGCTTGGCGTTTCAAAAAATCTCCCACCGACGAGGCGGCCATAAGTGACTCGAATGTGGCTTGGGTAGAAGCTTTGGCCCGTTCGGCAAGCTGAGGTCCGGGCTGAAATGTGGAACGGTCCAGGAGATATGAATCGCGGGGTCTGATCCACGTTATTTGAGAGGCGTTGATGCCATTCTCAAGCAGCCACAGGCAAGCGTCCATGCTTGTCTTTCCACCTCCAACAACAGTATAGCCTTCGTAACCACGGGAGACTTCAGGAAGCTCGTTGGGCGTGACAATGTCCACCCCGCTGGCCACATCGTAGGGAGGAGGTCGCATTGATGGAACAACAGTTTGGCTATAGGTCGCGTCCACAATGCACGTGTCCTTGGCAACGCGGTACGTTTTCCCTGTCAGAATGGAGCGGAATTTGCCCTCCTGGATGTAGTCGCACTTAGGAAAGTATTGGAGTCGACCTGAAGGCAAGAATGTCTTCTTCATGACCCTCTCGAAGTAAGCACAGACGTCGTCGCGAGATGAGCAGTCGGCGAGGCCCTTGTTCCAGCCAAACTCCTCAATGCCGTCGCGTTCGAGACGCGTGGAGTTCACGCCATACATAGCAGCTGGCTGATGCAGGCGGACAAAAGGGTAGGCAGTCGTCCAGTGGCCGCCCGGGCGGGCATAGCGGTCGATCATGATGATCGTTTTCCTGCTCTCGGCGAGGAGGGTGTCAACGAAAGCCATCCCCATTGCCCCCGCACCAACGACAAGGTAATCGGCAGCAACAAGCTCCGCCATCTCTTGTGTTGTGGAAGTGCGTATCAGTAGAAATGGTCTTGACACAATTTTCAAGAGAACAGAGGATAATATACAGGTACTTTGGTGTCAAGAAAAACCTGCCAAGGGCTGACCTGGGATCAGCTTGGGTGGCCTTGGGTGGCCTGGCTGGGCGCTCGGATTCCAGCAATTTCTGTTTTTATTATGCCCGGAGCTGAATCATCGAGCTAATAACACCAGCGAAATACGAGTACGAGGTGAATCACACTCTGTTCGATATTAACTGTTCTTTGCGTGATTGCATTTCCAGGTCGTACTCACCTAACATGTGTTGGATACTGGGACTCAACCTAAGTAAAGGTAGAGGATCTTAGCCTCCAATATTTAGACTTGGTAGACAGTAGGTATACTTTGCTAGGGGTAGCGAGTCAGAGAACACGTAGGTCGTAGAGTATGCAAAATCAGAGAATATGGAAAATCACTGGGAAATCACTGGGAAACCACTGGGAAATTGCTAGAGAATTCCTAGGAAACTCGTAGGGAATTAGTAGCAAACTCGCAGGGAATTAGTAGTAAACTCCTGGGGAATCAATGGGAAGCCAGTGGAGAATCAGTTTGTGTGTAAGTGTGGGTACGTGCGAGTAGTGAGACCTCCTGGACGTGGCGCCTGTGAAAACGGCTGGAACTTACCGGTATCCTCGCTTGGCTCGGTACCCGTACCTATACCCGAGGGCGTGGTGGGACCAACGTGGTGCCCAATGCACTACCGTAGGTATTAGGCCACATCACCTGTTCAACTACTCGTGTCGTCGTCTACGGTGCCGAAAAGGAGGCTCTGCTCCCCAGGCCATCACCCTCGCTGTTCTTCCACGCACCGCCCCCTGTCGCGCCGGATTCAACGCTCGATCTCGTGCGGCCTGTCGAAGAATCTACAGGCCCCGTGCAGCACAAAGTCGAAAACCATATACCAAATATCTCTCGCTGTCGCCTTCCCGTTCTCAATAGAGTAATCGCAAAACCTTGCTCAACAGGTCCTATAGGCTTACAAGGTACGCCTTCTCGGGGACGTTCGGTGATTTACTTGACGCAACGGCACGAACCCTCTTGTGATGAATGGGAAATGGCAAGAGTTTGGTGACCGTTTCCCAGGATGGAAACAAGCATCGGAATAATAAGCGGATGGGTGGAAGCTTGACCCTTCCTCCCTCTGGGCACATGTCAGCCTCGGCCTTCCCCTTGCTCTCCTTGTCCCACCCCGGACAGTGGTGCGTGTGAGAGCACCTAGGTAGGTAGAGAGATGGAGAGGGAGAGAGAATGAGGAGGGTAGCGGAGAGTGATAGAGGTGCATGATAGACGGGCCTTGGCCTGAAACGCACGAGGACTAGCCAGTTAGATTTCTAGCCATTACCTATAGAGACTCGCGAAACAAGCTACGTCGTGGGCGTCGTAGGTATCCGTAGGTGTAAAGTACCACTAGTAATACCACTATTAGGCGGTAACTACCACTGAAAATGAATTAAACGTCACGTCTGGCTCTCCCGCTAAGCCTATTCTAAGTGGTAGCTCTAGTCCGCTCTGATATGCGACTCGGCGAGTACTCGGTAGTCACGGGAAATCTTCCCACGTCATCCCCAGAATTCATCCTCCTTGATATCAATATTTCCGCCTCTTCCTGATTCTTCGTTCCGCCGCAACCATTCCCACCGGTCCACTTCTCGCCTTGGGTCTCCTCCTCCACTAGCGTGGGCATCGCTATCCATACCCCAGTCAGGACCGCCCTACTAGCACCCCTGCTAGCTTTCTGCTCGCAACCTCATCTCCTCTTACGCCCACTACAGCCGTCCCTCAGAGTTCCTGGAACAAGAGAAAATGCCTCTCATCGACCAGGGCAGAGCTTGCGAGTAGACTAGCGTGGAGTGCGACTTCCTACGAGGTGAATGGTCGACATGCCTAGTCAGTCTCGGGGATTAACTTCCTGCGGGCCAATCAGTAGTCACAACCGACGGGCGAGTACCTCATAGGATCTTCCACATTGCACCGCGGACGAGCACCTACTTGAAGGACACAGGTATGAGGACACCCCATATCTTCCTAGCTCGATGTAGCTAATGAGAAGCGACATCTCTGTACTCGTACCAGTAGCCTCTAAAACAAGGGAGGTAGCGCCGATCTCCCGCGCACATTCCCTTGATACTCAAAAAGAGGCAACCATCTCAATGACCCAATTTTCCGACGGGCTCGCCCTTTCTACGGGTACCCACGGGCTTTCCTTGAGTACGCCCGTGTCGTGCTGCGATTGCAGAGTCGATGGCTGTCAGTCCTTGGATGCCTGGAAATGGGGCAGTGTCGGTGGAGGAGAACGGAGTAGTCATTGCATCGCCCCTTTTCTCTCGCCAGACGTCAAGTCACTGATCTTGTTTTAGTCCCAACGTCATTGCCTCCATTACAGGGTTGCTCAAGCAATCGTGGCAGCACAGCGCCCAAACGCTGCCTCTACATGACATCCTCAAGGCTTTCAGAGTACCGGTTCATTCTCTCATACAGTGAAATTTGGTTAGCTACGTCGGGCCAGTCAGCACACTCAACTTTCGTCTGGGTCCACCTCAGGCGCTTTTGCCCATGTCCCCAAACCGAGCGTTTTGGTAACGTCTGTGTCCTGTGTCCTGTCGTCCTGAGTCTCCGTCTCTGCCTCTAATGGCTCTTCTGAGATCCCATCGCTTCGCTTTTCTTGGGTTTCTCCGTGGTCAACTGCACTTGCAGGGTTATTGTCCATAGACCACGACTGGCTGCTGCCTTTTGTCTTCTGCTTCTTTTTGTCGTTCCAGAACATGTCGCGAAAGTTTCCTGGCCCAGCCGTCAATCGTGTACTAAAGCAGGAAAGGCAGGAGTCTTACCGTTCTCGGCGAGCATTGCGATGTATCCGGGCTTTGGTTCCATGGAGTGGGGAGCCTTGACGGGAATGTGAATTGAGATGTTTCGAACAGATTGGCAAGTAGATACTCAAAGAATGAAAGAGATGATCACTTGGGGCCAAGGGAGTATGAACCCAATTGGAGTATTTGGCAAGCAGAAAAGTTCAATCAATGTGATAACATCAAAGAGGCGAAGCGGTGGCATTTTATATACAAAGGCGAAGTTGCGAGTTACGCATTGGGGTCCATAGGAGCCCGGGAAACAAGGTCATCTGTCCCATTAAGAGCCACTTCGCGACATACCGAAGGAGGGCGGCCCTTTCGAACTATATTTCGCGTAGTGTAAAGAGAGCTGGAGAATGGCTGCAACATGCACACGATTGGTCTCTCGTAAAAAGGCGACAGTCTATCAGTACACTTGTTATCATGCCTACCTAGGTAGGTAGGTAGGTAGGTAGGCATTCACCGCATTTGGTATGACTAGGTATGACTTAGTACTGTGTATCATATGCAAAACTGGAAGCCTGGCAGTGGCGTGGAAGGAGCAAATGCGATTGGGGAGTGCCGTCGCCGCTTGTGCTCCTCGAGGTTCTCCTTCCTTGTGAAGCCTAAGAACGAGCTTCGATTGCTCTCAGAGAACGGACAGAATAGCGGCTGCTTGGTCGACAGATGGATCTCGTGAACTTGGACTTCCCTGCAAGCGCCTGGGGAGCCCACCCCAGCGTTGGCGTGAGCAGGTTGGCGTTTTGGTATTGAGTCTGTAACATGAGTTCAAGAGCCGGCTCCGGCTTCAAGTTGCCGGTGAACCCTTCACCCCGGCTCCACCCATGTAAATTCTTAGCTGGATATGGCTGCTCGGATCATCTTAGTGCAGTCAGCTGATACTAGTGGGCTTGATCCATTTGACGCGTGGGATACGAAGGTTGATGCCGGTGACGGGATGGGATTATCAGCCTTTCTGGGCAAGTGGGTGTGAAAGTGCTTTGTGCTACGATGGTGGTTCACATCGTGCCATTCTACGAAAAGGCCCACATTGACAGGGGGCTGAAAACAAAAGTGCCTTGACCATGATGCGGCGGGTTGTTCCCGACAGCCATATTACTAGCACCGAGTACATCTCCCCGTCGCGAAAGGGAAGAGAGCAATGGTGCGTAGTTGCACTTACCGGCGCCAAGCTCTGAGCGGGTTTTGACCACTCCACTAGCACCTTACCAAAGCATGGCACTCCGCGTGCCTCACGGAGAATACTATTTTTCCGCGCCCTTCCTCTGCACCAGCAGAGCGGCACGCTGTTAACTCATTTCTAGAATTCCTGTTTACTGGGCGCCCTTGAGTGCCAAAGCTGTTTCGCATTTTCTCCCGTCAATCATGACCACCTCATCGCCACGCTCCGCTGTGACACCTCAGCCCACAACCTCCCACCCCGCGCACTCGCTGCTTTCTCGCGCACACTCCCCCGACACAGCCTTGCGCATCTTCACCGAGAAAGTGAAGAACAAGCCTCTCCTCCTGCAGCCCACGTCATCCGCAGACCGGGACAAACGCGCCCTTCGTCGCCGCATCCGTCTCCGCAGAAAGGAGTACTACCTACGCAAACGGAAACCGAAATCGCTGAGCGCCAAGGAGAAGCGGGAACTGGGACTATTCAGGCTGAAGAAGGAGGAGACCAAGTACGAGATCTACAAGGGCCTGCATGAGTTGTGGAAGGGTTATATGCTCGAAGTCCTCGGCTATGTCAAGGATGGGCAGGTCGTGCAGAGCAGCCTGGCGAGAGTGATGACGGCGCAGAGTCACGGCTCTCTCCTGGCGAGTGCGGACTTTCATGGCGCTGAAGTCGAGGTGGTCGCTTGTTCGGATGCCGGCAAAGTTGGACTCAAGGGAATCGTGGTGAGAGACACGAAATACACATTTGTGGTTGTTACAGCAAAGGATGAGGTCAAGACGCTGCCGAAGAGAAACACGGTGTTTCGGTATGAGGTCCCGTTGCCAGGTAATGGGAATGGAGCTCGCGACGATGGCCCTCATCAAGACGACAAAGACAAAGAAAGGACCGAGTCGCCGAGACAGCTGGTATTCGAATTGCACGGGAATCAGTTCGAGTTTCGGCCAGCCGAGAGAGCAAACCGAAAGTTCAAGTGGAAGGCCATGGATTACTTATGAGGACCCAAGGTTGGCTCAACGACCAATATCTATCGCTTACAGAGACAGGTCGCGACATGATGTGGCGCCGACACTGCGTTACATCGCCGCCCACTCGACGCTGAAAGTCCTTACATCTCCTGTTGGACTGGCTCCGCCCAGCAAGAAGCCTTTCTTCACGCCAGTTCCCAGTCTACCTCCGCCTACAATGTCCATGAGATCAATCTCTGCATCCCACTCAGTGCCCACGGCCAGGAAGTGGGAATGGAATCGGAGAGGGTCGCCAGGATAAACAGTGTATTGGCACCCGAATCGGAGACCAGGGGTCATGAAGAAGCCTTTGTCGTGGAGATGCCTGTAGAGAGGGTAAGACGACGGAAGATTCTTTATTGGCGATCCAGACGCTGGGGGTGACGGAAGGAGCAGTCGGGATGTGGCTGGGGTGACTGCATAGGTGTTCGATGTGGCAGTAGCAGGCAAAACTTTGACTGGAGAGTCGTCTTGAAAAAGCGCCTGGCTCTCCAGGGCGGTGTCTTCAGCATCTTGCGCCGCCTCGCTATCATCAACGTCGGCGTGCTCAGCATTACGTCCGCCTTGCGTGGGACCAGATGATGGGGTCAAAGCTTTTGCCTGTTTGGCCAAACCTCGCCTCCGGGACTCCTCGTTCTCCCGATCCTTGGCCTGCTTGACTTGCTTAGACTGCTTCTCCACTCTTGCCAGGTAATCAGCGCGTCGAGCTAGGTCTCTTGACTGAACGGCTTGATCGTGAGCTCGAGCGTCGTCAACAACAACGCCGACCCCTCGTTCAACTAGTAACTGAGCTTCTTCCGGCATGATCTCAATGGGTACCCCGAGAAATAGATTCTGAGAGGGACTGATGGGTAAAGCGCCGATTGCTATGCCACATATATTATGCTCCCGGCGGAGGTAAGTCGCAATCTTGATGTCAAAGACCAGATGTCGGCCACCAATTAAGGAGATCGGCACTGGGAGTTCGGGGGTGTAGTCGAACCCCAGATCCGCTGCGGACTCCATCGTGAGATATATCTTCAACTAAGCATATTTAGATTGTCAGCACCGCAGTCGACCCAAGTAGGTTTGACGAAAACTCTGACAGACTAGATGTAATAAAAAAGCAAGTGTTCATATTTCAACAACGATTTTTTTCGCTTCAATCACATGGCTTCCGGAGAAGCTGTCTCAGTGGATTGACAGATTATAAAAAGTGTTCTAATCATGCAAAAACTGGGTCGATGGGAAGGGAAGAAACACTCACGCACTGACTCGTCGGGGCGCAGAAGGGAGGACTGTTAAAAAAGACGCCCAACCAAAGCACCGTCCGTAATGCTCGTGGCCTTCGAAACTGAGATGGGAAACGAGTGGAGGGCTTGAAGACCAGTCCTTCAAGCGAAGGAAGATAGACTACATGATTTAGTGGAGTTGAGGGATGTTGAGAAGGAACATGATTCTGTCAGAAAGAGAGTGAAGAGATAGAAAAAAGATTGGACGTTGGGCCTCCTCACGAAAAAATTATTTTAATCGTCTGACTGCATTTTACGGTGGGTTGGCACTGATACCTTGCCTGTCAGACTGAGTATTTAACCGTGCCAACCACCTTCTGACCAGCAGTTGGATATTACCTCCAACGCAACTGCTTTTAATTACCTGTAGGTACTGTTCTGGCGTCTCTCCTTGCCGCGAAGGTGCTGCCACACTCAACCCTTGTTGGAAGAACAGATCCTCAATAATGGGTATCCTCATGTTGCTGTCGTTGCTCCTCTTTATTCCTTTTCTCTTCTTTCTAGGTACGTTGCTGATTCACTGCCATTCTGCTTACCGACCCGTGCTGAAGGAGGGGCCCCGAATAGGTTTTCTTGCTCTCTCGTCGTGCTTGGGCGAACGGTTTCGCGCGCGTGTATCCGGCTTCACTATCAATCCGCGCCATGGCTCTTATGACCGAACCTATTTTCGAACCATGACAAACCCGGGTCCTTCATCCTCGGAGCATATTGAGCTGGAGACCATGCTCAATGCACAAGGCCTGCATCCTGTCGACGAAGACGACGATAACGACGTATGAAGCCTGCCTATTTGGAAATTTTCTAGAATTCCAAGTCAGCCTTCTTCCCCTTCTGCTCCTCGCCGCCCGCAGCTTGTTGAGCACCTGTGTCACCCTCGACAGGCGGCAGATTGAACGGCTTGATTGTGAACTTCCTCCGGCTCAACGTGAAGGTCCAATCATTCTCAGACGTGCCAACCCCGCTACCGCGATCATGAAGCATTGGGAGGCGATGGACTTGCAACAAGCCTTGAGGGGGCTCTTCAGCTGCTCCACCAGAGGGACCACGAGAAGGGGTTGCGGCATCTCCCTCTGCCGAATGTGGAAACGGGGCCAGTTCGAGAACCCCGTCGTGCAGCAGCTCAATCCACCGGACTAGCCCAGACGACCGCGGGTAGAGTGAGAGTGGGAGTGAGGTGATTGCCGTCAGCCGGCCGGGGTGTGCCGCGAACAGAGCACGAAGACCGTGCAGGTACTGGAGGACATTCTGCGGCTGACTCGACCAAGGGGGATAAAGCGCGGGTGAAAGCAGGGACGGAATGACGATGCGGTGAACTGCGTCTGGCGCCGAGTTCATTACAGAGGCATTCAGCCGTTCGAGAATGGGTGCGAAGGGCGAGGTCGTCGGATTCGTAATGTCCAATTGAAAGAAGTCCATCTTGGACGAGGCCGGATGAACGAGTCGCTTCGTCAGGTCGAAGGTATGGCAAAATGCCGCAGGCGGTCCTTGGGCTGATATTCCGTCCGGACCTGGCTGCGTTGCACTCTGCTGAAGACGGTCTGTAGGGCAAAAGAAAGAAAAAATGTCAGTGGCATTGCGAATGAGAAGAGACCAGAGAAAACCCTCAAAAAGGAAGAAGAAATAGCATTAAATTCTAGCTAGTGCTACAAGGGACGAAGAACATGGCCCACCTCTTGCAGGTGCGCCTGATGCACCGAATTGTCCCAGGCTCTCGTATCTCCACGCGATCTTCATCTTCTCCGTCGCAAGGGGTGCGGGTGTCTCTCTCTTCTCGCTCTCACCAACAACGCCGGGCAATTCTCGACCCCACTGCTCCGGCAGCGCAACGACGTGGACATGGTGGCCCTGGACAAGGCCCTCCGCAGCGTAGAATCTGAGCAGAGCGCCCGCATAGTCGGTCGTGCCACTTTCCTCGATCAAGATGGTGCTGCCGAGCGCGAGACCGGAGTGTCCTGCCAGCAGGGCGTCGAGGCTGGCGGTGCCGGTGGAAGTGGTCGGTCGGCCGTCCACTGGGGAAGGCCGCACTCCGGGTAGCTGGACTCGGTCTTTGCTGCTGGTGTTGGTCTGCGCAGAGCCCTCGTCGGATCTCGTAGAGCCGGAGAGGCCTACATTGCGCTTGCGGAACGACATTGATACAAAGACTTGACTCTGCGCAAAGTCAAATCCCCAAAGGGTTGGGTTGGTTGTGTCCAGGGTTGAAGTTGCAAGGCACTCACGGAAGAGAAATTTGATATTGCGCTAAATGGCCGCAAAGGCCACCGAAGCTGCTCCACCGTACCATATATTTTTCTTCAAAGCGCAAAAAATGAATTTCTTTGCAGGACAGAGCGCGAACCTCTTTTTTTGCCCACCTTCATCCTATTACTGCGCCCTACTCCTGCAAGACACTTAGCGATCCTCCTCTACAAAGCTCGCATAACCGTCAAGATGTCGGAAAACATCCTCTTCGAGAACAGCTTCAAAATCACCGACCTCAACGACACCAAATACGACCGAGTCTCGCGCATCAAGGCCTACAGCGAGGGGGAGCAGGAAGTCCTGCTGACCCTGGACGTCAACACCGAACTGTACCCTCTCAACGTCGACGATCGCATGACGGTTGCGCTGGCCCTGTCTCTAAATCTCGACGGCAGTAAAGATGACGGCAAAGGGTGGAGGGAAATTGGAAGAGGAGAACAGACGCTGGCGGACGAATTCGACTACGTCTGCCACGGCAAGATTTACAGGTTTGAGGAAGGCAGCGGCGACAACATGTAAGTTTTCGTGCGCAAGAAGCGGATATGGGTGGTGTGATTCTAATCATTCCCTTGTAGTAAGCTGTACGTCTCCTTCGGCGGCCTGCTGCTCTACATGGACGGGCCGTACGCACTGCTCAACGCGCTGAGAATCGACTATGTGTACCTGTTGATGAAGAAATGAGCTGGTCTATGTGTCAGGTCGGCACAATGCCTGTCTAACCCCCTTAAGAGAACAGAAAAGTCTATTTAGCGAGGCGTTGGTGGATGGAACTGCAGGGCTCGCCGGAACAGAGGGACTCAGGGAGTTGGGAACTCCAACCTTCTATGGAGTCTGGCGACTATTTCAATGTAGTCGGGTTCGTTCTCGGCGGTCAGGAATCCATGCCTGACGAGGAAGTCAAGAAGCAAATGGGAGCAATTCGGCTTGAATCTCCCCTCGGCCATGGCCCGCCGGACCTCCGGGATGGTCAGGAGCTGGAAATCGATGGCCTCGTCGTCGCCCGGTTTTGGGATGACTTCGGCGGGCATCTTGAGGTCATAGATGTACTGGCACTCGGGCTGACAGAGTCCCGTCTCCCCTCCGGCTCGGCTGTCTCGGACGTGGAAATAAGTCAGCGTCCCACACGCCTTGGCCGACGAGCGCACCAAATCTGCGGGCAACGAGGCTTCCTCTTCGCATTCTCTGATCAGGCAGTCAAAAGGCTTCTCTCCCGTGCTCAACCCGCCCGCGACCGTGTTGTCCATCATCCCCGGATAAGTCTGCTTGGTCAAGGCCCGGCGCGGCGCCCAGATCTTGATGCCCTGATCACTTTCGACATAACCCGTCATGTGCACGCCGTAGGTGACGACCCCGAAAAGCGGCGTCGCCGACCGTTCCATGTTCAGCACCAGCTTCCTGTTGGGGCCGTAGATGGGGTACAACTCGTTGCGCCAGCCGTTCAGCACGCCGAAGATGCGGCTCTCGCGCACCTCCTGGAGGTACTCGGCCAGGATCTCGCTGCGTCTGTCGACGTCCACGGCGGAATTACCATGGTCGTCGCGCGGCTGGAACACCAACCGTCGAGCGACTTGATCCAGCTTCCAGTGTTGGGTCAGAGGCATCCGCTCCGCGACCGAAGCGGTCATATACCCCAGACACGCTCCGCAGCCTTCTAGGTAGAAGTGATAGTAATGCGATCCATTCCTCTGAGCCTGAGCGTTGTCCTTGTCCCCGTCGTCGTCGTGCGAGTCGTAAGGAAAGCTTTTCCACCCAATCAATCAGTCAGTCAGTCCGTCAGTCAATTCATTTTGGCTCGGCAGCAAATATCTTATGAGGGTTGGGTTGGACCAAGATGTAGGACGGAGAACAATACGTACTTGTCGCATTCATTGACCAAGTCCAGATTCGACAGGAGGACCATTTTGGAGAGATGCTCCCTCAGTACTCACTCGAATCACTCTGTCCCCTCCTTCTCTTCTATCCCGTTCGCACTCTTTCTCCCCTTTCCACTCCGGCAGGTGTCTTAGCGGGCCAGAAGGGAGCTCTTCTTCTGGGTCGAGTATTTTTCAAACACAAACACAACGAGGGGTTGGCTTTGCCAATCCAAATAGCGAGGGTCTGAGATTCTTTGTATGTCGGGATCAAACAAGTACCTAGGTAGGTAATATGTATATTAAGATATAATTTCCGTACAGCAGCTCAGTCCGTTTTTGGCCGTCCGAGTTGATTTCTTGGCAGTTTGTGTCCCCGTCAAACTACTTCTCCATTATTACATCTTCCCTATACTCCCCTGTCCCAAACGACAAGCCTGCCCCTACGACATCCTCCAGTGGGAATATCACACACTCTTCTCGCCAACACATCATAAACCATGTTCGGAGTCTTCATCCCCACCCGCCCCATCATCGCCGAGATGGCAACCGTGTCACCGAACCAGTTTGCCGTCTCCTTCCCGGCCTCACCACCATTCCACAATGTCGGCGTCTTCTTACACCCAAACAACCTCCTCCCGCCAGGCACGGCGGCCGGAGTCTACATGCAACTACCGGGGGAGCAAGGGTTCAAATTCCTGGGCGCCATAGGCAATGAGAAGCCCTCAGCCTTGTTCCGCGTCAACCTTCCAGACGCCATCGCCAACAACCCGTCCGCCGGGCAAGTCAATCTCGGCATCTCCGTCGAACCGGCAGAGAATATCCAGGCGCAGATGCTCCAGCTTCAGCAGCAGTCACCGACGGCAGCGTCGAATTCCACTGCGGTCGCCAAGAGACCGCCGGACACGAGGGTTCTGGCCCAGCGGATCATCAGGAACGCGTTCAATTTCTTGGCCAGCTTTGCGGGCAACACGGCCAACGGGGTCGAAGTCGTGCCGCTGAAGAGCTTCCAAGACTGGTGGACCAAGTTCGAACGACGGGTGCAGAATGATCCGGGATTTCTGGAGCGGGATGAGGTTTGAAGGGCAAAGTCTCGCAATATCGACTCCAGGCTTCCTTGAGAATTTGACCTTGAATAACGCCTGGCTATGGACATGGATATGGCAAGCCAGAAGCCACCATATGTACTCTGTACATCTCCGGCCGCAGAGGAGCTCTTGAGCGCCGCTCGAAGGAACCACCAACGCCACCACCGTCTATCGCTCTAGACATTACGTTCGCAAACAACAGACTCGCTGTTACTTCACCACTGCATGGCCATGATCTCATCCTTGCTCCAGTACTTGCGCATATTCTCCGCGCCCAGCATCCTCACCTCATCATCCAGATGCGCCCACAACACCCCTCCGAACGCGTCCATGATGGCCTTCAATTCTGGCAACCTCAACTCCTTCTCCCCACTCCGGCATGCGTCCAGGTACTCCTCCAACTTCTCCAGCCCCTCGTGGATCTGTTCGTGTTGCGTGATGAGGTGGTCGTGCGCCCCAAAGGCCGGCATGCGTTCAGCGAGTTCCGGGAAGACGTGTTGTTCTTCGATGGTGTGGTGGATTGTCAATGCGTGGCAGAGGTGCAGTCCTTGGGAAACGAAGCTGCGGAGAGACATGCCGTCGGGCCGAGACCCGGAAGTGCAGGCTTTGTACAGCAGATTCCAGGTGTAGCGAAAATGGTTGTGCTGGTGCGAGAGGTGTTGGTAAGAGATTTTTAAGAGCAATCAAAACGCAGCGGAGTCTTTGGATGATGATTCCACAAAAAAAGCGATCAAGCCAAAGATCAAACAAAGGTCGCGGAAGACGGACGAAGGGAGCCAAAACTTACATATGCGTCCATCATGACAGCCAACCTGTTATAGACGCGGAAATCCTGCGCGGAGAGTTTCGGCAGCTCAGGCTCGGCAGCGGGTGTGTCTGCATTAGCATTACTGCTTGATGGAAGAGCTGTGGCTTTCTGGTCCGGCGCGCAACTTCCCGCCGTGCAGTCTGCCGGGGGAGGGTCTGACGAAGCCATGCCGCCAGGAATGGCGATGGAGGAGACGAGCCTCGTTTGCAGGTGGTCGACGCGCCGATCTCGCTGCTCTGCCACCCGCGGAGAAGAGGATGTCTCGTGTATCGCCGTGGATGATGGCGTCGGTATCGAGAGTGCTGGAGAATTCAAGACACTGCTTTTATATCCCCCGTGATACAGCCTTGCACCGGCACCGGCACGGGCAACCCAGGCGGGTAACTGTACTTTTGCCCTGAAGGCCTGGAAATTCGTCGCGGCGTTGACTCGCAGTAGCGCTGCTGGCGTGGTGGATAGAGCGACGGCAATCGCCAGCATCAAGATACACGTAACGGTAGCAAGCAGCGGAAGTGGCGCCACCCAACGTCTCATGCGTCTTTTTGTCTTGTCTTGTCCTATCCTATCCTTGCCCCTGTCGACTCCAGTCCTGTCGTGTCCTCGTCCGAAAAACAAAAGAAGAACAGGAAGAGAAAGAGGAAGATATACACCACGTCCCGGGGTATATTATATATGCAAAGAGATAATCTGTCGAACTAAATACCTATTAAGTATTCGGTGCCTCGCTAAGTAGGTAAGTGACGCTGGAAATTAGTCCAAGATTTGCACCGAAAGCCAACCCCGGGGTCCGCTGTGCCTCCCTCCAAGAAAATCATTCATGATTCAACAACGTGCCAAAAAAAAGTTGCAAATGCCGGCCGGACCAATCACGCCCGACGATGCCGAGAGCCTCGTCATGTGACGTCCATGGCTCTCGGTCGAGATACACAAGCATGGCACGCATGGGAATTTGCCTCTGGGAAGGCTGGGAGGTCATTGTAGCAGATTTTATCTAGAACATATCGGTAGAATGACGGTCTAGGATTGATTCTGAAGGTTGAACCAGGAGGGGCAAGATAAAAAAGGAAGGATCGAGATGTACCAAGACTTAGGACAAGAGACACTCTTCGAGTAGATACATCTAGACTTCATTTTCCACGATCAAATCTTTTCATGAAATGCTTTCATTATTCCATTTTACATCGCAGCGAGGACTATTTTGACCCGGCAGCGCCAGCCCCGTGCCATAGTAAAACTAGCCCCCCAAGCTATGTATGCGTGCGCGAGACATGGGAATCTTGAGAATCCATTCTTTTCCACTTCCATGCCCCTGTACTTTGCGGTGACTGAGAGGGTTGGGTAATAGGATGCTTTGGTCTTTCTCCTCAATACATTTTTTGACTACTCTTCTTTTTTGGGTTTTTCCCCCTTGAGACCCATTGACCTCGTTTAACCGAAGAGAGCACCGCCAAGTCGGATCCTGACCGACTTGATCTGGGTGTAGTTGGACAGAGCATACTTGCCGAGTTCACGGCCGATACCGGACTCCTTGAAGCCGCCGAAGGGCACCTGGTGGCTGAGCATGTTGTAGTTGTTGACCCAGACGGTGCCGGCCTTGAGGGCGTTGGCGACGCGGATGGCGGTGTTGAGGTTGGTGGTGTGCACGGCGGCGGCGAGGCCGTAGGTGGTCTCGTTGCCCAGCCGGATGACCTCCTCCTCGGTCTCGAACTTGCTGATGGCGCAGACGGGGCCGAAGATCTCTTCTTGCATGATCTTCATGTCCTCGCTGACGTTGGAGAAGATGGTCGGCTGGATGAAGTAGCCCTCATTGCCGTGGCGCTCGCCGCCGGTCTCGACCTTGGCGCCGGCCTCCTTGCCGGACTGGATGTAGTTCATGATCCGGTCGAATTGGAGCTTGCTGACCTGGGGGCCCTGGAAGGTGTCGGCCTTGAATGGGTCGCCGACCACGTTCTTGGCGGTCCGCTCCTTGAATTGCTGGATGAACTTGTCGTAGATGCCGGATTGGACGTAGATGCGGGAGCCGGCGCAGCAGCACTGGCCGTGGTTGAAGAAGATGCCGAAGTTGACCCACGAGATGGCGTCCTCAATGTTGGCGTCGTTGAAGACAATGTTGGGCGACTTGCCTCCGAGTTCCAGGGTGACCTTCTTCAGGTTGGACTTGGCGGCTGCTTGCAGGATGGTGCGGCCGACGACGGTCGAGCCGGTGAAGGCAACCTTGTCAATGTCCATGTGGGAGGCAATGGCAGCACCGGCGGTCTTGCCGAAGCCAGACAGGATGTTGACGACACCGGCGGGGATGCCAGCCTTCTCGCAGAGAGTGGCGGCAAACAGACCAGAAAGAGGGGTCTGCTCAGCGGTCTTCAGGACAACAGTGTTACCGGTGGCCAAGGCAGGACCAATCTTCCACGACCACATGAGAAGAGGGAAGTTCCATGGGATGATCTGACCGCAGACACCCACGGCTTCGTGTCTTGTGTAGTTGAATGTCTCTGGGTCTGTGTCGATGGTCTTGCCGTGGATCTTGTCTGCCCATCCACCGTAGTATCTCAAGCAGCCAGAGGACAGCTGAACATCGACCTTGGCCATGGACAGGGCCTTGCCGTTGTCCAGGGATTCAATTGCAGCGAGGGTATCCGAGTACTCGTCGAAAAGGTCGGCGAGCTTGGTGAGCATCTGACCCCGCACACTGGGGAGTGTCTGACCCCAGACGCCATTGAAAGCCTTGCGGGCGGCCTTGACGGCGATGTCGACATCTGACGAGAGACCGGGTCAGTAAGCTCAACCTTTGCAGAAAGGAGCACACGAGTGGCCTAATGACACGACTCACCCTCGGGACCGGCCTCGTGGACGGCGATAATGGGCTTCTCGTTAGAGGGGTTGATGGTCTCGAAGGTCTTGCCCTCAACACCCTTCACCCACTTGCCATCAATGTACAGACCGAGCGGTTGGTCGTACGTGATGCTAGGGGTCTCGATCTTTGCTGTCAAAGACATGGTGACTTGTGTGATCAGATATTCGATTTCTGCAAAGACTAGGATGGGTATCACAAGACAAGGAAGAAAAGTCGCAGACTTTTTGTAATAGACAAGAAGAGAAGAGGAGCAGACGAGCACCGAGGGCAGAGTGACCTTTATTTGAAATACTCAGCGCGCGGGGAAAGAGGCGACGCAGAGATATCCACAGCACAAAACCTCTTCGTTCGCTTTCCTATGGACCGAGCCAGTAGACACGAGAATGGAGGCAATGATCCACTGATCCAGAGGTCGAGCGGGCAGAATGCAACGAGATGGACGCAAGAATTCCGTCACTCAGGTTGAGGGGCGATTGGCATGCCGCGTTCAACTGCGGGGTTGAGAGGTAGGTCAGACAACGGTCTGTGTCCTAGTGGATCAAGGGAGATCAGAACAGCCAGACACGCATGTATCAAAGGGTCAAAGAGGGTTCGATGCTCTGTGAGATGGAGTCATGGGATTGGACAGTCGCCGAGACTAGACTGTGGTCCCGGGCTGCTGTGGCAATGTCTCGAAAGAGGGGTATCGACTCGACTTTTTGGTTTAGGTGGCAGCTTGCTGGCAGTAGACTGGAGGGAGCACCCGACTCGTCCTCGTCTTCCATCCGATCGAGACATTGCTGGCGTCTCTAGAGCATTGGCTGGCCCAAAGGATGACCGGACGAAGGCCCGTCTTGGTGTCATAACCTTTGCGGCTTTGCTCTTTTGATTTCCTAGTCAGATCTCTGCCTTGCCCCGGGGCTAGCCGAGTTGGTAGGTGATGGAAAGGAAATTAGAGTGCGACATAGCTCCCTAGAGCTACAGGTACATCCCCAATCTGACTGTCTGGAGGGATCGAGACTGCTCGGAATGTTGGATATCAGTCCATCGGAACCGAGGAGCAGCGAGTTCAACAATTGTCTAGATCGCGCCAGATATCAGCGTGAGGAACGATCTGATGTACAGTAAGAGCGGGAGTATTCGTGTCTTCTCCAGTAAGAAGCAAGAGTGTGACCAGCCGCTGGTGGATCGACAGAGCTCTCTAGACCTGCTGAGGATCAATGCTTTGGGGAAAGGGTATGCGGACGGCCTGCGTGTGGCTGCAAGTAGTCGGCTACATGGAGCAAAACCCCCTGGAGGTCTTTCCGTGCGAAACAGGGTTGGACGGAGAGTTGTTGCTCCGCCGAATTATGCTCAGCAGATTGTATGAATGATTACCTATCTCCCAGAACGACCCGACCCTGGTCTATGAGAAGGAGCGTGAGCATAGACCCGACAATAAGGGATGCAATTCTGGGATACGAAAACTGTGGTCGCACGGATCCCTCCCGCATCGCCTGCCCCTCCCCCTACCCTCCACCCTAGCTAGCACGCTGGGTCTGGTGCTTCCTCTTCAGGGAATGCCGTGGCCCGTGGGAAAAATGGAGGGGCCGAACAAGAGCCCCTTGCACAAAAAATAGAGGGCTTTCTCCGCTGGCTCGGGGGCTGGTGTGGCGTAGCGACCTGTTACAAGTCATGGGGCCTTGGTGACCAGCTACTGCTCGAGTACGGAATACTTGCCAATCTCGCTCGCATCGCTCTCTCGCTCAGGTCGACTTGACCTTGCGTAGTCTTGGGCTGATTGTTCTGGATCGCTCTTCATTTCCTGACTCGGATAGACTATGCGTCCGCGGAATAGTTTCCAGAAAGGATCACAAATAGGCTCCCCCTCTTTCGGGTCTGTATCTCAGTCGTAATATATACGAGTATACCAAGGATGAGTATTCCGTAGAGCTTTTCGGCAGGAAGTCCCTGGGCAAGGAGATCTAGTGTATGGATCGGCCAGGATGCGAGCGATTAGTGAAGGGCAGCCGCGGAGGCTGGAGTAGTAGACTTTGTCCTGTGCCGAGTAGAAGCACCAGAAGCTTTTGTTTTGCTTTGCTTACTGCAATTGAGTAATCGTTGAGGGGTGATTGTCGCTGTGACTGCTTTATCTGGGGGGGGAGCGGAGGCTTGGGGTGGTTTGCTGGGAGCTGCAAGAAAGAGAAGCGCTGCATGCACGTCGGCCATACAAGGCCCGATGGAGGCAACTGTGCCGGGCCAATCCACCCCAAATAATTGTGCTGATATATATTATTGTCTCACAAATTTGTCTTGGCTGTCATGGTCAAAAAGTTAGAAGGTTCTCTTGAGCCCGTGGGCGTCGCTTCACACTCCCACTTGTTCAGTCGTGCCTCGCTCGGAATTTCGGGTCGTTCATCGTACTCGTGTGTGCAGACCACGATCGCTACGGAACGTTAAGCCATCGGAAGTGATACTTGAGGGAAGCAATTCTGCAGAGGCCCTTCCACCCGGAGTTGGCGATGTGAGATTACACACTGTCAAGATATGCGAAGTCCCAGGCTCGATGTGGGAAATCGACTTTTTTTTGCTGAGGCGGTGAGTTGTTATTTTTTGTTCTGTGTTAAGGGGGGTCCTTTGTGCGGAGGTGAAGGGGTGCATCAGCGCCAAGAAGACAGCTACAGTCCATCAATACTAGTACAACAAGACGAAATGATCATCTAGATACTAGGTACCGAGCACAGCAAATGCAGGCTGGACGGACTCATCCGTGTCTCCACCTTGTTCACCCGCACGGAAGTCCCGCACCAGAGACGGATGTCACCCGCTCGGGGCACCTACGGGGAGTCAGGGGCCTGGATTGACTGTACCTCGCACTTCCCATCTCTATTTCTATTCTCTTATCACAGCAGACCAACACATCTGTCAACGCTATCTAGAGCTTTGAACAATGCCTGTGGGTCACCACTTCGGCCGGGGTCGCCCCATCCACCACCAGCACACTCCGATTCCTCTCTTGTGTCGACGGCGCAACATCCAAGGCGGGATTCCGTGCGAAGAAATTCACCGGCTTCAGTCCAACGGCCATCTTCTCGCACGGCATCACAGGCCAATCCTCCACGCGCGGGTTGTGCGTTGATCCAAAGGTGTGCCAAACGACAATGTCTTGGTTTTTGACGTCACTGGCAGCCGAAGACTCTTGCTCCTGCCGCCGCTTCTCGATCCAGCTGGCAATGCCTTCTCCGCCTAGAGATTGCATGGTGTGGTCGCCCGACGCGAACAGCTCCCCGTCGTGGTATTTCGTCACCCAGACGGCATGCGCGCCAAACTCGGATCTCTTCGCATGGTACGATGACGGGTGTGCAAGGACGAGTTGACTATAGTAGGGGACGAGTTTGTACCCGACGGGCCCTTCAGTGACAGGGTTCGTAACGCCTTCGTTGACAATCTTGAAAACTCGGTTGACCGTGTGGTCAAGATCCAATCCACATTCTTTGCTCACCGTCTCAGCTTTGGTCGTGTACCCGACGCCGAAAGGGTTGTGGATATTGGGATCCTGGCTCTCAAGCGGCATAGCATGCGACTCCTCGACGACGAGAGAATTCTTCCACCCGGCCACTGCTGGGTCGATCCTCAGACAGAAGAGGTGTTGATGATACGGTGCCATCACGCCCGGTGCAACTGTGGTGCCAAATGGCACCTTGTCCCCAACGTTGATCGGGACGGTGGACACAATCCCCGTCGCCCGCACTTCATACTGCAAGGACGCGTCCTGGCCAAAGTAAAAGGCAAAGATGTACTCGTAGTTGCTCACGGTGATGATGGTCTGCAACACCAAGACCCTCGAGCGGGTGACCACGGCATTGTTTGTGCGGAAATTGGTGTGTTTCCACAGAATCCCGTCGTCGATTTCATGACAGCACACCGCGTTGGGGAGCTTGATCGGATCCCCCGAGCTGGTGGCGTGCCAGCCGTCAAAGTATTTGATGTGGCCCAAACAGTCGCATCCCAGCTGCAGATTGTTGGCATTGCAGCCGGCGCCGTCATTCCCCAGATCAAAGGCGGCTTTGCGCGCATACGGCGTTCGCGGGTCCCCGTAGGGAACAAACATCTCGGAGAGCGAGAGGCGGTAGAACAATGAGTGGCCGTCATACCGGACGTCGTGAAGAGTGAGTCCTTCCCTGTAGTTGAACCCGACGCGCAAATGCCACTTTTCCCAGCGTAGGAGGTTGCCCGTGGTGGTGAAGGACGGGCCATCCGGCTGCAAGACGTGGTATGGCTTGGTGGATGTACGATGCTCGGGCACCAAGTCTGGGTGATACTCAATGTCCGCGTCGAAGATTTTCCTCTTATCGTACGGTTTGGCCGTCGTGCTGATGTCGTTCGACGTGCCATTGGGGAGGTGGTAGATTTTCAACACCCGCGCATCGCCAGACATCTCGACGCACAGATCCAAGGGGTACGCATAGTGGTTTGCATCCGGATGACTGATCAGTTTCATGTAGAAATAGCACTGGAAATGTACACCGTTTGCCGTCAGCCATCGCTTCCTCCGCCGGGCCACTCCAAGTCAAGAAGGACGCTCGCTCGGGGACACATACCATGGTGATCTTCTGGCTCATATCGTTCATCCCATCCGTCGCGTACGTCCACGGTTCAATCTTGACCACCGCCCCCTCGGGAAGCTGCATCTCCTTGATGGCGGCCTGCACCCGGCTATCACCAAGGCACGCTGCCTCGGTCTTCTGCATGTCGTATCCGTCGACGTGTGGATGCCGACCGAGGAGCTGTTCCTTGTGCACGACCTCTCCGGTTTCCACGTTGACCTTGAGTTCATAAAAGTGCGCGCTGTCCCGTGGTTGACCCAGGAAAACCTGAACCGTGGCGAGGCGGGCTGGCCGTTTGGACGCTTGCTCCGATACAACACCACCCTTACCGTGCTCGTGCTCTAAGAAAGCCATCATTTCGGCCTTGGCTGGTTCCGCAAGGGTTATGACCCGGAAATATGCCTCGCCATCTGGGAAAGCTGCTCGAACATGCTTCGCGGTCTGAAACGGTCAGTTCGTGACCGACGACACACACGATGCCTCAAGAGGCGGATCCTTACCTGAGAGATCTCCTGAGGCGTGAGAGGGTCCAAAGGGTGGGAAACCAGCACCGCCATTGTCCAAAAGGATTCTCGCCGTTCCTTCCCTTTATCAGAGCCAGATGGTTTATTTCAAGGTCGAAGTCGGCAGGGCAGAGATTCAGCGACGGGCAAAGCACAGGCAGACCTTTGCATGCTGTTCGGCAAGAAGTTGAATATAATGTGGATCTACGCCTTCTGACAAGACTTGAACTGCAAAGGGAAATAGAACGCATTTCAAGCCTACGCCGCCAAAGGTTGGGTTGAGGCTTCGTCGCCCAAGGCTTGTCGAGGTCTCGGAGGAATCCGCTGGCAGTGAAATACTCGGTTGAGCAACTGTCGGATATTCGCGATCCTCGTGTGTTCCAGCCTAACTGACCTAGGCACCCGGGGAGCATACTGCATATGTGCGGCAGACTAATGAGCAAAACAAATTGATCTCACGGAGTATATGAGAGATGACCACAGACGAAAAAATGGATGGAAAGAGAAGTCCTGCTACTCTTGCCGGTTCCGAGATTGTTTCGGCTGCGGACCAACAGAGTGAGAAGTTGCTTCAAAAGACGCCGATAGAACTCGGAAGAGCTCGAGGTGTGCTGATGCACTGTTCTTGTAAGTAAGGTAACAAATACTCATCTGGTCGTAGACATGTTGCTGCTGGTCCCAAGGGATTCGTCAAAGCTCCTCCCAGAGTTTCACTAAACTCAAGGTGAAGGGGCAATCATGGCTCAATCATGTCGCACAGTGCAATCACACGCCTTCGGAGCTTCGGTTTGGGAAGACAACACAAGACCCGGAGCGCATTCCTGAGAAACCAGTGATTAAACCAGGAAAAGTCTTTTCATTGGGATGATCGGCCACAGGGCGCGATGATTGAAATTATGTCCAAGTCAGAAACGCTTGTTGGAGCAAACCCATTCCTTCAACCGGCGCTGGTATACAGCCTTTCTTTCGTACAGGGAGGCGAGATTCGTCAGAGGAAGTCTGATAAAGTGGCTCCCATCCAGGCGTAGGCCACCAAAGGGACTAGAAATCTTTTGTTGGTACACTTTTTCGTCGCTCTTCGTCGTGTTGCAGGGGGCGCCAGCGGATTTACTCGACGCCCGGTCCACTGTCAGATCCTTCGCTACCAGCGCCAAAGGAGCCAACCTTCAGGTTCTTATCTTGCGCAACCATGATTGCGAGGATCTCGAGGATTTCTTTGGGGACGGTGTTATCGTAGATGCCGATGAGTGATTGCGGTTCGGGGTAGACCTTGAGACCCTTGTAGAAGCAAAGGGCCGCGCCGATAGGGTCAGAGCCTAGAAGCAGAGTCAGCCATATAGATCCGAGCCATAAGAAATAGGAGTACAGACCGTCACCGGCCATAGCCTCTCCCTGTGCAATTTGTTGCATGAAGAATGCCTCTTTCTCTTCAATGTCTGTGGGGAATCCCTCTTCAATTGCCTCCTGGACAGTCCTTTTGATTTCTTCCCGCTTCTGTTTCCCTTGGAACTCGGCCTCTTCCTTGGCTAACCGGGCTTGCCTGCGCGACTCCCGCTTTAGAGCTTTCCGGAACTCGGGGTCATTTCTCCGCCTGTAATCGAAGTAAACGGCATATGCTGAAAGCGTGTCAGTCGCCAAAAGTCTAGGTGAGAGAGCCTTCTCTTTCTCAATGGATCGACGCACCAATCAACCCTGTTACTACTGTCCCGACAGATATTGACACGATTGTCGAGGTCTTCATGATGAGGAGACGGAGAGGTAGGGCCTTGAAAAGAAAGATACGGTGGCACCCCGACTGATGACGAGAAATAAGAATGCAGATTAAGGGAACCCGAAATGCGAACGAAACTGAAAATGGATCCTAAAAAAGTAGCGGCAATACGAGATTCGGTAGCGGAAATGGTTCTTGAATAATAGATTGCAGTGATACAGCTTTGGAAATTTCGCAGCTGGAACCGAAAAGGCCCTGGAAAGACTTCGGCAAAGGCGCAGGTCGAGCGAATTCACCATGTGACATAATGCTCCGCACCAATTATACGGCGGAGCATTCAGTCGGATCTGGACAGGCTCAGCCTTGCCCCTGAGCCCATGACATGGGTATATATTCGATGTATGTCGCAGCCATGCCATGTAATGGGACATCTTTCCCCTGTGAGCATATGAGAACGTCAAAAAGATATCAAGCTCTTACCACCGTGGATGCCAAACCAATGAGATCTAGAGACTGGTAAATGCAACCTTTCTCGTCCGTCTTTTACACCTCATAAGAAGGTGAGTGCAAACGAGCTTGCAGGCCTTGTGCCTGCCTTTGCTACTTTTGTGGGGAGGTTTCAAAGCATGGGACGCTCGTTATCCAACATCCTCAACTTCAAAGAAACAGGATTCGACCATTCAAATTCCAGGAGCCTCATTCCCGCTTTTCGTGTTCCGGCTGTTCCAATGGCTGAGCACAAGCCCTCAACTCTGATAGCGCTCTGCCGACGAAAGAAGACTGGGACAAGACCTTGCTGTCGACCTCGTTCTCAAGTTAGAGGCCAGTGACACGCAGAAGCGTAAAGGCCGGACGAAGAAACCCATGCTTCATGATCCTCGAACGGCGATTCAAGAGTCTCAGTCGAAACAATTTCGGAGAGGTCGCTGCTGTACCCCACACAATTGTGTCTGTTGACCGTGGCCGTCTCTGCAAGCAGTTCAAGTCTTCAGCTGAGGCACCGTTTCGACCCACAGCGTGCCTGACGTACACGATTGGATTAGCATTAGCATTCTGTTCAGTTCGGAGCCAATAGCAAGCAAAGTTGCAGGATGGCTCTTCTTGAAGGCAGAAAAGCGGGTGTAGGAACTATGTCGCTCCAAAATCTCACGGAATCATCCAAGACTTGCAGAAACTCCTGCAGGGCGTTCCCGTGCAGAGACTAATGTCTCGGGGAACAGGGAGATCATTAATCCTCCTGTTCCCAAGCCAAGCATGCACAGACAAATCGAGACAATGATGAGCAAAGCATTTGCATCTTTCACCCATTGCTTCTTCGTGCTCATATCAAGCAAAGGGTCCGGTCACGCAGCGGCTGTTCGCGGAAACGCCTGGATTCGCCGTTTGCACACTTTAGGAAGCTTCGAGTCAGATTCGATGATAGGTGTGACAGCTTGCGATGCTGTATCACTCTCGCTGTCGTCTTTGAGGCATAGCTTGCTGGATTTGCCAGGACTGACACATGGAGCTTTTGCCAATTCTCCCCTGGACCTTGCGGGCGTAGCAGGGAAAAAGCGACGAAGCAAGTCAAGATCACCACAGCCTTCCAGGCCAATCGCAAAGCTCCCGACGAGGTCTCCAGCCTGTTCAGGAATAGTCCTTGGTCACATCATGACGACTTACTCATCAACCAACCCCAAATGTCCTTTTGTGCCAGAGGACAACTTCCCGCTGTGAATTAATCAGCTGCAAGAAAGCCGCTGGAGTCGTGCCCGTCCCGGACGAACTTATGTGTGCTGCGACATAGCTGGCAGCGGTCTCCGCATATTGCCGTCGCAAGTCGACGTCTGCTGCCTAGGTCGCTTGGCCGTGGGCGTTCCTAATCTTGCAGATCATTGCTTGGTTGCTTGCGGCCGACGGGTACATATACCATGATAGTGTCTCGATCCGACCAGAGTCTCCAAACAACTTAAGTCTTCAGGCTATACGATTATGTCGTCCAACGTGACCCCAAGATATGCGGTCGAAACCCACAGCAGCTGAGGCAACGATAAACAAATCTTTTCCCAGCAGCAACGAGGGCAAGTCTCTGCTGATGACATATTCCTGTCCATTTCGCCTGCGGCCCTGCCCACATGGGCTTCCATTTTCACCTCCTCAGAAGGTGAAAAGATGCCCTCGGAGCCGCACACCGTTGCCCTATAAAGGTGGCTTTCGGCGACGGGAAGACGGAACAAGCTGTGCATCGCCAACAAGAAACTGGACAGGAAGAAAGGCAGCATGGATCCTTCAATAGCCACCCAATAACACGCCATACACCTTTGCATCTAGTGAGGAAAAGGTGCGGATCATCATATGCCTGATTGGTTAGCAAAGAATAGTCCTGAGTCAAGCGCTACGTAAGCAGGCTTCTGACAAGCACCAGCTGGGCCTGTCCAACCAATGTAGACATGGGCCGAAGGAGAAAGAGGCTAGTGTTTCCTTCTCAATTCGAACAGTTGAACCGATCACTTACCAAATGTTCGATTTGCGGAAAACAGCTAGGGATTTGAAGTCCATGATTGGGATCCTGGGTGCTCAAGGGTACACTTTCCCGGTGCTCCACAGGTATGCAGTGTGTCAATACGCAGTACGGGAGTACGAAGTACATTTATCAACATTCCCCCGGAAAGTGTGGACTTCTTCACCAGAGCTCGACTTAGCGAAGATGGGCAGCTGTACACACCTCCAACAACGCGGCCTGAAACGGCGGGGAACTCAATCTGTAAGATCGCCCTGCCACCCTTTTGTGGGAACAGCCCTCATGCGTGTATCGTGCTAGAACAGTCGAGGAAGACCTGCCGTTGGTCAGCTACGTCCATCGGAGGTAGACGACAACATCCGAAGGCTGCAAAACCAGGTCGTCGAGCTCAAATTCGAGTGTAAACTCCTGCAGCAAGCCCGAGATGACTCGGTCACTGTGGCCGCCCAGATGATCAAGGAAATTGAACGCCTGGAGGGCGTCCTCAAGTCTACTCTCCAGCAAAAAGAGGAAGCTTCGAAGTCCGATTCGCCCTGACCGAGAAACGACAGACGAGGCTGGCTTGACCGGGAGCGTCACTTCGGATGTAGCATGGCGTCAACCTTAGGGTAAGCCGAATCCGAGACAGCCAGACCTGCCATTCTCTTGAGCATCCCGCTCGGTTGAAGCCTGCAAAGGCATGCCGCGGGACAGCCACTCCTTCCAACCAGAGAACCCACCACCGTCGGCTGTGCGGGACTCAAAAGCGATTGCTAAAATGAACTGGGAGGTCCTCCGTTGGTTTGCAATGTTGCAGGACTGGGTCAGTAGGCGAAAACTGGAATCCCACAGCCAAGACGCGGTAACAGGATGTGGGTAGGGTTTTCGGTGTTAACAGAACTCGTCGAGAAGGTGACGAGGACGAGGCATCCAGGTTTGGGTCGGTTTCACTGGGCAGGGAGGTCTGTCTAAGCGCTCTTGCAAAGTGAAGAATATTCCCCGCGCCATCCCATCCATTGTGGACGCACATGGGCATTCCCAGCTGAAGGACCTCAGGGCGGATCTGTATGCTAAATGAGCCGTTGGTCGACAGGCTTAATTTTCCCCGATATTGACTCCCTTGGGAGGTGGTACTGGCTAGTGCGAGAGAAGTTATGCTCCTGGGCACAAATGCTGAGTTTTCAGTCAGTGACACATGTTCTAAGTCCCAGCTGAAGGGGATGGGATCATGATACTGACTGCGGAGTCTCCCAAATACTAAGCCTCAAGCAAGTTTCAAAGCCTGCTTGCAACGATACAAGGACCCATGGCCAGGTCCCGTCCCTGATGCTAGTAGACGTAATGCCATTATCGCAACCGAGAACTCGCACATTTTCGTGCTTTTCGCGATAATATGCTCATTTGCTGGGGCAGGTTGGTCGTACGAGCTTGCCACGATTAGCATCCCATTTCTTTTGCAACTTCTCGTTCGAATGCATCCTGCTGGACTCTAATCCAAGACTGGTGGTATAAACGTTGTGTAAAAGCGGTGTCGCGGAAACTCACACCGCTCACCCCTGTGGCGTCTTTGGGATGAACCCACACGAATACTTGGTCTCTGTGCTATATTACACAGTCTTCCTAAGGTGACGCACGTACTCGGTACATAAGTCCCATGTTTCCACTCCCTCGTGGCTTGAGCTCGGAAAAACGGAAGATTTCTGTCTCCATTATCCCTGCTGTCTGATGAATAAAGGTGGCTGGGAGGGGTCCTATCGAAACCACGGCGTCATAACACGCAGGCTTCCGGTGCAGTCACATCTATCAGCCGCAGAGTAAGCGGAGGAGATGGGTCAATAACCAACTTGGTATCGTTGAGGTAGCAGGAGATCTGACTTTGTCCCAAGCCAGGTCGAGAAAGTGGTCGTACCTTGCAGGAAATGAAGCACCGGCTGGAGACAGACAACACCTTACGAGGTAGACACTGGCAGTTCTACCTCCCTTCAACAGCGATTGAGGCTCACTAGCTTGGCTCCAAGGAAGGGTTCACTAGCTTCACCTTGTTGGACCCGTTAGACTTGAGAGGCGAGAATTCTGCAGCTGCTGCATCACACTCAAGTGCCCGTGCCCGCATCGTCCTTGAAGCTGTGTGGAGTGGTCCTGATACTTGTTCACAACAGAGTTGCCATCGACCATTATGCAAAGCGAACCCACACAACAGCATTCTCAAGCATCATTTGGGTTGTACCATACCTAGGGCACACTGCAGATGATCTCTTTCTTGCTGGGCTCTGATCTGCGGTACATGCTTCGTCATTCCGAGGCTGAACTTGGCGGTGGAAATGTCGAAGATTTTCGGCTGGAAACGTCGAAAAATCAGGAAGGCTGGTGGGGATACGGCCGTCTGCCGACTGGCTCTCTGGAACGTAATCCTTTAGCGTGGGCGCTTAGATGCAGAAGCGTGTTGGGCCGCCTGAAGCCTAATGACTATGACCAGCGAGGCCCCGTCTTTGGGCCACTAGGCCGCACTGTACGCCTATCGATCTGGACTCTTTAACCTTGGGGGTGGGCCGAGTCCAGGCTCTGATCATCCTCAAGACACGGGTGACGAAGGTGACAGACGTCTCCGGAGACAGCAAGAGAAGTATGGCAGGACGCCGATGGAAACGTCTCCTTCGCCTTGAATGTATGTTATCACTGTGAGAATAGGGAACGTTCACAGCGCCACCACAGAAAGGACAGCATGGAGACACATGCTCGCCACATTCCTCCACACTTGTTGCTCCGTTGACCGAGGACTCACAAGTGTTGATTCTGGCTCGCCCCGTGGCTCTAGGCGCGTCTCCATGCGAGCGTTGCCTGATATCATCAATTTTCCGGGGCATCGGTTAGGTCTGTTCTTTTTTCCTGGGTATCAATTATTGCACGTTGCGTTTCAACCACTCCATTGCAATTGTACAAAGAGATGCATTCCATTGTACAGGGATGCAGCGATCGGCAAACGGAAGTAGAGGTGGCACTTGCGTCGCCCGCTCATTGCGGGAGACACGGGCACCACTGCAGGTCATAGCCCTTTCTTGCCCCGGCCTTCTTGGAAGTTAGAACTCTCCGGGGGCCCGCTCGGTCTTTGTGACGGTGGGAGCTTCATGGTAGCTATCGACATCCTGAAGAATGGAGGTGGCTCTAAAGTTAGATCACCGTGCGGCTTGCGGAGGGGTCGAATAGCCCAACTGAGGGTTTGTCCACGAACACAGGCTATTGACTAGCATACTGATTGCCTGAAGAAATCTCTTTCAATTGCCCCCACGGAGAACATTCCTGTACGGGGTTCCTGTAAGGTTCGTGTCATTCTGTGAGAGGTGCAACAAGATCGAAAAACGGTCAACTTGTCCCGGCACGACAAGTCTGGCTGTACCACTTCGTGGGCTCCCAGGCTATTTTCTTGGGGTCTGCCGCGACATCGAGCTGGACTTGCTGTATCACGGTCAGCAACCGAGAGACAGTCCACGTAGCGATATATAAGACCTTCCAATGCACACAGTTGTATAACCGCTGAGGCAATTTGTGAGGAGATTGAGCGGTGCGAATTGGCGTCGGGGGCAGAATGGAGTCGATGGGGCCCTTGCCCGCTGTATCGTAGTGGAGTGGGAATAGTCGAGTGATGAAAGTTAGACAGGGAACCGTGCTGGTAGTGCACTCGAGTCTTGAGTGTGCTGGATATTGTGATTGGAACGAGAAGAATGCGTCGGTCGAAGGAGGGCGCAGGTGGATGTGTGACGGCGAGGGGGTGGCAGCCAATCGTGCTGCTGTAAGCGCCCAAGCCTGCGCCGAGGAGCATCTCGTGCCTGTCCATCCCAGACCATCCCAGTCCATCCCACCCTCCATCAAATCCTCACTCATGGTTGCTCATTCTTCACCCAGATCAACCTGCATTCGAACTAGAAGGCCAGGATTTGCCATGATTCGACCACGCCGGCCAATTTATGCAGGCTCACATGCTGCTCGAGGCGGGGCCGCAATCAAGCGCCCGCCAGCCAGTAAAGCTTCACAACTGTGTTTCCATCATGTCGTTGGTACCTCGACAGCCAGGACCGCCATCTTCTCGAACAATGGCTACTCGTATACCTTCCTCGCTGCGCCTCTTTCTGCCCCTTTGAGTGGAACTTGTCGTTTCCTCTGGCGTATGAGCCCATCTTGGGAGAGATTTCTGTTTCAGCAGTTCATTTCTTGGGGTACCACCTCTCTCGTGTTCCGGGACCTACGAGTACGGCTGCTAGGCATTATTTCCGAATCTCAAATCTTCTCCTGATCTAACAACGACATCTCCCGATCTGTCTTGTGCCCTATAAGCCTGTCTGCAGGAACGAGAGTCCTCCGCGGTTACGTGGCGCCCACCGACCGCACGCCCTCAGGCTTCCACAAGTCAATTGCGAGGGAGAAACAGAGAAGGGGGACATATTCTGCCGCTAGCCACTCCCCAGGTTCCACGGCCGAAGGTTCAGTCGGGATTCCAATAACCGATACTCTGGAAATACCCAGGTCAATCTTCGTTGAGGCCATGTCATAGTCTGGGACTGTATAGCGGAAGAGGTACCAAGAGACGCATCGTCCTACATATTGCCGTTCATAACGGTGCTAATTTCCGCAGTCGCAGGCTCCCTCTGTTGCGGACTCGATTCAACATGTCTGCAGGACCGGGTCTGTCCCGACAGAGATCTATCTCGGGCAGATCGAAGGGAGTGATACTTCCACCTGTCCCCCAGGCGAGGCTGTCTGGGGAAGACGCCGCCTTCGAACCTTGCGCATCGACAGCCTCCCTTCTCCTCTTTGCCTACGGTTCGACGGTGATATGCCTGCACCATGATACTTTGGCTATTGAGCGTCGGTTTGAAAAGCACTCAAAGGATATTCAATTGATATCTGCCGATAATGTCAGCGAAACCGGAGCTGGAAGGCTGGTCATCACCTACGATGTGGGACGGACGGCCATCGTTTGGGACTTGTTCACTGGCGAGCAGCTCTCCCGGTTTGTCTCGTATGAAGCTTTGACAGTTGCGCATTGGATGAGAAACGGGAATGTCGCCTTTGGTAAGTTGAGTTCTCCCCACGGCCTAATCGACACTCCCGCTGAAATCCTGCAAAGGCAATGCCAAGGGCGAAGTGATATTGTTCGAGCCTGCAACGAGCGAACATATCTCGGCACGGACGATATTCGATCCCATCACGGCGATAGCGCCGTCCTCGGACTGCAAAACTTATGCCATCGGGTGGGTACCTTTGGAGTCCTAGAGTGAAACTATGCTCATCGTCGCCAGATACAAGAACGGCTCCATACTGTTGGCGGCATTACAGCCCTCATTCACAATTCTACACACTCTGACAACATCCCGCGCACCCTCACCAATCGTTTCTCTGACCTGGCACGCTTCATCCTCGAAGCAGAAGTCGGACATGCTCGCCACCCAAACGGCTGATGGAGACCTGAGAGTCTGGAGCGTATCCAAGCCACCCACGTCCGAGGCCCCCAGAGTTATTCGCGTCTTAAAGCGTATTGACACCTATCTTCCGGGTCGAAACTGGATTTCGTGGTCCAAAAATGGGCGGATCGTTCAATTTAGCGAAGGCAAAACATGGGCCTGGGACGTTCGAACCAAGCATGTCACCTACGAACCTATCCCGACGGTGGACGGAGTCAGAGCCATTGCTTGTCACGGACCGACGGGCACCCTTTTTACGTTGGGACCAGACTATACGGTACAACAATACGATGTTGAGAGGGCCATTTTGGTTGCTAATGTGCGGCATTTGCCACTAACTGTCCCGCCGACCCCCCCAGAGGACAGAAGAGGGCCAATATGGACGACATCTGAAAGCGAAGAAGAGCTGGCATCACCTCTTGTCCGCGCCCGACGGGAACTACGTGCTTCAGAGGGAGCGAAGCAGGAACGGAACAATATTCCTAGCCCTCAATCGACTCTCAGTTCGCAGAATGGCGGCTTGAAGAATGGAGCCAACGACATCATCTCCCCTGCTGGAAGAACGGATTATACAACTACATCGTTCGATACTGGCATTCAGTCACAATCAACAATGAACCAACAGCCCATGCAGCTCATGGGCCAGCCTTACCAGCCTCAGTCCCCTGTCAATGCAAGGGCGGCCAGGAAAGGTTCTCGTCTGAGGCAAGAAGTAATCATGAGTCCTGAAGAACAACCGGTCGCCGAACTCTTCCCTTACACTAGGGCTCGGTTGCACGATGTCCCGTACCGACCCCCTCGATCGCTCGATGAAAGCCACATGACTCCAGACGATTTGCGGAGGCAGATGCTGAGTGTCGTGTTTGGTTGGGAAGAAGATATCCACGACCTGATCCGCGACGAGTTGAGCCGCCATCCCAGCGATAGCCAGACCGCCATTTTCCTTGCCAAGTGGCTAGACGAAGATCCTGACTACTTGGCCGAGATCATGGGCTCCACGGGAACCGTCTTCGGCCTGGACTGGATGCTGCTGGCTTTGGGTACAATTAGCAACCAGGTGGGGGCGAAGAAAATCACCCAAGTCTTCATTGAGAAGCTGCTGGCCAAAGGCGATAGCCACGCCGCAGCTACCCTCCTGCTCGCACTTGGCGACAGGAGCGATGCGATCGAAGTCTATGTGTCAAGGAATCAGTACATGGAGGCAGTCCTGCTGACCTGCCTTGTCGCACCAGACGACTGGCAGCGGCAATCATATCTGGTGCGCCGATGGGGGGAACACGTTGTCGAGAACTCGCAGCAATCGCTAGCTATCCGATGCTTCTCGTGCACAGGTGTCGAACCTTCGGATCCTTGGACTTCACCCAATGCTCAACTAGCCACGAGATCCGTCCTAGAACCAGTCTCGAGCCCACAATCGGCCCACTTGCAGCCGTTGGAGCCGGCGGAGTATCCTGCGATCTTCCAGAAGACTTTGGAGAGACGACGGACACTCGATGCCCCGACTCCAGTAGCCATGCCTCCGCCGCATATTCTGTCAGCCATCCATCAACCACCCACGCCATTCAGGACTGCTGCTGCTCAAGGAACAAGGATTACGCCTCAAACCTCGGCTTTGAAACTCATCACTTCCTTCGGGCCTCAACCGAGTAACAACTTTAAATTCCCCGGACTCAAGCCTGAAGACCGAACACCGACTGTCGCTGCTGCTGTAACGCCTATTGCTGAATCTGCCATTGATAGGTCTGCTATTTCACCTGGTGGCCTGGGTTCCTACCGCTTAAACAACATCCGAAGCATCAACAGCGCCCTCTCGGCCAAGACAGCAACGCCTGGCGGCTTCCAGCCAAGTCGACTGGCGGTCATTGGGGAAACGCCTGTCGACGTCGAGACACCCCAGTATTCAGGTGCTTTGCCGCAGAGATCTATATCTGTACCCGCCGAGTTGACGTCTTCCAAGACGGCTGAGGGCGAGGAACAAGCTCCGGTCGTGAACGACGCACGAGCGAAGCAGGCCTTGACATTGCTGACATCCGCACGGTATGAGCCAGTAGCCACCCCGGTGAAGGAAACACCCCAAACAGCTGTTGGACCACAGACCGTCATCAAGTTTCCGGGGCCCGGTCCCCAGTACGATGCCGGGCTAGATCATGATGAGCGGCATTTGGATCCTCTGCGGACAAGAACTGGGTCGAAGAGTCGAAAGCCTGATGGGCTTTCAATCCAAACTGCTCACGTTTCGAACCAAGAATTTCTGCCCTCTGCCAGCTACGGTGATCCAATTAGCAGACCTGCCACCACGGGATCATATTCAAACACACAACTCGATACCTCTGGAGACCTAACAAGTCCGCCGACTGGTGACAGTTTTCGGAGCGTCAAGAGTCCCATCGTGACCGGTCGAAGCATCGATCAGTATATCAGTAGCCTTGAACAAGCTCAATATTATACAAAGCATTCTAGAGCTCGCGGTTACAGCAGCACTAGCAAGCAGTCGAGGGATGACCAATCAGATCGGAAAAAGAGCAGAGCTAACAACATGGACGACAGTGGTGAGAGAGAACCTCGACGAACCATCTCTGCAGCTCAACGCTCGCCTTCTTCCCCGGTCCCGATGTCACCAGAGGATCTGCGGATGTACAGCACCAGTGTCGAGAGCTTCGACTCGATGTACAGTTCTAATTTCTCTGGGATTGACCGATCAGAGACGCCTGGCAGCATGTCCAAACTTAGTCGGCGTGGGTCTCAATCAACTGCCAAAGGTGGCAAATCCCGCAAGCGATCGCACTCTAGACATGCCACCACGAAGAGCAAGACGACCAGCCGGGGTGCTAGTCGGCAGCAAAGCCCAGACGCTGCAATCTTTTCGCCCAGAGGTCGAAGCTCCTCGCGCAAAGAGAATCTAGGGCACCGTTCTCCGTCATCACCACGACCAATGGTTCCTTCCGAAGAGGACCGACAAAGCCGCTTCGACCAAGATTCGGCTCTGAGACTGGTTTCCAAAGACCGACACCGCCTGCATCGAAGCACTAGTCGTCAACCACATCGTGATACAAGTGCAAGAAGAGACAGATCACCCGATCGCCGAAGAGTACGAGCCAGATCTCGCAGTCGTCAAGCGGAAGAGGCTACGAGCCTGAGTCGGAAAGCAAGCCGTAGTGATCATCACCGCCGACATCGCCGCCCAAGCGACGCACTGTATGACCGCAGCGCCCACCCTGATGATCCTGAAGACGGCAGCACACTCAACAGTATACTCGCAGCACAGGACAGGGTGCCAAGATCTGCCAGTCAGCCTCAATTTGCATTGGAAGGAGAAAAGGGAGGGTTGCAAGCAGAGCCGCCGCAAGCCTCCAGGGAGCCTCTGACTCGCCGTCCCTCTGTGCCCAACGTACCATTTTCAAGCGAGCTCGCTGCGCAAAATAAACCGGCATCGACAAGCAATGCAATACCGCCCCCATTAACGAGGGCGTACACTTATGACGGGCCGATCACCACGTCTTCGTTCCAAGAGAATGGCCCAGGGAGAGAATTATCCGGACTTGGGCTTACGAAAGAAAGGCCAGGAACGCCCAGAGCGATGCAGGTCGATGCCACAATTCCAGAAGGTCAAGAAGTCCCACAAGTTCCTAGCATGAGCGGTACAGAGCTTCTGAGCAGTGACGTTTATCGGCCGCCCACCCGCGAAGACATCAGTAGACCAGGTTCGGCCCGGGCACCTGCTTCGCTAGAATTCCTATCTCAGATACCCAAGCATCCCGCTTACAACCAACGCATAGCGGGCAGCAGATCAAGCAGCAAGGGACCCGAAGCTCGAGCAAATTCGCGGAGTCGAGGCACATCTCGCGACCGCACTGCGCGTGTGTCTCCGCGCGAAGTGCCCTCAGTAGCGACGTCCACTCCTCCCATAGGGACTACTGAAACTGCGGTCTCTACAACCTTTACAGCATCACCGCCACAACACCCGCCTATTCTTCCAGAGTTGCAACATCTCGCTGAACCACCTCCGCCCCCACCTCCTCCGCTTCTGCCGAAAGTGCTCCCCCACACTGGAGTCAGTCCTAATCTCTCCAATCTACGTGGGTTTGACCACGTGGATGCGGCAAGCGTGCCTCTGCCCATGTCCGCCTTCCCTCCGCACACCACATTCCAGGATATGGCGGCGATTACAAGCAACACAATGCCTCTGTCTGCCGGCCCCTTATCTTCAAGCGCAGGTCATAGGCGAGGACGATCTGGGAATGATAACCAAAGCGGTGGCTCAGGAGGCCAGCTTCTGAACAAACTGAGAAGCTTTACAGGTAGAGCGAGGTCTCCCAGTCGAGGTAGGAGAGGCGGTGATGATAATCAAGCCATGAGTCCTAGAATGGTCGGAGTTGGCGAGAATGTACAGCCGGCACCATATGAGAGCATTCCGAACGCTATGATGGGAAGTGTTGGATCTTGAACGAGTTTCCCGCTTTACGAAGAATGAATATTGTCGGTTGCAGGGGAGGAGGTGAGCAATCAGGAGCGATCGAAAGAGTTGGAATGGGAGAGAGGGACGAAGAAGTAGTGTTGTCCCGAAAGAAGTCTCGGAACGGTGTTTCCGCCTGTTTCCTCCATGTTCTGAAAAGCGCGAGAAAAGAGATTGTTACCAGTGGGCTCACGCGGGCTCCAAAAGCAGGTGCCGCTCTTTAGCGATGCATTTCGATTCTTGACGATCCTTGCTTGTGAGCGATATGCGATCTTGGGGAGAGTTTGGGGGAATACTGGAGTTGGGATACCTAACTTGGGCTGATGCGAGTAATTAAAGTGATGGATGGAAACCAGGACACAGTGGCAACGAGCCAAACACCGGATTTCTCTACCTAGGGAAGAGAGATTCTGGGCGGGAGGGTGTGCGGTGCGCAATATAGGAGGACATTTATGTCGCTCAAATATCTAGCTTCTGACAATGAGATACTGTAGCTCCCTCCCTATTGCCGTGCCCCCGTGCCGCGTGCTCGATGTATATGGCCCGCTCCTGTCACTGTCTCTGCTTTAATTAGCTTTGTTGCAGGGGTTCTCGCCTTGTTCTGGCTTCCCCCCCTTGGCTTTTGAAACGTGGAATATCTCCACGGAAGGGTATTGAAGGAGAGAGAGTAGAGAGAGAGAGAGAGAGAGAGAGAGGAGAGAGAGAGAGAGAGAGAGAGAGAGAGAGAGAGAGAGAGAGAATAGATCCGCTAGCCCCCGTCCTTTACTGCTTCGGCGTTCGTCCCAGAAGATCATAAGGTGAGAAAGAACGTTAAGGTTCATATTGCAGTAGAGAAGAACGAGAGGTCACCGTCCCAGGAACCTGACCGAGCAAGACCGCTTGAGTTCCGTCTCCACGTGATATCATTATCTCATGTCTGTGTTATAGCACGAGTTAGTTATCTTAATAAAGTCGTTGAGTGCCCACGGACGAAGTCAGGTCAAAAATGGACCTCAAGGCGGAATGCTCCCCCTTTTTCCTTCCTCTAGCGCTCGAGCTCTGTGGTTCCATTGAATGGCAAGCATGTCTCCGGTCTCTGCGCTGACGGGCGGGTTCCTGGAGGTCCTGGTGCTGTGTGTGTGTGTGTGTGTCTTGGTTCATTCAAATATGGTTAGTGTTGGGTGGGTGGGTGGTTGGGTTCCTTTGGCGTCTTGATTGGGAGGTGGGAGGGACATTAGGTAGCCAGACACATGCAGAGAGGGAGGGAGGGAGGGTCTTGGGACTGTTGGCGACACCCGGCCCGGCTTTGCGGATAGATACGAGTCTGGTGCAATATAGTATCGGATCTTGCGGGCCTCGTCTCGTGGTGGTGAAATGTCTTGCATATGCAGATTCGACCGAAATCAACTCCTCAAGACTGGCCGCGTTGGATCGAGTTGAAAGCTTGTGCTGTGCCTCGTTCGTGTCCCGAAGATGACTTCTTCTCTCCCGTCAAGACTTTTTTGGTCATTCATCGTCCATTCATTTGGCCGTCGGGTTTCCTTCCTGCTCAAAAGGCGGCGCGACGCAGCGTTTCTCGACACTTCTTGCGTCTGGGGAGAGAGATTGCCGCTTTCTGTATGTAGCGTAGAATAGCTACCGTCGCACTGTTATTCAGGCCCTCCTCTTTTCTAATCTCGTGAGCATGTTCTGCTCTTGCCTTGACTCTAGGGATGGTCGTCGGGATTTCGCAGGGGTACGATAGACATCATTCGTTCGTTCGTTTCTGGGCCGAGTGCCTTGGTCCCGAGGAGCCCTTCAAAGACATCCTGACTTTTTTATGTCCTTTCCCCATCCCGCACCCACACGCTTTCCAACATCTATTCTTCTTCTGCGCCGCGCTGCTTTCCCCCATTCAAACTCCCCCACCACTCCTCCCCACCGTGACACTCAAATCCCTCTCCTTCCTACTCGCAAGCCACCTCTGCTTCTCCTTCTCGGCCTGGATCCAGTTCCTCCGGCCCTCTTCCTCGAGGAGTCGTGTGCGTTCGCGCGACTGGCGCTCCAGGCGGCGCAGCCACATGTAAGAGACCACGGGGATGAAGACGATGGCAGCTAAAAAGAATTTCTTGGACCGCGTGAGGTAGGGTCCCGGTCGATAGCCTGGGATCGAGGAGCTGGAGCTTTGAGGGTGAGGTTGGGACCGGGGATGGGAATGCGGTGGAGAGGATGGTTGAGACATTTGTGACTGGACGGAGCTGGTATTTGTCCTTCCCAGATTGTTCCTCGCGGCGGTGCAGCTCCTACAACAAGCCAAACAAATATCGACCGGACGTCCTCGAAGCCGAAAATAGAGCTTCCCACCCTTTATCGAATGTCAACCACGACAAAGCGGGACCTCCAGGCACTGGGTTCTTGCAGGACCTCGAGATGTGCCTGTTGTGCTGCTCGCACCAAAACCACCGGCAGTAGAATGACAACTATTAGGTGCCTAGGTAGGCCAAGTTCTAGGTGGGAAAAAAAGAAAGTCGAATTTAATACATCATTGTTGTCTCCGCACATCAAGCTGGAGTTGAGTTGCAAGCTCTAAGCAACAACAGACGGAGCTTCGGGGCCAAGCGATTGGCGGGGGCCGCGACAGACGGAGAAGGAAGCCGATCTTGCGGGGGATCGGAGGCACTTCACTAGGTATGTTATAGCTGACAGCCTTGTTGTTCATGATCCCGGTGTTCATTCCATCACGATAAGTGATAAGGTATCTACCGCGAAGCAGCCCTGGCGTTGGTGCACACTGTGTATAATGTACCCCAGGGCACGCAGTTCCTGAGCCTTTCCACGAGCTCCGCAGCCCAAATGGCATTTACAAGGCCGCCTGCGCTGATACTGTCCTTCACATAACGCCTGTCGGACATGGCAGGCATTGTATCAATGTACAGCCGTCGCCAGGAATGCATCAAGTCCGGGTCATGGAAGAGGGAGCGTGGTCGAGGCCTCTGGCCCGAATCGCTCGCAACCTCATGTCCCACTACCCTCTCCATTGGTCTGGATGAGAGCTTCTCTGCCATCATCGCTGCTCGCACTCCCGCCGTCCTCATCATTATCGTTGCCGCCTTCTTCACTCTCTGCCGCGTTGCTCTCGGTATCATCGTTCCGGTCGGGCACGGGTTCACCGTTCGCTTTGGCTAACCGCTCCTCTTCCTTTAGCATTCGCAGTCGTTCGGTCTCTTTGCGCATAGCTTCGAGGTTCCATGCGTCGTCGTCACCGTCATCCCCCTCGTCGTCCTCGTCCTCACTGTCTTCGTCTTCCGAGTCTTTCCAGTTTCCACTTTCAAACATGGCTCTGCCCGTCGCATCTTTCGCTTTCAAGGCCTCTGCTTCGGCAGCCTTCTTGTCCATGCGCTCTTTCTTCCACTTAGCGAATGACTCTGGTGTCACAGGTGTCAAAGTTCCTGTCAGTTTATGTCGTTCCGATTCCAGGAAATCTTCCAGAGTCAGTGTGTTCATCGGAGACTTGTCCATCAATGCCTTCTCGGCACGCCTCTGTTCCTTGGTTTTCAAGACGAACCTGGCAAACAATGTTAGAAGTCTCAATACAGCAGAAGGTGGCAATCTTCATACCCAGGCGGCAAGCTGTGCTTGTACATGCACTTATCTCCTCCATTGGGACAAGTCCAGAACCAGCCATACTTCCCATCTTCCACTGCTTGGATGAAGTATTTGCACACTTTATCCGTGGTGGTCCGGGGATTTCCATGTTTACTGAGCACCACCTTTCGTAGCTTCTCTTCATCCCAATCCTCCATATTGTCTTTCTCTTTCTCCTCTTTGTCCTGTTCCCGAGTGTCTTGGTACAGGTCCTTCTTGGCCACTTTCTTGATCACTTCTAAGTCATGGCTAAATTTGCATTTCTTCCCTTTGTCGCAGTGGCCCTGCTTGAAGAACTGACACAGCACTGTTTTGGGGTCCACACCAAAGGGGACCTTTTGGACTTGGATGGGCTTGAAGAGTTCAGCGGCCTCGGCTTTGGCCTTTTCGGCTGCTTCCTTCTCCTTCTTTCTCTGTTCCTTCTCGGCTTCTTTCCGCTTCTCTTCAGGGGACTTGTTCGACTTTGCTTGGGCCTGAAGTTGCGCAATCTGTCTCTTTGCGGTGCCACCCTTTTTATTTTTCATGCCAAAAGTCTTGTCTTCGACCGAGGCTTTGGTCTTTTTCGGCTGCTCGCCGCCCTTAGCCTTGGGCGCCATATTGATCCAAATCGAACGGAGACCAAGCGTAGTCGGAGCCTGCAGCAAATTTGTTAGAGGCGGTGATTTTCCTACAGGCTGAATGGCGCTTCGCTGAGGCGGTAAAAGAAGGGCTGGCAGTGAGGCAAGGCGGGAGGCGACGACAGGCTCAGTAGATGTCAAATTGGCAGAAGGGTGACAGGGACGTAAAAGGATGTGGGTTGGGCAATAGCTGCAGGCTGGATTGCTGGAGAGGCACTGAGAGGATGGGATGAGTGGGCTGCGGATGTTTTCAGCAGGTGGCCACCACCTGCGTTGTTTGTGAGTGCCACTGAGTGTGACTGAGTGTGACTGGAGACTGAGTGCCATTGAGTGTGGGGAAAGTCGCCGACGTCAGTGGAAAATGCATCAAGTCGCATGAGACAATCCACCACCACAACCTCGTGAACTCTCCAAGCTCGAAAGCTCCAAACAACCAGCTGTCTACCTCATCCATGCTGCTTGTTCGTGACCCCTTTCAACGCTCCACTCGATGAGCCTCCTACTATCCTTCGATTGCCAATAATTTGCAGCTGCAGACTCACAATTGCGCGCCCCCGTCATGGCGAGCGAAGGCCCTCCCTCGAGGTATCCTCCCTCAATGGGGCCTGGTGCGCGACCCGTCAATAAGCCTGGAGACTCGGAAAGATCAAAGCTGCTTGAAGTCATGCAGGCAAGGTCCAAATACAAAGTCTCTGTCGAGCCGGAAACCCTGTCTCTGAGCTACGAACTCAACAACTCACCACGCCTCTATCGACTGTCATTTGACAATATGCCTTTGCATGGTCTTTCAAGATGGTGGATATATGGTGGGTCTATGAGGGCGCGAAGAGCCGGTGTCCTAGCTATCGACCTCATACGTGGCTCCGAAAACGTGGTACAGAGACCGGTCACCCAACAAGAGGCGGAAGCTCTGGCATATTGGACTTCACGAAGACTCCTTTATGGCTCTCTGGCCACCTTTGCAACCTCGGCGTTTGGATTCTACCTGGCGCATAGAGGCCGTGCCAAAATGAAATTCCCTTTTGTCTCAGCAAAGCCCTTGGAGCGGTATACCAAATTCCCTCTTCAGCGGTTTCCCGTCATAACTGGCCAGCTGGCTCAAACGGCCTGGCAGGTAACGAGGTATGTCATTTGGATGGAGCTGTGCTTCCTGGTCGGTACGCCTGTCATTGGTGCTTTGGGTAGCTTCAGTGCTGCGACAGGGATGGCTACCGATCCACGGACTCAAGGCCTCATTCAAGCAATGCGAGAAAGAGGCCGTGGCGACATGAACCGCACGCTTTCAAATATACCTGCGGAGTGGCCTCAGCAGCCTCAGGGCCAAGACAGCAGTCGAGATGCGCAATCTGATTCCCAGTCATATTACCAAGGCGTCGAAGGCGGCGGCTCCCCAGACGGCACTGTTGCCGATCGCAACCACGAGGGTGATAGCCTTTACCAAAGTGTAGCGAGTGACACCGGTGTTTTTGACGACTCCAGATTAAGGGACCGCGAAAGGAAACAACAGCAAGGATACCCAAAACCGCAGCCATCAGGGCAGATGCAGGAGAACACATCGTCCACCTCTTCAGCAGACCCCGACCCCTTCTTCTTCGACGACGCCTCTCCCACTGCCGGAAACGACCCAGACATGGCCACACCCTCAGGTTACAGACGTTCTCAGGGTGGAAGCGCCTGGGAGCGCATACGAAGGAGCAATTCTCCTTCCTCAGCCGGCTCCTCCACAGCGACTTCTAACGCTGACTTCCGCCGCCAACGACTCGAAACCGAGCGAGCCCGCGAAGCCCGCGAAGCCCGCGCGAATCAGCTGGCAGAACGAGATTCTGGGAGCAACGAAAGCGTCTCTTACGGCAGTGGTAGGGACGGACGTGCTAGAGAACAGGCGCAACGGGAGTTTGATGAGATGTTGGAAAGGGAAAGGATACAAAGTGGGAGCGACGAGTATGACAGGGGGATGGCAGCTGTAGAGTCCCGAGAGGAGAGAAGGACAGGGGAAGGAACGAGTGCATGGGAGAGAAGGCGGGGAGGAGATTGAGATGGATCGGCGAGAGCGAGAACTACATATATTGGAAAGAGGATGGTCCAAGTGGCATCTCGTTCGTATGCGCTTGGATTTTGCGTGGGTGTTGTAAAATGTACGATATCAGCCGGATCAAGGAGAAGGAAATGTCTGGAGGACAAAATCATCTCTCTTCTCGCCAGGGGTTTGGGCGTTTACCAGGGGCAAATCCAGAGACAGGCACCAAAAGCTTGATTATAGGTACTAGTCACGTAGGAAGTCGACACCAGACTTCTTGAGAACCCAGTTTCACTGCATTCTCCTAGAGCACGCTTGTCTGGATAACACCGATCCCTTGGCTCCTTCATGCCACGGAATGCTGTTACGCTATTCTCTACAGAGTATGGCCGGAGACGGCTTTTAAGGACGACTTGACTTCTTCTTCTTTCCAGCCTTCTCTTGGGGGTCCTCGTCCGGTCCCCCGGTTCTGCTTAAGGGAGATAATTAGAGATGGGGAGGACATCTTCCCAGGGGCGCCGGTTACGGGGTATGCTCGGGGTGATGGGATGAGAAGGCATTGTGGACTTGTGGGATTGGAACTCTAGGTACCTAGATACCTGGTACGAGGTACGGCCAAGGTCGAAGCTGTTGTTGGGAGGTCTTTGGTGGAACGTATTCTATCATAGGTACCTACCTAGCTACCTAGGTAGGTATATAGCGCAAGGGTCGGGGTGGTGTGGTAGTGGGCTACAACTCCATATCGATTCGAGTGGTCGATTTCACACGGTGACGGTGACGGTGAAAGTGACGGAGGCAGCTTGGGAGGGCTGGATCCCCCCGCTATTCTCTCTCTTCTCTCTCTCTCTCTCCTCTCTGCGATCAACATCCGCAAAAAGCTCCAATGATCCCAACTCTGGTGGGTTTGGTGGGCGGTAGTACCGCGCCTCGTAAGGGTCCAATATCTCTCGGGGGGTCGCTGGCTCCTGCGCACGCGTCTCCATCGAGATGGAGGGAGGGAGAAGTCGGTGGCTCGGCACTGTGAGCAAGAGGACTTTTAAAGGCTGTCACGGCGCCGGGGGCCGGACGGTGATATATCCTCAAGGGGGGTTGAAGATGGGGGTTATTGGTTGCACCCAACAAAAACTCACTCACTCACTCACTCACTCACAGGCATGGGATTCCTCGCCGCCTCCCACTTCTCATACACTTTGGACCCTTTCCTCAACCCTCCGACCGTCTCCCAGACCGTAACAAAAACAATGAGACCCATGACCGTGCTGAGCAGCTGCACGGCGTCGAAACGCTCTAGGTCGACCAGGGGTAAGAGGACCAAAATGACGGCGACGACGAGCCTCATGCCGACCCGGGCCGTCTTGGGCATGATCAATTCGCACGAATCCTCAACGCCGTCACGGAACAACATCGCAAGGATCCACAGACAGAACATGCCCACGCCCAACCCGCCGCCCATCAACCAGCGCTCGCCGGTGTCAAGTTCCTGTTGGCCCGCGCTGACCGCGCAGATGTGTCCGCCGACCAACAGCGACGCGGCGAGCGGCATGTGCAGAGTGAAGAACGCAAACGCGGTACTAACGGACCGTCTGATCGGGTGCACACTCTCCAGACTCCCGTCCCCGTTGACGTACAGCCAGTTGAGACAGAAGGCGATGATCAGAGTCCACACGGCTTTCAATAGACCCATGTTCAGGCCGATGGCGGCAGGATCACCCACGACAATGCTGTATAGGTACTCGCCCAGGACGATAATGTAAAAGGCTGCGAGCCGGTCGATCTCGTGGCTAATGTCGACGGCGGTGCTGTACTCGAGTTTCAGGCGTCTCTTGATCCACGTGCCGAACGTGATGACCCAGGTGACTTCGTGGTAGACGATGCCGACAACGGCGACGGCGATCTTGGCCCGCAGGCTGACGCTCTCAAAGTACAGCGGGATCCAGATGAGCAGACCTACCACGATGAAGCCCGCCATGATGCGGGCCTGTGCGCGGTGCTGGAAGCTGGCGAACGAGGAAATCAAGTAGACCGCCGCAACTGTCAATCGGGCTGTCATGAACGCGCCCACCACGGTTCTCATGGCGCCAATGTCGTCGGCCACGAGTCGCGCGTTATTGCCGTACAGCACCATCAGGGCCATGACCCAGAGGATCACCCCGCGCTGCACCAGGTCGTCGTTGTAGTACGAGTTCATGATCTCGCGCAGGTCGCTCCAGATGTGCCACGCGGGAGCAAAGATCAGCAAGTACTTGACCAGTCCCGCGCCCGAAGGGTGTTCAGCCAGGTCCTCTGCGAAATTAGCCACGAGTGCGACGTACAGCAGATCCAGAAACAGCTCGAAGCGGCCCGCCTGTCGCTCCTCGTCGGATTCCCGCTCGAGTGTGCCGTTGTGGAACCATTGTAGCGCCTTGGGCCGTTTGATCAGGTACCGAGACGCGACTGTGTTGTTTCCATCTTCTGATGCATGTCGAGGCTCAGAAGGAGAAGGAGAGGAAGAAGACAACGGGTCAGCTGCCGTTGTCGAGGGTGAAGTCGGCTTCTCCTCAAGGTCGGCGTTGGAATTGGGCATGTCGTTGTATCGGGAGATGCGCTGATCAGAGGTCCCCCATTCCTTGTGTTAGGACACTAATATATACATTCCGACGAGGTGCCTGGACGATGCAAGAGTCTATGATATATTTTTTGTTATCATGCGAAAAGATGGAGGAAGTGCTGTGTTGGAAGAAAGAAGTTCGCGCTGCACTGTAGATCAGCAGTAGTGGCTGGTCCGCAAACTTCCTCCTCCAGCTCCAGCAAAGCCATTGCACTCTGCTTGTACGTAAAACTCCCAAAGTCTAAATCAAGCCCGTCATCCACAGAGCCCAATGGAGTTTCTCATGTCTTTGTTGAAATGTCCTTTTAGGCAGTAAGGTGATAGAGTGTCTGAGTAAATTCAGAACTGGTTTATACATAGGTATTTCTTCCATATATAAGAATCTCTTTCTCTTCGCTCGAGCACTTTCCCGTGAGGTTGTGCTTCTCGTTCTGCCGACCAAATACTATTCATGCTCCCCGCCCGTCGTAGTGGATGGGGGCAGAGGGACAGTTTCGCCATCGCCTATCAGGGAATCTGTTGGGAACCCGCATTGAATACGCAGTAGGGATCTTGGGTTGTATACTCCAAATGGGGAGCATGCCTGGTAAAGACCAACATCTATCCGAAGACGGGTTCATCACGAGGTTCGTGGTAGAATCGGGTTAAAGGCATAGTAGCTCGCTAATGCCAGCAGTCATCGCCGGTTTTGCATGGCCTCTGCAATCAGTTAAGAGGAATGCTTTCGGACTTACTTTTCCCGTCAGAGATTTGTATCCGGGACAGAATATGAAGCCCATTGCGGCCCACGAGGCGCAAAGGCAGTTGGAGAAGTTTGCTGGACGAGGATCCAGACCCCAAGGTGGTGCAGGGATGTCTCTCAGCGCGTTGGAGAGGAGACCAGTCCGTGGACCAGACTCTCCGTCGACCATGTCTCCTGGCAAGCGGTAGGTCGAGCTCCGTGTGATCTTCTGTGTTCGATCAGCTCTAGTGTTTGGAGTGTTGCATCTGCTATGGATCAGCCTGCTGTGGTGCCTAGCCGGCTTGTGGTTGCCTGCGCAGGTCCGGACAAACCTTGTTCCGTCCGTCGTCATTCCTCTCATTCGCAATATGTACGGAGCATGTACCTAGCTCGCTAGGTATGTGTCTTGTTGCGTACAAGAGAACGACGCTTAGCTGAAACGCCTGTCAAGCTAAGCTGACAACAAGATGTACTTGAATCGCCCAGACGCCCAGGTTGGAGCCCTCGATGCGGTGCTCACAGTATCTACTCAGTAAAGAGGGTTACTCACGGAGGCTGGCTCGAGATCTCAGACCCAAGAGGCTTACCGTCGGCTTTCTTTTTCCACCGTTAGTCATACGTGTTCTCTGTACATACCTAAACACAGTCTATACGGAGTAAGAGGTAGCCGGTACCGGGGCCAGTAGACAATGGTTGGTATTGACCGATAGACGGGCCGAGCTGATTGTGCCGCCTGACTCATCAACTCGCTTCGCCGCCTACCTTTGACTGTACGGTGCATTAGTGTTGATACGGAGCACATTCACCGCACTGGCCATGTCCGTGGCCCAGGGTATCTGCACCTGGGAAGCTCAGGATGCCTGAACGGAGATGCGGTGTGAGTCTGTGCGAACTATACATCTTATCACGTACTCGGATCCCAAGGCCTTCTGGCGGCTTCAATGGCTCAGTCTTACGTGGGACAGTACAGGGGATGTTGATCGATTCTTTGGGTACTGACGGGCTAGTAGTGGCATGATTGATTGATTGCTTGATGATCGGGGAGCTCTCCTTTCCATCCGTTGTCGCCTCTCCAAAGTCTCAACACCAATAAGAGTTCCTCCTTGACATTCCTCCGGTACCGTTGTAGTTTGAAAAAGAAAGTCTTGTGCTATTGTCGTCCGATGGAACAACAGAGCCCCTAGCTTCCGTTGCCAAGTAGTACAAACCGTGCTCAGGCTTTGTATCGAGATATGGGAAATCTAAGAGGCCGAGGTGACAACACAAGAACGCTCGCGCACATATTGACAGGTCGGGTGCAATGGAAAAGGAGAACCTGATGGTGGAATTTCGTAGAGTTGGACGTATGCAGCATTGACTCGCGACCTGGTATTAACGAGCAAGAATGGCTGGGGGCTGGACGCCATCTGGATCCGCTTGCTTCGATGCCGCGCATGGAGATTCCGTCTGATGGTCGACCCGTTCGACTCACGCGGCCTCCTTGCCTTTGCCTTTGCCTTTAGAGTCACCTTCGGCTTCATCATCTTCCAGGTCGGGCATCTCGTCGTCATCGTCCTCCTCCTCTTCGTTGTCGTCGCCGCCCTCGGCTTCTGCTCCTTCGCCTCCCAAGCCAGCGCCTCCGCCGAGCTTGGAGAAGTCAATGCCACCAAAGCCGCCGTCTTCACCGAGTCCGCCGCCAAATTGGTTCATGTAGTCATCCTCCGGCGCTTCATTCTGTTCGTCCTCATCGACCCACTAAAACGAGGCAAATCAGTAACCGGCAAGGGAGTCACTCCGAGGGTTGACGTCGTACCTTGTCAAAGTCTGTGCGCAGATAGTGTACTTTTGCGGGGTCCTTGAGCAGGCGTGGCCAATATTCCTCCTTGAGTTCCTTCTTCCTGAGAATCATCTGGATGTTGGCCGCAGTGTGATGCGTCTTTGAGTTCTCGACATCGATCTCAGAGAAGAATTCCATCTCAAGATGGTACGTGGTCTTCTTAGTCTCTGATGTACCCGTGAAGGTGAGGCCGGTGGGCTTGAGGTCGAGTTTGAGAGACTTGGGGGGAACATCAGGCACGCTGATCGTCAGGTAGATGTAGTTCTTTTCCGGCTCAGAGGCGGACGAGCGCTGCGCCCAGAGGACTGCAGACGAACCAAGTCAGTCATTTGTTCGGATCAAGCGAGGGTTTATCACTGAGAGGTCAAGATCTCTGCGGTATTGAAGTTTGCGGCGGAGGGAGAGTGAGTGTACCTTCTGGAGTAACCTGGTTAGACATGGCTGCGTTTATGAGTTGGAGGGGTTTCTGGCGTGAGAGGACAGGAAAGTAGTGGTCAAGAACAAGAAGAGGAGGAGCGTCGTTGGGACGTAGAGGCAAGGCCGAATTGTGAGAAGATTGGAAGATGGGAAAACTCTGCTTGCTTGCTTGCTTTCACCCGTCTGCTGCAAGAGGTTCAACTATTTGTGTGTGGGCGATCAGTCTAAGATGAAAGGGACGAGGCTGTTCGAAGTGCAACGAATAACATCGAATGCCCCCCCAGGCTGCTTGGGCTGAGCACGCAGTGGCCCAGTGGATGAGCAAGTGCCTGTTCCGCCGCCCACTCAGCACGCCTTTGACAACCAAGACCCTCTTAAGGTACCGCATCCGCCGCACTAGTGACTGCCTGCCACCTGAATAGGTACACCTGGGCACTTACCTGCGAGCCCAGGTACCTAATTCCCTACCTAGGTAAGCTACCTACCTAGGTATGCTCTTCCCCCACTCTCTTCCCCCCTTCACCCTAGGCTGCTAGGCATCCGTGACATCTTCCCACGACCCAAAGCACCTGGCACTTCCTCTGCCTCACTGAGCTCCTCTACCTGCCAAGTACTTACGCAGTCTGGCGCAGTCTGACTGGCCTACCCGCCACCAACCTTCCTCCACTGGCATCTGCAGGTGATAAAGTATTTGCTTCAACTGATCGTTAGTTGATCTCCGTCCATCAGCCCTACAACTTAGTTTGGACAGCAACTCGACATTCCGCTTTTTATCGCCTTACCCGTATGACCGAGTCTTAATCGCAGACATCTACTCTCGAGTCTTACCGCAAGCCTGCCGCCGGCGGCACCTGCTTCAGATCCCAGCATGGCCCTATAGTTGATCACGAGAAGCTCCTGCTATTCGAGCACAGACAATCAGGCTATTAAACAACGAGGACTGCTAGAGGAATATCGTCATCATGCAATCGTTCAAGGCAGTCTTCTTCAAGCCGGATCCCCAAGAACAAGTTCGTCCGCAACTTCCAGATGGACTGCTGCAGGCTAACCACCCCTCAGAAAAGAAAATGCGACAGCATCATTCGTAAAAACGTGCGCGCCTTAGACCGAGATATTACAAACCTGAAGATCACGGAACAGAAGACGAGAACCTTGATATTGAATGCCGCAAAGAGGGGACAGAAAAACCCCTCCCAGGCGAAACAAGGCGCCGACGAAGCACGAATATTCGCCAGGGAATTGATCAAGGTGCGGAAGCAGTCGGCAAGACTACACACCAGCAAGGCACAACTGCAGAGCGTGCAGATGCAAGTGAACGAGGCATTTTCGGTTCGGAAGATCGAAGGCAGTCTGAAGGCTGGCACTCGGATCATGAAAGACGTCAACACATTGATCAGGTTACCAGAGTTGACCGGAACCATGCAAGAACTGAGCCAGGAATTGATGAAGGCCGGCATCATTGAAGAAATGGTTGGTGATGCTCTGCCCAACGATGAGCTGCTGGAAGGAGAGGACGAAGAAGCAGAGACGGAAGTCGACAAGGTCCTGGGCGAGATCTTGAAGGGAAGGTTGGGAACTCCAGAACAGCAAGTCCCGCAACTCCCAGTGGAAGCGGAGGAAGAAGAGCCGGAAGAGGACAGAGAGGCAGAACTGGAGCAAATGCGAGGGAGACTGGAAGCGTTGAAGAGCTGAGACGGCTGTGCCGGGTTGGCGCGTCTTGCGCAGAATCAAAGTCTATACTACTGGATTTTGAGATGATGACACATGAATGGCGTTTTCAGGGATCAGGTAGAGCGTACCGAGTACACAAAGCATCAACCTCAGGGACATCCAAGGGATACCTGTGGTCCAAACACCCAGCACTGGTCATCCACTGGTCCCCCTGGTCACCCACTGGTCGCACGACATGTTGCTTCCAGCCGAGCACGTGATACTGATATGTAGGAGCGCTGAAAGGGGCTTAGTGCTGGCTTGGCGGGATGCCAATCTCTCCTTGAGTCTTTCAACTTGTGCCTGCCTGGCCTTTTGCCTGCGCCTCGCCTCACCTTCACCTTGCCGCATTCATCATTTTGGCGTGACTCCCCTTCTCCCTCCTTCTTCTGCCTTGCCTTCTCCTTCCCCATCGTTGCTGCTATCAGCCAATATCACCTTTATCCCAGCGCATATTTAATTCTTACCACACTTTTCTTCATCATCCTTTTTCAGGCCACAAATCTATCTCTCTCAAACTCTTCGGGTTTCGCGCCGGACAACCACCACGATCAGTTGGTCCTTCGTTCCCCAACTGAATCACACTTGACAGCTCCCTCTTGAGGCTCTCAACACTACGCACCGTTCACTCCTTCCACATTTGCAAAATCCCTTCTTGAACTACCTCATTCTATCCGTTCAAGATGTCTGGCAGGCTAGATCAATCTCTCGACTCTATTATTGATAGCCAGAAGAAGGCGAAGCGCGAGGCTCGCCGCCGCAATGTCGGAAAGTCAACTGGCTCAACTGCTCCAGTCGGCGGTGTCAAGAAAGCAACCAAACCAGTAAAGTCCGCCATCAAACCTTCGGCCGGCGCTGCATCTCAATCCCGCCCCAGCAAGATCGTTGTCAGTGGATTGGTATGTTCTAACATGACTGCCTTCCCTTCCATGGCGCGCAGCTAACCTTGTCGGTAGCCATTCGACGTCAACGAAGCCCAGATCAAGGTATGTTGATAAAGAGGCTTTCGACCTTGGATTCCATCGCCGCTTGCCACCGCCTGTTATTCTTTGGCTCTTCATGCGACCGTGTCCGATAAGAGGAAGTTGAATGCAACGAAAGACTGAGGGAGATGCCAAGATGGGAGAGACCATACTCAAGGACCGTATTGCCCATGCTGAAAACGCTGGCTATATTTGGGCAGGCAACATTCTCACCACCTTCGGCTCGCAATTTTTGTCTGCGACGGAATCTGGTGAAAGTGCAGTTCGCCTGATCTTGCAAGTTCCTTCCGGCTAGCCACCGTGTTGGGTACCGATGCAGATCTGCCCAGAGGACTTCTCAAGATGCTGAGACGCTTTTGAGATCTTCTCACCTTGTTTGTCTGGGGCATCAGCGAGGTTGCACCGGAACATTCCAAAAGCATAACGGAGCAGCGCAGCGCAAGCACAGCACAGCACGATCTATCACGTCTAACCAGGGTCCCTCTGATGTCTGTTTTATCATCCTCTCGACAACATACACGAGCATATACTCCCCAACGCCACGCGTCAAGATCTCGCAGCGAACTGTTGTATACGCTATACCTGTGTTAGAACATTTCTCTCGAGGATGGTTTCGCCCTGCATTTTTGACCGCCCAAAATGCACCATTCTTCAGATCACAACCTGCCGACCGAAGGAAAATTGGATGTACCACTGAGATCGTGGCCGACCATTTCCAGATTTGGCGTGAGATTCGATACCTATTCCAAACACCAATCCGAGTGCACACATTCATGGGACGACGGCGATGATAACGATTCGACTGCTGGCCTGCTGCTGCTCTCAACACTTTTGCAATCGCTGATGCTCCAGCGCAAGGATATGTACCTGGACTATACTCTACTGTGGAAACATCTCTTGCTGCATTCTTACCTGGGGACGAACGATGCGGAAGAAATGCTATTCCTACTTCTCTCCAGCAGTTTACTGATCACTCGCTGCCGAATAGGAATACTTCGGCAAGTCCGTAGGCAACGTTAAGAAGGTCTCTTTGCAGTACAATCAGAATGGTCAGAGCCGTGGTATTGCCGACATTATCTTCTCGAAGCCCGACTCTGCTGCCAAAGCTGCCAAAGATCTCAACGGAATGCTGGTGGACAAGCGACCAATGAAGGCAAGCACGACTACTATCCGCACCATAGATGGACCTCTCCTGACCTCGACTAGATTGAAGTTGTGATGGACGCCAGCAGTGTTCCAGAGCCGGCTCCGGCCAAGTCGCTCGCGGAACGTGTTGCGTACGCAAATCCACCAAAACGCTCGGGCAAGTCAGAACCACTGACAAAGACCAGCGCCAACCCCAAGGCTCAGCCGAAGTCTGCCACAGCAACGAAGAAGGTGACCGGAAAAGATGGCGTCAAGGGAAGATCGGCCGGCAAACCCGGAAAGCCAAAGCGTGGACGAAACCCTCGAGCCAAACCCAAGACCGCTGAAGAACTCGACGCCGAGATGACTGACTATTGGGGCGGCAATAACCCGTCCGCTGTGGGCACGACCGCCGAAGCAGCCACCAACGGTTCTGCTCCCGCAGCCAACACCGGCGATGACATGGGCATGGAAGAGATTTCAGTGAGCGACGTCGAATTCATCTGCTGAACCCATTGCAAACTGACACCCGTATCAGTGAATGCCCGTGATTGGATATCGTGAAGGAAGACAGCATCCCAGGAGTGAAACCCGGCCCCGCGCAGCTCTCCACAACCATCGACTTCCAAGCTTTCTCTTTTCACCGCACGACTGTACTGAATAGCCATCTAGCATTTTTGTCCGCTCTTGCACGATCCACAAATCCTACTTCATTCAAACAAAAACATTGTGTTGCTATCTTTGCGAGGGAGGCAGGGGGTCACGGTACGGGTTGAGGACGGTCTGGGGGGAATCGACAGCAATGGCCGTGGGCAGGCACTGGGAGTATGAAATTGGCTTGGGATGAGAGGCATCAGCAATAGAGTGCACCGGACCATTAGCTTGATAATTCAGCAGGCAGGATCCTGATTAGGAATATGTGCAAAAAAGAGCTTGAATAGCAAAAGTCACGTTCCCGTCCGAGCAAATTGTTGGAAATTCATTAGCACTCTTTTGTTTGCTGTCTCGATCTTTCTCCTTTTTTGTAGAAGTTCCGGTCATAGTCGTTCGTTCAGTCGTTAACCGTGGCATGAATAGCTCTCTCCACCTGAACTGCCCTGAACGGTTCGCCGTTGCTGACTCGACGCTATCCAACTCATATCCAACTCTTCAGGAATACCCCTTGTTTTGGCTTAATCTCTGACTATTCGGTATTATAACAGACAGATCCGCCCCCGCCCCCTTCCTCACCCCCTTTTTTCTGTGTTGTGTTGTTTCTTTTTTCCAAAAAAAAAAGGCTGCCCAAAATCTTCCCGCCATTGTGTGGTGTCTGCGCTGACTCTCTTGAGGATCGAATTCAGATGAGTTCGAAATCATCGTCGTCGTCACCGTCGTCCTTGTCGATCCAGACGACCGAGCTGGCAGAGCTTGAGGTCGAGGCGCGATCGTGATGTGGACGCCGGACCTGAGGCTGGTGGTGCAAAGGGCGAGCCTGCTCCGTCTCGGTGTCGATGTTGGTGGTCGGGTCCCGGTCGCAGAGGTGTGGGAGATCTGGATCTGCGAAGGCGAAGTCGAAGTTGAAGCCATGGGGCAAGTCCTGGGCTTTGGCTTTGGCTTTATCTTTCCCGCTGTCCTTCCTGGCCGTGTTGTCATTTCCCTCGGCGTCTGAAGGTGGGATTGTCTCCATTTCCGAGCTTGCGTCGTTGATGGTGATCTGGGTTCGAGCCCGCGCTTGACCTTGACTACCATCCCTAAGTCCAGCTCCGTCCTCGTTGGCGGTTCCGAACAGTCTGGAACCCGTCGGCGATGCTTTCGCTGGTTCGTCGTCCCATTGGAAACCATCGCTGTCTGAGTCTCCATCTTCGAATGGGTTTTCATCATCGTCGTCATCATCGATAGCTGCAGCAGTAGCACCATCCTCGTCGTCGTCGTCGATACTCGGCATGTCCGTATCACCCTCATCATCCACTCCCAAAGAAGTCTTACCCACGTCAACAATGTCAGAATCATCCCGGCCTGCAAACGCATGCTCTCGTTTGACGTTGATGGTGCTGGCGATCGAGACACTCTTCACCGTCCGGGTCCCGTCCGTGGCGAGCTTACTGGCCTTGCCCACGGTACTGATCGCCTGGGAACTTGTGATCTCGTCAGCATCACTGCTCACCTCGGTGTCCGCTTGATCGAATCCTCGTTTAATCCGTCCCGGCCCAAAGCTCTCAATGCTCGTCCGGATAGGATCAAGATTCGGGACGGGCACCTCTTCAAACACCCCTCCTGTTCCGTCGTCATTGCCATCGGGCACCCAGAGTGGCAGATAGCGAAATTCGTTGGCATTGAGACAGGTAAGGTTATCGTAGAGGTCCGTGGGCAACAGACCGGTCTGGTGGAAGAGATGAGGCGGATACAAGACCCTTGAACAGATCGTTTCAATCGCTCTGCTGACGTCGTTGAGCAAGACTATTGGATCGATGGGGCTATGGTAAGGGCAAAGGGAAGGAGACATGTCTCCCTCAGTGTCGGTGTTGCTATTGGAGAAGAATTGTTTGACGCGATAGCCGGTCCAAGGATTGGGCTCTTCCACGTTGGGGAGATTTAATCGTTCATATATGCCGGTGTATGGGTTGTAGAATGTGTTTGAAGCTGAGGAAGTGGAAGATGAAGCGTTGTCTGCTGCCATTGGAGCCGCCGGAGTTGAGTTGCTCGGGTGTGTTGCTGTTGACTCGGCTGGGATGTGGCGTTCGAACATAGTACCCTGTCCATATGGATATTGTGTATCACTATTCATACGTGCAACCTCTGGTGCTGTTTGCTTCGGACGAATAGGAATGTCCGCCTGCCTCCCAAAGGAGCTGTAGGCGACATTGGTATTTGTCTGTTGCGAGCCACTTCCTGTACCTGTTGGCTTGGATCTCAGTGAGAAAACAGGTGGCTCCATCCCAGGTGCAGGTATCGTCGGTACTGGCTTGAGCGGAGAAGGTTTCCATGAAGGAGCAATGGACATCCGTACAGTGGAGGATGATATTGCATTGTCCGTTTCCCGGAAGGCATGGTCGAAGTCGTTTGCTCCGCTAGTCTTGCGACGCTTTGGGGATGGTTTTCCATGGACGATCTCTCGGCGGTGGAACATCTCATTGATGGCATTGATCTTGCGCTCCAAAGTCCTCCGCGGGACTCGAGAAATTCCATTGAGGGGATCCTCATCATAGATCCCTCGAAGGGACTTGTGGTAATGTGTATCATTTTCCATGCCAGCCGTGCCTTTATTGGACGTGTTGTGATAGCCTTCGTCAAATTGCGTATACTGCAACGCCGTCCAGAATGTCTTGGTGAAGTGCCTCATTTGCTGATTGAGAGATCTGTACACGGTACCGTAGTCCTCAACAGAAGCTGACCGAAAAGGAAGAGTAGACTTTGGGTCCGACTCTAGGCCTCTGAGGCTCCCTTGATCCTGGCATAAAACGTAATAGATTCTGGACCTGATGTACTCCCTCACAGTGCTCTTGGTCGATTTTAGCGCCTCCACCGCCCCCTGGGTTTGTCCAACAGCATTGTCGAGTATTGCATAGGCTGCGTTCTTGTGTAGAAAGTCCATGTCATGATACATACTGCAGACGATTTCGCGAATTCGCTTGACGAAAGACGAAGCAGCGTGGTCAATTCGATTGCGTTCATCATCGTCGAGAAGCTCCAGCTTTCGACCATGTACACTTTGAAGACGACGGGTCAAAATCTCTGGGTTGAACTCGCCGCAGGCTTCAACAAGTGCCCGCTCGCCGACGAGGATGGAAAATGAGTCTTTGATGAGGTCCGTAGATCTGATGCCCATTCCAATACGATATGCCACTTCAGGGTTGTTTTGAATGAAGTTGCTGTTATCGCCCGAATAAAGCCAAGTCATGATCCACCCTGAGATACGCTCATGAGTAGCGCAGCCAAAATATCGAGAAACGGCGAAAAAGGTCCACACTTTAGGGGCAGAGTCCAGCTTCGGATCGTTCCCTTGGATTGCCTGGAGCAGACGTTCGAGGGCGGACCAGTGCCGAAGCGGAGAATATTCTGGTGGAATCGGTGGGTTTGAGGCTGGAGTGGTTGGAGAAGCAGGCTGTTCGCTCGAAGAGTGACTCCCTGACCTTGGCTTTGTTGTGTTAGAAGTATCCGGACTTGCACCTTCAGTGGTTTCCATAGAGGTCACCGGGTCGAGTAACATATCGACGTGAGGCTGGACGCCGAATTCGTCATGGCCCAGTACGGCCAGAGGAGACAGATCATACTTCTTCATTGCCAGATGCCATGTGAGCACACCACGAGTGCAAGTCAGATCGGTGATGAGGATGACGGCTTCGTCGTCTTCATTGGGAGGGCGGAGGTCAATGTAGTATTTGAATTTGCCTCCATGTTCAGCCTCTGCTCTGTTCAGAACACCAAGCTTCCTCAGCTTTCTCTCGGCACGAAACGACTTTGTGGGGTTCAGAAGGTCTCTTTCGCTAAATCTGGACTCGTCACCCATGAGCCTAAGATTTCTGCTTTGGACAACATGGACGCGATCAAAGTGTTGTCTGATATAGTCGTAGTCCTTGTGGTTTTGCTCTGGCATCTGTGGAGGAGGGCCAAAATAGATGGCAGTGTCGCCCGTCTTGTCGTCGAGGGGAGTGAACTCATTGTTCAAACTCAAGACAAGGGGAACTGATGGCTCTCCTGACTTTGACGACAACGACTTACGGTGAGACGGGCCCGCTTGGGTGTTTGATTTCTCCTTTCCTTGGGCCTGATCCTGCAGGGATAGGTGGACAGCTCGTATGAAATCTTGTTCCTCAAGTGTTTCCAAAGGGTTCAACGGTGGCTTGACAACGGTCGCAGCAGCAGCGACGGTGTCTCTGGAGGAAGGCTGGGGCGAGGACGAGGGAGAGATTCCTGGCGAACCCTCTGCAAAACCATGGACCACCTGAGTCGGTCCTGTGCTAGATGTAGGAAGGACCATTGTTTCTTGAGTCAGGGCAGCATGCCTGAAGATACAATTGTGACACTCAGGCGAATGTGCGGAGGCAACAATATGCAAGCGAGGTTGCAAGATCGAAGAGTCTTGCAAGGTTATTCACAAGGCCGTGATATAGTGCTCATCTATCACTGATCTGGTGCCGTTGTCGTGGAGGTGAAATATATTTGTGTCAAACACAGTCGGTAGAAGGTGACGAGAAGTTGAGAAAAGCTGAAAAAGCGACGTATTGGTGGTACAGGGTTCGTGAGACGACTACTGGGAGCCTTGTACACATCGACGTACCGAGTAGAAGTTGCGAGACAGCATGAGGATGTAAATAACACAGTAAGGACGAAGAAAGAAGAAATGAGGCTGAGGGTGAGAGAGAAGATGAGGCTGTAGAGGGGTAAAAGAAAGAGTAGCCAAAACCTGCGACGTCTCTGTTGAATGGATGGTGTCTGCCTGGTGGCCCTTTTGCTGTACATCTTCAGCTCACAGTTCACGGTTCACAGTTGGTTCAGCCCATCACTTGCCGTGGCTCCCCCTGTCTGTTGCCTATCCTCTGTTTCTAGCCATGGTCATTGGTTCTTCTGCTGTGGATGCCCTTATTCAGTGGGACTCTGGGCCGTGCTAAGGTCACCAGGCATACGAAGAGGCGGGGAAAGCGTCCGTCTGGCCCGTCAAGCCTCCTCACTATCCTCAACTCTACGCACTATCGCCTCCACTGGCTGCCGTATTGCCTACCAGCCCATCGCTCTGTTTCCCGGGCAAGTCCTTTCTGCGACAGTACGGAGGGAGGTCAAACACCACGGAAGAGGCGGTGGTTGAAGATTACCTAGGTAGCAATGTCGCATCCAAGAAATATATCATCGTGATCTGTGCAAGGGCCATAGCCACGGACGCAATTCCTTGATAACTCGCATAAAAATACACGCTGTAGCCGCCGGGAAAAGAAAGGCCTTTAGAACAACCCTTGGCCAGTCCGCCTGATTCAAAACCTGCGCAGTGTACCATCTCCGTTCAGCCAACACATTTGCTCCAGGCTGGCAATCCACAGCCGAACCCGACGAACAGATATACCAGGAAGACGACAACAACTACCAGCAGCACCATCACCCGCACGTTCTTCCACCACATCTGCCGCCGTAGCCCTCTGCTTCGTACTCGGAAGTCCCGCGCGCTCCCTCCCAAACGATCCGTCTTGTCCACCAACAGATCAATTCTCTCGCCCCTCTCCAACACCCGATCGATGTTCTCAGTCATAATGTCTCGGACGCTGTCAATCTCCTTGCGCGCATTCGTCAATGCATCGCTCGGTGGGGCGGTATTGTATTGCTGAATCATTGCCTTGAGCGTAGAGTTAAAGGCTGCGGTGCCATATGCGGGCAAAGACGTGAAATCGGTAGACTCAGGCTTGTATTGTGCTAGAAACTTCTTCTTGAGCTCCAGCAAAAATGCAAATGGCACACGCCGCCCCATCTCCGTCTGAGCAACGACTAGGTAGGTGAGAGCCGCATGACTGGAGATCTGCTCATCCGAGCCATTCGAGGTCGAGGATGGGGAGTCCGCGATGTAGTGGACAAACAGACGGTCGTGAGTGTAGGTGAGCTTCGCAGGTGTCGAGTGCGAGATCTTGGGGAGAATGACGGAAGCGAGCGACGAGGCCGAAGACGACGAGGTGCCAGGGGATGTATGCTCGGTGAGGATGGTGGTTCCATGGGCAATGCATGCACTATCGTTCGAAGATGAGAAGAGTTTCTCTTGAAGTGTAGAAAAGCAGTACTTACTAGAGCAGCTGGTTGGACTGGCCCGAACTCGACGCCATGGCGGAGTGCTATAGACGCAGCTTGCGTAGCTCACTCAACGATGCGTGATTTTAGGAGACAGTAAAGGGGCTGAATAGGAACGCTAAGTGGGCGGGATAGACTGAAGGATGGATGGAGGTAGACAAGAGGCAATTGCGTGCCAGTGATTGTTTCATGTAAAGAGCCGAGAGGATCGATCCCGCAGCGTGCGCAGTTAGCCTCGCACTCGTCGCACTCGTCGCTTGCCTCGCTGGGCACCTGATGGGTGCCTGGGCAGTTGCGTCATGCCGTTACGCTAGAGCTGCCAGTCTCTCCACTTCCAAAGTTCAGCCTTGCGACTCCAAATACCGAGTGTCCGAGTGTACATTTCGCCTCGCCAACTCTCTATTGAAACATTGCCTCGACCGACAATTGGAATCTGTACCGAGGACGGTGTTCACATCTGATGCTATCCAATCAAATGAACCACCAGGGGGTATCAATACAACCAACCAAATCATGCCGCCAACCCCATTCAACGCTGAATCGCAATGCACACGGTCTGTCGAGAACCACCCGCAGGCGTTGGAGCGCCGCTGTCCCTTTCTCAAGCGCTGTGTGCTTGTTCTCTAGCTTCTTGTTCTTCGTTTCCCCCCCTTTCTACCTCTGTTGTGGTCTGCTCAGCTCCGGCAGGCTCTCCCAATCTGGTGATTGAGCTCGCACGGGGTGTAGCTGCCTCCGCATCATTACTTGCTGTCAGTGGTCGACCAACCTCTTTCTCCCGGGTCCTGGCCTTGATACCATTCGTTTTTGCTCCCCCTCCACGGCTCCCACCTCTAACATCATCCTGTCTCATATGGTCTCTCATCTCGTGAATCACCTCTCTGAAGCTCTCCTCGAGTGCATTCATGCGAGCCATCAGGATCTTGGTGAACATCTCCTGCTGTTCTTTCTGTTCTTTTTCATGGCGTGATTCTATGGTTCCTTTCACCATATGAGCCGCAAATGAGCTGGGAAGTGCTCCAACGTAGCCTCCACCTATTGCTCGGTTATCACCAATATCCGACACCAGGTCCATTTCGAGAGATGGTTTCCGCCGCACTTGAGCCGGCTGATTCTTGGGCGACAGCAGCCCTGCCAAATTAGGGGTCGACCGGAAACCCTGTTCATCTTTGGAGGCAAGAATCGGCCGCAGTCGAGTCGGGCCTGCTGCTCGCTTCGGCGTCCTATGGCCCGCACCACTGGAACCAGGTTTCGAAACGGGCGTGCGAACCCCTGAGCCAGGTGCTGAAATACGTGTCTTAAGGTGTGGAGGTTTGCTCCCTTCAACGGACGAAGTCTGGTCCGTGCTAGAATCCGTCATGGGCTTAAATATCATGGTCGCAGCCGACACGTTCCGAGAATGATGACGGGTTTGGTCCTTTGGAGGGCGTGGTGAAGGCGAATCAGTACCCGAGCCAGCCTTTTCAAGCTTCGCCTGAGAAATGGACCCCTTAAGTTGACCGGTTTCAGGGGTAGAGCGTCCAGGAATTGGCTTGGCTGTGAAATAGTCACGATGCTCTGGGACGGCAGGGGCTGTGTTGTGTTGTTCCGGCTCTGTGTCATTTGGCGACCGGTGCTCAAATGTGGTTGTGTCCTCTTCATCACCATCATCATTTGTCGGCATCTCATCATCTCCATCTGCATCAGTGTTGTGCGATGGCTGCTCCAACGCCGAAGGTGTCGCCGTCAGGGGTTGTGTCTCGCCCGGAGATAAGAAGCCTGCGTTGGTCGTGAAGTCCTCTGGATCAGACACAACTGACATCGTTGGGCGAGAAAAGTCGCAAAGCCGGCTGGACTGGCGCGGTCGGCGAGTCATGATTTCCTTGGCCTCGAGCTTATCAACGACCTGTCTATCTTGCTCCTGTGGTGGGTCTGCTACGTCGCCCATTTTATTCATCCATGTGCTAACCACATTACTCGCCTTGCGCCGGTCCCGGCTCGGCTGAGTGTTTCTAATGGTGCTGTCAAAAGGTTGTCTGAACACTTCTTCCAGAGCTCTGTCCTGTCGGAAAGTCGCAATGGATGGTGCTCGATTGAGACGCGTGAATTTGGTCGTTCTTCTCACGCGCCCGCGGTGCTCAACGAGATCGATGCTGTCGTAGGCGGTGGATTGCATGATGGTCTTTTCGTACAACAAGATCGAGAACAGCAGCGGTAGATGCGTGATTTTGATAATGGTTCGGTTGATCTTGACGTATTGACGGAAAGGGACAAAGTACCTGACAGGGACCAAAAGCCACTGCAGTATATTTGTTGGCGCCACATATGAGAAGAGTGCATCAGATTTGACATGAGAAATGGTGTTGACCGCAAACAAGAATTGATGCTCTTCGCTCGCGTTCTGGACGATAGCCATGAAGGAGTTGGTCAGCACTGTAATCAGGATGGTGACTACAAGGAAATGACAGATGAACAGGAACAAAGTCAGAATCGTCTTTCCCAGAATGTTGTAGCCATCCCATCGATCCCAGGCAGCCGGCGTGAAACCCATGAGCATTTGGAGCAGAGCATAAGCCACCGAACTAGGCGTGTCAATACCGTCATTGCCGAACGACAAAGTGAGCGCAACGAAGAACCCACTACAGCTGATCAGGATCAACAGTGAAACTGCGATCAGATCCGCCGCCATATAACGGAAGGCGATTAGTAGAGGTGAAAAATAGCGGTAATGATCCAGCACAGAGAAGAGTCGTGGGAAGAGCAGAATGGCGTCGGCTGCAAGGACGTCGTAGGCCATGTTGGCAACCATGTGCTTTCTGACGTCTGGCATCAGAATCCCGTAGAGCCGCAGCGCCAAGTGAATGACCAAGATGAGGAGGATTCCTAGGTCGAATGTGTTCCAGAAGCTCGCAATGTAGAGACTGAAGCCTTGTTCATTGAATCCAACAATCTCATCGAGCATGTAGCCGGCAGCCCAGAACCAGAAGATCACTTCCAGCGTCGTGATCTCGAGAGAGCGCTGCACAAGCACAGCGACGAACAAGCTGAGGAGAACAGCAAAGGATAAGGTAGATAAGATGTTGCGGTATCGAGGGACCCGCAACCGAGACAATTTGAAAAGAGAGGCATCCCGAGGATTGTACAGCGTAACGGCTCTCCTCGGCGTTCCAGACTCAGTGCTAAAGGACATGGGCTTTGCAGAAAAGCCACCATCATTTGTACCGTAGCCTTGCCGTCGATTCATTGCAGGCAATGGTCTATGCAGATTGTCGGCCGCTGAGTGGAATACAATAGTGCCGGCCCAGATCGCCTCGAGCTGCTTCACGACCATGGGATGGGAGAGAAACTTTTTAGCCTGAGCGCGGATCGCAATCTCAAAGCACGAGATCCTTGCCGGCCGTTGAGCCGGCTTTTTGGAGGTTGCTGTGTTTCTTCGTTCGTTCTCTGCATGAGGCACTGCGTCCAGCTGCCCTTGAAGAGGATCAAAGTCATAGGACAACGCGTCAATGAGCTCTCTAGTGGAAAAGTCCTTGAGCAGTTTAATGGCAATCAGCTCACAGACCATTGCACGGGTCTTGTTTGTTCCACTACTGCCCGGGGACATTGCTGCCTCTTTGCTGTACTGGAGGCAATTTGCCATCAGAGCATAATGGGTGGCCGCATTCATATGGTTGCTTCGAATTTCCTGTTCAATAGGCTTGACCAGGAATTGCGAGATCTGGGGAGCTCGAAGTTGCTCCCAGGACAAGACCGTATCACAGCGAGAGCTCACCAGCAAACGGACGGCGTGTGTGATGGCAAAGACGGGAATGGTATCGAGACGAGCGGCGGAAAATATGGGAAGGAGGGGCGTCGTGTCATCAGGCCCATCCTCGTCTTCGTCACCAACGTCTTCAGCATCTTCAATCGTTTCCTCCTCTTGCTCCGCTCCGTCCTCGTCTTCTTCATCTTCAGAGCCGTCTCCTTGATCGTCCATGTCTTCATCATCTTCATTCTGAGAGAAGGGGTCGTGGTCAATTTCGGAAGACCGCCTCCACGTCGGGTTGCGTGAATTCTCGGGGGATCGTGTCGTTCGAGTGTAAGTCGAGGAAAAAGGTGACCGTTCCCGCCGCCTCTGATTTCGGGGAGCGCGTGTCAGGGAGAAAGAAATCATGATCAAACCAATAGGAGGTAGGACAGTTTGTGGCGCGCGATGGGCGGTGGGCGGTGGACGATCAAGTAATGGGTGTGAGAGTTAGAATTCGGAACGCGTAAACAAACGGTTGCGCCTCGGGCTGAATGTGGACAGGAAAAGCATCTCGACGCTAGACGGGCATTTTGAAGAGCAGCAGAAAACCACTGAACAATAGGTACTTAAGAATGAAACAAAAAGGGCAACGAGGGATGAGCGAAGGACCTGTCGGTGAGTATCTGATAGCAGCATCGACAATGCGGGATATTCTGTGTGCACGAGTAGAGGGAGCAGCATGCGAGTGGTGACCGGCGCTCAACTGCGCCTGGCAGTCCCGCTTTGGGCTGGCAAAACCCTGAACCTTACCACTAGCAGCAGTCTTGGGAGGTCGGTCGCTGCTGCATGTAACAATTGCATCGAGGCACACGGGATTCCATCTGCATGTGCAGAACTGCAGAGGGTGGAATTTGATGGGCGACAGTGCGTGAGACAAGAGGTCAGTTGGACATTCGCTTGATGTTTGGTGACATCAGGCAAGTGGTTGCAGATAAGGCTCTTGGGATGGAGTTGTGCAGCTCAGGCCTGTGATTGGGGGCTGCCTGTAACAAGCCGAGGGAAGCCTGGGGGTGACCTGCACGCTTACAGCCGCTTGGGTGCCGCTTGAGTGCCGCTTATGCAGAGGCACGGGGGTGCAGCGTGGGGAAGCCCATCGATCCTCGATCGATTTGAAGCCAAAGAACAAAATAAAAACTACGGGGCTTTTAAAGGCTGCAGCCGCAGTGGGTGTCTTCAGCCTGGTACCTAGGTAGGTAGCAATATGGCCTGGGTCGATCTGGTAACGGGTGAGATTGCCATCTGGTTGCTTTCTGTTCTACCTCCGAGACTCTCTCTATCATTCCCACTCATCACCTCCGTTGGGGACAAAAGGGCGATGATGGAGGGAGGAAATTTTAAGGACTCGTAGGTGCCTTTGGTGGCTCCGAGGCGGGCACCTGCAGCATGCAGCCGAGAGCCACAGCGTGTCCCGTCACCTGATTGGACGGCAGCGAAAAAAATTCACTTGGCATCAAAAAAGGACTTTCAAGGTTCTCAGCACTGACCCTTTGTCTCAATTTCGTCTGGAACTGCAATAGCATGCAATTTGCCCTTCTCCCATCGTCTACAGGTCCAGCGTTGATACTGGCTCATACATAGCTGCATCGTCACCACTGTCCTATGCACCAAATGTGCCCTTGATTGTTGCCCTGCTGTACCGACAGCAGTTCTCTCTATTCCAACATGAGTCGGTCAGTCTCGTTGACCACCGATAGTCATCGCCCAATGTCTAGTGACAGTAATCTACCTCAGAGCCCAACGGTCGCTGCTTCTGTTGGTATCAGCAGTGCCGATGGACCTCTATCCCCGACCTATCAGATCGATGGAGACCACATGGGTGCCCTCAATCCCATGGCGACACCTCAACCCTTTAATGGTGACCAGCCAAAGGTCTACCTTGAGCTCCGGGATGGCCAAGTCTTCGAAGGCCTGAGCTTCGGTGCCAACAAAAGCATTTCTGGAGAACTCGTCTTTCAGACCGGCATGGTCGGCTACCCAGAGTCTATCACTGATCCATCTTACCGCGGGCAGATCCTTGTTATTACTTTCCCACTGGTCGGCAACTACGGCGTGCCCTCGAGAGAGACCATGGACGAGTTGCTAGGCGATCTTCCCAAGCACTTTGAGTCCGATCAAATCCACATCGGAGGACTTGTTGTTGCCTCATACGCTGGTGAGAGTTACTCTCACCACCTGGCTACTTCTTCTCTGGGCGCCTGGCTCAAAGAACAAGGCGTTCCGGCCATGTGTGGTGTCGACACGAGAGCTCTGACAAAGATTATTCGAGAAGAAGGCAGCATGCTTGGTCGCATGCTTCAGACACGACCTTCTTCAAAGCCAAAACTTTCCAATGGTGTCAAGCCGGATGCACAGCCAAATGGAGATGTGGTGATGGGCCCGCAAAACTGGCAAGACCAAGTGGAAGAAGTGGAGTGGCATGACCAGAACAAGAGAAACCTTGTGGCAGAGGTATCCGTGAAGGAACCCCGAGTCCTCTCGCCTCCCACAACCAGAGCTCTGCTTCATCCTTCTGGACGGCCTGTTCGCGTGGTGGTTGTAGATGTCGGTCTGAAGTACAATCAACTTCGGTGTCTACTATCCCGGGGCGTTGAGGTTCTGGTGGTGCCGTGGGATTACAACTTTCCGGCCCTTGCTGGAAAAGATTACGATGGCTTGTTTATCTCCAATGGTCCTGGAGATCCGGCAATGCTCTCAACAACAATCAAACACATTTCCGAGGCTTTGAAGGAAGCCCGAACTCCAATTTTCGGCATCTGTCTTGGCCATCAATTACTGGCTCGCGCAGCTGGTGCAGAGACATTGAAAATGAAGTTTGGTAATCGCGGGCACAACATTCCCTGCACAAACCTATTATCCGGACGATGCTATATCACTTCACAAAACCATGGTTTTGCCGTTGATTCCATGACTCTTCCTGAAGGGTGGGAAGAACTGTTTGTGAATGCAAACGATGGCAGCAACGAAGGCATTCGGCACGTCTCTCGGCCATACTTCAGCGTGCAGTTTCACCCTGAGTCCACACCTGGACCCCGAGACACCGAATTTCTCTTCGACGTCTTCATTGATGCAATCATGAAGAGTGTCGAATCTGTGGATGCTCTGCTCCAGCCTGTATCCTTCCCAGGCGGTACAATCGAGGAGAATGAACAAGCACATCCTCGTGTCATGGTCAAGAAAGTCCTTGTGCTCGGAAGTGGTGGCCTCAGCATCGGTCAAGCGGGAGAATTCGATTATTCCGGCAGTCAAGCAATCAAAGCTCTCAAGCAGGAAGGCATATACACCGTTTTGATCAATCCGAACATTGCAACTATTCAAACCTCGAAGGGTCTTGCGGACAAGGTGTATTTTCTACCCGTCAACGCAGACTTCGTTCGAAAAGTGATCAAGTATGAGAGGCCGGACGGTATTTACTGCACATTTGGCGGCCAGACTGCGCTACAAGTTGGTATCCAGCTCAAAGACGAGTTTGCAGCTCTCGGAGTACAGGTTTTGGGGACTCCGATCGACACCATCATTACCACAGAGGACCGTGAGCTTTTCGCGAGAAGCATGGAGTCAATAGGAGAAAAATGCGCCAAATCAGCATCCGCTTCGAGTCTGGAAGAGGCAATGCGAGTGGTCCAGGATATTGGATTCCCTGTCATTGTCAGAGCTGCTTACGCGTTGGGCGGACTCGGCAGCGGGTTTGCTGAGGATCCGCAACAGCTGCGCGAGCTATGCACAAAAGCATTTGCTGCAAGTCCGCAAGTGCTCATTGAAAGGAGCATGAAAGGCTGGAAAGAGATCGAATATGAGGTCGTGCGAGATGCCCGGGACAACTGCATAACCGTCTGCAACATGGAAAATTTTGATCCCTTAGGCATCCATACTGGGGACTCGATCGTCGTCGCTCCTTCGCAGACTCTGTCGGATGAAGATTACAACATGCTACGTACCACAGCCGTCAATGTCATTCGCCATCTAGGTGTCGTGGGAGAGTGTAATATCCAGTACGCTCTTAACCCCTTCTCCAAGGAGTATTGCATCATAGAGGTGAACGCGAGACTGTCTCGCTCTTCTGCTTTAGCCTCCAAGGCGACAGGATATCCGCTAGCGTTCATTGCCGCCAAACTCGGACTGGGCATTCCACTGAACGAAATATCCAACTCAGTCACCAAAAAGACTTGTGCCTGCTTCGAGCCTTCGCTTGATTACGTTGTGGTCAAAATCCCGCGATGGGACTTGAAGAAATTTACGAGAGTTTCTACACAGCTCGGCTCTTCGATGAAGAGTGTTGGTGAGGTCATGTCCATTGGCAGGACGTTCGAAGAAGCCATTCAAAAAGCCATTCGCTCTGTTGATTTTCACAATCTCGGCTTCTCGGATATCTCGAACCCTCTAATGTCCGTCGACGACGAATTGCAAACCCCTTCAGATCAAAGAATGTTCGCCATAGCCAATGCCATGCACGCCGGATATTCTGTAGACAAAATCTGGGAAATGACCAAGATTGATAAGTGGTTCCTTTCTCGATTGAAGGGTCTGAGCGATTTCGCGAAACTCATGTCCACTTTCACGGCGACGAGCGTCCCTCCGGCGTTGATTCGACAGGCCAAACAGCTTGGATTTTCGGACAGACAGCTAGCTCGATACTGGAACTCGAACGAGTTGGCCGTGAGACGCCTGAGGGCTGAAGCAGGCATACATCCCTTCGTCAAACAGATCGATACCGTTGCCGCCGAGTTTCCCGCTTACACAAACTACCTTTATCTTACCTACAACGGCACAGAGCACGACATTACATTCAACGACCACGGAGTAATGGTCCTTGGATCTGGTGTCTATCGAATTGGCTCCTCTGTGGAATTCGATTGGTGTTCGGTAAGAGCTATCCGGACTCTTCGAGAGCAAGGTTACAAGACGGTCATGGTCAATGTAAGTTGATAATTCTCATATGTTGTGCGGTTTTGGCCGCTTCTGCCTTTCAAGGAGCTCTGGACCTACCCGCGCATTTACCTGCGTTGAGACCTTGATTGCAACTCATCCGGACTTTTTCTGGATTCTATTCTTTCTCTGCAATGTTCTTCAGTACTTCAACGACCCTTTGCTAACTTCCCAACCGTACAATCCGGAAACCGTTTCAACCGATTATGACGAAGCGGATAGGCTATATTTCGAGAACATCAATCTGGAGACCGTCCTCGACATCTATCAGATGGAATCTGCGAGTGGTGTCATCATTTCGATGGGCGGACAGACACCCAACAACATCGCGTTGCCTCTGCATAGGCTGAATGTGAAGATACTGGGAACATCCCCAGAAATGATTGACTCCGCCGAAAATAGGTACAAATTCTCCCGAATGTTGGACAGGATCAACGTGGACCAGCCCTCCTGGAAAGAGCTTACAAGCATCGAGGATGCTCTGCAGTTCTGTGAGAAGGTCCAATATCCTGTTCTAGTTCGGCCATCCTATGTCCTGTCTGGAGCAGCGATGAACACCGTGTATTCCAAGGACGATCTCGCCAGCTACCTCAACCAAGCGGTTGCTGTGTCAAGGGAACATCCCGTTGTGATTACCAAGTATATCGAGAATGCAAAAGAGATCGAAATGGATGCTGTCGCAAAAGACGGCGTCATGACAGGGCATTTCATCTCCGAACACGTGGAAAACGCCGGTGTCCATTCGGGAGACGCGACCTTGATATGTCCTCCACAGGACCTTGAACCAGAGACTATAGCTCGCATTGAGGAAGCGACCCGCAAGATTGGGAATGCGCTCAATGTCACAGGTCCATTCAATATCCAGTTCATTGCCAAAGACAACGAGATCAAAGTCATCGAGTGCAACGTGCGAGCCTCGAGATCGTTCCCCTTTGTCTCGAAAGTCATGGGCGTGGATCTCATCCAGATGGCGACCAACGTTATCATGGACAAGCCTGTGACGCCTTATCCACCCGTCAACCTGCCGCCAGACTATGTCGGTGTCAAGGCACCTCAGTTTTCATTCTCTCGTTTGTCGGGAGCAGATCCCGTGTTGGGCGTCGAGATGGCGTCGACTGGAGAAGTTGCCTGCTTTGGACGAGATCGATACGAAGCTTACATCAAGGCAACCATTTCCACTGGCTTCAAACTACCTGAGAAGAATATACTTCTCTCCATCGGATCTTACAAAGACAAGCTGGAAATGCTTCCATCGGTGCAGAAATTGCACCAGATGGGATACAATATATTTGCGACGTCTGGCACGGCTGACTTCCTCGAGGAGCACGGCATCAAAGTCAAATACCTAGAGGTTCTTGCTGGAGACGACAAAGATCAAAAATCGGAGTATTCGCTGACCCAGCATCTCGCTAGTAATATGATTGACCTCTACATCAATCTGCCCTCCAACAATAGGTTTCGGAGGCCTGCCAACTATATGAGCAAAGGATATCGCACACGAAGAATGGCTGTCGACTATCAGACTCCTTTGATCACGAACGTCAAGGTCGCCAAGATTCTCATCGAAGGACTAGCCAGGCACTATGAATTGAACGTCCGGAACATCGACTTCCAAACGAGTCATCGAACAGTGGTTCTTCCAGGGCTGGTCAACGTGGCTGCATTTGTCCCCGGTATTGCTCAGAGAGGGTCTCCGGATTTCTCCCTCGTCACCAAGGCGTCCATTGCGGCAGGCTTTAGCATGGTGCGGGTCATGCCTGTCGGCATCGATAGTGCCGTCACCGATGCCCGCTCTTTGAAGATCGCACAACACAATGCTCAAAGCGGAGCATTCTGTGACTTCAACTTGTCTGTAGCGGCCACGGATTCTAATTCCGAGCAGATCGTCCTCGTCAAAGAAGAGGTTGGGTCGCTCTTTATCCCCTTCAACCATCTCTCATCTGGCAATATCAACAAAGTTGCAACCGTGTCAGCGCATTTCGGAACATGGCCGTCGTACAAGCCCATTGTGACTGACGCAAAGACAACAGATCTAGCATCAATCCTCTTGTTGGCTAGTCTACATGATCGGAAGGTCCACGTGCACAACGTCACATCAAAGGACGATATCAGCCTGATTGCTCTTGCGAAGGAGAAAGGCTTGAAGGTCACATGTGACGTGTCAATTTACAGTCTCTTCTTGTCTCAATCAGACTATCCCGAATGCTCTGCGCTCCCGACCCCTGCCGATCAGCGAGCATTGTGGGATCACCTACCAACAATCGATGTCTTCTCCATTGGTAGCCTGCCATACCAGATCGCCGGCGAAGATGCAGTTCCCACTGTCGGGATCACTGATGCTCTTCCACTGCTATTGACGGCGGTCTCAGAAGGAAGGATGACCGTGGAGGATGTCACCAGACGTTTGCACGACAACCCGACGGCCATCTTTGAGCTCCACGACCAGCCTTCCACGTCTGTCGAGATTGATATTGATCGCCCCTATGTGCTGCAAGTTGGCAATGTGTGGTCGCCGTTCGTCGGAAGGACCTTGCGGGGTGCAGTCTCAAGAGTGGTTTTCCAGGGCAAGACCGCTTGCCTCGACGGTGAAGTACTCCTCGATGGTCCTAGGGGTTCCGACATGTCTTCGCACTTACTCCATCCTGTGGCGACAACAGCGGCTTCTGGGTCTCCAGTCATCCAGGCTCAAGTGGAAGGTCCAATCGACAGACGAACCTCCGTACTCGACACCACGACAAACAGACGTATTTCAATGAGCACCCGGAGCCGGCCAATTGTCCGTGCTCGCCCCATGGACGAAGTCCTGGAGACGACCAGTCCGAACCTTCCGACCGCGGCATTGTACCAACCCCAACCCCCCTCCACGATCTCGCCTTCTCTGCTCAGTCTTCTCGCTTCGTCGCCCTTCAAAAATCGCCACGTACTCTCGGTCAATCAATACAACCGACAAGACCTGCACATCCTGTTCACCGTTGCACAGGAAATGCGCCTGGGTGTCCAACGCCAAGGTATCTTGCCGATCTTGCAATCCCGTGTCCTTTGCACCATGTTCTACGAGCCCAGCACTCGCACGTCGGGGTCTTTCGACGCTGCAATGCAACGGCTAGGAGGTCGCACGATCGCCATTAATACCGACCACTCAAGTACACAAAAGGGAGAGACTCTGCAGGATAGTATCCGAACGCTGGGCTGCTACGGCGACGCGGTAGTACTCCGCCATCCAGACGAAGAATCTGCTGCCACCGCAGCCAAATTTTCCCCTGTGCCTATCATCAACGGTGGAAATGGAAGCCGCGAACACCCCACCCAAGCCTTCCTCGACCTCTTCACCATCCGCGAAGAATTGGGGACTGTAACCGGTCTCACGGTCACCTTCACCGGCGATCTCAAGTACGGACGCACGGTCCACTCCTTGGTCAAGCTCCTCCAGTACTACGAAGTGCGCATCAACCTCGTGTCCCCCAAAGCGCTCGCCCTGCCGCCTGAAGTACGCGATCTCATCGTGTCTTCGGGCCAGCTGGCCATCGAGTCGGACACGCTCACTCCAGAGATCGTCGCCAAGAGCGACGTCTTGTACTGCACGCGCGTTCAAAAGGAGAGGTTCCCCTCATTGGACGAATACGAGAGGTTGAAGGATAGTCTGATTGTGGACAACTCGGTCTTGAAGTATGCCAAGCAGAGCATGATTGTCATGCATCCCTTGCCGAGAAATCGCGAGATCAGCGAGGAAGTCGACTTTGATCAACGCGCCGCCTATTTCAGGCAGATGCGCTACGGGCTGTACACGAGGATGGCGCTGTTGGCGCTCGTGCTGGCGCATTAGAATGACAAAGGATGTGGAAGCAGTTGTGTGGCAGGAGTCTCTACCCTTCTTTGCACTTGTTTTCCATCTCTCCTTTTCAAGCTGGCTGGAATGGCTCCTGGACCGGGGATTTACAGGATCAAACTCAAAACCACGAATACTGAAAGATCGGCAACACCAAAAAAACACCAAAAGAAAGAAGACGAAAAAAAAGGAAATGGATATGGAAAAGCACACTTGGGCGTTTGAGAGCTTGATCGAGAAAAGGGGCAAAAGAGCACCAACACCCAACAACCGCCCCTGGAAAGGAGACTTTGGAAGGCTTGAAAACAAAGACTCGAGACGGAAACCAAAAAAAAGGGAAGTCATGCTTTTATAGAACTTGTAGATCTAGATTGAAATTGCGATAGACTAAGGCGGATACCCATCCCGGGCGTACCCAGGACGTACCTCAAGAGTGTATGAAATGATGAGTGTTTATGTACCTAGGTAGGGATGTGGGTACCAGGTATGTATAAGGTGTATGTGGGTATGTACCTAGGTATTTATATGTATTGTATGTATGTATATGTGTATATGTGTATATATGATGTTATTGTAAATGAATATATCTGATTGTGTATGTATATGTATATGTTGTATAACTCCCTGTGTCTGTCTATACATGTGTATCAACTGGAGCATCAAATACCTCAACGAGTCAGGAACATACATCCCAGCAACCCTAGCCTTTTATTATTACATCTCCAAACAACTGCCGAGCATTCCTCATCAACAACTGACAGATATCTCCGTCTTATTCGGCCTTAAGCTGGGGAAATTGAGGCCCGGTTCCTGACGTGATGATCTTTCTTCCTTCGTTTTTCTCGTATCTGTTCCATCTCAGCTTCGTCGGTGGGGAGATTGCAGGTGGTTAGTTGAACTGTTACCTGTTGCCTGCTACCCACCTCATGCCAGGCGGCCCTGTGAGGCTACCCAGGTATTCGGTACAGATCCGACTTGACCTGACCTGACCTATGAGATAGACCCAGTGACAACGATCCGCAATCCCCGTTATGTCCTCGTTCATGTCATCGAAACCCCGATAACTTGTTTCGTCGAGCGAGATCGTCGGGCTTGCACTACCTTCCTCATTTTTGGATTCCCTCGGACCTCCAGGCTCTCATACCAGGTACAGGCAAGGGGAAGAGCAACTCGGTCTCGATTCAAAGATGCGGCCAGCCTTGTCATGTCCAGCGCAAAAAGCATCTGCCAACTGCCCAATAACGTGCCTGCAGTGACGCGCAGTGTCTCGGTCGAGAGACCCGGCAGCCCCTTCCATCGCTTCACCCGTCACGGAACGAACAGCTGGATGGATCACTTCTTTTCCCCGAGGCTGGCTGTGCCTCATCGAACGGCGGGGGAAAGTATGCGACGCGTCGCTGAAATGTAGCGCTCAAATGCCCGACAGTCATCGCAAAACCCTCGATCTTCACAGCATTCACACCCCAGGTTTGGAGGGAATTGTAAACCGCAATTTGCACAACACGCGACTCCCTCCAAGGCCGATGTCCGTAATCCTGGCATGGCCCTTGTACAATGACCTCGAGTCTGGCAAGATTGGGAGCCCGCATCTCCCATGGCAATTTGTCGAATTGTCAGATTGTGATTGCCGATATGTCACTGTCCGGTAGTAGCAAGATCCTTGATCGCACAGAAATATAAATTGCCCTCAAGTTCTCAGAATAGATCCGCCTGGTGCATCTTTCATCACCCTTTCGACAATTCAGACCCATCAGAACCGTCAGCAGGACATCGTTCAAGCACGGCCAAAAAGCCCAACGTACCTTTTCAGATCAAAACGTCTCGGACATTAACATCAATACCCCCTCTGCAATGTCTTCTTTTGTGAAATACGTCTCTTTTCTGCTGGCTGGTAAGCATTGCGAGGTAATGTCTCCCAGAAATTGGACTGTTGGCTGACCCTGCTTGCAGCTTCCGCATATGTCTTTGCCGCGGCACTCCCGCAAGGAAACAGCAATTGCGCCCATTGGTGTCAAGACAACTATGAAATATGTGGATTCAAAAATGTGGGGGAATGTGTTTCACGGGCAGCTCACAACGATTTCGAGTGCGGAACGTGCCCTACACCAGCCCAGTGGGAAGATTGGGAAGAGTAGAGAATGGGCGGTGTTGAGATCGGGGCCTCGTGGTATGGACATGCATGGATGTGACCACAGCCTTCCTGCCTAGTTCGGATTAATTCTTCAATTATAATGTCGAGAGGCACTTTGTACAGAACGCGTGCAAGTTTGAGGCAATTGGAGCGCGATTTCAACTTGTACCTCACCCACTTCAGTACCGCTAGCATCGGGCACAGAGATTCTCATGGTGTCAACTGTAAGACGTCGGTGGTTGACTCAGACTTTCCCCGAGCTCTTCGTTGGACGACGTCTTCGTAAAAAGTGCTGACGGTCCCCAGACGGTGGCCGTGGTGTTAATCAGATGCGTCCGAGTCGTTCCCGAAGCCCAGCCATTTGGCGGCCTCTCACTCGGGTGTCTGGCTGACATCAAGCCAGAGGGGCCGCACCGTCTCTTTGAGATGGTCACTGCTACGGTCCTTGTTGCTTCATGTAAGGAGATCCAATTGCGAATGCAAGCGTCAAATTGAAAAACCCCAGACCTGGTCAGTAGCCGGTGGACCAACTGGATTACACGCAGCCTTTTGTTTTTCGGGTAGGCAGCACATGGGAAATATCCGTGGTAACACTGGCAGTTGGTAGTGCAGCGATTGATGCCACAGGGCGGCAGTGAACCTGGTCTGGGCGAGATTAGAGATGTATTCACGGGTCGCGCACTGTATACGTGCTGGGAGCACCTGTCACCACTCATCCTGTGCAGGGTTGCGTGTGGCATATTGTTCCCAACGATGCTGTACGAACCCTGCCCCGTGAGCAAGGGCAGGCTTTATCCCCTTTCGGCCCGTGGGATTGAGGCTGAATGCTCAGTCTCGGAAGCGAGACACTTGGCCTAAGAACCGCAGACACGCTGCCGTCCTTCTCTGGCCGACTTGTGCTTGGTTGGGCCAGTGGGTTTCTGGCGGTCTCGATTGTTCTGTATGATCAAGCAGCGGAAGAATCGATATTAGCCTGAGTAACAAACAATACGCCCCGCGCATGCACCGCTTGGACACCATGTGATGGCACCTAGCCATACCTTGTGCGTGCTGAGTGTGCAGCGGAGGGACCCCAGGATTGGAGGGGTTGTAGGCTGAGTCACGAGAAGTATAAGCAGTTATGCCGTGCGAGAAATCAAGCGCCTACCGTGTTAGGCAGGCCGTCGAGAGGCCAGAACCTGTGCCCTTGCGGGTCCTTGATCGGTCATCGCAGATATGGCAGACTTGTGTCCAACTGGCAACAACCTAAGGCTGGGGCAACCCCTGTGCAGTGAGTTCCCGTGACTCGTAGGATTCCAGTCTGCAGCCATCTGTGCCTCGTTCTACTAGCCATTTCAAGAATGTGAGATATTCTCCCTTTTTGGTCTTTGGCTGCTGGATTAATTAAGTTGTGATTATTGTGCGGTCGCCTCCGATAACTCTGGGATGAAGAAGTGACCTCATACCGTGCTTGTCCGTTGATACTGCAGAATGACTCTGCCCGTAGTTTGGTTCGTGTCAGAAGTAAAACCGCTCATAATCAAGATCTTTTGGTCCTTTTTTGTCACTGAAGGTCATTGAGGGGTTTTCAGTGCTCTTGTAGCAACCACGCAGCGATCCGTCCTCCAGCACCGATCATTCTCCGTGAGCGGGTGAGCGGCATTGACCATTGAGCCATAAAAATTCGGATCAGATTCGGAGTCGGTGCTGGGCCTTTGGTGCCAGCTCAATTCCGAGCTCCAGGAACCGATCTCCGAGTGGAAAGCAACCGCCCCGCAACTTGATCGTCGATCTCGCACACTAGTCGGATGGAAGGGAGACTAGCTGCTACCGGAGTGAATCCAAGTATTGGGTGTCAAGCCTTCTCTTCTTCTCCTATTTGAGCGCAACAGTCCAGGTCATGTGCCATGCGGTGTTAATGCGTCGAGATAGAGAGGAACAAGGTTTGAGGTTCGCCGGTCAAGCCCATCGCGTCTGAAGATTGTCATGCACGGAACCAGTAACGCTGGTCCAGTGAGCCATTAAGGGCATCACGGGGATTCCCGTTTTTTCACGCGGTGTTTTGTCGCAAGAAATTCCATGCGAAGTGTGGGGTTCCCTGTCGAATTGTTGCCAGGCACTTGTACAGGGCGCGCATTCAGCGTCGTACCGGATGGAAAACCGCTCAGTGGAGGTTGAGTCGATCTTCGATGGAGAAAACATGATGGACTTCTAGAAGGATACCGGAAATGGAATCCACTGGGGGTCCGTGTCATCGTGAGAGTGACCTTGGAATCCTTCGACAAGATTGATGTTCGAGGGGGTTGCAGTTAGCTGGCTTCTCGTACCCTCGTCGCCTCGTAGGAGTTGCTTAGTTGTCTGGAGATCCGGCCGGTTAGCGAGGCCTTCTGGAATGTTTCTTGGACTGGCAGGTAGCAACAAACTTGTCTATCGAATCCTGCTGGATCATGTCCACTTTTCATGGTAAGTAAGAGATAAGGTCAGCGAGACTCGGAGCTCATAATCTGAAACCCTGACGAGGATGCCTTCTGGAAGAATGCCGAACACGGTATGCGTACTGAGAGTGGTTAGAGAATGGCTAGGGCACTAGGGCACTACCTAGGCCAAAGGCAGTAGTGTCGAGATTAAGTAAGGAGTGGGATGCAGCAACAGTCACCCACCGTCACCCACAGTAGTCCGGCTGACTGGAGATGTGACTGGCTGAGACGGCGACCAGGCCACCAGACTTGCTGCAAGGTCAATCACCGCCTATCAGCAGCTGCATGGCTGTGAATGCGGAGGCCTTTCTGAGTAAGGAAGGGTTATTACCTATTATCTCACAGCACGCCCTTTCGTTTGTATTTGGAAGGTGGAGAGTGTTGGTTTGGAAGGGAGAAGATCGACCATAGACAAGCCCAGAACCTTCAGTGTGCCCACCATGCACTGCTCAGGTCATCGGGGTGCGGGTTGGTGACAGCAGCACTCATGGGAATGTGCAATTCGGTGAGAGTTGGCGGTGTACTCGGTATATACAACCAAGACCAATGATGTAGTTGTCACCTCACCTTTGAGGTCCCAGCATGGTTTAACCGGAATTGGTGGTCTGAGGCTGTGAGCACCGGCCGTGAACAATTAACCGTCCAAATGGAATAGTTTGTACCGAGTACGAGGGACACGTATGAAGTGTCATACGCACGGTTGTAGAGTTGCGTTGCAGGGGGGTAATGCTTTCAACTGAGTTTCAGACCGGAGATGGATAGAGGATCTGTGCAGGGCGTATCTACCTTGGGTCCGCTGCGTATCGCGTTATCATGCAGGAAAATTTCATATGAGGAAGGAGCAACTAGTAACTAGTAATAGTAGAGCTTGGAAGGGTAACCTACTAGTAACCAGTGGAAAGGTAATTAGATGCTCGGATACCTTCCGTACCTACTCGCTACCTCGCTACCTACCTCGCTACCTAGAGTACTTACTACCTACCTCAAGCTAGGGAAAGCGGCTACGTCATGATTCACTAAAGCAGCACTTGCTGTCTGGGTCACGTTACTTGGAGCTGCGGCGCACTGTGCGGTCTGTGTACGATGTACCGAGTATCCTTTCGCTCACTTCTGCTTCACCTCAATCCCCATTACCTACCTAGGTACACACCTTTCCGATTCTATACCGAAGACTCAACTCTCATGCTGTCCATCGGCATCGAACCTCACAGAAACTACGGTGCCCTTCCGCCAACAAACCTCCTCGCTTCCAAAAACAATTCCTCCGGATTGGGCCAAAGTGACACCCGGGGTATTACATAGCACACGAGTAGCGCTTGATCCTTGCGCCGGATAAAGTTTTGCATGCCAAAAAAGAGACAGACACAACCCAAGTGGACAGGCAGATGGAGAGGTCGACACTGGAGTGACTGGCTAGGGTGGAAAAGCGGCCGGCGACTCTCTTCCTGCATGTTGCGCTGTCACCCTCGGTCACGGACTCACGGACTCACGGACTCACGGCTCACCCACGGCTCAATCATGGCCTGGCGTATTACGACGCCCTGCATGCTTACCTCACGACTTCCTATCCCGTCATCATCACCATTACGACTGTCGTTGATGCCGCCCTGAGCTCTCCGCGGGGCCACCCCTAACCACCCACCCGCCAGTTCCGAAATTATCGCGCTTCACCCTGGATTCTTCCCGCGCCTTGACGGATGACATTGCACCTGCCGAAGCTGGAGACGCACTAGTCCCGTGTGTCGCCGGGGAAAGGTAAGAAATTACCCTCGTAACCAAAGCCCATATGGTTCCATTCATCCTGAATTTCCAGGCCCACCCTTCCGGCAATTCAATTCCATCCCCTTTGTATCAAAAAGATATATTCCTCATTCCCATCCCACTCTACCACCCATTCTCTCTTCCCAACAACCAGAGGTCGACTTCCATAGCCAGTCTACAAGGAGCCCGAGACACTTGTGTCGTTGACATACCATCATCGAAATACAAAACCAAACATCAATATCCACCTGCCCATCGCTATGCTTGCTTCCACATCGACCAACCCGGCCATCCAGGCCTACAAGGTCTACCACCTCTCCCAAACTAAGCTCGATCGGGAGTGCCGCCGACAGACCCCAGATCTCCATCGCATAGTCCTGCATGCCTCCATCGTTGACAATGTTCGTCGATGGTCGCGTGATCTAGCCAGCCCTTCCGAGGCTGTGGTGGTCGACTCCGAGTCTGATACAGACAGTGACCCCTTTGAGGACTCTGCATCCGACGAGGAATACGAGGATGCCATGCCCGTCGACCATGTTGCCATCTTTGACTGCGAGGTTGATGACGAAACAATGATCGAGCAGCAATCGGGAACCAACGGCAAAGTCTACACCGTTCAGACTGGTGTCGTCAAGTCTGTGGAGACCAAGGACGCACAGTCCAACTCTGCGCCTGCCAGTCCCCGGAGACGAGCCCCTCCTCCGCCATCGGCTGGTAACTCGAATTACGAACTCAACGACCAGAGCTGGAAGCAGAATCGACCAGTCACAGTCCGCGAGACAGCCATTGAAGTCGACGGTGACGATTAGATGAACCGGTTCCAGGACGCGATACGCCTTTACGACAACTTGATACCCCTTAGAGCATTTATTGAGCCGCAAGGCTACGACTTTTACGAGCTCGACTCTCCCGTCGCTACACTCTCACTAAGTCACTGCCATTCCGCCACCACCTAGTGATACGAAGGTGGATCTCCAGTTGAGCTCGATGCTACGGAGGTCCATCTACGAGATGCAGCGACGAGGACGAGTCGACCGAGTCAAGGAAGCTTCACCGGAAGAGCGACCAGGTCGTCGACGACCGGCAAGAAGGAAAGCTTCATGAGAAGCCAAAGGGACCGAGCAATGAGCCCCGTCCTCAGATGGAACATCGGCCTCCGTTCATCCCCGAACCTCTAGTAGTCGTGACTTTTGATAAGTCAGCCTGGGGGCGAGGGGTTGGAGAGGAATGAATATCCGTCCGGGGATGTTGTGAGCACTCTTGCCGACCGGGCCCCTGGTTGTGGATTGGAAATACAGGAGAGATGTGGGAGTCATGTCCATGTACATTAATTGGCTGCTTGCTATCCATTTCTCCGGCATCAGTGAGAGAGATCTGGGATTTTAGTATGTACTTCTACTCGGGTGCGTGTGTGTGGAGAGCATAAGGAAAATGAGTGTCAATGACATAAACATTTCATCAAGGATCCAAAAAAAAGCTTGCTCCCTTCAGGTTCTAACCCGCGGTGTAGCCTATCAAACGTCGACAGTATCATTCATACTAGATCTTTCTTTCCCATTACCTACCTAGTACTTGATCTGCCCTCGCTGCCCTGCACCGTTCGGCGGCCCCTTTGCGAATGGCGGTCCGGACGGCATAGGTACAACACCAGCCGGATCGATTATCCGGGCTCGCCGGGGGGTGTTGTCACCTGCGCGGAACAATTTACCGGGTTTCCTCTTCCTATCCATCCCACAGCATCTACTACCTAGTATGTAGCGTGTAAATATTATTATAGGTACGAGGTTACTACTGACTAGGTATCCTCTCCCTGTCTCGGGTAGGCTGTCGAGTTACATAGAGTACCTAGGTACCTAGAGTATTGAACATCAACCAATATACCTACCTAGGTACCTACCCCAACACTGCAGGTGGTCTTGGAACCACCCACCCATACAGTTTCCTCGGTACCGGTGCCGGTACCGGTACAAGTTCATTGTTGCATCGAGGTCGCAACGGGTGTATGTATGTACTGTATGTATGTATGTTAGTGAGAGTACATACATCTGGCAGGGACTGACTAAGCCCCCCTGGATGTTATGATATGTGATCATGGAACCGAAACCTGGTACGGTAGCGTAGTCGAGTTCAGTCAACATCGCTGCCGTCGTGACCCGCTACTTCAACTGCAACCACGGTCAAGGCTACCAGGACTCAGGGGCTAGGCAATCCACCCGAGTTCACTCTGACACTTTACGCAGAATCCTTGGTCACTTGTGAATACATGTCTGAGGACTCTATGGTAAACCTCTACTAATACTTATTTGTGCAGTGAATAACTAGAGATCTTCACACCCTGTGGATGCCTGACACTCGACCAAACGCTCGGCGAGACTTTGACAGGCAGCTTTCTGCCTTTCAACCTCTGATCAATGAGCCAGAGACCCACCACAAACTCCTCCCGATTGAGTGACTTCGCCCCTGGCTGCGCCACAAGGTCCCAGATCTCCTCCAATACATCTTTGGGCAAACGGCTTCGCTCCCAGATATCTCGGACCACAACGTTGAGAACCAAGTCACTAGCGGGAGTGCCATCCTTTCTCGGCCCCAAGCCCGAATTGTCCAGGTCGTAATCGAGAAGTAGCCCTCTGTTTGCTGCCCAGACACCTTCGTACCGCTTCCTCTCCCGCTCCGTAACCTTGTCTCTCCACCGCCTGCGATCCCCCTCATGGTGCATGTTGGGATGCCGCCTCCAATGCCTGCGCCCTCGCTTCTCTTCCGCCGGTTCATCGTGTTCAGGCGAGGTATTCCGCAATGTCTGCCTCATGGGTCGCATAGGAAGTGGCTTTAGCTTGGGTGTTTGCGAGACTGTTTCCCTTCTCAGGGCTGGGAGGTGCATCAATTGTCGAGTGCTTACAAAAGCGCCCACAGACTTCGAGCGTCGACGAGGTATAGGTGGCGGGACCTTTTTCGAGGCAGGAGAGGCTCCACGAGAGCCAGTGTGTTGGGCTGCTATTGACCCGGCGACCATGGCGTCTGCCAGAGAACTTGCAGTCATTCCTGTTCGCGAATCCTGCGCCGAAGCCTGTTCTTGTGCGACGATCGCTGCACGGTTGGCGCGCAGTGGAATAGGCGCTGGTAAAGGCTTGGGGGTGTGTTCGACCTTTGGCCGTCCGGTATCACTCTCTGAATCGGTCTGTGGGGGAGTTACTCGGAGGCGTGGCCATGATGAGCCAGTGGTCGACTGAGGGGACGCAGTAAGATTCCGGAACACCGGTGCGCTGGGGCTGCTTTCTTCAGAGGTGGATAGAGCTCTTCTTCTTGCCTCTAGACTAGCAGCATTCCTAGAGGCTGTAGCGGCCGCCGCAGCTCCAGACAGAGATGGACTCGGCGCCGAAGAGGCCTGAACAGAGTAAAGAGGTAAATTGGAAAGGTAGCTTAAGTCACTTCTATGCTTGTCACCCGTTGCAGTCTGTACCTGGACTGGAGCAGTTGTCATCGAGGCCTGCGCCCCAGCGAGAGCAGCCGCGCTCTGTGGAAGTGATTGGACAGTCTCGCTGCTGCTACTTGTGCTCATTCCCCGAGTTCGAACTTGAGATGGATCCCGCCTTGCCAGATACGAGCTCGCCAAGTCTCTTTTCAATTCCGGCCTGCGGACAGGGCTTGTCCTCGCAGAAGCAACAACGGCAGCAACGGCAGACGTAGATCGAGGAGGGTGAGGCCGGAGCCCAGGCTTGGGAGGAGATAATGAGGAGTAGTCGGAAATTGCGACTGGCAGCCTTTCTGTCGTCAACGCCCGACCCCGCGGATTGATGGCTGGCTCTTGGGAAGGGCCTTCATTTTGCCGTTGTTGCTGCTTCCTGATAGAGGCAGTGGTTGCCGCAAGCAGGGCTCCTGCAGATGGATTATGTGATGCGGAGACGGAGACATTGGGCGGTTTGACCGCAGGCGGTCCAAATGCCAAAGTGGCACCCTGAAGGGCGGGTGAGGGCAAGGGAGAGAGTTTGGCTGTGGCAGCATTGTGTTGCTGGATAAAGGAGGGCTTTGGCGCCACAGGAGGACGCCGTGCCTGCTTCTCACTCATCAATCCATGGACAACGGGTCAAGTAAAGGATGCCGAAGCATCGGACAACTCAAGCGAATGGGGTACACAGAACAACTCTCATGAGCTTAGTAAGGAATTCATCACATCTCAATAACTCAAACTGTGTAGCAAGGTTCAAAGTCCGGTGCCGAACGAATGATCAAGGCCGCACAGAACAGAAAGCGGAAGCATGGAGAGGAACAGGAGGAAGGGAACGGGAAGCTGAAGGATGGTTCGTAAGCCCTGGATTCGGCCTTGCCATGGCACGTGACAGGGGCTCATAGATAACTTGTCACGTGATCTCGCGTCTTGGCGCGTGAGGCTCAAGTTTCAAGGCGACTATGACTTCACTTCTAAGGCACTGCCTCAAAGACACGACCACCACATCAGCGTGCGATTCGCAGTCTGCCCAATGATGCAGCTATACGTTCACCATACAACCCGAGAAGGCGAGTACGCAGATAGCGTCGCTCTATCTCAACTCAGACTGGCTTTCCGTTCTTCAAGATGTCTGACGACGAGAGCATGTACGATGAAGCCAGCCTTGAAGCTGGGCCAAGCCGTGCAGACCTTGACAAGCAGCTAGATGAGGAATATCCCAACCGCCCCCGAAATCACGGCAAGACTCTTCCCTTTCACACCCTTTTCGAGGACCTCTTCAATCCTCTTATTGACAACAGGCAAAAGAAGCCAACAGCAGCCGCCGTCAACCGCAGAAAAGTAGGTCCACATGGCCAGTCCAATTTATCTCCCTCTGAGAGGCGGCGTGCGATCATTGAAAGATACATTTCTCGTTGGCGAAAGGAGGTGGGCCCTGACTTCTTCCCGGCATTTCGGCTTATCATCCCAGACAAGGACCGTGAACGTGGAGTCTATGGGCTTAAAGAGAAGATCATTGCCAAATTGCTGATCAAAATCATGAAGATCGACAAGAACTCCGAGGACGGCTACAGTCTTTTGAACTGGAAGCAGCCTGGTCAGACGGCTGCATCACGAATGGCAGGAGATTTCGCGGGGCGCTGTTATGAGGCCCTTTCAAAGCGACCGATGAGGGTCGAAGTTGGAGACATGACTATTGGTGAAGTCAATGAGCTCTTGGATAAGTTGTCAGGGGCTCCAAGGGAGGAGAATCAGCTTCCGATCTTGGCCGAGTTCTACAAGCGCATGAATGCGGAAGAGCTGATGTGGTTGATCCGTGTCATTCTGAAACAGATGAAAGTGGGTGCTACCGAGAAAACCTTTTTCCACATCTGGCACCCTGACGCGGAGAGCCTTTTCAATGTGTCCAGCAACCTACGAAGGGTGTGCTGGGAGCTGTACAACCCCGAGGTCCGTCTCCAAGACGAGGAGGCTGGAGTCACGCTGATGCAGTGTTTCCAACCTATGCTGGCCCAGTTCAAGCAAGAATCTCTCAAGAAGGTGATGGAGGCGCTGAGGCCAACTCCGGACGACCCCGAGTTCTGGATCGAGGAGAAACTAGACGGCGAACGCATGCAGATGCATATGATCACTGACGACAGCCATCCAGGTGGGAGACGCTTCCGATTCTGGTCCCGAAAAGCCAAAGATTACACCTATCTGTATGGTGATGGGTTTTTCGACCCCAACGGGGCGCTCACTCCGCACATTAAAGATAGCTTCGCAGACGGGGTTGAAAACATCATCCTCGATGGCGAGATGATAACGTGGGATCCCAATGAGAAAGCACCGGTGCCTTTCGGGACGCTAAAGACCGCCGCACTGGAGGCACAACGCAATCCTTTTGCCCAAGGCCACCGACCTGTTTTTCGGATCTTCGACATACTTTTACTCAACGACCAGCCCCTAACTCGCTATACTCTGCGAGATCGCCGCAAAGCGTTGGCTGCTAGCGTGAGAAGCCAGCCCGAACGCTTTGAAATTCACGAATACACTGTAGCAACAAAAGTGGAAGATGTTGAAGACCTCCTTCGGAAGGTGGTGGCAGAGGCTTCCGAGGGCTTGGTACTCAAGAATCCCAGATCCATGTACCGTCTGGATGACCGTTCTGGCGATTGGCAGAAAGTAAAGCCAGAGTATATGGATGGATTCGGCGAAGAGCTTGACTGTCTTATCATTGGCGGGTTTTATGGCTCAGGTAAACGCGGTGGAAACCTGTCCAGCTTCCTGTGCGGTTTGCGTGCCTCGAGCAAGGCCTTACAAAAGGCGACCCAATCTCAAAGTCAGAGCCAAAGCCAACGACGTCACCAAAAGTCCCTCACTCAAAGCCAAAGCCAGGATCAACCCTCGCAACTACAGCATACTCAGTCTCAGTCCCAAGCTGAACCCGGAGCTGAATCGTCCGAATCAGGAGGCCCAATCGAGAACTTTATTTCCTTCTTCAAAGTTGGAGGCGGCATGACAGCCAACGATTACGCCACCATCCGCCACGCTACAGACGGGAAATGGCATCCATGGGATTCCCGTCGGCCCTCTGCGAAGAACTATATCGACCTGGGCAACTTGAGCTTGCTCAAGGAGAGACCGGATATGTGGATCAAACCTTCCGACTCTCTGGTTGTGCAGGTGAAAGCTGCACAAGTCACAGTCAGCGAAGACTACGGCTTTGGGAAGACACTGCGATTTCCTCGCTTCATGAGACTGAGAAGGGACAAGGATTGGAAGACCGCCCTCTCTGTCAACGAGTTTGAGGATTTACAAGCCAAGGCCGAGGATAAGGAGAAAGAGAAGGCGATGAAAGTTGACCAGCAGCGCAAGGAGAAACGCAAGGCCCGCGCTGGCGGATATGCAAGTCGGAAGAAACCGCTCACCGTGGCCGGATACAATGCCAGAGATGTAAACAGTGTTAAGTTGCCAGAGGGACCGAGGGGAACCGTCTTTGCAGGATTGACTTTCTATATCATGACGGAGTCCTCTTTACCCGGGGATCGCAAGAAGACGAAGCTCGAGCTGGAAGCCTTGGTCAAGGCTAATGGTGGCAAGATTGTGCAAACAGCAACTCCAACATCTGAGGACCAACAAACTGTGATATGTATTGCATCCCGCAGAACCGTCAAAGTCGCATCTCTGGAGAAGCGCGGCGAAAAGGAAATCGTCAAGCCGATGTGGATCTTTGACTGCATCGACCAAGCCAAGCGGGACTTTGCTAGAGGATATACGGAGGAGATGATCGTCCCTTTCGAGCCGGAACGCCACCTCTATTTCATACCGGACAGCATGAGAGAGCAGGACACTGTGGATGAATTTGGGGACAGTTTTGCCAGGGATGTAGGCGAGGAAGAGCTCAGAGAGATCATGGCAAAGATGGGCACTGTCGAGATTGAAGAAGAGGAAGTGGAGAGAGTCCCAGACCTCTTTGGCGATGAGTTTTTCAACATGAAAGGTTTCATGTTCCACGGCCTGGTATTCTTCTTTGATCAGCCCCCAATTCCCAAGGCGCGGAACGGAACAGCGCAATCGTCGAGCTTGGACTCGAACTCTACCACTCCATCAACCACAACTGCGGCGGCAAATTCCACTTCCTCTTCCCAAGCTCTCGCCCAATTCGCGAGCGCCCATGTCCTTTCCCCCACGACATACACCACCCTCTCATCAATCCCCTCTGATCTCAGATCAACCATCACACACATCATTTCCAGTCCTGAATCAGATCTCGCAGACTTGAGGAGACAGGTCTCGCGATGGGATACGAGGAAAATTCCAAGGATCATGACACAGGAGTGGATTGATGTTTGTTGGAAGGAAGGGACGAGGGTTGATGAGGAGGCATACGTCGCTAGATGAGATGACGAGACTAGCCTTGCCTTGCCTTAGACCGAGGACTGAAAAGGGATGGTCAATGAGGTTTTGGATAGCTGGACACTGTGCGCAGGTATGGGGAGACTGGATGAGTTTGATGGCAATCACAGTATTTGAAACCCCACACAACGTCTCAACTGGTCGGTCGTTGTTCAATGTCCATATCCGGCAAAGCAGAGGGAGTCATTTATTCGCCCACCCCCCTGAGCATTCGCGTCACATACATACATGGCCTGACTCCTCAGCAAAGGGACCTTCATCCATCGATGGAACCATTCATTACAAGCAGAGGACCTCGAAGCATCCAAAGAACATGAACTGCTCGTGCCTCTCCGGCCTCGGGACGGATGGTAGCTCGAGATCCAATGGATTGTACGACATACCGAGTGCGGTTCCAAGAAAATGGACGAAGATGGGGTTCTTCAGGTATTGTATTCTGTACAAGTACATATCGTGAAACCGCCCAGACTTCTTTTCCATGGGTCTACCTCCTCTTCCTAACTGGTCCCTCACAAGCTCCGAGTCGTACTTGAAAGAGAAAATGAGCCATGCTTTGTAGAAAAATCAATCAATGCCCGTGTAATGTACAGTTCCTTTTGTCAAGGTCCACTAGGCCCTTCGACCGGACTCGCTTCGTTTCGTACATTCATCCAACAGCCAGAATTCATCGCTTGCGGTCGTCATTCGTAAAGGTGGTCCTTTGTGGACCAGGGTTCCGTGTCCCTCGTTTGCCAATTCTATGCTCAAAACAGCCGTTAATGTGGTAAAACAGCACATCCCCGAACCATCCATCTGCAGCATGTTACAAATCTTCGATTGACCAACTCCTCCACCTGTCCTTCGCGTCTACCCTTCTTCTCTTTCCCTTTCCACCCTTCTTTCCGTCCACGTCATCTGCCTCCTGATCTTTGCTCTTCGGCGCCTCGTCAACAGGCGGCAACCACGCCTTTGCGTGGCCCACCGCATCTTCGCTCAACTTGCCACTCTTACGCATGTTCAGCTCACACACAAAAACTCGCAAGAAATCCCGATTCTCTCGAGGCTCGCGTAACCGCGGTTGACCTTCCTCTATGCCGTTCTCGGGATCCGCCCACAGCGTCTGCGCGGCTCGGAATTTGTTGCTCGGCGTACCGTCAGGTTCGAGCCAGGTTGGGGGGCTAGAAGCATGCGCGGTGCGGATGGTCGAAGGGATGCAAGTCGCAAGCTGGACGACAGGCGGAAGTTGGGAGACGGCGCTCCTAGAAGCCACGAATGGGGCACCCTCGTTGATGGAAGGAGAAGCGGATCTCTGACTTCGATATTTCTTCTTGATCTTGAGTTTCGGTCGGGTGTCCAGACCTGATGAAGGGGCAACGGGTTTCTCGTCAACCCAGAAATGCAGTTGAGCGGGAGAGTCAGGAGGGACAAAGGTGTTTGGGTTCAGATACCTTCTCAAGGCTGCAGAAGGAGGTTCGTCTGATGGTGGAGGACGACGATCGTCGGTAAGGGACGGCCTAAATTCGAAGACAGATCTCGATAGGAACTCGTCTGATTGCATCAGCGGCGGGTTGCTCGCCATATCGGATACGGTCTGAGCGGCAGATTTGAGTGCTTTTAGAGATGCCGTCAGACTCGACTTGAACGAGCTCTGTTTTTTATCGGGGAAGATTGGCCTCCGTCTCATCCTTGCTGGTGGTGAAATGATCAGTTCTGGCGTCGACGTTCCACTAAAATCCTCCTCCTCGTCCTTGGGTAAGAGGGGATGTTGGTTGCTGCAATCCTCCGAACTGGCCATCTGCCGCAATCGATGATCAGAAGGAGATCTGAGAGTTGCGGGAGAAAGACTGCTGAAGTCGTCTGGTGAAGACAGAGAAGGCATCGACTCGGTTGAAAGCGACCTGGCGGATAGGATTCCAGGGTCAAGACTTTCACTGCCCACAATCAATTGCCCCTCGACGAGGCCGTCAATATTACCAAACAGTCCTTCGAATTGTGGGTTTGTCCAACTGCCCGAGAGGCTCCCATCATTGCTAGGCGGCACATCATCCCTCAACAGCTTACTGAAGTCTGCGACATAGTCACAGTTCGGCAGGCGCTGACTCGGTCTTTGCTTAGGCTTTCGTCGAACAGGGATGGTGGTCGACGTCAAAATCTCTTGGGCTGAGTGTTTCCGTCGGGGGATTTCCAGCGACTGAGACTGAGAACTGGCGGCTGGGGGTGTGAGATATCTTGGAGACTGTGAATGCAAAGTAACAGGATGTCGAGGTGTGATGAGAGTTTGTCTCTCCGTCGTCCGCAGAGGTATCTTGACAGGGTCTGAGGAGGGTCGGAGGGGGGAATCGACTGGCTCTTGAGAAAGACCTTGGGTGAGAGCTGAAAGGGCAGGAGGTCGAGGATTGGTGTCTCGCGGCTGCCTTCGGGATGATAACCTATCCTTCTCTTTCTCATTAAAGTCGATGTGCTGTTGTCTCTGCGCCAGTGGGTTGTGGGCAAAGGCCCTGGGGACCATCATCATGGCGGCGCTGAACGCTCTGGTCTATGAGTGAAAGACCTGAGCAGCAGATATGTATTGATTAGGAATATCAGCGGACGAGAGTATCGGATCCGGGTGGCATGCCGGAGCAGCCTAATCGGATAAGGCTGAATCAGGGGTTTTGGTAGAGAGGTAGGAAGCTGGAAGTGAAGCACTCAGGTAGCAATAGTAGTAGAGAGAATGATAGATGAGAGGAAGATGCGACAGATGGCATGATGATGCAGCCTAGTATGGAGCAGCGTATGGAGAATTTGGGGGCAGATGGTTTCAGCGAATGAAGACTCCGTCGATATAATGGGATGGTGTTTGGACTGTTGATGGTGCTGAGAAAGAAGTGACACCCAGGTGAAGGTCGTGTGCTGGCTGAAGATAAGAGACGCACGGCCATATCAAGCGAGGGCGATTGGTTGAAATTGGGCTGGATGGGCAGATGGGCAGATGGGCAGATGGCCAGCCCTTCCGGAACTAGCCTGCAGCCGTAAGCGTAGCCAGCAGTACGCGAGCACCAGGGCCACCCCCAAGGTGCCCGAGAGTACCGTACCGAGTACTGTGCAGCTGGCAGCCTGGCACCCGGTGGGATTGGAAATGGGAGACTTTGGGTCGTGGGATGAGGATCGCCTAAGGATGTTCGGAAGGGGTGATGACGAGGGGATCCAGAGAGGAGCCACCTGGAGCCACACAAGGCCCCATGAGCCACTCGCAGGCGTCAGGATGCGCTTGGTTAAGGGGTCCTAGGGGCAGTTAAGGAGTGGTTAAGGGTGCTTCCGGCTGGCTAAGGCTGGAATTAGCGGCAAAACGCCTGTAACGGAAAACCACGCGGCCTCAGGGCCTCTGGCACCACTAATCCGGATACCTTCCCACCTGGCGACCCAGGCAGCAACCCACGGGGAATCATCGAGTGCGTGCCACTGCGAACTTTCCTTCTTCCCTTCTTCCCTTCAGCTCGGCCAGGGTCCTGTTTCTCACCTGCCTTTCCGGGCAACAATATCCCAGAAGCTACTCATCGCATCCTTATATCATGTTATTATTCATCCAAAACTATTTCATCAGGTCGAGAAAGAAGCTCCTTCAGCTCCAATCGTGGACAACACCGTCGCCAATTTTCACCCACTTGTCGACACTTGTCGACCCGACAAGTAAATTCCTGATCCATCACTCGCTCGATGCCATTACTTGATAGATGTTACGAGAGAGAAAAGAAAAAAGCAGAGAGAGAATTTCTCATACCACTGTTGCTCCGCGGTGCTCGTCTTTTCTTTTCGATCGAGTAACAATATCCACATTACCTCTTGATCCTCATTTGCTCACCTTGCCGATGCCGCCTCAGGACCGACGAAATGTGACTTCATTGAACTCCAGAAAAGCTCCGGAACAATGGATCCGTCTGGCACACTGGCGATTGGCTTTAGGAATTCCTGTTGGCTAATACTTACTTCTTGCGGCACTCGCTGGGCACACTGAGAAATTCTACCTCAGGGGCACGTCAGGCACCGCAGGCACCGCAGGGGAAAAGAAAAACATCTGATGCTCGTCCTCTCACAAGAAGAGGAGAAAGCTCATCGGAGACCACCGTCGCATGAAACCCACAATGACTCTACAGCTTGTGCCATAATCTCATTTTCCCTTCTACGATGAATCCACAGCAGGCGTTACACCACCTACGTCCCTCGGCCCTCCTCCGTTCCATGTCTCACTCTTTCGGGTACTTCCGACGTGAATGCCAGATCGTGCCAGAGTATGCACAGAATACAGCCAGAACCGATATTTCTTTCCTCGCCGACCTACTTGCCAGCATCCCGGATCCACTTCGCTGCCCTGGCCTTGACCTCCTCGACCCGCCGCTCATCTCCTTCCTTTTCCTCGAACTCCATCCACCGTTTGAAGAAGTATTTGGCCTGCTTGGGTTTCAACTTGCCCTCGAATATTCGCTCAAACAAGCCTCGCACCTGCTCTTTGTTCTCCTCTCCCAGCTTGAGTTCCAAGTCAAGAAGCACGTTGAATAGATCCACCCTCTTGGGAAAGGAACTGATCAACCCTTCGAAGATCGTGCGTCCCCGCTCGGCGAGCCCGTGGGAGGATTTGAATTCAAGCTGTGCGAATTTCAAGGTAACGTCAAAGTGCGTGAATCGAGGCAGCGTCTGAAGCGCTCGAGGAAGGAGTGCCCGCCCTTTCTCTGCATCACCCACCGTGTCGAATAAGAAATGCGCATAATTAATCCACGTCTTGGGGTCCTGCGTGAATTTCTTCAACATGCGTTGAAACATGTCGTCTGCCTTGTCGTGTTTGCCGGATTGAATGTAGATGCTGGTTAACCGTGAGTAGATCTCTTGCGGGTCGTTGTACTCGCACGCCCGTTGAAACCTAGCCTCAATACTTTCGTCATCTCCATAGGCATTTTCAAGGTTGAGCAGTGCCACCCAGACGTTGAGTTTTTCTTCCTCTTGACCGAGGCCGATGGCTTTCAATGCCCGTTCGCCGATCTGCCGTGCTTGGTCGGCGTCCCCTAGGTCAAGGTGGAAGGCCATGTACTGGAGCCAGAGGAGAGAGGAATCCGGTTCGCCCAAGAGTAACCGCTCGAAGTCGTCCACCGATTGAGGTCCGTTGACGTCCAGATCTGCCGTTCGGTCTACTTGGATCTGTGCTCGCTTCTTCCTCTTCTTGGGTGCTTTGGCTGGATCTTCGGCTTCTGAATCAGATGCTTCTGCCGCCCGCTTCTTTGACGCGGGTTCGGAAATCCCGTACCAATCAAACCCTCCCACAGACAGGCCTTTGCTGTCGGATGGCTTCGTGGCGTCCCGTAGGACGTCGCTGCCTTTTTGCTGGTCTTCTGACTCCTCAGCCTGTTCTTCAAGCCCTTCGTCATCGTCCTCTACATCTTCTTCCGAAGCATGCCCGTCCTCATCTTGGAACGACTCTTCCTCATCGGCTTCGGAAGCTTCTGGTTCTTGGTCGAGAGACGCGCCGCCTTCATCGACTTCATCCTCGGATTGAGACTCACTCTCAGCATCCTCTGCAGGATCACCAAAGTAGGAGGCTTTCATGCCGAAGTTGATGCGGCGTTTTGCAGTATCGATCTTCAACACCTTGGCCTTAACCTTGTCCCCCTCTTTGAACAGCTTGCTGACGTCTTCGACTCGTTGTTCGGCGATCTCGCTTCGGTGGCAGAGTCCTCGTACGTTCTCCGAATTGTCCACGAGAATGAAAACTCCAAAGGCTTCGACCTTGACAACTTTGGCCGTCACAAAATCTCCGACCTTCAAGTCGTTGAAGGTAAGGGGCGCTTTGTAGTCAGGTTTCAGTGCCGACTCCTTCAAGCTGATCTGGACGTGACCGGAATCCTTGTCGACCATAATGACCCTCCCTTTCACAAGCTGGTCGCGCTGAAAGTGATCCTTCCACTCCTTCAGGTAGCTGTCCGACAGGTTACTAACTCGAACAAATGCCGTGATGCCATGACCCAACGTCACAAAAACACCTTTCTCGGCCACGTTACTGATAAACCCACGGACAATGTCATTGACAGCTAATTGTTCGAGTGAAGTGATCTCTCGGTCGGTAACCGCCATTGACGAGCTGAGGACTTTCGAAGGCCGAGTTGACAGATTGACTTTCTTGTTGGGAGCATCCACCTTGAGCACGCAGACCCGAATGATATCGTTTTTCTGGTACTTTGCGGGGTTGGCTTCAGCGTAGTCGTCCGCCATGTCAATCAACTCAACAACACCAACAACCTGCTCACTAAGCTGGACGATGATGTTGTGGTCGGTAGCCTTCGTCACCCGGCCAGGAAGCACCAGCCCAGCCGAAATATTGCCAAACGTCAAGGAGCTGGCCGTTCCGTCTGAACGCCCGGTTAGGTCCAAATGTCCCTTCTCGGCGTCCACATTGAGGACTCGGGCCCGTACAGCCGAACCCAAAGGGAAATTGTGAGGGAGATTGGCAGCAAGCGACAGATCGTCGGAGATGTCGATGGCTCGAATTCTTCCACGGATGGTGGGTGAAATATTGACCCACACACATTCGTCGGAGATGTTGTTGATAAAGGCAAGCCATGGTGATCCGACTGTCATGTCTTGCAAGGTCAATCGGGCTTGTTCTTGACCCGAGACTGAGCTTGGTTTGCAGGTGAGTTCGAATACAATGTTCTTCCCTTTCCGATGCGTCAGCGGCAGAAATCTGTGGTTCCTCGTGTCATGCGCCCCGAGGACTCGGACAAGGAGTTCTTCCTTCGGAGAGAATTGCCTCAGTGGTTTCTTGCGGTCTTTGATGTCCTTCCAATCGTCAAATACTTCCGAAACATCGATCCGTCCTTGTACATCTTTGGCCAATTCAACATTGATCTGTGTCTCTTTGACGGAGACGACTCTTGCTTTTGTGACTTTCCCGACAGATAGGTCTTTGACGGTTTCAAGACTCGTATCCACCGGATTGATGAGCCTTGGGAAATCCGTAGGAGCTTCAGGTCTGCTCGATGCCTCGGTCTCAGCAGGGAGAGCCTCTCTCATCGTCAGCCAAAAGCGCGGTGTTGCACCCCTGTAATCAATGGAGAGGACTCTAGCCTTCACAGGTTGTAACTTGACCATCCCAAAGTCCGGCTCGCTTTCAGCTTCGACGGGTACTTGACCTTTGGTTATTAGACCGTTTATGCCGGCGGCGAAGCCCACAAACACGCCATCTTCTGTGATATTCTTCACGAAACCAGTCACGATGGCATTAGGCTGAAGCTTCTCGTAGCCTCGGAGCAGGGTGCCACCTTGCGCAGCTTGTACCAAGCTCTGTTTGTTGGATACCAAGACCAATCTTCTCTTTGCCAGGACCTGCAATATGAGCACATTTTCCAGCTTTTGGCCGACTCGGACTTTGCTGATTGCAGATTCTCGCTTCTTGAGAGAGCCATCGGCGATGTGATCGAGAGTCAACCGCGCAATAGCGTCGGATCCTTCTAAGCGCAGTAAAACGTCGTTTTGAGATTTTTCGAAGATGGTGCCATTGGTAAGAGTGCCTGGTTGCAACGCCGCAAGGGCGCTTTCAATTGACGCGCCTGGAGCGTTAATATCTCTGCAAGACACGGTCAAGCGCTTTTCCGAAGAGTTGATGCTGATCGCGTTTACTGACACAACCTGGCCGACCCGAAAATGCTCCGTGGCATCTTTGATATATGCTTCGCTCATCTCAGACACGGGGAGGAAACCTCTGACAGGGCCATAGAATCGGACAACCGCACCAAGGCGGTCGACCTTGGTCAAAGTCCCTACTGTCGAATCACCAGTCTCAATATCTTCAAAGCGTAGCCATGGCTTCTGGTCATTGTTCACCAGAGATTTCTTAAGAGTGAGTCTCAGACGGCGCCGGATAGGGTCAGTGGACAAGACTCGAGCAGTGACGGCCTGACCCTCCCGGAACTTCTTCTCTGGGTGCTTCAAATCAACGTCAGACATGTGTATTTGGGGCACGAGACCAGTCAGGCCCTCTCCTAGGGTGACCAACAAGCCTTGAACTCCGCTTGGACCGACCAGCAATTTTTCAATCGTTCCTTGGACAACTGCACCCAGAGGAATGTCATCGAATCTGAGAAACGGTCGTTCAATCACGCTTTTCTGAGCGGACAATATGTAGAGATTGTCCATGGGGTTGTATTCGAGGACTCGAACCTTGTGTTCGGACCCAAGCTTGAACGGGCCGCTGGTTTCGGAGACAGTGTCCAGCTTCTTGTCCGAAAGGCGAGATACGTGGGCAAAGCCTATATCGTTTTGATTTAGTTGCAGATAAACGCCTAGCCCGGGCTCAACACAAATGACTGATGCTGCATCGACGGTGGAAGATAGCGCCAACCTCCCGCCTTCTCCGTCTGCGTCTGCGTCTGCGGCATCGTTGACATTACTCAGATCAACGACATTTTCCAGAAGAGAAAACCCCAGCTTCTTCACGTCTGAAAGCGGGAAATTGCAGATTAGTCGGCCAGTAATCTTTTTGCCGACCTCGTATTTAGCAAGAAACGCTTGTCGGTCCTTGAATGAGGCCGAATGAACAATGTCGGCCGTGACATCTAACATGCCCATGATCTTTCCTGAAATTCCAGCGTCTGTGACATTGCTGATCAAAATCTCTGCCTTTGTGCCTGGAAGAAAAGTATCCACAGACGGAGCAGACTTCAAGATTGGGGCCTGGGAGAGGTCTGCTGAGAGCTTCACCACCTTGTTGCTGGAGCCCAGTTCGAGGACGTGGCATAACAGAACGGCACCGATTTTGATAGTGGTTAAAGAGCTTCCACTGGGTAGGTGTTTTTTGGAGATGAATCCGCGCACTTTGCTGTCTTCCAGTGCCAGATCAACCACTAACCCGTGGTCTTCAACACTGCTCACGGAGACTTGAACAACGGCGCCAGCGACCAGGTTTGACCGGTCCAAGCCTGTGTTGGTCAACGCCGGCTCAACGGACAGCTCAATTCTTTTTCGTGCAGAGGATTTGGATCCAAGCCTGTCCTGCTCTGTGGAGGTCACTGCGACCCGCACGTACTGACTAACGTGGAAATAGCCTGGCAAAGCGATGTCTTGCTCCTCATCTTGGTCACTTTCACTGTCATTGTGCTCTTCATGATCCTGATTGAGAAGACCTTGGATCTTCTCACTTAGTTGTGGCGAGATTGCAGTCAGAGGCACGTAACCCACTAGGTTGTTCGGAAGGGCCACGGTTAGCGCTCTTGGGCTGATGGATGTAATCTGACCCAATATAAGAGAGCCTGTGGTTATTCGCTTATAGCTGAGGCCTCCAATTTGGACCTCTGACTTTGTTCCGGTCGCTGAGGACGCCGACTGTTTCTTGTCTTTCCGCCGTCTTCTTTCAGGCTTCTTGGCTGACAATTCTTCTCCGGACTTGTCGTCCTCGTCTGTTCCAATGTCTGCCCTTTTCTCCCCATCTCCGAACAGATCCTGCGAATGCTTATATTCCGTGTCTGCATCTTGGGCAACCCTTGCTCGAATTTGCTTCCGCTCTAGGGGAGTCAGTAAGCTCGCACCACCTCGAGGAAAAGCAGGCTGTTCTTTGGTGAGGATGGAGACTGGCTTGGGTTTCGGGTTCTTGTTCTGTTCCTGTTCCGCAGTCGCTGTTCCGCTCTTCGAACCGGAATTGGACCTTGGCCGTTTATTTGGTTGCTTTGTGGTTGCATCCTCGGATTTCCGCTTTGCAGAGACCATGTCGAATATTGAGACACAGGAGTCTCAGGGCATCACTGTGGAGGAATGCCGCCGACCAGAAGGGCTTGTATTTGCCCTAGATTGTGATCTTGCTGGCTGGCTGGCTGAGCAGTGTGTGACCATAGGGAAATTTTCTTGGAACACCAGAACGCAGTCTGTGAAGAGATTCGATTCCACCAATCAAAAGCTCGGAGGCGGTAGTGCGGAGAAAATTTCTCCGACAAGAGCTCGGCTAACCTTCCAATCGAGGATCAAATTGAGACGCGCTGGGCGTGGCTCACGAGGCTCGCGACGCGTAACGAGCTCTTCCAGCTCGAGCCTCGCGGGCTTTTTCATGCTTCTTCCCAATTGCCACCCAAACAGCTTCCGCTTCTCAATCTTATTCTTCTGTGCCTGCCGGATCTATAGAGATACCATGTTGTCTTCGAGCTGAAGATAATAGGGACCCGAGCATCATCGTCGGACTCTGCGCTCGCAGCTTCCACTATGGACCATACACCAGAGAGACCTGTACGGTCAGAGACTGTCACGTTCGCAATTCCACCAAACGAAAATAGGAGTCCTCGTCGGAGCAGTCGAATCAAGAAGAATCCTTCCATTACTCCAAACCGGTTCACTCGATTCTTCACGCCAAGACTCAAGAAGGCAAAGCGTTCAGTTCGGACGTCGAGGAAAGCCTTGCGAGAACTTTCTGCCGTTAATCTTAACAGTCGGTTAGGAAGTAATCAGCCCTTGGGGGTATCTGTGGGCGAACATTCACAACCTCCGTCAAAGAAACGAAAGCTCTCGTTCACATCAATATCCTCTATTCCATCCTCGCCAATCAACATCAACTGTGGGTTTCCCAGCAGCCAGCAGGGAGACGGCGCTGCGGTAGATGCCAAGGATGGTGATGATGCTCTTTACTCGGAGACCGATGACGAGAGTGAAGAAGCATTGCCACCTATGCTGCGATACCCTCCACGGGTTGCTCGCTATCAATCCACGAGCACTTCTGCAGGGTTGTTGTCACGACAACTCGGGAGAAGGAAAGCGATACCTTTTGGCAATGAAAGCAGTTTATGGCAGCATGAAACCTCGAGATTCTACAGTCTGCCAGAAGATCTCTTCACCAGTCCCTCGTATGATGTCCAACCTCGAGCACTACCATTTTGTGTTACCAGTTTCAACCATCAACAATCTGTCGCGATCGGAAATGAGGACGGTCTGGTCGAAATATATCAAGCTTCGGAACGGTCTTCCGATCATGCCGGTAGCTTGCGACTTCAATCCTGCATGTACCCTCATGACAATGCCATAATGGACATGGAATTTTCACATGATGATCGACTTCTCGCAACGGCTTCTGGCGACCAAACCTGTCGGATAATCGACGTGGAGACACAAACGTCCACCCATACATTGATCGGCCATATGGGTTCCATAAAACGCGTGCAATGGCAGCCTGGTTCGGGGGACCAGATTCTTGCAACCTGCTCCCGAGATGGTAGTGTCAGTCTATGGGATCTCCGGTGTGCCCAGCCCGTAGGAACACTGGATATCATGCCCCTGCAACGCGCACCTCACTTCCTTGATCACAGTAGACGAGTCACCTCCAAAGTCGAGATACGGGATGCGCACACGTCTTGGGACAAGCCCAAGTTCCCGAACGGCAAGCGTACTGGACTGTCCTCCAGAATTGACTTTGCGGTCACTACTTGTGCGTTCATCAGTGACACTCGCCCACATATGCTCGCGACCGCTTCGGAGCACAACGCCATGATCAAGCTCTGGGACATGCGGGCATCGTACAAACAACGATCTGGCAGACCTAACCCCGTTTCCGTGACTCTTGAACCAGAGAGCCATGAAGCCCTTCGGCCCTTCGGCGTGACTTCCATGGCCACGAACACTGACGGCTCCAGGCTCTATACTCTCTGTCGGGATAATACCATCTACGCCTATTCGACTGCGCATCTCGTGCTCGGTGGATGTCCCGAGATGTCACTGACGTCGAGTCATCCTTTCCGAACTTCTCGCACAGCCGGGCAAGGACTGGGTCCGTTGTATGGCTTCCGCGACCCTTCTCTCCGCCTGGGATCTTTCTACGACAAGCTCGCCGTCCGCCGCAAGACGAGCGAGAACACCGAACTCCTGGCGGCCGGCTCAGGCGAGGACTGTGCGGTGATTTTCCCGACTGACGAGCGGTATCTGACAAAAGCTGCACGTCGTCGTCCTCCAGCTGTCTCTCACCTCAATACCTCAGCATCGCGCTCGACACGGCCGCGCTTGCCCCAGCGAACCTCATCAGTCAACACGCTCTCCAATTCCCTATTTTCGTCCGGTTCCCTACACGACGGCAGCACCACGGAAGGCCAATGTCCCATTTACTACACGGGCACGCCGCTCGTCAACGGTCATAGAAAGGAAGTCACCGCGGTCGCCTGGGTCCACCAGAACGGCCAGTTAGTCACCGTCGCCGACGACTACACGGCGAGATGCTGGTACGAGGACGATCCGGCCAAGGCGAGGGCGCTGAGGATGAACACGGAGCGGGACGGGAGGAGAAGCCAGAGTGGATGGGCAACTGTCCGGGAAGGGTTTGATGATGATGATGACGACGACAGCTGACGCCGGTCGCGGTCCTGGAGACAGACGAACGGACCGGCGGACGGGGCTGATGGGCCAAGTTTCAGGCAGCAAGAAAGAGGGCCACAAGTGGGAGGAAGAGGATCCTCACTACTGAAACTGTGTTCGAGGCTGAAAAGTTGGCGTTTTCCCCCGCGACTAAGGCATGAGCATGAACTCGAGCGCCGGCCTCCGTCTGGGATGGGGATTTCAAAGTCTGGGGATCCATAGTCATTCTTTTGGGAAGTCCATCATCAGATATTAGCTGCTCACCAAGGCACTCCTCGATCACTCAGTGACTCAGTGAATGATTAATGAAAAGCGTACAACCGAATCGCCTCGCCTTGGGCATGACCTCCCCCCCTTGGTGACAGGAAATCATTCTTTACTCGAGAGCATTGAACCAGTTCTACACGAACAGGCACTCATGGCCGGACAGATTCAAATCATATTCCATCCAATTTCAGATACCTCGAGCAGTTTCACTCTGATCGGTTGGTCCCTTCCGGCCTCTCTCTGCTCTCTGAACGAAACGCGTTGGGCGTCGTGTCTCAATATGCCCTCCCAGGAGGAGAAAACCTACTTGTAATCCATTCGGTGGCCGTGTACCATACAGCTCGCGTAAAAATACATTTGCTTTTCAAAATTTGTCGATGCATTCAAACAAAAAATGCCGTACCCAATCGTCGTAACTCATTAACTTGTGTCTAAAACTTTTTTTCTCTCAACTGCAATCCGGTTGCTCGATCACTTCCCTCCGTTAAACGGACCTTTGCCAACAGGAGAATCTGATCATGGCCGCCGCACCGCACGACCGCAGGTACATTCCCTGATCAGCCTCTTCAGCTCGGCGTTTTCTTGGAGGAGCTTATAATTCTCTTCCTCCACCCGTACCAACTGGCTTTTGTAATGCTCCACGCTTTCGACCCCGGGAATCTGCGATGAAGTTGGTGTTTGGGCTCCGTCGCCAACGCTTGCTGTCATGATGCTACCTGTGACTGTCGCAGGGGCAGGGCCGGTACCAATGCGTTTCTTGCTTGACAGCAATACAGAAGGCGCATTGGGACCTGGACTAGCGCTTGCGGTGGAGCGGTTCGTGGCACTGACACTTGACCCTGATGTGGGCGGCCTCTTAACGGAGCCGAAAGATAGCGCTGAAGACGACGTGAGGGGCCTGTTCTCGTCGGTTCGAGACTGAACATTGTTCACTTTCTCAGGATCTTGTTCAGACAAGATACTTGATAGGCCAGGCCTTGGTGTTTTATGCCGCCGACTCAGGCTGCGACCTAGACTGGGGAAAAGGCGAGGCCCTTCTCTTTCCTTGACACTGCCAGTTAATGCCGGGGCTTCCCGAATTGTTCCATTTGATCGGGTGAGGCCTGAGAGCAACTTGGTCGGGGAAAGACCCTTTTTCTTTGCTTCATGCTCGATGCGTAGAGAGTCCAATATGGTAGATGCCGCAGGTTCCATTTCGCATATCTCAGCGATGATTTTTCTGGCTTTCTCCAGAGCCCGTATTGCAACGGTGAAATTGGAAGGCACATGCGGAAGCATAGTGTCGATGTAAAGGCCATACCTTGAGATACGCTGAGCTGGCTCCATAAGCAGAGACGGGGCCTGCTGGATTGAAGTGGTACCTTCTCGCAAAAATTGATCGAGATTTGAAGAGACCTGAGAATGCAGGTCCAGGTATTCCCGGTAGGGCATGGGAAATTTCGGGAAGTGGTTCAGAAGCACTTTGGCAAAACTGTAGACACCCATAGGATCTTTGGCGTTAGTGAGGAGCTGCGGATTCGCTGGCGCAGAGTCCAAGAAGGTCAAAGCAGCATCTTCAGAGCAGTGGAGCGCCGTCTCAATATCATCGAGGAAAGCCAGATTTAAGTCCTTGATCTGGTCCAGCAGAGAGGGAAACTGGATCATGGCATTCACGGCCTTTTGATTGCGTGAGCTCGAGAATTTGGAGCTCAAAGACTTTGGGGTACGACCCTGGTTGGTGACAAGTTCGATCAATTCTTGAAGACGGGTAATGTACCTATCTTCAGTGTCCACAAACTCGCACATCTTGAAGCGTAATGACTCAAGTTGCTGAACCGAGTGCTTTGGGTCAAATGTCGAGCTTGCCTTTCGAGCTGCCGGTGTAGAGATGGACGGAGAACGTTTTGAGTGACCACTGAGTATCCTCTTGGATGGGGTGAAGGCGTGATTGACGCGACTAATACCATGACCACCACTTTCAGGGGGTAGGATAGATGGCCGGGTCTTTCTGATGGAAGCTAAGGGTCTGGTGGGTGTCTGCGGACTTGCAGGCCTTTCCTTGGAAAAAGGGCGGAGAGCCTCAACTATCTCTTCGGTGTTGATGACTTTGCACATTCGGCATGTGACCTGAGCAGCATGGGTCTGGCCCCATTTCAGAGCAATGCCATGGTGCAAGTTCTCCTCGGCAATGGCATTCTTGACCTCAGTTGGCACTTCGGAGAAGTAGCGACAAAGCGCAAAGGCAATGCCCCGGGAGACATCATCTCGTTGTTTGTCTTCTGGTAACTTGTGGACTGCAGAGTAGTAACTGCTGTTCGGAGCAACTGAGAATGCGCCATAGCTCTTGAAGCCAGCTGCGGAGAGGATGGTGGTTCGGATGCGTGAAGTCGAGGCCAGAGAGCCCACAGCTTGGACGGGGTAGTAGAAGACAAGAATTCGAGGGAGGTATGGAGGGTCCTCGGCGTAGTAGATGGTAGGTGTTTCTCCGGGGCTCAGGATGGCCGACAGAGCAGCAAGGTTGCCTGACTTCGACATGGTGGCCGATCTGGAATGGAGGAGAGAAAAGGATAGGCGGGTCGATCAAGCAAATGGAGGGGGAGAGGCACGGGCGACCATCATCGAGACCCAGGGCAACATTGATAGATCGGCGTCGGTGGGACTGATACACGGAAAGGCTAGATTTATGATATCATGCGAGGTATCAACGCGTTGGGAAGACAATTGTGGGTGGAGGAGTATTGCGAATGGGATGTGGACGAGTTCGATGCAATTTGTGAAGCTCAGCGTGAAGCTGTGGAGGGCGCGCCTGCTGTATTATTTTCTTGCTGTATTGGGAATAGTGGCTTCGCGGGAGAGATTGCCGGCCGTTTATTTTTCCGTCCCGTTAACGGTGAGTCGGTGCAGGTCACGGATTACGAGGGCACGGCTCTAAGATACGCCGAGATGCCGCTTTATGACTGATACCCGGAGCATTCGGAGGCCACATGATGCCGCTTTATGACTGCGTATAGCTTTCAGTTACAACCTAGGTATGTTCAGCTCGTCGTGGTAGTAGTAGACTTCCAAGTTGTCATGAGCTGCCGCAGCTGTGATTACGGAATACAGCACCAACAGTTCCGAAGGCCCACTCGTCTGGCTTACTATCGAGCCATGTTCTTTCTCTGGCTTACTTGCCTTGTTTGGCCATCTCGGTGTGATGCCTGCAGGTGCCTGATGAGATGTTCGAAAAGGTACGCGACAGCCATTGACACGCTCGTGCAGAACTGCCCACGAAGCTTCATACCACGTATCTAGCTCGCTAGTCCTCACACTACCACGTCTACTACGTCTACGAACGCCCGAAGCAGTCTAGGGTTTCCGGTCACGGGCCGTTGCCCCTCCTTTGTGCTCCCCCCTCACCTCACCTCATGCCATCCGTCCAGCCTTTAGAAAACACAAATTTGCTAGCAGAAAACTTCTCCCACCTGCCCAGTCCCGCTGACACCAAGCCCTGTGCTCCTATTTCCGGTTCATAATCGTCACCATCAAGCACCTTAAGAGGAGTTTGATGGCTTCTCGGGTTCGGGATTCTTCGTGTCGTCATCGTCAGCAATGCCGGGCCCCCCCTCCACCCTCCACATTTGGGATCCGTCTGGCTGAAAGCGGTTCGCTAGGAGGCGGGCTGGGATTCTCGAATCACCTACCGTTGTGCCTCGTTCCTGATCATGAAATCTCTGCGGTTACCTTAGCCCCTGTCTGGCCCTCTCAGGTCTTGGGAGTGCCATGTTTGTGTTGACAGATCATGCGTTACTCGCATCCATAACGTCAAGGGCTGGATCCTCGCCACGGTTCCGGCACGTTTGTCTACTCCACAGCCACTCAAGGACGCCATCTTACAGGGCGCAAGCTGGAGAAAAGCCTCAGCAGTTCGGTGGAGTGGACATGACCTGCTCCTATTGGTAAGTTCCCGACTTGCCCTGCCTGGCCAATGGTCCAACCATTCCCGGGGTAATTGTGGAACCTCGACCCAGCATACGTTGAGTTGTTGTGTCCCGTGGATTCAAGGATCATGAATCTCTTTCCCATCTCTACCTACTCTGCAGTGTATATTTTGGTTCGTTCCCCCCCTGTCAGATATCTACCTGTGACCCGTACTTCATCCCCAAGCCTTCTCATTTCCCCCAGTCGTGACCATGGCCACCCACACTTCAGCCGGTGTGCCGATTCTCGACATCAGGAGTGACAACGCAGACCAGTCCCTGCTCGAAACTCTGAAGGGGTCTCTCAATCCTCCCAAGGGGCAGCCACGCACGTTCCCAACCTTGCTGCTCTATGACGGTACAGAGGTTCTTGTTGTTTGAGGCACACACTAAACAATTGTAATTAGAAAAGGGTCTCAAGCTGTTTGAGGAGATCACCTATTTGGATGAATACTACCTCACCAACGCGGAAATAGACACTCTCACAAGACATGCCAGCAAGATCGTTGAACAAATTCCACCCGGTGCTCGTCTTGTTGAACTGGGCAGCGGGTGAGTTGGGTTGCCCCGACACGATATATCTCATCAGGCTGACGTGGGATGGCTTATAGGAACCTCCGCAAGGTCAACATCCTTCTGGAAGCATTTGAGAAGGCCAACAAGAATGTCGAGTATTATGCCCTGGATCTATCACTGTCCGAACTCAAGCGTACTTTTGCCGAGTTGGACATCAAAGCATTCCACCATGTCACTTTCCGGGCCTTGCATGGTACCTATGACGATGCTCTTTCCTGGCTGAAGAAATCTACGGATGACGCCATGACCACCTGTGTCATGACCATGGGCTCTTCCTTGGGCAACTTCACTCGAGAGGAGGCCGCTCAGTTCCTTGCTTCCTTCAAGAAAGTCTTGGCGCCATCGGACTTTGTGATGGTGGGACTCGACGGATGCCAGCAGCCTGGCCGCGTCTTCCCTGCCTACAACGACTCTTTGAATGTGACCGAGCGCTTTTATCGCAACGGCCTTACCCATGCTAACAACATTCTGGGCTACGAGGCATTCAAACAGGATGAATGGGGGATCGACCGTCTATATGATGACAAGCAGAACAAACACCAGGCTTCATACGTGGCCTTGAAGACGATCAACAACAAAGACTTCTCCTTTGAAAAGGGCGAAAAAGTCCATTTGGAGGACGCCTTCAAGTACTCGGAGGAGGAACGAGATGCTCTCTGGCATGCTACTGGCCTGATCCCTCAGATGTCTTACGGCAACAAGACCAATGATTATTGTGAGTTTGCTTGCAGTGGAACTAACTCTGTACTGACTGTGCTACTCAGTCGTTCATCTTTTGTCGCCGTCCACTATCAGTTTCCCCAGCAAACCGGCGGAGTTTGCTGCGAGCCCTGCCCCTTCGCTCGACGATTGGCGACAACTATGGGCGGCTTGGGATACGGTGACCAAGTCCATGGTCCCGAAGGACGAGTTGGTCAACAAACCTATCAAGCTACGAAATGACTTGATCTTTTATCTGGGCCATATTCCTACGTTTGCAGGTACGTAGAGATGCTGATCTAGCCCCATATATACTGACCTGCTCCACAGATATTCACTACATGAACGCCACGAAAGAAAAGGCGACAGAACCGGCATACTATAGGTCCATATTTGAGCGAGGCATTGATCCAGGTATGTTGTTAACCAACCATTTGACCAGGGCGCAGAGCTGAAGGCGCATCAGATGTGGACAATCCCGAACTGTGCCATGACCACAGTGAGATCCCGGACTCCTGGCCTCCCCTGCAGGAGATCATGGTCTATTCGCAGCGTGTTCGAGAACGTATCGTCGAGAGCATTCACTCCGGCCGAGCATACACTGACCGCAAGCTCAGCCGTGGCCTGTGGCTCGCTTATGAGCACGAGGCCATGCATCTGGAAACCTTCCTCTACATGCTGCTTCAGAGTGAGCGCGTCCTGCCGCCACCTGGCCGGGATTTGCCCGACTTCAAAGCCTTAGCCGCCGAGGCTCGCACGAACCGTAGCGCAAACAAGTGGCACCGCATCCCTGCGAGCGAAGTTAAGATTGGGTTGGACGATCCAGAAAACGACTTCGGCCCTGACAGGTACTTCGGCTGGGATAACGAGAGGCCATCACGCACAGTAGCTGTCCACGATTTCGAGGCTCAAAGTCGCCCAATCAGCAATGGCGAATACGCTCGCTTCTTGGAAGTCACCCACAAGGATTCCCTACCCGCTTCATGGACAGCCTCCAAAGCAGGTACGCATCTCAATGGAACCAACGGCACAAACGGTGTGAATGGCCATGTCCAGGATGAGCTCGAGATGGCCAGCCCCTCCTTTGTCGAAGGCAAGGCTGTTCGAACGGTCTACGGCCTCATCCCTCTCAAATATGCCTTGGACTGGCCTGTGATGGCTTCGTACGACGAATTGGCAGCCTACGCAGAATGGTCCGATGGACGCATTCCTACACTGGAAGAGGCTCGGAGCCTTTACCAGTACGTGGAGAACCAAGACAGCGTCTTGCAGAAGGTTACTAGCAAGCTGATTTCAGCCGTGAACGGGTAAGTCTGCATGAAAAGGCAATGCGAAGATCAGGCTGACCGTCACAGGCATCTCTCCAATGATGGCGTCCAAGAGACACCTCCATCAGGCCATCAGTCGAACGGTGTCGTCAACGGTAGTGCAGAAGGTCCCCCGCTGGACCCCAATGAGCTCTTCGTCGAGCTCGGTGATCGCAATGTAGCCTTCCGCCACTGGCATCCAACGCCCGTGACCGGCAACGGCGACCGACTCCGTGGACAGAGCGATCTTGGGGGTCTGTGGGAATGGACCAGCACACCGTTGGCGCCACATGAAGGGTTCAAAGCCATGGACTTGTATCCCGGGTATACCGCCGACTTCTTCGACGGTAAGCACAATGTCTGTCTAGGAGGCAGCTGGGCCACTGTGCCGCGAATCGCATTGAAGAAGACCTTCGTCAACTGGTACCAGAGAAACTATCCGTATGTTTGGTGTACGGCCAGGCTGGTCAGGGATGTGGTCGTTTGAATGGCGATGGAATGCGGACTGGAATGCAGTCGGCCGACGGTTTCAGTTTGCTTTGCAAGCTTTTCCTACCCTTCGTTTGACTGCTGGAGAAACTGAAACTCTTCTTGAGCCTGATCCCCTTGCGAGATTCTCTGGAGATTTGAAGCAAACTTGGTGAATCATCTGCTGGGCCTGCAACGGCCCAAAGTCGCTCCTTCTTGGATGGCTATAGCAAATTTGATATATTCGGTAATGGCCCAATGGTCAAGCTCACTCCTTTTGCTTGGTGCGAGACTTATCATTGGCAATGATACAAACTCTCTGCTCATCCTCGTTCTATTGTCCAGCTTCTTGTTCCTGCTCTTCCTCCCCATGTGTCTTGTCCATGTCCTAGCAGCCTCATCTCGGCACCCTCTTTCTCGGCGGGATCACACAGCTGGCCATCTCCACCGAGTTGCAGTTGCCCGAAATGCCAGTGACGACCTGGACTCATGCACCGTACCTCCATCCATCCCTTCATCGGGTCGATTTGCACGAATCTCTCACTATCATGCCCTCTTCCTTTGTTGTGGAAAGTCGCAGAGTCATGCAATATCACGCAGACGCAGACACCGCCTGTCTGTTGATGCCTTTGCCTGACGTCCGCTCACGATCTGCTGTCCAGACACTCCATCCGCTGCAGGCCTCCAGCAGCAGCCGCTCATACCCGATCACGATCACTCTTGACTGTCCTGGGTATTCACTATTCGGTGCTGCTGCACAGGCAGACACATCCTCACATGATACCTTGTGGTTTACCTGCGTTCGGTGCCTCACCGCACTCCTCTCTGCCGATCTGCACAATAAACCCTTTAAAGCATCTCCATCCATACGCGTCCATCGACACCACACAGATTTCGCTGCCTGTTGCGCTGTCTGAAATAGTTCCACCCCTACGATATCCTCAACCGAGCCTAAGAACAGAAGAAGCCCTCCACACGCACCGACAGACATATCTGTCGTACCCAGCTGCAAGCACACCGTTACCATGGACCCTGCCGCGCCAAACAGCCCATTCAAATGGGAAGCGGCTGCTGGACTCGGTAAGCAAGTGAACCTGGCAATACCCCTTGTTCCACAGGCCTTGCCGTCATATTATGATACAAGGGGAGAGCACAAGCTAAATCCATGTCACATGTCGCACACTTTTTAGAGCACAGCTGTTACCTTTGTTCCATGAAGATGAGCAATCCCAAGGCCCGACAAACATGCTATGGTATCCATAGTATCCCTTGCTTTCGCTACCACCAGACCATGCACGCTATCGGCGCAAGCCACAACTGTTTCTCCTGCATTCAAGCCGACGAACTGCATGAGAATAGGCATCGGAAGGTGAGTGACGCGGAGGTCGCAACATAAGCCCTCCCTATCCATGATAACGTTCTGGGGTGGTCTTTGTTGAAGAGACTTGAGACAAACCAGCTGACATTTGCACCCAAACATATGAGAAAGATCGCAGAGCTTCTTGCCGAATATAGGGTCGCGAATGGCATAGTGGCAGACCCAGCCAAGACAAGAGCATTGCTGCAAGATCTGCCTGCGAACGTCCCTCATGCCCAGCAAGCTGTCCGCGAATTCGACTTTGGTAATGGTGACTTTGAAGACGAACAACATGATGAGCATGACGACGACGCTCTGACTATGACAGACACCACAACCAGCACGCCTGACGAGAGTGACCCACAGCCCATACATCCTCCGAAGCTGACCGCAGCTGAGGCTCGAGCACTCAAAAAAGCCGCCAAAGCAGCAAAATCGCAAGTCAAGGCTGCCAAGAACCAACAGAAGCACACCATCAATGTGCGGACAGCAGATGTTGCATTTGTTGCAGAGGTCTTGCACGGCGCCAATTCAGGAGCAGGCGGCGCCACACACCCATTGGCGAGCGACAAGACCATCGAAGAGGTCATCGCAAGAAACAGGGGATTCATGTCCGGCATTGAGGCACACAAAAAGATGCTCCTGTCCAGCATTGCACAGCGGAGAAAGAGTGAGCGTGAAAGGCGCAAGAGCTCGATTGCTGGTCTATCGCACCAGGCTGGCGGCGGCAAGAAGAGGAGATACAGCCAGGGTGTGCATGATTGTGATGCCGAGGACGACGAGACGGATGATCTACTCGTTGCTGTTTTGGTAAAGCTCGGGGTTGATGGAGGACACGCTCGGTCAAGTGGTTGTTCTGCGAATGCTGCTGTTGCTGCTTCCAACGGGACTGGTGCAAAGAAGAATGCCCTTGGAGCAGGGATGAACAAAGCCCTTGTCTCTTCTACTCAGCAAACGCCTTCCATTGTCGCCGCTCTGAAGGCACTGGTGAAAGATGACCTGGAGAGGTTCGAAAATGAGCAACGGGAGACCTATGTTCGCGCAGGTGGGTTCTGGAGGTATGTTGGTCGGCCTGTCTTTGATCGCATGACCAAGATCGCACAAGAACTGAATTGGAAGACGGGGGCGAAGCTGAAGGATGCCAACAACAATGAAAGGGAGGCTCGGTGAAGGCAGAGAGATGTGACCATGCCGAGACAGGGGTTGGATGGAGACCTTCGGGGCTGATGGGACTGTGAGTGAACGATCTGAGGCGACATGGGCGACATGTTGCAAGCCGTTGGTAGAGGGGAGCGGCGACGTGTTTGATTAGCTTTTGCTTTCTCCTCTGCGATTGTTTCTCATGCTTGCACAGTTCAATGGTCTGAGCCCTGGAAGCCAGGCGGGGCGACCAGATGATGCGCACAAGTTTTGGATACAGAAAAGCCGATTTTTGCGAGCCAAGATATATCCATGGCCATGCTTCTTAATCTTACACACGATTCTCCTTTCTCCTTTCTCCATTCTCCATCCACGGTTCTGTCCTCTTCCACCGCAGCAGCTGCCCGCATCCAAGTCGTTTGTATGCCGTCCATATTCACCCTTGAGATGGTGGCCTAAGGTGTGGAACCCGCCCGATGCCATCTAGTGGTCAAACCATCCTTGAGCGGAAGCTGGTGGATATGGGAACTGTATTTGCCCAGGTCCGGATGAGGCAATCCCCTTGGTAGGGTGGCTCTGGACCGCGGTGTCCGGTTGTACAAATAGCTGTAGGTGTACCTAGTGTAGACCACTGGTGCTAATACCGATGTGCCGTTGCCCCCAAGTCGAGATAGGTGAGGTCCTAGCCTAGTGCCAGCGCCGTCGAGGTGCAGAGGTGTGGTGTTGCTGCCTCTTTATGGGTAACCAGGAGGTACGTCCTTGCTTCCATACCTCCTCATCCGTCCTTTGGGATCCTGCTGGGACGGTTTGTGGCAGCATATGCAGCCCAATCCAGTCCAGTCCAGTCCGTAGACTTTCCCACCCTTCCCATACATTGAGCTTGAGCTCATTTGAGGGGCTGTGCTGTCCAATTGTGTGATTCGCATCCCTTTTCTCTGTCCCCATCCCCTTTTTCTCATCCACCTTCTTTACCTGCCACGACTTCTTTCCTACCCTGCTGCTCCTCGAACCCTAGCATTCTCCCGACCCAGCCCCTCGGCTTCGGCACGGGGCATTCCCTCGCTGATCTAGCCTGCGTTTCCAATGCCTCTGCTTCGGCCTGCAGCTCTCTGAACAGGGCTGCTTCTTCGTCTAGGGCCTTGGACGCAGTTAGGCCCTTTGTACGAGGTTGCGGCTGCGGCGCCTTGCTTTGCGGAAGTTCTTTCTCCTGAGCAACCTCCGCTGGTGTCTTCCCAGTGGATGGTTTGTCCTCTAGTCTCCTGGCTTGTCCTCGTCGGACAACAGGGTTCCCGTCTTCATCCAGCTCTACTGTCGCTCGCCCTGCGTCCGCCGCGTAGCCCGTGCGAGGTCGTGGGCAGGGGAATACGTGGGGGATGCCCACCACGATGAAGGAGGCGAGCAGTGTCCCCGCGAAGAGGGTTGAGGTTGCTGTGGAACGCGGGTGTAGGTGCGGTGGCATTTCGTCCTCGTTTTCTCAATGGGGGAGCTGTGGTTTGGCGTGGTGTGATTCTTCACTTGCTGCAGGTGGTCGCCATGGAACGAGTGGCTTGGGCAGGATCGGACTTGGAAGGGAAGGAGGAGCTTGAGAGAGTGGGACAATGGATCAATCAAGTTCCTGGTGGTGGTCTAAGCAGCTGAAGTTGCTCTACTCGGTCATAGATTTGGAGCTTTCTTCACCAAACTTGAAGCTTCTCTTTTTTCGAGGCTGCCATTGCGGAGACCATATCAATGTCTGAATGCGCCGCCGTACTCGATGCTTTGCCGAGGATCTTCCGAGATGATCGCCGTTGCATGCAGCGAGCAGCCACCAGCATCTTAATTATCGTCAAAAAGTCCCGTTTCCACCATAATTACCACGCGACACACCACGCTGCCACGACCAGTACCCCAGATTCGTAAGTCCAAAGTCCATTTTCTGAACCTCCTGCTCTCGGACCCTGGCGACATCAGCGATATCGACACCAACGTTGCGCCGCACATTTCATCCTCGCCGTTGACTCATTTGCTATCTTCTTGACGCCATCGCACTGCCACCCTCTTTCGGACCAAAGTCACACTCATGCGCTCTAACGCTACACGATTCTCCTCATCTGCGCCGCGGTGATGAGCGATCTCGACAAGTAAGTGCGCCTGCTGCGCCTGCTGCCTATCGCACAACATTCTCGCCCAGCATACACTGACGCACTCTCTTTACAGAGCCATTGCGCAACTGCGCGCCTGCCGCCCCATCCCCGAACCCCAAGTGCGCGAACTGTGCTACAAGGCGCGCGAACTGCTCATCGAAGAAGGCAATGTCGTCACCGTTGATGCGCCTGTCACCATTTGCGGCGACATCCATGGCCAATTCCACGACCTGATGGAACTCTTCCGCGTCGGCGGCGACGTGCCCGAGACAAATTACTTATTCATGGGCGACTTTGTGGATCGGGGCTTCTACAGTCTAGAAAGCTTTTTGCTGTTACTCTGTCTAAAAGTCAGATACCCGGATCGCATCACCCTTATTAGGGGCAATCACGAGTCGAGGCAGATCACCACCGTCTACGGCTTCTACGATGAATGTATTAGGAAATACGGGAGTGCGAATGTCTGGCGGTATTGTTGTGAGGTGTTTGACTACCTGGCGCTCGGGGCGTTGATTTTGGGTGCGACCACCGACGTGCCACCTCCGACAGGTGGGATGGCGTCTTCCATGAACGAGAGCAATAATACGCAATCCACCCTTCCTTCGGAAGATAACGAAGATCTCGAATCCGAAGTCCTCAATGCCAACGGGGAAATCATGGCCAAGACCCTCCGGCGGCAATTCGCCGGCCTCTCAATGAACTCCTCGCAAACATCACAATCCTTCCCTGACGGCGGAAGCCGAATATCTCCCGCCCCGGACGTTGATTTACCATCATCTATCGAAACCCCCCAGTCCTCACCCAGCCAACCACCTCCCCCCTCTCTCTTCCAACCTCCGACATCCTCGACCGGCGCCGTCCTCTGCGTCCACGGCGGTCTGTCACCCCTAGTCGAAACCGTCGACAAAATCCGCCTCATCGACCGCAAACAGGAAGTCCCCCACGAAGGCGCCATGTGCGACCTCCTCTGGTCCGACCCGGACGAGATTGAAGGATGGGGCCTGAGTCCGCGCGGCGCAGGTTTTCTCTTTGGCGCCGACATCGTCCGTCATTTCAATCACAACAACGACCTCTCCCTAATCGCACGGGCGCACCAGTTAGTCATGGAGGGCTACAAGGAGATGTTCGACAAGACCATCGTGACCGTCTGGAGCGCCCCCAATTATTGTTATCGGTGCGGCAACGTCGCTGCCATTCTGGAATTGGGCGAGGATGGCTCGAACGGCGGCTGCATCCAGCGCGCGAACGGCGACCAGGGACGCAGAGAACCCGTCGGCGGGGATGGCAGTGGTGGCGGAGCGGGCGTGCTTTGGAACCTGGCTACTCCGGGCAGGAGATATAGAGTCTTTGAAGCGGCGCCGCAGGGCACGAGGGGCATGCCAGCCAAGAAGCCCGTTGGGGAATATTTCTTGTAACAATATTACTATTATCATTACCAAACGATTACCTTTACCACTATTACCACCTGCAGGGACTCGGTTCTATTACGACGTCTGGATCGAGGTCTAGGTTCTAGGTCAAGAAACCCCTCGTTCCATCTGCGAAAGCTAAAGCTGAGAGGAAAGGGAGAAAATTGACCCCAATATGGATCCATTATGGTCTATCATGCTCGATACCTAAGTACCTTACCCTGAGACACACGCAAAGCATGACTCTCACCTCACACACTCCTCTGTATGTGTTCCCATGCCTTCCCTTGCGAGACATGGAGAAAGAAGAATGCATATACACACGCCACCTGCAATATTAGATATCCCCCTTTGACTACAGGGATTGGGGATGGTCAAATCGAACTTTGACACAAGATGTAATTCAAGAGAACAGGAGTAGTAAGGGTCATGGTAAGGAAGACGTTGCCTGTCTTTCTCGGAGCGAGATATTAATGCCCCCAAATTAACCACCTAGGTAGGTGTTCAGATCATCCAAAGGCCTTTTCCTCTCCCATCTCAGGGCAATAGCCGCTTGCCAACATGTCTAGTATTATTATCTTTGCATTCCATTGCCAAAAAATCTTGCCAAAATCGTCGGGGTATCATATCTTCTCATCTCTTGCCCTTCTTGCCGCTGGCATTCGATCTGCTCTCCTCAATCACCCTCTCCAGCATCTCCCTTGCTTGTCGTTCTTTCTTTCTGAAACCGCCCGAAAAAGTCGGATGGAGCACATTCGCCGAGTTGGCATGGTCCTCTGCAAATTCTGGGCCGCTCCATCCTTTTTGCTGACACAGCGCAACTGCTTCTTCGAGCAAGCCCTGTCCTACCCCTTTGTGTCTATATATCCGCTTGACTGTCCATGCCCGTATGTATCCATTGGTCGGCACATTTTTGCGTGACTTGCCCGAAGAGCCAGAAGAATCCCGCACGCCGCGAACGACGATTGTTCCAATGATATCATCCCCAAATCGAGTCAGGAGGATTTCGTCTTCAGAACCCACGATGCCTTTGTCTGAATTGTCACGGCCTTCGTTCAGCCACTTCCAGGTGCCTACGCGCTCGGCCTCGAAAATATAGCCGCTTGTCAGCCAGCGCACGGTGATCAGCACAGCCATGAGAATTCCCGCTGACGTCGTGCCAATAATTGCCCAATCCGAATAGGCCCCTTTGTATAGATTTTGATAGGCAAGGCCGAGAAAAAGGACAAGGACTGAGATAGTCAAAGGATGGAAAATAACGGCCGCGGAGGCAAGTTGGCGTTGTTGCGCAACAGAGTCGGCAATCAAGTGCAGTGCTTCAACTTTATCGTCTTCCGTCACAGCGGGTTTAGTCGTGAGCTCTGGGACCCCGTCGAGGGGTCCTGCTTGCGTCTCCGCGAGGGCAGAGGCTTCACCGACAGTCTGGGCGCTTTGCACCAGAGGTGAAGGAGAAGGAGGAGGGAGGCCGCTGGACGAAGCCATGTCGGTCGGTCTGAGGATGTCGGGTGTGTTGGCTAAAGAGGGTGGGGTAGATTCGAGGTCGAGGATGAGGTTCGCTCTGAGGGTAGTCAAGAAAGCTGTTCAGAGTGATGCATTAGAACGTGTCCTCTTCTCCTTTTCGCCTGTCTTGTACTATTTCTCCCCAACACGAAACAAGAAAAATACGTCGAATTCTCACCGGCAGAAGTTTTGAAACCCGGAATGCGATCGCCGACAGCAAAGGGTTTGGAGCCACCAGTCTCCCAGAAAAGATTCGCGGACGGGGAGAAAAGGACTGCGGCCTTGACAGCAAGGAGGGAAGCAGAGGTGAAAGAGAACGGCGGAGTTGGGGGTGGAGGAGGCGAGAGGTAGAGATGCTCAGGAAGTCGAAGATGGTTGTGATGGTTCCTGCCCATTTGGAATCCCAAAATTGCTGGCCGGCCAGAATTGGCATGTTCAACCAGCTCGCATTGGCGCAGAGGCGGGAGGATGCAGCCCAAAGGCACTGACAGGCGCCGGCCGAACCAGCGGCAACGGCGAAAGCGAGGCCAGAAGCGAAAGAACAGCAGCAAGCAAGAATGGGCCCCGGCGACAAAAGAAGCGCGCCTAGAATCCCAGCGATCTAGGCGGCACCAGAGCCGTGGAAGAGGGACGAGAGGCGGCTCGGCGGGTGGAGGTGGATGTGGATAGTGATCGATGAGGGGCAGAAGAAAAGAAAAATAATAATAAAAAAAAGATGTTAGTCTACTTGGTATGGGGGCCACGTTCACATATATCTCGAGGAGACTGGCCGGGTTGAGTTGAGTTCAATATCATACTACTACTTGGATTAATCAATGTGAAGAAGGTGGAACTGGGACATGCTTTTGTATCCTTTTTCATTTCTCCATCTGACGCCATCTAGTTTGCATCTATCGTGACCCATGAGCAATGTCCGTCTTCCTCTCCTCCGATTTCTTGCTCAACCACGGGCCCCAGGGCAGCTTATCGTCCCGGGAGTGGGCTCTTGACACAGGCTAGTAGGCCAAGCACCTCCCTGATAGCAGACGCTTAGAAACCGCCTACTGCCATTGGACTGCAGGTGGGTGGCAGGGGCTGCAGTTGGTTGATCCTAGCCTGTTCCTGGGGCACTAGACCAACCATGACCGCCTGTCGTGTGTCGCCAGTGCAGAGTCTGATAAAGCTAGGCAAGCCTCGCCTCTTGTCACACACCCGACACCCCTTCCAGCTGATATGGTTGACATGGCCCTCGTGATCAAGGAGATTGATTTGACTCAAACAATGCATGCATGCTCTTGAACCACTCCGGAACGCTCTGCGGCATCTCCGTCGTCTACATGCCCAACACTTGCCATATTCGTCTCTTTTCTATCTCTGACCCTCATCATTTCATCGAACTAATAAGACCGGCCAAACATGCACCATGCCTCTGCCAGGTTCGAGCAGCCTGGATTCCCGCATTTGGTCACCCCCTTCTCGATGCCCTCGGGTTGGTCGAATGGGATGCAAAGACTCTTCGCACCCATGCTCGGAGCTCGTTCATCTTGCGGGACGCCGCTCTGTTCTTCGGCCTTACGAGCACTATTCTCCTTGATCTGATCCTCGCACGCCTCGGTCAAGCAGTGAGGTAGCAGGATGACGTTCTTGTCGTTCAGTGCCGGCACAAAATCATCCCAATTGGTCACCTTCTTCACGTGCGACTTGTATTTGGCATCCGCTCGATCGTACAAGTCTTTCTGGATGGTGTTTAGCAGCTCCGGAACGGCAGTGTTGAGTTCGCTGATGGCAATTTGGCTCTTGCTCTCAGCTTTTGGAAGGTCTCGTCGAGATGTCGTGACGAAGTGGCCCTTGCTCTCCCCAGGTCCGAACTCCAAACGGAGCGGTACGCCTTTCAATTCCCAGTCGTTGAATTTCCATCCCGGAGAGTATCCCTCTCGGAAATCCGCTTCTACCCGGACGTTGACCGCTCTGAGGACCTCCACCAGTCCTTCGATCTCTTTGTACAATGCGTCTCTCTCCTGCTCCGTGGTCTTGGCTGTCACTCCGACCGGCACAATGACGACCTGGACTTCAACGACGCGAGGTGGGATTACCAGACCACGGTCATCGCCGTGTATCATGACCATCACACCAATGACACGAGTCGACAGACCCCAAGAATTCTGCCAGACGTACAGCTGGTTCTTCTTTTCCTCCTCAGTCTTTGCGTTGGGATCTTGCACCGTGATGCCGAACATTTTGCTGAAGTTTTGTCCCAAGCAATGCGAGGTGCCTCCCTGAATACCACGACCCGTAGCAGGGATATATCCTTCTACGGTGGTGGTATACAGTCCTCCCGCGAACTTTTCCTTGTCCGTCTTCCTGCCTTTGATGACAGGGACGGCCAGAAGCTCTTCATAGATCTGGGCATACAGATCGAGGATCTCCAGGACTTCTTTCCCCGCCTCCTGTTCGGTCAGATGTGCCGTATGACCCTCCTGCCAGTGGAACTCGCGCGTGCGCAGGAATGGCTGCGGATGCTTGAACTCCCAGCGGACAACCGAGTTCCACTGGTTGAGTTTGAGGGGTAAATCACGATAGCTCTGGATCCATTTTGCGTAGTAAGGGTACATGACGGTCTCGGAAGTAGGACGAATGGCGATTTTCTTCTCGAGTTTGGTACTGCCTCCGTGCGTCACCCATGCGACCTCGGCTGCGAAGCCCTCGATATGAGCCTTCTCCCGATTCAACACATCTTCGGAGACGAACAGCGGGAAAGAGCAGTTTTTGACACCCATCTTCTTGATCCGCGCATCAAACCAGGCTCTGACTTCATCCCAAACGAATTGTGAGGCAGGCTTGAGGATGTAGCAGCCAGAGATGTCGTAGTAGTCGAGCATGTCTCCCTTCAGCAAGACCTGCTGATACCACTCGGAAAAGTCGACGTCTTTGGACACATCAATACCAATCAGCGCTGCACCCTCCATTTTCTTTTTCTTTCCACCGGCTTTCTGAGGAAGTTTCGCTTCCGCTTTGCCAATTGGCTTTTCAGGCGCAGCTTTGGCCTCCATCTTTTGTCCGGCGTCAGTTTTGGGCTCTTTCTCTCGGGTAGGAAGCTCGCTTTTGGAGGGGTTTCTCGAGTGGGACATTGTAGTTGAAGTGGACCGTGAGATGTTGAAGGGAGACGGCAATGGAAGAGACTCAGAGACAGTTGAGTCACGAACAACTACTGTCTCCCTACTGAACAATTTGTATACTCGGGAGTGTTGACGTGTCAGGTTTGTGACTGCTGTGTGACTCCGTCGCACGAGCAGATGCCAGACCCGCATTCAAACCCCGCCAATGCCCAAAATTGTACTGCGGTCACGTGCAATCGTCCGAGCAAATAGGCTTGGCATGTTTGACGCCGACTGTACCACTCAGGCTGGCAGCGGAGGAGCTTCCTCGGTCTAGCAATCAGCTTCTACTAACGCACCAACGACATCTGATCCCCATCAGACTTGTTCACCTTGGACATTTGAGTACCAAGCACATGGGCAACTTTTCGAGTGTGCAGCCCCGCAAGATAAGGATGGGGGTCCAGGGATCAGAAGGTCCCTGACCATCGCTAAAGAGACCTTTGCTAACAACGGTCGAGGTCGAGATCGAAGTCGACAGCAATGACACGAAGTGCCCGGAGCATGACTCCCTATGCTCTCGCATCTTGTACTTCCTCAAAGGGCTATGTGCACGCGAACATGAGCGTATGGTCTCACTATGGATGCAGCACGCCATAGACTCCTACGCGGGAACATCTGGTAAGCCAAGAGCTCCAATCCATCAATCGGGCGTGCCGATGGGGCGATACTCGAGTGACATTCTCCGCCACTACGTCGCCTCTTGTGTGATGTCGTTACAGCGTTCCTGTGAGAGCCTCCATCTAGAGAACGTGGATATGGTCCGCCAACCGTGACTGCGAGCACCAGAAAAACGCAAATTGCAAAATTCTGCACGCCAAGTGATCAGAGAGTGACAGGCCTGGTTTGTGACTCTAGCATGGGCTGAAATGAAGTCGATATTGGCGCGGGAACGTATCGGTGGCTACGCGACGGACGAGCCTGGAAGAAGGGGCGCAGCGCAGGCGGGTTGACTCCGCCAAGATATGCCAAGGGGAGCGGAGACCTTCCCACGGTCGTTCGCGGACCACTCAGGCACCCCCCCTGAAGAACGTGCTCGCCTCCGCCGTATATCAAATTCAGAAACGTCCGCTCGGAGTTGCAGCCAAGACTTCGGGAAGGTGGGAGGAGAGCGTGAGGGCAGCTTGAACTTGCTTCTTTTGCATCTGACGGTGGGTTATCGCTCCTTGGTCTTTACTTGATCTCCTCTCCCAAGAACGCAAGACAAGATTCTCGGGAAGGATATGGCCAACCCGCGCCCTCGGTCGCCCTGGGATGTGGGTTGGCAAAGCATTTGTTGTTCCGATCTGATGATGGGTGGGCTCGTCCAAGGGCGTGCGAAGTCGAAGAGAAGGAAAACCACGTACATCCAAATCCCTGCGGCCAAGAGCATAGGGTCTGCAGCTACGTTCAACAATGCCCAGCACTGGCAACATAAAAGCTCCGTGCTGCTGTCGGTTCCTTCCTCTTATCAGTCTCCAAGCAACATCAATATCTCTGCCCAAGTGATATTCACTCGGTCTTCATCAAGATGGCACGACTCAGCCAGTACAACTACGTCTTCGCCATTGGCACTTTGTTTGCCCTACTTGATGCTTACAATAACGGCGCAAGTAAGTAACTCATCCAAGATCCGGCTCACATGGATGCTGATGGCTTTGCTAGACGATGTAGCAAACAGCTGGGCCACCAGCGTCTCTTCTAGATCTATCACATACCAGCAAGCCATGGTACTTGGTGCTGTGTTTGAGATGGTCGGCGCCATCACAGTCGGCGCACGAACTGCATCCACCATCAAGAACAAGATCATTCCTCTCGAGGCCTTCCAAGACAACGCCGGTGTTCAAATGCTTGCATTCACTTGTGCTCTTGCAGGAGCTTCTTCATGGGTCATGTGGTGCACACGACATTCTGCCCATGTCTCGTCATCCTACTCGCTCATCTCCGCTGTCGCCGGTGTGGGCGTCGCCGTCGCTGGAGCCTCTCAGGTAGAATGGGGCTGGAATGGTGGCCAGGGTCTTGGTGCGATCTTCGCCGGCTTGGGATTGGCTCCTCTCATTTCTGGGGGTTTTGCTGCAACAATATTCATGCTCATCAAACTGGTGGTGCACATACGGAAGAACCCAGTGCCATGGGCCGTCTTCACCTCGCCATTTTTCTTCCTCATTGCCGGCACTGTCTGCACACTATCCGTGGTCTACAAAGGCTCTCCCAATCTTGGTCTGAACAAGAAGCCCTCGTGGTATATCGCTTCTGTCACCATGGGCGTTGGTGGTGGCCTTTTCATCCTCTCCGCCATTTTCTTCGTTCCCTGGCTCCACGCAAAGGTTATCAAGAGGGATCACACTGTCAAATTCTGGCATCTCCCCTTGGGCCCTCTGCTCTGGAAGCGACCATATTCAGCTGATACTACCGAAAGAGCAAATGTTCCGGACTATGCCGTCGTCCAAAAGCACGACGAAGACGAAACCTCTACTCACACGCCAGAGTCTTTGGATCAAGAAGTTGACAAGATTGACTCTGGTATCAAAGGGCACGCTGCTGGTGCGGGAGAGAAGAGACTTGCGGAGGTTGAGGCCCAGTCCACGCAATTGACCTACAAGGAGCGACTAGCTGAAGCCCGAGAAAGGTTCCACTCGCGGCTTCGGAAAAAGCGTGGTCCTCTCGGCTGGGCCATGCGCACCTTGCACCAGAACCCCATTGGTGAAGGCGAGATCTACGAGTTTCGCAATATTAAAACTGTCCTGAAACGTATCCCGGCCATGCTCGTCGTCGCCGTCCTGTATGGCGTGAACTACGATATCCACGCTGCACAGACCGGTATCGCGGGCACGCCTGAGGGTCGACGCATGGAGCGGGTGTATTCCCATGCAACAAAATACCCCAACGAGGTCGAGCACACCTACTCCTTCATCCAGGTCATCACGGCTTGCACGGCGTCCTTCGCCCACGGTGCCAACGACATTGGCAACGCGGTCGGTCCCTGGGCAGTCATCTACTCGGCCTGGTCCACCGGGGACGCCGCCAAATCCAAGGCCGAAGTGCCAATCTGGCAACTTGCAGTGCTGTCGGCAACCCTTTCCACCGGTCTCATCACTTACGGTTACAACATCATGAAAGTCATGGGCAACAAGATCACCTACCACTCGCCATCGCGAGGCTCTTCGATGGAGATGGGTGCCGCCATTACTGTGCTGTTGTTCTCACAGTATTCCCTGCCCGTGTCGACCTCCATGTGCATAACCGGCGCCACCGTCGGAGTCGGCCTTTGCAATGGTACCTGGAAGGCCGTCAACTGGCAACGCGTTGGTCTCCTGCTCTTCTCCTGGATCATGACTATCCCCATCGCCGGCACGCTTGCAGGGTGCATCATGGGCATTGTGCTCAATGCTCCCCACTTCTTGTAAACAACGGCATTCGGTTTCTCACACAACACTACTGATAACAGTCAACGTCACGGTCAACATGGTTAACGTCGGCGGAGAGAACAGATATAGCTTCTCGTAGCGCTGAACGCGCAGTGCAATTATGACCACTTTATCGGACGGTTTACCGCGCCAACAAAACAATCGTACCTTGTGGCCCCAACACAACTGTGTCTTAGCCTAATGAAAACCTTATATAGAGCAAATCTTCCTTTCTTGTCCTTGAATCTACAACTTGCAATATTCTGAGGAAACCGTGAACCGGTGTCTGTCCTTTACTGAGATGTCATGTCGCTCTGTCTATTACCGAAATGCCTTCACATCTCCTTCCGTTCCTTTTCCACGCTCTTCTTGATGATCCCCGCATTGAGTCCGCAATTACCCTTCGCTGACAAGGGAAAGAGATAGAGGAGTCGGCCGCAATGTCGTTTCACTATGCTCTTTGCCTCGAGAGAGAGACACGACGGCCACGCACGTCGACCTCCAAACCGACTCAGGATTTTTTGGGGATATTTAGTCCCAGTACTCGACGGCGGTGTCGCTCTCAGGAGATCGCTTCTTGTCCCAGTACTCAACCGCGGTGTCGCTCTCGGGAGAGCGCTTGTCCCAGTACTCAACCGCGGTGTCACTCTCGGGAGAGCGCTTATCCCAGTACTCAACGGCAGTATCCTCGCCACGCTTAGCTTTGGTCTTCCTGTCCCAGTATCTTTAAAAACGGCATCTGTCAGTACCATGTTCGTTGTCGGGGCCGCACATCGAGCTGATAAATTCTACTTACTCGACAGCAGTGTCTTCGCCGCGCTTGGCCTTGCGGTCCCAGTACCTTGGCATTGTGTGTCAGTAACACCATGGAAGTCGAGCTGGGGTTTCTGCGGACTTACTCAACAGCCGTGTCCTCGCCACGCTTGACCTTGTCCCTGGGAATCATAAGCTTTATCCCAAAAAGCCCTCGATTGCCTCTAGAAATGATGGGCGGCTCCAAGTAGAAAATTCATCCTGCCAAAGGGGTCTTAAAAGCTTACCAGTACTCTACGGCGGTGTCCTCAGCGCGCTTGGCCTTGTCCCAGTATTCGACGGCAGTGTCCTCTGCTCTCTTGGGCTTTTTGCGCATCAGTCCCGAAGACAGCATTTGGGTAAGGAGTGCCCACCTTGTCCCAGTACTCGACAGCAGTGTCCTCTCCCCTTTTGGCCTTATGCATTGATTAGCCGCGGGTAGCCAACAGGTCTGGCAATACCTACCACCTCCGCAACCGGTCTGAGGGGCGCTGGTATCGCAACCGCCGTCACCGCAACAGCGGCACATAGCAAAAGAGCGTACTTGACCATAATGGCGTCTTAAGTGGTGGTGCTGGGACGAGGGTGTTCCGATTGAGGGTTTTTGGGATTGGGTTAAATGCTGGCTGACTTCACACAAGGCACCCGGGTTTCTGCACGCAAGCTGGGCTTTCAAAGGACGGTGCTGTGCTGCATGAAGAGGCGGTTCGGGGACCGGCCATCTCTTTGTTTTATAGAACTTTCCTGAGTTGGAACGAGGCTTTTGCGAGAGGAAATCGACTCTCTGTGACGTCGGCCATTGGAGCAGTGTGACGGGGCCAGCTCAATGGACCTTCATCAGTCCCGAGTAGAGCAGATGCCGCCGATCGTTGCAGCCCTAACGGTGCTATGCTTACTTGTGGAGAATATCGTACACATGGAGACTGCTCAACTGCGGTGCTGTGATGATTGCTGAAAGTTGCAGTCGATTACGACCTACCTGACATGGAGACATAACGAGTCATGCACGCAAGGCTCAGGAAGCATCATGAGTCAGTCAGGGGTCAGCATCCCATAGATGACCAAGTCATGCTGACAGTCACCACGTCAACATCGCCTATCCCAACGACATCGGATGACCCATTAATCGAACAGTATGCACATTTCGGTCCGTGGAAGAGAAAAACAATGTTGTGTGTTAACCGAATCAATGACGAGCTTTAGGCTCCGGTCTTGATGACGTTGCCGGTCCTCACCCTCCAGACAAGCCTCCTGCCGAGCATGTCTGCACCGCGACCTCGCTCAGCACCAAGTGATTGCCTTTGCTTTGAGATGCGGGACTCCAGTCTCCGCTGAGACTCTTGATCTTCAGCATGCGCTTACAAGCCAATTTTTCCCGGGTCCTAAGAGCATCCAAACTTGCTGCAAAGTCGCGTTCCCCCGAAGCAGTCAAGTCAAGTCAAGTCGCTGTTTTCCTCCTTTCGCACCCTAGATCGACCGCTGCACCGACATGTATCCAAGAAAGCAAGAATATGCGCTCGCGGCTGCACGCCGGCTCAGTTACGGGAGACTGTTTTGTCTGACTTGTGGCCTGGGAGGGTAAGAATCCACGATCCGATCCTTTTCGGGGCTCGAAACACTCACTTCTGGGCGTAGTTTGCAAACAGTCTGGGCTCTAATAATCTCGCACGGCAGTGTAAGCCTCAATGCGAATCGAATTCAAATCGCTTTGCTAACGACGCTCGCTCAAAGCCATACTTGATATCCTTGGGGTTGTCCCGGTCGATGACCGCTCTGGTGTGGGCGTCAAGCCCAACCTGTGGCTTCTTGCAACCTGTCATCGGCATCATGAGTGACAGATGCAGACTTTCTTGGGGCCGGCGACGGCCATTTGTCCTCGTCGGCGCCGTCTGCTCTGTGCTTTGCATCCTCGCTTTGGCCTGGGTGGAGAATTTGTTCCAATCGACCTCTCCGGGCTTGATGCGGGCAGTGGCGGTCCTGCTGGTCATATTGCTCAATGTCTCCATGACGCCACTGGCCTTTGGTCTGCGGTCGTTGATTACGGATCTCGTGGTTGCACAAGACCAGAGCCGCGTCTCGGCCTGGGCGAGCTACGCGACAGCTGTGTCCAACATTCTCAGCCTGTGGGCGGGGAGTTTCCACCTGCCCGAAGTCCTCGGGGTCTCTTTTCTGACACAGTTCCAAGTCCTGAGCCTCATCGCTTGTGCCAGCCTGACGGCAACAGTGTCGGTCTGTCTGCGAACAGCAAGGGAACAAAATTCCAAACTCGACGCGCATTTGGTCGGGCATAAACAGCAGCCACTCGGGCTTTCATCTACTCTCCGCTCTGTCAGACAAGCTTATCGCTGTACCCCAGCTCGAATCAAGCAAGTTTTCGCCGTCCAAGTCTTCTCCTGGACGGCTTGGTATCCTTTTCTATTCTACATGACCAGGTGAATAACCCAGCCTCTTACCGCCGCGCTTGCGCTTCAAACAACATTTCAGCTAACAGGCCGCAGCTACGTCAACACAAGATGTATGTTCCCACGAATATTTGATACCGTTGTGAAGCCCACATCATGCTGACTGACAGTCTTTGAAGATGCGCTTTCTCAGCTGCAGTCTTTCCACGGCTGGACGGACGTCACCCGCCTCTTGAAATCCCCAGCAACTCAAGTCGGGTCGACGGCCCTTTTACTGTGGACGCTCGTGTCGTTTGTCTCGACCATGGTCTTTACGCGTCTTGTGCGAAAACCCTGTAAGAGATCGCCTGGGCCCGATGTCGAAGACGCAGACAATCCGCTGTCCATGCGCACAGTCTGGATGTCCAGCCACATCCTGTTCGCGTCTTGCATGCTGCTGACCCTGGTGGTCAAGTCGTGGGAAGGCACCGTCGTCCTAGTGTCCCTAGCGGGTTTCTCCTGGGCTGCGACGCAGTGGATCCCCCATGCCATTGTTGGCGCCGACATCTCACCGGGGGTCGACGATGACGATGACGATGACGAGGCGGCGGAGGACCTCCGCCAACATCGCGGCGCCATCTTAGGTCTGCATAGCTTGGCCATCTCCACGCCTCAGATCATCGCCGCGCTGGTCAGCAGTGGGATCATGTCGGGCATGACGAAACTGGGCAGCGTCGAACCCGCTGCGTGGACATTGAGGGCGGCGGCCATGCCGGCCATGGTCGCAGCAACACTGGCTTGCCGACTCGGGGAATTTTAAGGGGCCGGAAATGTGATGGTACAGTGTAACAAACGGCAACCGGGCATACGATCGCAAAGTGTATATTATCCGAGGTAGCTTCTTAACGATGTTGATGCGTTTTGACTTCGCATCATCTATGTTATTTCAGCAGTCTTTGGGACCAGTGGTACCCGGACCACAGTCTTGAGCTATCTCAGAACTCTCGTCGCATTGGGATCCGATATATTAGGTCCTACAGTACATCCTACATCGTGCGAGCGCAGTCAAGCGACAACAACTCAGTCCTGCCCTTTTGGAGGTGTTTTGTTCCCAAGGAACAGGCATTGTGGCACCAGAGCTCCGTACGCCTTTGCGTTAAGTGCAGTTTGAAGACCCCTTTTTTTTGTTAAGAAGCATCATCAAGATCTCGACGCCTGAAAACATGTACTTCATCCCAAAGCGTCCTCGTCGCGGTCGTCAAGCTGCTCTTCAGTTGTCGATATCTGACGACGTTGCTTCAGCTGTGGATTTCGTTTCGGCTTTGTTGATCCCGCGACCTTCACGGTGGTCTCCGCTTCTGCAAGGTACTGGTATAGCTCGTCACAAGACACGAATACGTCCATGCCGATGTACATGATCTGCCGGGACGTTTTCTGAGCGGCAAAGTCTGTCAGGCGAAGATTTAAATCGGCGTCTTCTTGAAACTTGGCATACGGCAAAGCCTCTGAGTAAGAGCAAGCAACAAGTGCTCTGCCGACGCCATCCCCAGCTGAAGACTAAAAGACTTCGACTCTAGATTGGACACGTCAGGACAAAAATATCCACGATATTGGCATTCCGGTGCAGAGGATCACAGTCTCCCAGGCTTAGGTTTGGCGAAAGCTGAAGAGCGCGAATAAATTTTTCGCATCAACGTACTAGGGTCAAAACTCGTAGACCGAGAAAGGAGGTGCTGGGAGCATTCGTCCGATGTTCTTATTTGCTCTTTGCACGTGAAATACATTCACACTGATCGCTGTTATTGTGGCTGGCTGAAAGCGATGTTTTTGCGCACATTAACAAACTGCACTCTGGGGCACACACTGTAGATCTAGACCTGGTCTATTTGAAGACACAGGCATTGGTCAAGAAGTGCATGTTGAAGCATGCAGATTACCATTTTCACCTCGTATCCCTGATAGCTGAGTTGAAAATGTGATGAGCTGGCCCGACGTGACTGCCAATGCGGCCAGATGAGCACAATGTGGCTGGCTGAGATAGGCGTGCTTGTAGGGTCTCTCAATACCGTACAGTGAGGAATGCTTGCCTCCAAAGGTGTCCCTGCATATAGTCTGTTGAGTAAGAGTGCGGAGGTCGAGTGTTGACGGGCGTAGGATGGTGTAGGGTCTGCCTTCGGTTGCGGGGCACGCAGGAGTCTAAAGCAACCACACAGCCAACGATCAGAATCTTTCCTTGTTTAGTTCTCCATGAAGTCTTGCTATCTCCGATCAAAGGCCACATGCCCATGTGCCTGGAGGTAGTCCGTCATCAGTTGAGCCGTTGTTACATTCTCCAAATTATATGTGGCTGGCTGAGGTCGGATCAATGCTCAGGTGTTCACTTCTCAAGCCCCCAAGTCTACAAACATCACGCCTCCCGCTGCATCAAGAAATGCGCAACCGGTGTGGACCGCCTACACTGATAGCCTCCAGCTGGGCTTGATGCTGTGCTGTATCGAAGCCCAGATGGCAGGAGAAGCCGAACAAGAACTGAACAGTCCAGGGATAACGCCAATCACTCCACTTGCACTAGAGTTCGAACCTCAATAGTTATTGAGAAGCTGAATGTTAACAGAGCCCAGACTCTGTAAAATCAGGGATCCTACCAGCCACAGAAGTCATATCGCTGCAAAGCCGCGTGGCCAGTTTGAATCCGTGCAAGTCAGAGCAAGGAAGCTTTCATCTCTATTAGTCAATGTTTGCAGCGGCTCGTCCAGACCTGCACAACGTCTCTTGCTACTTTTGACCGCAGGATTTTCAGCTGTGGTCTAGTAAGCCTCTTCGCTCTGACCGACCACTGATTTGAGATTCCTGCATACTTTGAACTATGGGAACCCGCATACCTCGAGCTGACTATTTACATTGATCAGAGCCCACGAGAGGTAAACAACAGGAACTGAAAGGTATAAGAAGCGGCTACTTCTCCAGGCTGAACCACTATTCTATCTTGTATCTTCCAAGGACCAAGCTACAAACTAGTTGGGATTTCTCCGCTGCTGCGAGATCATCATGTCGACCAAGGTATGCATGATCCTCTGACGATGTACAGTGCAACTAATAACATCTTTTTAGAAACTCATCGCCTCTGCTCAAGGCTCCGACGCCCATAGCAATGTCTTCTTCAGGGACGATATGTCTGGAAATATTCGAGTTTATATCAGCCAAGAGGAAGGAGAGGTTGAGGCTGCTGAAGCTAAAAACTACAGTCAAGACTTTATCGTTGTCGATGGTACAAGAATCAAAGTCACCTCCCCGGACATGGGTGCCCTTGCTTGGCAAAGTCAAAATGACGGTGTTTCCCACGTAAGTTGAGTCGATACTCCACGAGACAGATTCATCAACTGAAAACTGTGGATAGACCAGGCTGTACTATGCCGATGCAAACAATACTTTGCAGGAGCTGTGCCTTGACTCTGGCAACGCCAACTGGTTTCGTGGATCTCTTGGGTCGACCGTGACCGTACAGTGTATGCAGGACACACCAATTGATGTTCACATCAATTACGCATACAATCAGCTCAAAGTCTATTCGTACGGCCCAGACAACACGACCACACCGACAGTCACTTGGACCACCTTGAACTTGACGAATTGGCAAACTAAGCTCATTTCCAGGTAGAATGTTGGACACGGATCAGGACAGACAGACATGGCAAACGTGCTTTGTTTTGCCAAGTCATCCGCTCTTTTTCAGAAAGCTGACTCTTGGAGCCACGCAACTGCAGTCCCTACAAAGAGATGAATCTTTTCAGGTGACAACAAGAATCTGGGCATGTTAGCATACGAAAATACCCACAGAATCTCCTGGAAAGGGTTTGTCCAATTAATGAAGATTCCTTTGTAGAGGTTTTCCATAGCCGCGCTTAGAGAACGTAGACCCTCTCCCGCGGCTTGTTGCCTGAATCGCACGTAATTAATGGCTACAACGAGATGGTGGATTGCTTCAGCAGTGATGAGGTTTGATTAGTGACACGACTCTGAGCCCGGTGGCGGAAAATGACATGAGGATCGGTTTACAGTTTGGTTTTCCAAACTGATTCGCGCTGCAAACGTACCTAGGTATTAGGTATTTCTTGGCTGCAGGCTTGAAGTGGGCTACCCAGGGCAGCACCTGAACCCACCTCTGGGCTAGGCCGTGGGCTCAGATCTTTGCTCGGTGGGTATGGGGATGTTGCTTTTCATCAATTTTGATCTGTCGATTGAATAGGTAGCTGTGAGATGTCTGCGATGTCGCTACCCCCATTTGCCTCTTATAAGATATATTCCGCGTCGAATTTCATTATCCTTTGGTTTGAAACCTACGATCCAGTGCTTTCTTTACCTCGCTACGCCATCCGACCGCATCGGGTTCTTTGCAATCTTCTATGAATGCCTGTGCTTGAGCTTTCGTCTTGAATAGTTTGTGACAAGCACCCTGGGACTCTCGGATCTTTTCCAATGAACCGGTTCTTCCACTGCAGCCAGGTTGTTCGTTGCGAGTGAAATGGATACAGTCGACAATTGCTGGTCGATGACCCGCTACTAAGACTAGAATTAAATCAGAGTGTCAGCGAGTCAGCAACATGACCGGAGAAGGGCGATTGGCACAAAAATCAGCGTCATCATGACAGCTCCATACTCCACACAGGCCATGCATTATAATATACTCGTACCCCTGTAAAGCGCACTAGTCACTGTAAATAGGTCCGTCCACATATATGGGCAGTACGGGTATGGGTCTAGTCGTTCTAGGCACGATGGGATCCTGTTCACATAGGTGAATATGGCTCCCATGCTTGGGGCCTACCGTCCTTGGTCGCAACTTTATCCTTCCCTATCTAGGTATTTTGCTTCATTCCCAACGACACAATCTCCAGCAATAATACTTCCACGTCCGTCCGTCTTTGCTTAAAGAGGTGCCATTTCCCTCCATCTTAATCCACGATGGAGCACGGGGCAGAAAAGGAACGATCAGGGGAAGACGAATGCCCGCATCCCTCGTCCATGGAGACTGCCAGACTCATTGACGAGGAAGAAGTCACAGGTGGGAAGACCTGGGTGACTTCGTGGCAGCCAATAAGAGTGGTCTCTATGGGAGGCGAGAAAAGAGAGTTCTATCGCAGTCGGCGACAATGGTGGCTTCTGCACGGCTGCCTCCTGCTGCTGTCGTCGATGCTGGCCATCGTCGGCATCACGAGCCTTGCCATGTCTTCCGTGATCGCCGCAGCAGAGCCACAGCGTGCTCTTGAAGTCATGTGGTCACCCATCCTTGACGCCGTGCCCGTGCGAAAGACCCGCTTCAACGAGACTTTCATGTATCCGACGAAATTCCCGTCCGGGTTTTCAAACGGCCTGGCGTCGGAGAAGGAGTGGCGCAGATGGACGGCAAATCGTATGTTGTTTGCTCCCTCATACAAGGTTTTTTTTTCTCTTGACCAAAACTTCCTAAGCTGAACACGCTTTTCTCTGTAGCAATGCTGGACGGCCGGAACGGAACAATCGCCGTGTCTGCGGACGTGGTGGATAGAATCAGCCATCTGTACACTCCGGAGTGGAAGGAGTCCTTGATTCGGCTGTCTCATGGAGGCGAGACGAGGTACATGGGACAAATTGCCATGTTCCATCATTTGCACTGTCTGGTAAGTAAGACTTCTCCCCGATAAATATGATTAACTGGCGCTGAAACGCGAGATTCGTTAGAATATTCTCAGACACGCTGTACATCCCGAACTGTATGGAACTTCCCCAGGGAGTGGCCATCTTGGTGAGTCCCCAATCGATAAACCCCCAAATCAGGCTCGAGGTCTGTATCTGACCGACGTGCTCGAAAACAGACCACTGTATAGAGAGCCTGCGAGAAGTCCTCATGTGCAACCCAGGCGGCACCGAGGTGATTTTGTTCCATTGGATGGCGGATTCGGAGAAACCATATCCAGATTATAATACATTCCATCAGTGTAGAGACCCAGGGGCTGTCTTAGATTGGGCATTGGAGAATGCGGTCAAGATTAGGGGGCCTTTGACCAAGCCCAAGGGCGTCTTTGCGCTGCAGGATGCCCCGTATTGAGTCGAGCTGGTGGACACACCAGGCAGAAAACATAGTATTCCTGGCAATTGGTGGACAGATCGAAGTGTCAGCCGGAAGCCCATACAGAGGTGCACTCAACTTCAATAATGACACCCACGTAACTGTCATCATCCGTGACATAGTCTCGCCCCGTGGCAGGCAGTAATGGCGTCCCCATTGACCTTCCTGGGAAGACTAGGTGCCCTCGCCCAGCAATAGAACAAGAGCCTCTCGCCCATCCAGCCGCCTTGCGTGGGGATTGTCTTCTGTAAGAGTTGATAATACTGTTGAGATGTTAGCATGATGCTACTCTTGACTCTTCTGGGATTACTACTCAAGATAATCCATGCCGTTCCAGAAGCATTCCCACCTTATCTGCCGGTCCAGTCTGCATTCATTCCCGAAGACATTGGCTTGGTAGAAGAGCCCGATGACCTCAAGACGACACCAACGCCTGCCTCGTTTACCTTCTGCCCTCCGGTCAATCACATCCCGCACAACTTCCCGTACGTCGGGCCCGATTACAGATGGTCGAACAAGACAGTCTTGGACATCCTCGGCTCCCTGGAGCAAACCCAAGCGTTCGCCGATTCCCTGAGACCTTTCCAGGACTTGGCTTCACGGCTGAGCGACCCGGGTCTGAACAGCACCGTCTGGGCCGTCGCCGACTCAGCGGCCCTGCCAGCAGGGTGTCAAAGCCACCAGGCGCTCCATGATTGCCTGGCGAACCACATCTCGCCGCACTGGGTGCCGACGATCCGGGAGCTGTCCATGCCCAACACGCCCACGCTCTTGCGGCCCAGGACATTGAACGGAGACGCACGGATCCACATCAGCGTGTCGTCCTTGTCCGAGACTGCTACGGTGGGTGCCGCCCTCATGGTCAATAGGTACTCTCGAGTCATTGAACACGACATCATGGCCCGCAACGGCGTCGTCCATGTCGTGGACGCATACTTACCCTTGCTGCAGCCAATGACCTCTTTTATCGACTCCTCCCTTGCGCCAGATCAACGTGGTTGTCACCTGAACCTGATCCGAAAAGCTGTCCAGCACGCCGAGTTCGCGGCACATCTGGAGCAAGCAAAATTGCACGGAGCGACCTTCTTTGCGCCCGACGATGCTGCCTTTGGCCAACTCGATCCGCGATATCTGGACTTCTTGTTCAGCGAACAGGGCAAGGGTGTTCTGAAGACAATGCTTCAGGGACATTTGGTGCCGAATAGAACCTTGTTCTCCAACGCCTTCTACGATGACGAGGGGACAAGCGGAAGAGTATCTGGTGGCTCAGTGGAGACGTACGAAGCCAGAGCTGTGGCCGGGTCAGATGCAGACTCGGATCAACAAGCGGCAGTGGCGGGTTCAAAGAAGCACCAGGGGTGGTACGAGTATGAGCTGACCCCCAATCCCGAGTCTGATCATTCCACCCAGTCCGAAAGTGGCTGCTACAAGGTTCCCTGGGGTCGTCGACAGTTCTGTCTCCCTACCTTACGACCAGGCATGGAGCTGACGTTCGACGTCGCCCGCGCCGGAGGCTTCATCAAAATGTCCGTCAGAAGCAATAGGGCCACCAGGGTTCGTGTCAAAGCCGCCGACTTTCTGTGCAGTGACGGAATCGTCCATATCGTGGATAAAGTGTTCCTGTTTCCTTGATTCTTGTCCGGAGGTCAAAAGTGGCCGACGGCAGTGCAGCGACACTGGCTTGGCGGAAGTGGGGGGATGCCATATGTAAGGCTGAAGGGAACAGGGGCCCAAGGAAGGCAAGGACCAGGGGCTTCCAAAGCAGGGAAAAGAACAATCGTTCATGCTTTCAAAAGCCCCTTCGTGTGAAAATGATGCAAGCCCAGTCCTTAGAGGCTTTCGATAGTTGATATATACTTTGGAGCCTTCTTGTAGAGGCTAGCATGCCTAGAGAAATAACTGTGCTGCTGTTCCACCAATACCCTGCCCGAACACTTGTATATTCCGCACCTATATCAGGACATACTGCATGTTGATTGTTTCTCACCGAGACGCCGTCTTACTTGTTGTCTCAGGTCCCCAAGACTGAAAGTCTTCATCCCCTCCAAATGGAATTAAACTTTGCTAAAATTTGTGTATCCCTTCACCGCCAGTCGTTGTTGGGGTCGTTGGTGGTTATCCGCGCTGATTGTTCTGCATTGCCGTGAAGCACGGCGAGTTTCCGTCTAACTTCAGACAGCAGCTCCTCCAGCTCCGTGTCCTTGGATTGAATGTCCAGATATACGCCCAACTCATACAGCCTTATCAGGTCCGTGGCCAGTTTCTGGGATCTCTGGCTCAGAGTAGATGCTATGGGGGACCTCTGGAATTCCCAGTCATCGTCGCGAACCCGGCCCCCGCTATCGCTAGAGCTGGAGGACCGATACGACGATGTCGAAGAGAGCCGTTGGGGGCTTGGTGCCACTGCTACCCTGAGTTGCTGGTGGTGGTGTTGCTGCTGCTGAACACGGGAGTCTGACCAGGTGCGTTTACTGATGGTGTTTCTAGAGCTTTTCTGCTGAGAAGACGGTCGTATCAATTCTGTAGTGCTCATGCCAGCTGCTGTGGCGGCATCGTCCATCAGTGGAAAATACTTTGCATCAACAGACTGGGATCCCGAGCTGGAACGCACGGCCTGCGGTTTCTGGATACTGTAATGACGGTCACGTCGGTCGTATACGCCTTCAACCGTCTCCGTGGCCTTGGCTTGAAAAGGCCCTGCAAAAGCACCGTCCGCTGGGCTGGGCATACTTGGTCTTGAGGTGTGCGAACTGCAGTGTCGACAGTGGTCACTGGTAATTTGTCCAACCCGCTTCGACAAGGATGGGTCTGCAGTGATCTTTTGAGGAGTAATGTCGCTGGCTCCGAGTCCTTCATTGAATTCTGTCATCTCACTGGGGTCTAGGAAGCTGAAATCCATTAGACTTGCTTCTGTGTCTAATCCCACATCTCGGTTCCAGGCTGAAGGCAGTGCACCATGTAGGCATAACTCCCCGGTCTCTGGCCCCAGCAGATTCAGGTCCGAAGAGTCAAGGCCGGTCATCTCTGTCACATCCCCTCCTGCGGATTTTGCGTCTTGTCGAAGCCGTTGCCCTATGATCACAAAAGAGTTATTCCGTCAACTCGGGTTCACTCTTGGTGCAAAGCTGACAGGGGCATACTCACGACGCCGTCTTTGGGCAATTCGATTCTGAGCTTTGCGACGCTCATGTGCGTCGCTGATGTCTTTCAGCTCGTCCTCCATTTTATTTGGACTGAGGAACTACCAAAGCTGCCCACTCTAGTCGCCCAAGTGCTCGTTTTTGACGAGATCAGCTCAACGAGCATCAACACAGACATATATTCCACTCTCTCCACAAAGCGCCGTGGGCGCCATGGGAGCCATGGATGTTTCCATAGCCGCATCGTCGATCGAGAAGATGAATGGATCCACACGAACTGTGGACAGTTTTCCAGGCAATCGGTACACAATATGGCCATCTTACAGCCTCTGGTGATGTAATAAAGGGTGGTTTGGTTACACTCTGGACGTGTGGAGAAACATTTGACCACCGAAACCATGCTCCGGATTGGACTTGCACCCTGATTTGCTCAGATTTGTGCTTGATTCCACCTGCTCTTCTTGGGTAAGTCGGCCCTATAGAAGAACTCCCCGGGTGGCCCCTTTTTCTCTGGATTCAATAATGATGGTGAATGTGGCGTTTCGCTGCATTTTGAGCATCGTGATGCATGTAATAGACAATGGACAAAAGGCTCGCGGACCCGAGAGTACCTCGTACAGCATCGGAAACCGAGGCTGCTGATCTGCCATCATGTTGATTCCTTCGCGTGAAATTCTGCATAAGTTGACATGGCGGTTGCAGCCCAGTCGGAATCCTTCAGCTCATCAAGGCATTGTCGTGCAGGTCTCGACTTGCCCCATCTCGTTGGTCCAGCATCCACTCAGCGATCGAGGTACCTCGTAAGGTACCTCGTATGTATGTCGACAACCTGGAACCTGGCACGCCTTGCTGCCAATTGGTGCACCTGTGCTGCGACGTATGAGGCTAAGGCCGACCTAGTACTCGTAGTAGTATCAAACCCCGACGAAGAAATCTCCGCTAATGGTAGTGTCCGGTGGATCAAGATTCGAAAGGAAGAAGCTCGGGAATCGCTGCAGCGTTCCACCGACGCACAGCGTGGAATGGATCAGTTAAGTCTGCCTCGTGCAGCCAGGTCCAACACCGTCCCAGTTCGTGGCTTCGACCCATGTCAGCAATGACAGCAACCTCGTGAAGCTCTAAGCTCTATGGTCATCTCTCTTATCTTCGATGGCTTGCATTTTGCAATGTGTTGGGACCTCTCCAGCATGCCACACCCGTCAGCATTCGCGATGGAGGAAACATTGCGTCAGTCAACGCAGCAGAGGCACATTCCGAAGGCCCAGATACCGGCATCTGACTGTCCCCTGGTTAATGGCAGGGATGGGTAGCTAACTACCAACGCTCTCGGTGTGCCATTAAGGATGATAACCCTGGGAAAACCATACCGACTCGTCCCCCGACCTTGTTCACTTCACGCGCGTGTTTCTGTGCGCGTTCGATCGACTAATCCGGCGGCCATGTCTAAGGTCCTAGAAGACGAAGCAAACATTGGTTTGCTGCCCAGCCTCTCACAGCCTTCAGCAGCCTCGGTTTCATCCGACACGGTCTGCGGCTCAGTCGAGAATGATCACGAATTCATCAAGGAAGATGAGGCACTGCTGAACGAAAAGGAGCTGCTGGAGTCCAAGCACTACGTTGAAACAGAGCCGAGAAAATGCAGGCTGCCCAAGGTGGTTTTGCTCTGGGGTTTCTTCTTCGCTCTTGCGGCGTTCAGTTTCCTGGCCTACTGGCTCCTGCCACTCAAGATGAACCGCACACCAACCTTCCACCCCGTATTTGGCGACTGCGGGAAGACGCCCGACGACGCAAGGGCAAAGGGCTGCGTGTACGATCCCCTCGCCGTCACCTGGGTCCGACCAGAATGCTACTATCCCGAGCTGATTAACGAGTTCATTGACATGGAACCTGTGGCGTTCTACCACGACAAGTCGCTCAGCAAGCAATCCCAGGTGCCCAAGGAAGAAGTCATTCAAGCCATACACGAGCAAGTGTGGGCGCCGCACAAGTTCCACTCTGTATGTTTTCCATCTGGAAGACCTCTCTCTCCCGCCAAAGTGTGGTCAAGATTCTGATGATTTGTGGCAGGTTCATTGTGCCCATGTGGTCAAGAAGGTGCATCACGCCCTCATGAACCATCTTCCCATCGACAGCTTCTCATTGAACTACGCCCACACGGAGCACTGCCAGCTGGTGTTACTTGAAGAGCTGCCTCAGTGTGCTAAGCCCGGTAGCTGTCGATTAAACAATGTCATTCAGAAATACAGTTCTTGCGGATACGTGTATTAGAGGGGGCCGATGGCTGGGAGAAATCTCCATAAGGCAATAGAAAAAGAACTATGTACTGTTGACCGTGGCCGTCCCACTCTATGTAGGATGTTGTAATTGGGAGCTGCGGCAACTTTGGATCTAGGAGATGTTTCTTAGTATGCTTGGAGTAGGAATCTTAGGACTGTTCAGCATACAATTCTGTGTATAGAGCACCAACGCTAAATCCACTCGTACATTCAAACTCATGTAAACAAACAAACGCCATTTCAAGCCTAAGGTGCCCCTTGGTGCCCCTCGGATTCTAAGCCAGCTGTCGATCTTCCGCCTCTAAATCCCACCTTTGGTGGTGCACTTCCTCAATCAAGAAAAGCCACTCGGGCCTCCCAGTGACAGCCTCCCTTCTTAGCGGCTTCTGCATATGATCCTTCCAGAGGACGACTGCCTGTCATCGACCTTCCCCACTAAGGCGGTACACTGTGACGAAGCCATTCAGCTCACCACAGCTGTATCAGGACTACTGAATTCTTCTCACGGCTGACCCTTCTGCTGACATTTTTACCCCCTCGCCAACCTTTGTCACTCCATGACTTTCGTGCAAGATATCGTCGATCGATGGGGCCACCGCAGACCTTGCACCGTGTGCTCTAACATGGCATTCAGAGGAGGACATCCCAAGAATATTGTATTCTTCCCCAACTGACCGATGCTCTAGTCCAAGGCAGGATGAGATTTTACTGGTAATCCACCTCCAATTGTCAATCAAGTTCTTCTCGTTGCATTTCGTGAGAGAACTTCAACGTAGACCATTCCCCGCTGTTGACTTCTGTGTCATAGCCCTGGGGGGAAAGCTGCCCCTTCTCAATTTCGACCATCTCCCTGTTATTGATGCAAAAAAAGCTTTGACTGATTGATGCCCACGTCGAGTGAACCCACGATGTTTGAACACGACTGGTCGTGGCCTCGTGCTGCTCGATACTACACCTATCGCTACAATCTGCTAGACGCCGACAAGGAAGAAATCTTCGATGCAGGACAGTCAGATGACGTTCGAAAACCAAGCACCAATTTTTGTCGTCGACCCTCGATAGCTCTGAACTTCCTGCTGGCCATACTCGTGGCGGCCGCATGCGGCCTTTGTTTCTACGGTGGCACGCTCTATGGGGAGAGGAGCACCAAGGGGTACAACGAGGATCTTCGCAAGTCGTTGAGATGTAAGGGGCCGAGCCCGAGATCCCAACTCGGTGGACATTGAGACGAAGAGAAGAAAGTTGCTAACGCCAAACGGGGGTTCTTGAGAACAGTGCGTAACGTCGAGATCCAATTGGAATACAACGCCAGCTTCGGCGATGCCCCGAACACCGTCACGGAAGCTGCCTGGGACAGTCTGCTGCCGGTCCAAGGGGGGTTCTTCCAGCATCCCGAGATCGCGACTGCGCGGTCTGATTTTGCCGTGTTTCATCAACTTCATTGCCTGGTGCGCGTGAATTTTTCATTCATCCCAGAGGAGGGAAGACAGAAGGCTCAATCTCTTTTCTCCTCTCCTTTTGTTGGGGCTAACCATGATGGCCCCTCCACAGAACGGAATCAGACAGGCATACTGGTTTACCCACGACGCCATGGTGACAGGTCGACGACTCAGCGACGCCGAGTTCCCGGACATGATCTCGTCACGGCACATAAGCCACTGCATTGACCTGCTCCGCCAGGCGCTCATGTGCCAGCCCGACTTGACGGTGGAGGTCAAGGACGAGAGAGGCGGCGTCACGGGATTCGGCACTGTGCATCAGTGCAAAGACTGGCAGCAGCTGATGGGATGGATGGCTGAGTGGGAGTCGTACGGCCAAACAGAGCCGTATGATCCTGGGAAGCACAATCATCATGGACATCATAGTCTGGTAGGAGGATAAGAAAGTGCCGATTGTGGGAAGGTCTCATGCATATATATTTATATCTACCTCTATAAAGTGATTGGTGCTATCCGGATGTGGTGTCGAGACCCCGGCCGAAAAGACTTCCACAATGTATTACATTGCATATGTAGGTCGAAAGGAAATATGCAAGGCAAGTTTCGACACCCAGTGTATTCGGGATCTAACAGGCCGCCTCGGAGTAACCTTTGATTGCTCAAAGCATCCTCCAAAGTATAGTGGATGTTGCTATGCAGTACATAGGAACATAGATCAACTGTTCAGCAAGTATTGAACCCAACCCCAATCACAGCATGCAGCTCGTTCCTATCTTTCGGATTCTCCCCCTCGAGCCTCGCCAGCAGACTCTTGGTGCAGTGCAACGCGTGGGGCACGCCGTCGCCTCTCTCCGTGAACCGGCCTTTACCCTCGAGGATGCGCTCGATGCGCCTCATCCAGAAGATGCAGTGGCCCAGGTGCTCCTCCTGGGAGGTGTGGGCCAACGAGCCCGGCGCGGCCCGGAAGGACAGGGACTCTTCGTCGGTGATATGCGCCGTGGCATTCTGGTCGATGAAGAAAGGGAAAGGGCCGAACTGGCGCTCGGGACGGTGCACCCACTCACGGAACTCTAGGTCTGTGTCGCGCTCGTAGCAACGCGACGGCGTCCAGCTGTAGCTCAGGAGGTCGAATTCGCAGCCCTGGGCTTTCGCTTCCGCGAGGCTGCGGCCGCAGTGTAGGCCGAGCTTGGCGGGCTTTTGCAAGCCCGTTGTCGTCGCTGTTTTCGGGCCTTGTGGCTGGGATTGCAGGATGGTTGCGACGGCCGTCAGGATCAGCAGCACCGTGGCGACGGATGCTGAGAACAGGAGCCAGAACCGTGCCAGACTGCGCCGTCGGAAGGGTCGCGGGTTTTGGATGTTGTCGAGTCCGGCTTCTTCAGCCTTGCCGCGCCCGTTGTCTGGCGCGATCGTGGTCGCTTCATCGTCGTCGGCGACTGGGCAGTTATGATCGGGCGCAAGTCTTTGGTATTCACTGGCCAACGGTTGTCCCACCCGTGCGTTCTTGATGCCGTCGTTGATAGTACGCCTCACACGGCCGATGACCTTGTAAATGCTCCACGTGTTTTCCGTCATGGCGCACGACGACTGCGGAGGGAGTGGACGTACTGACTAGTTGACAGGGTACCTTTTCAATCTGCCCCGGAGCACCATGTCCGTGTTGAGAAACCCATTGCCACAAACTCGTGCGACGCGTCACTGTAAAGATTTCACGAAAACTGCATGATAGTGTGATCACGTATTGATTGCAGTCGATTTGCCTTTCGGCCCCAATGCGTTCTGCGGAGCAATGAGGGCCATGACGAGGGAAATGTGTGTATACGGACCATTTACCGGAATTTGTTCATACCCCATGGCATCCGCAGATCAGTATGCACGATGACCACGCTAAATGGTGTGCTTCTGCAAGGTCAGCATGGAGCTTCGGTCATTCCCGTTCAACGGCCAAGTAGCACCAATCGGGAATGCAACGTACCTGGATCATCGGAGCGCGTCATCCGTCTGCTTGAGTGAAGCTCGCCTCTCAATGACCATGAAGGCTGATATCACGTCTGACAGCTATGCGTTTGACGTGATATTTCCCACCGTCGTCGATGGGGTATGCCCATTGTGCTCTCGGCCGGGGCAAGTTGGACCGGTGGAGATGCAAAAGGGAGTCCTCGAGTATTGCAGTCTGCCGCTGGAATTTCAGGAGCGACCTGATCTGCTCACCTCGAGATCCCAAGTAGTTGTTAGGTTTATCTCGCTCTAACCATAATCTTCTGTTACAAGCATATACACCCTTAGTCTTGCTTGATTGACTATGACAACTGCTGAAGGAGCGAGATACCAAAGGCTCCAGACCGGGGCCGACGACATCGAGAATGTGCCATTAAAGGAAAAGCAAGAAGCGGCTTTCGCATCCCGGCCCCTTTGGCGGCAGCGCACCTCTTTGTACCCCCTCGAAATCGCTGTTCGTGTTGTGCTGGGCTTCATCCTAGTCCTCAGTTTGCTCAATATTGGGTTTCTGCTGGGTGACAGAATCATTGGGACAACGTGCGACAGAAGAGTGCCTGCGGGCACCTCGAACAATATAATTTGGAGTAAGTTCATCAGGCCAAAGACTATTTCCGGAATCAACGACATCTGAAACTAAATGGACAATTTCGTGCAGGAGATAATCTTCGTAGCCTTGCGGTCACCAAGCCAAAGAGGTTTGATGCAACTCTCTATGGCCGGAACCAATATAGAGGGCCGCCCAGTCCAGAAATCGACGCTGCTTGGGACAGGTTCACCACAAACCGTAAGTTCAGTTGTGCTTGGTGTCTCGTGCTCTCCACTGACACAATTCTAGCGTGGATGGTCGAGACGGCTGCAGTCCTCAATGTATCCCGAAAGGAAATGTATAGCTCCGGAAACACCGCAGCACTGGAGACGGTTGTAGAGCTTGATCAGGAGAATGGAGGCGGCTTCATGGGCACGCTGGAAGTCTTCCACCAGTTACACTGCCTGGTAAGTGAGATGCCAACAGAGAAGCGAGAAGCCGGGTGTCTTCTCGGAAACGTCGATCTGACAACTTTTGCTCGGAAAGAACGTCCTTCGCAAATGGACGTACTGGGATTACTACGTCGATACGGATCCATTCTTCCAGACTCGAGCTGATCATCGCCGCGAACATGCTGGTGAGTCACTCAAAAAGCGTTGACGCAAGGGTATGGCAAAACATTGACGTAGATGGCATCTCAGATCATTGTATCGACGTATTGCGTCAGGCTCTCATGTGCAAGAGTGACCTGGGACTCATCCTTTTTCACTGGGTCAAGGACATTCAGATACCGTCGCCGGATTTCAACACTGTGGTGAGCAACAGTTTCCCTTCGATTGTGATGAAAGTCCTGACAGAAATCTCCTAGCACCAGTGTCGTGATCCAGAGGCAGTACTCTCCTGGGCACACGCGAATAAGGCACCAATTAACCACACCATCATGAAGACGACGGGCGTCACAGAGGCAGAGCATCCTTTTTAATTCTCTGCCTGAATTGATATTTATCTCTGAGGTTGGAAAAGAGCGTAACGACCTTGGTCTGTGATACTATTGGACCCTTTTTCATTGCACCGAACAACAGATGCCGGCAGGGTTTTGCTTTAGTCCTGTCAGAGGGCTTTAATTCCCAGGGCTATCTCAAGGCTGGACATGCAGCCCATCGACACTTATTTCTGTCGGTCCATATCGTCAGTGACTCTTACGCGGTGGCCTGGTGCAAGGATTCGGGGCTGTCACGACAGGAAAGAGCTCCAACTTACTCCACAGGACTTGCATTTGCAGTTCTGACCACAGCTGCAAGATTGAGGGCCACTGCAGCCACAGGCTTCACCACCGGAGCCACATTCGCATCCCATTTTGCTTCTGATGAGCGCCGCCGGGTTTGAATATTTGAGATAGCAGTGGAGTCTTGTGCTGTTCTGTCGAAAGCTAGGAGATCCAAAGAGGTATGAAGAGGATAGATGAAGTCCGTGAGAAGTCTGGAGGCAGATCCGCCTTGATATGCTCTTGAGGAGGATGCCCACACGTCATGATAAGCGTCATCCGCCCCTTCTTCCGTGTTGCCCGAGGTAACATTTAGAACGCAGGCGTTGCATCATATCCAACGTGAATACGAAGACCATCTCATGCATCCCTGAGGCATCACGATGTGGGCTCTTTGTGCGTATGTCATTGCTGGCTGAAGTCTACTTTTGGAACTCTTGGACGGAAGATTGTGCACCAGCATCACACACCGGGGTCGCGTAGTGGGATCCAAGAGGCCACCAGTCGTAGTTACCAAGTGTAGGCTCAGACTGTAGCACCGGCACAAGCCAGAGATAGAGAACGACACAGGAATTGTGTGAGAGGAACGTGCTATTCGTGAGCAAGACAGCAACTTCAAAGGTGGACAGGGCGGAGGTGCAGAGGTTGGGCCTGACTAAAGCGGCAAGGCCTGGCTGCGTGCCAAGAATCGCATGGTGGCCGTGGCCCGCAGTCGCCGCCTTGAAACGTGGAGTGAGGGCCTACGAATCTGCAGGACATTTTTCCTGTCCATCTGTGAGAAACATCTGGTGTCCTCATCTCCCCAGCGCATTCTCCTCTAATTTTGTTCGCGATGGCTGGCATCTTCGAGGGCCCGCGCAGCGGTGGGACACTGTTTCTTGGTGGTCAGAAGATTAGTGGCCAGGATATTCGAGACCAAAATGTCCTCGCAACGCAGGCAATTGCAAATGTTGTCAAATCCTCGTTTGGCCCTTCAGGCTTGGACAAAATGATGGTAGACGACATCGGGGACGTCACAGTCACCAATGATGGCGCCACAATCCTCAGTCTGCTCGACGTCGAGCACCCCGCCGGAAAGATTCTGGTCGATTTGGCTCAACAGCAAGATAAAGAGGTGGGAGATGGTACCACATCCGTTGTACTGCTTGCTGCCGAACTGCTTCGACGGGCGAACGATCTCATGAAGAACCGCATCCATCCTACGGTCATCATCACCGGGTACCGCCTGGCTCTGCGAGAAGCGGTCAAATACATGCAGGAAAACATCAGCACAAAAGTCGAAGCACTTGGAAGAGAAAGCCTGGTTAACATTGCCAAAACGTCAATGTCAAGCAAGATAATTGGCGCAGACGCGGACTTTTTCGGCAACATGGTAGTCGATGCCATGCTGGCAGTCAAATCGGTCAATGCACAAAAAAACGAAGTCAAGTATCCAGTCAAAGCTGTCAACATCCTCAAAGCACACGGCAAGAGCGCGACAGAATCAATACTGGTCAAGGGCTATGCATTGAACTGCACTGTCGCTTCCCAAGCCATGAAGACCAGGATCACAGATGCAAAGATTGCTTGCCTCGACATGAACCTACAGAAAGAACGCATGAAGCTTGGCGTACAGATCACCGTCGAAGACCCTCAACAACTGGAAAAGATCCGAGAGCGGGAGGCTGGCATCGTCCTCGAAAGAGTGGAAATGATCCTGAAGGCAGGAGCAAATGTGGTACTCACGACAAAAGGAATCGATGATCTAGTCCTCAAGCTGTTTGTGGAACGGGGCTGCATGGCCGTGCGAAGATGTAAAAAAGAAGACCTGAGACGGATAGCGAAGGCGACCGGGGCAACTCTTGTCAGCACTCTATCTGATCTGAACGGAGACGAGAGATACGAGAAAGAACTGCTAGGTTATGCGGAGGAAGTGGTTCAAGAACGCATCTCGGACGATGAGTGCATCCTTGTGAAAGGAACCAAAGCTTTCTCGTCAGCATCGATTATTCTCCGAGGATCAAACGATTATCAACTCGATGAAATGGAACGATCCGTGCACGATTCATTGTCTGCGGTCAAACGGACCCTAGAGTCTGGCAGCATTGTTCCTGGAGGCGGCGCCGTCGAGACGGCATTGCACATTTATCTCGAAGAATTCGCCATGACCGTCTCCTCCCGAGAACAGCTAGCAATTGGTGAATTTTCGCAATCCCTCCTGATTGTCCCCAAGACCTTGGCCGTTAATGCAGCAAAGGATGCCTCGGAACTAGTCGCTCAGCTACGTGTGCGCCACGCATTAAGCCAGAGAGTCCAAGACGGGGACGCCAACGAGAGAGAAAAAGATATTGCAAAAAAGCGACAGTACAAGAATTACGGTTTAGATTTGATGCGTGGTAAGGTTGTGGATGTCGTCAAGATGGGTGTCCTGGAGCCGAGCATGAGCAAGGTGAAGCAGCTCAAGAGTGCCGTGGAAGCTTGCATTGCTATCATGAGGATTGACACGCTAATCAAACTCGACGCTCCTGAGCCACATGGAGAAGACGATGGTCATGGGCATTGAAGGCAGGTTAGAGGGGAGACGTACATGACATGATGTCACGCAAAGCAGGACCTGGATCGGCATTGACCGCGAGCCAAAGCAGTCCAGACGGCCCAGAGCGAGCACATCCCACCGTCGCCTTAGCGGCGAACAATGGAACAGAACTGTCCCGGTGGTCCACAGAGGAGCGCAATGTTGCAGCATCCCGGGTGGAAACACTGTCAGTTGAGATAAATACAGTCCTCAGGGCGAGCAGTGATGAGTAGGAATGCTGCTCTCGGGTCTTGTGCCGAGGTGTTGAAGGAGTGAAGCCTGCGAGCCTTGACTGATGGAGTCGTGATGAGAATAGAAGGACTGGAGGAAGCCAGCAATCAAGTGAAAAAAGGAAGTCCTCGACAGTGCGATTCAGCGCTGATTCTGGCTTCTTCTACATGAGGGTACTCCGTAGACGGTAGAAAAGGAATGAAACCCTCTTGCCTCTCAGCTTCAGGTCTCTGGATGCAGCTTCCATCCTCGTGTCATGCAAGGCGCAAGGCTGAGAGCCGTGCCAAGGCCGCAGTTGCTCCTAGTCTATAAGCACTTGTCACCCACTTGTCGCAAGGCTAGTGGGTGACAATCAGCTTCGGGCCTTGTCGATGTTTTCGTTGTTTCCTGTCTTTAATCCCTGTCTCTATTGTATCAGACATGAGAAGAGAACCTCTGCCAGGGTCGGAAACAATACGGAGTATGCCAGCAACATCACAAGACAATGAACCCCGAGCAAACCAAGCCATCTCTCCTCGTCTCCCGTTCTCAAGGACCATGCCATTCTGACACGGCATCACCATCATCGAGTACTATCATCACTCACCATGGCCCAGTCATAATTGTCCATAACCCTGAATTTCGTCCCAACACAACTGCAAAAGCCACTGAGAAGAGGACGAGGCCTGCTATTCCTGACAGTTCCTCGCGTCTGCGTCCGCCTGCGAGGCACCCATGCAGAACGTTGAACAGGAACATCATTACATCGGGGATGAAGTAACTCGGATTGACATCATCGACATAGACGGAATGGCTTGCGCGGGTATGCATACCCTCAACGTGTCAGGGATGCAACATTGGGGAGGTTTGGACCGCTGTATTTGCATGACCAGGCACGAACTGGCCCACAGTCTGTCAGGCGAAGACTTCATGGAACAGCAGCAATATTTCTGCCAGGAGAGTCGTCCAGATGTTAAACGAGAAAATAGGGTTGTCTAGCCGGCTGCTGTTGCGTTCTCCACACCGGGAAGAATATCCCTCCACTCCTGTCAGTCATCGCCAGGAGCAAGGAACGACCGGAACAAAAAGGAAGCAATTTCTTGTCTTGAGTCGTTCCACTCCATCTGCGTCCAACTCCCAGGCAATTCCAATCTAGACCTGGTCTTCAAGCATATCATGCGTTTGCTCGGTGCAGGACGGGTCGGATCTGCATTTCGGTGCGTTTGCAGTCGTCACCATGAACGAATGCCAAACTAGGAGGAGAGTCTGTCGCCCTCTGCAGCTCCGTCCAGGCTCCCTCCTTACCACTAGCAGATGAGAGCGACCGAGCATCTGCCTTCCAGCTCGGCAAGTTCTTAAGTTCGTGGACCACGGCACATCCGGTTCTGAGAACCCTGACCAGGGAAGCAGATGCTCGCCAGACTGAAGGCAAGAACTGGATAATATCAATGCGGACTTTGAATTCCCTTTGGAGGCAGTGGAGGCGATTCAGGATCTTTCGGGAGCCCTCTTGGGCGGAGCCCGATGGCTTGATGATGCTAGCACGCTGCAGCTCTTCTTTGGTGCACTAGCTGAGTCACCATGTGTCAGCAGCCAATAGCGTGTGCCTGCGAGCTATGCTTTGTTCTCTGACGGTTCGACGGCATGTGGCCGTTTTGTCCCTTTTCGACCTTGGACAAACAAGATGATTTTCGCTGTGCACGAGGCTCAGTCCACACATGCAATCACATTGGAAGGGTTTGGCGCTGAGTTCACGCCCGTGGGATTGTTGGAAACATATATTCTGGTGCTCGGAGTATTAGCTCTGGTGGCTCCTCTCACAATCTGCTGGGCACACCTGGGCAAATTTGCCACTATCTTTCATGTCTCAAGGCGAGGACTCCTTCCAAGATGAATGGCGTTCAAGTCCAGATTACTTTCCCGAGAGACAGCCTGCTCCTCACGGACTCCAAGATCCCACGCCACCAGCGTTACTGGGCTCGACAAGCAGCAGCAGTACAGGGACTAGTGACACCCACTCCACCTTGATACCGAGTTGGAGTAATTTGACCTCAATCGATCGGCTCCCAGGACCCTTATCTAGCTCTTCGCTCCAACACGGCTATATTCCACGAACCCTCACACTTCCAACACCAGTGTGGCATCCTAGAAATTCATTCTATCTCGGACCTGCTCCGCCGCTGGCGAGGTCTGCCACAGATACCACGAGAGAGTCTGACCTCATTGCTTCTTACCAAACGCATGAAATATTATCGCAGCACAACAGGCTCGGTATAGCAAGCAATTTGAGACAGTTGCCAGATGGAACAGCAACGCTTGCGTCAGACAGCTTAGGAAGAAGCCTTGTCGTCAGTGTTGCAGAGATCGTAGAGGCATCGTCGGGCCAGCAAGGAGCCTCAACATCAAAGCCCGAGACGATTGCTCCACTTCCATTCGCCCCAGTGTCAGTGGCTCGAGAAAATGTGGGCGGCAGCACAATCGCACAGCTACATCCATTGGTCGAAAGCGACCAAGGGAAAGGGAAATACAGAAGAGTAGACGCTAAATATGGTGATCTTGGCCAGTCGTCAAAGACCCCCGCAAACATCAAAAAGAAAAGGAAGCCCCAACCAATGCGACTGGTCCCGAGAACTCCGAAGGCAAGTCATCGGCCTGGTCGGAAATACGAAATGCAATGGCGCCTTGGTCAGGCTCCGACGGCTGGCATTAAAGACTCGAAAGAGCAGTCAAACTTTGAACGAGTGCTTACTGCTATTTCAAGCTTTTACCAGGGTAACACGGGTGGTGTTTGGAAGAGGGTCATGCTTCAGAATGCTGCCGAGTTCGATGGAAATGGCCTCACAGAGGCTATAGCAACCTCCACCATCGTAGCCGCAGGCCTCGTCGCCGCAGGTCAGTCCGAGAGTGCAAACCAAGTTCTGACTCGATCTTTACCGCTGTCTAGACTCTGGTTACTTAGCCAGCACCCACAGCTCTGCTTTTATCTCACCGAGATCAGCACGAATACTTCGAACACAGTGGCTTCAAGCCTTAATTCATCGTTCAGCAGATACCTAGCGCCGCTTGCCACCCACATTCTAGGGGAGCGCCACCCTATATCCATTCTCCTGGGCACGCCCTTGACGGTCGAACAGAAGGTGAGAATGAGGTGGGAGGGGCAGAGACTGATTCATCAGGAGCATGTCCGAGCTTTTGGGACCTACTCATATCAGACCATGCTGCACCTTTGGTTTTGGGGTCGAGTTACAGCTGCGGTAGGCGACATTGCAGAAGCTGTGCGGATGTTCGAAAGCTTGATCCAGACTTGGGAGCAGGTCTACTCAGCCAATTCAGCTGTGGCAATTGGTGCCATCGTCGAGCAGGCCAGAGTGATGCTCGCGTCTGGAGACGCCAGCGTAAAGGTTGAATGTCTCCTTGCCGACGCCCTGCGGAGGAATGACGTGCTTACCTCGGGTCAAGCACTGCAGCCGCAGTTCATGGACACGGCCGAGTCGAGGCTCCGCGAGAGTAGCCTCATCTTTTCTCGGCTGGCGGCGTTCCGGTGCTTAGGACGTTTGCACATCATGAGAAACAATCTCGGCAACGCAATATGCTGTCTGCAGCAAGCGCTGGATATAGCCGAGTTGAACTTGTCGGAAGAATCTTCAGTGAGGAAGATGTGCCAGACTGATCTGGCAGCTGTGAAAATGATACACCTGGAGCAAGCGATGGGGGGCATGACACTGACGGACCCCATGAGCAGACTTCCTCCCATCACGAGCATAGTTCCTTGGGCCCCAGTGGAAATGACGGGGACAAAAATGCCATGAAAATCTCAATACTAATGACGGCCGCACTTGGCCGCTGGCTTCCCTTTGTGTATATCTTTATATCTGCCAGGACTGCGAGCTAGTCTGTTCTACTTCATATTTCCCAACCACCATCCCAGCTCAAGCCCTAATCTCCCCGGCTGATCATACATGACTAAATGACCTGCTCCTTCGAGGACCACCACGTCCTTAGCATTCAGCTTCTCCCTCAATCTCTCCGCCGTCTCGACGGGAATCCACTTGTCCTCTCTTCCCCAGATGACCCTCACTGGCATGTTTGTGCCAACCTCGTGATATCTGCCTTCGACCTCCTCTGTGCTGCGGCTGTTCGCCTGCACCATCTGTCTGACAAAACCCTTTCTCCCGTCTTCGCTCGCGATCCACGGCCTCTTGAGCATTTCCATGGTTTCTCTGTCCAACTCACGAAACGCTGCATCCCGAATATAAGCCTCGAGGACGCCCTCAAACACCGGTCCAGTCAACGCCGTAAACACCCCTTCGTTTTCCGCCACCAGTTTGAACAGAGGCTGTCCGAACGGTCCCAGCGCAACGACGTCGATCAAGCAAAGACTCCGGTACTCGCAGCCATGCAGCAGATGGGCGCGCAGGGCCATCAACCCTCCATGGTCGTGCGCGACCACGTGCGCCGTGCTCCCCGACCGCGGCCAACCTTGCTCCCACGATCTGTACAGCGCGGCAAACACCTCGGACTGCTGCGCCAAGTCTGCATCCAGCGCCACCGCGGGGCTGATGGCGTCCTTCTTACCCGGGCGAGCCTTGCCCAGGGGACTGTCGCCGAACCCGGGGTTGTCGAACAGGTAGACGTGGAAGTACCGGGCCAGGGACTGTGCGTAGGCGTGCCACACACGCGAAGACCAGGGCGTGCCGTGTACGAAGATTAACGGCGGCGATGCCGAGTCGCCAAGGGATGTCCAGCGGATGTGGAAGTCGTAGACGGCCGTCGAGTGGTGGAACGTCTCTGTGAGTTCGATACTCGACGACGACGATGATGGCAGTGCTGGTGAGAGACTCATCTTTCAGGGGCTGCTGGATTGGGTATGATCTTGGTTTGAGAAAAGTTGGGACGCTCGCAAAGCCGTGATAGTATTGAGATGGCTGTATTTGCCCTACACGCTTGTTGAGACTGGCAAAAACCAAGTCCGAGCCCGACTGGCTAAAATGTAGAGGGATATGATTATAGTCCTGACTCCTGGATTGTGCTCTGGACTTGTAGATATTGCCCATTTGTATGGAGTACATTGTCTACATACATACCTACGTAGACTAACTGCCAATGATGTCTGGAGCGCGTACAAGGCTGACAAATTAAATCGTTAGAGCCCCCCCCCCAAAGCTGTAACTATATAACTTTAGAGTAGATTGCCCACAATACTAGAACCTTATTCAGTCGCTTTAACCCGACAGCCATCTTGGCTAGCAAGGACAAGGGTGACCTCTTGTTTTTCGGTACCCATGGCGATTCCTGAATCTCTTGGATCCAGCTCCAGGGTTCGGAACTTCTGCACTATCCGCACAGTGACGTAGCCGGCTTCAAGCAAAGCAAATTCCTCTTGAAGGCGACGGGTCAGCAATGTGTTATATATACGTGTGTGTGTATGTGTATGTGTGTGTGTTTGAAAACAAATAACTCGGCATCCAAGGAAGAGAAAAGACTTACTTCCCAAGCAGAGTCTAGGACCCCCGCTGAAGGGTAGGTAGCCCCAGCCAATGTTCCTGAGATCCACGGCATTCTCCTCCACGTTGTCTGGGTCCCAGCGCTCCGGACGGAAGGAATCGGCGTCGTCGCCGTAGAGTCTCTTCAGCCGATGCATCGCATGAATGGAAAACCCGACGGCTTCCCCCTTTCTGACCATCAAAGGCGCAAGGCCATCGGATCCGCCGCCTCTGGGGATTGTTGTCGTCCGTAACGCAGTTCGGGAGTTGATTGGCACAGAAGGGTAAAGTCGAAGCACTGGGGAAAAATTTGTCAGATGAATCATTTACACCTACGAACAGAGTATTGGTGTGGTAGATTACCTTCTTTCAAGACTAGGTTGAGGTACTTCATCCTCTTTAGGGTGTTCCTGTTAGGTAAAGTAGAGTCTTTACCTACACCCACGGTAGAAGCGATCTCCTGTCGCAGCTTTGCAAGAACATCTGGGTGTTGAGCGAGGAGCCGGCTATTCGCACCAAAATCAGCAAGCAGGGCCAGAACTGACTTGCGAAGAGCACTCTGTGAACGTACAAGGTCCATGTCAAACAGCATGCCGTTGTGTCCCTGCCGGCAAGCATAACATTCAAAAGCTGATCTCGCAAGACTCTGGGATCGCGCGTCTCCTTGATGAGAGCGTCCAAGAAGCTATGCACCTCTGCAGGTTTGCCCTTCTTCTCATGTGTGACTGCGAGGGCCTCGTGTACCGCTTCGTCAATAAACTTGTGCACAATCGCACAGTGTCTTCGAAACTCTTTGCTGTCGACCGTCCAATACAGAGGCCCTCGACGTCCACGACGGAAAAGGTAATCTTGAGATCTTCGAAACGCCTCCGCAAACTCGGCTTCTCGAGCACCTGTCGCATCTTGTGTTGACTTGGCCTGTAACGAGTTCATTGACTTGCCGAAAAGCAGGAATGTGGTTGTGTCGAATGTGAATTGGAAAAAGAGAGCTTGTAGGTCGACAAATCTGTCCGCTGGTATGCAGCTCACCAAGTGTTCCGTGTGCTCTTCTACCTGGGTAAAGATGTTGGTACGATTTAGCGAGAACAAGGGCCGCAACATGTCGCGAGAATGCTTCCATTGCGCAGACTCTTGGGTGAATATTCCGTCTCCCAGAAGAGGTGCAAAGACTCCCCGGCGGTCACCAAGGCCGTATGCTGGTCAACCGTGTATTAGATGACAAAGTCCTTCCAAGATTTTCTGCTTTTCTCCGGCATTCGTTCGCCAGTCCGAATCAACTTACCTGAAAAGTTGGTGGACAAGATAGACTCAATGTTCTCCGGCTCAATGGTGTCGATGCTCTTGGAGCCCAGAATCGTCTTCTCAAAAGTCGGCCCCGTTTCCGTAAAGACTCGAACAAACCATTGCAAGATTTGCTTGTCTTCAAACATGCGGAAAGCTTCTGCGACGATGTCTAGTGCGAGAGGCCATTTATACCGGAGTGGACGCGGACTGCCACAGCGATGGCTCTGCTGGAAGAGGCTCTCAGTCTTATAGACATGTCAGTTACAGACAATGCTTTGGTGCCGCAACCTACACGCTTTGTATCCAAATTTCGTTTGAAAATGTAAAGCACGAGAGCTGTCAGGGGGGAAACAAGGATCAGGCTGGAATATGTACTCCCTCGCACATAGGCGGGGATCTCTGCTTTCTGCATGCTAACATTACCAGGCGATGGCAGCGACATTGGTCCGGTTCTTGTTGTAGTCGTATATGGCATGGAACAGAACAGATGTCTTTTTTCCGTGCTCGGAGCTCCTAAGATATTTTGTCTTCCAAGAGCCCCAAAGCTTGTTGTGGAGTTCCCTGTTCACACTCACAAAGACCTTGGAGCAAGGACGAATCCAACCGCTTGATGATGAGGACGTGCTAGACCCAGCGCGGGGCGTGTGGAGCTGGCTCCGGGGCTCCCTGCCATGACTTGTGTGTCGTTCAGCGCCTGGTCCGATTGAAATAGCAGCGGCCCACCAGTTGGGTGCTAAAATGTTTAAATAACCCCCAATGATGACCAGTTATCTGATTGGTGCAGGGACCGCAGATAGCTTGATAGCTCCGTCATTGATTCACTTACCAGATGGTCAATCAGCCCTGGTGTATTCCGAATATGCTTACTTTGGGGAAGCTGAAGCTTTCTTGAGAACTGAGATGGACTTCCACACCAAATTACTGGGTCCCACTCATCCAAGAAGAGAGAGAGTTGCGCTCGCGTTATGCCACATTTTGTGGTCGCAGTGACGGGTGAACGACGCAGCCGATCTCCAGGAGCATCTTCTCGAGCTGACCTGGAAAGCCCTTGGTGGCGATCATGTTCGAACGCTACGACTTATGGACAAATTGGGGGAAGGTCGCCGGCAGCGAGACCGCTTCGCCGAGTTTATCGAGCTACTGACGAACGCGACAGGAAAGAGAACAAAGGGAAATAAGCAGTACATTCTGGAAAATGGCACTGGACAAACAAGCAGAGCTGATGGGCAGCAAGACGTCAATTTCTACCACCACCTCCACGTCGTTGGCATCGGGAAATTTGTCTACAGGTTTAGACTCCTGCCGAGTTGGACTCTGGTCTCCACGCAACAAGCACAAGGACTGTGGTTACTGTGATGGGAGTTGAGGATCTACCAATGCGTAGTAGTACGAGGACCTGGCAGGATCTGACTTCAAGACGGGTATTTCATGCGTGGTCTACAATTCTTCCAGGAGTCGTCGACGCAGGCTCGCGGGTCTGGTCATAAGATGGCGGTCTGGGTGCGGTTGCAGGCACCGCTGTCTATCGAAATCAACCAACGACGTTCACAGCGCAACTTCATCTTCATTTACCTGCCTTCAGTGTCTCTCGCTCCTCATCTTACTCCCCTATCAACGCAACGACAGGTTCATTCGTGTCTCTTCCTATTTCATTCCTTCCCAATAGCTTCAGGTTCACCAAGTGCTTACCTTCCCCCACCTTTCCATCATTATGGACGACGACATGGACATCGATGGAGATTTCCTGCCCGCCTGTCTACCTAAACACGAGCTTTGTGACTGGTTCGCCCAGAACAACCACGCTGGATTCGAAGCTGCCTTGCTCAAGCGCCAAGATGAAATCCTCCGCCTCGCTCGCGTCCGCCATGGTCTTGCCCTCATGTCTGTTCCCCCGGGCTCCAGCGACATCCCCTTGGTTGAACTCATCGTCATCAAGGATATGATCGCCTACACTAAAGAGATCCAGCACCTCCTCGAGATCGCCCATCTGTTCCAGATTCGCATCGCCATCCACCATGGCATCAGCCGTAGCGAGACCGTCCTCCGACGCGACTTCCGCCGCTCTTTGGCAGTATACGTCGCCAACTCGGCTCTTTTGTTCGCCCAGGACGTGATTGATGCGGTTTGTTTTCCCTTTCCCTTCCCAGTCCTTTGGGCCATTTCAGTACACCAGTGTCATGTCTGACTTATCATATCTTTTGTTCCAGCAAGTCGAGGCGACGGGTAAAATGCCTCTGCCGCCGCCGGGTCGTCCGCTCAAGTACTGCGACAGTCCTAGCTGCAACGCTATCTTCTTGACTGGTATTCCTGGCAATGCTATCGTTGGTCCTGGTGCGTGGGTCGTTAGCTGTCAGACACCGCACCACCATCCCATGGATGCCGATCAATTCGTGGCTTGGGCTTGGGGGAGGCAACAGAGAGCTACAATTTTGGGTCATTGCGCTCCTGATGGAACTTTGGAGTTGGATTAATATGTTTTAGCCGGGCATCTTCAGAAGACGACGATTCACCGAGAAGGCCCATAAAGTTGGAGACAAATTGTTGGTTCGGGTATCGAGTAAGAGTACGAGGTATGTGGATGTGAACGCTTATCACGAGAAGCCGCGAACCCAGGGGCCACAATGGCGGGCTATGGAGTATTGTAATATCAAAGCGCTGATGGCACCTCGAAAGTTGAAAAGAATGTCTATTCTTACTTGACAGTAGCTTCAAATAGGGGAATTTCCAGGCCGCTGCGGCCCTTCAGCCTTGCAGCCAGTGGCGAGGCTGAGGCTCGGCGGTATTTTTTCAGCCTCGCCACATTTCCCCGCGGTGGCGGCGGGACATTTTATCAATTTTACTACATTGAGCCAATCCATCTACCAACTGTATCTCTTTCGCACCCCTACAAAACAACTGCAAACATGGTCGCCGAAATAATCACCACAATCTCTCCCACGACCAACAAACCAATCCTAACCCGACACGGCAAGTCACCAGAGGAGATCCTGCGACTGGGAACCACCGCCCAAAGGGCCTTCAACTCCTACCGCCACTCCCACCCTACCCTCGAATCCCGACAGCAGATCGTGTCAAAAGCCCTCGAGATACTGCTGCAGAGACAAGATGCGCTCGCCCGCGAACTCACGGAGCAAATGGGCCGGCCCATCTCGTACACGGCCAAGGAAATCACAACGGCAGTCAAGAGAGCGGAATACCTGAACACAGTGGCGCCGGACGTTCTCGAACGAGACGCGACTATCCACGGTGAAAAGGAGGCAGGGTTCAAGCGATATATCACCCGCAAGGAACCCGTGGGTGTCGTGCTGGTCATCTTCGCCTGGAACTATCCGTACCTGATCCTGGTGAACAGCTTGATCCCCGCGCTGCTGGCCGGCTGCGCCGTGATCCTGAAGCCGAGCCCGCAGACGCCGACCATTGTGGAACACATCGTCGACATCTTCCAGAGTGCCGGCTTGCCGCAGAATGTCATCCAGCACCTACATTGCGGGAGCCCCACGGATCTCAAGCCCTTGATCCTCTCACCGGAGGTCAACCACATCTGTTTCACGGGCTCAGTGACTGCGGGGATTGCCATCCAGACACTGGCGGCTTCGCGCGTGTCTTGTTCCGTGGGGTTGGAACTCGGCGGCAAAGATCCCGCCTACATTCGCCCGGATGTCGACGCAGCTTGGGCGGCGGAAGAAATCGTCGACGGTGCGATCTTCAATTCCGGCCAGTCGTGCTGCGCCATTGAACGTGTCTACGTTCACGAGGACATTTATGATTCGTTCTTAAAGGAAGTCAAGAAGGTCCTGGAAGGATACAGACTAGGTGATCCCCTCGAAAAATCTACCCACGTCGGGCCCGTGGTCTCGACCAGGTCGAAGGAGACAATCGAGAAACAAGTGGCCGACGCCGTTGCCGCTGGAGCTGTGGATGAGACGCCGCACAATGAAACCTTCAAATCCCCCGCTGGCCCCAAGGAGGGCAACTGGGTGGCGCCCGTGCTCCTCACAAACGTCAACCACAGCATGTCCGTCATGCGCGACGAGACCTTTGGACCCGTCATCCCCGTCCAGAAGGTCTCCAGCGACGAAGAGGCGGTGCGACTGATGAACGACTCGCAGTTCGGGCTCACGGCGTCGATCTGGACAAAAGATACAACAAGGGGCGAAGAGCTGTGCGGGTCGGTCGAGGCGGGGACCGTGTTTGTGAACCGCGCGGACTTTCCGAGCCCGGACCTCGCCTGGACCGGGTGGAAGGATAGTGGCAAGGGCGTGACCTTGAGTAGATTGGGGTTCGAGCAATTTGTCAAGGTCAAGAGTTTCCATGTCAAGAACTACCCGAAGTGAGAGATACAGAGATGACGGTGAAAGAAATGGAGAACGACGGGTCAAACAAAAGAAAATATGTACCGACGAAGGACATGAGGGACAATCTGCGATTCGCATCCATATCGCCAGACCCGGTGCACTGCCACGAGGCTGAAACTCTGGGATATATAACGGGGCCTGACACGAATAGGATCCCCCCGCATTACCCGCCCGCACACTCCGACCAGCATGGACTGTCAGTCTGTCAGTCAGTCAGTCAGCACCTAGTACAGCAAACAGAGTGACATCCAGAAGACATAGCGGTACGATAGAAGGATAGACAAAAGGGACCTCGAAGCACATAGGTCGCAGTGGGGCGTTTTGCCACTTGGAAATCTCTCGACATTTGGCCCGAAGCGAGTGATTCGAAAGGATGTACCGAGTACACTTTATATAGAGTGGATAGCCTCCTCGTGAGCCCCTCGCTCTCAATGGGGACAATCGTCTGAGAATTTCAACTCACCGAAGAGAGGAACTTGCATGTTGGTGGCTTAGGAGATACTGTACATACGGAGTAAGTGAGGTGGGCAAGAAGAGATCTTTTCTTGATCGTTAGGTACTATTTTTGACTGCTCTTTCCGGGGCCTCGACCTAAATAGGTAGCCGACTGACAGACCATACCGCCCCAGACGAGAGCGAGAAGCGAAATATGACCGTCCCAACCTATAGCAGCCCACGAAACGCGTCGCTGAATGCTTCAAAAAATTGCTTGCCCTCCCCATCCCCCTGTTGCGCTATGTACCTCCAGTATGATCAAGCTCCAAGTTCAAATCAAATCAGACCGGGTCAGCCAGAGTGTATGCCTCCAGCGACGAAAGAAAAGAAGATCGCTCATGGGTCGTGGTTCGTCACAATTGGCACAGGTTCCCTCCGAGAACTGTAACAAGGTTCAGTCATCGTCGCTGTCGACGTCGATGGCATCCGGATTCGCAGCCACTGCCGGGTCGGCTGTGGTTTCCGTCTCGTCGACCGGTTTCGACGGTGGTGCTCGATTCCCGCCCTCAGGTCCAGTGCTAGCCGCAACAAAGCCCACCGGTGCCCTCGCCTGTCTTTCCAATGCAGCCATGGCATCTTGAACCTCGCCTTCCCTCCGCTCAGCTGCCGCTCCCTCAGCTTCACCACCAGCAGCCACAGTAGCAGCAGCTTGGCCCCTCGCAACCGCCTGGCTCGCGATAAACGCCACATCCGTGTTGAACTGCGCAGCCACTGACCTCTTGATCCGGAGCATCTCTTTAAAGGTATCCTCATTGCCATGGGCCACCTCGAATTTCTCCCACGTCTCCCAGAACCCTTTGTCTACCCTCGGATCTGCGAATTGAGATGCATGACCATATATCGCTCTTGCGCGATCGATTTCTCCCAGACGACGCTCCATCTCCGCGAACTTGAGACACATGACTTTTGCCTCTTTATCAGGCAAAGCGGCAATGGCGCGTTCGTAGATGGGGCGTGTAGACGTTAACCCAAAGTTTGTGGCTGACTTGGTGATGTAGAACTCGAACATAGATAGGCGGTCTTCGTCGCTCACGGCACGTGTGGCGCGCTCGTAGATTCGCATTGCCGAACGGGCCAACCCTCGCTCTTCCTCTAGGCTGCCGTACATGAGATAGATCGGTTTGGCGAATTGGGGCGGACATTGTTCTACGGCTTGCTCGAACAGGTCTCTAAGCCGCTCAATGCCAATCTTGCGGGTGACGGCTTTGGTGAGATAGAGGTTCCACAGCTCGAAGGCAACAGGGTATGTGAACACGTCGAGACCTCGCTCGTAAACTTTGAAGGATTCTTCAAAGTAGCCATGCTCTTCGAGGAGGTTGGCATAGTTGACTACCGTTTGTGGAGTTGCAATTCGCAGTTCGAAGATGCGGTCATAGACTGCCCTGGTGTCATCCAGGGAACCCACCGATTCGACAAGGTCAACGTAGAACGACCAGACTTTCCAGGACTTGTGCACGCGCTGCTGCGGCGAGAGGGTTTCATCAAAGTAGTCGACCGTGCTCCGTTTCGGGGCTTTGGTGGCAGTTGCCATGACTTTCATGGCACCGTCAAAATTCTCGTTCCTCAGCTCCATCTCAGCCCAACCAATCCACGTGTCTGCGAGCTCGGCAACAGATTTGTATGGCACTTTGACCGCTTTGTCGAGAATGATCCGTGCTGTGTCCAAATCGCCAGCTTCTTCATAGAATTTGGCGTAATTCAGCCACAGTTCGTGGAATCTGCCCACCGCTTTTTTGGGGGCGACTGCTGCAATTGCATCCGTGTATGTCTGAACAATCTCTCGCTTGTTATCGTTCCACAGAGCAACCCGCTTCTCCCATTCGACCACGTTGTTAGGATTCTGCCGTAGCAAGACGTCGTTGACCAGGAATGGTCGGCGATCCATCAAATGTTCAAACCGCATCATTTTCAGGTCAAGCTCGAAGTCCTTGTCGGGGTCGACGATTCCTTTGGCTGCACGGGCAGAAGCAGCGTCCATGAGAGTGGACAATATAGATTCTTCGAACTCGACATACGCGTCAAAGATCATGGTAAAATCACGCACCGTCATCACGGTGGTAATCCCCTCCTCGAAAACGTCTCTCGCCATCTCGAAATCTCCGCGGGTGATCCAATAGGTTGCAAGGCCTGCCCACAGTTTGCCGCGTTGGTCGGCAAATCGTTCGATGCCGCTTCGGATAATGGTATCGGGGTCGAACCCAGAGACCGAGCTATCACCGATTTCTCGAGCCTTGTTGACCATGAGCTCGACCATCTCGTTCCATAGCTGGAACTCGCTTTTGATGTGCTTTGACCTGAACTTGGGGTTGTTCAATATCTGAATATATCTCTTCACAGCCTCCAGGTAATGTCCGGTCTCGACGAGGAGTTCGATGTAGTCTTCCATGTCCTCTGGATGCACTTGGACATAGCGAGCCCATATCTTAACCGCGGTCTCTCCTCCAGCTGAGTTGGCAAAGGATTTATAGAGCTTCCAAATTCTGTTGTGTTGCGTCACAGGCAAAGCCCGGAGCGCCCGGTCAAAAGTCCTTCGAGTTTTGGTGACATAGGGTTGTCGCAGGAGGAAGGTCAGGTACATCTCCCAGATGACCGGCATCTTGTTCAACAAAATGAGCGCCCTTTCAAACAGGGCATTGACTTTGTTAAACTCTGCCCTGTATTTGACTGGGGTTTTCTTTTTGAGGTGTTTGATCCGGAACTCCAGGTACATTTTCCACAGCTTGTACGATCGCGGTAGTTGTATGCATGCCCTCTCTTGTACAAATGCCTGTTCGTGAATCGTGCCATTGCGCATTTTGAAGTCGATGTAGGTTAGCCATGGTCGAATGCTTCCGGGGTTTCGGAGAATGTCCTGTTCGTAGATGGTATCCTCGTTTGCGATGAGGTACAGATCTGGTTTGAGAGACTTCATGGCGACCTTCGAGTCGTTATGCGACCGGCGGAGAGTGCCAGGCATGGCGGTTTTTTGTGCTGAAGAAGTTCTGTCGCGATCTCGCTAAATCCAGATACAGGCAGCCGAAGCAACCGGATGAAAGTTTCGACGCTCCGGCTTGGCAGTTGCGGAGGTCATCTTCTCGCGCATTTGCGAACTGACATTTACCTCATCATATTGATACCATGTCCTTCTACATAAGGAAGCGAGGGCGCAACCTTAGGCGACCTGTAAGGACCGCTCCGTCTAATGCTCATCAAGGTGCTCATAATTGCTTCCAAACTGTTAAGCTAGCTGCCTTGCGGAACGCTCCCAAGTCCTGTGCAGGGCAACCGTGCGCATCTACAGTCGGAATTTCTCATCAGCCTTCTTGGTCTCAGATAGTATGAATATAATATCACTCGAACTTTTCAAGACACTCACCAAGATATGTAGTTGTGTAGATCGCTGCGCAACATGGTCTTTTGTATGGGCGGACTAAAGTTTTAGCGACGCCTGCTTGGCACCGTCATGCCTCCCCGAGCCTTGCAGCTTCGCCAGGTGATAAGCTGCTGCCGCATTGATCTTCGTTGCTCCATCTCACCATTTCGGTGTTTGTGTTTGCTCCATATCAGACAGTTCGAGAAATAGCCCGTGGACAGGATGTCTTCCGGCGCAGGGGTGAGACCATTGAGAGGGAAAACACCGAGGATACTATGACTGACTACTTTCTAGAGAGAGGCCGTCTTCCCCACGCGGCAGGCGTTGGGTCAAATGAATGCGAAATTGAAGGGAGCTCAGACCGGCCACAGTCTGCTGAAGAGGAAAAGCGAGGCGTTGACAAAGTAAACCGCATTCCTCCCTTTACTGGGATCGTCACCTGCTAACCTTCCAACAGGCGGTTTCGAGGTCTGCACAAGCAACTAACCCCCTCTGCGATCCCACGAAGCTAAAAGAATGCCACAGAAATCCTCAAGAGAATTGACGAAGCGAAACGGAAGATGGGAAGAGTCATGCAGATTGCCGCATTTTCGCTTGCCGAGGTAACATACGCGGTCGGCGGAGACGTTGGCTACCAGATCCAAGAGTCCGTCAAGCAAGCCCGGTTCAGGATCAAGTCCAAGCAAGAGAATGTGTCGGGTGTATTTCTCCCGCAGTTTGAAGGATACACAAAGGACGAGATCAATGATTTTGGCTTGACGGGCTTGGGCAAAGGAGGTCAGCAGGTGCAGAGGTGTCGAGAGACCTATACCCGAGCAGTCGAGACCCTGGTTGAGCTTGCGAGTTTACAGACGGCATTCATGGTTCTGGATGAAGTCATCAAGGTTGTGAACCGAAGAGGTACGTTTGCTGAAACACATCAGAGGCCAACCGGAAGCTAATCATACACGCAGTCAATGCCATTGAACATGTCATCATTCCCCGGACTGAAAACACCATAAAATGTAAGCTCACCTGGTGCATAATCTTATCTCCAAGCTGCTGACACCCCATCTAGACATCAACTCCGAGCTGGACGAGCTTGACCGAGAAGAATTCTACAGGCTGAAGAAAGTGTCGGGAAAGAAACAACGGGATCAAGCCGCCGCGGACGCCGAGCTTCTGAAACAGAGGCAAGCAGGGAAAGATAAACCAGAACAGGAAGACGGAGCGCAACCGCAGGATGTCCTAGGCGAGCATGAGGATGAGGATGTGATTTTCTGATTTGACATCAGGGTGTGCAAAGACCCTGCGGGATGTTGTATGCTTTTATCCTCAACGCCGGCCAATCCATGCATGGGTATCAAATACAATAGCCGGCAGCAGCACTGTTGCCTCGACCGTATAATAGGATTTTCCTGCCCCAGTCCAGCACCACCACTCAAGCTCGTTGATACGTAACCCTGATTCCCTTGCCCTCGTCACCGAGTTGCATACCGGCCGTCGCCTCCTTTGCACTAATCGCGCCAGCCTCAGCCTCGTATTCAACAAATGCAATGCCCTTCCGCCCCGGCACCATTCGGACTTCCTTGAATCCTTCGAAGCGGCTGAATATTCGGCTCAGGCCGTCTGCGTCGTAGCTATCTGGCAGATCCCGCAAGAACAGGGTCTTGTTAGGAGGTAGGTATTCGTCGGGGATGATGGCTGCGGCATTGGTGCCCGAGGCTTTCAGGCCCGCGCCCTTTGCTGCCTTGGCCGGCCTTGTCGCCATCAATCCTCCTCCTGCTGTTGCTGTGGCAGACTCAGCGGCCGCGCCGGGTGCGGGCCTCTTGAGCGTCGTCGTCGTCGTCGCCGCCGTTGTCGCCTTGTGCTGCGTCGCCTCCTGGGCCTGCCGCCTCTCCTTCTCGGCAAGGCGGGCTCTCTTCCACTTCTCCAGGCCCGGTTCGCCGTCCTCGCGCAGCACCGTGGCGTCGGAGCGCGTGCGCGCAAAGTCCAGCTGCATGGGCTTGTCGAACAGCTCGAACCCCTGGATCTCTTCGATGGCCCGCGCCGCCGACTCGGTGCTGTCGAAGACCACAAACGCCTGGCCCTTGGCTTTCAGGTTCGACTTGGCCACCAGGTCGATGATGTTGCCGTACTCGGAGAAGATTTCCGTCAGCGCGGTCTTCATCTCCTCGATCTTGATCCGCTCTTCGAGGTTCTTGACGTAGACCCTAGAGAGAGGAAGATGGTATCAGCCGGTCAGTCAGAAAACAAGGAGGGGGAGTCGTGTTTGGCAAAACGTGAGATGTTGGGGAGAAACGTACGTCGCGTTTGGAGGGTTTTGCGTTGCGGTCGTCATGACTGCTCTAGCTTTGATGCGAAGGTTCAAACCTGTCCGTAGCCTCTCCTGACAATCATTGACGGGGCCTTGGACTCATCAAGATGTCAATCGCAGGGAGCGCACAAAGAATTGGGGTTCAAACACTAGACGAGGGTGCGGAGGTGAAATTCATAGGGCGAGGCTGTCACCGAGCCGCTCACGTGGATGTCGCCATCTTATCACGTGGGTTTTGAAGGTCATCCAATACGGTTTCTCGCCGCTTTAAATGGTTCACCTCGACAGCAGCACCAGCCGTTCGCAGTACCAACGGTGCGCTCCCCCACCAACACTCGTCATATTCATGACATACTTAGATCCTTCGTCCCTGATGCCCAGATACATCCACAAAGCCGCGTCAAGCTACCTATACGCTCGTATCCAAACCCAGCTCACACAACTAATCACCCTATTTCTGGTGTGAAGTAGAACCAATGAAAACAAGTCTCGCTATCCCTCTTCACAACACAACGGGTTAGAATGTCCCGAACCAAGGCACCATGTCGACAGGCGTGTGGCGAACCTTTTCATAAGCTGCGTTTACTATCAGCGAAGGGTTGTTACTTGGATTCACGCGCACGGAATATTGATCGCCAGCCTGTCTTGTTGAGGACGGCGAAGAAGAATGCACTAAAACAAGCTTATACACAAAATAGCGAATGGGAGCATCCATAATTAAGCTTATCGCACTTAAAAGTCGGCTAGAGCCCCAAGCTCGAAAATCTTTAGGTAGAGAGAGACCATGTACGAGGGTACCATACTCGATGCCCATGCTGGATCCATTGCCTAAAACAGAGTATTCGCTGCTCGTCATCTGTGCGTATTCCGAGCGAGTCGACGTCGCCTTGATCTATTTTGAGCCCTGCTTGGCGAAGAGCGAGACAGAGGATTACTATTCATTTGTCTGAGCGGGATCCACATGAGACAAAAGAACAAAAACGTTTCATTGGATGGGCGGCAGGAAATCCGGCACCCCTGGAGTTTCAGGGTGCTCCCTTGCCCTTTCCCATACCCCTCTTCTCTTTTCCCTTCTGTGGTCCCTGGGGCTGCATGACTAAGCAAAGCTTATCTAATCCTCAGCCTTGCGCGACAACAAATATATGACCTAGACGGCCAGAAAACGAGCCAGATAAGTAGCGCGTGTGCACTGCATCATGACATTTTTATGCAGAACCATCCTGGAGGCGTTTAGACCTGACTTTTGCGCCCGCAAACAGTTGATGCGTGGGAGGAAGTTGGGAGTCAGAAAGCACGAAGTGAGGTCCGTGTCTGCCTGAGGTGGCAAAACTCTAAGTGCGGGTGTGGCCTGCCAGTGTGTGGCCCCCAAAACTCCACATGACAACCAGGCCCACGGGCCACGGCCCCTCGGAAATGGGATAAGCGGGTTCGGGTGTCAGCGATTTAACGACAAAAAAAAACGGGGGTGGGCACGCGAAACACGTCGACTTCCAACGTCATACCAACACAGGTGTAAGAAAAAATTCGGGTTCTCTACGACAGGTGATTAATTCTCATTCGTACCGAGAATCTAGCTAGGACTCTGTTACTTACTCGTACTTACCTAGTACACCCCCTCCAGTGGCTTGTCACGGCTTTTTGCTCGAACAAGGGGGCAGTTGCAAAGCCCGAACAGCAGCACCGTACCTAGTGACGCAGCTGGTTCAAGGAGTGGAGTCGCCCTCCAAGCCCGACTACTCCATTATCGGCTAGAGCGGCCAGAATCGCCAGGGCCGATCTGAGCCCAACGCAGCGGAATTGGCTCCATTGACCGCAGTGGCCCTGATCGATTGGCTGCTGCCCCGTCTTGCCCCACAGGGACTTTCGGAGCTTAATAGTACTCGCATGTTTTTTCAATGGCAATGCCCATTTCTCCTTACCCGGCTCTGCCGTCCAACACGCATGTGACGGAGAGAAGCTGTGCGAACTGCAGATGGATGGGATATGGGATGGGGCTCTCTCACACCACCACTGACGTAGCGAGTAGGTAGTTGGGAGTATTGTCTAAGAGGAATTTGTCACAGATGCCAAAGCGAGCGACGACGGGCGGAGCTAGCTCTGCCTACTCTGCGAAACGATCGATTTCCATGCATGATTGATGGGTCACGACGAGTACGAGGTGCTTTTTGATGAAACACGGGCCACTCATAGACCTATCAGTTCCTAAGCTCTGGGGAGGATGCTTGGGGGACTGCCTTTTTTTTTCTTTTTCTCTTGGAGAGCTCCACCCGCTTCATCATTATCTCCGACAACCATATGTCTCCGAGGCCACATCCAACCTCTACATGCAGTGATTTCAATACAAACCTTGTAAAAGTAAAGTTAGCGTTTGGAGCGTTGAGCGTTGGAGCGCATCACGCCGAGTCGGGTTGTCTTACGTCGCTGTCGCTGCTGCCCAGTGTCCAAACGGTTGAGTTTCGGCCCCAGAGAGCGATACCCAACTACGTAGGTGGCCCGCGGAGGAGGACTCATTCACCACCACCACCAACACCACCACCGCCAGCCATCACCTTGCATGCTTTGCCGTGTCGTGTAGGCCAGAGTCTCGCCACTTTCGTGTGCTGCGTCACTGGGCCAGGGCAGACTTTGCGGCAGACTGAATGACTCCCACTCATCTCTCTCACTCGTTGCTCGTGGTGGTCCGTCCCGGTCCAAATTCTCCGACTTGAAGACGGAAACGGAGACGGGAGACGGAAGGCAGGTGAAAATGCTACTCTCCATAGCTACCCTCCGACTGTCACCAGGCCAGGCAAGCTATGCATGCATGTAACCCAGCCCAGAACCTGCCCGAGCCTCTGGGCGGCCCTCTGGGTGGCCTCCTTCTAGGTATGCTCCTCCAGGCGTCTGGTGCCCATTTCCACGCCCCACCAAGCCTAACGTACGTCCCCCGAGCTCCAGCCTCAGGCGTGTTGCTCAGGGCGTGTTTAACTGGCTCTCAGGCCTCTACAGACATGTGTAGGTGGTCCATACCCACCCCCCATGGGCTCAATAGGCTCTCCAGTAGGCTCCTCCCAGTGATGATTGCGACTCTCTAGGAGGCGTAGGTGTAGATGTGCTCTTCCCGGCGGCCGCCCCTAGGTGCCCCAGGTACACAGACAGGCATAGATGAGCCCGGCGTTGGCATCCCCGGTACACACTGTATGCATGATATGTACAAATGTAGGTGTCGCGTTAAGGCGATGCAGTAGGATTGCAGATGGCAGATTCGTTCTCCATAAACGGTGACATGCCGCCCTATGGGAATTACTTCCTGCATGCTGATCGTTGGGCGGTGGATGAAGAAATCATAGAATTGCGTTGCAAGGCGATAGTTTCGCTCCAGGTGGTAAGGCTTAAAATGCCCCTGGTGCGAGGGATAGCTATATCAAGGATGTGGGAGGCAGGGGAAGTGGGAACAGGAACTTGATAGATCTCCAAATAGGAGTTACGGAGACGGTGGAAGATTGTCAAAAAGTGTGGGTATCATGTGGTATAGTATGTGTAGTTTGGCCATTATCTGTCCGGCCCGTCTCATCATCCCTCTTGCATCGAAAATCTGGTGATTTGGGTAACAAAAGTGCGGTCGGAGGAAGCAAACCTGACGTCGAAACGCCTCGAACAGACCAAAGTCATCAAAAATCTCAAAGTGTAGCTTCTTCTGGCTCTGGGGTCCATCTCCAATGGTCATCTCGTGTGTGGCATCCAGCTTCAGTCGTGAGTCGTTTAGATTTAGCGTTGATTCCGGTGTTTTGCATTCAAGTGAGCGTTCAAATCGTCCGTGTTGCGGCATGTCCGTGGGCAAAGTGGGCATTGGAAGCGTTGAGGAGGAGTCTGTTTGGGGGTTGGAACCGTGCCGCAATGCATGCACACTTGCTGCGGATGCTTCTCTAGCAAGTGCTTGTGCAGGTTTCCGGGACGGGCGAATGTGGAGGGGCAGTAGCTGCATTCAACGCGAGTGCTCTGCTCGCGAAGGTGCCTCTGATAGTTCGAGTTTGCGTATTCATATTTGCCGGAGAACTTCTTCCCACAAGTAGGGCAAAAGAGCCCGCCGTTCTCTTCGACGGCTTGTCTTTTGACCTCGGTGACTGAAAGACAATCAGAAAAGGCATGCAAGGACGATAGTGAGACTTACGTTGTTTGGGAGTCATGCCGTCGTCATAGGAGTCATGACCGGCAGTGCATCTAACCTCGCCGTGGTTATGTGGTGGTGGGTGGATGGGCATGTTGATGAACGATGACATCGTCAACAGTAAGAGTGCAATTGACCATGGAAGGGGCTTAGACCAGACAGGGGAGAGATAGCAGGAATTACCCAGCAAATTGATTGTTCGTCCAAGAGTTGGAGGAAGTATTTGCTATAGAATGCTTTGAGGGAAGGGGATAGAATGATCAGAAGTGACGGCGACGGGAAACTTGGGAGAAGAGAGGAAGAAGGAGAGGGCAGGATAATGAATGACTTTGTTGGGGGGTAGCAGGATGGATGAGTCGAGGAGGGGAATGGTAATACTGGAAGCTGTGGGGGTGTGATAAAGAGAGCCAACGCCAAACCAAGATGATAGAGTCCATCAGGACGAGCAGGGCGAGCATGGCGAGGACGGTTGGGCTGGCACGGTGGTCACCCAGTTCACGTCGCTTTACCATCTGTTCCGAAATCCGTGTACCGACCGTGTATACCCCGACACCAAACACCCGATGGTCGTGCATCTGGGAGAGGCTAGCCTCGAGCCCATGATAGAGCAGCAGGCAATGCGATTCTTTCCTCCGACTATTTCCTCACCGAGGACGGGCATCATATTGGTCGTTGAGGAGGCGGATGACCACGGCATTGGCCAATGACCATCGACCAGGCGGGGAGAACTAAGTCCCACGAGCCACGGGCATTGATTGGCTGGGGCGACAGAGCCGCGGCGGGCATCTCGATTGAGGAAAGCGTCGCCAAGACGGTGTCTTGGTTGAGGAGCCCAAGGTTGAACGGACTGAGGGGGCCAGGAGTGGCAACAAGGTCTTGGGGAAGAGTCTGCAGTCAGTTCATCACCAAACACACATCAGTGCGAAGAAACCCATGTGCCCTTTGCAATGCGCAGTGGGTAAGGTAAGGTAGGTGTATAAGCACCCGTCGCCGAGGTTCAATGGAGAGGTAGGCCCCGGACCAAATGCACAAGAGCGCAACCCCTGATGGAACCTTTGGGAGAGGCAGTGGGAGGGCATGATTTTCGCATAGTCAACTCGAGGAGTTAAGTGAGCTTTCAGGTATGCGCCGGATGCAGCCAGTGGAAGGTCGAGATTGGTAGGGATGTCAGTTCTTCGGGGCATTCAACCAGAGTGTGAATTTGTCACCACGAATTCAGAAGTTCATAACACAATTTCAGAACTTTGGAACTTAGGAGGAAGGCGGGGGGCGCGTTATATAGAGTGGTTCTCGACAGAAACTTGTTGAGCAGCAGAGCTGTGTAATTTCCATCATGATTGAAGCCAGGCCTTCAATCGACCTGCCTCCTTCCGTAGGTACCCTTTTGTGTTTCATTTGTGATGGACAAGCAGATAGGCATGGCCTGGGCGGGTTTAGCAGGGGCATTGGCTGCATTGAAGCGCTCTGGTGGCGCTGCTCAAGGCCCCGAGGCTTGCTGTGATGCATCTGAGTGGCTCAACGGGCCACCAGGGCTGCATGATTGTTTGGGCCGCACAGGGGCCGCTCATCTTCTCCCCTCTTGGAGTGGGTGTCCAAAGGTCCTACGCTTCGGCACGAATGGGCAGTAGGTAGGGTGCCCTGAACACGGGCTCATCCTTGATGCCCTGTGCCTGAGGGAAAACCCGCATTTTCGTCGACGGGTGCAGGGCGCAAGAATTCCATAGCAAATATATGGATACAATAACGAACATTTGTGTAGCTGGGTGGAAGGGTCTGTGCGCAAGGCACACACGGAAGGGCACTGACTCAGTGACTCACTGGGGGACTCACTGTCAGCTCAGCTGCCAGACTTTGATCACTCGCTTGACAAAAGTGCCAGCTGGGAACTTTGGAGTGGCTTGCATTGGCGTCTGCTAGGCTGCATGAAAGAAAGTCTGTCGCCCAACCGGCGGCATCTTTGCAACTCGATCCCTGCTGGTCTCGGGCGCCTTGATCGCTGCGCAAAGCTCTGATGGATGTGTTGGCCCCGGAACCTATAAATTGTTGAACGCCCTGTTGAGGCAGTATTCATGGTGATGAGCGCGCACGGTTTCTCTTCCTTACAGAACGTCGAATTGCAGTCCACTAATAGATACACCGTCACACCCTCATGGACTTTGCACCGGACTAGAGGCGTCACAGAGAAGCACACAGCACGAGTAAACAAGGGAACGACCTTGGTGACGTTACGATTAAGAGGTGTCTTCTGTGTCTGTCCGGTGATGTCTTTTTGGGGCCGATCAGGGTGCAGCTCTCCCAGCCTTCACCCAAAGAAGCCGCGATCCAGTACCCAAGCCCCATTCGGTGCATATCTAAACCATCACCTGCATTATTATTGTTGTCTGCTTAATGGAACTGAATTTCCATTAATTGTCGACATGCGTATTGCATATCACAAGAATTCCCGTCAGGTAGCAACGAGACAAAGTTCATAGCCTGAAGTCTCCTGTATTCGAGAAAAGCTGTGCTAGTACAGCTTATACGGATTCTAAGGTACATAATTAAGACTACAATAACTATAGAATGTGTTTTACCCAGGTTTCCTTTCCCACCATCAAGTGCATATACTTTTAAAAGATGTGGTGATACAGGTTCTCCACTGCAGAATCCACCACAATGGCCGTTATGGCCATCATCAACGTGAGGGACACTTCAAGTTGAATGTCCATGGCGCCCTCCATTAGATGAGGCAAATGTCTTCTCGTCTCATCCTCCCCAATGCATTCTCGATGGGATGGGCATCGTCAGGGCCAATGCCACAAATCGCGCCCGCCTGGCTGTGATCCAACCCGAATATCCCAACTCTCTCGTACCTCGTCCCGGCCGCGGGCGATACCACTTTTCTCAGCAGTAGGCCTGCTAGAGTTGTGGCCTCCAGTCCAGATCGCCCCTGCCATTGTGTGCAGATCGGAAGTAGAAATACATCCATTGAATCAGACTCTGGCATCATCGGCGTATCGAGGTAGATGGTCGGTTCCATCGAGTATTGTTGAATGTCGTTGGAGGCGTCCTGACTGTTGAGCACCAACGTATATAGTCCGTCCTCTTCCGGGTTTCCGTCCATATCCCCATTCGCAACATGGAGAGAGGCCTCAATTAGATATCCTCGAACCTTCATCTGCGCTGATGATACCTTGGCCAGTCTGCTGCCTTTGGGTTGTTCAATATCGGTGCTCAGGATGTCAATGACGACCTTTTCACACTTTGCAGGCCAGTTCCAGATGACCTTGGCCTCAAGGGAGGCCCACGACCAGGATGGAGCCCGATAGTCCACGTCTCCTGCTGAACCACTCCTCAATGATGGAGTGCCATCGGCTTGTCTCCGGCCTAGAACGCACCAGAGTAGACTCTGTGGCAGCAGTGCGTTATCCCACAACCCGGCGAGATATCGTTCTTCTGTGGCTTCGGCGACCTTTTGAGCAATGCCAGAGATGGCAACGAGTTTGTCCTCGCCGTAGCTCAATTTGCATTCCATGTACGCCTCGACGATCCTGCTCCACACCTCCCAGACCCAATGGTGATCCTCCGCTTTGGAGCTTGAGGTCAGCCAATTGGAGACTATTCGTGGCAGATATTTCGAGATCAATGACAATTCCGATGGTCGCTTGTAGGCTGGGTCGAGAATTTTGTCTGCCTGCCTCCAGGCGTGCATTTTGCGGTTATGAAACTGCTCGGGGATGCCATCAGGATATGCTTCGCAGGCCATTTCACACCGGCATTCCCAGAATATCTGCTCCTGCCCGAAATGGATGGTCCGTGGGCTCAACAAGCGCTCTTGAAGAACCCACCCTCTTGTGTGCAAGGCCGTGTCGGAAAGGCTGTTGCTCCAAAAATCATCGTAGCCGATGACGTACGTCTTTTCTCCGTCCTGTAGTTGAGGATTGGGTAGAGGATATGGCTCCACCATATAGACACGCCGTTCGGTAAAACATCCTTGTTTAGGGTCTGCGCTCGTAGCTGCAATATTGCAGAATGAGTTCGTATAGATGTCGCCCATCTTTGTGCTTTCCGCAAGCCAGTCGTCCCTGGAGTCTTGAATAATGCATAACGCATCAATCCAGATATAGTCGACTCCCATCCAACGTGCAATTTCCATAGCATCCTGGAATCTCTTTGGGAGCGATTTGATCGGAGACCACTCTGCCGATAAGCGTGCTTGATTTTCCGTGGTCAAAGTGACTGCCGTTCCAGCCCCCCAGCAATGGCTCAGCGTAACGTATCTCGGCGGCCGAGTTTTGTTTGCAAACGTTTCTAAGCGGAAAGTGCCTTCGGAGGCCGGATCGATGTGCAGCAAGCGAACAGGTGAACCAGATCCAGTGCGCCAGTCTTGATTACATCGAACGTGCTCGGCACGACAATTATCCAGCCACTGCCGGACTTGGTCTTTACATTTTCCTGAAAATGTATTTGGTGTTAAAGCGAGAGGCTCCCCCGATGCAGATACCTCTAGCGAGATCGGTCAGTCACAGAAATGATAGTGGGCTGGGATGGGAAAATTTACCATTTTTAGGAATGATTTTGAAAACGCCGCTGCAGTCAAAAACCTGCTGCTTGGCGATGGGAGCCTCTCCATTTAAAATTTCAGTAGTAAATTCTAACTCGTAATGATCCTCTAGGTGAGGGAGTGTGCCGTCAGCGTCCAGTGCTCGGAGTTGGTAGAAGGTGCGGAATGCACGCGCTTGCTCTCGAAGCTCGGTGCTGCAGTCTCTGTAGATTGTCCAGCAGATGTAACACCCCTGCTGGACTGCCTCATAGAAGTCGCCCTCATGGATGTGGTGAGAGCCTGCCCACTCATTCGGTCCCTCAGGGTGTTCAAAGAGCGCTGGCTTGGTGCCGCTCCAGTTTCCTGACGGACGCATCTTGACCGCCGACAGTGTATCGACGCATGCATTACATAGCATAGTGTTCTGTTGAGAGGGCATCGTGTAGAGGTGTTGGTCTGTGTGGCGGCGTCAGATGAAGAGGTGCGATGTGCTGGCTGATTGTTGAACTGGACGCAACAAGACCATGGTAGCTACTCGCACATATATACAGAGGTTTGAAGTCAGTTCTTCACTGCACTGCCACCTCTCATGATATGTGAGTCCTCGGCCAATGAGCCAGCCATTACACGGGGCGAGAGGTTATTCCAATCAAGAAACTCCACAGAGTGGATGCCTCAGCAGAAGTCGGATTTCCTCCCTCGCGAGCGTGGGACTATCGGATATAGCCTGGCCACCAAGATGGGGAGCCGTTTACCCCCTCGGGACCGCGTGAAAGAATGTAAGAAATTGTGTTGTTGTAGTTGGACTGGAGCCTTGTCGCGGGCCGGTGTCATCTGTGGCCATCCGATTGGCTGGACTGCTGCCAAGCTTGAGTCCTAGATCCAAGTCCTACCATCCCTCCGTCCCTCCTGCTCATCCCCCCATCCTCCATGGTGCACAGTGGGGGATAGACGAGGATCATGATCCCCTAACCCCTCTTTTTCTCATCTTGTTTTGTCGAATTGAAAAGAGGCACTTTGGTTCCTTGATATGCTGGTCCTTTGGCATTCACAGGTGATATACGGTACATTCCTGGCCACGAGGCAGCACCAAGTTCTAGGATTTTCAGGGACTCATGCTCCAGGGATTCCTGCTGCTACTTTCGCTCGTTCTATTGGACACTGTATGCGCCTCTTCGGCAGTGCATCGATATTTTCACCTAGATAAACGTCGCTGACTCGCTCTCCAACGACGCCTGCACGGTCGCGTGCTCGAAGAAACTGTCCTATATTGTACAAGAGCCCTCCCATATGGTCATGCTGCACTTTACACTGCCCAAAGTCCTCAGAGGAGGCTGGCTGCGTGTCCTCCGACTACACGCGTGATGCCGGTGCCTGATGGAGTGAGTCATATCTGTTGATGGACCCAAGTCCCAGGAACGCCTACTTAACATTCGAGTCGTCCTGAAGGTGGGCGCACGCAGAACGATGATAGTCTGGATGGTGAAAGTCTCGAGACGAACAAATGTCGCTTAAGGCGGAAGGGCTGTTTCATCGCCTGTCCATCTCAAACGTCAAACATTTGACTGTGACACTGAAGGCGCAGTTCGCAGGCATGCCGAGTCCAGCATCCACGAACGCCTCTATCAGAGCTGCAAACATTTCGGTCTGGATGTTCAATTCTTTGATGCGAAATTGCCGTTCGCTTGCCCAACAGTGTTCTCCCAGCGAGCCAGCCCAGCTGGACGTGAACGCATATCTGTTCTCATGAGGAAGATGCTATGGTGGCAGCGGCAGCTGTGTCGGTTACTGTCGGCTGTGGCGGTGGCGGTGGCGAGGGCGATGGTGCTGGGGGTAGTGGTGACGACGACGACGATGATGGACGCGTCCCTATTTTACTACCTAGGTAGGGACCTGGGTAGGTAGGCTGTGACTGCTGGGATCAACTTGGACCAGCCTCGCACTGGCAGCGATACCCTGCCAAGCCGCCAAGACTCAACTACCGAGGTGGTCATCATGTGACCTGCACGTGATCACTACCTAAGTACTCCTCTCGGCGTTGTTTCCCAATATCTACCGAGTACGCCTCGCGCGCTCTCACTGTTGATCACCTGAACAACTCATCCTGGTAAGTAGCGTCAAGGATGGGATAAATTTTATGTTGATGATGCTTTCGTTTTCTTATTATTTTTTTAATTTTTGGGGGGACACCCGGGCTGGCGTAACGCCCAGACTATTGAAAGTGCTCTCCAGCCACTCCGAAAAGAGCTCCCTGACAAGGTTACAGCTCCGCGTCAGCAGTCACCGAACCGCTCAGATGCTACCTACCTAGGTAGATAGTTCAGTTCATCGGCTTCTTTTCTCCCTTCGCAGAACTAGCAAAGCAATATGACCTTTCATGGAGCGCTTGCGCTAGGATGGCCATTCCGAGTGCGAATGTCCCCAGTACAACAATGGCCAAGTAACAAGAACTTCATCTGGTTTTCTGTCCTCTCCAGATCATGACTTCTCTCGCAGCCGCATATAAGTCAACAACCCCCACTGCACCACGAAAAAGCTGGAGTGGTGTTCAAGCTTCTTTCCCGGGTTGACAAGCTGAATGTCATACCGTCGAAGGAGTTCCGGGATGACCTTGTTCATCTCAAGCAAAGCAAGATGTCGTCCGATGCACACGTGCGAACCGCCGCCAAACTGAACATGTCGAGTTAGCCTCTGATCTCCCGTGTCCTGATTTGAAATTAGGGCGGATGAACCTACCTGGAACATGCATCGTTCCATCATCTTTACCTTCTCTTTGTCACTATCGAGCCATCTCTCGGGTCGGTATATCTCGGCATCATCACCAAAGATACTCGTGTTCCTGTGCAAGACCCATCCGTTCACAGCGACGGCGGTTCCCTCAGGTAACCTGACACCATCAATCTCGGCGCCGCCAGCAGGGACCTTCCTCGTGATGTTCAAGCCGACAGCAGGCGCAATTCTCATGGCTTCTTTCAGACAGGCCTGGAAATAGGGCAGATTCTGCGCCTCATTGTACTGGACCATCTCGGACAGATTGGCGGACTGGATCTCTGCGACCAGCTTGTCGTAAATTTTCTTGTTGGACAAGACATACCAGAAGAAGCTTTGCATCGTGCTGGCAGTGGAGTCGCTACCCGCAAAAATGGCGCCATGTGCAATTGCAAAGACGTCTCCAGGACCAAGAGCTTCAGGGTGTTCTTTCTGCGCCACGATCAAGCTATTGAGAAGGTCCTTATACTCGACCTTCTCTCCATCCGGAGTCTGGCGCTTTTGAAGTTGTCCTAATGCTGTCTTGGTGATCAGGGCATTTTTGCTGGACATGAATGGAATAAGGTTCCAGAGTGGGTTTCGTCGGAAGAGGTAGTCGAGCCACGGGACCTGGCCCACGATGCCGTTGTACCATTGAGAATTATCGATCGTCTTGATGGCGCGGTCGACATCGACACCCGCCTCGAGAAAGCCGAATTTCTTGGAGAATGCGACTTCGCCCAGCACCTAGAGGCAGTAAGTAATCAGACCCCGGTCGTTAATGGAATGAACACGGTCTCCGACTCACATCGAACGCAAAGAAATGAAGCCAGTCACCAAAATCGCAGATCTTGTTATTGTCGGCGTACTCGTCCAACTTGGAGATCAGGAGCTTTTCGGTCTCCTCAATTCGCGGGGTGCATTGCTGCATTGAGGCTAAGCTGTAAGGAGTAGCCGCGTATCGCTTCTTGATGCCGTGCACGGATTCTCGAGTCTCAGTGAAGATATCGGGGTTCTCTGGAGGCGGAAACACTCCATAGAAGTCTGTTTTGTGGAATCCCTTGCCCGTCTTGAACAGTTCAATTGCAGCTTCTGGGTTCGAAAATGACACCTCATTTGGCGCAATGCGGACGACTGGGCCTGTTCGGGGTCAGCTTTGTCGAAGGGTTCGCAGCAGGTGCGTCAGTTACCGTATTTCTTGTGAAGCGCAATGTGATGTTGCTCGGTATGACCTGACCAAGTACTCCAGACTGGAAAGTTCACAGTCAGTCCAGAATATCTTTCGTATGTTCCTCTCGTGGAACCCACCTTTCCATGCTCTTGTGCAAGAGGCGATGAACGGCCCCGGGAATTGTCGCAAAGGTGAGGAGTAGCGTCTCCATAGAGGGCGCACGAACAGGAGCAGGAAGAGGATCACGAATGGATGGGCAGCCACAAACTGCCATGCGGTCACAACCGCAGACTTGGTCAAGGGTGCGTCGTCGGTTGCTTTGATCTCCATGATGCTGTAGATGTCCGGTGAAAGCACTGAAGTCTCGTTTGACGAAAGGAATGAATGATTAAGAAGGTGCGAGCACACGCTCCCAAGAAACACCCATGACGCCCATGCCACTCAGGGCAGCCCTGAACAGAATCGTCGTCCCTTGCTCCTCCACGCTGCCACACATGTTCTAGGACATCGTCGGGGTTTCCCCATTGTCACCAAACAACAGAATGCCCCACACTCTTAGCCCCACGATCTGTGGCCATCGCCAGTGACCTGATGGGCTGATGGGCTTCCACTAGGCCACACAACGTAGCCGGGATGTGAGACGGGGCTGGGTAGGAAGCAACCCTGCCATGGGGATCTTGTCCGTGGAGGAATCTTAAACTGATGCGTACAGATGGGGTAAGAATCGAGCAGATGGTCGTGGCTAAACTCTCTGTGGCCATCTCAACTGCCGAGCGGTCTCGCCCTGTCCTGCTTCGACTGTGAGATGCCACGGCGTCAGACCCCAGCTGTAATTCTCAGTGTCCGCTGGTGTAGGTGGTCCCTCTTCTAGTATCGAGCAACCGATATCCCAAGCCCGCCTTCTGGGCTTTGCGATTGAAAAATTCCCATGCAGATCAGTCGCACTTTCTCCTTCCACTGGGAGCAAAGCTGAGGCCATCGGAGCCGCAGAATCTTCTCCACACGACGCTAGCAATGCTTCAAAGAGCCTCGAGTTTTGTACGCAGGGGGAGTGGCGCCCCGAAATGAACGCTGAAAGCCTACCCCACATCTTGAACTGATGTACGACGTTCTGAGGTGGTGAAGCTCCTCCTCTCCGGCGGTATTCCGGAAGGCCATGTTGTGATGCCTTATCATGTTACCACATGTCAGCTGTAGGATCCTGCATTCAAGTCTGCCCTCAATGCAGCGTCTGCTCCTCTTTCTGCTTATCTGGCCTTTTGCAGAATGTGGTGCTCAGTTACACAGGTAGGGTGGTTTTGGGCCGTCGGTCAGAAGTCGATGTGGTCAAAGGTATCGAGCGAAGCGGACGTCGTTTGCCATCTGCGTCGAGTTGCGGCTGAAGTGCGTGATGTTGAGTCAGGATGAGAGTCATCCAATGCACACACGTCGCGTTGTCAGTGCGTGTTTGAAGAGAGGCCAACCCGGAGACATTGTCGGATCCGTCTCTCCCTGAGCGACTCACCGCTGCAGACCGCGAGCTGAGTCCGTGCACGAGGTCGAGGTGAAGAGGCAACGCCTCGTCTCAAGGCCTGATCGCGGAATGAAATATGATGACGGCCGGTTGATCGTGGACCAAAGCAAAGTGCGTAGGCGGAGGTGGATGAGACCGACGAGAACGGTCTTAGTAAAACTTCAATGAAGTTCGAGGGCGTGGTAAACGAACAGCCGGCATGGGTTGGTACATCAGACGTCTTTGACCAAGGAAGTACCATTTATGAAGTTCCGCTTTCTCTACATCAGCGACTCCAAAGCTGCCAAACAACTAAACCTCGAACGCTCCCATCTACTCGTACATGTCCATTACCACCCTGTATATTTCGTGGCCCCTGCAAACATTAACGCTGCGGGTACTCTCACACGCTTATTGTCTAGCATTCATACCCTCAGCTCTTCCTCTTTCGTTCCCGCACTCCATCTGATGTGGCCACAGCTTCGACAGGCTCCCCATTAACGAGAACCACTGGTTTATCACCACCGATTTTCCCGTTTTCCAAAGCCTTCTTTGCTCCGCTGTGGGCATCTTCGATCTCTCCCTCCTCCTCTTCCTCCTCATCTTCACTTCGTTCATCGGCCTTGATATTCGAGAAGACAAAGTTTTTGGCGATGCGCAGGATCAAGAACAACCAGAACAGGTTGACTGCTTGAAGGCAAGCGAGGAGAGAGAACGTGATGATCTGGCTGATCCAACACTTGTATTGCTGAGTCTCCCAGTTCAACTCGTAAGGTCCGACTGTTCGAAATTCGGTGAGGGTCGCCCACAAAATGAGGATGTTGATGTAGTGGCGAAGATAGATCCAGATACACATGAAGAGCAAGTAGTAGGGCCCTACGATGATCGAGTCCAAATAATTCAGTGTTTTGGAGGTCTGAGAGCCGTTAGCCTTTAGGAAAATCGGTGTCCGGGTCTAGCGCTTACCGCGAGGAAGAAATCGCTGATATCGTGGGTGATGTAGACGGCAATCCCCATCTTAGCAAAGTGAAAGCGGTAGCTCAGTGCAATGAGTGCGACGGTGACAATATGATGAAAGACCAACTCTTTGAAGTCCTTCCGGGGCTTTTCCAGTTGCAGCATGAGGACGAGGGCTTGCTGCGCCCAGTAGGCCGCCTGCAACAAGTAGTATGCCTTGAACACACCCTCATGCTTTCGATGAGGAAACCCTTCGAACATTGCGGTGGTATTGAAGTACCATAGAGAACCCCTCGACATGACATAGAGTCCAAAAGGCCCAAAAATGCCAAAGTACATGGCCGTGTACACTTGTTCCATAAAGCGTGCCTGCTTCCCTCTCTTTTTGATGCCACACCAGATGGCAACGGGACGAATAATTCTTTGCATACAAAATTCTCTCGTGAAGCTCAGGACGATGGTGTAAAAGGCCACGAAGGCAATATCTGCTTTTCCCTTGCCGTACATGTCTGGTCCGCCGGGATAGTCAGGCCCGAGGTTATACGACAAGAAAATCGCTTTGTGAAGAGGGTTCTGCTCTCCGGGATTGACGTAGTAGGCAATAAGGATCGCAACGGTGAGGATGAGCGGGTTGATCCAGGTGTGCCGCAAGGATATTTGCTTCCATTTTTCAAAGGCCGACCTTGCTTTCCGTCTCTTCGAGTGAGGCTTGCCGTCCTTTCCGCTTGCCTAAAGAGAGTCAGATAACGAGTACTCGAGGTGATGCTGCTTCGTCATACAGAAGTCTGCCCAACTGGTCGCGCTGCCATAGTAGCGAATGCGGGTGCGCTGGTGTCTCCCCGGGGATCACCCCCAAGGTTGCTTGAGGTCCGGCGTGGACGTGCCATGATGCCAACAGGATTGTCGGGAAGGGACCGCCTGTTCCGAGAGCAACAGGTTGTAGTGCAGTGTGTTGAGGAAATGTTCCAAGAGGTAGAAAAGAGTTGTGTGGAAGGCTCCCTGTCGCTCAAAAAGGCATGTGAAATGGCAATGTCATAAATTATAGTAAGCCTCCGCAGCAGGCTCCGTGGCTGTCCGGAAGACGGAGCACTGCATATTATTTGAGGGCGAGAGGGGTCGCGAATCCATCAAGCAATCTCCTGGGAAAATGCGAAACGATTAGATTCCCCGTATCAATCGTATTCTGCGTATTGCTCTCTCCCATTCTACTCGTACAGCACCAGTATGCTGCGCATTATATGCATAGACAGCTCTCGTTGCCAAAAGAGTCCGTGAAATGCTTTTTGGGTTGTGGAATGCTTTTTCTACACAGTAATTACCACCATGGCTATGGAACTTGCCTGACAATGCCACACTTGCCAACACTACCTTTGAATGCAAGGACCGTCTTTTCGAGCCCATTCCGTCGGTCAGGTCGTCCCAAGCATCAGTCGTCCTTCTGACCCGGCTCGTGATGGCCTTTAGTGGGCCGCTTCGAAGTGTCCACAGTACCGTGAAGCTTGGCCGTCGCAGCCATACCCTCAGGTTTCTTGCTTCTTTCTTCATCACCCATGAAGGGATTGTTTGCTCCGGAAACATCGCCTTGGGCCTGGGAGTAGTTAGCAAGCCAAGACCCGAGACAGTCACCTGCAGGTCGACTTACGTCTTTGGCACCTTTTTCTTCAGAGTTTTTAGTTTGATCGACGGGCTTCGCGGTGCCCTTGGGGGTTCTGAGCACTATGTCAGTCTGGAACTCAACTCAAGATTGTCGCAAGCAGCATCATCTGCAGCTCGAACTTACGGATCCTTGTCGCCACCCTCGTCGGAGGACTCTTCCTTGCCTTCATCCTGACTCTCTTCCTCCTTTCCTGATTCCTCCTTGCTTTCTGTGTCTTCTTTTGGTGGTTCTTCCTCTTCTTTGGGCTCTTCTTTTGGCTCCTCCTTGGGCTCCTCGGAAGGAGCTGCCTCATGTTTCTCTGTAGGATGTGATTCGTGGCCGTGTTCAGACTTTTGAGGTCCTTGCTGCAATAACCAACCCGCGGCCGGGATCGTAACGACAAGGGAACCGATTAGCCTGTCCAAGCCGTGTCAGAGACGGGATAGCTACTTTCACAAAGAGAACTGACCAGGGAAGATCGCTGCTCTTTTGTGCACCATGTTCAGTGGCATAAGTCCTCCGTCCAACTCCTTGGAGACTGGTTCGAGCTTGGGTTCCCGCGCGTCTGAGAGAAAAGGACCGGAAAGTGCCCCGGAGGGCGGCTGATCTTGGTAGCGGCATTGGAAAATGAAGAAAAGCGACCGAGACAAAGGCGGTACTGCAAGAGTGTAAAGGGTAGAGGAGGACGTTATCACCTAACGAAGGACGTTTCCTTACTCACTGCTGCTTGGCTTGACGGGAAAATACCTCCGGGGATGCTGGGAGGAGGAGCTTTTGGAGCTTCTCCCCATATTAGCACTTTAGTTCCGCATGTCATACGAAGAACAACTGAGCTTTCAGGAACCAGCTCCTCCAGCCAATCAGAGTCTCCAAGACGTCATTGGTCACTGCCATCACTGCGGTGCGGGTGAGGCTCTCCACTGCGCCCAAAACACCACTCATCATCCCACTTTGGGACTTTTTAGGTGTCTGTCAATTGCAGTTCAGAGTGAACTTGCTGGCACAACCTCCTGGGATCTTACCTGCGACCGACTACTTACTGATGTTGCATCAGCTCATTCCGACACCCGTCAATTTCAAGTGTTTGAACGCGTCCTTTAATTGTCCTGACGCTTCGCAATCAATCGAATCTTACTGCGTCTTGAGAAAATCGTCCCCTCACTTCGTCGAAGTCGACCTCCCCATGCGAATTCTGCTGCGCTGGGCCCATGTTCCGATGTCCTGAGAGATTTGCCCTTCTCCTTCCATCATAGCACCTGAAGCGACTCCGTGGCTCACTATGGCTAGAGACCGCAGTTCGGCCCAACATGGGATTGCGCAGTTACTCAATAAGATCAATGACCCTGATCCAGATATTCGTTTTATGCAACTCAGCGATCTTACAGAGATCCTAGAGTCCCCTTCCTCGGAGTACATACGGACCGACCATCATACTGCCGCACGAATCATCGACGGCCTACTTAAGGCGTTGGCTGACCAGCATGGTGAAGTCCAGAACCAGGCTCTGAAATGGTGAGTTGGAACCGATTCTTCAGTGTGTATACATCCTAACATGAGCAGCATTGCCCCTCTTGCCGCACGCATACCAGGCGAGACTATCGCACCCCTGATAGACAAGCTCACCGATCTCACCAACAGTGACATCGACATCTCCATCCCCAATTCTGCGCTACGGGCTCTCATTGCATCCTTGCCTCAACCCAAACCAAACGAAGCTCCTGCTCAAGACGTGAAAGATGCATATGGCGCGGTCAGTAAAGTCTTGATTCCGAGGCTGGTTGGTCATGTCGTGTTGCCGTTGCCGTCCGGGAGGCCTCCGCCGCAACTGCCGACTGCTCTGTTAGCGAAACAGAAGGACAAAGGCTTCAGCAGTGATGCGGTCGATGTTATGATTGAGATCGTCAAATGTTATGGACCTCTACTGCAGGAGTTGGAACTGGTGGCACTAGCCGGGGCGGTTATGAATATCATTGAGAGTCCACAGGCTGGAGGCGTGGTCAAGAAACGGGCTTTGGCAGGTATTGGCGCGTTGCTGGTTCACTTCAATGATGCCCAAGTCAGATCTTTCGTGGCAGCCCTGACTGGAAGCTTTCAAAACTCCCAGTTAACCACGGAACATCGGAGATTTCTTGTCGCGACGATCGCGACTCTTGCCCGTTCGAGTCCAGCCAAGTTTGGGCTCTTCGTCAATGACGTCGTTCCCTACGTCCTCCAGGTCCTGAGTCAAAAGGAGCTCTCTTCTACTGCGTCTCTCTCGGATGAGGATACAGAGGTTGACCCAGAGATTGAGGAATTGCGGGAAACTGCACTCATTGCGCTCGAGGCCTTGCTTGGATCTTGTCCGCTTGAGATGAAACCGCATCTCCCCAGCGCCATTGACGCTGCATTACGATATCTCAAGTACGACCCCAATGTTGCAGATATCGAAGACGACGAAATGGGAGGCACCCAAGACGAGGATTCTGATGACGGCATCACGGAAGAAGCGCTCGAAGACGACGACGACGATGAATATGCAGAGTTGGATGACGATGATGCTTTCAGCGACGTCGATGACATGAGCTGGAAAGTGCGACGTTGTGCCGCAAAAGCCCTCTACACCATTGTTTCAGGCTCCTCGTCGAGCGACAGAAGCATGCTTTTCGGCAAGATTGCGCCCGTTCTCATCTCTAGGCTATTCAGCGAGCGCGAAGACAATGTCCGATTGGAGGTCATTGCAGCGACCACAGCTTTGATTCGGAAGACGGGCTCTGGCCTGACTGAGTCACTCACCAGGGTCGATTCCTCGGAAAACCCAGCAATGCCGACCAACACTCGTAAGCGAAGGCGACAAGACAGCGAGGCTGATAAGAAGGATCCCGATCTGCGAGGCCTGATATCCATCCGGTCCAGTCCTCCCATTGTCCCAGCCTCTCCGCCGACGGGGTCCCAGGCTGACCTCGTCGGTTTGGTGCCAAAGATTGTTCAAGCGCTTACGAAGTTGTGGAAGAAAGCGAGCATATCACTGAAACAGGCCGCCATTGTCATGCTCAAGACTTTGACATTGGCAAGGAATGGAATCCTGTCAGACCACCTGCAGCAGCTGGAAGATCCAATTGCCGATGCTTTGAAGCCGTCGTTGGGCTCAGGATCCAGCGGCGCAGCATCAGGCACCTCCGCAACAGTTGCCAGTCTTCAGATCGAGACTTTGACTTTGATCAGTGCTATTGCGGAGACTAATGGTACCACTGTACTGATACCCTTCGTCATCGCTCTCATTCCCCCAGTCACAGCGATTGCTCGTGATAGAAACTATAAAGTTTCAACCGAAGCACTCGCCACGATTGAGCAGTTCGTCAAGGCCCTGACTCCACCTCGGCTGCCTACCGCAAACCAAGACCATGCCATACACATTGAGAAACTTTGGGAAGTAATAGTCGACCGCGTCTCGGACAATAACACTGACCTGGAAGTGCGGCATCGTGCTATCCAGGTATTTGGTGTTCTCATGGCGAGAACATCGGCAACTGAACTGTTGTCAAGCCCAGCCAGGGTTAAGAGTCTTGGGATCCTGAGTGACAGGCTCAAGAACGAAACCACCAGACTGGCGAGCGCGAGAGCAATTGGCCGCATTGGCGAGGCCGCAAGCACTCACGATAATATCGGTTCTGCTTGGGTCCAAGAAGTTTCACTCGAGATGGCCAACCAACTCCGCAAAGCTGATCGATCTCTCCGGGGTTCCTGCCTGGAATCGTTGCAATATCTTGCTCTAAACCCTGTGACATCTTCATTGTACGAAACAACCACGATCCTGCAACTGCAAGGCATGCTGATGCCTCTACTATCTGTCAACGACCTTCACTTGTTGACCCCAGCACTCGTCATCATGTCCAAAATCATCCCCACCAACGCTCAAGCGCTGGTCACCCCGGAACTTGTCGCAGCGCTTTGCGGCATATCACAAACTCGGATTGAAGGGCCTCCGCTCCGAGCGTATCTGCTCGTCGTGAAAGTCATTGGCGAGCACGGTGTGGGTGCGCTGTTCATGAAAGGTCTCCTCGCTGTTGGGACCGCCGGAGAGACAATGGTTCTGGGAAGAGCCATTGGCACATTACTGGTCTACGGCGGCGACAACCTGAATATCACAATATCCGACTTCTTGGGGGAACTCGAAACATCTCAAGACGTGCGAGCGATTTGCTTGGCCTTGACGGTGCTTGGCGAGGTTGGATTCAGAATGGGACCGAGCTCACCTGTGAAGATTCAAACCTTCATCAACTGCCTTTCCGCGGAATCAGATAAAGTTCGACTCTCTGCCGCCATTGCATTGGGCAGCGCCAGCTCCAACAACATTTCAGAATGTATGCCTATTATACTGCAGAGCTTGACGCAGGCATCAGCCTCGGACTACCTCTACTTGCACTCTGTCAAGGAGATCCTGGAACACTCTGAAAGCACCCTGGGCGAAATGGCTCCGTTTGCAGCCGAACTCTGGCAGAAGATCTTCGCAGTGTCACAGGTGGAGGACAACAGTGCGGTTGGAGCTGAATGCATTGGTCGACTTGCCACGATTGACCCAAACACATACGTCCCCGAGCTCTCCAAAGCATTGGCAGATCCGAACCCATCGGTCCGTGGCACTGTCATTTCCGCCTTTCGTTTTACCCTGGGCGAAGCCAGCAATTCTTACAACAACATTCTCGTCAAGACAATGACGCCCATGCTCCAGATGATGCTAAACGATAGCGACCTGTCTAACCGACGTCTCGCAGTAACCACTCTCAATGCTGCAATTCATAATAAACCAGAACTCGTGATTCCGGATGTCGGCCAGCTCCTCCCAACAGTCTTGGAGGACTCGAAGATCAAGCCCGAACTAGTGAAGCAGGTCAAGATTGGCCCATTCACTCACACTGAAGATGCCGGTCTCGATCTTCGGAAGTCCGCGTATGCAACCATGTACGCACTGTTGGATTGCCCTGGCGCGGTACCGCATCTCCCCATTACCAAATTCCTTGACCGCATCTTGGATGGTATTCCCGATGACCATGACATCCGTACTTTATGTATTCTCATGTTAACGCGCTTATCCGTGATTGATCCCGACCAAACACGACGTCGCTTGCCCATGCTCGCCGAAAGATTCCGGGTGGTTTTGGGCGCAAAGTTGAAGGAGAACGCCGTCAAACAGGAAATTGAGAAGGTGAACGAAGCGAATGCCGCGGTGGTTAGGATCACGCTGGAACTCGACAGGAAATTTCCCCATGGGGTGACTATGGAAGGTGTAGTAGGGGAGTTGGTCTCATGGAGAGGCTATGTTGACTTTGTGAAGCGAGAATTTGCGGGTATGGTGAGAAACGTGCAGATGGAAGGAGCTTGAGGCCACAACTCATGGGGACTTGCCTGTGAGAGATGGATGCTGATATTTACTCCTCGCGAGGTGTGGCGGGAGGTGATGGTCATGGCCTGGAAGCATGAGAAAGCATGAGTAACGAAGGGAGAAGTCAGGTGCACAGGGGACAGAGATGATGGATCCATACGGAATCCAAATGAGCGACGAGACATGACGTGCGGCCAGCGAAATCATCCAAATACCCCCATAGCATAGCGAGTCAGACATGATCAGGCCAGCAGCAAAAAGGCGAAAAGTAGAATCGAGCACAAGATTCACAAGAGCGAGTTACGCCAGTCAGTCAGTCAGTCAGTCAGTCGATGCTTCTACGACTGCGCCAGCAGCCCACGGCCACTGTAATATTGTCCAAAGTCACTCCGGCCGTATTAGACCTGTAGATCTTCTTCGCCTATACCTAGATATATGTGTGTGTACGTGTGGTTTCCCAGAACCTTTGCGACTCGTCCAGATTTACACCATGACACGTCCTCGTCGTCCTCCTCCATCAAACCAGACAGCTTTCATCCTCATCTTCATCCTCACGACACACTCCGCTTCCACAACCCGCCAATAACGGCCAAGTACCGTTCCGGATCAGCCAGGACGTGCCCGACATGGCGACTGGTGCCGAAATCCTCCAGGCGCACCTTCTCCTGACCAAGAACCTCCGCGGCTTCGCGCGCATGCAGCTCCACGTCGGCCGCGGGGATCATCGCGTCGGCCTGGCTGTACATGTAGACGCGGGGCAGCTTGTGAGCGGTGAAGGCGCCGCGCGGGTCGTTGAGGCGGCGGCGCAGCGAGAGCGTCGCGTTCTCCCAGCCCGTCACGGCCTCGACGGCATTTCCGGCCCGAAGGTACGTCCAGATCAGGGCGCTGCCTAGCGCGCGCACCGGCGCGGGGGATGATCTTGGTAGCGTAGACTCGCAGATGGCGGTGTGTGCGGCGGTCGTGTTGGGGAGGGAGGGCGTGCTGTCCAGCACGAGCGCGGTGATGGGGAGGAGGAGGAGTGCGTCGTTCGCTTCATCTTCGTCCGAAGAACCCACGGGCAACTGCTGCAGCTGGCGCTGGCGCTGGTGCTGGTAATAAGCGTCTGCGAGTTGACATGCCGTCCACGACCCGCCGTTGGAGAAGATGTGCATCAAGACCCTCAACTCCTCCTTCCCCTCCCCCTTCTTCTTGGTCAACGCGAGCTCCCGGATCAGCGACACCGCAGGTCCAAGATTCCGCATCTGGGTGGCGTTGGTGCGGAAGAAGAAGTCGCCCCCGTTCTGTCGCAGGAGCAAGATCCGCGACCTGGCGTACGCCCGCTGGTACACCGTCGTGTACTTTACGATATTCCGCGGACTGGCCCCCAGCCACGAGCAGACGATGATCAGGTCCGGATCCGGCACTGGCGGTGCTGGCTGTCCTTGCTGCTCCTCTTCTCCCTGCTGCTGCTGCTGCTGCTGCTGCTGTTGGGATTTCAGTGGGGCTTCAGGGGCAGCAGTAGTAGCAGCGTCGACATCAGGCGTGTAAATGTAGATCTGGGGCCCCAGCTGGGTGAAGTCGGCGAGGTAAGGGTCAGATCGTATCACGGGGACCTCCCTTCCATCTTCGCCGGGTTGGACGTCTGGTTCGGGACCGGCGAGTTCCATGTCCTCCTTTTGCGCGAGACCTTTTGCCTGGCCCAAGTTCTCTCTCTGTGTCCCCTTCTTCTGCTTCTTTGCGATTTGAACAGAGAGATCGGCGGGGCAAAAATCCTTCGTCGGGATATAAGGCTGAGTGTGTTCAGGGGTGGGTGATAGGGTTTTCCAAATGTGGTGACTCAAGGATCTGCATACAAAACCTCTTCTGTAGAAAACCGAAACAGCCTTGATATAAATATATATAACAGTATCTGTCCAAAGAAGGCCTCACCAATTTACACCCCCTTTTGAAAAGTGTCAGCCGCTCAGAACCCCCGTCATTGAAGTCCTTGCAATTGTCAGAAAGCAATTCCCTTTTCAATGGGGATGGGAGTTAAAGCGTTGGTGATATCGGAGCTTCAGGCGGAGGGGGGGGGCCGTATGGTTCGCGCTCCCAGTTGTGTTGTTGCTTGGATTTTTCTTCACACTCTCTTAAATGTATATATATCCGGGAGGAGATCCGAGCTGCGTGATATCTGGTATATCTGGCAGTTCCAATAACAAGGAAAACAGAATCTTGCGCCGACCGCTCACAGAACGACACGTCTATGGGGAGATAGCTGCCTAAATTAATTACAAGAGTTCAAGGAGGAAGAAATGGGATGTTGGCCTCTTGTTAAGCGCCCACGTGAACCCATCGCCGCTTTTAACAGCGAAGCCTCGCGTGACGGTCCCAACTTGGAGAAGTCTTCCTCTCTTTACATCTATATACACTCCTCTGGTATTGGCGTGTCAAAGGCCCAGGCGGCAAGGACATTTGTCTATCTCTATCATCGGCCCATCATCCAAGTAGAGAACCAATGTCTTCGGGCCGAAAGGTCCGAGGTCACCTCGGCATCAATCAAATCTACCTCTATTTGGAATGTCTTTGTGAATAGTGCTTGCGTGAAGAGATTGCTGTTCTGTGAAACGGGCAGATGCTTCAATGCTGTTGTAACATTCAGCCTTGTCTTCTGAGGCGTGGAGTATGCGCGGCAATACCTAGCTGTGGCTTAACCAAGACGCTTTCTGTGAGCTAATGCGAGGCTGCGCAGCTAGGGTCGAGACGACAGATGCATCCTCAAATCTTGACATCTCTGCTTGGTCCGTCTTGCATGTGGTGGGTCCCGAGATATAAACGGACAGTGACGTTGATTCACCAGTTGATCCCGATGTTGTGATATTCAGCTCTGATCCTTGCTGACATCTTCCAACATGATTTGTGCACAGTGATTGTTGCTCAAAGCAGCAATGGCACTTTGAGTGATCGCCGTTTCCAAACTGGTACTGTTCTTCTCCACCAGGACAGTTGCGATCTGCCAGAATTCGAGGGGAATAGTCTTCAGAAATCCGTAGCGCTCGCGCTGGGGAGCAGTCAATGTCGCGTTCTGGAAGTCCCAGGCTGCTTTCCACCTGCTCAGCGCCACTCTCATTCGTTCCATGGTTTGCCACTTCTTCGGTCTGTATGGAGAGAGCCATAAAATCTGAGCTAGCGCCAACATCGAGCTGCAAAGATGCAGTAGCGACAAGTGTTGCATGGAACTGTGCATCTTTTCATCCCACTCTTCCTGCAAAAGCGCGTCGCATATCTGCGAGAGCGATATCTTCTGAAGTCCATGCTCTTTTAACGAAAGCCGATAGCAATCCTGGACATTGTCGGCAAAGAAAGCATCAACCGAGCCGGGCATCCCGATGTTCATCTCTTCCGCAAATAACCGGGGAGTCATATTGTACAGGACCGTGAAGCTGGCATCAAGATGAAAAATACCACATGCAAGACGAATTCTGGATTCATAAGCGGCAAACTGAGTCCACTGAAACTTTTCTGGTGGTGGTGGCTCAGCTTCGAAGAACGGGTTTCGAGTCTCCAGTAGACCTATGGCTCGAACAGCAGTTATAATGTCTTCAAAGAGTGATTTTCGAGCATCTCTCCGTTTAGCGGGAGACCCTTCCCGGATTTGAACTTGTGTGATGAAAAAAGCAGCTTCGAGCGCTTGCAAGGTTTCAACTTCGTCCAGTCCCCGTACTGCGTCAGGCCCCTGGAGCAGCTTTTTGAAAACCGGGTTGCTGAAAGCATATTCCACCACCAGGCCAAGAATGTCCCTTGCCAGCTCCATGTCAGTTGGCGAAGAGGAGAACAGAGCTCCCGTGAGGACCAATACCGTGAGTAAGAATGGTGATGTCGCAGCGAGTTGGAAAGTCCCCGGATGGAGAATCGGGCTATGTGGACAGTAATCTCGAAAATAATGACCGACAAATCGTTCGACGTTAGCCCTCGAAAACAGCTTCGCTGCCTTTGCAAGTCGATCGTTGGGCGCGCTTTCAGGATGTCCATGCGGAAGGGAGAGAGTGAATCCGGTCAAGCAGTCCAATAAGCAGTTGAAAGGGCCAACAGGACTGGCAAACGGGCCCGAGTGGTCTGATATTGGCCACGTCGTAGACCAATTTGCAGTCTCGCCCGTAGCTTGGAAGACTTCTGAATCGGGAAACAGACATGACACGAAAAAGTCGTCGAGTCTATCACTATGATCCGGCGAGATGTACTCGTCGGTCACCAACTGTACAGTAGCAGCAGCGGTACCGAAATCGCTTGCGGCGGCATTATCGTTCGCATTCAGAGGCAAGGACACTAGGGGGTTGAGGTTAGAGACTCGCTTCACACCTTGCTTAGCGCAGACTCACCGCCTGCTCTTTCTTTTTCTGTGACGGGACCATAAGCATCCGCCATAGATGTGGTCGGATTCACGAAGTTGAGAAGAAATGATAATGAAAACTTGCTCCGCCCTTGCCGCGCATGATTTCTTGACCCTTCAGAGCTGTCGGCACTGGCAGAGTGACTTCTCGATCGTTGCTCATCCTGAGTCGGGAGCGAGGGAGGTTCACTTCCAAGCCGCGATTGCCGCTGTTCCGTGAGGCGTGTGTATGTGCATTCAAGGCCATAGGAGAGGCAAGTCTCGCATGGACAATCCAAATCACACCCGAGTTTTAAGCGCGCACATGAGTCGCATGCTCGTGTTTTCTTGCCTTTCTTCAGCTTCTCAGGTATCGGTTGCTCACCTCTGGAAGGGCAGTTGATATAATGTCGGCGAAGCACATCACTAAAGAGAGGTCAGCCAATGGGCAATGAGCACTCGACAACTGCTTCAACAAAAGACTAGCATAGCTGAAAAGGCGCTGCCTGAGAAGGATAGCCAAAAGTTCATCCACGGTGTTGAACAAGAGAGGCCTTGATCAGTCGGTGACTTCTGTCGCTCGAGATAAACAACTTTGGTAAACCACGGAGACATTGGGTATGTTGCAGTAAGAAGTGAACAGCAACACCAAAGATTTCCCAATCGATCGACTGATCAAAAGAGCACATCGTCTGTAGGGCACCGCGGCCGCCCATTCCCGCTAGTTTGGTGGCATGGGGATGCACTTACGATCTGCGGTAGGATTTGGAGCAGAAGCAGCACACCCATGAGCGTGGAGGCTCTGAGATATCAGTAAATTTGACAAAGACACGCGCCCGAGGGTTTAAGGCATTCCACAGCTTACCATGGGTGTTCATCTTTTCCAATATCTAGTAGCTTGATGGTACGATTGGATCGTCCCTGGGTTGCGCTAGGCGAATGCGTTCAGTTCCAGATAGAACGCGGTTAGCAACGAGCTACCTCCGCGGGCTTCCTTTCAACATCTCAGGGGCCGACTCTCTCCTTCTGAAAAGTTCTCTGAAAGGTCCATTCGAGAGGAGAAGCAACTTTTTGTTTCCGCTTATTGAATCCTTCGGCAGCCAGCATAGATCAGTGGCGAAAAATTGTGCTGTCTGACAAAGCAGCATTTCAACGCTTGCCTTAGCCACTTGCATACGGAGCACTGCTGACAGGAACGAGGACGAACGAAGTCCGTACCCCGAAAGGACTCATGTGGTCATACAAGTTTTCAGGAATTGAGGGTGTAGAATGCTTAAACACAGGACAAACAAGCTGCCTATGAGTAGCGGTAGACTTACCTAGGTAGGCACACAGGGTTCGCACCAAGCTGCATAATTAATTGCGCATGTCTGACAGAAAAGTCATCGGCAGTGTCCCGAGTGCTGATGCCTAAAGCGGCAAGTCACTGAAGCCCAGTTCCGAAAAGCACTCAACGCGTCCTCCAAAGGAGTCGCGTCTCGTCACGTCGACTTCTTTTCCGCCTACCACGATCCTGAGATCCCATTGTCGATATTCACCACCGAACTCCAAGGGATCCCAATATGGCGGAAGACTTCAAGAAGTATCTGGCGAGTGAGGTGCTGATTGAGCAGCGAACAATATCCTACCGCAACATCTCCCGAGTCTTCAAAGTGCACGTCAATGCAGCGAAATGCATGCTCTACGAGTTCTACGAATTTCAGAATGCGAAGAAGCCCCAGTCGGTCTACGCTACCTACTTGTTGTCTGGGATAAAGAAGAGACCGACACTTGCTGTGGCCACGAATGGGACCGCTAGAGGACACACGAACGACTATGATCCAGACGAACATATTCCTTCAAGCCCACCCCCCTTCACCAGTTCAATGCTTGAACCGAGCCAACAAAGTAGTCATGTCGGAGAAGAGGAGGCAAACCAAGTGCCCGTGCGAACCGTAACGTTGGTCAGAGAAGAGGCTTTGGAAGGTGTGCTGCAGACACTTCAATACCCGAGGTGACCGCTAACTGGTGCTGCTAGCGATGAAAGAAGACTACGAGACAATCACGTCCATACACATCTACAGCCTCTCTCCTGCGCGAATACAAGATCTTGTCGCGTTGACCGACATCAGCCGAGGTCTGTTCACAAATGGGCTTGAAGACGAAAATGGCAAGATCTATGGTATGATTCAGAACCCTGATGTCCGGCGACGCAAAGGCAGGAGACCGGGGATTCCAGGAGGGCCTGCATCGAAATCTCAACCTGTCAAAGAAGAGACGAAAAGGTCTTCGTTGAGCCACACAAAACCTACACCCAAAGGAGCATATTCTGCTCCGCCTGTTAAAACCGAAGAGTCCTCACGCCCCAGTTCTCGTGACAGTCCCTCAATCTCCAGTTCCACCAAACAGCCGCCGACCCTAAAACGAAATGGGTCCGACCTCTTCAGAGCCTTCGCCAAACACGGCCCGCGAAAATCGACACCCACGGCTGCTACTCCTCAGCCTAATAGCCCCGACCAGGACACAACCATGAACGACGCTGATGAAGGTGAATCCGAGGACGAAGCACTTTTCCTCGACACGGGGACACGAAAATCTGCCATCACCTCGAAGAAACGGACCAGCGACGCAAAGAAGGAACGTGAAGACAAGGCGGCGAAGCTGCGCAAGATGATGGAGTCAGACGATGAAGAGGAGGCGGCAGCCCCGAGTGTTGAAAAGGCAACAGGGCTGCAAACCGACGAACCTCCCGCAGCGAAGAAGGGCACGGACGCTGATGCAGATGCCGGCGCCGACACCGACGCAAAGGACGATGATGCGGCTGCTGAGCAAGTGGCGTGGTCGGAATCCGATAGCGAGAAGAAACAAGCATCAAAAGACAAGTCCGAGCAAGACGCAGCCACGGATGCCCCCAAGCGGCGCCGCCGAGGCAAGCGCAAAGTCATGCAGAAGCGGACGACCAAAGAAGACGGCTACCTCGTGACCAGGGAGGAAGCCGTGTGGGAGAGTTTCAGCGAGGACGAACCCGAACCCGCGCAGGCTGCTGTCAAGAAGGAGGCTGTTTCAGCAGCACCCAAGAGCACGCCCAAGACGACGCAAAGCCAGGGTCCTACTCCTCAGAGTCAGAAGCCTAGTGCGAAGAAGAAAGGCGGCGGCGGGGGCAACATTATGAGTTTCTTTGGCAAGAAAAATGCATAGTTGGGCGCACAAAACGACGCCTGGGTTAAAGATATGGCTGGTATGCTAGCTGATTTGGCTAAGCGAAGAAGGAGACCGGGGCCATGCATGAGTTACATGGCATGTGTGATACAAAGAGAACCTAGGTACCTGGCTAGCTACTACCTCCTATACCTTGGCTGCTTGGCTAGCCATTAGCATACCAGAACATGGGATTCTGTATGCGCTTTTCAACGCCCCGGGCTCGTCTTGTACAGACTGCTCTTGTCTACCTAGTACTTACTACATGGACCTCGATGGGGCGGATAGTGGCTCGTGCACAGCGAGACGTAGGTACAGTGAAGATATATGGCACTGCTGCTCTCTCTCTCTCCCCCTTCTAGAAATTCATTGATCAAGCGTCGCATCATAAGTGCATACGGCACAATTGCCTTGGTCTCGGGCTTAGGACGGAGATGTCTTTCACATCACATCACATCACATCACATCACATCTCATCTCATCTCATCTCATCTCATCTCATTCCATTCTGTTCTGTTCACGTTTCCGCTCTCGTCAAAAAATACAATGCCTATCTATGTCATCACACAGAATATTCCACCCACCCAACGCCGACACGATACCCCTTGGGAGGGCTCCCATCGTCGTCCTCCTTGAGGACAAGCGCGGGCTTGTGCTCGGCGAGCCACAGCACAGCCTGGGCAAAGACGCTGTTCGCCCAGGCGAACCAGCTGCGCGTCATACCCTCGCCGCCGCCTCCACGCTTGACACCGCGATTGACGTCGACGGACTCGTTGATCAGGCCAAGAACGCTGACGTTCTTGACTTTGTCCAGACACTCGAGGATCTCGGCGTCGGAGGTCGAGGTCATGGCCTGCACGATGACGGACATGGGCCAGGCGTTGCGCAGGCCGATGTGCGGGCCGCCTATGCCCTGGAATTTCCCACCGGAGAGATAGTACGGGTTCCCGCGCTGGGTGAGGATCATGCGGCGGGTGTTTTGGTAGATTTCGTCGTCGGCGTGGACGAAGCCCAGAAGAGGAAGAGCTAAAAGGGACGGGATGTTGGCGTCGTCCATGAGCAGATGCGAGCCGTAGCCGTCGACCTCGTAGGCGAAGACTTGGCCGAATTCCGGGTGCGTGACCACGGCGTGCTTGTAGATTCCATCCTTGATGGTCTCTGCGCGCGCGGCGAGGTCCTCTGCGACTTGGGCCATTTGCGTCGCTTGGGGTTCTCCTCCTCGTGAAGAAGAGGCCGCCGCGGCCGCGGATCTGAGCATCTTCGCCGCGCGAGACAGTTCGACCGACATCATTGCGTTGGCGGGGATGAGGAACCCAAAGATCGTAGCGTCGTCCGAGGGCCGAAACGCGGAACGAATCAAGCCCGTCCCATCGGCCAACGGGTTTCCTGTTCCTTCCAGGTTGAGTGTCTCGGTCCCGATGCGCGTGACGCGGTTGAATGTGTATTCATTTCGTTCGTACCATCCTGTTTGGGGGTTGAAGGTCGGTTGAGCCTGCGCGTCCAGGACCCGCAAAAGGGCGTCGAGCGCTTTGAACCACCGAGTCGTCAAAAACGCCGTGGAGCCCGTGGATGCGTGGTATTCGTTTGTCAACTTCAGAAACGCCGCCAGGCTGTCGAGCTCGTATTTGCATTCAAACACAACCGTGGGTTCGTAGGCCGGGTGGACAATATCGTCTTGGCCTGAATGAACGGGAGCCAGACGCGACGGGTCCGGGGGCTGGAATGCGTTGCAGTAAGGTGAAGATATCACAAATTCGGCCTGGGTGTTGATCGCTCCGAGGATGAGGTTCGATATGTCCGGGGCGGATTTGGCGAGGAGTTGATATTGAGCCAGTTGGTTCGTCGAGTCTCTCAGCCATTCCGCGTTGATGTCCCCCGTCACGATGAACGAGTGTGCGCCTTGCCATCTGTCCCTGTCCCGCAGTAACCGTGGCGGGGGAGCGTGTCTCTTTTCTCCATCCACGTGCCACAGCACCGTCGTGTCGAGGGTGTTTGGAAACGCGTTCTGAAAGATCTGCGCGAGATCGGCATCTTTGAATCGCGGGTAGAGGTCCATTATGACTTGCTCGACCGCGGGCGAGGAGAACTTGCGGCAGCTCGGGTGTGGTCTTTGGAACGGGAGTTGTAGAGGTCCATCGCTGAGAGGTTTGCTGCGCAGGAAAGTCAGCAATTCGATCTTCGAGCTTGAAACACCGATCCGCTTACTGTATATGACGAGCATAGTTCGCGTAGTCTGGACAAAGCCCAAAGAGGGACTCCTGCTGCTTCAGGACGTCGCTGTCGTATGGGAGATCACCGTCACCGCCGAAAAACGCATTGACACAAGATATTGGCAGCCATATCGGGAGGCTGACGATGGCTGTCCATTGACGGATATGCATGGTACAGGACAAGACACATCATTAAAGGGAGTGAGGATGAGCGTGCATCATTTCGTGAACATCTAGTATGGCGACAAAGCATCGGGAGATGGGGGGCAGCAACGAGATCGACGAGGCTGAAATATGATACGGTGAAGCATACGCAACTGCAATGACAAGGCTGTGAAGACCTGAAAATGAATCGTCAAATGGTACCTCGTAGGTATCCAAGCTTGATAGAGCCAGTGAGCTATTCAAGCACAACACAACATCGTTGAATGACTTGTATTTGGCGACTGCTACAGTCTCAAACAATCCCCCAAGCTGCTTCGCCACGCTTTGCTCTCAGTTCTCATCCTCGTGTTCTCTGTTACAGTGACAGCGCCGTCCTTCTTCAACTCTTGACATCGTCAATGTCATCCTCGCCGCCTCTCTCAATTGGCATCGTCCATCTGCTTTTGCCTTCGAGAGGCGGCGAGGAGTGGGCCGCAAGGGGACCCAATTCGTTGAGGCTTTTTATCTTCGTCATCCACCCTTGCCAAAAGCCTCCCCATGTACTCATTCCCTGCGGCGTCTATCCCATACCAGACGGGTTCTTCGTCTGGGGCCGCCCTCACGACCTTGAAGCCAGCTCGCCCCAGGCCGTCCTTCATGTGGCGCGCAAATTCGCCACGGTAAACGATTCCATGCCCACACGCGTCGCACTCAAATGCCCAGCCTTTTTCTCTGTGTGCGATGGTGATCGTGTGCTCAAGGTTGGCTGGGTGGCACCTGAGGAGAGAGTTCGTGCTTGCGCTTGGTTGCACTCCTGGATGTGGTGTGGCAGCAATCACAGGGCCGGGCTGTGTACCATGAAAGATCTGATTGCCATGAGCCATCGGGAGCGCTGCAGGCTGACCTGGAATGCTCGAATATGGAACAGAACTGAGTGCTGAACCCATAGTGTCATGTGTGTGGATGTTGACGCGGATATTGTCGAGCACAGCCGTATCCATGAGTCCTTGTAGATTGTACATGTCGTGCAGCGTCAGGATTAGGCGTTGCGATTGTAGGTTCTGACTGGTGCCGTAATAACTGAAGACAAAGTTATGAAGTGCGCCACGTTCGAAGGGCGTGAGGGCGGCGGGTGTGTGATGTGAAATGAAGTCCTGGACGCCACATCGAAAAGCCTCGTCTCTTGCCACAATTTCGAAAAAGACTGGATCCACGTAGTCGGACATTTTGGCTGCTAAGTGGTGAAGGCAATGAAGTGGAGGTTCTGGGGAACTGGGAAGGCTGTTCTGGACGTATCTTCTCGGTGGCAGGAGTTGTGATACAGGAAGCTTCGAAAGGAGAAGTCTGCTGTGTATGAATGTAGACCGCGAGAATCGTTTCGAGGAGAAGAAAAAAGTCGCAGCTTTCACTAATTTAAAGTGGTAACAAGTCTAGGGAGTAGCATGCCTGTCATTTTTGCGCGCAGTGCATAAATAACTGTGAACACCTGGCTGCCCTATCGCGATTTTCAGCTAATTGCACAAAGGAACCATTGTGCAAAAGCTGTGATGTCGAGCGGTGAAGCGAGACTAGGCCTGCATCTTTGGTCCCCTGGCCGCACGACAACGTGGACCTCTGCACCGACTGGCTTGCGCCGCAGCGTTAAAGGCACCGTCAACCGCCACGGTGATAAGGAAGCAGAGAGCATAGTGTTGGTTGCTCAATCTTCTTGCTTTCGAGCTGTTGTTTCTCGGTCGCAAGCTGTTTCATTTCCCGTGCATGTCCACAGGTCTTGCCCTCGAGTATTTAAACCATGGGAGCCTTGGTAAGTGTGCGTGTTTAAGGTCTTCTCTGTCCTTTGCTAAGAACTCTTTGGCAGAAGCAATCTTCATGGCGTCTCAGAGATTTGTTCCTGGAGCTCCTTATTCTCCGTCTCCAACCTCAGTCTCAGTTTCTCGAGTTGATCCTTGGCCTTCGAAAGTCTCTGGAGATCCGGCGCTTGGGCGCGGTTCTCAAGCACACTATATGGCAAATTGATCAGGAGTTCTTCACGGATCGCCACAACACCATGGTTGGGGATGCACTTGACGTTTTCTTGGTTTTAGCCGCATGGCCTGCACCGTGAGAGCCCTGGAGTCCTGGTCTCTGCAACCGGAGAGCCCATGACAGGGTTCCTTTTACATCTGAACTGGGACTGGTCATCGCAACAACAAGCCTGGCGCAGTCGACGGAAATTTATTGGGTCCAGTGTCGAGAAAAGTTGGGTGACCGATGTGCGACAATGCTGGCGTTCAATTAAATCGTTAGAATCCTGGAGTTCATTCTGGGTAGATCTTGGTTTTGCAAAGATCAAGATGCTTCTTTCAGCGGTTGGGTATCATGGTGCGGGTTTGGGCCATCAACACGGATCCTTTTGTTGTCCCAGCACTCAAGACAAATGAATTGCGAGCTCCAGCTGTGCTGTGGACAAAAGTTTGCCCGATCCGTGTGAAGACGACATAACCATATCGTGGGGATTTCACAGGAGAGGGCTTCCCCTGATACAGTCTTGTCACGAGTCAAATACTGCAGGCAATGTCTGCATTATGAGGAGGAATCTGAGCAGCATAGCGTCGTCAACTCGAAGAGGGAAGCCAAAGTCCAAGACATGAGGAGTCTGAGGGTCTGTGACGATGGTGGTCAATTCTTAAGTGTTGACTGTGAAGGAAGCAAGGAAGGTCCCTCCACGACAAAACAAATGCACACCTCGGCTAACTTTCCAGCCTGGGGAGTCACAAGAGAGCAGCGCGATCAGTCAAGCAATCAACCGCACTGCCTCGTACAAAGGCATAAATTCCCCGCGAGCCCCAGAAGAATACCTAAGGTAGTAACGACAGGAGCCCAGGAAGGGTGGAATGGATCTTCTTACAGGGAAAACGACAGCAGGATGAAAGTATTGGGGACAAGGCTCTGATCCCTTTTTCCCCGGAAGTAGCAATGGAATAAGGCTACCCCCTGATAATAGTGGTGGTAATAGTGGGCAAGGCTCGTCCTCCTCCTCCATCTGGTCCTTTGTCAGCCAGCATACGCCGTTGCAGGATCCCCGCAAGGGGAGGAAGTTTGTAAATCCGGAGGAACGGAGCATAGAGTCCGTACCTCGGGCACTGGTGTTCGCCCGGCCCTCAATCCGCGGAGCAATCCTCCCCCGGTGCATAAAGATGGACGACGAGATGTGCTTGACTCGTAGACGACATGCATAAAAGGTGAAATAGTTTTAGGGTACAAGTATTGGCGCGATCCTTCTGGACCTCAACTGCAATCGTCGTCCAATCCGGCCACGCCGTTTCCGAGCTGTGTGACTTAAAACTCCTACTGAGAAAAAGAAACGACCGGGTCAAAGTCCAGTGGCCGAGGCTACGGACGGACCAAGGTTGAAAGTTCCCGAACCGGCCAATCCCCATTCATTTCTCCAGATAAAGTACTGAATGTTCACGATCCATTGTCAGCCCCTCTAGATACGAGACGAGATAGATTTCTTGCAGATTACAAGGGACCATATATCATCCGTGATCGGATCACAAACGGGGTCAACAGCGGACGTCCACTTTGTTTCCCCCCGCATATCTAACCAGAAGTAAGATATCAGTCATTTTGAGATCCTTGCTGTGTAGGGGGAAAAAGGTTGAGACAGATCAGTCAGAGACACAGGCGGGAATTACAACAAACATGCCTCTCAAGTACGACCCCGAATATTTCAAGGCCTTTGAGCCCCTAATCCCCATGCTTGCCGCCCGGCCGAAGCCAGCCGTGCACGACATCGAAGCTCGCCGTCAAAGCATGGAGGCGGCCATTACGCTGTTCAAGGATGCCATGCCCGCAGCCCCCGACGTGGAGCGGCAGGAACACAGCATCACCACACCCGCAGGCGTGACGTTGCCCGTGTTCAGCTTCTTCAAGAAAGGGACGTCTACGTCGTCCGAGACGACGCCCGGCCCGGCCATCCTGCACTGCCATGGCGGCGGCATGATCTTAGGCTCGGTGAGAATGTCATCCCAGGGGATCGCCTGGGAAGTCCAGCAGACGGGCGTGCCGATCTTCAGCGTCGAGTACCGCGTGGCCCCGGAGTCGTCGGGCACGAATCTGGTCGAGGACTGCTACGCCGGCCTGGTCTGGCTGTCGCAGAACGCCGCCTCCTTCAACGTCGACCCTGCCCGCATTGCCGTCTTTGGAGAATCCGCGGGCGGAGGCATCGCCGCAGGCGTGGCCCTCATGGCGCGCGACAGGAACCTCTCCCCGCCCCTCGCAAAGCAGATCCTCATCTACCCCATGCTCGACGACCGCAATTGCATCCCCAACGCGCGCCTCGAGCCGTTCGCGTTCTGGAAAGTCGAGGACAACATCACCGGCTGGACCGCGCTTCTGGGCGCCGACAAGGCAGGCAAACCCGACGCCGACGTCCCCTACTACTGCGCCCCCGCCCGCGCCAAGTCTCTCGCGGATCTACCGCCCACGTACATCGACACAGGCGGCTTGGATATCTTCCGTGACGAGGACATTGAGTACGCCAGGAGGCTCGCGCTGGAGGATATCGAGGTGGAATTCCATCTATACCCGGGCGTGCCCCATGCCTTTGAGATCTTTGCGCCAAATGCAACCGTGACGAAACGAGCATTTGAACACAGGTTTAAGAGCATGATGAGCTTTTGATTCGTCCTGCTGCACGGTGTGGTGATTGTGGCGATGAGGGCTCCATCAGAAGGTTCAAAAGTACTTTGATGACAAACCATGGCACGGGGACTCGGCGAGCATATCTACACAGCACTCATATGGACAGACTTTGGGCAGGTGCTACGATAGATAGGGGCACAGAACAGCTGAAAGAGCACATCCAGCTATGAGATAGTACTATGTGCATCCACCCTTTTTATTTGCCGAAGCGATGCGTCGAAGAGAGGCGTGCACAGAGAACCTAGCAGCCACGGAAGCACAGAGATCTCCTCGTGATCTGCGTCCTGTTTCGAGATCCTACTCACATTCGTCCCTTTCCCTCGTCCGTCTGCATATGAATAACCGTCGATTGTACCATTGCCTTCCTAGTAAACAACATTGAGCCAGATATGGTCTTTGTTCACTGGCGTTGGCAATCTCCTGAATCGAGCATCATGGAAGTCTTTATCCATGGATACTCGCTGCCACGTTGACTCTTTGGGACCTTAGCTGGTCCTTCCATCTGAGTGAACGTTCTTACAACTTCACGCATCGTATTATCTGATGTTTGCTTTTTTATGAGCTGTCTGGACCCAATGGATCTGGGAGTTGCGGTCCCTGAATCTTCTGAGCATGAATAGCTTCAGGGTGTTTGAGTAGACAAGGCATCTGCTGCTCGAATGAATGGATCGAGGACGGTATGGGGTTGTCCACTAAGATGAATCAAACAACAATCTGCATGAAAGCCAGGTTCGTAGTACAAGTGAGATACCCGGCTGCGATCATAGACAGTGGATCAGATGATGAGGGAGAGGAATCAAAATTCCCCAGCAAGGTGCACTGGACTGTCAGCCAAAGCATCAATAAATCTGGCCAGAGACATAGCACTCACCAACTTGTGTTTGCTCCAGGCGACGCTTTCATCAGTATGTTCTAAGCTGCCTCAGCACGTTTTTCATGTCGGGCATTCAACTGTATCGAGAACATTCTGGATAACTTTATCTGGATCTAAGCCGTCCAAGAGGTCTCGTGCAGACGCTAAGTCAGTCCCATACTGAGTGCTCCGTTCGCGACCGGGAGTGGCCATAATGATTCGATGAGGGTATATCTTCTTCGCCGCCAGGGCGACCAATGATGGTGTAACATAGTCAATTCCGTGGAAAGGAGCAAGGTATCTAGAAGCCAGATTAGGATGACATTCATGTTGCTTAGTCCAGGCACTGACTTTGCTAGGGCGAGGAAAAGCGTCGTTGCATACGGCGATATACCACCGTCAACACCCCGCTCCATCCGAAGGAATGCCACAACATCCTGTAAATACCTTCGAATTTCCGGAGTGATGGTCGCAGCCTGGCCTTGGGCACGAAGCTGTTCGATTAACTGAATATACAATTAGACACTCAAGAAGTAAGCGGGGCAAAAACTACCTTTGCGTCGATTCGGCGATTCGCAATCATTTGCTGCCGTCTCCTATTCGGAGAACGAGAATAGGAATAAGTGGAGTCGTGGTCTTCGGAATTGGCTGCGTCGTCTAGCTCTTCGAGATTTGGAAACCCATCTTCTGGAGAGTGGGAGTGGGACATAAATATTCGGTCGTTCTGCAAAGATGAGCTTATGCGAAGGAAGAATGGGTCGTACTTACAAGGTGTTTGTTCAATCGGATATGCTTAGAAGAGGCAGCAACAAGTGGAAGCAGCAGGAAAACCGTAGGTGCTGCATGTACGGTTGTTCGACTGAACATCCTCCGCCTCCTGACAAGCTACAGCTTGATCAGTACAAGAAGTGTGCTCAATGGAAAAGGCGTACCTCGAGAGCCTGGATCTGCACGTCTTCGGGCGCGAGGTTGAAGTCCTTGGCGATGATAACATTGACAACTCTCCTTGTGTCCAGTTTCTGGTGATCCACAAGGTTCGAAGATCCTGCGCCGAAATTCACAGAGGCAAGCTTTGAATGGAGCATGCCCGACTAAACAAGGTTAGACAAGTGACTAGATATGGAGTAGAAGCCGGTACGAACACCCTCCATATCAATGTCTGGCTCGTGAGTGATATCATCATATTCGTTGTTATCGTCATCCAAAACCGCAGCGCCAAAGGTCTCGATAGACTGTAAATCGTGTCGATCAAGGATGATATACGAGAGACTGAACATGTCTCTGGCAATCTGCACGAACATTAGTCGGGGTTGAGCACTTTGTAGTGAAGCCCACCAATGCAAGCTCGGACGCCAGATCATCCAGTAGATCATCCCTGGCCACCACCATACAAGGGTGCTGGGCAACGAGGCTGAGAAGGACAGCCAGCTCAAGGTCTGTAAGATCGTCAACATGGTCCAGGAACGCTTTTGCTGAATCCATGTTTGCCGGGGTCCGCAGAGCCTAGGTATGCAGTAGTATATGCATGTCGGCTTTTCAAAGCAGTCCTTGGAGTGACTACTATCTGACGAGGCTCCCTGTATGTCTGGCAATGGTGACACGAGGAAGATGTAGTGAGCGCGAGGAGGAGCAGGTTGAGGTTGACTCCAGAGCCTCGAAGGAAGGAAACTTGGCCGAGCCAAAGTCTCATATCATTGGCCAGCAACGGACAACAACTGGATGCCTCCATCTTCTTCCTCCGAGTCTCTCATCCATGCCATCAAGATCAGATCGCCTGTTATTCCCATGGACTGCCTGACCTCATGACAAGCAACAATCCCAGGGCTGGCTGGGAGATAGTTGGCGACCAGTTCTACCGAAAGGTGCCATTGTACGAGTCAATTTTTGACCAGGATCTCGAACTTGAGAACTACCTCGTAGCAGGTGCACCGTATGGTGGCGCGCTAGGTAACTCTCCATCACTACCTGGATTTTCCGGAGCTGACGGTTGTAGCGCTATGGCGAGACACGACCAAGATTGCACGGTATCGAACCGGTCAATCAACCAAGCCGACCATCGACATTTATTCCTCGTCCGGCAAGCTCATCAGCAACATCAACTGGGAGAAAGGCGTAATCAAAGGCCTCGGATGGTCGGACGATGAGAAGCTCTTGGTCGTAACCGAGGATGGCACTGTCCACTGCTACTTCGAGCTTCATGGCGACTTTCAACCCTTTTCGCTCGGACACGGTGCAGAGGAATTTGGTGTCGTCTCTTGCCGCTTTTGGTCGCACGGATTCGTCGCTCTGCTTTCCAACAACTCGTTGGTAGCTGTCTCATCGTTTGACGAACCCAGACCAAGACTGCTTGCTCAAGCACCGGAGGGAGAAGTGCACTCCTGGTCCCTCATTCCACCGGCATACACCCTGTCTCGGTCTGTCGAGGTACTACTCGCAATAGATAAGACAGTTTATGTCGTGGATGTCACCGAAGCCGAAGATCGAGGACTATCAGACGGCCCGTTCAAGCATGTCAGCGTCTCTCCTAACGGGCGATTTGCAGCATTGTTCACCGAGGACGGCAAAGTTTGGGTCGTCGGCAGTGACTTTCAAAACAAGTACAGCGAATACGACTCAAAAGCGAAGACTACGCCAAAGCAGATATATTGGTGTGGAAACGATTCAGTCATCCTGGCTTGGGAAGACGAGATCCACATGGTTGGTCCTAATGGTGCTGCCGTCAAATACTACTACGATGACCAGGTTCATGTCGTTCCCGATATTGACGGTGTCCGATTGATTACGAACGAGGCGTGTGAGTTCTTGCACAAGGTGCCCGATCCCCTAGAAGAAGTGTTCAAGCTGGGTTCGACATCGGCGGCCGCGGTACTTCTTGATTCAATCGAGCTGCTGGAGAAAAAGTCGCCCAAAGCCGACGAGAACATCCAGCGGATCAAACCGAATCTGCCAGATGCTGTCGAAACATGCATCCGGGCTGCGGGTCACGAGTTCAACCACAGTCTTCAGAAACAGCTGCTGCGTGCCGCTTCGTTTGGCAAGTCAGTGCTCGACCTGTACAGCAGCGACGAGTTCGTCGACATGTGCGAGGATCTGAGAGTGTTGAATGCCGTTCGAGACTACCGCATCGGCCTCTACATGACCTATGAACAATACGTCAGACTGACGCCGGAACGGTTGATAGCACGGCTGGTCCATCGACGAGAGTACCTCCTTGCGATCAAGTTGTCGGAGTTCCTGCATCTTCCTCCTAGCAAGATCTATGTGCATTGGGCTAGCCAGAAAGTCCGAGGGTCACCTGCAGATGACGATGCTGTTCGAGAGATTGTAGTGGAGCGATTGCGTGGCAAACATGGAATCTCCTTTGAAGCCATTGCACGGGCGGCCTACGACGAAGGACGAAGTCATCTTGCAACGACATTGTTAAATCATGAACCTAGAGCGGGGAAACAGGTTCCTTTACTACTCAACATGGAAGAGGACGAAATCGCACTCAATAAAGCAATTGAGTCTGGGGACACCGACTTGGTATTCTTCGTGTTGCTGGAATTGAAAAAGAAACTGCCGCTCGCAACTTTCCTCCGCACCATCAGCGACAAGCCCGTGGCGTCAGCACTCGTGGAGAGTTCAGCAAGAGCGTCCGACAAAGAACTGCTCAAGGACTTGTACTATCAGGATGACCGGCCCGTCGAGGGTTGTAATTTGTTGCTGGAAGAAGCCATGCAACAACCGCAGGTTCAGGCGGTGATCGACAAGCTCAAGCTGGCTGGCAGATTGCTCACTGATGCAAAGGATCCCACGGCTCAGTTCCACGCTAAATCGCTGACAGAGGCCGCACAGCTTCTCAAGATGCAGGAAGCCTTCGACAAGGACATCAACGACGGCAGCGGAAGCTACGTGGGATTGAGCATCAACGAGACCATGTTCCGCCTGATCCAATCGGGATACAGCAAGCGAGCGACCAAAGTCCAGGGCGACTTCCGGGTGCCGGAGAAGACATGGTGGTGGATTCGACTTCGGGCATTGACTGCAGCCCGTCTCTGGGGCGAGGTCGAGGAAATTGCTAAGAGCAAGAAGTCACCGATCGGGTGGGAGGTAAGTCTTCTACTTTGTCCCTCGAAGAGTTGTTGTGTCGCTGATCTGATTTCCTGCGTTAGCCCTTTTATAACGAAGTCCTCGGAGCAGGCAATACTCGCCTTGCCTCATCATTCATTCCAAAATGTACCAACCTCCAGCCTTCGGAGAGGATTGAGATGTGGGTCAAGTGTGGCATGGTCGTGAAGGCCGGGGAGGAGGCCGTAAAGGCCAAGGATGTGAATGCGCTCGAGTTGCTCCGGGACAAGGCCAGCGGCCAGCAATTGGTCGAAATTGAACGGATGCTCACGCATCTGCGGCCCAAGAAATAATGATACGGGCAGTGGTTGGACGACATCGTCAATGGGAAGGTTCTGTAGCGTTATGTTATTTTGTCGGCTTCATCCTCCTCTTCCTGCGTTGCAGTCGTCGGTGCTCGCGGTGCAGCCGCAGCGGGCGCTGTCCGGTCGACCACGACCAGCTTCGTCTTTGAGATGGTTGTCGCCGAGTTTTCAATATCCTTAACCCGGCCACCCTCGATGTCGACCTCTTCCATGTTATCCTCATCCTCCCACCCGTCCTCCTCCCCATTCTGCTCCGCATCATCACCAATCGCTGCCATTAATGTGACAAACTTGTTGTTCGTCCCGTTGACTTCCTCCCACATACCCTTCCTCTCGCGCCTCTTCTTCAATCGCTGCGACGCATCTTCAATCTTTCTCGCATGTTGATCCTGCACCATCTCTGCCCTGGCCAACCCTTTTTCATGTCTGCGCCGTTGCCCGCGGGAAAGAGGCTTTTGCTTTTTCTTTGCTTTGGTGATGCCGCTGTTTGGGCGGGCGGCCAGGATTGGCGTGGCGTCCGAAGCGCGCGGGGCGTCTCTGATGGATTTATCGACGTCGATGGAAGGGGAGGTGGCTCGCTTTGAGGCGCGGGATCTCGGGTTCGCTACGTACTTTTCGTGTGAGGATGATTGTGCGCGTGCGAGTCTGGGGATTGTGTACGAAAGGCTTAGAGCGGCTCACCTGTGGGATCCTTCTTGATCTTTGAAGTTTTCGCCATGTTCTACATGTACCTGAAGTCTTCGACGACTGCTTCTTCGGCGTAGTCTTCGCTGGGATTAGGTGTACTGGAATACGAGATCTATGTGTTGCGGTGCGTTCTTCAGTGCCCCACAACAATTTTTCTTTGCATGCCGCAGTTGAGCCGCGGGGAGCCAGATTGACCGACATTTGATCGCAGGATGACGCTATTGTACCATGTACTATTGTGCATACCTAGGTACCTGCCATCCGACAAACACAGCTTGTATTAATTAGAGAACATTATTAACTAAAGGGCGTTTGAGGGGACTCGTATAACGCGGTAGGGTTTGCTTGAATGGTCTTTCGTCTGAATGATTCCGTACAGGCCAGAGATCTGTCCTCGGCCCTAGCTGGCAAGGCTTCTCCTTGCCTTCTGGGACACCGCTTAAAGCATGGTTCCATACTCTCCATCCCTTAATTATGTTCGTAGTCATGGCTGATCTGTGTGAATAATCCGCGTTGTGCCCCAATCCCCCGTGAAGCAGAGCACGAGGGACAACGACTGGTTGGTCGATGCGGCAGCCAGAATAACCCGCGAGCCAGCGCCCACAACATCCACCAGCATGTGACGTAGCGCAGCCTCATCAGCATCAGGTTCTCCAACCTCAGCCTTCCTACTTACCTGGTCGATACATACACGCTTCCCACCTGCAATCCACTGCTTTCACAACGTTCCACTCCTGTCCATCCCATGTTGAGGCCATAGTTATCACCACAATCTCCCGCAATGGCCCCCGCGAGACCATTGAAGCGGCAAAAGACCAATCCCACTCCAGAATCGCGCTCAGAGTCATCGCCTCAAGAGCAGGCTCAGCAGGCTGCCAGCGTGCCTCTTCCCCCAGACACCCCTCCTGCCTCAAGCCCTTCGACCCCCAAACAAGATCAAAGATCGGTAATCAGGCTTCTTGGTCAACGGGATGTCCAGATTGCTGATAGACTGAACAGTCATGGCTCGCTCGAACCTGGCCGCGCAAGGCTCCTCCCCTAACCCAGACGCACCGCGAAAGCGTCTCTTCCGCCTCAACATCCTCCACGGCGGCCCCATCTTCCACCACGACTACAGCCACGGAGGTGCCTTTACCACCAAAAGAGAAGATAAGGTCCCAGAGATCGCCCTCTTTAGCAATGGCCCTGGGAAAATCCACATCGAACCGCTCCCTTCCTATAGATGCCACTACCACTCTCGTCAATGCCACTCCAGAAGCTGCCACCTCATCAGGTAAAAAGGACTCACAGATAGAGTTGCCCTCTAAGACCAGGGACGCCGGAAATGCATCCAAGCCTGCTGCAAATGGCCAACAGAGACCGGAGAAGACGGATACCAGTCCTGTTCAGCAAGAGGTAGTTACCGAGCCAACACCGGAGATCTCGCAACCCCCTGCAAATCCGCAGCAGGCACAAGAGTCACAAAGCATGTGGATGAGCTGGTTAGGCAGAAGAGACGGCAATGCAGCAAAACCCGCCGAAACACAACCACCACCTCCCAAGCCCGTGACAGAGTCCAGTATCCCTCCTGCAGTCGATACAGATACGAATTCCATTAAATCCCCGCAGCAAGTGCAAGAGCAATCGAATTCCCCTGCGGCTACCAACAACAAACGAAGTTGGTATCAAATGTGGAGCAGCGGTGATCAACCCGGTAGTGGACCGACTAAGCAACCAGAGCCTCCGTCAGAGCCACCGCAGGCCAGCAATGTGCAAAGGGTCGAGACTACAGGATTGACGAAGGCGGGGACTGACAGCCTCGACATACCACCACCCAAAACGCCCAAGGCAAAGGAGGGCTCGCAAGCTTCTTCCCTTGAAACCTCCCCACCGCCACAACTTCCAGGCGACGGATCAAAGTCGGCAGGATGGGTATTTTGGTCTCGAGAAAAGAAGCGCCCTGCGTCTACTGCATCTGCAATATCAGGGACGGACCCTCATGTCGGGGAAATTGCGATATCAAACACACCATCTCAGGCTCGGCCTAAACGAGCCTCCATCAGCCTACAGGACGACAGTGCGAAACCCAAGGTAGTGCCATCGGCTCAAGAAGAGCAGTCAAAGAAGACAGCAGGAAAGAAAGCCCCCGAAGTCAAGCAGCAGCCGGCGACAGAGGAAAAGCGCATCCCCACAGCTCAGAAGAAGGCCATCCCTACGAAGGAGGAACCTCTGACTACCAAAGCCACATCATCCAATGCTACAGCCACTGCACGAGAACCTGCCAAAGCCCCCTCAACACCTCGGCCGGCGTCTCCCGTGCCGTCGAAGAAAGGACATGAGGACCCCAATCTGCTCCTTCCCCATCTCAATGACACTCTCACCTACGAAGAACAACCCTCACTTCTCCAGCAACTCGCGCGTCTCCTCTACTACACCAAGGAATCTGATCAACCGAGACAACTCTCTCTACTGAAGGAGCCACCTCGAATTAGAAACGCTTTAGCAATTGGTGTTCACGGCTATTTCCCAAGTCCCATGGTCCGATCAATTCTAGGTCAGCCCACGGGCACCAGCATCAAATTCGCCGAAAAGGCTGCCAAAAACATTCGCAGATACACCAAATCTCAAGGTTATGACTGCGAAGTCAAGACGGCAGCCTTGGAAGGTGAAGGACGAATTGCCGAACGTGTCGAGCTGTTGTGGAAACTCCTCCTGAACTGGATCGACGAGATCCGAAGGTCCGACTTCGTCATGATCGCAGCTCATTCCCAAGGCGTCCCTGTAGCGATGATGCTCGTGTCCAAACTGATCCATTTTGGCTGTCTCGCGCCAACTGCTCGCGTCGGCGTCTGCGCCATGGCAGGCGTGAATATGGGTCCTTTCCAGGACTACAAATCCCCCTGGATAACGGGTTCCGCGGGGGAATTGTTCGAATTCACAGACCCCAACTCCAAAGTTTCCAAAGACTACATGGCTGCTATCGCCGAATGCCTGAAATTCGGGGTGAAAGTCACCTTTGTGGGGAGCATCGACGATCAATTGGTGTCGATGGAATCCTCGATTTTTGCACCCTTGACGCACCCACACATCTACCGCGCGGTCTCGATCGACTCGAGAATCCACGCTCCCAACTTTCTGAGTAATCTTGTCGGGTTTGTATTGAAGTTGAGAAACGTGGGTGTGCCGGATCACGGACTCATCAGAGAACTCTCGACGCCTCTAGCGGGGTCGCTATACACGGGAGAAGGCCATTCGAGATTATACGAAGATGATGCCGTGTACCGTCTCGCCATCGCCTTTGCTCTGGAGACAACCTCCACCAAGGACGTTGCAATATCCAGCTCGAAGCGCCAGGCACTTCCCACCAGCAGTACCAGCGCCAGCGCCAGCGGTAGCGGCAGCGGTAGTGGGAGTAGCATCAGCGGTACGAACACGACGAATCCGTACATCCTGCCCTTCGCCATGCGCGGGATCCTCGAGGAGGATATTGTCAAGAAGGAACTGAGAGACGAGGCGAGACAGCTCCTCGAGCAGTTTGACGAGTGGGAACCGAAAACGAAGGTGTTGAAGGATGTCAAGTTCAGGCTCGAGGGCATTAGGAGCCAGTTGTACTAGAACAAGGAATCTAATCTACAATATAGAGGAGAATACAGGAGATGTTTCCTCGGGTGTAAATGTAATGCCCAGGACTCCAACCTGACCACCACCCACAAGCCGCCGCCGTACCGGTTTTGCAAGAAATATATCGGGGGAAAAGAGGGTATATCGCTCGATCTCTCTCCATCTCAACAACTTCTTACGCAGAGGACAGGGAAAAATATAATATCCGATATAAATCAATAGCTCGCATCCGTACACAATGCAGCATCTGCTGGAACTCAACGTGGACAACGACAAGTATACTTCGTCATGGATACTACAGATAACCCGCTCAAGAATAACGCTATCACCGAGTTTTTGAAAACACTGATCCCTGGCCCAGTGCGCGGGATCCGCCTCCTTGGTCCCGCCGATTCATGTTTGTGGTGTCATGACCCTGTCTTCATGTTCCATCGCAGATCCTGCACCATCACCTCCATGCTTCTACAACCTGCTTCTATAAGATTCTCCAGAAGCTGCATCAGACCCGGACTTCGACAGATTCAAGACGAACGATTTCCATCAGCAACATCCACCATTCCAGGTACCATTAGCTGTCTCGCATCGGACCTGCCAGCACTACCGTCAAAAACAAAGGGTCCTGCATCATTCCTGGGCGTTAATGGTCCTTCTGCAACAACGACTTGATCGGGATCCGGTGTTTGCGTGTGGGTACGTTGCTGTTCGAGCTGAACCTGCATCTCTTCCTCAACCGGTTGATCAGGCATGTCGATGTTACCGCTCATTGAAAGCTCGGATGAACGCGGGTTGGTGGCTTGCCTGCGGGCCAAAAGCCCCGACGTATTGGGAGTTGCCGGAGCATCAGTGGTTCGGGACTGAGATATAGTGACGGGAGGGTTTTCGGAGTCCATGTCCATTCGAGTGTCATCGCCATTTACGGTTGTAGTTGGCACGGTTGCATTGGCAGACTCTGGTTCGCCTGTTACTTGACCGTTGATATGGGCATCTGAGGCATGATTTGCTTCCAGCGTAGCATCGGCACTGGCCTCGGCGGTTTGGTTCTCTGGATCATCAGTATTTTCCATCCATTCGTCTATGTCGGATTGAGCAAGGTCGACATCGGCGGTCAGGTCTGAATAAGCTCTGCAATTTGGACATTGGAATTGCGGATAGACACTGTTTTTGCCTTCGAGTAGGGGTCGAATGCATTTATAATGCCAGACATGGGCGCATGGGGCGACAAACAACGCTTGACAAGGCTGCGAACGTTGTTAACAAGAGAGACTCGATGGGTCTCGAGGGGCCTACCAAGACAGAACCCAGACAAATCGAACATTCGCCACTGTTGGTGTCTGCAGAGGGCTGGTCCTTCGCGAGACTTTGCAGTTGCTGATGCCTGCTTTTGCTGTAAATTAAGTCAGTTTCTGCCAACGAGCTCTCAAGAAGATGTGCCTCACTTGAAATTATTTGGTTTCTTTTGCCAGGCACGGTTGCATTCAATGCGAATTTTGACGCAGCGAAAGATCATTTCCTCTCCGCCACGGAAGTCAATGCCTAACTGGACAATGTCGCCATCTTTGATCGGGAATAGTCTCGACTCGGTATTTGGTTGACTCAGCCTGATGTGGTTCAAAAAGGTACCAGAGGAAGATGCAACGTCCTTGATCTGCCATTGACCATCAAGAAAACTGAACTCGCAATGTTTTCGACTGACGACCTTTGACTTGAAGCCAACAGGAGCGTCAGAGGGTCCAGTAGGATTGGCCGCAGGGACCCCTTCCCGCTCAGAATAGCGACCGACTCTTATGATGGAGTGCTCGTTGGGTAAGGTCCGCGAGATTGGGGAGAAGTTCAGCGAAGGTCTCCCGTTCCTGATTTCCTGGTGAGGGAAGAAGCGAATAGTAGGTAAATGTTGCTTCGCTTCCCCTTCCTGTGTCTCTCCTTTTGTCCCCGAAGGAGTCTTGTTATTGCCTCTTGCTTGGGCAGGTCTCGGGACGGAATCTGACGCCTCTGCGGCTGAGGCATCGGCCTGAGGGTTATTGCTGGCAGTCCTCCTTGACGTGGATGACCGATGTCTCGCCATATCCTCCGGACTCGTGTGTTCCACTTGATCTGTAGGCGGTTCCTGCTCGACTCGGGGCGAGGGGCTCCTTGTCCCAACCTGACGCGGGTCTGAGGAGAGGAAGGTGGTAGGTTCGTTTGGGCGAGACGTGCTCCGTCGTCGACTCGTTACAGGATCTGGTCGATTGTCGTTGTAACTGAGTGACCTCTGGAAATAGTGTCTAGGCGAACGGGAGGGCTCGTTCGGGCTCGTTCCACCCGATGAACGATTGTGTGAAAGAGCACGCAGATAGCTCAAACCCCGGCGCCTTGCAGACGTGGTTCTGTTGACACTCGGTTCGGTAGCCGGGGGGGTAACAGCGGCGGACGGCGAGATCATGGGCAATAACGTGAAGGAGGAGTGCACGGGTTGAGGCTGGATTCCCAGACAGGGCCAAGGCAGGTGATTTGAGGGTAGGAACACTGCCCTACAGGAACAGGCGGCAACGGCGGCAGTAAGCAGCAACAGCCCAGTCTATCGCTCTTTCGTATCGAGACTCTCGATTGGCTTGAGGCAAGATGCGCCTTCGTTGAGGCGCGGGCTCGAGACTCAAAACTCCAGCAAAGGAAGCAGAGCAAAGGGCCAGGTAACTTTGGTCAATAGATGGTGGATAATATGATGTAGGATGCGCCCGCAATCCGACAGGCAGGGTCTGAGAGTGAGTGGAAAAGGCCACCGCAGGGAGGGACCAGGATGTTGTTGGAACCAAACTGGAACCAAGCACTTTTAGGGGGAGTGGTTCGTGTTCCCCAACTTGAATTCAGGGCAACTTCAATTGGCGGAAAGGCGCCTATAATTCAGGGAGCAACAGAACAATGATTCAGGTAGGTATATAGACGTGAACATTGAATTCTCGCGGGATACTCGAGACAATGAGAGGAGTGGACAGGGATACAAAAGTCCCCACGAGCATCGGGAAGAATCATAACAATAATAAGTAACTCCTTTCTCTAGGTACGGGGCATAACAAGCGGACTGAGGCGGCGGCCAACGATGTCATCGAGCATATCAGGGTCACCTAGGGTCGCCTACGGGCTGAGGGTCGCCTAGAAGCACCAACGGCTTCCCCGGGGCTGACCACAGGGCACCACAGGCACCCACAGCTTCTGGTTCCTCCCACGATCGCCTCTCGATCTCTATCTCGATTAGTTAGTCGCGCTGTCTATCTATCCTCTGGTGCTTCTGCTCACCGCGTACCCTCCTGCTATCGTCAGACTGAGGTGACAGCCTTACTAGAGCACATTGCTTGGAGAACCACTACGTCGTACGTTGAGCCTATCGTGTCGCTGCGTCTCCATCTCCACAAAATCCTCCACAGGTGGTGCACAGGTGGCTCAAACATCTTGCTCAATTTGCCTGCGGACATTATTTTCATGATCGTTTTAAACTGGGCAAAAGCGACCTTCGTCCAGCCTTGTTATTCCCTCGTCATCCTCCCATCATCGCCAGCATGCGCACTGCAGCGGTCAGGGCTCTGCGCAATGCCAGGCTATCTACCAAGGCTTCAAGGCCCGCGGTGAGGAACTATGCTACCGTCAGAGATCCCATGCACAAAGTACGTACGCACCTCCGCTCCTTGATAAGCAAGTCGGGTTTGTCTGACCACCGCATCTTCTCAGGACCCTGTTGAACTAGATCACATTACACAGTTGCCAAATGGCATTCGAGTCGCTACAGAATCACTCCCGGGTCCGTTCTCGGGCGTTGGCGTCTACCTCGATGCTGGTTCACGATACGAGGACGACTCTCTTCGAGGTGTCAGTCATATCGTGGACCGTCTAGCCTTCAAGTCGACAAAGTCAAGGACCGCAGACCAGATGTTGGAGGCGTTGGAATCGCTAGGAGGAAACATTCAATGTGCTTCTTCCAGGGAAGCTCTGATGTATCAGTCCGCAACATTTAATGCCAGCGTCCCCGACACTATCGCCCTGCTCGCCGAAACAATTCGAGACCCTTTGATCACAGATGAAGAGGTGGCACAACAACTGGAAACCGCCGAGTATGAGATCCAGGAAATATGGGCCAAGCCAGATCTGATCATTCCCGAACTATTGCACATGGCCGCGTACAAGGACAACACATTAGGCCATCCTCTTTTGTGTCCTCGAGAGAAATTGCCTTACATCACAAGAGAGCTTGTTGAGAAATATCGAAGTGTTTTCTACAAGCCGGAGCGGATAGTGGTCGCTTTCGCCGGTATTCCCCACGAGGAAGCGGTTCGTTTGACGGAAAAATACTTTGGAGATATGGTAAAATCTGAAAGACCATCGCTCTCACAGAATACGTCGCAAACGGCCGAGTCAAGCTCGCAGCAGCCAAATACACAACAACCACTTCCACCACAATCTCCCGCCAGCAGGCTTTTATCCAAGATTCCTGGTTTCAACAGCTTCTCCACCTCAGCGCCTCACCAAGCAACTGTAGCACCTCTCGACCCATCTCTAATTCAATCGCCTCCAGAATCTCTTCTCGCGATGCCATCCCATTACACGGGGGGCTATCTCGCGCTCCCAACGCTACCTCCACCACCAAACAAATTCACGATCCCCCTCTCTTACGTTCATGTCGCGTTTGAAGGCTTGCCCATTTCTTCAGAAGATATCTATGCTCAGGCTACGCTTCAGACTCTGCTTGGTGGTGGTGGGTCATTTTCGGCTGGCGGGCCCGGTAAAGGAATGTATTCTCGACTATACACCAATGTTCTCAATCAGCACGGATGGGTCGAGAGCTGTGTGGCTTTCAACCACAGCTATACCGATAGTGGTCTCTTCGGTATTGCCGGGGCTTGTGAACCCGGTCGAGTCGGTCATATGGTGGACGTGATTTGCCGTGAACTACAAGCGCTCACGTTAGAATCCGGCTTCTCCAGTTTGAACCTTGCCGAAGTCAATCGAGCCAAAAACCAGCTGCGGTTTAGCCTTCTGATGAACCTTGAGTCGAGGCTGGTTGAACTGGAGGACCTTGGCCGGCAAGTTCAGGTTCATGGACGAAAAGTCGGTGTCAAGGAAATGTGCGAAAAAATCGATGCTCTTACAGTCGCTGATTTGAGACGAGTGGCCACGCAAATATTCACCGGTAAGGTGGACAACAGAGGCCACGGCACTGGCGCACCGACCGTGGTCATCCAAGAGGGGGAAGACTTGAGTGGGAAAAAGGTCAGGCAAATACCATGGGAGGATGTACAGTCGCGCATTGCCAGATGGAAGCTGGGACGACTGTAGCTTTCTGGCTCCATCGCAAAGGTATGTGTACTTCTGGATTTTGTACTCTATACTCTCCGGCTTCACACAAAGGGAGCACGTCACGTTGGAAGTGTCCTGGACCAGGACAGCACTGTTTGGTTGCCACTCCGATTGATCAAAAATTCTCATCTTCGACTGCGCTTCTTGTTTCGTTGGCCCCACCGTTCTTGCCTTCCATCTCTTCATTCCTCGAAGCTGCCAGTTTGCTGCAGACAGCCTTCCTTCCATATCAAACTCATCTCAGATTCTTCGTCCTCCTCAACTCCTGCTCTTTGGCCAGTCCAGCATCTTACTGTCCAATATCAGTCGTCATATGTTCACTATAGTTCTGTTCGTTACATCTCTTAGTCTGTTTCGATCACTCATCATAACTGCTAAAACTACACACTACGTCAACAGCCCTCGACACTTTCAGCGTATCAAACACTCTCAACCAGTACGGCCTACATCTTCACGACAGCAGCACTCTCACCCTTCTTGAACATACTGATCCTTCACTGATCACACGGTCCTGGTATTCAGTCAGCTGCTGCAATGGAGACTTCCGCCCTTGCTTCAGTCATTCATTTGCACGAGTGGGTCGATCGTCTGTGTGCCACTGAACCAGAGGAGTACCTGAACAGCTGGGGTCAGTACTGTAAGAGAATGGGCAACGAATCTCCGCTTTGTGACATGCTATTGTCCAAAGGGGTGTTGCCCGTTAGAAATGCAAGGCCATGGTCAGATGCTTTTGAGTCCGAAATTACACCACAATCCCAAAGCTGCTCCAGGCGCCGACTACATGCTGCGGTAAATATCCTCGATCAGCCGTTGACTGATACTGGAGAAGGCCTGGGCATATCCTGTGCCACGATCGACCAACAACCAGATGCCATTTTGGACTCCAATGATCAGAATAGAAAACCCCCGAGGCCTGCTATTTTTGAGCCGCTGCTACGCAAGAAACGCTCCTTTGCACTGAAGACACGACACGGCCAAGCGCCCAACGTGACCCCGGAGCGACATACCTCTGGTGATTTCCCTGCAGCCATTACCTGTCAATACGTCTCAACGCTCGAGTATTTCAGAGGCGTCCTGTTGTCATGCTCAACAAAACTGGCCACGTTCTCGTCGGAAATCCTGAACAATACGAAGCCTACGGCCGGGTAGAGAGGAAGCAGGGTTTTGTGCTACTGTCTGATTACAAGGCACGGACGATGATCAAGAAAGTCTCTTGATAACAGTCTGCTCTTGTTTCTAGCTATCGTGCATGTCTGAGCTTGCTTCTGTTGATTGCCTTGAGGTCCTCTATCCCTGCAGAGCCAACAGTTCCTTATATCCCCCATTTGCCATGATGTGGGCTCCGTTGATCCATCTTGCTTCTTCACTTGCTAGAAATCCAACCACGAAGGCGATATCGTCGGGCTCCCCAAATCTCTTTTCGGCCGTCATTAGCTTGGTCGTGTCCTCAACAAACGTTTCCCCAAATTGTTGGATCGCCGCCTGCACTGTATCCGTGGTAGTTGCTCCCACGGATACACTGTTGAATGTTGCCCCAGTCGAGATGCCCAAGACATTGGCCAGGGATCGTGTGATGCTGTCCAGCGCGGCTTTGGATGCCCCGTACGTCAAGATTGGATCAGCATTGGCGAGCTTGCTTGCAACGCTCGAGATGTTTATCACTCTACCCCCTTTTGGCGGAAAGTGAGGCAATGCCGAGTTGATAATGCTGATGGGCGCAAAAACATTGCCCTGCATTGTCTTTCCAAAAGCGTCGACGGTTGTGTTCCCGAAAGGCTGGAGCAGACTCAGATCATTGACAAGGGCGGCGTTGTTGACGACGATGTCGATCCTGTCTGTTTCTAGCCCTTTGAGCACCTTTGGAATAAGATTCGGACCAATGGACGGATCAAGAACATCGGCTTGGATGGCGACTGTTTTCAAAGTCGGGGAAATGGAGCGGCATTTGGACAAGGTCTCCTCGGCCGCTTTGAGGTTGGTGGCGTATGTGATTGCTATGGCGGCGATGCCTTTGCGGGCAAATTGAAGCGCGATGCCAGCACCGATCTTTCCGAAATATCCCAGAGTGTCAGATCATGTGCAGGTCAAATGGATTAGCGCCTCATGGGGAAACAGAAGACGTGCACGTACCCCTCGAGAACCGCCAGTGACCACAGCTACCTTACCATGGAGTGATGAAGGAGCAGAAGTTGAGCTTGTCGCTGCTGTTTCCGTTGGGATGGCCATTCTGACGTTTTGGTTGCTTTTCCTTATCCCCCCTTCTCAACACCCGTCTGGCGAGCTAAGTTTCTTCTCTATTTGCGGCGCTCTGCTGTCCTTATATTGGGTTTTTGGGTGAGACTGCCGGATGAGAGAAGTGCCGAGTTCGGGCGGACTGCGAGGCTTCTGATGGAATAACAGGCATAACAGGCCGGAGCATTGTTCTGATCTGTCAGCACGGATGCAACAAGGCAGCTCATTGCGCCAGAAGTCACCGCGAAATATCAATACGAATACCTCGTACTACAGGAACGAGGCTGAGGATCGTGGTGGAGAAGATGGTAATGCGAGTCGCTTATGCCCCTGTTCGGTGGAGGTTGTGTATGGTCTTCGGATTGACCAATCAACGGCCGACCGTCTCCCGCCGTCATTCGTCCGAAAGCCGGCTGGGTGAGTGCCCACTCTCACACTCTCGAATATTGCATCCATTCTCCATCATGTCGGCACCATCTTGCCCTTCTATGCACGCGGCTTCCTCATTTTCGTTCCTGGTAATCACGGTGTTGGTCAAGCGGCTGCTCCCCGACACCCAGTGTTCACATCTAGCAACTATCGGCCGAGATCCATACCCATGTTCCTGCGTATCGCTCCCGATACATTCGCCGGCCAGACCAGTCAAGAGGACATTCAGGATGACTGGTCAGGGGTGTCGAACCAAAAGAGGCGAAAAATGCTTCAGAACCGCATAAATCAGCGGGCTTACAGTAAGAGCTTCCCATTGTCTCAGAGGCTTTGTCTATTCTAGAATGATTTGATAGCTCTGGCGAGCGGGATTTCCCCCACGAAGGTGGCCATGGGGACTAATTTTATGCTTTCAATATCAAGGAAACAGAATACGACAGGCTAAGTTGGCCAAAATCTTCGGGCCAGACGAGATACCCAGTCATCGGCAGGGAGCTTGTCTGGCTGCATCTTTCCAAGAACATCATTCAACGCCGAACGCTCCAAGACACTCACCAACAGTCTATCCTGAGGGCTTAGACGATCCGGTTGTACGAGAGGTTCTTTTCTTTGGTGCGGTGGCCCTTTCCCTTTACGCCTTAAAACCTTCGAGTGGCTTGAACACCCAATGTAGCTCGTCGTCGCCGCTAGCATCACAAACAAGGCAGTTGACCCCTGACAGCAAGAGATGCACTGTGGCCCACATTCTCCTCCTGTCTTCCTTGCCACGACTCAAGCTGCACCTCTTCACCTCTTTCTAAAGTATGGTTCCAGCGTCTCCTTGCGGCACCCATCATGCGACACGCAATTGTCGTTGGAACTTGTCTGGATCTTGAGCTCCTTCGGGGCCGACGATATGGCGTGACGATACTGAACAGCACAAATGAGTTGATTGGAGAGATCAGGCGGCTGCTTTCCCAGGTTCGTTCGACACCACATCTCAATCCGGCTGAGCGCAAAGATGAAGGTCGATTCGATGACGGCTCAAGAAATGTTACTAGTGGCAATGTCGGTATGGATGTTGACCTTGACGATGACCTCTTGTTCGCGGTGATGCATCTTGCAAAGGCTACTGGGACCAAAAATATGAGTATGCCCTCTGGACCTCACCAGTTTCATAGCGAGAGGTCGAAGCACCTCTTTAGACCTCCCGTCTTTCTCCGACGCCTGCAGTATTTGCATCTCTGGGGCTTATCAGACACTCCATCCCCAAGCTCTGAGGCTTCTCTTCACCTCTCAAAGCTAGAACTTCTCGTGAATCTCAAAGGTGGTCTTCAAAGGGTGAAGGCTCCTGGTTTCGCAGAGGCTTTGCATCTGTTTGACATCCTCGAGAGCGCGAGGCGCTTGGAGAAGCCGAGATTTGAGCTGCCCAAATCGAGCATTGAGTTCCTTGAGGAAAAGATGCCCACGTTGAGGGAAGCTGCTGCTCTGAAAACGCAGCAGACTCGGCTTGGGGTGGAGATTAATCGACATCTTCCTGTGAAGTCGCCGCTTTGCGAGATTTTCGGGGATATCCAAATTTTCTGCTCCTGGATCTCCTCGCTCGCGACTATGGGCTCTGTGGGCCATGTTCAGGACGGAAATCGAGATTCATCCTCCTCTACCCAAATGGTCTCGGCAGAGGACGTCATCGTGCTCAGAAACCTCGTTGAATACCGTCTTCTGGCATACTGTCCGGGTGTGAGCAATTCCGTCGAGAGTGTAATGTGGACATCAGCAATGATCTTTGTCCATGGCGTGATCTTTCCACTTCCACACCCAGCAGCAGCGCCGTTGAAGATCCTCATCCGCCGGCTCCGCAAAGCTCTTTCTAATCATCTAGCAAGCCGCCGGTCTGAGCTTCGATCCTTCGACTCTCTTCCATGTGGAGAGCGAGATTCCGGCACGAGAATTCTGATATGGGCTGCGACAATGGGCACCATGGCGACGTCGGACTCCCCAGACGAGGCCCATGAGAGGGCGTTCTTTCTTGACAGTCTCAGGAGCTTCGTGGGAGGGTCGGCGTCGAATATCTCGAGCTGGACACAGTTGAAGAGCGTTCTGGAGGCGTACCTGTGGGCGGACTGGGCGTGTGATGCTGGCGGATTGGCAGTTTGGGAAATGCTCTCCGTAAAGATAGCCATCTCATAAAAGGGAAAAGTCAAACTGGATATTCTGAAAAGACGTATCGAGGACATATAAAATGAAATGTGGAATGAAGGAGTCGACCACATCTATACCGACTCGCAGAGTCTCTGATCTCATTGTAGATGGTAGATGGTATCATCATAGCTTTAAACCTGTATGCAGTGACTCGTAGAATCTTGTCTTGTCGCGGGAATCTATTGTATATACAGAAAGTTCCCCAACTCTTTTCCTGCCCGTCTCCATCGAAATCTTGTTGCATACGGTGTCGCATGGAGGAGTTACCGAGTCTCGTGCGTTCTCGCGTGATCAGAGCGAGTCTGTGGACGTTCAGACTGGAAACACACAGAAGATCTCTCGAACGCCGTCACAATGACTGAAGATGATCGTCGAAATACGAGGAGGAACTGATCCTAAAGGACGAACCAGTCTTACTTGGGTAATCGCTCACAGAAGCGTCGGGGGAAAAGTCGTTAGACAAGTTGCAGCAAGGAAGATGAGTGGTCGACTCAGTGATAGGCGCAATAGGCGGTCTAGGCGTGACATCACGCCCGGGTCACGCCCACCCGGCGCCCACCTGTTCGCCCAGAACTAGCCAGTGCCGCGCCCAGCGTCTGTCACTGTCTGCCCGCTCAACCCCACCGTCTGCCCACAATTTTGACGTAGTGGGTGGTAGGGGTGCGCCCGCTGCCACGCTGTTGTTTCTTGCAGGTTCCTGGCCGGCCAACTGCCTTGGTCCTTGCACCTGGTAAACTCACGAGTCGGAGATCCGCTGAATCTGCTGTTTGCGCAACATTTCAATGCACTGCCACCGCCTCTCCACCAACTCCCCTAACTGTTTCTACAGGACAGCCGCGCAATCTGAGACACGTCCTCACTGCGTTGCGATCTCCCTCTGAGCGATGTTTTTGTTTCTGGTACCTGAAGTTGACCTTCGTCCAGCTCAACCCTTTACAAAGGAACTTTTTCCTCTCCCAGTGGTTGCCCCAACAAGGAGGCTCAACTCTCGGAGAGAACTGCGCCGATGAAACCCTCAAGCCATACCAGCCTTTTGCGCCCACTCCTACAAACCCTTCGAGACGTTCGCTATGGCAGCAGACCCGTCAAGAGACCCGGGTGGTCAGAACCATGAGAACAAGGAGCGTGACTCGTCAGGCGCGGGCAGAGATCATTTGACCGCAAATGGAGAATCAATACAAGATACGGCAGCAATGCACGTGGCGAATCCTCCCGCCAACGATACGTCCAAGGTCCGCTTCTCGATCGAACTTCCTCGAGACACAGAGGAGGATAACAGACTGAGGGAGGTCAACACTTCTGCTCGTCCGCCTCCTGGCATACTTAAGAGCCCCTCTGTGGGCCGCAACCGAGGGTACTCCCTCAGACGTTCGCTTTTCACCCAGAATATTCAGAAGCAGGCTTCGGATAATGGAAGTACATTTGAGATGGACCCTTCAAAGGCTGCTGCCGACTCCCAAAAGATTGACTCCCGCCCGACCACAATCACTGTTGAAGAGGCAGAAGAAGAACCCGTGACGCCCTCAACCAGACCCGTTCGACTGTCGGACTCGGACCTCGAGCTCCCGCTATATCGACGATGGATGTCTAAACACAATTCGCGAACGACCGTGCTCAAGCGGCTCGCAGAAAGATACCGCATGTTACGGGACAAATTCATTCAAGCCCACACGATTCCGCCCAGTCTGGATGGAAGACATATCAGAGTGAACGTGGTAGAGGCCGATCACGCCCTTGACGAGAGGACTGGAAAGCCCTACATCAGCAACGTCATCCGCTCTTGTCGCTACACGCCCTGGAACTTCGTCCCAAAACAGCTCTACGCCCAATTTGGAAAGCTTGCGAACTTCTACTTTCTGTGCGTCTCTATCCTTCAAATGATACCTGGTCTGAGTACCACGGGCACGTACACCACCATAATCCCACTACTCATTTTTGTTGCCCTGTCCATGGCCAAAGAAGGATATGACGATATCAGGAGACATCGCCTGGACAAGGAGGAAAATGAAAACACCACGCAGGTTCTTAGGGTTGCTCGATCTGGCTCCGCTCATACGGAATGGCAAGAGAAGCAATGGAGTGAAGTCCGCGTTGGCGATATCGTACTGTTGAAGAGAGATGCTGGAATTCCGGCCGATTTGATACTTCTCCACACCGACGAGCCCACGGACACTGCTTACGTCGAAACGAAAAGCCTTGATGGAGAGACGAATCTCAAGTCCAAGAAGCCTGTCGCCGAAGTGAGTGCAGCTTGTCAGGATCCTGATGCCATCGCCAGACTCCCTGCCGAATTCGTGGTCGAGGACCCGAACCTTGATCTCTACAAATTCGAGGGAAGGGTAACAATCAATGGAACAACACTACCACTGACCAATTCGGAGATCTTGTATCGTGGTAGCGTGCTGCGCAACACTCCCTCTGCGGTTGGCCTGGCCATCTATTCGGGCGAAGAATGCAAAATTCGCATGAATGCCAACAAGACTCCTCGCATCAAGGCACCGACCTTGCAGGCTAAGGTCAACAGAGTCGTCATTTTCGTGGCATCGCTTGTCATCTTCATGGCTATAATTCTGACGGTGGCCTATCAGATCTGGCGTCGGACGACTGAGGAGAAGTCGTGGTACCTCCAGGATGCGAAAGTGCCTTTTGGTCATGTCCTGACCTCCTTCATCATAATGCTGAACACGATGTTACCTCTGAGCTTGTACGTGTCACTTGAGATTGTCAAGCTGGCCCAGATGTTCTTGATGAACGATGTGGACATGTACGATCCCGAATCAGACACCCCCATGGAACCGCACACCTCGACAATCAATGAAGAGCTTGGGCAGGTCAGCTATATCTTCTCTGACAAGACTGGGACGCTCACCAACAACTCGATGAAGTTTCGCAAAATGAGCATCGTTGGCACAGCGTGGCTGCACGACCTTGACCTACACGATGAAGCTGCAGATGAAGCTGGCCGTGAGAAGCTCTGGCACAAAAAGCGAGGCGGCAAAGGAAAACAACCTCGTTCAGAGAAGAAGCAGAGGATGTCTTTATCTAGGGCTCTACGAAAATCTACTGCATCAACTAGTGCTGGGACTGACACACGGACTAAGCATGCATCCACTTCAGAAGATACTCCGTGGAAGGCCTCAAACGGTCTCAATATGACTCTGGAAACAGGCAAGACACAAGATCTGCTGGACTATATCTACCGGCGGCCAAATACTGCCTTCGCACGGAAAGCACGATTCTTTCTCCTTTCACTGGCTCTGTGCCACACTTGCATTCCAGAGAAGGACGATGAGGGCAACATTGAATATCAGGCTGCTTCTCCGGATGAATTGGCGTTGGTGACAGCTGCGCAAGACCTGGATTACATTGTGACTGATCGCCATTCTAATACGGTGACGATCAAGACTTATGCTGAAGGTGATGAAGAGTTGCCCATTTATGAAACTTACGAAGTGCTGGACGTTGTTGAATTTTCCAGCGCCAGAAAGCGAATGTCAGTTGTTGTACGTTTTCCTGATCAACGCATCTGCCTCATCAGTAAGGGCGCGGATAGCACCATTCGGAAGCTCCTGCGCTTGGCAGATCTAGCAGCTTCGAATGTGCAAGCTGTGGAAAGACGAGCCAGTCAGCGAAAAAGTGTTGAAGCCCAAGAAGCATTGAGACGGCGCAGTACTCAATTGAGTCGGACGTCAAGCTCCGGCTATGCGACTTCTCCACGACCCAGCGGCTTCTCCTTCGACCGTTCACGGACTGCCCGTGACAGCATTGATCATTGGTTGAGAGACCGTGAGAAGGATGTGGGACCTTCCCAACGACGTCAAAGCTCTCAGTTCTACTCACCTCGACCCTCAATGCAAATTATGTCTCGCAAGTCCGAAAGTTATGTGGGGAGAGCACAATACTCGCCTCATATCACGCCCCGTGCTTCAATGCAAGTCGACGACTCGGCAGATCTGGTTGAGGAAAGTCTTGTTCTAGACGATAATGCTGTGTTCGAACGCTGTTTCCAGCATATTGATGACTTCGCGACGGAAGGCCTTCGAACACTCCTGTATGCATATCGGTACCTGACCGAAGATGAGTACAAAACATGGAAACAAGTCTACATGGCTGCGACGACAAGTATCGTGGATCGACAGGAAAAGATCGAAGCTGCAGCAGAAATGCTCGAGACGAAATTGGAGTTGCTTGGAGCCACCGCAATCGAGGACAAACTTCAGAAAGGGGTTCCTGATGCTATTGATCGGCTACGCAGGGCCGGCATCAAGATGTGGATGCTTACCGGTGATAAGCGAGAGACCGCCATTAACATTGGCCACTCGTGTCGGTTGATCAAGGATTATTCTGCTGTCATCGTCCTGGACCATGAGCTTGGAGATCTGCACGACCGAATGGCGCAGGCATTTGTCCAGATTGACAACGAGAAAACGGCACATTCGGTCTTAGTTGTCGATGGACAAACTCTGAATATGATTGACGCAGACCGTGCGACGAGGGCGCTCTTCACCGATGTGGCGATCCGTGCCGACTCTGTAGTCTGCTGCCGAGCGTCCCCCAGTCAGAAGGCTTCTCTAGTCAAGACCATCAGGACCAAGATCAAAGGCTCTGTAACCTTGGCTATTGGAGATGGGGCCAACGATATTGCCATGATCCAAGAAGCTCACCTGGGAATTGGAATTGCAGGTAAGGAGGGTCTCCAGGCTGCGCGAACTTCCGACTATTCGATTGCTCAATTCCGTTTCCTGTTGAAATTGCTGCTCGTGCATGGACGCTGGAATTATGTTCGAATCTGCAAGTACCTTCTCGGTACTTTGTGGAAGGAAATGATGTTCTACAACGCTCAAGCCTTGTACCAGCGATGGAACGGGTACACCGGTACTAGCTTGTACGAGCCGTGGAGTTTGTCCATGTTCAACACCCTATTCACGTCCCTCCCGGTGATCTTTATGGGCGTCTTCGAGAAGGATTTGGCGGCGTCCACGCTGCTCGCGGTGCCGGAATTGTACAACTTTGGTCAACGAGATCGCGGATTCAACTTCTGGGTCTATCTGAGGTGGTCTACTCTTGCGGTATGTGAAGCCGTTCTTGTTTACTTCATGATCTACGGTATCTACGGCCTCGCCTGGTTTACCCGAGACCAAGAGCTCTACGCCTTCGGGTCCCTGGTCTTCACTGCCTGTATCGTGATCATCTCTTTGAAATTGCAGTTTATCGAACTGCACAACAAGTCGGTGGCTGCGGCGATTGCGATCTTTTTGTCAGTGGGCGGGTGGTGGGTGTGGAACCTTCTTCTGTCCGGCATATACCCTTTCAACTCTGTGTACTATGTCAACCACGGCCTGCTGGAGGGCTTCGGACGCAATCTTCTCTGGTGGATCACACTGCTGTGGACCATCTCGGCGGTTTGTCTGCTCGAAGTGACCATCAAAGCAGTCAGCGCGGCAATCTGGCCCAGCGACGTGGACGTCTTTCAGGGATTCGAGCAAGATAGAGAGGTTCGCAAGCGCTTTGAAGAGGCTGCGGCAGATCTCCTGCAACAGGGCTGGGACAGAGGGACGAAGAAGTCGAGTCTGGAGCTGGCCCGAGAAGCAGCTGAACAAGCGGAACGGGAGGCACAAGTCGAAGAACTACTAAAGAAGCCTCGAGACATGACGGACAGGCGAAGGCCGAAGATGAAGAGGGATAACTCGGGACTCAGCACCAAAGCAGAACCCAGTCCGAAGAGACCACAGAATCACAGAGAAGGAAGCAGTCACGAAATGAGCGAGGTTCAGCTGTCGCAGCAGCGGAAGTCGATCGATATTGGCGAATTATTCAGCAAGGGCTTTGGGGCCGTATGCCGGAGCCAGGAGTTACTACGATAGAGATATGGGTGATGACCAAAAATACCCCTGAGACGTTATGTTTTTTTTCTTTTGGATGAGAAATGAGTATGAAATATGCGGAGCATTGAGCACTGAATCATGACGGGGTATGGGACTGGGTTTGGAACATGGATGGACCTAAGAGGACATTGCATATAGAGAGCACATTGGCGATGAATATACTGTTCCTCCTGTGTCTCTGCATTCTTGTGGTGTGCCTATGGGTATGTCGGCATTTTTTCATCGCTTCTTTTTCTCCATCTTCACCTGCAACTCACAAACAGGGGGATGCGTGCTATCGATTCCGTGCATGATGTCTACTCGGTACGGTCCAGTGGGATACCTGCATTGGGTATAAGATGGAGCTTTTTGGTGAGACATTGTATAGGGGGCAAGTAGCTACGCCCCGTCTCTGCGGGAAGAGTACACTCCCATTTGACCGCTTCTTCGGCTGGTGTGACGCCTATTGAACTGATCGCCGGTCATGCGATAACGTTGAGGGACTTGTTTGAGACTATATGTCCAGTAGGTGCACAAACGAACTTACTAAAACGACGGGTCGCCAAAGAGCATTGAGGTCGACAAAGGTTCAGGTCAAGGTCCAGGGCGTTTGAGACGAAAATCCACCTCCACTGGCACTGGGGAAGCGAGACTCCTTGGCAGGGAGTCGCTCCATCGTGGGCCGTGGCCCGTGGGACCATCAGGAGGAGAAAGAAAGAATTCTTTCCTTGGGGTGTTTCACACCATGGGCCGCCTTGTCGACTTGCTCCCTCCGTCGCCTCGATTGCCGCCCGGCTGATGATGGGGGCGGGTCGGGTGATGTATCATTCAACACACGGACTGATGACTGTGGTGGGATGTCTTTTTCATGAACCAGCTTCAAACCCTTGCGGTCGACGAGAGTCTCGGACAACGACTGCCTATTTCTCCTTGACACCTACCTTAGGGACACTCGGTCGCCGCTAAACAGGTCTGAAATAAGGTTCTCCCAACACACAAGGCAACGGCTTTCTGACACGTGGTGAAAGAGTTTTTTCTCCCTTGGCCGTTATTACCGTTGGCCGGTTCATCAGCCCAGGAAAGGGAACCGTGAGAAGGGCATTCTCCAAATCCTGGATCCCTGGCCGGTCTTGTCGCTGGACGGTTCCACATTTGCACGGCCACCAGGCGAGCTTTTGCTTCCCCTCCAATGACAGCGACCGGGTACCTGACATTAGTCCAGTGACAAAGTGTCACCGCAGTAAATGCGGAGTAAAGGAGAAACAAGCCGCTCCATTTCTCATGCAGCGCTAGATCCTGATCGACTTGGGATTTGTTTCTATGCCGGGGCGACTACCTACTCGACAGCGTGGGTGTGCCACACCAAAACGGCTCAAAGAGAAGGAAAAAGCTCCAACAGCCGTGCCAACCAGCCCTCTACAGTATAGCCGCTTCGTATCTGGCGCACTTGCCACGCTCCTGAAGGGATTAGCCTCACCAAGAACCACCGGCGCAGCTCCAGTTTCTTCCTTGCCCCAACTAGGTTGGTCTCCATTGCGTAAACCCCCGTCCCCTATCTAGTCTTATCGAAGGTCCCTCCGAGCAACGAGAAACGACGTAACGTGCCCACTTGGTCGGGGCTTGGGCCTCCTTTCCTCGTGCTCTCGAGTCTCAATGTCATGCGGAAGCGAAGTCCTTTTGGGAGCAACAGATGACGATTCATGAGTGAGAAACACATGGGCGTGGATGGGTGTATGATCACGAATCTATCTGGATACACACACCCAAGTTCGGACTATAAGCCGTCCTGGCATTGACGACACTTCTTTTGTCCGCCCATTTTCCGGCAAAAACAAATCCTTTGTGGCAACGTCGGGCATTTGGGACCCGAGTAGAGCGCATTTTAGTCACCACAATCCATGACACCGCATGCAGTACCCGCGTTTGCTTGGAGCAACTCGACCGGCTTGAACATTTAGGAGGGATCGATAGCTCCTGGCATCATGTGGCATGTGCAACATCTCATGTCTTGTCCACAGCTGAGTGGCCAACTACACCTAGGCTTGAACGACAAGAAGACCGGTGTGGAGGGTTACAATGCATACTAATTGTGAGACAGTCATAGGCACGGGGATTTTGCCGACTTTCTTGCATCTTACTGGCTCTCTGTCGACAGTTAGGCTCAGCAGACTGTCCAATGCCATGTGTGACACCACCAGCACGTCGACTCTAGACGGCATCACGGATGGCCTGACGAGCTCGAACACGATCATTTTGCATCATGACGACCCTGAGAAGCCTAGAAGCATTTGCGATGGTTCTGTGGCGAATCATAACCGCCAACGTGGTCTTCACCAGAGATGAATGCCTCATCGGACGTGGCCAATCAATGTCCCCTCCGTGCCTTTTGTGCAGAGGCTTAAAGAACATGAGTTCGTTTGCCCGCATCATTGGTGCCGTCGTAACGGTGCACTGACTACACGAATCAAAGGTGATCAGCGTCGGGCTCAAGACTGGATGGGATCCGCACGAATTGTTTCGAGAAGCATCTCATGACCTGGTCTGAATGGTCGATCGAAGCCGACGATGGCTGCGGCATGGCCTATGGAACACGGAGAGGGAGCTCGGTAGGTTCTCGAGCTTCAATCGGGACACAATCGCGGCCGGCCTGCTAGTCCCTCGAACGGTAGTGGGTGCACAGCACTGACGAAAAGGTTCGAGGAGATCCAAAGTCGAGCCATGGTTTCCATGCTGGCGGCTGCAGTTAAGCGGGAGTCTGGTGTCTCGGGACGCGTCCCAGCAGCGTTACAGTGGACAGCGAATTGGAATCGCCAGCACCGATGGCGATTGTACTTGAAGCACTACTTTTCGCTCAAGGGTTCCTTTAGCACCAGCAATATTTGCTCAGATGGGATGCGTGGATTGACAGGTTCTTTCTTGTGTTTGATGGTCGAGAGCTGGCTGCTTTGTGTGCAACTCCGTATTGTGGGCGAACACTCGGAACAATACCGCCTGGGAGCCAATCGGGATCCCTGATTGAGGATTTCAATAGCTCGACCTGGTGGGTGAGACGGACAGCATGAATCCATGTTGTGACATGGGGTGTTTTGACTGATCCTCTGGTGCTTCGCTGGCGTCGCTGGGGGGGGTCTCTTTGAGGCGCGTCAGACATTGCGCTGGAAAGTTCCTCCAGGGGAGCGGCGAGCGGGTGCGACACTGGGCGGTCGGTACAAACAAGGTTGTCCATTGGGCCTTTAGCAGTGGAACTAGACTTACCAAGGCATAGGCCCCCAAGCTCCCTGGCACGCTTAGAGAACGCTTAGAGAGACTCCATGTAAGATTCTGGGTACAGAAGGAGGTCCCAGTGGAGGTAATGACGCTCTTTTCAGCTAGCCTGCCTACTAGATCCATCCAGGACGCGACCCGCCGACACAACACGGGGCCCGTGCGGCTTTTGAGTTTGGGCGCCTTCGTGTACCTGCATTGGTGTTCAGGTTTAGAGGGCTTGGGGGGAAGGGGGCGTGGTGCCTGGGTGGCCGAGAGGCCCAGAAGGCTCGACTGACCACTCAGCAGCCGCCGCTGGGCCTTCTTTACCGCTTCCTCCGGGGGCGCTGCGCCCAACTGGAACTTTATGGAACTCACCGCGCTCGCGGACCTGCGCTGCCCTCCCTTAATGTCCCTGCTCCTCTCGTCTCGTCTTTCCCACTCTCTTTTTTTCCCCTTCCATCCTCACTGTCGCCTTTTGCCCGTTCCTCCCCATTCTTCTATCTCTCTGTATCACGTTCTTTCCTTCTCTTGTTGTTCAATCCCTCAACCTTCGAGTTGTGCCTTTCACTCCTTCAAGGCCCTCGAACCACATTCATTAAGCTGCTTTGCTTCTATTATTTCCATTCGCTCTACAATCCAATACGGTCTTTACCCAAAACCCCCCACCCCTTTCAACAGCACGAGCTTTGGAGACGTCGAACTCGCTGGGCTACGAAGTCATTTTCCATCTCGCTGCTTGGATCAGCCATTGAAAAATCTCTTCCTACCCTAACGAAGCAACGTCAACCCCCCTATACACACCTGCCTACGAGCATTTCCATCCTTTTCCCACAGAGACCCGCGAATATCCCACCATGGGTAATCTCGACATCAAAGTCGACCCGATGGACGCGATGGACTCGTTGTCGGACCATGCAGACCTGGACCTCGACGTCTCGGTCGAATCCACTCCCTCCCCAAATGCCAGTCAACCCACGCAGACCACGCCCGCGACCTCGAATGGTTCAGGCAACCAAGGATCTGCATCGGCTCCTCGCCGCCCTCCTCGCAAGAGCACCCTGACACAGCAGCAGAAAAACCAAAAGAGACAAAGGGCCACGCAAGATCAATTGGTGACTTTGGAAATGGAATTCAACAAGAATCCTACTCCCACGGCCGCCACTCGGGAACGTATTGCTCAGGAGATCAACATGACCGAACGTTCCGTCCAGATTTGGTTCCAGAACAGGTAGGCCGATAACGTGTTCATAATTGAGACGCGTCTGATTCTGACTGCCCTGATTTAGTCGCCGACGCGCCAAGATCAAGATGCTCGCAAAGAAAAGCCTGGAAAATGGCGAGGATTTGGACAATATCCCAGAGTCCCTGAGACAGCTGCTGGCCATGCAGGCCATGGAATCTGGAAGGCCATTCCCTCGGCAGTTACTGCGACCTGGCGGGCCTATGGCTCAGTACGGAGGCGGTGCTATGATGATGAATGGTGATCCCAGCGCACAAGGCAAAGTTGGTATGTTCAGATCTGGCCGAAGCAAAAAACGTCATCCGCTAACGAAGAGACAGTCATTCAGCACTTTACTTGTCGCTCTTTGAGCATCGGTACTTGGCGTCGCGTGGGTCAGAATGCCATGGACCTGGTTATTTTCTACTCGCCCGACAAGGCGTGCATCACCTACTACATCAACAACGATTCGGCCGGTTACAAGATCGAGTTTCCCTTTGCCTTCATCAAGAGCATTCAGTTGGAACCCGGTGACACGGCGCCCACTGTAAATGGAGCTCCACCGAGGCCAGGGGGACTTGTCATTGAATTGAACAGGCCACCCAATTTCTTCATGGATTCCTCCAACTCAGGAGGCTTCTACCAGTGTGGTGACTTTACCGAGGACCAGCAAGCTTCCCAGATTTTGGTTCACCATCTCGGGGGACATCCCAAGGTGCTGAGCGGTCAACTTGCCAAACTCGTCTCGCTCGAATCGTTCCAGAACCGACTGAACCCGTTCGACATCAATGCCATGCCTGCGTCTGCGCCAGTCTCTCCAAACATGGGCATTGTGCGACCCGCATCCCAGCCCAATGTCCAATTCGCCCGCCCTCAGCCTCCTCATGTCGGAATGTTCCAAGAACAGTTCGGTGTGCAGCATCATCTTCACCCTGGACGGATGCATCCAGGCCACAAGCGACAGAGGAGTCGATCTGTCCCCATTGCCATTGACTTTTCAATGCTCCACGGACCTATGCCGACCTTCCACATCCAACAGCCCTCGCCTCAACTGGCGCCCGACCAGCACAACCTCTTCCAACCCATGCCACAACATCCCGTCCAGGCCCCTCTTGGGCCGACCCTGCAAATCGATACTTCGGCCGGATATGGCATGGACTTCCGTCAAATGCCCATGTCCGCCACTGCCACATCACCGTCGGAATTCGCCAGCCCCGGCTTCTTTCCATCCAACCCAGCTCAACCACCCATGCCGGCATCTGAGTTTGGCACGCCCCAGCAATTCAACGCGCCATTCTTGTCGCCCTCTCCCATGGTTGACCATACGATGATGCCTAGTTCGGTGTCTCCAATGCCACACATGGGTCATCCGGACCCTGTGATTGCCGACCACTCGCCCCCGTTGTCGGCGTTGCATCGAAGCGCATCGGCGGACATGTTCAACCCGCACGGGATGATTGATGACACGTTGATGCTGGGGGAGATGTACTCGAAGCAAAATCTCAACATGCCCATGCCCAGTCCCGGGCTGGACGAGAATGGGATGCTGATGATGAACGACATGTCGGAGTTCCACACGCCTCGAGAACACATGGATCTGCCGATGACGCCGTTCGGCACCGTGGATCCTCACGCTCTACAAGCTGGTCTCCATCACTAAAGACCGAACGAACCTTTCCCTGTATCAGTTTGACATGACCTTGATGCCTCCCCTAGAATCTTAACTCTTGGAAACACGCCTTCTTCGCACAAATTGGATATACAATACTTCTCAGCACTGTCGGGACGGCGCTCATCATTGTTTGATCTTTTTACCACCTGTTACATATGGATATCTCTTGTTAGTGTGTGTGCGCGGCCACTGGCTGCTGCCAGCTGTGTGATAGCGTCGATTGCTGTCTATTCGGTTCTTGATTTCCGTGCCACCTCGTTGTGTTCTTTTTCCAAATTGTCTAGTCATGTGGTTATGTGTCAGCAACGACTTTGTTTCTTTCAATTGGGGTTTTGGGATACGGGACATTTATTTGGTTGTGCGCTCAGTCGATTTTTGGGGGGTTTTGTGGGAAGTTACAAAAGCATGAATTCGGGCACTTCAGCCGGGATGAGAGATTCCAGACTGTTGATCCTGAACACTGTCTCTGCCATTGCGATGAGCACCGGCGAGAGGTGATGTCGTGCTTGGACCGAAAAAAGGAAATCCAAGTCCCTTGAGTCTGAACAGATGCACAGGGCGAATTAATTATTCTCGCATATATCCCAGCATGATTCCCAAGGAACTTTGGGGGCGGCAAGGGGAACACATCTGGCCTTTGTGGCAGTTTCTGGAAGATTGGAAGCAGTTGATCTACATTCACGATCAACACTGGGAGAGGCTGGGGAGTCGGAATTGGGAGACGGCGTTGACCAGAGATATCGATGGCGATGTCGAAATTGAGAAGGCTGTGGCGGGACCTAGCAAGCACAAGGGATGCTTTGTTTGGGGGGAGTGATGGATGAAGAGGTCAGTGGTGGTGAGAGTTGAACGGAGGGGAGATGGAAGGAGGAGGATGATGGTGGTGGAAGTGGTGGTGGCTGATCTACTTATATTCGTAGCATTGCAGAGCAGAGCGACCCATTAATATCGTGGGAAATTTACCCCCGTTTGCTTTTTCTGTGTTTGACGAGGCGGCAGATTTGTTTCAACTAATTATTGATTGCTGAGCCTCGATGCGACGATGTGTGAAGATGGCAGACCAGACTATTTACTTGGAAGGGGGAGAAGGCGATGCTGCAAGATTACGCCGCAGAAAACGTGGCACGGCGCCCCTCCCGGTGGGCCGCAAGTACCTGAGGAGTAGAATGAGCTTGAGACGGGGGGTGAGGGGGGAGATGAAGAGGGAGAGGAAGAGAGAGAGTAGAGATGTGAACCGAGGAGTCTAATCAGAGAACACACAGACTGGAAAAACGATATTTAGGGTAATTAATTAATAACCCCGTCTATGGAGAAACCACGGGAAATTGACCATCGAGATTGCAAGGTATGTATCCCGATGCGGAAATTTGAATCGCGGAGAGAGAAACGGTTTTTTTTTAAACGGATGATTAGGTAGGGCGCGGGAGTAATTACCAGGTACTATTGTATTTCATTTGTGGTGGAGGTTGAGGCTGAGGTTGAGAGATCGATGCCCCCCCTCACCTCCTCCTCCGGGGCCATTATTGCATTGCGTTTTTGTTATAACGTATTTAATGGTGGTGCGAGGGAGGAGGTTGAGGTACTTGGTACTCGGTATTCGGTACTCGGTACGAGGAAATATTTGGTACAGGTACATCTTGGAAGGATCTAATAAATTCATTCTTGGATACCTTAAGTATGTTGATGCAACACCGCGTACTCGGTGTATGTGTGTATATATCATATATATCCCTATTGTATCTATTACCGTCATTATTTCATTCGTGTCCATCATATCCATCCCTATCCTGCCCTGCCCTGCCCTGTCCCTTCTTTTCCTTTGTCCACATACACGGCATAGGTAGGCCTCGTCACTCAAAGCCGAGCCTCTTGACCTGTTCTCCTTCCACTGCTTCCGCTGGCTCGACGCCCCCTTTCCCATTCCCATCCCCATCACCACTTCCTCCCCCTCCACGACCACGTCCTCGCCCACGCCCACGACCACGACGACGACGCCGACTCCGCACTCGAACCCGTCTGTGTCCACGTCCACGTCCGCCTCCCTCTCCCAGGGCGGATTGAACGGGTCCTTGACCGGGCACGACGTCGCTGGGCACATTTTCAGGCTGAGGTTGCAGACTCCAGTCTTCGAGAGGAACAGCCGCAGAGTCAGCCACGGAGGCACTTGCACTCTCTTGCCAGGCTGGCGTCTCCAGGCTTTGTGCTTCGTCCTGCTCGTATCGAACGAGACACTGCTGTATTCTGGCAGGTGCTGTTGCTCTGACTTGGTCCACGAGGGTGCACTCGACCCAGCCATAATATGGTGTCGGCGCTTGTTGGTACTGATGATGCTGCATGCTCGTCTTTCTCGCCGGTGGTGGTGGTGGTGGTGGTGCTGCTGCTGCTGTTCCTTGCATGTCGGTCGTCATAGCCATTGTCGAGGGCTCTTGCGTTACCTCTCCCAGGCTGTAACGTGGCGTCGGTGCCTGGTCATACTGATAGACCATGCTCGTCTCTCCAAAAGACACTATGGCTTGACCGTCCTGCGTGTTGGCTGTTAGCTGCGAGACTATCATCGCCTCTCCCTCTCTATAGCACGGACTCGGCGCTTGGTCAAACTGATAGCTCGTCTTCTGGTCAGGCGCTACCCCACCGACGGTTGAGGTGGTCCGAGGCGGCGGTCCGATTGACGTCCACGAGTCATAACACGACTCTTGCGCTCGATCCACGCTGAAGTCGATCTCGTCCTGGCTGGTTCTCGTAGGCGAGTGAACGCTCACTCGGCTTAGGCCCATCTCTTCAGACGCTGACCGGGACAGAACCATATCTCTCTCGTCACAACTCACATCTCTGGTTAATAGGCCGGCGTCCTGCCCAGCCTGATCGAGTCTTGAGCCTTCGTGAGAAAAGCTCTCGTCTCGTCGCCCAACGAGCCCTCCTGGCTGCGTCGTGTGCTGCGGCTGCCGAAGATCTAAGAGCCTTGACAGCCGAGACTGCGCGTTGTGTAGAGACCAACCACTGCGAGAGATGCCAGATCGCTGTTCAGACGTGTGTACTCGCGACTTTGCGTGCTCAGCCACCGCCGCGTGATACGCAGGACTGTCTTGGAGATGGAAAACTCCCGGGTAGTTGTGGTATAGGAGTGCGACCAGTAGTTTGTTGCCGCATCCCGAGAACCGGACTCGGGCCACCGGACCAAAATTGACCAGCACTGTTGCGTCGGTCGCCGCGCTATCATCCTGAAAGTCAACTGGCGTAACATGGTTGACCCCCCAGGAATTGATGGGACTCGGAGTGGCAAAACTCCAGAGCGCAGCGCGGTGGTAGAACGAGCCCGTATGCCAGATGAGTGCCACCAACGGCAGGCTCGGGTGGAAGACACAACCGTTGAACACGTTGGCAAAATCAAGGCCATCAAGGACCGCGACCGCTCTGATGCTGACATTGCGGGCTTCAGTCTCGATCTTGAAAATTGCCATAAAGCAACTTTCGTTCACGAGACGACTGCTGCAGTGGTCCAGTCCCCTGTCACAGCTGCTGTTTGCAATGCCCTGATATATGACCAGGTCATTATGTACGAAGATCCGGGACCCTGCCGGCCGCGCGGTCTTGAAGACTCTCTGATATGCCTTCGCATTCCCTCCACTAGAGCCACGGTCTTCAACGCCGCCATTCACGGGTTGGAAGACCGAAAATGATCTTTTGTCGCAGATTATGGGAAGGCACTTGCGTGCCCAGCCACAGTGAATCGTCTCGCCGAGTTGGGTAGAGCATGGACGTTCTCGGTTGAGAATGTAAACCGCGTGAAGAACAGTAAACAGGTTGAGGTTTTCACCGATACTGACAGGAAACCATTGCGTAGCATCAACCTCTAAGGATGCAACATCGCCAGATCCCGGGTCAGGCCTTGGTCCTTTCTGGTGAAGAGCCATATGGGATACAATCTCCTGTTCGTTCAGAGGGAATTCCCATTGTTCCTTGAGAACAGCAATGCCGGTCCTTGTGCCCCATATTTGATACTGCGCAATCCATCCACGATAGATTGTATTGGAAGCACCCACAGCGTGTCGGTGGCCATCTTGGAATGGGTTGCTGAACTCCAAGGGAGGCCAGATCTTCAGAGTGGCGGAGTAGTTTCCGCCCTCCTTCTCGCGGGATATTTGACACAAAGGAGCTGAGCTCAGAATTGACACTCTCTCTGGTTTCGGTGGGAGCACAAGTTGCGAGACGGTCGCGGTCACCAAACACTGAGGCTGTGCGAAGAACGGATTCTTGGTGAAGGTAGAGATGTCTTTCCGGAGAAGAGTCGGATCTCCTGATAGTCTGATCCTCCCTATCTTCTCCCTCTGACGAGAACTCGTGACCAGAACATGCAGCATTTGCGCAATCTCCTTGACCTTCTCTTGATATGGGCCAGAGTACGAACCCGACACCTTGGATGCCCATTGATAGAGATCAGAACTGATCTTCTTGAAATCTGCCTTGTACGTGTAGAGTGCTTCGACCCAGGCCGCCCTGCCCGTACCGTCGGCGAGGAATGCCCCCAGCGCTTGCAGAAGGGCGGCAAGTGTCTCCCCTGCGGCATTCGGCGGCTGTGCCAGGTGCTCTGTCCAAAATACCGTGGCATACCTTAGAAATGGTCGAGTATCATCCAAGGCGGTGCTGGACGCGGCCCCGGAAGCGTCTCCGGAAAGTGGCTGATAGTCCTGGACCTGGCGATAGTGAAAACAAGCCATCAGCAGCTCCGACTCGGCCTCGAAGGGTGAGGGATGCAAGTATTCGGTGCCTTCCGTCCCGACGCTTACGTGGACGCTTTCTCGAGAACACTTCCTGTAGAAGAATTCATGGACCGACGGATGGACAAAGCGGCAGATCCGGGCTCGAAGATTCGCCTCCCATATCACCTCGATGAGACCAGAACATACTCGCACGATACTGCGCTCAAAATCTGCAAAAATAGATGAACAAGCTTTCTGATCTTCTATTGTGAGGTTCAGGGCCATTTCTCGCCAAAGCGTCTGAAGCAGGTCCTCAAGTTGGTGAAGACGAGCGACGCCTTTACCGAAGAGAATCCACATAAACATGCGTCTCGCAAAGAGGCGCTCGACATATGGCTTCCGCACGATGACCGTAAGAATGCGTGTATATATCGCTTCGAGATTTTCGGGCCTTGTAAGGTCTTTTATTGTTCTCACTCGAGCCGAGGGCGATGGAACCTCCGACTTCAAGTAAGTAAGCATGAGTTGTGCCCATTGGAACACCCCATGAGCGCCTGTGAGAAGATGACCAACTAGCTCCTGGACGTCTGTGTCGTGGTCAAAGAGATTCGAGCTGAGTATCTCCTTGAGATGGCCCGAAAAAAAGCGGCGCAGATCGGGATTCAGGAGCTCGGGTGTCATAGTGATCGTCTCCGCCATGGGTACCTTCCGACAAAGATATTTGACGGACGGTCTAGCGAATAGCAAAATCCTCGCTCTGTGAGTCGATTCGCGACCCAAGAGACATGTCAGGAACTTCTCGGGTTCGTCGCACTCGTCCACAGCGTCTATGACAATGTACCAATCGGGCAACAGTGGCTTCAAAAGTCTGACAATGTCAGCCATGGCGTCGACGGTTGCAAAGTCTTGTCCTTGAGTCTGCCGAGTTATGGCAAAGCCGAACACATTTAGAATGTCTGGAGCTTTGGAGCACGCATCGAGGATTTGCGCCAGTAAGGAAGCATACGCCGAGCGGCGCGACTTATGTATCGGACTACCTTGATCAAAGAAGTAGTAGGAGAGCACTTTTGAGCCATTGTTCTTCGAGCAGACTGACGTTCGGAGGTTGACGAGTGTCGCAGCGGCGAGGACGGTCTTGCCGGTTCCGGAATTCCCTGTGTTCGGGTCAACGTCAGCGGCAGGTGCTAAGCCAGGATATGTCGATTGCTGACCTCTGACCCAGAGTAGAGGGCCAGGCCCCTCGCACATCCCATCCATCCCTGGAGAGAGTGTCAACCAGGACTTGTACGCTGGGAGCTCGAATAGCCAATCTGCCGTGGCGTGTCGACGAAGAGACCAAGCCCTTTCGAAGGCGTCGGCATATGGCGGCGCCAACCATGCTTTGATGCGAGCGTTTAGTTCGCCTAGAAGAACTTGAGTTAGGGTCTGCCATATCATTTGCAATGAAGCAACTTGCTTGTCCTCACGACGCCCACATGATGGTCTTGAGGCATTCGCTCAAAAGGTGGCTTTTCTGGGATTCGATCTCCCTCAGAACCGTCATGCAAAGATTCTGCATATTTCTGTGCTAGCGCGTGCATGTCTGAGTTGAACACTTTGGCGTGCAAGACGAGCTTCTTAAGGAAATTGTCAAATCGACACTCGAAAGGATGGCACCACATGGCAGGGGTGGCCAGAGGCGCATTATTTAGCCCTATATCGGGTTATGTACCACTTGATGAGCTGGGAGAATGACATACTTTCTTTTTGGTTGAACACGCTGCCCATAGTTCCAAAAAGCCCGAGGAGATCATGATACAGCGCGTGCAGGGACCAGTTCAGCATATCGCTTGGGATCGACTGCCCACACAGGGATGCGTCTGCTTCGAAGAGTTCTAGAAGCTTTCGATAGTGAGGAATGTGTGTCGACACTTCTAGCAACAGCTCACACAGCCTTCCGAACAAGCTGGGGAACCCGCTTGCCATCTTTGATGGTTCAGCGCTTGGTCACACGCGTGCGGAAAAGACATGCCCTGACCTTGAGTATCAGGAGGATAGATCCCCAGACCGTCGCAGCATATGCTGTGACACCCTGCGCGACAAGTCCAAGTGCCTCAAAATAGGGCACAAGAGCTTCAGTCAGTGCAGCTACTATGTTCAGCGCCTTCGCTGCAGTGGCCTTCTTGACCTGAGAATTCGTCATGAACTGCGTAGTGTAGTTGGTCAGATCGTCTGGATTGTCGACACTCTGAAAAGCGTGTCTGTCATCCTCTGCGAGGCACTCCAGGAACTGTGTCCTGGCATGGTCAAGGTCAACCTCCAAGGTGCCGGTGACTGGTGTTGGAAAGGTCATATCTTCAATGGTGACGAGCTCGTCTCAATGCAGCTTGACCTGCCTGCCCCGTGGCAGCATGAAGACAATCTTGGAAATTCACAACTGATGGTTTCTGGTTGTTGGGAGGGAGACAAAGAAGAAAGAACAGTACGAAGCTCATGGGAATCATCAGGCTGATGAGGGATGGAGGGGGAAGTACAGGCGAAGGCGGGGAGAGGCACCCTGGTAACTGTGCATGGACCAGAGGATACCAGTCACAATCACCCTATACTGTCTTAAAAACGTGATTTTCCCGGGGTAGTGGTAGTGTTGGTGCGGCATGTGCATACCACTCCTCCATTCTTCTTGCGAGGTCCAGCAATCCCACACGCACAGCAGATTCGTTGAATGCAGACATGGTCCATGACCCAGGAGCACCAGTAGGTAGCTCGGTAGTAGGTACTGGTTGGCTGGACCACCAGGAGATCCGAGAACTGAGAAATGATCGCGGCCCTAGTATTCGATCGCCTCGATTTGGGCGATCGAAATGCAAATTCTAGAGTCAGTCCTGCGCCCCCGGGGGCGCCTCACCGCTTGGTGCAAGAGCTGAAAGATCCAGACTACCTCGCTGGGCAGCTTGACAAGCGCATGAAGAAGACAGAGGCCTAGGATGAAATCCAATCAGCGTGAAGTGATGACAGCTGTCACCACTGTCACCGGGATGCTGAATCACGCTATTGTGTGCCGTCGTCTGGCCGCATCCAAGACAGCAAAGAGCGACAGGTCATGACGTGGAGACGGAGACCATGTACTGTATGGTGGCGTTGCTGCTTCTGCTAAGGGATGGCGTCCCGTAAACTTCGTGTTTGCTGCATCTGGGTGGACATCGGGATGGGCTGAAGCTGCCACTTGGTCTGTATCCTCGTCCGCTCTCTTGTGTGGCAGATGTGATTGGACTGTCGGCTTGTTGGGCTGTTTGCTGGGAGACACTTCGAGCTTCCTCTTCTGGAGGATGGCGGCGCCAAATGCTGCCTCTATCAGCTGGATCGACAGAGGCATTGAGCCTGGTTCCTCGATGGCAAGGCAGCTGCGCCGTTGACAAGGAGCAACAGAACAGCATTGCAACTTCAAGTGAGAGAGGGAAGCTAAAGTTTAAGCGATTGGAACCAACTCGATCAGCCAACCGGCGCTGATCCGAACAGTCACGCTCCATCCGAAGTCTCTACAGACCTGCTTCATACGACTTTGTTGCCCCCTCCACAGCCCCTTTGACAGCGGCAGACATTCGATGGCCTGATGCGAGTCTCAAGGGTGCAGCTCACCACCGGAACACTGTGAAAGGCACATCGACGCAGAAAGCTCCATAGAATACGAGGACAGTGGCAGCGAGCATCTCACAAAGGCATCACATCACTTCCGGCTTCCCCGACCAGTCCTGTACAATGGATGGAAAGGATGGCGACTGGGAGGGGGTGTCCCAGAACTACTACTGGGCGCCCGCCTTCTCTCTTCAGCTTTGTGACCATAGCGAAATCTCGAAGTTCATCAGCTATCCACCACCCGTACCAGGGTACCTACTCGGGATGAGTTTCTGCTTTCCCGCCTCATCCACCCTCTCGAAGGCCCCGTCCGGGACCCATCCGAAACCTCCCTCCTTCGAACCCAACTCATCTACATCAATTACAAGGCTGTGAACCAAAATAGCAAAAAGAGCATCGTCGAACAATGCGCAAGATCGTGTTCAAGAGGTTGAATTGTGCACGTACTTCTCTCGTACCTACATATTGTGTATATACTGGCCTCGTGCAGAGTTTGCGCTCCGAGTAGCGTATGTAAGGGAGATATCGGTACACCTCAGTCAATCATCTAGGCTTGACTTCCCAAATCGTAGTAACGTACGGTACCGATCACTTACTCCAATTCCCAGAAAAAAGTGAGGTCCTCCAACTTTGGACATGAGCATTTTTTCTTTTTCTTTTCGCGTGGAGAAAGTCCAAAAGGCTGGGATATAGCAACCCGAAAAACACCACACAATGCACCTTTTCTAAAATCAGTTTTTAAGCGCTCTTGCGGACGTACTCCACAGGTCCGACGTAATGGTGTCGTGCCCAGAAGACGTAGTAAACACCTCCAATAATGAGCACAGATCCATATGCCAAGCAAGACCAGTTCATGGTTTGCGGGGTCGGATTGGCCGTCCCAGGGAAGAAACTCATCACAAAGGCCAGGAGAAGGAATGCCACCGAGGCAAGGTTGACGGGAACTCCCCAACGGCCAAGGTCAAAAACTCGGTCGAGGAGCGGTTGATTGCGAACTCGGCGCCACATAACGCAGGAGATAGAGATAAAGTATGAGGACAGCAAGGCCGCAACACCAAGCGACAGAATTTGGTTGAAGGCGACGGTTGAGCCGATGTTGACGAGGGAGAACAGGACCGAGAAGGTGATGGTGAAAAGAACAGCTGACGTTACTCTTAGCCATTGAACCAAAAGGGGGATGTTAACCAAAACTCACCGTTGACTGGAATCTCGAACCGAGGGTCGACCTTGGCGAACCAGCCGTGGAAGGGTAGACCCTTGTCACGAGCGAAAGCGAAGAGTTGACGAGACGCTGTAGCCATGTTGGTCATACCATTGGCCACGGCCGATAGAACGAGGATGCATGACATGGCCGTGGCACCGCCCTTGGAACCGGTTGCATTGTAGAAAACTTGAATAAAGGGGTAGCCGGTCGGAGTCGAGAGCACACTATCCAGGTCGCCGAGAGTATCTAAGTCCATGTTAACAACAAATACCTAGCAACATACCGAGCCACGGCTTCGAAACGAGGCTCTTGGCTTGGTTGGGAAGTTTCTTACAGCAGAAAGTCCTATAATATCTGTCAGTAAAAGCTCAACAGTTCGGTGGACAGGGAAACTTACACAAGCATAATGAAACCGAGAGCACCGTTGACAATGGAAGTCCAGATCATGACCCTCGGGAGAGTCTTGGAAGCGTTCCTCAACTCCTCGGCCATGTGCACAGCGGCATCGGCACCGAGAAAAGCGGTAGCGGGCGTGATGATACCGACAAGGGTTGCGAGACCAGCTGGAAGACAATCAGTAGCCGCAAACAACGAGTCGGGATTTGGATCGTACTTGAACCCCAATTGCCGCCATCTTCAAAGACGGTCCAGATCTCGTGTGAGTTTCCACGAGGGCCAAGAACCCACAGTGGAACAAGGATGCAGATGAAGCCGCCAACGTGCAAGCAGAGAACCATACCCTCGACCAGCGGGAGATGCTTGGCGAGGAAGGTGTTGAAAAAGGCGACAAAGAGCACAATGGCAATGGTGAGGAGAGTTCCATGCCATCGCTCATAGACGTAAGAGTCGTTGTTGAGGACAATCAGACCTTGGATCTCGGTGGCCGCCAAAAAGCAGCCAATTGACACACCGCTTTGCCAGCCAAGGGTACAGAGCCAGCCAACGATGAACGAAAGAAGCTTCTGCTGGCTTCGAGGCGCAAACTCGGAGATCCAGTGATATTGACCACCTATCGCGGTGGATTAGCATTTGCAGGATGGGGGGAGCCAGCACAACTTTAGACCCCAGGTCTCGACGCACCTGCTGTTGGGGCCATGGAGGCCATCTCGGCCATGGAAACATTGACCAGAGTGAAAAAGACCACGACGATGATGTACAAGTATATCAAACCCGCTGTTCCACCATTACCCAGACCAAAGACAATAGTTCTGTGAGAGTCGCAGTCAGCTTGACATTCGACGAAGGGTATCATTCGAGATTGTTGTAGACTGACCCGAGCAGCGCTTGCCATGTTTGCATCAGAATCATAGCAAAGCCGAAGATGGACAAAAAACCAAAGTTACGCTGTGAGAGTTCGTGGTCAACACTTGGTTCTGTGGCGACTGGCTTGGAGGGGTAGGGCGCAATATGGTAGTTACCTTGAACAATTGTTCTTTGCCCATACGCTTCATATCCTCCACGTCCCTGGAGGTTCCCTGCTTCTCGCCCATAACGACATCGTCGCTGGCGCTCTCCGGGACCACCTCGCCAAGGGCGCCGACTTCAGCTTGTTTGCTCATGTTGGCAATTGAGCAAGTAAGACAGAGATCAAGTGGAAAAATTCAACCACAAACGACAGAAGCCTCCAGAAAAAAGAAGGCGCCTGAAGGGTTGAGCAGAGAAGAAATGGCAGGAGGTGCTGAACAAGAGAAGAAAATAAAAGGGAGTTCTGGAAGTTTTGGGTTCGAGGTTAAAACTCCAGGCTGGATGAGTGGTTGTTGACCAGGAGGGGAAGGAAGAAAAGAGGACGAGGTACTGGACAAATCCCTAGCAGCACAGCTAACAGCACCTAGTTGAACAGTTAGCAACCCATGTGGCAAGCCGATGGTCTTGCCTCTGCCTGGTAGTAGTGCGGACGAAGTGCGTGGGTAGCTCGGGCCCATCTCATTGCACATGGAAAGATATCGCGGAGACTATGTACACGAGTGGCACGAAGGGTCTCGCATGGGCTCAAGCGACCCCCTGGACCGGCCTGGAGACAAAGAATAGTGGAAACCTGGTCAGAAAAAGGGACAAGATCGGGTGCATGGTTCGGAGCAAGCATGGTCGCGAAAAGGCTTATCGGTGGGAGCAAGTGGGTTGGCAGGTTGTCTAGGTTGTCTACCTAAGAGAATGGGTCGTCACTCGTCGTGGCTGCTGAAGCCGGCGGACCATTTTGCAGTTACTATGGAGTTTTAGGTACAGAAGTGGAGAGACAAGTACGAGGCCCAGTCTTCGTACTCCGTCCTGGGGGGAGCAACCCCCAACCAACACTCCCGAAATGAGGGATGATAGGTGAGCAAGTAAGGGGGGTGCTAGGGCCTCCACGCTCCTTGCTGTTTCCGACAACCCGGGGCGTTCTTAGCGTCGGCCCGCCGCGACGATCACTACGACAAGGGGCTTAATGGGCTTGAGGCTACCAGGAAGCCACCTGAAGCCACCTGAAGCCACCTGAAGCCACCTGGAGCCACCTGGAGTCCACTTTGACTGAACAATTCAAGTTGTCAAATAGCCCCTCTAGTCCCCACCTGCTGCCCATTGACAAACCCCTCTCTGGCCAGCCATTCAGCGACCAGACTGCCAGCCTGTGGTGCCCATAGTTCGCCGGAGCGCATTTCCAGCTGCCAATTACCTTGTTCGCGGTACGGCCTGGCCCCAGCACGTCAACTCCTCACTTCTCTTTGGCAGCTAAGCGATCCAGACGAACTGCCACAGGCCTGGTCGCTTCCCAGGATTGCCCGAAATCGACCGCTAGAGTCTTGTCTGTTGGTCTCAGTAGCGGTGCCAGGGCGGTGCACAGAACTCCAAGCCCCAAACGACTCCCGTATCTAGTTGAATGATGAAGGACAGACGCAGAGAGTTTCTGCAGTTTCAAACCACCCCCTCTCTGGCTTGCGTTGCCCGTTGCTCGTCTCTTGTCAACGCCCGACGATAGCAATTATCCAAAGGGGAATGGGCCGAATTTAAGTCCTGAATTATATCTCGCCACCAAAAGGAGACCCCTCCTGGAGCCCGTTCTAATTAATGTCGTTGATGCTGCTCCTCTAGAACTTTTCGTGCCAGCCCTACTTGCCCAACGGCAACCATGGCAGACTCATCGACCTCCGACCCTACCATTGAGGGCAATCGATATTTTCGAGTGACCCCCAGCGATCATCGCGGCGTCATTCTGGTTGTCTCCGTCATATGCGCCGCCTATGTTCCCATGCTTCTGGCCCTCCGTGGCACCTTCACCAACAAAACCGTCGGACTGGATGATGGATTAGCCATCGGCGTGGCGGTATGTGTAGAACTGGCAGACTGGTGTCGATTGGGAGCCAAGTTGAGTGCTAACCAGATTTCTAGGTGGTAGGATTGTTACATAGCATTCTGGTCTGGATCGCCGTATCCCATGGGCTGGGAAGGTCATATGCAGATATAGGAGCTTCCGATGCGAGTTCCATGGGCAGGGTATGCAGGATTCCCAGGCTTTGGTTCTGCGAGTGCCGTCTCGCTAACGAAAGCACCAGATGTTGGTCGCCTCGATCGTTTTATTCCTGATCACCCTGTTCCTCACCAAGACCTGCGTGATCCTGCTCTGCCGAAAATTATTCAGCATCAACATGAAACGGCACCGGACACTTTGCGATACCATGACTGTCATCTGTGGTCTCTGGTGCGTGGGGGCCATTCTGGCACTCACCATTGATTGCAGCTCCATCCAACAGCTTGGATACCATACCTCGTTCTGTCCGACCCTAGTACGTTTTCTTGAGCTTTGCTTCCTTCCTTTGCTGTCTGCCAGCTAACCCACCTAGACCAAGCGATGGAGCGCAGTCGCAGTCGTGGACGGAATCACCGAAATCTTGATCTTCCTGTTGTCGCTGGCCGTAGTCCTCCCGCTGCACATGAGCACGGATCGCAAAGTCTCTGTGCTGCTCACTTTTGCACCAAGATTGGCGTAAGTTACAACCCAAGAAGGTCCATCACTCACGCGCTCACATCTGGCAGGGTTATTGCACTGATCGGCCTGCACGCCCACTACATAGATCTTACCGTCCATTCCCGCAATCCCGGCGTCGAAATCGTGACCCCCGTCGTTTACCGACAGGTCCTGGTGCTCTTCGCAATGGCTTCCGCGGCGCTGCCTGCCCTCAACCGTGGCCTGCGAAAGTTCAACACGAGCATGGGCAGTACATGGATGGAGACGACCGTCTCGCAGGCGAGCGGTGGTAAAGCAACAAACGGACAGGCTTCAATCCCTCTGAAGTCCATGAAAACGAACAAGAGTAGCATGAACCGAAGCAAGAGGAGATCAATGGACGAAGATGAGATTGATGGCGCGGAAAAAAACCCCAACTTCCGGCCTGACAAGGTCCAGCACAACACCACCGCATACTGGGGCAAGTCAGTCGATCCTGATGCGCGATCTGGACAGTCTCAAGAAAGCCAGAATAGCGAGGCCAAAATCATTCGCAAGGACATGCAGTGGCGGGTCCATTACGAGAATCAAGGCCCCTCGTAAGCAGCGCTGCTTCCGCTTCCACGCCTGCTCTTACGGGGAGGGGTTTCAACTGGACCGGATGGATATATCAACGTGGATCACGGGCCAGCACGAGAGGTGTTACAAGAAAAGGGGTCCATTGCAAAATGGTTTGTATCAATGTTGACTACGGGCTATTATGGAGGGGCTTTGGATACAGATTGGGTCTCTTTTGGATGAATTGATGGATCGATACCCCGGGTGGTTGCGCTAGGCTTGAGATCTTTGGGGTCGTTCCGACTTTCCTGGCTCCCACGAACGACGTGAAAACAAGAATATCCCCAAATATGGAGTGTGTGTAACTGCTGTGGCATGTTTGTGTGAGTAGCGGCTGTAGAAAATACTAGGTAGAATCGTGTACACTATGGCGGTACGGAGGACAGAGAGCCGTCACACAGACACCCACTGACCACCTGCGGTACTGCCACTGACGCAACCTCACTCACACCCTCTCACACTCGGGCATACAGTCATGCACAGATGCAGCCACTTTGTTCATCTTCTCATCTTCATCTTCACAACACCCTCCACTTCCTGTCTCTGGCAGTAACCTGACGACGGTGATCCTTACTTGGTCTGTACGGTGGGTGGCATTCGGCAGAGTCTGCTGCTAACAAAGGGCCTTTGCAGGGGTCGATTCCAGTTCGCAGACCACTCGCCTCCAGTCCTCATTCCACCCCACTGCCTCACATCGTCTCTCATCGCGCTGCACCTAATGCTGCATCTAAGCATGCAAGCTGCAAGAGGCCCCATTCCCCGGCAGACAAGCGGGCCTGCGGAAAAAGCTTTTCGGAACCAACCCTTGCGATGTTAGTGTCAAGCCACCTTTTAGTGCCTCTGTCCTCTTTCAGGCCGTCTACTTGAGCGAAGTTACAAGTCGGGATGCACATCGACGCTACGGGAAAACAAGTCAGGGCAGATCCTGTTCCCCGATTGCCACCACCATATTGCTCAAAAGAGTTCCCGAGTATATGCAAGAATGGGAAGATGCGTTGGCCACCACCCTTACACCGCTTCTTTGGCCAGAACAACGAGTACTGGCGTGTTTCCTGGTCGGGTAAACCATGAATTGTCAACTACTGTAGGTAGTACTACCTACGAGCACCATCTCCCCACTCTGGGTCTTCAGCAAGCACCAACACCATTGGCCAATCGATGATATTGATTCAGATTCATGCAATTTCGGGAGGAGCCCTAGGGATCGCCTCTTACCGTGTCTCTTCTGGGAGCTCCCTTGCTTCGTGGGCCTTTGCGTATACCCCGGTTCTTTTCAAATCATTCCTTTCACTCCACTGACTTTGGCCCCTCATCCTGGCCGTGTTCTGTCTGCTGGCTCTTTGCTCAACCCTGCCCACTTCTTCTGCTGATCACTTCTTATCAAGGCATCGAGGACCTTCCTGCAAGGTGCCACCAATGTTGCAAAGCCAACTTTTTCTTTTCATTTTACCTACTCGAAATACCTGCGTCTACGAACACCAGCTGGGTCCATGCTGGCATCCTTCCCGCACGTTTTTCTTCCCTGCTCTTGCGCAAGCACTGCTGTCCTTCGCAAACCACAACTACCACGAACTATGAGGACCCAGCTCGCTTAGATGGTTGCCCAATGGTCGTGCAGTCTGTGTTATGCACCAAATGTCTTGTCGGATGTCGACGTGCCGTTTGTCCCTGACGCTTGCCCCGATCAATGCTGATGCTCAACCTTCTACAACCGCGAGTACTCCCTAGGTACTCGCGAAGTCAATAGCTCCTAATACTGTGGATGAATGGGTCTGGTCTCGACTCTTTTCGTGCAAGCGAAGTTACCAAGACTCTCGAGTCCAAACTTCTAGGTCCTTTATAAGACTTGTTCGTACCTCGTACAGAGGACAGCCTCAACAATGCCACCGCCGCGGAAAGAAAAACCCGTGACACATTTATTGCTCGACTTAACGATCTCTTTGGTTCAGGGGCGCAAGTAGTGGATACTTGTCGGTCTGGTCTGATCTCCTATATCTCACGCTACGTTGAACTGTCTTTCTAAGTTCATGTACCTGAGTCAGTAGTTCGCCTCCCACGTTGTCGGCGGGTTCTTTTCGCTTGTCCCCTTTTCTCCTGTACCGAGTACCCGTGGTTCCTTTCAGGGATAATCCTATCCACGTGTGGGTAACCGTGCGTGGGCAAAAACCCAGTGAACCAAAGAAGCGACGCACGAGGGACGGTTTTTGAGTGCTTCCTTCCGCGCTGTATGTAGATCTGTACCTAGGAAACGGCAGACAGCTACCTGATCGCCCGACAGATCCTTTCGTTTCGCCATCTGAAGGATTGTTGTACGGTGGAATAATACTGTACGAAGATATTTTGCCTGTGCAACCGTGCCAGAGAGTGGGGGCCAGATCATCTATCCTTGCCACCAATCCCTTTGGTCGTATTACGATTGTTCCGCTCCCAAAAAAGGCCTCAGCAACATGCCTATCCGCCTGGCAAGGTATTCGGATCTCGATGCCGTCTCCAAGATCCTGGCCGCCGCTTTCTACGACGAGGAGTTGAACGACTGCATCTTCCCTTACCGGAAACAATTCCCAGACGACTATGTCTTTGTGTGGAAGCAGAAAGTTGTCAAGAACTGGTGGGATTACAACAAGATATGGCTCGTCAGCTATGAAAAGGACCCATCTCAGAAGTCTGGAGAGATTATTACCGGTGCTGCGGAATGGGGTCGCGAGGGTAAAGGCTCAGATCGACTTTGGGGTTTGGTGAGATGGTGGGATCCAAGTGAGTACATGAATTGATGCTTCTGACTACCTACATGTTCACACCGGTGAGTCTGGACATGGGTTCAGGATCAAGCTGATGCATGCCCTCTTCCTCCATCGGGAGAGTGAGAGACGGCGTATGTACCACTTGTGAGACACTTGAAGTCATCTTGCAGAGTGAAGTTGTGCAACATGGGCCGCTCCAGGATGGATGGATATTGATGTACCCAGACCACGTCGTGCGACCTACCCAGCATACATGCATACACACATAGATCTGATGCAGGATCGCTGACAGAGTGTTGGTCTACATAGGAAGACTGATATCTCCATTCATCGGACTTTTCTACAGCTTCTATCGCCTCCTCATTCCCAACCGCTCCATAGCCGTGCCCTCGCTCTCCGACCCCAACCCGTTGAACAAATGGAACTTTGCATACCGCATCGGACCCTTTTCCGAGCACTTCTTCAACAATCCACCCTGGCGGGCCAACCACTGGGAGCTGTCGACGCTCGGTGTCCACCCCAGTTACCAAGGCCGGGGCATCGGCCAGAAAATGGTGGCCTGGGGGCTGGAGAGGGCCAAGAAGGATGGACTTCCCGCGGTGGTGATCGGAGCCCAGGGCACCGAGCCGTTCTATCAGAGATGCGGGTTCCGCCATCTGGTCGGGAACGTGTCAACGGTTGAAATTGAGGATGACGACGAGGGCAAGAAGGTCGTCCGAATCGACAAGACCAATCCGCTGAAACTTCGAGGCATCAAGGGCGGCTCGGTTATGTGGACTCACTCGGGAGACGAGATTGAGAGTCAGTGACAGGGACGTAGCCTGTTTCGCCAAAGACGAGCGAGAGGGAAGTCCAATGCTTCACTCGACGCCATTGCCCCGAAGTAAGTGAGTGACAGAATGAATGAGAGAGGGCGGGGAAGAAGAGGGAGAGATTGAGCATGCTCATCGATCCACAGTCAAGCCGCTCAAAGGGGAACAAAAAGAATCATTGGGCCCAGGCCTACCTTGCTCTTCTAGCCCTGTGCATTTATCCCTTTCTTTCTTTTCCCTCTTCATTTGACCCCATTTCATATCATGTCCTTGCTCCTCTCGACTTCTTTTACTTGTACTTATACTTGCACGTTCATTACACCCACTGCTCTCCACAAGCTACTCGACAGTCCAACCAGCCGAATATACGACACCGATATAACACCAAGACCCTTTCCCACAACAAGTCCTCTTTTTTCATACCTCACTTGACAAGCTCGGGCTTGTAGCGAAAAGGGGGATCTTAGCCCTGGCTTCGATGGGCCCCACCTGCTATGTCAATGCACCTAGGTATGTATATATATATATATATATATATATATATATATACACTTCGTGTGTGTATCCAGGGGAGAGTGTCTCTCCATACTTTTCCTTGACTCTTTGACCTTTGACATTTGACCTTTGACCCTCCAACCACCACCACCACCACCACCACCACCACCACCACCAGCAGCGAACGAACGAGCGAACGAACGGACGGAAAACCCGCAAGGCGCTGGTCCCCCCGGTAGAAAGGACACGCAAAAGGGAAGAGAGAAGAAAAAAAGAGTTCGAGTTGACCAGCCCGGGGGCGGAGACGAACGTCTAATCCCTTTTTAACAAAAAGGTCCGCTCTTTGTGCAATGGGATGCATGGGTTTTATACGCCCTGGGGGTTACCTAGCAGAGCCAGGTGCTTGAGGAGATTATGGAGATCTCACAATGGGACTGTATATATATATCAAAGTTCCGTACAAGGGCAAATATACGAGGTACTGGTGACGGCCACCCCAGGCATCCGACGGGGTTCACTAGTACCCGCTTGAATACAATATATTACTTGAGAAGTGGACTTGGAACCTGAGTGTGTGCCAATTCTCCCTATTTTTGACCAGTGCCTTTTTCTCCCGCACCGAGTGTAGGCGAGGAAACCTTATATATACAACGAACGTGTGTGTACATATGGTTACGAGTAGTTATTCGAGAGGCGTCCAGTCCCGTCTTGTCTGCTAGCTTTCTGATCATTGGAACCAGCTACCATCTAGGTCTCGTCCTGATACAAAGTTATTCACTCCGTACGACTTCTCTTTTGCCCCTTCTCTCGGATTGAGTCGAGTCGAGTCGGGTCAGTAGCCTGGAAGTTGAAACAAGGTCCAACACCAAATCTCTAGCAGGTTGGAGTTGGAGGATTCAGATAACCACCTCCATGCATAACACTCACGCCCCGAAATGCAAGCCGTAAAGTCTATACAAGATAAGTTTTTGCGGATAGCCCGGCATTTTTTGTGATGGGAGATTAGACTCCCGAACAAACCAAATCTCCAAAAACCGGATCGAAAAAATTGCTCTTCCCCTATTTGCTGTAGCCTTTTTCACATGTCGCGCTTCACGTGGACGACCGGTGGCACGTATGAAGTCTTGCCCCACACGACATAGTATGCGGTGGCAATGATCAAGGAGCCGCCCAGCATGGTGCTCGACCAGTTCATGGTCGTGGCCGTCACGGGGGTTACCAGGGGCCAACTCAGGAAGAAGATCAAGGGGATCAGGAACAGCAGAGCCGAGACGTTGATAGCAAGACCCCATCGTCCGAGTGACCACCGCCTGGGAGGGAGCTCGGGCCCCGTGAGGCGGCGGTAGAGGACGCAGCTGATGGTGAGAAAGTACGAGATCAAAGTGGCAATGGCGCCCAGCGAGGTAATGGCGTTGAGGGCGACAGTCGAGCCGATGTTGATCAGCGAGATCAGGGCAGAGACCAAAAGCGTCACCGTGACGGCGGGCAGGGGGATGTTCCAGCCGGGAGAGATCCTGGAAAGCCAGGGCGATGCAGGCAGGCCGCCGTCGCGAGCAAAAGCCCAGATCTGGCGCGACGCCGCAGCCACTTCCGACACAGCGCACGCGGCCATCATGACGATGATGATGGCAGTCAGGACGTTTGTGCCGGCGAGCGAATTGGTGGCGCCGTAAAACACCTGAATAAATGGGTAGCCGGTGGCGGACAGGGCGGCCGCAGTCTGGTCGCCGGTGGTGAAGCAAAGAGTCGTTACCACGACGAACACCAGAGTAATGTTGACCGTGACAGAGCCCATGATGGCGCGAGGGAGGGTGACAGAGGCATCCTTGATTTCTTCGGCTGCAGGAAACCATTAGCTCAGGTGCAATTGACAGAAGATCGCGTCTGCAGAAAGACACGAGACTGCTTACACATGTGAACGGAACAGTCGTATCCAACCAACACAGCCATTGGCGCCAGCAGACCAATCATTGCCGATAGTCCATCGCTCGACCAGCCGCCGTTATTGGTGAAGTCAAGCAAAGCGGTGTGCGCATCGGCGCGAGGAGCCATAACCCAGAGTGTGATGACGATGGCAAAGAAACCCACGACATGAAGGATCAACACCATACCCTCTGCGAACAAGTCAGCTCAAACGGTCTCTCTTCGCCGTCGGGAGAATCTTTGTATACCTATAATTGGTAACCGCGACGCCAGGACGGTGTTGAAAGAGATACAGAACACGGTGGTGGACATGGACAACAGAGTTCCATGCCATCTCTTGTAGATGTATGTCGGGTCGTTCAGGACAATCAATCCCTGAATCATGGTGCCGACCAAGAAACAGACACTGGCATTGTACACCTGCCAGCCAATGGCAGTAAGCCAACCTATATAAGTTGTTAGTGCTGAACCACGGGATGAAAGACATGACCACTTACCAGAATAATAGCTGAGGACCTTTCGCATGCGTTGAGGTGCGAACTCTGACACCCAGTGATATTGACCTCCAGCTGTAGGTGACCTGGGAGCAAGATCATTAGCGGGGGAAGGGTCCTACACATTCGACATGGTCTGTCCTCCACTCACATTGAAGCCATTTCCGCCACACTGGCATAAACAAGAGTCTGTCCAATAGCACATGCAATAAAGCCCCAGAAGAGAAGGGGAAGGCCGCCGTCAGTCAAGACGAAGCCAAGGTACCTAGACGTTGTCAGATCACAAGAAGTCGTACACCAAAGGCAACGGGGATATCGTACGTTAGAATACCCTCCCAGCTGGCAATGCAGGTCGAGGCAAACCCGAGCATAGTGATGAAGCTGAAGTTTCGCTATAGAGCCGGATCAGCGACAACGAACGGCCCAAACTGAGCAAGCCGTTTCCCTTACACGTAGCACCTGCTTCTTGCCCATAACCATCATGTCTCGCTTGTCCGCCGACGTGCCTCTGAACTTCTCGGCGACATGGCTGAGGCCGTCGTCGAAGACGGCATCGTCTACGCCGTCTGGAGGCGAGCCTGGCGCATCCGAGACATCGACATTTTTCAATTGCTTGCTGTCAAGGTGGAAGGAAGCCATGGCTGTCGATGTCTATGATACTGGGTGGCCCTTGATCCTTTGCAAACTTGAAAGAGGCAGAAATGAATATGTGGAAGGAGGGTAAGAGGGTAAGAAATTGGGAGCAGGACCGACAGAAGTCGTTGCCATGTGGCAGACTAGGTACTTCGCAAGCGTGGTGGCCACTGCCACCACTATTCGGTACTGCTGCTCGTCCAGGCGAGATGCCACCAATGCTCCATTGACTTACCTACTAACCTAGTTGCTCCCTTATGCAGTACCTGCTCCGTACCTTGGTGGTAGAGACCCCTCTCCGCCACGTTCTGACCCCTTCGCTTGGACTTTTTAGGACATGACCGCTGCCTAGGGGCTTGAAATCAATGCGACCTTCGACTTTGCGGTGGGGTGAGAAGAGTTGCATGATTAGCGGCAATATTGGTCTCCATTGCTGGAGACATCTTCCAGACCCTTTCTTCGAATCAACCATGTCGAACTAGCTACCAATCCTTGTACCCTAGGATTGGCAATTAAAGGGGGAATTTAGCGGCTTGGACGGAGTAGGCAGTACTTACCAGTACCGAATCCATAATTGCGCCTTCAGGAAAGGCAAAGCAGAGAATTTCGATCGGTCACTGTTGATCCCAGAAAGTTAAGATGATGGCACGCAGGTTGGTACGGAGAATACCCAGCAGGGCTTTCTGATAGATGCGCAGAAACAGAGAGTGGAAGACCAACACAGGTACGCCTTCCCTATGAGTAGTAGAAGGAGTTGGCGTAGGAGGATGAGTAGCTCCCAGTGCTCGCTCCTTCGTTTCTCTCCAAGCAGAAACATCCAGGAGATCTGGGCCCTTGCTGTGACGAATCATTATTGCACCATACCGGACCAGGTACGTGTAGAGATGCACGGAGTGCTCGGCTTGGACTTTTAGTGGTATTACCAAATAACATGGGCTGGGCCGCCCGTGCGTCCCCGGCGAGTCCTCATCTCCACCGCAGGCTCGTAGGATCGGGGCTTGTAACTGCTTCGGAGCGACGGTTCTGCAGATCTTTTCCTCCTGAAGACTGGCGACGTCCCAGTGGCGTGAGGAAACCAATGAGTTCCTGAGAGCATGCTATTTGTACCTCGACGTCTTGCACTCGCTAAGGGGCTAACTTCAGCGACGGCCCATGTCCCGTAGCCCCGGATATAGAATTCCCTCTTTTCTCCTATTCCATCCATGATAAGAGATAGAAGAGTGGTACTCACCGAAACTCAAATAATACATTTGACAAACGGCATCTCCGCCATAGTATAAGCCCGTGTATTGATCGCCGCACTGGCCACTTCCCTCTTGCAAGACACCATCAGCAGGAAACTTCGTGCCGCGTGCTGAAGAACAACGACATTGAGTTCGCAATTTGTTGATCGTGCCCGCTGGTGGGCAGAGTGCTCACCATGAGCTCGCAATCGAGCATCACAGTTCCCGCAGGGCAGTCTCCTCCATTCGCAGTGGTAACGCCCGACGACCACGAAGCATATATATTGATCTCGACGGCATTTGGGTTGGCCTGTATACTGTTCTTCGCGGGCATTAGAACCGTGGTTCGTACCACCATTAGCCATGGCATCGGGCTAGACGACTATTTGTTCTATGCGGGCAGTCTGTTAGCCATCATCCAGTCGTCCATCGTCCTGGGAGCATGCTCGAAAGGCCTGGGGAAGGCACTGCATCTGGTATCCCTGGAGAGGCAGCATGAGATCCAGAAGATGACCTACGCCGGCAATCTCTTTTTCATCATCATTATCGGTCTCTCCAAGATCTCCATCGTGTCCTTCCTGCACCGCATCTCGCGCATGAAGCAGCACAGGCTGGTCTTCAACATAGCCATGGGAATTCTGGGCCTCTGGACAGTGGGATCCTTTCTGGCCATAGCATTCCAGTGCGATCTTTCACATGCGTGGTTGACCGTCAATCAAAAGTGTCCTGGAGTGGTAAGCTCAATCCGTAACCCAGTGCCTTCTGGAAGTGCTCAAACGCTCATACACGAAATCCAGTTTCGACGTTGGCAAGTCATTGGGGTGCTCGATATCGTGACCGAGGTTGGGATTATCTGCTTGGTCGCCTACCTAGTGCACGACCTGCAGACATCAGTATCGAGCAAAATGACGGTTCTGTCAATTTTCGGTATCCGCCTGTTGTAAGTCCTCAGCCCCTTCCTCGACCTTCCAAACGATCGCTGACACAAGTGAAGTCTGATTATCTTCATTGCGTTCCGACTGCACACCTTCAGTCAAAGTGGCTATACAACGAATCCCTTGCTGCGCGAAGCTACCTTTGCTGCATGGACACAAAGCGAGCTGTCTTACTCGCTGGTTTCGGCCACTATGCCCATTTTCCACAATTTTCTGAAGAGCTTGAGCACCGGGTTCGGTGGTATGCATGCCACAAGCCACGGATATGGTTATGGCAGTGGCACGGGCAGCCGCGCACATGGACAAGACTCCAAGGGGTTTCAATTGTCCATGCTGAGATCCAAGAACAAGAGTGCTGCGATGCCGTCGATGAACGACGACCGGGACGAGTTCTACGGCCAGGCCAAAGCCATGACGGCGGAACAGCTTGGCGGTGCACCTGCAGCCTCAACCACGGTGCAGTGGTCCGGCGGTGTTCGGGGATCGAATGGAGAAACGACAAGTATCAACAGCGACGAAAGCCAACGATACATGATCAGGAAGGATGTTCAATGGGAAGTGAGAACTGAACTCAGGGAATGAACAAAACAGGGAATTTGTACCACCAGAACAGGACGGAAAGCTATGCCTTGCAAAATGTGGGAATGTGCGCAGTTGCAGCGGGATCAGCTGCCACCGGTATATATATTAGGCCCGTAACGACCAAAAACGACGCCTGAGGCGTTACCATGGACATTCTTAACCACGGCCCTTACGTTGGTTGGACCCGTACTTACCCCTTAAAGCAAAGTTTTAAGGAACTGTCACTGGGTACGATGAACCCAGATAGCTTTTCAACGAGCGTGACGACGACAAACTTTGGAGACTATCACAGCGACTGTGATTCCATTACAATTCAGAACAATTTTCTGGGGCCTTTGGAGACAACAAGACGCTGCCGGTCAACTTTCCTTGACCACAGTGACCGCCCTACCAATCAAACCAATTGCGGTACCTCCTGAGGAACAACGGAAATCCCACAGGTTATCTTCACGATGATGGATATCGGTAAGAGTGTGCTGTTAGTTCGGCCCTGCCATGCCGGCAACCACCGGTGCCGAACAATGCAGGGACGAGCGAGCCAAGACTTGCTTCTTTGAAGGGGCCAGTCGAGAGCGAGCGTTATACGCTTGTTACTGCGGCGTCGAAGCTCTGACAAGGTATGCCGTGGCCTGAGATGATGAGGTTGTCTAGGAGTCGCACTTTCGTTTCAGCATGACCACCATGCAAGACGACCGGTGTTTTCGTTGAAGCAGGGTGATGCTGTATACATTCCATGCTGCGTGACAAGGATTGTGCAACACCGGATGGGGCAAACACCTTTGTGAAATCGGAGATCAAAATAAATGCAGCATATGCAGCCAGTCCTCATGTACAACACCCTGTTCCAACATCAGGGACGCCTTTTGCGCCTGAGGAATATTCATTTCTCTCGCGATGAAATTCAGTTGGCCAATCACAAATTCCTTGAAGGATCCGCCCGCCACTATGGAAGCTCGGGCCGCACTGAACAGAGGCCATATGAGGAAGTAGGCGCTTGCAATTGATAGATTGGACGGCGATCCGGCGCCTTTTGAGGGCGCGAGACAGTGTGGCTTCTGTAGAAACGACGTCGAGGACTGGCATATCTCGGTTGCCATTTGCTCAATGACGCGCACACACCGCGCACGCAATGCTTTAAGTAAGTCGTCCCCTTCGTCATCGAAACGGTCCTGCCGGCGAGCCTTGTCCACATAAACGAAGATGATCTCATTGAGAGCAATTCTGGTCATTCGAACTTCGTTCCACAGCTGCGCGGAGTAATGACTTGGGTAGAGATGATATTTATTCTTGTATAGCCCCTCCATCTGGCTGCTGGTGACCACGACATCATACGCCCAAGCCGAAGGAAAACCTCTGGCGACCAATGCAGTATGCGCGTCGATGGCCTTCGCTTGTTCGATAATTTCAAACGGGTCGGTTAGCGACCCCTCGTGGATGCTTGCGCGAAGTTCCGTGAAGTCATCGACAATCACCATAAACCGTCGATTCGGGTCTTCTCGATCTCTGCGTAAGCCCATGGTAAACCCCCAGGACGAGATCTCGGCGGGTAATCGGGCGCGGCGTTGTATGCTGCTGTACCGGGCTATTGCGTTGACGTGTTGGTGGAGCCGAACGCTCAGAGACTTTTCGAGGTCAGGTTTGGGACGAAGGCTGACAAGGGATACCGCTCCTTGCACATGCCGGTCCCAGCTCGCAGAAGGCGAGTATCTTGCACTGGCATGTGCCAACGCAACGTCTTCGACGCCAATGGTGTCTTCGCTCGCAAGAGTTTCGAAATGAGCGAGGAGCAGTACAGACGCCAGCGTTGCATCCTGACGGCAGCCATACGGGTCTTGAAGCGCAGTGTTTGTTTCAACAAGGCTCCGTGAATATCTCTGTCGGGCTAGAGCCATGAGTTCACGCCTCCGAGTCGCATGACTAAGACTTGCGAGAGACACAGCCTCAACAATGCTTGTCAGAAGGGAGGGAGGCTTTGCAGTGTTATAAAGAAGAGGGAGGTATTCGAAATGACTGCCGGGGATATATTGCGTCAGGAAGAATGCTATTGCGATCTCGGGAAGAGCTTGGCTCAGTGCTTGAGAAGGGCGGTCCAGCGAGGCCAGTTTCCTCTGGTTCGAGATCTGGCTGGACATGTTGTCCGCGATGATTGGTAATAGGTCTTTCTCAGTGGCTCGAAGGTCCAGCGAAGATATACTGGTAGTTGCTGCAGAATCGTGCTTGCTGGATTCGCTGGTTTTTCCACTGCTGGTGTCCACAGCTGCATCGGCATCTGCGTCTAGGACTGCTGTCACTCGATACTTCTGTTCCACTCGATCGCTTTCATCACGGAACATGAGATCTAGTTGGTTGCGATAGCCAGGACAGGCTCGAGAAGCATTTCGACACTGTCCGCATCCGGGCCGCTTTTGATCGCACTGGTTTCCTTATTAGCACATACCCCTCGATGTTAGTGCCTTGGATCTACAGGCGATATCCAGAAAGACCTTACCCTCAGTCGCTTCTTGCGGCAATAGTCGCAGCCTTTGGACGGCTTTCCGCAGTACACCATTGTTATAATGCCCGGAACTAGGGTGAAGGTGAATGTGCAGCGGTTATTTGGAGACCTGGCTAGAGTGAAGGAGCAGGAAATCTCTATGCTTTTGTCTCGTACAATCAGTGGCCGAGGCTCTGTCGTTCTTTCAGCGTTCTTTTGTCAGCCTGGGGACACACGCCTACATGGACGCTCAGGAGATCGGTCTCGAGTAAGTCCGGAAGGCGCATTTCAAAGGACAAACTCGGCGTTGTGCGCCACTGCTGTGAACCTGTGCCAGAAGATAGATGTGTCCAAAGCCGTTATCGGCCTCCGCCTTCGGGGATAGGCCTCCCGCCTGGTAAAACAATCGCTGTAGAAGTTGTTAGGCAAGCCGCATATCTCGAAGATCGAGGGGTCAAGATTATTGGGACTCGTATAAGCCAGCTCCGAATGATCTGCAGACGGGGCATGATTGACTAGGCCGGATCCAGTATGCAGCTCGTAGGTAGAGCGGGAATGCGTCACTCACCCAGTGCCACTGCTTGCAGATCAGTAATTAGGGTAAGCCTTCGTTGAAGAGATTCGATCCTTCTTGAAAGGTCATGACGACCAATGCAGGGCTGTTGATTACATCAGAGAACGATGGAAATGCTTCTGCCTGGCGAGGCTTGCTAGAAATCCCGTCGCCTGGAAGCATGATTGGTTGATCACCTGGGAGTAACACGACTCGTAGACAACCGATTTTCCATTTCTAATATCCAGTTTGTCCACGACCGGCGGGATAGACGACAAAATATAGACACCTTTTGACCCGATACACGTTTTGTTTGCAGGTATGGGTTATGGGCAAGAAGGACGATCAACGGCAGATGTTATCGGTAGGGATGGAAAATAAACACCAACGCAGAGTGGTTTTCCCAAGATGGTCGCTTCGACCTCCGGTTTTCGCAGACGCGACGTCTCTCAATGTTCCGGTCTCGACAGGGAGATATTCGTCTTGATCTTGACTATATCGGCACTGACAAACGCCCCATGCGGTATTGTGATGTTGGTCGCGAGTGAAGTTTGATTTGCGGTGGTGGTCAACGACAACAACATCAGCTTACCCAACCCGCTTTTCCACTGCTCTCTCGGTATCCAGAGTCAAGTCTGGCCAGGGCTCTATAGGTTTGGAGTTAAAGGACAGCTGGAAAATCAACTGCTGCCGTCAGATGAATCACGGCTGGTCTCGTTCCCAACAAGATGTCCATGACCAGTGGAATCATGTTTGAGCCTGTGGCAGCCTTTGAAAGGGTCAAACCAATTGTTGTAAGAAGAGGCAGTAACGACTTGGTGGAGAAATCCAATTCCGAGAAGGAAAGAGGCGCAGGGATACGGCCAAGGACTGCGACACTTCTCCACAATCAGAGACTTGACCTCTCGGGTATGGCTCTGCTGGTGGGAGTTACAAGTGCTGCGAGGAGTACAGCATGCCGAATGATGTCCATGCCAACTGTAACTTCAGTCTTAAGCTCTCCCAGATCACGGGCAATGAAGAGGATGTTATCCCCAAAAACAGTGTCTTGTACTGAAGGTTGTGTTGACTCTGTTGCGATTCGCTCATTACAGGTGAAAGAGTGCACATCAAGTTTTACAATTGCACCTAGGAAGCGAAGTGGTCTAACAGACAGTTCTCCTGTTCCCAAACGAAGAGATTCGCACGCTGCCGGAGGAACAAGCTGTAGCAGCTGCTGTGTTTGATATTCGAGAGAAAATCCAGAATGGGAATAGTGCAATATTGCGTCGGAACTGGAAAATCTGTCCCCCATTGCTCCGAAGTCCCTCGAGCAAATGTGACCAGCCATTCACCAGCTGCCTCGTAACGCACTCAGGTCTGAGCCTCACCCTTCAAAGAAGACTCAACGAACTGGTTGCCTTTGCAGCACGCGCTCATGGAGAGTGAATTGTCCTCCGATGGCCGAATACGCGTATAGGTGATACAGCCGGACCGAGTAGCACAGCGACTGGTTCATTTTGCAGCTGCCTGATGCCATGGCGCAGCCCGCGTCGATCTCAGGCCCAAACCCTCTCACACAGCCTCAACGACCCCCTCGTCTACACGCCATAGACCCTTTAGGCATGCTGTCGACTTCCATTTAGTGCTTCTGATATGCGCGTAAAGTGTATTGTTGTTTTGCGCTAACTACACAGGGTTGCTCTTTGCGATTGTGCTTGCCTAAAAGTGTGCTCGGCCAGCCTTCTGATCTCCTGTTCTCCAGCAATGGGATATGCAAGTCTATAAGAATGCCTGAACATCCTGCAATCTGGAAATATTTGACAATCAGAGAGATACACACACTTGCACTTTAATTATTCAAGCAACTCGTGCAGAAGCCCAGTTCACAGTTTTCTTAACAAACCGCGACACGCAATTAACCGCCATTTGTACCCGCCTCCAGACTTGACTTGACATCAAATATCGCCATCCTCATGGGTTTGATCAAAACTACCATCATCGCCGGTACCGGCATCTACGCCGTGAACAAGATCACCAAAGCGGCCGAAAACCGACGCACAACCCCTGCGCCAGTCGCCGCCGTACAGGACAGCAACTACTCGCGCCAACAACAAGTTGACGCCCCCCCTAGCTACTACCCTGTTCCTTACCAGCAGGCAGGGCCGTCGCAAGAAAAAGTCGTGCCAATGGAATTTCAATACACCGAGCGGCGCGGTCCACAACAAGACCTGCAGCAACAGCAGAAGCAGCAAGGCCACGCTCAAGTTCTATCGGCAAATAACAGCGCCTACGCGCCCTTGCCATATGGCTATGACAACCACCAGCCTGCATACGAATATGCGCCGGAACATGCAGATATGTACGCCGCCGGCAGCGCCCCGCTGCCACAATACGATAGTTGGCGACAGCGGCGCCACCAGCAGGGCTTCGTTGAGCCGGACGAGGTCTCCAACTCAACAACCTTCGATGGGCAGCCGAGCAGACGCGGGAACACGGGGAGAACAACAGGGCTGTTGGATACACTGGCTCAACAGGCTGAGAATCTGAGGGATGGCAAAGGGAAGGATATTGTTGGGAAATTGCTCTCTAGATGATCCTCGGGTACGTGGAAGGAATTAGGCAGGGTGCGGATGTAGACGAAGAGAGAGGGCACCGCGACGGTATGGATGGGTCTTCAAGAGGGCAGCCAGGTGGCGATTTGCTCATTGGTCAAATGTGGTTCGGAAATGCATTGAGCGGCGTCTCGCTTGAGGTTTCGTTTTAAATAGATGAGAATATGAAAATCGCTAAATCCTTCCAGAAGCAAACATGCCCGCTTCCAGCTCATTTAGCCCATGTGGCCAAACTCGAGAAATGTCTGGGTGTCTCCTATCGGGGCCATTTATCGTCGAGAACTCAAGAGGACGGAGGCTAATTCACTCCCCAAATACCCCAAGGATCCTCCTTCGTCCCGAGACCGCTATCTCCATCTCGCACCTCCTCGTCTTGAAGCCTCCGGACCCTTTTCGCCAGAACACCCAAAGCGAGCGGCCCGACAAGGGTGCAGAGAAGAATCGCCCATGTCACGATAAGGTATAGATCCGAGACTACTAGCCCGTCTCCATCTCGGTCTCCGTCCGCGGCCGCACCTTTGATGCGCGTGAAGATGCCGTTCGTGGCTGCAAGGGCGGAAATGAGGAATCCGATCTCGTCGCGAGCGACCATCGCGCAGCCGAGGATGGATGCGAGATATAAGGACTTTGGACGGGGAAGGGAGTTGCGCAGGGCAGGAGTAGCCTTGTTCTTCTTCTTTCTCTCCTGCGTATCCGTGGCGCGCCTTTCGTCGGATGTTGCAGGCTGCGGAGGACGAGCAGGTCGCGGTGCTGGTGGTGACGAGTTGGAGATGCGAACAAGCCACATGCCGCAGAAGAGTTTGCCGATAGCCATCAGTGTTGCGTAGACTAGACCGCGCCAGATGACGGGGCCTCGGAACATTTTGGTGATCGGGATGGAAAAGCCGATGGATGCCTAGACATGAAGGTGTGAGAGCAGCTGACGAAAAACAAGTATGCGGTCTGGAAAGCCGGTGAGTGGGAGGAGACTCACGAAGAAGAACGGTTTCAAAATGCGCTCCACTGTAGGTGCATAGTAGTGGTTGTACATCTGGAGGCTACGGCTCTCCACGTCCAGTGCGTCTGGGATATCGGCTGATCCTGCATCTTGATCGACATTCGTTGCCGATTCTGGATCCTCTGGAGGCGGCGTCAGTTCGCAAGACAGTCTCGATGACTGAATCAGAAACGGGTGGTGGACTTGTGGTTTCTCACCGCTTGATTCAGGGATATCCCTAGCATTCCGAGCGGTGCCAGAGTGTACTGACCTGACGTTGGAGGCCTCACTGACCGTATGTTTCTGAAGTTTTCGCATCTGTGAACACTTCTTTCGGGATAGGCCACCTGCTGCCCGTACACTAGCTTCGTCTATCCAGGATACAGTAGGTCCTGCCATATAAGCGGCGAACAGGTTTGATGTGCCTGCGTAGCTCGCCGCGGTGACCACGGTCGCCAAAAGCGCTGTTGAGAAAAGGAAAGGAAGCTTTACCTCCATGTCCAGTGCCCTCGAAGAGAATTTTCCGTTCACTTTAAGTGACACGGCTGAGAAGTGGGGTAAAATTGACTTTACCAAGAGCTTGCAGACCACCGGTAGGACGATGGCGAAAGCAAGGGACACAAACAGGGCGCATGATCATAGTGGCTGAAATAGACGTGGGACCAGAGCCCAGATTAGTTATAATCTGAACCATGATCAGCCCAGCAACATCGTCCAACATTGCGGCACTGGTAAGGATCGTGCCCAAGCGACTCGTCGTTAGGTTCGTCGTCTTAAAAAGGCTGAAGGTGGTACCTAAGCTCGTTGAACATGGCGCAGCTCCAGCGGCGAAAGCTTGCAGCTTTGTGGCATTGGACATCGCCATCAGAGAGAAAGACAGGGCCATTGGGAGACATATCCCGGTGAGGGCCACGCAGATAGACAGAATCATGGAGCGCCCCAGTGACTTAACTGAAGTCGCCAGCCCGCCCTCGAAGACAATCGCGATCAAGCCAAGGTGACCGAGCTGCACTGCCACATCCTCAAATGGACGGGCCAACAGCCTCAAGCCAGGTGCGCCCCATGCCATTCCAATGAGGACCTGGCCCACAAGGCCACAGTAGAAAACACGGTCCAGAGCAAACCCTAGAGTGTTCAAGACCAGTAGGAAAGACGACTGGATTAGAATTGTGATGATGCCTGGCTCATGATATGGGAGGGCAGCGTCCGCCATGATGGGCAGACAGAAGTGAAATAACGAAGGAGGAAAGACGAAACTCCATGCCACCTAGACCGCAGAAATACAAGAGATGTTCGATTTGCACGTTTGCGAATGCTAGATGTGGATGGTCAATGGAGATGTTCAAGGCTGACGAGGCTGAACCTGACGAAGCTGAACCTGACGAGGCTGAAGCCTAAAGAGGAAGATTTGCCGAACTCCATAACAATTTTGGCTCTGGTACATGGCCGTAGAGCACCAAGCAAAAAGTACGTGCAGGTGGATTTTTTCTAGGTCTTTTGTCACACTCCTTGGATGCTCGCTGAAGCAAGCCTTAGGCGAGGTCTGTGTCCTATCTCCTAAAAACTTACTATCCCCTGTGTTGGAGCAGCCTTTGCGACAATGCTGTGCGCAAGTAGGTTCTCTCGTCCGCCTCGGGCAATTGGTCGCAACTAATGGTATCGCAGTCTCGGGAGAGGCGCCCCAGATTCCGGTGGCCTCACGCAAGAGTGGTGCGTCCAAGATTTGTGTGGCTCAGGCCTAAGTGCTCTAACATCCGCAGGTAATGTCTACGAAAAGCGCCTGATCGAAGCGTATATCAGCGAGAATGGCACAGAGCCCACAACTGGAGAGAGCCTGTCCGTCGAAGACCTTATCGACCTCAAGAGTCCCAATGTCGTCTATCCACGACCTCCACAGATGACCTCCATTCCTGCTATGCTCTCCTTCTTCCAGAACGAATGGGACGCTTTGGCGCTTCAGACCTACACTTTACAACAGAATCTTCACCAGGCTCGGCAAGAGCTTAGTACTGCGCTGTATGAAAATGATGCGGCGGTACGGGTCATTGCACAGCTTACAAAAGAGAGGGATGAGGCACGAGCAACATTGGCACAGATAAATATCAGTGGTGCGGCCCAAGCCAGCACGAATGGTGATGCCATGCAAGTGGACAGCGCCCCATTACCACAACATGTCGTGGAGAAGATCGAAAACGTACAACAGAGGTATGAGTACCCTCTATCTACTCTGTGCAGGAACTGACGAAGATCTCCAGTTTGTCGAAGACCCGGCGAAAACGACCAGTGCCAGAAGAATGGGCCACCTCAGACTCAATATCAGCTTACACGTCGAGGTCAACCTCGAAACCATTGTTTCCTGGTGGACGGGTGCTCGCCGTGCACGAGAAAGGAGATCTGGTCCTAGTCGCAGGCACCAAAGCGGGAGTCTACTCGCTGTCAGAGAACACGGTATCATATACGCTTGACTTCAACCAAGGAGAGGCCACAAATGGTCTCTGGGCTCATGACAGGGCGGTTGTTGCAACGTCAGCAGGTGCAGTCAAGGTGTTTGAAGGGGACCGAGAAGTCTCGTCCTTCTCAATCCACGCGGGACCGGCCAACGGAGTGGCTTTACATCCCAGTGGCACCATTCTGGCTTCAGTCGGGGAAGACAAGACGTATATTCTCTATGACCTTGAATCCAGCCGTGTCCTCACCCAGGTCCCGAGTAACTCAGGTATGTTCTCTTGCCTTCTCATACCCAGGCTTGCGCGCTTATTGCATGTAGGTTTACGCTGTGCTCAATTCCACCCTGACGGACACTTGTTGGCGGCTGGTGGCGTCGATGGGCAAATCAAGATATTCGATGTGAAGTCGGGTGCGGAAGCGGCGACGTTTGATCTTGGAGGCCCAGTGCGATGTATCTTCTTCTCCGAAAACGGCATATGGTTGGCGGGCGTGACAGAGAAGTCGTCGACAATCTCCATCTGGGACCTGAGGAAAGCGACCGAAATCACGACCATTGAGACGGGCAGCCAGATCGAATCCATCAGCTGGGACTACACTGGGCAATTCTTGGGGGTGGCAGGACAAGACGGAGTTACAGTGGAACATTATTCCAAGGCATCAAAGGAATGGTCAGAGATTCTGAAGCGAGGGACCCCGGCGACACGAATCGCATGGGGTCAAGATGCTCAGAGACTAATCACCCTCAATGAGGAAGGGGTGATCACGACCCTGGCGGCTGCAACAGAGGGATAGACGTTGCCACGTTCCTTGTATACACAGGAAGGAAGGGAAGGTACCTGGTAGTATTGATACCCATAACTGCAGAGATGCCAGATCCAGGGCGGCGATTGCTGGGAGGACAGGAAAGGAGAAGAAAGGGCCACATGAAAAGGAGGGACAGCTGCATCGACAGAGGGTGTGTCTTTGTTCCGCCTGCGATGATATGTACAAAAACAATAAAATGGGCCAGCTTGCATGGTGTTATTGTTTCTTACCTAGGTACCTATATACCTACCTAGGTAGGTACCTGGGCAAGTAGGTAGACACTGTGTGACTTGGAGCGGCGGCAACATTGACCAGTGAGACTATCCCAAGCGCACGCGGACTTGTCGATTATCCATTTATCAGCGGCTCTTTTAAGAAAACAAAGGATGGCCAGTGGCAAATGACCCAGCGAGCCAGGATTTCAGGAAAAACCCTCGCAAACTGGAACTTGAACAGCGCGGCTCCAACTTACCGGGTCAAAGACTCTCCACACGCTCCCTCATTATTCTTATTTGTTCTCATTTGCCCTTGTTCCAACTTTTGCAACTGCAGGTGGCCACATTCAAGGCTGGCATTTGCACACTTCTCCTCTCTACGCTCCTTTCGATTTGTCCTGCATCTGTCAAGTCGCGCTCGCCTGTCACACTTGGTCGGCCCGTTGTTGCCACTTCGCTGGCGTCTTGGGAGGCGAGGGGTTTGGCTTTGGTGCCCGGACGACATCTAAACCCGTACCTGACTTCGACCACCTCGACTGCTCAACATCACTTCCCAACCGCCACCAGCGATTTCGATTTCCTTTCTACATGATATTTTCAACCCGAGAGCCTTAGTTTGCCATCCCAGGCGCCTTGATCATGCCTCCGGCAGGCACAATTGCTTTGAGCAGTTTCCTGACCCAGGCGTCGGCATCTTCCAGTCGGAAGGCAGGTCCTCGACTTTCATTCATTCTCAGCTGATCTTCACCGACCGTACTTGCACACATGTCAGATGATTTGGTTCTGAAAAGCAATGTTCTAACTGCGGACACAGAGATCTCATGCGGAAATAACCCGATCACAAAGTCGAAGTGTCACTCCCGACCACGCATCGTTCAAGCGCCGCCGCATCAACCCTCAACCGACACCTGGACCTTCTCCAGACTCGACTTCGCAATACCCAGAATCAAGAACACGGTTTCCGGGCGACGGCTTTGACTACCGGAGACCGGCCATGTCTACACAGGCTCCTCGAGCAACTGCAACCCCTGCACCGCCCGATGTCACGATCGACCTCACAGCGGATAGTGACAGTGATGACACTTCCACTGATTCAGAGTCCTCCCTGCCGAGTCAGGCATCTAGCCAGCCCCCCCAACGAAGGTCTCGACACCTAGTTGTCGGTAGCTGGGTCGCACGAGCACACGAACAGCACCTAGCCCAACAGCAACAAGAACATGCACGCATACGCCAAGAAGCTGCGCGGAGGCAACGAGAGACTGTGCAGAGACAACAAGAACAACATACCCGTGCTCCGCCTTTTGGCCAAAGACCACAAACACCCGAGGTAATCGATCTCGCAGACACGGACGAGTCGGAGTTAGATAGGGGGGACTTTGAAATATCGGTGGACGCGGATACGCACGAACCCGAATCCACCTTCTCCCCCTCGGCAAGCCCAGAAGTCGAATTTGTTGAAGAGAGGCGTGTTGCTCACGCCCAGCGTCAGGATGCTGCAGCCCAGACGAATTTCGGCCTTAACGGTCCTCGCAGGTTTATCCCAGATTTACTGAGGAGGGGGACACATTTTATGTTTGAAAACATGCACCATATCCGTCCAGGCCATGGCGAAAGGATTTTGAATGGTTTTGATGTGGTTCCGCCTCGGGTCAATGATGGACGACTTGGGAACGATGGTGGCGATGCTTTCATCATCAATATGGACTACAGACAACCCGCGTTTTCTCTGGGTCCTATTGACGTCTTCGACCGCAGCTCCGAAACACCCCAAGTGGTGCCTGAGCCGTACAAAGGGCCTCCAGCAGCCAAAGAAGGCTTTATCAGGACCTTTGGAGAGGAAGATATCATACTGTGTCCGATGTGCGGCGATGAATTAGCGACTGGCAAAGGGGATATCAAGCAGCAGGTCTGGGTGGTAAAAGCCTGCGGACACGTAAGTGACTTGGGACCGACTCAGATGTTAAACCTGTTCTAACATCGAATTTCTAGGTTTACTGCGGCGAATGTGCCCTCAACCGGTCCAAGTCGAAAACATCAAAGAAAACCAAAGGCAAAGAGGTTGAAAAGAAACTGGAATCGCCCAGGTCGGTACCGTTTACGGTATGCGTTGTCGATGGCTGTAACAGCAAGGTCATCCCCAAGCCTGCCATGTTCCCTCTCTACCTATGACCGCACGTCAAAAGTTGGCTTGATCCGGCCCCTCCACCGCAGATGCAGCCAGACATCGACCCAGCCAATGACGAGGTGAATCTTGTAATGAAGGACTGGGGAGTTTAATCTTTTCACTGATGATTCAACGTTCACGATCGAGGTTGATGCATAGATATCAAGGGGTGAATCAGCCAGGGCGCTCTTCAGATGCTGTTCTGAGTCCATCTGTAATCATTGTACATATGTTGCAAATCAAGTGATGTTAACTCAGCCTTAACTCAGCCACATCCCAAGGCCTCGTCCTACTTTCGTCTCAATCGGACCAGAAAGCCGCTTTCCTAGACACATTTACTTTGTATTTGCAGCTTCTCCAGCGAGCTTAGAGTTGTCAGCCCACTTGGCACCGATCTGATATGCCTGTGACTTGGGTCGTGACTGGATACTGAACTTCCAATCGCCTTTCGAATTGGCTGGTCGGTATTGGTTCGAGACTCTGCCAGAGGTCGTCCATGGCTCGCGAGGTCTGAGTGTCGAAGGGGCCAGAACGAGTCTCGCAGCCTTTTCCCAGCACGAGCTTGTGGACAATTCTCCTCTCGCTCGTCTCGTCGAGCTGATGTAGAGCTCAGCAGTAGGAGTCTGTCTGTCTGTCCGATCGCTGTGCCCCATTCTCTGGCTCTCCTTCAATCAGCTCCGTGGTATATCATGCGATTACCCTTTTGCGCATGATTTAACGGCCCGGACGCTCTCTCTCTCTTCCTTTTGTTCCCTTCAGCTCTTTTCGACGGATCCGGACGGTTCTCTGTGAAGCGAACCTCCTGTTCCAGCGATGAGAGGACGTAAGGATGAGCCGATGTCCCCAACCGCCCAAAATTCCCACTCTCCAACCCTCCTGATCTTGAATCGCACAAGGCTCGAATCCCCGCGGGCTCAAATCTCCTAGGCACAAGGTTCTCGATTATCCAAGCCCACAAGTCCCGGGCTCCCAAATTCCCCAGAATCTCAAATCCTCTTAATCCCGCCATGCATGGGACTCCACATCCCCCTCACACTCTCATTGTTACTAACCACCTTCTTCCCCTTGACCACGACATTCCTCTCCCCGGAGTTTCCCAACAGAAACTCGGCTTTTTCCAGCACTTGTTCGCGGCTCATGTTCTTGACGCAGATGGCCTTGGAGCGACCGTTGCAGTACGACGCTTTGATCACCGGGTGGCGGTTGGGACGGGGCGAGATGCGGAATTCCACGCTGGGAAAGCGGTGCGTTAGGGATGAGAAGGTCGGGGAGGAGAGGAGGGATTTGAGACCCGTGGACGACACCCAGTGGTCCGAGTAGGTTAGGGACAGGCGCGTGCATTGGAGGATGTAGGCGCCTAGACCGTTCTGTGTGTTTTTTTTTTCGTTAGGGAAAGAAAGTGAAGAAGTTCGGGGATTCACATGCGTGTGGGCGAGTTGCGTTTAGAAAGAAAAGCCCTGGGGATGATGCTTGAGGAAGGGATACTAGGGGGGTGAATTTCTGGATCATGTATGGGATGGATTTGGGGGGGAGATTCCACAAGCAGGAAAAAATGGCATAAGAAGAACTTACCCGTGCTGTCGACACGGTCTTGAGCCCTTGCACAACCATGGCGAAGAGGTGCAAGGGAGCAGTTGATATATGCGTGCCGGAAGCGTGGCCCTCGTGGATGAAGTGAGGAGCTGTTGCCAATGGAAAAGTTCGCGGAGTAAGCTACTTTTCGCAGGCAACGGAAAGGGCACGGCTGCAAGGCTTTGGCTCTAACTTTATCTGGAGTGGTTCAGCCTTACCTTTAGTGTGGCCAATGGGTGATGAGGAGGACTTTTGGTGTGCAGGGCTGGCGAGTGCAAGGGAGGTCGGAACTATGGAGGATCTGTACGTATGTATGTATCGGGAGGAATAGAATGGCCAGCGGATACGCTGTCCGCGCGAATAGTACGTGTCAATCATTCACATTATGGGATTATCTATCTGGAAAGACAGCAGGTGGTATTATCGTGCTTGGGCAGGGCCCCGTCCGCGGCGTTCCCCTTCGGTCGTCGTGTGAGACCACCATTGGCGAAACCAGGATCCCATTCCTTCTTAGAACCGTGGGCTGTCTCTGGTCAGAGTCCAAAGCTTCTCCTCCAGTCCCAGCACTTGCACTTCATGTAGTCCGACAAATTCTCCCTGGAGATTCTCCCACCGCGCCCTCCACACCCACCTGACTGACGACCTCCCAGCCATCCGTGTGACCAACGCAGGGCACGCACCAGAACACACTCTTAGGATCCCAATACCGCTTCAACTGGAGCAGTCGGGGGTAGTTTGAACCCCAAAACGTCTCCTGCCAGTTCGGTTCAGTCGGGTCTGCTTCGTTGACATACGCTCCCGTGTTGGGCGCCATTTCGCGGAGGGCTTCCGTCTCGACGTCACGGAGTTTTGTGGTTACCGCGACCTTTGCCGTCTCGTTCAGAAATGCCCACGTTCGTGGGAGCACGATGTGCGCGTAAGCCTCGCGCCACGCGGGCAAGACCGAGTTGCTTCCCCCGGGGATCCCGTTCTTGACGGTCTTGACACCCTTGCCAGCCACGACGTGACCCAGGATCGGATACTGCGGGACAGAACTTGTCTGCTTGAAGAGCCTCTTCAGCTTTGCTGGGTCAGTCTTGAGAGCGGCCCCGTCAAGGAGGCGAGACCCCAGTCTCACTTCCATTCCTACGCTCTGAGATGTAACCAGTGCGAGCCAGAACTTGGTGAAGTCGGCCACTGGCACAGAAACATTGCTGAGGAAGACCGTGTCCGTCCAGTTGTATGTGTTGTTCCGAATAGCTTGTTCCATGGGCATTAACACTTGCCGGGTTTCTTCGACGGTCTTGTTTGGGGCGAACCAGAAGCCGGCGACCGAGCCCATACGGCCTGGGTCAGACTGTGCCGCGCTGTTGTTTGGCACGATGAAGTAGTAACCCATGACACCCGCATCGGAGAGTTCGGGCAATTGGTTGTGAAAGTATGCTACAAGGGACCAGAATGTATCAGTGTTCGCAGTCGTGTTATAGCTGAATGTATACACTGTCATAGGCAGGACTGGATATGCTCGGACCGTGACAGAGAGGAGGACTGCGAAGGTGGAACTACCGCCCTAGACATAAACATTGAAAGTCAAATATTCTGTTGTTTAGATATTCGGAGCTCGCCTGAGGAGACTTACGCCTCGCATTGCCCAGAAGAGGCCAGGATATGAATCCTCGTTGATAGTCAGATGTGTCCCATTGGCGGTGACAACATCCATCTCAAGGACTTGATCTGCCCCCAAGCCATAGAAGGCGCTGATCGGAGAGTGTCCAGCCCCAGTGATCCAGCCACCAATGCCCACATTGGGATCGGCACCACCGACCAAGGTAAGGTGGTAGGTGGAAATTTCTTGGTAGATTTCGCCAAAACGCATGCCGGCGGCAATCTTGACAGAAGCAACACCGCCGTACTGCTTCGCTCGAGGATCCCCCATCGTGACGTTGACGCCACGGATGTTGTGGGTCCAGATTGAGAGAGAGCTTCGGCCAGATGATCTGCTCGCGATGTCAGTGCGGTAAGGCCTTTATTGACAGGTCGTCAAGTGTATACCGTCCCAGAAAATCATGACCCGTTCCTTTGACGATGAGCCTCACCCCAGTCTTGTAAGCGAACCGGCAAGCGGCTTCAACATCAGCCGCATTGGTGGCATTGACCACATAAGCTGGAAGGAGTGCCGTAGAACATGGCGCTCGAGGATCAGGGAGGCAAGAGTCATCGTTGTAGTCGGTCGTGAAGGGGTCATCGGCATGAAAGGACGAATTGCCCCACTGGGCAAGCAACTGGCCACATGCCTGGGCGCTGTACACTGAACTGTTGGTCTGGCAGACCAATCCCGGAGGCACAGGAGCGATGAGGCGACCCGAGACAGAATTGTTCAAAGCGCGCCAGTCAGAGATGGAGGGCCAACCTGGCGAACCTACCACGGGTTTGCAGTATTGCTGAGTGAGTGCTTGAGCCGTCGTAGAAAGGAAGATAATGCAGTAGATGCCTGCGAGGAGGAAGCTGTTCATCATCCTGCTAGAATGCTTTGTGATGAGGCGTGCAAAGAGACGTAAGACGTTGAATACTCCTCTGGCACCAGGGAAGGAAACGATCTCAATATAAATTTCGTTGAGAACTACCCCTCTTCAACAGGACTAAACAAGTTGCCTGAGAAGCATCCACATACTCTGAAATAGAGGCCAGTAATCCTTTGTCGAATACCTCGGGGTAGTCGAACTCAATTGCCGGGCCAATCTCGATCAGGAGGATTCTGCGGAAAATAGTAGCAATTCATCTCAGATGCATGAATTTCTTGGACGAGGCCCAAAAACTCTGTATGCGATGAATGCCAAGATCCACAAGGCACTTCGCAAGGCTGTTTTCTACTCTTGTTATGGGAAAGAGTTTATAAATGATCAATTAGAAGAAGCGACGTTGTTGGGAGAGATCGACGGCCACGATACGAATACGTTGTTTCCTTCCTCTGCAGAGTTCGCATAGAGACTAAGCGAACACGACGGGGGCTGGTGACTGTGGCGCACAGCGCGAGCAGGATAGATCATGTCACGTGACTGTGGCGGTGCGCACTCAATTCAAGGTCATCGACATCAGTCCGCAACGCTGAGGTGGGATCGTTGTTGCCTAATGGATATCGACTGGACGGCTCCATCGCCGATATCTAGAAAGTTTTCTTATGTCTTGGACGTTCTTCACGAGTAGCTAGCCCTTGTAAATGGTGAATTGATGATCGATAATGTGCTCAGGGGATAGATATACCATTCTAGGGGATCTGTGAATGGTTGAATCAGCCATATCAGAGCCAGCAGCGACACAGTGCATCTTAGAGGTATATTGATGCCAGGTACCTAGGTAGTTACCTACATCTTGGTCGTGCAAACTGAAGATAGCTGTTCAGCTGTGTTGTAAAGTGTGGCTGTTGAATATTGACGTGGCACTAAACCGTTCCGGGGACTAGGATGTTCTCCTGGGCAGTTCAGGAAACAACAATTTCATTTCTCCATCAAACGCGCGGGCATTCAGCTTCCTTCAACCCTTTGTCTACTTATCCTTTCCTTCCGCTATCTCTGCCTCTGTAATTTTATTTGAACCCAGTGCATTTGTGTTCTTTTCTCTTCTTTTCCTTTTCGCACTGATGACTATCGTGCTTCTCTACCGAAAAGCTTCTTCCGGCCTTGCTTCAAGATGACGGACAAACTTCCTCCCAATCTCCTTGCTCTGTTCCAACCCCGACCTCCCCTCCGCTACATTCCCCCTCAAGACACCGCGCCGGACGAGAAAGCCCTCAAGCAATCACAGCTATCTGGCATAGCCGCGTATCTTCCGCAGCTAGAGGAGTACAAGGCGACCGACGTGTATGAAGCAACCGAGTCTTGGCTGCAACAGCGCGATCGCAAGAGACTCGAGAAGAAGTTGCGCCAGCAAGAGATTGAGCAACCCGATTTTCAGGGCTACAGACCAAACGATGACCCCAAGATTAAAGGTGATGCGGTCAAGACACTGTTTGTGGGCCGTTTGAGTTACGACGTGAAAGAAGCAGACTTGGAGCGTGAGTTTGGCAGGTTTGGTCCGATCGAGAGGATCAGGATCGTCAAGGATGAGACAACACCCAAACCCAAAAAGCCACATAGAGGTTACGCCTTCATTGTCTATGAGAGAGAAAAGGATATGAGAGGTACTTTCTTCTATGCAAACCCCTCTGCCCGAGACCCTTCACTCCAAGCCAAAGATCCAGTGGTAAGATGTCATGGTACTGACCTCGAACTTCCTTACAATTTAACAGCTGCGTACAAAGAAACAGACGGCCTACGGATTAAGGACAGAAGAGTCGTTGTCGATGTTGAACGTGGCCGTATGGTCCCAGGTTGGAGACCGAGAAGATTCGGCGGAGGTCTTGGTGGACGAGGATATACCAAGCAAGCTCCTGCAAAGCCTACATTCGGACCCCCGGGTGGGTATGGCGGCGGATTCAGAGGGGGCTTTGGCGGTCGTGGTGGAGGCTTCCGCGGTGGGTTTCGTGGCGACCGAGGAGGCTTTGGTGGGCGAGGTGGTATTGGCTACCAGGGCGGAGGAGGCTTCGGCGGACGACAAGGCTACCAGAATGGACCTCCTCCTCCCAACGCGCCCAGCGGACCCGGTGGGAGAGGTGGTTATGGCGGAGGCTATGACGATCGACGGAATGGGTATGGTGGAGGAAGGGATCAACGCGGCGCGACTGGCAGCAATACCGACCCCCTCGGAGGACGAGATCGTGGATATGACAACCGAGACCGAGACCGTGACCGAGATCGAGACCGAGAAAGAGACCGCGATCGAGACCGAGACCGTGATCGATACGGAAGCAGCAGACGTGAAGACGACTACGGCTCGAGAAAACGATACCACGAAAGTGACGGGTACGATGATCCCAGACAACGCAGAAGGTATTGAGCCTCCTCGTCCCGTGCTTCGTATTGTGTGCAACCTTTCTATCACCTTATGGCTGGTCGCGGGTGGGTACCCTAATGCTCGACATCCTCAAACAAACAGTGGAGTTTCGGTTAGCCTCATGATGTCCTTTTGCATTTACACGGCCATGGTAAGGAGACACATGTTTCTCAGGCCTTACGCATTTCGACCTTGGTCAGATGAGGAAAAAAGCAAAAGTGACACTCGATCGAGATGGTCAACTCTCCGCAGTCCGTCAAACACCGTTGACTCGAAACGTAGCCGCCTGGATGGTAAGATCCAGCGAGGGCCCCGGAAATGTTGGATCCTAGATCTGGGGTATCCCAGAGGGATCAGCGAGGCTCAATGCAGTTCGTGTCGCGTCCTTAATGAAGGCGGATGTCCTCCGTCTGGAACTTGTTTTATCATCAGCATTCCTCCTGGCAGTGGTCAGGTCGGGTAAGGGTGACATTGTTGTAACATAGTTCTTACGAAAACACATAGCAGCAGAGATGCTCGAAGCAGATTGAGGTCGGCTTCTATCCGTTGCTGGGAAGCCCAGGTTTCGGAAGTCTTGTTCCCCGGATGAAGAGATGAGAAGTCCCCTTAGGAAGTCAGTCCACATCGATACCGCTCTGGAAATATGGGCTCATGGCAGCACAGTCGTATCATGTCCATGGCGCCCAGGAACCATTTGCTTTACAAGGCCAACAACAGCAAGCATTCGGCCCACCTACCACCCCGAGGTCGTATATATTTTGGTAATGGGATCAGACGACATGAAAGGCGCAGATCCCACCTCATACCAAGCCTCTCACCACTGGCACGCCGCACATGCCGTTTGCTAAACGCCTGCTCCACGCTCTCTGACTGGCCCACAGACGCTTTCCCCCTAAGTTCTTAGTTAAGCAGAGTTTTTACAGAGAATTTTCAGGCCTGTGACTGGCTGGGGCGGCCATGACAAACGGAAATCCGCTAAAAGCAGGTTCACACGCGCCTTTCATGGTCCTGACACATGGATATCCGCTAACGACAACCGCACACGCCCTGGGGCAACATGTGTCCTAAGGGCGTATTCAACATCCACGATGATTGGTGAGCGCGCTGTGGCATGTTTTCATTTCCCAGACGACTGTTGGGTTTGTCTAGGATTCGTCGTGGGTAGATGATGACATCCCCCACGGTACCCTCAAACCCGGGTTTATGAGTGGTAAGTCGATGAGAAATTTCATATTGCCCTCCAGGGGTAAGATGGTCCTTATATAAACCCATCCCTCGAGTGCTCAAAGGTGAGCAATTCGTTCTGTCTCAAGAAGGGTTAAAGAAAAAAAGGGATTCATGTCCTATCCTCAACACGTACACAAATACTCAACCCGGCAAAGGCTGTATCAACCTATCACCACCGAATAACACCAAACATCCCATTTACATCGCTCAATATGCTCTACGCAGGGTATTACAACCTCACTCAGGCCGAGAAGAACAGCTCGGCTATGACACCCCGTCGAGTCTCCGAAGAATCCACCTCCAGCAAGTCCTCCAAGACATCGCAAAAGATCAAGTCGTCCATCAAGAACGCCCTTGATCAGCTTCGACCAACCACCGAGACGTTGACGCCTGCGGGCATCTACTCGCCCGTCATCAAGCAAGGCGCGCTCTTCGGCCGCAAGCATAGCACGGCTAAGGTTATAGTCGAGACGCCAAAAGCAGAGCCGCTAAGATCATAGACACGAGAAGAGAAACGAAATTCCTTACTTTTATAACACTCAAACAATCGACACCACCAATATCATGAGAGGAGTTACGAGGACAACAGAGTTTGGTTGCTGGGCATTGTCGCTGCATTTTGGCGAACATGAAGAGGGAGGAAATGGCATAGCATACTACAGCCTGAGCTGGAGAGATAAGATACCCTAGATAGCATAGACGGATACCTACATATAATATACAGCTTGAATGCCCGAAAGTCTATTCTCTTCCACGGTGATCTTCTTCTCTCCCTGTGCTCCTTCGGGTCTCTGTGATCGATGACGTCGCAAGCATGTGAAAGCCTTATTGGCGGTGAAGCCTTGGATCATTCGTGGATTTCCCCATACGTCGTAGGTGTCCTCTTTGCAGGGGCATGTAGGTACAAAGGGTCATATCAGAGCACTGGCCTTCCTGACCTCGACAAGGCTGGATGACTATAGGTATTGTACGAGGTATAAGAGTCTGGATTTTGCTAGAATGCGAGGTTCAAGGGAATATCCGAAAATGTAGGGGAAGATCGGGCTGAAGGTGTAAGCGGTTGGCTCTCCTCCAGTTCTGGGGGGCATCCACATCGGCGGCATCAGCCTAACAGCGTCCGCCTCTGGGGGCTAGGCACCTATAGGAAGCCTACAGCGCCAATTGTCATGCGGGAACTAGGCCTGCGCTAACCACCCGCACGGCGCACGCTGCTTCTGCAGCTTCCTCAACTCGTGCACTTCCGCCAAAACTCCATGTTGACCACCTTCACACCACTAGCAATCGCCATTCACATCCTGCGACTGCTTGCTCCTTGAGACCGGGTCACACGCCACACACTTCCTCTTCTCCGGCGTTCTCGTCGTTCTCGTCGTTCTTGCCTGCACGCGTACCTTTGTGTTGAACTGCAACTGCAGGTCACGCAGTGCAGCGACGACGCCGTGCCTCTTGCTGCAGCATTGCCTGCGTCAGCGAATCCAAGCCGAGTTCAAAGCTTTCCTCATCTTAACATAACAGACATCGGGAGCCTTGCCAGCATCGTTCCAAGATTGCATCACCATCGGCATCAGCATGACCATCAGATGAGCCTTTCTCATTCAACCTCTCCATAAGCGGCCAGGACACCCGCACACACTCCTGCCTCATCGCAATTCCTTTGATCAACAGTATCACCCTCGACCAATCCGACCCCTTCGGGGCCCACGCCTCGAGATGGGCAACGTACTGTCGGCCTGCTGCAAAAGCTGCCAAGGTCTGTCTTAGCTATGTTGCTCGACCATGCCCGAATACTGACCTCGGTCGTTGCAGGGGGGAACAAGGATAACCTCTACGAACCCGCCCTCGCAGACAGCGAACGAGAAGCCGTTGCAGATCTCCTACAATACCTCGAGAATGTGTGTGCCCAGAACCCCTTTGTTATACAGAGTCAAAGCCTGACAGACCACAGCGAGGAGAAACAGACTTCTTTTCCGGAGAACCATTACGAGCATTAAGCACTCTTGTCTATTCGGACAATGTTGACCTACAACGGAGCGCTAGCCTCACATTTGCCGAGATCACAGAGCGAGGTATGTGGTCAAGAAACACACGGCAAAAATACAATCTAATTGTTGTTGCAGACGTGAGAGAAGTTGATAGAGACACCTTGGAACCCATCCTATTCCTCCTACAAAACCCCGACATTGAAGTCCAACGAGCTGCTAGTGCAGCCCTAGGCAATCTGGCTGTGAATCGTACGTTCCCCCAATAAGTTCCATTGACCTTTCCTAATTGACACGCCATAGCGGAAAACAAGGTCGCTATCGTCCAACTCGGCGGATTACCTCCTCTCATCCGTCAGATGATGTCCCCCAATGTCGAGGTCCAGTGCAATGCTGTCGGCTGCATTACCAATCTTGCTACCCATGAAGATAACAAAGCCAAGATCGCAAGGTCAGGAGCGTTGGGTCCGTTGACAAGGCTGGCAAAGTCCAAAGATATGCGAGTTCAGAGGAATGCAACCGGCGCGCTGCTCAACATGACACATTCTGGTAAGGAAGAATGAAGTTGTTTCACGGTCGTTGTCGTGCTAACGGTGCGCAGATGATAACAGACAACAACTCGTCAATGCTGGAGCCATCCCGGTGCTCGTTCAACTGCTTCAATCGCCTGATATGGATGTCCAATATTACTGCACCACAGCTCTCAGCAACATCGCCGTCGACGCATCCAACAGAAAGAAACTCGCCCAGACCGAACCACGGCTTGTCCAATCACTGGTCCAATTGATGGACTCAGGAACACCCAAGGTGCAGTGTCAGGCCGCACTGGCTCTCCGAAATTTGGCATCAGATGAAAAGTACCAACTGGAGATTGTTCGAGCTAGAGGCTTGCAACCACTTCTCCGCCTCCTTCAGTCCTCGTACCTACCACTTATCCTTTCTGCCGTCGCGTGCATTCGCAATATTTCGATCCACCCTCTGAACGAATCGCCCATCATTGACGCCGGCTTCCTCAAACCACTGGTGGATCTTCTCGGCTCTACGGAGAACGAGGAGATCCAATGCCATGCTATTTCGACTCTACGCAATCTCGCTGCAAGCTCCGACCGGAACAAGCAACTCGTTTTGGAGGCCGGAGCAGTGCAGAAATGCAAGGAGCTTGTTCTGCATGTGCCGTTGAGTGTACAATCTGAGATGACGGCGTGTATTGCGGTGTTGGCATTGAGCGACGAACTAAAGACACACCTGCTCAACATGGGGGTCTTCGACGTCTTGATTCCTCTGACTGATTCGGAAAGCATTGAAGTTCAAGGGAATAGTGCCGCCGCGCTTGGCAATTTGTCCTCCAAGGTTGGCGACTATTCGATTTTCGTTCGCGATTGGACAGAGCCAAACGGTGGCATTCACGGCTATCTCAAGCGTTTCCTATGCAGTGGTGACCCCACGTTTCAACACATTGCAATCTGGACGTTGCTGCAGCTACTGGAGTCGGACGACAAGAAGCTTGTGAGCTTGGTGGCCAAGTCTGAAGACATCATCCAGATGGTCAAGACGATTGCCGACAAGCATGTTGAATCCGATGACGAGGAAGGTGAGGAGGGTGAGGGTGAGGTGATTGCTCTTGCTCAAAGATCTTTGGAATTGCTTGGTAAGGGGCCCAAGCAGACCCTGGTGGAAGGTTGAAAGTAGGCACCTGGAGGGCTGTTCTTTGTTTAAAGCCTCTGAATATTATCATATACCCCTTTACACGGAATTGCAACGAAAAAGGGCTGCCACTGGGCATGGGCACGCAAAGTGTGCATCGGAGTGTGCAGGGAGCATAGCGAGGCGTTGAGGGGTCTGATTGTCACTGCTTGGGGTCAGAATGAGAATAGGGGGCTTGTGAGGAGAAAGGGACACGGTAGGTATTGCGACGTCAATACCGTTTATCTTTTGAAGGAAGACTCTTCAGGACTTTCGTTGTTTGTCCTTGTGGGAGTAGGAACGGAAGAAAGCGAGAGGACGGGCAGGATACGCCATTTCATTCTAGCCTCAATGCATTAATTGTACACCTTTGCAATCCGCAGACACATGTCTCTTTTCGTTTGGGTCTGGGAATTTGGGTGTCGTCGGGCGTGTTCACGCAATGGTTATTTTTACCAATGGATGTCTCCTCCCCCAATATTCTTTCCGTACCATCCAAAGCATTTATATCAAGAATGGCGGACCTGGATGATAGGAGGAGTCCTTCGCTCCCCACGCCTGCCCCTTTGTGGAGTCGGCTTGGGCGGGCGATGATTGATATTCCTCCCGTGACGAACACAGCCTGACATTGCGGTAGGGGTCGTGACCATGGATACTGGAGAGGTTGTTTCTGAGACGAGGCGATGTTGGGGGAGGGGGGATTGGTGAAGGTGAGGATGGCTACGAAAGGTAAGGTAAGGGGAAATGGTAGAGGGTAGGTAGGTACCGTAAGGTGTACGAGGTCGATGTGATGAGAATGGAAGAAATGGAAATGGAACTGGAACTGGATCTGGATCTGGAAGTGGAAGGGAAGGCGAAAGAAAAACGGATGATATGCCCGAGCAACGCGCAGAGTCGATCGAGTTTGGATGATTTTCAAGGCCGGGTCGATTCCCCCTCGCCTTTCCTCCATCTCGTTCATCAGTCATGTCTCGGCTCCCACTGCGCCGGACAAAGGCGGGAAAGTTTGATGCCTTTCCTTGATGATTGCGTTTTTTTTTTGAGAGATCTGGGTCTCCTACCTGATCCAAGGAGACTGAGTTTTCCTTGCCTTCGGATGGCTCACGGCGGTTTTCAGTCTTGAAGGGGGGGGTCCTGCACTGCAGGTGCCCTTGCCTCTGTTTCTCTGTTTGGAGGAGTACAGCGAGATAGTTACGTCTTGAGGAGGCATTTTGGGTTCAAGGTGGTTAGACAATCAATGCTCAGCGTCACCTTTGTCTGCGTTGCGCGGCGGCGTTCTTGCTGTGGCAGGGTGCCATTGCATTCTGTCCTGTTCTCAGAGGAATGTAGCAGTGCTCTTGGATACAGCAATGACGTCCATGGCTCATGACTCGGTTGATGAGCCCTTGAGCAGATTCTCGCCACGTGTGGTGTTTCTCGAGAGGCTGGCCATGATGACATTTTGGCTGGCACAGTGCACATGGATCATGTCGTTTAGAGTTGACGCTGTCCCGAGTCTGGAGCCGACTTCATGAAGGTTTCGCGACTTTTCGACTCTCCCCTTTCCCAGTCACGGCGTCCCTCATCTCCTTCCAACTGGCGGGGACCATGGCGTTGCCGGCCTCACTCGTGGCCACCACGACACCAAACTCATTCCCCGCCGTGCTGATGTAGTAGTTCCTCTCGTCGCCCAAGCTGATCACGGTCGCGCGAATGATGTCGCCGACGCGGTACATGTCGTTGATGACGATCTTGTCCTTTTCGTGCGTGCGGATGTCCTCGCGCCGAAGCACGCATTGGAACTGCAGGTCGTCGTCGGTGATTTGTGAGTAAGAGACGATGTCGTTGGCGGAGATGGATGCGGCGTCGTCGACGATGGCCAGGATCGAGGCCGAAAGTTCCCGTTGTCGGACCCTGGTGACGCGGCAGAGAACCGCCGAGCCTACTTTTGGGAGGGAGTTGATTGAAGCTAGAGCCGTGGCTTGACGAGGAACGGAGACCGTCGGCTTGCTCGATTTGTTCGGTGCCGGCGTGATAACTGATTGGCCCAGGATTGAGGCGAGGATGTTGTTCTCATAGACGTGAGTGCCTGGACCGGGGATGTGGGATGATGTGCTGGCTAGAACCTGGCCGGGTACGACTGCAGAGGAAGTCATGGTTTGGGAGACTGAGCTTTGATGGATCAGAAGACGAAGCTTTATTCCCCTCCAAGTGCGAGAGCAGTCAAAGGAACTAAAGAAGTACTTTGGGAGGCTCGGGGAAGAATTTCAAGGAGGGTATTTCCTAAGTCGAAAGGCCCGAAAGGCTGGTCATGGGTCTTGTACCTTGAACCGAGAAAACTAGCAGCAGCAGATAGAGGCCTGAAGGTGTAAAATACCACGTCGAGGTGGAGAGGCTTGCAGCACCGAGGACGACATGAAAGGGGAAGAAATGACACCCGCGAGGTCAGGATAGAAAATTGATATGAGAACGGTGACCACGTGATGAGCTCGGACAGCCACAGTCTTGGCAAGCCACATTCTCACTTCAACTCGACCCCCTTTGGTCATTCCCTTCAGTCTCACGGTGCGCACTGCTCTATCTTCGCTAGCCGCCACCGTGTCAAACCCCCATCTCGAAGAGGAGGCTTCTCTTCCTTGCTGTCTCGAAATGACAATACTGACGCCCGGCCATGTTTGTTCAGTCCGTTTCTAGAAGTCACAAGGCGCACCCAGGCGATACTTCCAGGTTCCCAAAGGATACCTTTTCATTACGAAACTCCGAGGACCATATACAAGCACCACACGCACCTGACGGGAAGCCTATTTGGGCATGTACCTCAACGAGCTGATCGTTGTTCATACGATCTTGACTCTTATCGACTTTGTGTTGGCCAATTTATCCACTCGTCCAGAAACATGGCCGATCCGTTCGAATGCACCGTCTTCAAGTCTGCACGGCTGTAGTGCCACGCCCCTCCACCACCGGCTCACTTGTCTGTTCTTCCACAACGGTTTATGTCTCTCCACCTTGTTGGGAATATCATTGCTCAAAACGACCATGACTAGTATCAGAGTTCCCTCGGGAACTTCACTGGGTCCTTCGATCAAGGGCACATCCGCGTCGAGGACCACAGAGCCGCCGTCAAAGGAGAGGCTGTAGCGCTGGACGTCGTTTTGATCCCTTAACTCAGTATATCTGAGTTTGGTCCAAAAGGATGGCGCAGATACTGTCAAAACCCCGCTTGAGACTTGTCCATAGAGATCGGGACTCACAAGTTTGCATTGCGCCTCTTCCACTATGCAATGAACCTCGACCTCATCAGCTGGATCTGGTACCCACATGAGACACTCAGCTTCCACAGAGACCCACGACCAAGAAGGCCCCCGGTATTCGACTGGTCTTCTTGTAAGCCACCTCTTTTCGACAATGCCCACACTCGTTTTCCAAGTCAACGTCTGTGGCATTGATTCGGACCAAATCCCCGCCAGATACTGGCCCATACTTGGCAGTCGCATCTGACCAGCTATGCCTGAGAGAGCCGGTAATCGGTCACCATCAAAATGGAGCGAGCGTACAGAGTATTCTCTCAAAATACGCGACCATTGCTTGAGTCTCTCCAGCGCATTGTCATTGTGATAAAGTACCTGGGCCTGTTTGAGTTTGAAATTTCCAGTGTTCTTTCCGTGCGACCAGTCTCTTCCGCTTTCCATACCCTGACATTCGCACTTTAGGGACTCTTTGCATTCCCACATGATCTCATGCTGAGTGTAGTGGATGACTCTTGTTGCCAGCAAGCGCTCCTGGAACACCCAGGCACGGTCGAAGAGAGGCATCGTCTCGAAAGTTGCGGGTCCTTCGGCAAAGTCGCGGTGGGATATCTTTTGTTTGACATATGCATTGAATACTTTCCCTGCTGAGTCTGCCAGGCTTACTTTGTAACTGCATGACCTCTCCGAAAAGCACCCGTCGTCGCCGGTCCGAGACCTTGTCGCTGCGATCACCACATACGCATTTTCATAGACGGATGCCATACGACTTGCTTCCAGCGCCCAGTCGTCGTCATCATCCTGAATGATGGACAGAGCGTCAACCCATAGATATCTCAGACCTAGACGTCGAGTAATTTTGATGGCATCTTGGAAGGTTCGCGTCAACTCTGACCAATCTATGCCCTCAAGACGCTGGCAAATGTTGGACTTGAGCGTTTTCGGCATTGGCTTGATCCTGTCCTCTTTCCTGCCCCAAGCGTGGCTCAAAGCAGCATACTGAGCTGGAACAGCCACCTCTGATTCCAGACAGAGTCTCTGGTTGGTAGCATCGGGTACACCAACATCGAGAATTCTGGTGGGCATTATGCTCAATTCTTTGCCTGACGAGCATAGCTTATGGCTTGACAAGCAAGTCGATATCCACCCTTGAATCGTTGCAAAGCTCGCCTCCGAGTTCGAGCTTTGGGGAACGTCGCCGGCCGGGAAGAATTCGGGAAAGGGCGATTCTTCGTCTAGACCCAGGTTATCGTCGTTGACACAGTGGTTGAAGATACTCCTTCATCGTCCGTCCGTCCACCCACCTTTGTGAGAGTAGAACTCCAACTCGAGGGTTTCGTATCCCTCCTCTGCTCGCCTCGGTCGGGACAGAAGAACTTCCAATACATCGGCATCGTACGCATAGTTGAAAACCCTGATTTCGTCTTCCCTCCAAGTCTCCTGGGCCGTCGTCGATGCAGCTTGACCGGCGGATTCACTACTACTTTTCCAGAAATAGGAGAATTTCTCAATGCCAGCCAAGAGAAACTGGCACCTAAAACACCCATCCCTTGCGGTCCGCTGGAAGTCGGGGAGGAAGGTTCTAGGATTATTCTTGCTGAAATCCAGAGGGAGGAAGTCTCGACATGAGCTGCACGGGCTAGAATCGGCGGGATCGTATTTGCGTTGGTGAGCAGACATGGTCGCGGCTTGGGCGAGATGTATAGTGAATTTTGAGAGGCTGCCTGAAGATACGCGGGCATATCATTTAGCGCTGGCCAAGCCTTAACTCCTTGGGTTTCTCAAGCAAGTCTTCGATTGGCTGCGCATGCTCGAACTTCTAGATCTCTAGGTATATTTAACCATGTTTTCCCATATGATATTGTGACTGCTTGGCAATATCATTACGATGCTTATAATTTCCCCTGGGAAATACGAACTCAAATGTCTTCCATGTCGATCTCCCCACCCCCTTTTTCACAGCACTTGTCAGCGCTGCAAGTGCCTGCATTGAATTTCCCCCAACGCGAATCAAGCATTTGGTTTCGCAAAAAGCCTTCCAACAACTTCAAGTCGCTCGAGCCGTTGTAGACTCTCCGGAATTGTGGAGAACGGAACCTCGGTCAGCTTGGGGACGATATCTCCCGCGGCGATCAACTTCAACACCTCGCGGTACTCGGCCAGGGTTGCTCCTCGCGAGCCACGCAGCGTCAGGCTGCGCAGCATCAAGGTGTGCGAGGACAATTCGAAGCTCGGGACACCGAGGCCGACCAGAACGACCGTCCCAGAGGCCTTGACGCGTTGGAGCGCGTCTTGGGTGGTGACGCCCACGCCGGCAAAATCCACCACCACATCGATCACGACATCCCGGGGGATGTCGAGGAGCTTTCGAAAACACGCTTTGGCGCCCTGGGCCAGGGCGTCCGGGAACTTCTTCTCGTCGATGTCGACGCCGTAGACTGTGGCGCCGCGAAGGGCGGCGATTCGGACTCCGTTGAGGCCCAGACCGCCGATGCCGACGATCGCGACGGTCGTGGTGGCCGTGACGCTCGCTTCGGCGACGACGGCGTGGTACGCCGTGGCGATCGAGTCGCTTGCCACTGCGGCCTGCGCGAAGTTGACGCCTTCGGGGAGAGGTACCAGGACGCGTGACGGGACCACCACCTTCTCCGCGTATCCGCCGTCTCTGCCGACTCCGATGATGTGGTTCCAGTCTTCGTCGCTGGTCGGAACAAGCGCCACGCCAACCCGATCGCCCACTTTGAAGTCCGACACATCTGGACCGGCTTCAGCGACCGTGCCGGCGACCTCGTGACCCAGCGTGATGGGTCTTTTGCTCAACCAGGAATCCCCCTGGCCCTTCAGGACGTGGGCATCCGAATGACAGATCCCTGTCGCCTCGACCAGAACGACGACTTCGCCTGGCGGGCATCTCGGCGTGGGCACGTCCTTCAGACGGAGACCTTCTTCGACGTTGGCGAATTGAAAGGCTTTCATGACTCCTTCCTGAGCTGTACCCTCAGAGTCCAGCATGTGGAAAGCAAGTACAGCGAACGTGGGAGTCGGAACGGGTGCGGATGGGATGTTGATAACTGGCAACTGGGGGGGGGCCTAAGATGCCGTGAGACCGATCCAGGGATGGAAGTGTCCCTCGGGGTAAAATCCTCTACCGGTATAGAACATCCCGGGGGATCCCCCAGGGTTGCGTAGACTGCTAAGCGACGTGTCACCCCCTTCTTTGGTCATATAGACAAGAAGAAGCCAACAAAATTCGGCGCGGTTATTCTCCGGGAACCAATCCAGTGCTTGTTCCCGGGAATGCTGGGCTTGTTAATATTGAAAGACTACCATTCGGCTTGATTGGGTCTCCATCATCATAGATTGAACCCCCTTATCTGTTGATTCGCTTTGATGCCCTCGCCGGAAAATCAGAAGATGACGGCCCCGTCAAGGAAGAGAGTTCTGAAGAATACAGGGAAGAAAAACAAATCTAGCTTTGGTCCTGTGAGCCGTATCAACCGTGAAAACTCAAGGCGTGAATGGTTCCAGCACGTCCGCGCTTACTCCGGTCTCCGCCCAAAGACCACGTAACTATCCATTTACGGTCAATTCCTGCTGACACACAATCTACTGCCGTCTGTTTTTGGAAGGGGGTGGAAAGATTTGTAAACTCACAAATGATAATAGCTGTGGATAGCCCTGTTCTTGACGTCCCTGCGTACCTCCAAGAGGAACGATTCGACCTCGGCGGCACTCCAGTGCAGACAGCGGGTGAAGAGCATGATGGTCAAGCCCTGGATCCCCTCGGTCATGTTGACCGTCTCGAACAGACCGACTTCCTTGAGGCGCTGGTCTTTCGGCCACGACCCGATGGGGAGTTTGAGGATGTGCTCTTGAACATCCACAAACCCGGCCTCTTCCATTAGCCGTTTCAGGTGCTGGGGCGATCGGGCGTCGGTCCCGAATTGGATGCCTGTTCTCTAATGTCAGTGGGAGGGTTTGCCTGACGATGGCGCACAAGATAGAGAAAGAAAAGCCTTGGTGACGTACTGGCTTCGAAGAATTTGGCTCCCCATTGGAAAAGAGCCGAGTCTTTCGGCAGAGACCCATCGTCGCTGAGGAGATAGGGGTGCTTTTCATGCCACTCTACCCAGCCACCAGGCTTGACAAATCTACCAACCGTCGAATCATCAGCGTCTTGCCCTGAGGGCCATAATGAGGAGTTCCTACTGGTAGCATTGGCGAATCAGCTTGGGCCAGTCTCGAATCGCGCAGACAAAGTTGCGGTTGTGGATGTAGTCAAAAGAAGCCTCCTCCCACGTCCACTCAGCCTCTGCGTCGTCGATCTCGAAACTGCAGTTCGGCGGCACCCACTCGGGCTGGATGGGACTCAGGTCGGTGCCCGTGACCACGGCGGACGGGAACATGTCGGCAAACTCAATGGCCCAGATGCCCGTGCCGGTCCCGAGATCCAGCACCCTGGCCGGGTTGGGGTTGATGGGCGCCCAAAACAGTCGGTCGCCCAGCAGGTGTGTCTGCATGGCGTGTTGCATGTCGAGTCTTTCGGCCTCGGCGTCGTCGTTGGGGAAGGCGTACTCTGCGCGGGAAAATTAGTTTCAATTCTGGTGTCGTTTGCCGTCGTTGTTGTCTCTTCCCTTTAAGAGTTTTGGAATAGGATGGGGCGGAGAACACTTACGGGATCGACCATAGGAGTGGTATCGTCGGCCATATTCCCAGACACCTCGAGTAATGCTGGACGCCAACGACGTCAAGTCACTGTGTCTGTTTTTCTCGTCAACTGTCTCTTGTCCCCCAAGCACCGGTTCCAGACCGCGTACACTGAATCACCGTAGGCAGAATCCAAATCTGCAGATCTCTAACAAGATATAGAGGAAGGGTCTTGGTTAGCAAAGTTACCCACGCACAATGAGACGAGGACGGCACAATGAAAGAATATAGTTCCTACATCAACTTCGATGGGCTGGTTCGGATCCAATTGTGTGGGTGGTGGTTCAGGCTGTGAACTTGGGCCACCACCAGGTCCGGGATCTTCATCTGGCGGACGATCTTCCGCGATTGCTGGCGGTGAAGACCTCGTTCGATCAGCAGCAGCTGTATTACGGCCTGGCGATGGCATGTTCGTAGAGCCGAAGCCTCCCTTGACTACTACGTCGCAGCGGCAACAAGGGTTAGTTAAAATGTGACGGACAAAACCTCTCGACCAAGGCTGGGTGAGGCCAAAGGTGGCGTTCCAGGGTGTAATGTACTTCCCACCAACTAGCCTCCGACAAGCCAGGAGCCAGCCTTGGGGACGGGATTTGCCATTGCGAAGAGCCAATGAATCAGCCGTAAGCGATTATGCTGTAGCAGCACAGAGCAATGACGGAAAGAGCTTAGAGTGGTTCAAAAGTTGGAATCAAAACAGTGCCGGGCTCGAGGCGGCGGAATTCTCCAAATGGTACCTGGTATTAGATTGGAAATTCGTGCGGAAAGGTTGACAAGTCCGTGGGTAAGCAGTGATTCCTGGTGATTGTTGGCATTCTCATTGCCCAGCGGCGATCGCTTATGGCTAGTGAGCCCTAAGCTGTTCATCCTCGTCGGATACCTAGGTACATAGCGGTCAGGCAGTGGCTGATGGCTAGCAAAGCGGCCCGCAGGGGTCCGTCCCGGCCGTCTCAGTTTATTCACTAAGTACCTAGCTCCTAGCATACTGTGCATAGCGAGTAGTTAGGACTAGTATATGTAAGCCCCTACCAGGCAGCATTTAACTCGCTATAGTTAGGTGGAAGAGAATTTCATTCCGGTGTTGAAGTCAAGACACTAGCGGAGGGTAGACTGGCTCGGCAAGCAGGCTACACCTGTAGCTAGACTATTCCATCAACATACGAGCTCTTGTCCTGCGAATGGGATTACTGTACCAGCCTCTCCTCGGTCCTCGTGCATAAACATTCCTATTATGTACTATCTCTCTGCTGACGTGTCAGTCAACTCTGGATCTCAAGACCAATCAAGCTCGTGCCCGCCGTACCTTGATAAGATTGCCAACTCACCCACTAAGGTGGACGACTCTTCGGCCCGGATTCATGTCCAATGACTACCCCCACGACACTGGGTGTCACTGAGGGCTATCAGATTGACTAACTTCTGGCCTTCATCCCCGGCATCCTCTCTCAATAAAAGCTGGACTTCCTCGAATCAAACCTGCCCATACCCGCTCCTCCCTGCTGCTTGATCATCCTTTTCCGTCGCCTCTCCCCACAACCTTCTCCCCTCTCGGACGGATCGTTGGTACAAAAGAGTGCATCTGCAGGATGACCGACCAGAAAAATCCCGTTCATGTTCTCATTATAGGGTCAGGTATGGTTGGGCTGGAGAGTCACGCGGCTTTCTGTTGGACTTCGCCTATCATCGCATGAAGGTGTCGCCCAGGGTGTCATCTGCCCATGAAACAGGCTAACCGAAGTCTCACGACTAGGAATCGTCGGCCTCCTCATTGCCCAGGGGTTGAAAAAGGTACGGATAGAACGGCGTGGGCGACATAGCGGTCGACAAATTCTGACTGAAAACGACACTTGTGTTTCTTGTTAGATCGGCATTTCTTTTTCTATCTTTGAGTCGGAGGTCTCCGCCACAGCCTACCGACCGCGAGAATGGGGCATGTCGGTACAATGGGGCCTGCCGATGCTCGCCGACTGCCTGCCCCAAGACCTGTTCGATCGAGTCTACGAGGCTGCCGTCGACCCTACCTTTGTGCCACCCGACCCCGGCCATCTCCCAGCCATCAATGGTCAGACCGGGGAAGTGATGAAGAACATTCCCCTGCTGCGCATGTATCGCGTTTCCCGTCGGCGGTTCAGGAAACTGTGCTCCGAGGGTATAGACGTCCAGGTAAATTCTTTCGAGTAGCATGGATCTTCGTCCTGCACCGTCGTCAAGCTGACCCGGCCCCTCTTCAAAGTATAATAAAAAGCTTGTCGATATCACCTATGACGATGATAACTCTACCGTGACAGCTGTTTTCGAGGACGGAACACAAGCCACAGGTACCACACTGATAGGAGCTGATGGGGCCCAGTCCCAGGTCAGAAACATTATGTTTGGAGAAGAAGGCCAGCCCTGCAGCGTCCCTTATTCCGCTGTCAATCTGCATGTCTGTTATAATGATGCCGAGAAAGCCAAGTTCGTTCGCCAGGCTCATCCCATCATGGCCATGGGCATGCATCCAAATGGATATTGGCAATGGATTTCGAGTAAGCATCTGTCTTTCTGGGTGGTATGTCATTAGAATGCTGTCAATCCTAACCCCATCCACAGTACAAGATGTACCGGACCCTGATGATCCAGCAACCTGGGTATTCCAGCTGCAGACCACATGGCACAAGAAAGAAGGGGAAGAGGTGGCTTCGCTGGCCAATTTGAAGGCTAAGGCTGAGACCATGGGTGAGCCCTTCCGATCTGCCAACCTGTGGATTCCTGAAGGAACAAAAGTCCACAGCAATAATCTGTCATACTGGATTCCCCGGCCCTGGGATACTCGTAGAGGCAGGATTCTCCTTGCCGGAGATGCTGGTCATCCCATGACCTTCCAGCGTGGCCAAGGTTTGAATCACGGCATTGCAGATGCCAGAAGTCTGGTTCTCAAGTACAAGGATGCCCTGTCCGGATTGACGACCTTTGAAGAAGCTGCCGCTGCATATCAAGTCGAGTTGGTAGATCGCGCAGGCGAGGAGGTTCGCTTGTCCAAGGAGAACACGGAAATGCTTCACGACTGGGAGCGGATGGCGAAATCGCCCATCATGCAGCGTGGGGGTCATCCAAGAGGAGAAGAGCCAGACGCAAAAGCTAGTACGGACTGATGTCTCCTTAGTGACAGGGTATTGCCAGAATACGAGTAGCGTTGAGGTCTGAAAGATCTCACAATCGATCTTGGTGAGCTTGTCTTATATCCCTGGGCGCTCTCCTTCACAGATGATAGATAGCTGTATTCTGTAAAACGACACAACTCCCTTGAGTGAAAGAGCATAGATATGCGAGAAGTGAGCTGCATGCCGCGGCGAAGACTGTTAGTAAACAAGTTTCAGTCCTTCCGACGGGGCCCAGCAGGCTCCCTCTAGCCCAATGTAGGCCTGCACATCGCTTAGATGTACCAGGCCATCCTCGCGACGTTTCGATGCCCGACTGGTCCAGCACATTGAATCCCGAGATCGCGTATGCAAGTCAGCATCAAAGGTCATTGGTGCCGGTACTTACTATATTCAAAAGGGTCTTCAGTCTGTGGGTCTTTTGACCGTAGAATCGTTGATCTAATGGCAGCGTTCCATTTCTCGTTCTCCTCCACATCGACCGGGGTTGGATCACACGCACCCTGAAAAGAGTTCCATTGCTTGTCAGATATACACCCAGTCCTTGATCGGAGACTCCAATCTTAAAAGCAGAGAAAAATCCCTAGTTCTTCACCATGTCAGCATTCCAAGCAGCCCCTGTGCATCTCGTCGGCAGTTTTCCAGCCCCGGATGCGACGACGGCATTTTCCAAGTGTGCAATTGCTCTGAAAGGGCGCCTTAAGACCATCCCCGATGGTGAGCCAGGGTGGCGTTGGAACTTCACCATCGGTCTGGTCCAAAAGAAAGCCACGGAAAACCCGGCGATTGGCAGGATCTGGCGTGAGTATGACGAGAAATACGACCCTCTGCCGGTGAAGGAGATGTCGGCCGAGGATGTTGAACAGCTCCATGAGGCCATTAAGTCCACGTCGTGGAAGCTTGGATATGCTGAGGACGCCGTCGAGTCGTATAAGGTCTTTTGCAAGTTGCGGCAAGAGGGTACAATCGAGAAGCACGTGCGGTTCCAGGTGTGTTTGCCGGGAGTTTCGAGTATGGCCATCTTTGTCAAGCCTGCATTTCAATATCTGGTAGAGGATCTCACCTACCAGGCCATGCTGCAGGAGACGGAGGCAATCACCAGGGCCATCCCAACGGAGGATCTCGCAATCCAATTCGATATTGCGAGCGACTACATCAAGAACGAGGCCCAACAGGATCCATCATCCTATCTGGGTGTGCTGAGGGAGGACTTCCACCCGCCTCAAGAGGATGCCATGGAGCGGTATTCCGGCCAGTATGCAGGCTTGATGGAAAAGGTCCCCGCGGAGGCCTACACGGGCCTGCACATCTGCATGGGCAATATAAACAACAAGCCCGTCCTGGCGCCACGGGACATGTCCGTCATGGTTGCACTGGCGAACCGGATCATATCCAAGGCCAAAGCCAGCAGACAGGTACAGTGGATACACTTTGGCTGTCTGGCAGAATGGAAGGACCCGACTCCCTACGGCGCTCTCTCAAAACTGGAGGATAAGAACGTAGCCGTCTACCTCGGGCTTGTATATCCAGATGACCTGAAAGGTTCAAAAGAGAGAGTTGCTGCCGCGAGGAAACACTTGGGGAAATTTGGCGTCGCCCCGGTCTGCGGTCTTGCGAGAACATCGGAGGATGGTGTGCAGTCGGTCCTAAACATTCTCAAGGACCTGACTCCGGAGGCTGTTGTCGGATAGAGCACAGACGTTGCCGGATGTTCACATCCTGTTTTGCCCCGCGCAGACCGATAGATTGAATACGACACGGCAGGAGACGACGTCGGTCTGCCGTGAAGTCAGATGCAAGTCGAGACGATATGAATAGCGTCTTCGCGCCGCTGTATATTTTGCCAGGGACAACAATAAGACTACCATATTTGGTATTTCAGCAGCCAGTTTAAGAAAGGATCGATACCGCACATGTAGTCTTGCAACAGAGATCAGTACGAGGTTATGAATCCTGCTGCGAGCTCCGGTGGCTGATTGATGGAAAGGGTCGAGGTGGCTAGTGAGCAGTGGTGAGGCTGATGGGGCTGGATGGGGCTTGAGTCGCCAACCTCGTAGCGTGACCATGCGCGGCCTCAATTGCCCAGCCTGACCATCAGCCAGCCATCGCGTTGACTTCCCTGCGCCTGCGTCGACCTTCCTCACCTCACATCTGCGGTGCCTTTGATCATGATGACCTAAGGCCAACGTCTGCATCTGATCAGCACTCCAAGATGTCCTATGCGACGGGCCGAGAGTAATGTAAATGCCATAGAGATTGCCCGAAACTCTCTTCAATGCCAATGTCGTGGCCCACAGCGGCGGCGGCGGGATGGACTTCCGTTGCCCTGCTAGCGACTCCCCTGCTCTACTATCAGCTTACACGAGGCATCCCATCTCGACAACGCCCTGACCAAGCCCCACGGTCCAAGTTTGGGGTGGTACCAGTGGACGGGTCTCGGCAGGGACTGGGTACACAGCTGCGGAAGGATGGAGTCGAGTGAGTAAAAAATCCTTCAGATAGAATCTGACAACAAACGGAATGGAGACTGACGGTCGTATTCCATCAGTATCATCTTCGTTCATGGGCTGGGTTCCAACCCAGACACCACATGGCGAGCCCGACCGCCGCGCGATGCCACAAAGCCGCGTCAATTAGAGGACGCAAACGATGATGGAGTCTGTTGGGTCACGGACCTCCTCGTGGACGACATCCCCCCCGCCACATGCCGCAAAACCCGGATCTTCTTCTACAATCACGATTCATACTGGCAACGTGGGGCGGTTCAGACGCGGCTGTGGAATCTGGCAGGCAACATGCTCCAACATCTTCAAGGCAGATTCCGACAAACCGAGGAGGTATGTCACAGTACGAGGGGACACACATGCCACAGTCAATTTTGTTAGAACGCCACAAAACCTCCACAGATGCTAATGCCAATCCAATAGGAAAAGGCACGAGATTTGGTGTTTGTTGCATACAGTTACGGCGGCGTCCTTTTGAAACAGGTAGGAAAGGCCAAATCTCATTGAACCATGCTCTACAACTCTATGGTCAGACTGAGCCTATTTCTCATTCTGGTAGGCATTGATACGCGCAAAGAATACCACTCCATATCAAGACATCGTGAGCCGAACTCGTGGAATTGTCTTCCTTGGGACACCTCACCGAGGGTCTAGTTTTACTTCGCTAGGATCGTGGATTGCGTGGTTTTTACGGCCGCTAGGATCGAATGCGTTACTTCTCGACGAAATAACATACGACTCATTACACCTTCAAGATCTGCATGAGCAATTCACGCAGGTAATCGAGGATCATGTTCAGGTATACAACTTCTTTGAAGAGCGTCCCACCTGCCTGGTCGATGTTGGAATCTTTCAGTGGAGCAAGTTCGTAAGTGCGAGAGACTTTGGAAGCGGTGGCCAGGGCTAAATGAGGGTGTAGGTTGTCAACCAACAGTCGGCGAAGTACTCCGAGGGTTCCGGACATGTCCATAATGTCGGCTTGGCCGTCAACCATGCTGGACTGAACAAGTTTGGGGAACGGACTGCGGAATACGAGGCTGTCCGTGATACGCTGGTGCGTTTCCTTCCGCCTCCGCCACGGCAGATATACTCTGTGCCATCAAGTCGAGTAGAGACATATACATCTCGGCGAGACCTTTCGCAAAAGATCCATAAGGGTCTGGGAGTGACTTTTAATGGTGAGACCGCGGAGTTTGACGAGACTGTCAAAGGCTTCCAAGCAGTCATCGTCCACGGAATGGGTGGTGTGGGCAAGACACAGCTGGCACTGAATTATGCCGAAGAGACTCGTGCATGTTACGATCCCGTTTTCTGGATTGACGCTCAAACGAAGGAGACAGTCAAAGCAAGTTTTGAACGAGGGGCAGCCGCACTGGGATTGGAGTTTCAGAATTCCCCGACTGCTGACCTAGAACTACAGGAATTTCCTCCGGTGGCTGGCGTGTGCCGCTGGTTCTCCGAGAGGGACGAAGGAGACCCTCGATGGCTGGTAATTGTTGATAACGCGGACGATACTTCGTGGCGAATTGATGAGATCATCCCACGAGGGAGCCGGGGACATGTGATTGTGACGAGTCAGCACCAACAAACTCCAGGTTTCCTTCAAGGGTCTTGTAAGTTCGTCGAGGCTAGAGAGATGAGCACCGAAGAAGCCCGGAGTCTACTCATGACATACGTCGGTCTGGCTGTGGGTTCAGAGTGGGTGCAACAGCTCGACGAATTGGGAGACTTTTGTGACCAGGTTGTTAAACGGCTTGGATGTCTGGCCCTAGCGGTAGAACTCGCTGGGCTCTACCTGAGTGAGCAGCTGCCCCATCATCGCAATGACATGAACATGATGAACTCCGACACCTTCTACCGGGTCTTCCGGCAATATCTGGATGATTTCGACCGACATCGGGATGAACTTCTCCAGGGGCAGCCTTTCCAGCGACTCTCGTCTTATCAGAAGACGGTATGGACTGTGTGGGACACAAGCTTAGCGGCCATCGAGAGACAAGCTCCGCACAACCACGCAATCCAAATGCTGACGTTTCTTGCACAATTTGACCGTGGGCAGATGGAGAGGGAGATGTTTCGACTCGCTAGTGATGGTTGGCGTGACCTGTTTGATGGATTCAAATTATCCGAAAGTGATGTGCCTGACTGGCTTCAACGATTTGTTACATGCCACGACAATGGCTGGGACGACTTTCATTACCGACAAGCTACGCAACCATTAAAGCGTTATGGGTTGCTTCGACAATTAGATGGTGAGTGGGCGGGAACGACCATGCACAGTCTGGTGCAGTGGCGTGCGAGAAAATCTGGAGAGGAGATGAATGTAGCCTGGAGACGATGCATATTGATCTTCCTCCTGGCGGCAGTGGTTCAGGCCGACCGCGAGGAAGAAGGGCATTCGTTTGGACGGCACTTGAGCACACACCTGTTGGAGATGAACGTCGGCTACAGCGAGCTGGTCCAGGAGTTGCAGCTGAATGAATTAAATGCCGCGACGCTAGGGGGGGCTCTCCGGACAACATTCTACGCAGATGGTCGATGGCAGAAGGCAAAGGAATTGTCGGTGCAATTAGTGGAAGTGAGAAAGAGGGTGCTAGGGCCGAGTCACCCCAATACGTTGTTGAGTATCGTCAAAATGGCGACCATACTCTCGGCATTAGGGAAGTACGAGGAGGCTGAGATGATGGTGCGAGAAACATTACCGGTGGCCGAGGAGATGGTAGGAAAGGACCATACTTTTACGCTTAACATGATGAATAACCTAGCCGTGGCTACGATAGGGCTAGGGAAGTTCGAAGAAGCAGAGGTAACACTTCGGCGTATATTACCACTACGAGAACGGCAACTAGGAAAGGAGCATCCAGGGACACTAACCACTATGAATAATCTAGCTGTGGCCTTGTCCCACCTACGGCAGTTCGACGAAGCAAAGAGCATTTTTGAGCAAGTGCTACAAATCAGTGAGAAGGAGCTGGGAGAGGAGCATCGAGAAACACTATCCAGCATGAATGATCTCGCTGTGGTACACTCCGGCATGGGAGATTTCGAAGAGGCGAAGAAGATACATCAGAAGGCGTTACGATCGAGAGAGAAGATACTGGGAAAGGAGCATCCAGATACACTAAAAACTATGAATAACCTCGCTTGTGCACTGCATAAACTAGAAGAATTCGAAGAGGCGAAGAAGATACTCCAGAAGACGTTACAAGGGAGAGAGAAGATACTGGGAAAGGAGCATCCAGATACACTA